CACCCCCATTCCCCCCGATTCTGGGGAAGTATGCCCACTTGCCGGGGTTTATACACGGCTTCGCAAAATACTGAAAATGTCGGAAATCCTCTCTATAAGCATTGCTCCAGTGTCTCCGCTTCAAATGAGTCCTGTTTTATTGGCGGGCATTTCGAAGTTGATCTGAGCCGGCACGAAAGCGGAGAAGCTGCGCGTCAATGCAATCACAACGCAGAAACCGGTGGCCACGTAAGAGCCCCAGATGCCCAGAGGGCCTGTGCAGACCAGCTCCGAGTCCAGGACGTCTTGAGCCGACCATGCATGGACGAACATGATGTGGCTGACTAGAATAACAATCTATGTTATTGAGCCGAGGATGGTAACAGTGTTGACAAAATATGTGAAAACCTGCTTCGAGTCATCGACCACGTTCATGCATGCCAATAGGCATAATACAGTAGAGGCAAGAAGAGCTGGGACAGGGACCCCGCGGGTGTTTGTTCTTCCAAATATCTTGGGGGCTTTATGCTCTACAGCCAACCCGAATGGCTCGACTGGTAATGTACAAATCCATGTTGGCCGCCGACATCATAGAGATCAAGACCGCCCCATTGAGAATGTCGGGGGGACCGGAATTCGGGCAACCACGATGGCTGTGGCAAACGGTGAGGCTGCCGCCGAGGTCGTTGCTTTAGTGGCGCTCTGTAAGTGCGGCGAGTTGTAAGGGACAACCAGGTCCAGAAGAAAGACCGTGACGACATAAAATGCCACGATACGCCCGAACGTTAACTTGATGGCTCGAGGGATGGACTTCCGAGGGCGTCTAGCTTCTCCGCCCGTAACACCCACCAACTCTGTGCCAATGAAAGCGAATGTGGTGGTGATGAGAGAGCTCCAGAGGGCCAGGAATCTACCCTAGCTGCCATCGGCGAGGTAGGGTTTGAACGCACCAGGATCTTGCCAGTAGCGGAACCCCAAGGCATCATCAGCATATCGGCACGCATAGCGAGCGAAGCCCGACGCGAGAGGGATGTAGGAAGTCATTTCACCAAGGGTACCCATGGCCATATAGACGACGAAACCAATGAGGAGATATGAGATGAAAACTGGCGCCGGCGCAGCCCGAGCCCGAGCATATCCAGTACCAATGATGAGACTGGTTCCAATGGCACCACTAATAGCAATCATGAAAATTTGTCGAGCATGGAGCGCCTTGTGAAGAGACTTCGGCTCATGGAACTCGACCTGCTTTGCCGGATCGTCATTTTCAACTTGCTCACAGTCGATGACCTTGGTTTCGGCGTCTGCAATCTTCTCCTCGTGATATTCACGGCAGCTGGCAGTTGCAATCTCTGACATGATGAAGTGACGAGTAAGAATTAGCATGTGAGAAGGAGTTCCGCGTAAGAGTGCTTTCGGGTGCAAGAACCAAGCGGCGCGCAAGACAGGATGATACTCTTGACGAGTGCAATATTCAAAACAAGATCTCTTGACCTGTTATGGGAGGAGATTCACTGCTTCCACCGGGATTTGAACCAACTTTATACCTGGAATATCTTGGGAACAGATTCTTGTATGCATAACTTGGCGTCAACGTTAGGTATCCCAGGGACTAGACGCCGCAAGTTGCAACTCACTTCCATCTATTGATCCATTCCCTACGCAGAGGAAGGGCCTCTGGCTAGTGGTTGATTCAACATTTGAACCACCAGCGCTACAGGACCCATTCTTGTTTGGGGCCAACTTAGCCCTTCATAGCGCAACGAAATTCATCGGCGGCCACAGCGACATGATGTGTGGCGTCCTCGTTACTCCGCCACATCTACGGGATTTTGCCCAGTCACTGTTTTAAGGCCGCGGAGTGCTAGGCGCAATCCCTGATGGTCTGGAGACATGGCTCGGCTTGCGCAGCATGCGTACCCTGGATCTGCGGACAAAACAACAGAGTCGGAACTGTGAGGCGCTCGTTTCGTGGCTGTACTCCTTGTTGCTTGGTAATGACAGCGAAGTGGTTCATCGCACCGTCGCTGAAGTCAAACACTCCAGCCTGCAGAGGAACGATATGGCGTGGCTCCGGAAACAGATTCCCGGTGGCTTCGGATCCGTCTTCATGATCGTCATGCGAACAGAGGACTACGCCCGTCGCGTGCCAAGTAAGCTCCATGTATTTCAGCATGCGACCAGCCTCGGCGGCGTCGAGAGTCTGATTGAGTGGCGAAAGATGACCGACAACTTTGCGGCAGGGGACATCATCCGAATTAGCGTGGGCATTGAGTCAATTGAAGATTTGAAGGAGGATCTGCTCAATGGCTTGAAAGCGGTCCTCGAAAATGCCGCGAATGATACCGCGGAATAGTATGAATGTATGGATAGATCCGATGATGACATCAACACAGATTGAGACCCGTGATAATTTAACACATCATTCAAATGAAAGATGCTCAAAATCGCAGATATCTTGAGGAAATTAACGGTGGTTAGAAGACTGCACAGGGCCCTAGGTCTACGACCTTGCATGTTATCACGTGGGACACGAAAAATCGAACAGCTCAATCCAGTCCCCTGGGGTGAGAGGTCCCGTTCTTGTTGACTTGAAGTTGTGCCGGCTGTTTTACTGGTAGCGCGATATATTTCCCCAGCATCTTGATACCATAATAGTTATATTCATTGATTTATACTAAGAGACTTATACCATGCGGCGTGCAGAGATCTATCAAAACTTGACTGTCAACGTTCCCGTCTTCGCGATCAGATACTCTTCAATCGCCACATCCTTGCCCGCTTCCTTGCCGTACCCTGAATCTTTAATGCCGCCGAATGGTGACTCAGCACCTGAGGAATTTCCTAGCGAATTAAGCAGGAATCAGCGGTGATGTCTCCTCTAGTAACATACGACCAAAGCCACAATTATTCAGAAGCGCAGGTGGTATATATGGGGAAAGTAAAACGCGATATGTCAGCCACTTACCAGTATTCATGCCAATCATTCCAGCCTCGAGGTTTTCCAGCAGCCTCCAAGTACGACTGGTGTCGTTGGTGAAGAAATACGAAGCCAACCCCATGGAGGTATCGTTGGCCATCCTGACGGCTTCGTCCTCGGTCTCAAAGCGAAATAGACCGAGCAAAGGGCCAAAGATCTCTTCTTTGCTTGTCAACATCTCGGGAGTCATGTCTGCGATGATGGTAGGCTCGAAGAAGTATCCGTCCAGGTGTTCGGGTGATTTTCCGCCGGAAAGAATTCGGCCGCCTTTCTCTCGCGCGTCGACGACGTGGCGTTGCAACTTCTCGATACTGCGGGGGGTGGTCAATGCACCCATGGTCGTGCCGGGCACTGCACCATGTCCGACGACAATCTTCGAAGTGGCCTCCAGTATCATGTGGCAGAAATTTTCGTACACACCACTCTGTACGTACACTCGGTTCGCATGAGTACATGCTTGTCCGGCTGTCCGCCACTTTAGAATCATAAGAGCAGCCACCGCATCTTCCAAGTTTGCGTCATCAAAGACAATGAACGGACAATTACCGCCCAATTCCATGGTTAGCTTCTTCAATCCGTCGCTGCAGTGTCTTGCAACCAGCTTACCCACCGCCGTACTGCCAGTAAAAGTGACTTTCCGAACAAGCGGGTGCTTACACAGACTCTCACTCACAGTAGGTGTATTAATGCTGTTCGTCGTAATGACATTAAACACGCCAGCAGGTATGCCAGCGCGAAGGGCCAGATCTGCAAGAGCCATAACGCTCAGTGGGCTCTCGGGCGAAGGCTTCACGACTATAGAGCAACCGGCGGCCAACGCTGCGGCGACTTTACGGATGATCATAGCCACAGGAAAGTTCCATGGTACGAGGGCCACGCAGACGCCGATCGGCTGCTTCACAATGATCGTTCGTCGATTGTTGACGGATGGAATGGCCACGGACCCGCGAATCCGTTCAGCCTCGCCCGCAAACCACCAGGCAAAACCAAGCGCATAGTCGACTTCTCCGAGCGCCTCAGCCATAGGTTTCCCGGTCTCGTAGACGATGAGGGTGGCAATATCTTGTTTGGCTTTGGTAATTCGCCCATGCCATTCCAACAGCATCTTGGCCCGCTCGCGGGGGTTGACTTGGCGAAAAGATTCAAAGGCCCTTTGTGATGTCTGGATGTATCGATCCACGTCTTCCGAATCATTGTTCGGACAAGATGCGAAGACCTTCCTCGAGCCCGGGTCTATTGGCGACACTAGTCAGCAAAATACGTCGAGCTTCGCTTTGTGATAGGAGAAGAAATAGTTCACCTTCGACGTCGAACAGCTTTCCTGACAATGCTTGAGTCCATTCGCCATTCAAGAGGGAGGATTCGTGTAGCAGAGACGGCTCCTCGAGCTGTACAATTCAAGGTCAGCAAAGTCCCGGTTGAAGTCACGCTTTTGCTACCGACCTTCAACTGCAAAGGTGGAGATGCAATCATAATGATTTGGCCTGGGGAGATTTTTGCGACCCCGAGATGGTTGAAATATTTGGCATGTCAGATATGATGACTGTAAGGCCCATTAAGAAAGCATATGAATGATTCCCGGCTCTAGCTCCGCGCCCTTCTGAGCGCCTTCGCTGTTTTGCGCCCTAGAGATCATTGTGATGTATGTGGATATAGTGGATACGCCCTCCGTTTCTGTGTCTGCCCGTGGCAGATCGGGTCGAGAATAGTTGGTTGTCAAGCGCTGTGTAGAATAGGAATTGAGTGCTCAAAGTATCTGTGTCATTGGCCAGCCATCCTCTCCACTTCGTTGGTGGTGGGGCCTATGAAACGCACTACAACATGTTTGTCAGTTTTTTATTACCTATGTCAGCTTTTTATTACTCCATTTTCTGAACCGGCATCTCATTGGGTATTCTCAGGCATAGTCGCATTGGTGAACCAACTTAGAGCGAGTCCATGGTTGCTGTAAGTGTTCACCTTACTTCAATCCAGTTCACATGATGCCAATCAAACGGAGACGTCCGCTTGGGATATGGGTTCTTCCTTAAAAAGTAGGCCATCCTTCCATATTGAAAGTCCCCTACCTGTTCCCCACGAACATTCAGATAAATTCTAATTTGCAAAAACCAAGCAAGTATCCCTCCCCATTCGCCAAAAGTGGGAGTGTGCGAGAATCGAGAACCAAATCGACATCTCAGAAATCCTTCACAGTCGAGGTAATCATGCCGAAGAGGCAGAGTAAAGTCCTGCTGGCCATCATCGGTGAGCCTTCTTAAGCATTCACGGAGAGTATTGTGTTCATGCTGAAGCGCGGGTATACAGGCACTGGCGGCGTAGGCGCATGCTTTATCTCCCAGCTCGCGCAGCTGGTCAAGCGTCCTCAATACTCGGGTCGCCTCAGCCTGTGTTATATAGCCATGATCGACAAAGCTTACTTCACCAGAGACTATTCGGCAATCGACATGGACAATGCTATCACCATCATGGAGACAAACGGTCAGTCCCCTCCCTCGATCCCGGAAATAGTTCAGTATCTGGCGGCTGCACCACACAAGGTCATCATGGTCGACAACACAAGTGCTCAGCGTCTCGCGGAGTCCTACCCCCTTTTCCTCAGTCGTGGCATCAGTATCGTGACCCCCAACAAGAAGGCCTTTTCCGGAGACTTGGACATATGGCAACGTATTTTCAAAGCGGCGGAAACAGGAGGGTCGTACGTCTACCATGAATCATCAGTTGGTGCGGGCTTGCCTGTTGTTTGTACGCTGAAGGACCTTGTTGCGACCGGAGATGAGGTAACACGTATTGAGGGCGTGTTCAGCGGTACCCTTTCGTACCTATTCAACTCCTTCTCCCCAATTGCGCAGATCAATGGCGCCGTTGAGGACAATTGGTCGACGCAGGTGGCGAAGGCCGAACGGCTCGGGTTCACAGAGCCCGATCCCCGAGATGACTTGAACGGTCTTGACGTTGCACGAAAGCTGACCATCCTCGCCCGTTTGGCTGGTCTGCCGATCACGTCACCCACCTCATTCCCCGTCGAAAGCTTGATCCCTAAAGGCCTTGAGGGCGCTTCGAGTACACAAGAGTTTCTCGAGGGTCTTCCTCAATTTGACCACGAGATGAAAGATCGTAAGATCGCGGCGGAGAAGTCGGGTAAAGTCCTCCGTTATACCGGCTCGGTAGACATGGCAACCAAGACGGTCAAGGTCGCGTTGGAAGAGGCAGATCGTTCGAGCCCCATTGCGCAGCTCAAGGGCAGCGATAATATCATCGTCTTCCACACCAAACGCTACGGGCGGCTACCATTGATCGTCCAGGGCGCAGGTGCGGGGGCCGAAGTGACGGCCATGGGTGTGCTGGGCGACCTGCTCAGAGTGCTGGCACAAATCATGCTACCTGTATAGCGCAAAAATATCCGAGGAAGCAATCCGAAGGTGTTGCTGACATTATCCTCATCACACAGACGAACCGTATAACTTATGAGCATTTATATTATTATTATTATTATTATTATTATTATTATTATTATTATTATTACCTAATTTTATGTGTGATTTCAATTAATGGGGGTCCCACCCTGACCATGGAAGGGACAAGAATTCTAGACAACTCGTCCGTTCGCTAAGCGCCCGTGCAACAAGGAGGCAATTTCGTTTCGTACTTGAAAGAAGCCTACATCAATCTATACGTGAGGAAAGAACATCAGTTCGACCTTCGCCTTCCACGTTCTTTAGCCAGCTAACTTTAAGTTGGCAACGAGCGCCGATGGATACGAATGATCGCATAGAACGTCAATCGAATGAATACAATAATATCGACGACGCGGCGCGGCCTCTTTCTTCTTAGCGTTATAGCCTTCTCATGTCCAGTCCCCGACTCAAGGCCCTCTTTCGCCATTCAATCAACCCCTCTTTGAACTCTAGGCATAAGAGCAAGCAGCGGGTCTTTTCGGGCAACTCTCCACCAGATACGAGTATTTGTACAGCGGAATCTCGTCATCATCTCAGCAAGACCCAGGATTGGTAGGTATTCATGCTGAAGGCGATGCTCTGTCAGTCTACATCGGCTCACTGCCACTCAAGGAAGCGTTGCTGTGTGTTCCCTGGCCGAGATTTACGTTCTGTGGAAAGTCATTGTTATAATACTTTGCTATTAAAGCAAAAGCCGCGTCACCGGGATAGATAGCTAAGTTTCCAAAAGCAGATACAGTGGCCGCTATTGTGAGTCCGCGAAAATTACAATGTTTCTGGCTTCCAGAATGATTGATATCGAAGAGTCTGTTCCAATCTTGATTTGATACAGTGTAACCGGGCCCACTTCCGATCTGTAAAAGAGTAGTGGAGACTGATCATTAGGGCTGTCTCAGCAATGGTTGTCCTGCTATCACCAACCCTGTCCCTCCGCAGTTCTGTTTCGGTTTCTCTAAACGGTGAATCGTCTTCCATCCTAGCCCCTGCGTGATGGGTGGTGCTCGACTAGGAGCTGTGGAGTACGCCGGGCAATCATAGTCGAAGGGTTCGGGGATGCCAAACACGGCTCAATCTTGAATCCAGGTCGGCGCGGCGGCCATTACAGGGCTCACGGCCTTGACAGATGTCGGACCGAGAGCCAATTCTCAGTGATTGGTTGACCGTACATCCACTATACTGAAGGCCCACCAGCATCATGGCTCGGCAACACCACCGTATCCTCTGTCGCCTTGTCGATGCTTGGCGGAGCTTGTGGGTGATTTAGGCGTGGCATTCTAACAGGTCATTCTCGCATGATGTAACGTAACTAATACCCCAGCCTTGCCCTTGCGAGTTGGTGTATCATTTACTAGTATTTGAAGGGAGCGGGGTTCCGACTTGGCTCCAATGAACTTCTGTGATCTTCATGAACAACTATTCTACTATCCCGCAAAAAGCCAGTAAATGCGAACCCAGCACCGCAGTTTCAGCTTGTCACTAACAATAACGCATAATGAGGGGTTGAGCTGAAGTATTAATATGTCTTCTCCGTACGTGCAAAACTTAGTTTTCCTTGTAGATCCTCATCTATCTCAACCTTAGTGCCACATCAGCAAGCTAAAGGTTATCATCGTTAAAGTACTATGGATATAGACATCGTGTCGTGAGTGTCCTACCTCAAAGTATAGCGTGACCTTAGACTAACTACGTTTCTTCTCCGCAGCGGCCCACGTCGTGGCTCGGTCCTTTTGGACACTGAGGGTACTGAATATACCCATTCACTGCTCCGGGAGCATGCAATAGCTGATGGGCACGATAGAGAAGCGTAAACAAAGCATTGCAGCGCTGACCTCTAATACTACTGGAGAGTATGTCTACACCAATGCTTAACCATGAATCATCACTAACAATACTCAGGATTCGGAATCCTCTGGTCGACCTTTCCAGGGAACAACTGATGCATGATGTTGAAGAATATGCTACCAGTCATAATCTCAGCGAGCTTTTGCCTCAGTTGCGTACAGGAGCTCTAGCTGCTCAGAATCCGTTTACATTCGAGACAATGCCCGAATTCAACGAAGAAGAATTGGAACTACTACGCCACGAAATCACTAATAAGTGGCGCCAACCTAGGATTCTGTACTTTACTATCCTCTTGAACTCAATTGCAGCTGCCATCCAAGGTTGGGATCAGACAGGTTCCAATGGAGCAAATTTGTCTTTTCCTGATGCTTTTGGCATAGACGAAGGCCCTGATGGTCCCTGCGCAGCAGCTGGTAAATGTGAAAGCAACCAGTGGCTTGTTGGCTTCATCAATTCATGCCCTTACTTCGCAATTTTCCTATGGTAAGTGCCATCCGAAGTTCTCTTTTATTGTTCATGTCAACTTACATAGTCAGTGCGGCGTGGATATCAGATCCGTTGAATCATTGGCTGGGTCGCCGCCATGTTATCTTTATTGCTGCTATCTTTTCCCTCTTTGCACCCATAGGAATGGCAGTCACCCAAAATTGGCAGCAGCTCCTTGTCACGCGTCTCCTGCTTGGTATTGGCATGGGTTTGAAAGAGGTGACCGTCCCTGTGTTTTCTGCTGAGGTGGCCCCAACTATGATTCGTGGTGGTCTCGTGATGTCCTGGCAGCTCTGGACTGCCTTCGGCATCTTCCTGGGTACTTGTGCCAACCTGGCCGTCAAGGATACCGGAGATCTATCATGGAGATTACAGCTAGGCTCAGCTTTTATTCCAGCAGTCCCGCTCGTGATAGGAATCTACTTCTGTCCCGAATCTCCTAGGTACGAACTCTCTGACATTTCGATCTGGGTCTTATGTTGACATATACAGATGGCTTATGTCGAAAGGAAGACACTCGCAAGCCTACAAATCTTTACTCCGGCTTCGAGGGTCATCGCTCTTAGCTGCCCGAGAGCTCTATTACGTCCATGCTCAAATGCAATATGAGGAGTATCTTGTGGCAGCGTCCGGAGTTGCTGTAAGGGCGAACTTCTTCACACGTGTTATTGAATTATTCACAATTCCTCGAATTCGGCGAGCAGTTCAGGCATCTGGTATTGTCATGATTGCCCAACAAATGTGTGGAAGTAGGTTATCTTCACTCTATATGAATTAGGATTGGACTAAGCTGTTTGTCGGTAGTCAACATTATTGCCTTCTACTCATCAACGATTTTTGCTCAAGCAGGTGCATCGGTCACCGGCGCCCTCCTTGCTTCCTGGGGATTTGGGCTGATAAACTTCATTTTCGCCTGGCCTGCGGTATGGACGATTGATACCTATGGTCGACGCACCTTACTACTCTTTACGTTCCCGAATATGTGCTGGACTCTACTTGCAGCAGGGCTTTGTTTTCTAATCCCCGCCGGTACGGCCCACCTAGCACTAGTGGCGTTGTTTGTCTATCTTTTCGACGCATTCTATTCCCCTGGTGAGGGTCCAGTACCTTTCACCTACTCCGCAGAAGTTTTCCCATTATCACACCGTGAGGTGGGCATGTCATGGGCTGTTTGTACCAATAACTTCTGGGCAACGGTTGTTTCATTGACATTTCCCCGGCAACTAAGGGCCTTTGGATCGACGGGAGCCTTCGGATTCTATGCTGCGATGAACGCAGTCGCATTCGTGATGATTTTCCTCTGGCTACCAGAGACGAAACAAAAATCTCTCGAGGGTAAGTTAATTAGGTACCAATTTTTGGCCCATAGGCCACTCGTTAACTATTTCACAGAACTCGATTATGTATTCGCCGTGCCAACACGAACTCATATGAACTACCAGCTCTACCAGGTTCTCCCTTACTGGTTCAAAACCCAGATTTTGCGACGCAAAGGGCTTACCAGCCCACAGCTCTACAAATTTGATCAGGGTCGGGATGAAGTTGTGCAACATCCCTCGAAAGCAGGAGATGCGTAGAACTTACGAAGTTTTACCACCTGGCCATGCTGCAATGCACCATTCTTAAGCGTGTTTCTTGGTGCTACTGGTCGTGTTCTCTCGAAGTCTATTGAGTAAAAGCTTGATTTACTCAAAGGCAGAAACTGTTACTAGAAGAGCATATTGACGCGCTAGGCATCTTTCGAACTACTCAGAGTCAGCAGTCTATCACTTATAATTAGGACTCTGAAACCTGATGGGTAAAACTAACAAAGGTCAAATCGCAGTCTTACCTAATCCATGACCACGCTCGTCTAGAAATGTAGGCTATTGCAAAGTAAATAAATGTTTAGAAAAGACTCTTGAAGTTTTGGCGCTTTCATTACCTCGATCTTTCAGCCGATACCACCGCAAACTCGACACTGACACCAATCGTAAATGCTCCTTGACTCGGTTGCTAATCTTATTTATGTCACAATTTCCTGAAAACACCAAAAAAAAATGGAAAAACCACATAGATCACCAGCACTGCTTAGTTTACAGTCCCATTCTATACGAAGCCGGTGTAGAATAATGACATGTCCGGAAAAAAGCTTGCGAAGTCCGAATAAGCTAACTGTTTAGGCGCTGCTACCAAGCCCATGTGTGGTGCCTCCCAAGAATGAGCTAAGAAAAGGCTTAACAATCCTCCGCCACTTTCCCGGCAAGAAATTTGCGTTGGACGGGGAAGTTATTGCGGACGAGCTGACACCCACACACAAAACCCACCAAAAAGGCTCAATCGGCTTTCGCCGTCGCACACCGGCGGACCTGGCTCTTTAGGTGTTGAGCAGTGAGCACAGACTGTCCGATGGCAGAAGATGTAACATCGAGCACGCCATTGCTCCGAAATGAATATCAACGGCCACAGCCGCACGCAGACTTGGACTCGGATCACTGCACGATAGGGTATAATTCTCAGTCGTCCAGGGCCTCGACTTCAAGTATCATGCCAATGGCTCCAGAAGCTTTACCACAGCCCTTGGGCGCTGATCGCAAACCTGCCGTCACCGATGAGGAGCGGTTCGTCAGTCCGGAACGTGATTTCCAAGGGCTCCATGAGGCCGACTTTGTGACGCACAATGAACAGCAGGATCTCAGGCGTGGTCTCCATCAGAGGCATATCTCTTTGATTGCGATCGCCGGTGCCATTGTAAGACTAGAGCCATTATCGGTGTTTGTCGGCCATCAATACTGACAGATGTGTGTTTCAGGGTACAGGGCTGTTTCTCGGTCTTGGTGGATCAATTCAGACCGGCGGCCCGCTGGGATCTCTGCTCGGGTACTTTACGGTCGGCCTCATTGTATGCGCGGTCCAATTTGCTCTCGGAGAGGTCGCAGCCTTGCTGCCAGTTACAGGTTCCTTTGTGCGCCATGCAGAAGTCCTTGTCGATCCGGCACTTGGGTTTGCCATCGGGTAAGGCCCGACTTTACTTGGTGACCCAGAGTGAGTGCTTTACTGACTTATCTTCTAGCTACAACCTCGTCTACGGCAACCTGCTTTCAATCCCGGCAGAAATCAGTGCGGTGTGCGTGCTGTTCCACTACTGGACCGACATCAACTCTACTTTGTGGATCCTTATCTTCATCGCCCTGACCTTCGCCATCGGCATCTCGTTCATCGGGATCTACGGCGAGGTAGAATTCTGGTTTGCTTTGCTCAAGATCCTTTTCATCATCTTCCTCATCATTCTGGGCCTTGTGATCGACCTCGGCGGCGTACCTGGCACACCGCGCATTGGCTTCAGGTACTGGAACACCCCGGGCCCCTTCGTTGAGTATATTGCGACCGGCAAATGGGGCCATTTCCTGGGCTACTGGTCGGTGATGACCAACGCCGTGTTCAGCTTCGCCGGCACCGAGAGCATAGCCATGGCTGCTGCAGAAACAAAAAATCCCCGCGTTACCATTCCGAAAGCGTGTAAGAGAGTGTTCGCCCGAGTCGCCACGTTCTACATGCTGGCAGTCCTGGTGGTTGGAATGCTTGTGCCGAGTGACGACCCTCGCCTGAACGACTACTCCGGCACAGCTGCACAGAGCCCCTTTGTCATCGCAGCCAGCGCAGCTGGCCTCAAAGGCGTGCCCTCAGTGGTCAACGCGATCGTCATCACTTCTGCCTGGTCCTCATCAAACCAAGCGTTGCTCTCAGGCACTCGCGTCCTCTACGGCCTCGCATTGAAGCGCCAAGCGCCCAAGATCTTCCTGCGGACCACCCCTTGGGGCGTGCCGTACATGTGCGTCCTCTTGAACACGGCATTCATGTTTCTGGCGTTCATGACTTTGTCCGAGGGTGCCATGACGGTGTTCTGGTGGTTCGTCGACCTCACGGCTTGTGGCGTGCTCATCTCCTGGATCACCGTGCTGGTGAATCATCTCAGGCTCATCCTCGCGATGAAGAAGCAGAATCTGCCGCTCTCGAGCTTGCCTTGGCATAATCGGTGGACTGGTAGGTGTAGCCCATGGTCAATGAGGTTTTTGTGAAATTAGTGCTAACTAACAACTATAATGTAGAGTATTCCACGCCAGTTGCGCTGGTAATGTGCGTCCTCATCCTTTTCACCGGTGGCTTCATGGTCTTTACGAGAGGGAATTGGTCAGCCAGCGGGTTCATCTCGTCTTACTTGTAAGTGCTTTTTTTTAGGTCAACATCCACTGAAAATGATCGCATTCCTGATAACATTGTTACAGAGATATCCCGCTAGTGCTCACCGCATACCTCGCGTGGAAGTTCTACAAAAAGACGAGCATTATCAGTCTGGCTGATATTCCCTTGACCGAGGCCCTGGAGAGGGCCGCCCGCGATATCGAACCCGAGGAGAAGCTACCGACATGGCGCAAGGTTGTGGGATTCTTGTGGGATTGATGTACGTCAGAGCGGCTGAATGGTTTCTCGGTTTTTAGCGGACTATGTAGCAATTTTACTAAATGTGATCTCCTTGTCCAGAAATCGGGAACTCCCCTCCCCTAGCCCAGTGCGCTCCAAGCTTGGATTCCGCATAAAGGGACGATTGATAGCTTCGTTGTGTCGTACGTAACGTAAGTGGTTCTACCTTGCGACTAATTGGGTCCAAATCCCAAAAAGCCATTGAACCATTATTTTTGTTGTACTGTTGATGATGATGAACTTGGGCGGGTGTTGGGTTGGATGTCTTGGCGACAAGGCTGCGGCGATCACATTCGTTTTTTCTTCTTAGACCGACGTGGCAGACCCCTTCCGCTCCCGGAGGGACTTGACGATGAGATTGGGAATGCGGGATCCTGTGACTTAGAAGTTGCTGCTGCTCTGTTAGAGTTGCTGCGTCCGATCCGAACCACGAAAGGCGGCACGCTTGTCGTGGATGGCCGGGGTAGCGTGATTAGCGATCCATAGTGGGCGAGGACTATTTTCACCATGGGAGTCGCACCTCCTACGTCTTTGACTATCGACAAGCGTTCCAATAACCGCATGAAGGTCAGTATGAGTTCTTTGGCAGTGTCGGTGTTGGCGGATGTGCTTCTGTCTAGTGCAGAAATCGCCTTCGTATCGACAACGATGTATGCTGTTGAAAATGAACTTAAGATCGCTGTTAGAATGACCAGCCAGTCTTCCTTAGAGCGAGCGTTCAGGAATTTGGGCAGTTGTTGTGCCACAATGATGTCGAATCCAGCGGAAAGTTTGGCGCTTCGGATTTGGAGCGCTTGTAGGATGAGGTTTTTCAGAATATCAATTTCAGTCACTTCGCTGTATGGCGAGGATTCACGACCTCTCAGGGTCCAGAGTACAGCAGTGTCGCTAATTTGTAGATAATCCACGACGTCAGCGCAAAAGTCCGTGATGTCAAGGCACGAGGTAGGTGAGCCGCGAAGTACGAGCATTGCTGATTGTTGCTCATTATTCCATTGGTGCACGGTTTGGTTTTGTGATACTAGCGCACCCTTTGTTTTCAGTCGGCGGCGCCTGTCTCTCAGGAAACGGCATGTTGCCAAAGAGCTTTGAGGATCAAGCAAAGATCCGGTGGTAAGAGCGGTGAACACCTGGGAGATCTTGAGCTCATAAAAGGAATGTTGTATCTCAATGCGAGTGGAAGCATTCACGGTCTGCTCGTCCACAGCGATCCGTTGAAGTTGGGAGAGGACCCCTGTGATAGCTCGAACCTCGCTGCTCAACGATCGCAACTCGAGATGGATGTCTCGTTGCTCGACATGGCTGCTTACCGATGCAAGGCTGGAGATATCGATAGATGCGTCACCAATATGTTTAATCAGATCGTCGTACCGTAGTGCCGCAGGTCTAGTGATCGCATGATACGCGTGAAGGAGCCTTCCTTCACAGTACCAACCAAAAGCACGAATTAGGAACTTGATGACGAGCACATATAACCTTGAAAGCGCCGCCTTCATTTGGGGGATGGGATATAGCCGTGCCGAGATCTCAGCATGGGGCAGCGAGTCTGCAACCTGATTCAGGCCTTCGGTAATTGTCGCAAGCAGATTCTCTTGTTCCGCAACGCCCTTCAAACCGACCAGGTCAGTGCGACTTCCTGTTGTGAACCGCAATTCTCACCATGAATAGAATTTTCATAGCCCCCCATGCCAGCGAGACGTATTCTGGGTGGTGCTGGGCAAATACATCGAGAACCCTCCCATAGTACAGCACTTTCTGGGAAAAGCTCGCAAGGCCTTTTCGAACGTTACTGCTGCCGGCTCTGTCCTCATACCTTTCCCTGGCACTAACTGCTGCAGATTGGACATCCTCTATCCTTGCGCACTGTAAGCTTTGCAGCCAGGCTTTTTTCGATGGATCTCGAGTCAATTTGTCGTTGAAGGTCCGCAAAGCCCTGCCAAAGGCTTCTTTGGCCAGATCATGGTTTGGAATGCTCTCGATCGGGCTTCGCGACGAGTTTGCTAGTCAGCCTGCGTAGCCAGCCTGGTGAAAACATATTGCAAGTGATACAAGGGAACATACATGGTATCATCCAAGTACCAGGATGACAAAACAGCTTTGGTATCGGATACGGCCAAAGAAGCCATCTTGGTTGCGAAGCTCCACCGCCTATGCGAGCGTTTGTGGGGGGTCCCGGTTCCCGCCTTGACGCTGGGGAAATCTCACTCTGAGTACGGGGCGGGCCTTCCCTAAAGCAACGTCCTTATTGTCAATGCCGAGGTTGTTGACTGATGTTGAGTGAGAATGGATCAAACATCGCTGAGTGACATTCCATTCAGCCCTTGGAAGAATCAATATATCCAACATTGCTTTGCTTGAGAGGCGTCATGAGGTTTTTCAGCCGTCGTTGGCTGCTGTGCCTCACAAGCATGCCCAGTTACTTTGCACAGCCACACACGAGGCTATCCGATAAGGCATCTGGGCGGCTGAGCAGAAGCATGCGGGCCCCACCTTGAGCGGCCGCAGGTGCTCATCTTTCGAAGCCATCTCGATGTCGAATCTCCCCGGAGCGTCAACCCTTCAGGAAGGTTGAGGCCTGTGTCCTGCATCCTTGGCCATGTCCTTTAGTTGAAATTTCAATTCTCAAGTCGGGTGCTGTGCATCTTGCAAAGCTGATGAACTTCGAGCACACACCAGAGGACGATGGCACGAGGCCAGCGCTATTTCAAGATCAGACTCTGGTCACCTCGAGAACCGGCACCTCTACCCCATCCTCCATCGAACCTGATCGTACCCGACTCGCCTATTCAGATGAGGGAACAATAGAAGACGAAGAGGAACGCGAGCCGGGGAGCGAACTTGATAGTTATATCGCCGACGAGCAAGAGGAAGAAATTGATGAGACGAGTAGCACAGAAGAATACCTAGCAACGCCTAGGAGAACTGCCCGAAGGAAACCCTCACTTCTGCCCTTGGCAACAACCGTTCGAAGCGACCACGCTCCACCCTTGTGGGCTAAGGCTCCTACATTCGATAGCCTCAGAACCCCCGACTTTTCAACCTACATCACCTCAGACCTTCCGACCAGCGTCGAGTCAGTGCTTCGAACTCTACTCGATAGATCGAGGCAAGATCTTACCCAAAACCCCCAGGCGTGACCCTGACACAGTATAGCCATTTGGACTTTCTGCAAAACGTCGCTCTCACTGTATCAGATGATCATACCGAGGACGGACTTCTCGCTGGAAGACTCCTTTTAGCGGCACAAGATAAGGCTGCCGACAATACCTTGCACCCGCGCTCTGACAACGTCCTCGGCCTTGAAACGATTTCTTTTCACGAACCTGTTGACTATCAATCCGGTGGCCTTGACTTCCTGGACGACGTTACTGATCTCAACACCCCTGGGGTTAGTGCCCCCCAAAAAGGCGACACCTTTAACCAATCCACGAGGGCGTCGGGGGTCCTCCCACCAAACGCCCTCTACAAGAGAACGAGGGTGCTGGACAAACCATCGCCTCAACACTTCGCTTACCCAGAGGAGGCTTACGTGGAATACTCACCGAAGGTCCAATACCTGTGGGAGAACCCAAGGGCTGAGCCTACTGCTCTGGAGGCCGAGATCGCATCTGAGTCAATAATGCAGGCGTTTGGAACTAGCCGCCCTCAGCCTAAAGACCCGCGGAGAATCCGAAGAACGAGAGATAAGATAGGACCCGATTTGGTAAGGATGAGTCCACTCTTTCAGGATCCGACCACTAGCAACAACATTATCCGTAACCTAAGGGATGATGCGGAATCCAGCTTCGATGTCTCGGCGAGCACTGAAACCAAGGGAAGTGAAGCTCCTACCCCAAGTCAACTCGAGAACCATCAGGCACTGGTCACAGATTTGAAGAAGCTGCAAGAACATATTGTTCATTTGCAAGCCCAAGCAAGACATTTGGAGAACGTCCAACAGAAACAAGAACCTTTTAAAGTCCAGGTTCTTTATCGCATTCGCCATGGGAGTCGGTTGTCTGCCCCATATCTTGACCAGCCACGCTGCGACTCTGCAGAAGGGACTTGGGGTACATTGTATTCGCAATATCCCATCAAGAACCTTGAACTCTACTTGGAGCGCCACAAGCAGATTTCTCTCATTGTGTACCGTGATTTTGTTGATTCCGATAAGAAGGATGTAGAAGACCCAGAAACTGCTGAGAGTGAGATCCTTCCGCCGCGGCTCAAGCACTATCGTGAGGTACTGCGACCGGTGAGCAGTGATATGTTTCATACCTTGAGGACTATCCTATTATCCAAGCCTGAATACGCAGAGATACTGAAAGGTTTCACCGCCACAAATGAAGTGTCCAGTCCGTTTTTATTCTTCTTTCACAGCCTTAAGCATCTAAAAGACATCGAAAACAAGATGAATGACCCTGTTCGGAGGCAATTGAAACTCCTCGCAAACTATGTCTTAGGCATTTACGGAGCAGAATACAAGACAGCCGACGCTATGATTTCTCAGGGGCGCTTCACAGCCGATTTCTTATGCTACTTCTTCAAACCGAATGACACAATCGTCTTTCAAGACCGAGATAGCATCAAGGGATATGTATGTGACTCATGGCTTGGTCAAACGCGCATTCAAAAGTCGTCCAAGCAGTCTCAGATATCGTTGAAAGGCAAGAACATCGCATCAGGCGGGACCAGTGGGTCGGTTGAAGAAAATGCAAAGAGCAATACGTGGGATATCTCGGTTTGGTCCTGGTCCTACGATGGCCATTTCTATCGAGAGAAAACCAAATTGCAATTCGAGGTCCTCCAGGGCAAGCGGGAAGAGCAATTTATCAACAATATCAGCGTCTACCCCCTGAAATTCGCTGAGCCTGCGCTAAGGGAGCAGCTTCGTACGCGTGGCGAGACATTCTGGAAATGTCGCTTTTGCCGACCAATGTCATATCATGAGGATACCTCTAGTGATAGATTTAGCACACACGGAGAGAGATACATGGTCGATATGAAAACATATCAAACGATACATGCTTCTAACATCGCATTGAAAAGCGCCATGTCAGAATTCAAGATGACAGAAGAAGAGATGGAAACCAACGAGCCACCAGACGAGCAATTCAAGTATGTCGTGCCATTAACGATGAAAGGCTTCAATCTCCGTCGCAAAAAGTGGCTCGACCTCAAAGTTGATCAAATCTCTGATGTTCAATGGAATAAGACGGCGTTCAAAAGTCTAGTTGTTGAAAGCAGAACCAAAGATTTGATTCAGGCCCTTGTCAGCAAGCAATTATCAATCGAGCGATCAACTGACCTGATTGAGGATAAGGGCAATGGACTTCTTTTGCTCCTCCATGGCGGGCCGGGCACTGGGAAGACTTTGACAGCTGAATCGGTGGCTGAGATCGCTGAGAAACCCTTGTACAGGGTGACTTGCGGCGACATAGGCATCAAAGCTGAGGATGTCGAAAAATACCTTGAGTCAGTCCTTCATCTGGGCAAGATCTGGGACTGCGTCGTCCTCTTAGATGAGGCTGATGTTTTCTTGGAGCAGCGTACTCTTGAAGACTTGGCACGAAATGCTCTTGTGTCTGTATTCCTTCGAGTCCTGGAATACTATGATGGTATCCTGGTGTTTACCAGTAATCGTGTGGGCACGTTTGATGAGGCATTCAAATCTCGAATCCAGCTTGCCCTGCACTATGCCGACCTCGAGGAGTACCAGCGACAGCAGATTTGGAATAATTTCATCAATCGATTAGAAGGCCTAGAGGAAGATGTCGACTTATCTGATCTGCGGGACAATGTGCAACGCCTGGCGAAAGACGAAATGAACGGGCGACAAATCCGCAATGCGATAACGACTGCACGTCAATTTGCCGAATGGAAAGGAGAGAAGTTGACCTATAAGCACTTGGAGTATGTCATAGAGGTGAGTGGTCGCTTCGACAAGTATCTAGACAAGTTGAATGGTGGCATGACGCAAAATGAATTGGCTCGAGAGGATAGGATCCGGTAATAGTTTAATGGATTGTTTTCTTTTCCGTTCCAAAATTCGTGGGGACAAGGAGGTCTGGAGGGTAAGGACATTTTCAACCAAGCCATTTTTATATATACCCTGTTTCACAGCCTTGAAGTTTACCCTGGGGTCTGTTTTATGAACCTCGTTTATTTGTCTCAACTTTAAATGAATGATGCTACGATGAAATCTGCTAGCCATGAGAAATGCTAAATTGACGAGTCATCTGTCTCCGGGATAAATCGCTTACTTGACCTGGCTTTTCCGAAGCTTCGATTCTCGGGTTAAAGGTGATTAAGCCAAGCACAGCTGCAGTTCACACCCTCTGTCCATAGGGTGCAACCTAATCTCAAGCAGCTTCGTCTTCAATTTCTAGATTCCCAAACTTGAATTTCTTCCCTCTCATATCAGCATAATCGGCATGATTATGGTAGTTCTTCACTCTCTCTCGCACGTATTGTAGTCCCGTGATAGGCTCAGCGGCCTCCTGACCCTCTCTTACCAGCCCCAGCCGTTTTAGCAGAGGCGAAGCTACGGGCTTGATGTCAACATTGTCACCTGGGCGAACGAAGTAAAACAACCCCAATCGGTCTACATTGGTCTGGTCAGGAGGCGGCCGCACCACCCTATGCGTCGTGGATTTGAGATAGCCCGCAGACCAGAAGTCGAGTGTGTCGCCGACGTTGCAGATAATCCCGTTATCGACGGGCGGGACATACTTCCACTCCCCGCCTTGAGTCTTGATCTGCAAACCCGCGACGTTCTGACTCCAGAGCAAGGTCAAAGACCCAAAGTCGGTATGTGCTCGAGACCATGTGTTCTCCACTTGGGCGTCTTCCTCGACTGTTCGTGGATGGTAGGTCATATACCGCAAGTGATCCTCGCTCGGAGAGTCGTACTCATGCTTCGAGGAGAAATAGTCCTCGGGCAATTCGAGGATGATCGAAAAGAGCGTGAAGATCTTGCTGGCCACACGCAATGCTTTCTAGAGACTCCAATCAGCGATTCGTTCACTTGGAGCGTCTCGGGGCCATACGCACCCTTGAAAATTCTTCAATTTCTTCTCGGTAAGCGTCAAAAAACGGATGTCGCGCCTCATTGGCGTAATGTTGGGTATACTTGGCGATGTTGAATGATTCTACGATGTCCTTGACTTCAGTCGACATGATTTTCTTCTCATACGGCTGGCAAGAAAGTCAGCAGTTGCATCCTACCGCTCATACGAACCCGTCATACTAACCGCCCGGTACCCAAAATAGTTGCCGACAGTGAAGTCACATTTATATTGAGGTTGATCTTTCTCCTCTGCAGGTAGGGCAAAGAACGCTTGTCCGATGTTATACTGTCGCTGGACCTCTTCCTCGGTGAGTCCTGTTCCGACGACACTGAAAAACCCAGTTTCTTTCATCTGTTTATCGTTAGCCTCTGGCGATCTACGACGTCCATCACAAACTCACTGCCTTGCGCAATTGCTCCGCTAATCTTTCCCTTTCACCTGGAGTGTCGAAGTTCGAAATGTCAATAAGTTGGATGTCCGCCCATGGTAAGTCGACTTTTGTCTTGCTGGGCCGCTGCCACTTTCGTAGCGGAATGCGTTCGTCTCTCGTGGCGGAAGGCATTTTCTCGTTATGGCGCACTATTCCAAATTACTTCTATTGACAATATCTGATCGAAATGGGCAACTATGATATGTCGCTGGTGCTAGTATTCAACCTCACAATGCTCAGGGGCGTCATTGGGGTGGATCAGCATATTTTCGCGGGAGATGTCCGAATCACGCAATCGGAGAATGAAATGGTGTTTTCGACAATCAATCACCAAACCTGTCGTCCCCAGACCTCAGAACAGCCGATCTTACAATTTTACTCGTCAAGAGAAGTAGGGAGTCCCAACGTGATCATTTGTCTTCCGGAACTTGTCGACGACTGATCCGGTGCGCAGCCAAAGAGTCAAGGCATCGTCGAACAGGTGCTCAATGTCCACAAGGGTAGTAATTATCGATCAAGTCTGTACTTTGGATTGGGGCTCAAGATGCCCTTGAAGCCGGATCGGACTAGACATCTCACCAGGGTTAATGCAGAAACTGAATTCAACAATTTCGGTAGTCTCAGCCTTCTCACATGGAGGCCGCCGGCATAGCCTTCAACATCCCTCGCTTGGCGCATCTTTACAACCTGGAGGACTACGAACTTCTCCGAGAATAGCAGATCTTGGTGTGGATTCGTCTTCATGCTCCCAATTCCGCCATCATGGATATTTCCCTTTCATGGTCCTCTTGACGTTGTTGAGAAAAATCAAACCTGGTGATCCATAATGGCGTGCTCGAAACCCAAGTCTAATTCTCACCGCATAAGGTGGCCCCTGTGACCAATGCACACGCCATGTGAGGTTGAAAAGTCTGCTCTGTATCTTCGAACCTACTTTCAACTTCTCAGAGAGGTTTTAGACGTTCTCACAAACCACAAGTATGTCAAGGCCGCCGGAACAGTCAGTCAGTGACAAAGCCATGGAACCAACGTCCACAAATTCCCTCTCGTCGGAGGAACAGCATGGTGGGCTTCCAGGCAACCAGCTCCTCAAACATGCGCGCTCAAAGGTTGACAGACGTCTCCTGATATGGTATGCCTTCGTATACTTGATCATGAGGATCCACGTCTCCAATATCACCAACACGGCCATTATCAACCTCGAGGAAGGCACAGGAATCAAGAAACAGCTTGGAAACCTTACGAGCTCGCAATGGGCTTGGGCACTGAGTATCTTCTACTACCCGTATATGTTCTTTGAGCCGGTGGCGACGCTCGCGCTGAAGAGGTTCTCGCCTTCTCTGTGGATGAGCAGAATCATGATCACTTGGGTTTGGGCATTGCGTGACTATACCTTGGGATTGGTAGATGCTGATATTGTGGACAGGGTGTTATCTCAATGTGTCAAGGTGCTACCCAGAATTATGCAGGCATTTTGGCATGCAGGTTCTTCCTGGGAGCAGCTGAGGCTGGTTTCTACCCTGGCGTTTTGTAAGATCTTAAGTTCTTCTCGATCTACCCAACGGCTGGGTGAACATGTATTTGGCTAACTCGTGGCACAAGGTATCATCTCAGCTTCTGGTATCCAACCGACAAACTCCCTCTCAGAATTGTGAGTCTGGACTTGGCTTTTAATTTTTGTATTCGTACTTACGATGTCTAGGCGTTCTTCTACGCATGCGGCATGTTCTCTGGGACTGTCAGTGGCTTGCTCGGTAAGACATCTTTGGTATAGCAATGTCAACTACTAAAGCTCATCAATGCAGCATATGCCATATCGTTTATGAACGGAGCCGGTGGGCTTGCTGGTTGGCGGTGGGTGGGTACTATCACAACATGCGGCGTTCCTGATACTTATCTCTTCCCCAGGTCTTCATCCTCGAGGGTCTTCCCGTTTTATTTTGTGCGGTATATACCTTTTTCTTCCTGCCGAATTGTGAGTTTCAGCAGTAGCCCAGATTTTTGCTTAGAAGGTCAGGCCTGATATACTACATCCAGATCCCGAGACTGTGAAATTCCTCTCAAAGGAAGAAAAGGGGGCAATCCTAGCGTCCTTACCAGCGGAAGCACCAACCATGAACGCAAAGACGTGGGATTTCTCACAGGTTAAGAGTCTATTCAAGGACCCGACCTTTGTTCCGTTCCTCATGATATGGATCACTCACGGCATCGGAGGCTGGGGAATCTCGTTCGTCTTGCCCACTGTCATCTACGAGCTCGGAATCTCGGGAACTGCCAACTCGCAGCTGATGACGATGGTAAGTTCTGTCAAAGCTGCGCTCGATCTTACCCCGAGGCATGGTCTGATGAAGCCTCCCTTTTGAACAGCCACCGTATACAATGGTCTTCATCATCCTCTGCGGCCTTGCATACTTCATCCACACAAAGCGGCTCAGCCCGTGGGTGGCTGGGCTTGGTGTCGAGATACTCCAGATTATCTGCTATATCCTGTTGATCACGGTGAAGCACAAGGTTGCGAAGTATATCTTCGTCATGATAGCAACCGCTGCTTCTCAAAGCTTCTTTGCGATCATATGGCCAGAGCGAATACGCGCTGCTAGAGGCACGACGACTGCTGGGCTTGCGATTGGAGTGACAAACGTGAGGTTGCAGGCCTCATGCCTAGACTCCAACTGCTAACAAAATTCAGGCATCCTGCCAGCTTATGGGTATAGTGGTCAGTATATGCGGGTGATTCGAATCACCGCGGCTGTCTCAAGAATCAAGCCACTAACAACGCCAAAAGGGCCCTCAAATTTATCAATCGAAATTCGGTCCGACATATAGGGTGAGCTATTCATGCTCAATCGCACTCCTCAGCTGCACGGTAGCCTCTGTCAGCACAGCTTGGTACTTCGTGAGGAAGGGCGATAGGGCTAGAGCTGCAGCACTGGAGAGCGCCGGTGACCCCGTGTCGACTCAGCACGTCGAAAAAGCAAGCTGAAGGCGACGAGGGGGCTAAAACTTTGTCTAGAAAGCATCTTATTGCGCCTTCCAACAGAAATGCTGCCGATGTGGGTGGTATCGTAAAGGTCACGAGGGTCAAGTATTCATGACATTCCATGTCCAAATATCTAAAACGCCAAACGCCATGCATCCGTTTCGCTTACTTGCAGTCCCAATGATCCAACATAACAATAATACTGCTTAGATGCCGTGAATGGTTCTGAGAAAACATAACGTGTCGCTAGCAACGACAAGAAACCTGCAAATCGTCACAAGAACAACAAACCTGCAGAGATGACAGAGAGGAAAGGCAGAATCAATCCCAAAGGCACACTATCCCTGGCCCCTGCACTCCGTGTCCTCGCAGCCAACCCACAGCATGAATCACGGTTGTACGTGACATTGTTCGCGTCCGCGGCTACTTGAAATACGCTTCCATTGAAACTCCCGATATTGTAGTAATCCACGAGCAGGAAGGTCGGAGGGCGATTCCAGTCTCTGGTGCAGTTAAGTACACTCCACCCAGCGGAGCCGTAGCCTTCCACCGCATTGGTCTCATTCAGTAAGTTGGAAGCCGGGATATCGATGCTGATGCCTACCAGCGCCACGTCGATATTAAGATTCTGATTCATCATGAACATCCGGTCTTGGCGGTTCTCGCGAGGGCGGTCCGGAGGCCGTTGCGCCGTGCATGGGAAGTCACGGTCCGTGGGTGAGAAGGGGGTTTCCCACATTTGTGAGAATTCGTCTAGCAGCCACGGGATCTCCTCCTGGTTTGCCTCGTAGTCGAGCATGACGACCGCTCGCTGGTTGCTGAAGATCATCTCGCTTAGGGTCGGCCATGAATCGAGTGGCATTGGTCGTGTGGGCGCGGTATAGACGTAGTCGATAAGGCCGGAGTTGATGACGGGCGCGGTGTAGTTGTGCGGGCTAAGGACGTCGGAATTACCCATCAGGATGGTGACGATATCGTATGGATTGGCGCGGATCCATTTCGTCACCGTTATGAGATAGTCTTCCAGCGTTCCAGCATTAAGTATCTCGCATGAGCTGTGACACAGGTAGATGGTGTTGTTCTTGAGATGCGTTTGAAATTGAACTTCGCGGGCGTCAGCTAAGATGATAGGGCTAGATTAATATCAGACTCACGCATTCGAATTCCGTCATTAAGCTGTGTCTCGACATCGAGCATCTGATTGGCAGCTAGACTTCCTGGTCGAATAAAGGGGCTGTTATGGGCTGCAACGTGGGTGATGTTGCTATACTTGCGCGAACAAAATTCCGCGAAGCCGTTGCAAGGCACAGTGTTCGTGGGTTGTACTGAAGTTGACGTCGCGGACGCAGTAGAATTTCTAGTAGCGGTGCCGTTCAGAGAAGTTGTTGTCTTGGGAGATCCAACCAGTAGTGTTTGAGTGGCGCTCGTAGAGTTCCCTGATGCCGTGGCATTCGAGGACACAGCTGTGGCATTTGCGGTTGCTAGAGCACTGGACAATTCTGTGACCGAGCCATAGTCCGATGTAGCAGTGATACTCAGCGTGCTAGAATCGTCCTGATATGTGACTCCACTAGTAACATAGTCGGGAGCAGTTGAAGTTACTTCCGTGTTCGTCCCAGACAACGTGATTGATTGACAGAGCACTTGAAGCACAAGGGCAGCACAAACGAAAAGCCTCGATTTCATCATGGCCTGGTTGAGGGTGAGCTAAAGCACGAACGACCTTGATGTCTCACAAAGGTTGAGCCCCGCCGGTGTCTTGCTCAAGTCTTGGGCCAGGAGGTTGGATGTTGGGTTTGTGTATTGATTATAGATTCCCTGTAGTACTCCAAAAGGAGTATGGAGTATGGTAGAGGGAGACGAGAGCCCATGCTGATGATGAGCCACGGCTTGAGTAGGCCCAGGAATTTAGCTTGGGTCTCGCAGACGCATCTTGGTGGAGACTAGGCCAGGGTGGATGACAGGTGATTTACGAGGGTATCAATATGAAGACAAGTATGACGGCCACGATGACGCGTGAAATGTCTTGGAAGAAGTTTTCTGTGGCGAGTTCCAGATGGATTTTGGAATATCAACATCGATGTTTTGGCTGTATTGTCGGTCTGACCCCATCGAGATGGCAGCATCACCCTGACGAACTGTTTCTATCTCAATATGGTCTGTTTTGGCGGGTCTCCGATCTAAACAATTCCTTGTTCTCAGAAATTTCATGTCGAAGCTTGTCACGGAGTTTGGGTGGTTGAGCAGGGTTCGGCTACCCGTCGATCGGACCAGGATAAGGCTTCAGCTTTGGCACTCAGTATGGAAGCCGGGTCGCCGGAGCTCCACTTTGCTGTCGATATGATGTCAACATACCCCACTTGGATGAAAAGTTCTATCGACTGATATCCTTGGAACCGCTCTTGGAGGCAGTGCCGTTGGCAGCCACCCACATGGTGCCAATGCCGCCCAAGCCTTTCGCGGCGAAGCTGTTTTGCGAAGCTGGACATGCCGTACAAGTAGTCCGAGTCTTTGACACAATGACGCAGCCACCTGTTATTGGATGTCCTTCTGGTGTTATGGCACTTTCTTGGTCTTTGCTTAACACTACCTTCACCTACGCTCATTATCCCCTGAGGCTGCTCGAACCAGTACACAAAGGCAGCCGTTGAGGAGGTGACCTCGAGCGACCTCACCATGGGCATTTTCTCAGAATCGGAAAAACCGCGACGGGACGATGAAGTCGTTGGTTATCAAAAGCCCAAACCAACTGGACTTCGAATATTCACAGCGGTTATTTACCTCTTGGCCCTGGTATTTCTCATCCTAGTTGAGATTGGAAATATCAACACCAAAGCAGTCATTCGAGATATTTACTTCCTCCGGATTGACCTTGCCAACATTATCCCGGCTTCAGTACCAAACGCCGTTTTCATCAACTCCATCGCCCGATCCATCGGATTACACGATTTCTACCAAGTCGGGCTCTGGAATTTCTGTGCAGGATATGTCGGTCAAGGCCTCACCGATTGTTCGCCGACAAAGACCCTGTACTGGTTTAATCCTATCGAAATCATCCTCAACGAGCTCTTGGCCGGCGCCTCAATCACTCTACCTACCGAAATTGTCGATGTACTGGATCTAGTCAAGCTAGCCAGCTTTTGGATGTTCTCATGCTTCCTTGTCGGAACCGTCCTGACGTTCCTCTGCATCTTCCTCGCACCTCTAGGGTTCTCCAAGAAACCACGATGGCAGCACAAGGCCCGTCGGATCTTCTTCCGGCAGTTGCCAATCACCATACTCACTTTTGCATCATTACTGTTCACGGCCGCGGGCTCGGTTATAGCAACTGTCATGTTTGTTATCTTTAGAGACAAGGTCTCGGTTGCGGAGGACCTAAACATTTCTGCGAGTCTGGGCGTACCCATGCTAGCGTTCATGTGGATAGGTACCGGGTTCAACCTGATTGGATTCGTGATGCAAGTCGGTACTTGCTGTGGTGTCTGTTGCTGTACAGGACGCAAGAAGGCTGTCAGGAAAAGTCAGAATCAGACGGCGCCGGTCGTTGAACCACGAGAGAAGGAGTCGACGAGTAGCTCGTCCAGATCTCCTGGTCGATTTGGATTTCGGAAACGCTCTCGCTAATTCCTTCTTAGTGCTTGAGATCATCATTTCGGCTGTGTCTGCATTTGTGGTTACGCAGCCACTTCCCGAAGATTATAATTACGCCTGAAACTGCGTTCCTGCATGATTCCTTTTCTAAGACGAGCATTATTAGCAGCGCGATGGAGCACAGGCGTCGGCATATGGCTACGATATGAGCGATCGATTTTATGCGTGTTTAGAAATGGTCTTGTACAAGCTAAGTGCATGGAACATTTTATAGTATCCTAAACGTTGCCCCGAGCTTCATTCATATCCAAGATTCAGTCCCTCCCTGGGTAGGATTGACAGTGGCAGGCAGACGGCTGGGTAGAAAATCTCCCGCTGTGTGCTCGACCGGTCCGTGGTCCTGTAGCCGACCCACATCTTCGTCTTGCGCAGTTTTGATGACCAGGTGGGCGCGGTCCTTCTCCTCGATCACAATGCCACCGCCCTGGGCTTGAGCCATGAGCTTATCACTTGCTCTGGTTCGCTGTCCGCTCTCCTTGTTCCAGACCCAGCCTTCCTTCATCCATACCCAAGTCAAATAAGCTCGTAGCTCTTTATCCAATGGTACAACTCTTTTCCATTCAGGTTCAAAGCTGTTGGGATCTTGGCTGTCCTCACCATTCCAGCTACTTGAGAGGCCTCGCAATTTGTCACGACAGAACATGCGCCAGCTGTCATGCGAGTATGGCCCAAGTCCAGGAAGGTGAGAGATCTCCCAAGCAACACGTGAATCATGATCACCAATCATGTCGCCCTCCTTGACGTCTCTTCCATCGCCTCTGTTGGGATAATTCAGTTTCCTGTATCTCTTTCCAAATTCCGGTGGCCGTTCAATCCAAACTCGGGCCATCTCCACACACTTTCGCGCACGTTGGTTTTGAAACCCAAGCACGTATATGATATTGGTGATATCGCTAACTTCTGCCGAAGCAAGGTCCGAGGGTGTAGGAAAGCGATTCATCAACTGGTAGAATATGGGCATCGCTCGCTCACCAGGGGTTTTGTTCAGGAGGATTGTGGCAATAAGTAGCCGAAAAGGGTCATGAGCGAGGCGTTCTTGCATCAGACCAAACGTCTTGTGTGCAAGTGGAGGGAATGGGAGGGTGGAAAGAAAGGTTGGGCGGTGCTTAGGAGGGTGCGGAAAATAGGGAGACTTGGTTGGGCTTCGGATCACCTTTTTGAGGCTCACTTTGACCTCCCCGGTCTCGACATCAGGGATTAACTCGGGTGTATTCGAAGGTGTGAACTGGTCAGGGGCCTCATCAAGGTCATCGGGAATATCGGTGAGGCTGGAGTCTGAGGAGAAATCATCGATATTGTAGCCATAGTAGATCCGGGGTTGCGGTTGAACTGGAGTAATTGGATGCGGCGCTGGTACCGGCTTAATATCACTCGAATCCTCTTTAGGCTGTTTGAGTCTCCTTTTCTTTCTGTTTGCGGTTTTCATGGGCACCTTCTCTTTCGACCTATCTTTCACAAAATGTCTCGAGACGTAAGTAATCTGTTGTCTCTTTGATGGGCTTTTCGTCTTCTGTCTCGGTGCGCCGAACGCCACTCCTGGCGAAGAACCATCATTTTCCGAAGGACCGTCATGATCATCAATCATTCCCAGATCACTGGGAGAGATGATAGGTTGCGTAGGCTCTGAGAAAGGTGACGACGGCGGAGAGAGACGCTCGTCTTCGCTCGTGGTGCAGAGAAATGGAGTCGATGAGGTCATCGTTGACGAACACGCGTTTCGTGAACGCGACGCGCCTCACGAATTCACTTTGGAATTAGCAGGCAATATCAACCCTTGCAAAGGAAGATGTTGGAGGCATTCTCCAGTGTTTTCATGAATACAGAGTAGGATCCTGAACATAATGGGTAGATTTCAAGCTAAGGAATCTCCTAATCAGTCGCTCGCGCTTTATTGTCACCTCAACTCCTTGCAGGTGGTTACAAGACTAGGATGCCGATTCCTGCTCACAATCAACTACGAGCTAATATCGCATGCCTGCCAGCTTGTCACAGGAGCCATGCCTGTTACTGAGTTTAGCATGCGTTATATGATGATATAATGACCCGGATCGATAGGTAGGACGCCGCTTTTGGAGGTTTAAACCGATCAACTGGGGACGCGAACTCATGTGAGGCACATTTTGGCGCAACCTGCAAAAACTACCTACATTCGCCTTGCAACACTCGGTATTCTACCTGGATATCTGACAGTATGCAGTTAATGCAGCTGTGTCGGTGTTTCAGCGAACCACAGCGAACATCACAGCGTTGGCAGAGAGAGGTAAGATAACATCCTCGAACTTTGTGCATTCGGTGGGGAAATTAATCGGCTATTCCGCAGCTATCTCATATTATTTCGTTGTGACTTGCCACCTTCGGAATTGCAGGTGCCAAGAGCAGGCTGACATGGCACGTATCGGCAATACCCAATTCAAGCACCGAAGTCATTGACCAGCGCAGCACCTCAATTCGAGAATGAATAGCCCCGTCAAGTTGGACGCGCCGCGTTTGTCACAGGACTAATCGACCCTTGTACCAGCTCTCAACAGAGTGTGTTAAAATCTGCATTTATCACACCATTAATCACATCAGCTTAAATTCTTCGCTGGCGTGGAACTAGTCACCATTGTTGAATTGCAATATCGTGACAATGCCGCTCTGCAGGCGTCAGGTACTCCAGCCAAAGAATCTTTAGGATGCCGAAGACGAAATCAATGAGGACTTTTGCTGGATGCTGGACGTGTCGGCGTCGGAATGTTCGATGCGACAATCTGATGCCCAAATGCTCACCGTGTAAGCGCTCACATCTAGTCTGTGAAGGCTATAATATCCGGTTAGCTTGGGTCGACTCCGTCAGTGGAGAGTATGAGCCATACCGACGGAGGTCATATCCGGCCCATCTGACGTGGGCAAATCAACCGAGATGGTCTTCTAGAGATATTGACCATTTGATCAGTCAATGTGACGTGGGATACTGCCAGTGTCGCCTGCATAAGTCGCAAACTCCCTTCTCATCATTCCAGCGCTCCGGCAGGTCGGAATTTGGCATTGATAACCAGAGTGGAAGGACATCATTCCTGCCTATTTTAGTCGTACAACCCTGTGACGAACACAGTTTACTGAGTGGTGAATATTCAACTCCGAATTCTAGCGACACAGGAGAAATCGGCATTGTCATATTTCCTGAATTTGAACCCGCAACGTCCACAAGTGTTCGTGATTCACATATTCCAGAGGGCCGAGACAGGGGCATTGGTCTATCGAAGGTATCCCACGAAGCAAACTTCAGCGACCTTTTAGACAACGGCGAGTCCTGTCATGAGACTCAATATTCACATAGATATGGGATCCCGAGTATAGTTTCCCTGACACAGATGACAGGGAGGAGCTCTGACGAGATGCGGTTGCTCCATCACTATGTTTCTCATGTTTCAACTCTTATGGTGCCAGTCGATAGCACAAGCAATCCATGGAAATCAACATACCTAGCAATTGGGTCGCAAAAAACAACATCGGCAGCACGCGCGCTATATTCAGCCACCCTGGCGCAAGCTGCTCTCCACCTGGCTCACTTGAAGGGGCCTGTACGAGGGAAATACGAAACAGCACTTGCCGTCCAGTACATTGGATTGGCAATTGGTGAACTTCGGCAGAGTTTGTATCTACAAACGGATGATTATACTAGCGTTATGGCCGCGCTTGTGACGCTCATCTCGGTACAGCATATCTTTCAGAACAACTCTCATGGTTGGCGGGACCACTACCGAGGCGCTCTCGGTATTGTGTCACAGTATCTGAACAAAAGACCCTGGTTGCTATCGTGGGATGCTTGGATCGTCACTCAGAGCCTTGTTCTCGGTATCATTTTTGCAGGAACAGCGAACTGTTCGCCCACTGTCATCAATAGCGACAGCTCCCAAGTACGCGTTTTACTGATGGATGTGATGACTGAACCTCAGTTTGGATGCACGGTTGGTGGCAATGCCCGTCATCTTGAGGCGATCCATAGGATCCGCATGCTGGAAGAGGAGATCGCGCGGAGCGGAGGCCCAAAGACCATTCAATCTATGAACCCAGAAATCCTCGAACAAGTTTGCCAAATCATTCAATGGGTGCAGGTCCTACCGACCTGTGAAGAGGGCCCTCCTACACCAGATCAACTTATTGACCAGGAACCCGCGTCACTGGCGCAATCACTTGTCAAGCTCCATTCGCAGATCTTTGACGGAGCTGTCATGATCCATTTGTGTCGCGTGGTTCTTCAGCGTCCACCGTCAGCAGTGGCAAGCTATGTGCTTCAAGTGCTCAGCAGTGTCATTACTTTTATTGGCATGGGTGGTGGTCATGTCTCCGCCTGGCCAACTTTCATAGCAGCTGCAGAAGCTTGTACGGATGAAGCTCAAGCATTAGCGATCAGATATTTCAACCACAGTGAGATGTCATTCGCGGGCAATCGTGTGGATATCTACCGCGTTGCCCGTCAAGTTTGGGCGGATCGTGATGCGTTAGCCTTGCAACGGCACTGCAGCCCCGGTGACATCCAACTCGACTGGCGAGACGTCATGGCGAAACTAGGCATAGATATACTGCTGCTTTAGAACATTTACAAAGTTGATGCAAAACTATCGGATTTACTTCATCATTAATTACTATTGCACCCCAAAACTTGCAACCTGATCGGCGGATGGAAAGTCTGGGGTAAACAAGGGGGACCCAATCAATTGTCAACGCCACCGTTACAAGCGAGCGAACAACTTGCGTTTTCCAAGAGCCGCAATTTCCCTTTGGCTTGAATTGGAACGCCAACCGATTCTTTGAGCATGGCGCCGGAGTTTCCTGTTTTCTGGAGTCATCTTCTCTTCTTCTTGCTCTTCATTTCAATGTTTCGTCCTTGCGGCCCGATGATTTCGTCGCCCCTATGAAATGAGCATCTAGTCACCCCGTTGGTTCTCTGGCCCTCTTCACAGCCATGACCGAAGCGGACAACAACGCAGTGGAAACTGCGCGAACTGCCACAATCCGCCGCAAACCTGTCCCTGTGTCCCAACCTACCTACCCCTCTCCCAAAAAGCCAACGTTGATCGAACGATGGAAAGGTCTCTCGAAGAGAAATCGGATTATCATTATCTCTGCGGTCCTCGCCCTCCTCATCCTCATTATCGGCCTTGCAGCTGGTCTTTCTACGCGCAGGAAAACCCAGAATCTACCACTACCTTCCGGACGAGGCGGGCCATACACAGGAGATCTTACATACTACGATCCTGGCCTCGGCGCATGCGGAGTTACGTCGAGCGACGGCGACAGAATTGTGGCGGTTTCGCATCTTGTCTTCGATGCGGTGAGCACAGGAAGTAATCCCAATGCCAATCCGCTGTGTGGGAAGAAGATTCGGGCGAGGAGAGACAATAAAAGCGTAGACTTGACTGTCGTTGACAGATGTACAGGCTGTCAGCCAACAGATATTGATGTCACCATCGATATTTTTGGCATGCTTGCAGATGTCGATCAGGGCAGAGTGCTCGTTGAATGGAATTGGCTCGAGGATGTCCCTGCAAATGCTCAGGGTGGATAAACAGACGGACCGACGGTCTCAGCATGGGAAGCGTCCACCTGGAAAACGAAACTGCATATCCTCAATCCCAGTATACTTTGAAGCTGCATACACGCCTCCCGGGGCTTCTGGGTCTTTCAGCAGGCTAGAGATTTGTCACGTACCAAGCTCCAATGGATTGTCCCCGGTTATCCTCCGAGTAAATCAAAGCTCTATACTCCTCGATTTTGCCCCAGATCCGTCAAGATATGCAAGTCGGCATACTAGAACGCCCGACGAGATTCATACATCCGACCACAACTCTGCCTCGTACACAAGTTCGCCTCGTGTACTTGTTAAACACCGTCGATTTTACAATTATTTTATGAGCCGCCACCTACGATGAGAAGTCCGCAAAATTGTCATAAACAATGGAGATGGACGCCGGCGCCATGGAGATGCGCGTCGCCATAGTTCTCATAATATCCACAATATCTCTGAACAGCCAGCACAGTCCTGCATACCATCATATGGTGTCAAAATTGAGGTCTTGTGTGTTCTTGGAATCTCTGAAGCCCGAACCTTACCTTGTCGAGTGATCTGATCTACTCCTACGAAACTGCAGAAGAGATAACAGCGTCATGTCCATAGTTGCATTAAGCGGAGATCAACAGTATGCGCACCACGTGACCTAGCCAACATCCACTACGCTTTGTTGTACATTTACTAAGAATTCCTACAGCTCGAGTGTCAACCTCGACATCCTCCACGATATCGCGGCCAAAAACAACTTCCGAATAGCCAAAACGGACGAAGAGGCATTCCTGCTAGCTTTACAATCAGCGGATGTGACGGCCGCGAACGTCGATGTATTGCCTGATTACATTGACCCGCGCCTCGCACCGGTCCCCACGGTCGGCGGCGCGCGGCAGTATCGCAAAGCAAAACAGAACAGCCTCAACGCGTGGAGCCACGAGGCGGAACTCGTGGCCGCAAATCCTACTTCAGATGCTTTGAAAGGCCGCAAGATCACGATCAAGGACAACGTCGCGGTCGCAGGACTGCCGCACACGTGCGGGACCTTCCCCCAATTCGTGTCCCACGATCGTGGCAACAGGCATCCGATTGCTGTGATCGATGCAACGGTTACGCGTCGCGTGCTCGAAGCCGGTGTCGTCGTGGCAGGTACCTCGACATGTGAGAACTACTGTCTGATGCCGCTGTCCTACAGCAGCGTCAACGGCCCGGTGCACAACCCGTGGCTCCGAGGCTTCAACGCGGGTGGCAGCACGAGCGGTGGCGCGGCTCTTTTGGCACTGGGACCTGCGCGCGCTGCTGGCGTGCTAGGGCTAGAAAACGCCGGTGAGGATATCGAGCTCGCCATTGGCGGGGACCAGGCTGGAAGCATTCGCGTCCCTGCTGCATATTGCGGCGTGTATGGCTTGAAGCCCACACATGGCCTCGTCCCTTACACGGGAATCGCAGGCCTGCACCCCATGATTGACTTCACGGGCCCGATGGCGAGGAGCCTCGAGGATATCGCCACCTTGCTCACCGTGATCGCTGGGTATGATGGTTTGGACGCGCGGATGACCCCCGAAGCTCCTCTCAGGCAGAGTGTCCTAGACTACGGCAACGCGCTGAAATCCAGTCAACAGCCGGGGAAGGGCTTGAGAGTTGCCATCATCAAAGAGTCACTCGACTCACCCGGCACGCAAGCGGACGTGGCAGAAGTCGTCCGCGCAGCAGCAGTCAAGCATTTCGGGGCCAGTGGAGCAGAGGTTTCTACCATTTCGCTGCCGATGCATCTGCTTGGCCCAGCTATCTGGACCGCAGCGACGAGAAACCATCTGGCTCGGTTGGCCGTTGGGGGACGCATCCCGGATATACTCAGCCACAACATCCCGCACTTGTCGTTGCGGTGGCCACCCGATCAAGAAATGTATGATCTCCTGCGCGTCGCGAACCCCGCGGTGATCAACATCATCCTTACCGAGACTTTCCTGACGGAGAAATATGGGGCGGAGGTGCAGGCCAAGGCGCATCGGCATGTTCTACAGTTGAGGGCTGCTTACGACAAGGTATTGGAAGAGTTTGATGTGCTTGTCACCCCCACGACTCCAACCGTTGCACCGCCCCTGCCAGACCCGCGACTGGAGGAGGACGGGGGGAGTACCGTTATGGATAAATTCAAGCTCGTCGTCGGCACTACGAATCACACTGCACCATTTAATGTCACGGGCCATCCGGCCTTGAGCGTGCCTTGCGGCTGGGCTCCTTCACGCGGCCACGAAGGCATGTTGCCTGTGGGCATGCAGATCATTGGGAAACGCTGGGATGACATTGGGGTATTGAAAGCTGCACAGGCGTTTGAGCTTGGTGGTGGTGGCCTCGGAGAGTGGCCAGGACAACCATCAAGCATTTCTACCTAGGTATGCAGTCTGGAACACGAGTTCAAGCGGAGAATGAGACTAAAAGAGTTCCCGACGATCAAGCGTGCACGCGAACTGACGGCATCGTTTGTTCACGCACAGTAGGTGCCGAACCCGTACCGGCTAGTAAGTACCTAGTAGTACTCGTAGTCATTCGAGGCAAGACAAGCCGGGTTATTCGGCCAAGCCAACGAAGGCGAACATATCCCATGCCGCAGATGCAGCATGCTTTCCAGACCCACTGCTATTGAGGAGAGAGTAGCTACTCAGAACCTTGGGAGGAACCTTGGGAGGGACAATTGTAATCGGAAAAGGTAAGCCGAGGCTTGGGATTATGCCAATCTTGCCCCTCCCTCGTACGTCATAAACCACAATGATGGGCTGTTTTGCTCCTTTTTTGTGAAGCTGTACCACTGTGTGGTGTGTTCCAGTGCGTAAACGGCATGATGTTTGACAGTCACGCGCCAAGCCTCGGACCCAAAGGAGTACGCGGCCCAGACGCCAGACAAGAAAAATGGGCATAGTGATGATATCATGAAGAGGCTTGTCAAAGGGAGGCCTTTCCCCCATTGCGCCCAAGTGAACAGACTTACCTAGTGTATTATGTTAATGTGACATGACTACTGCTGAGAATCGAACGGAGCAGTCTCCGATGATTCATCATGGTACCATCGTTTGAGGCTATCTTTGTTGATGGCACGGAGTATGCTGTACGGGTAAGAAGAAAGCTGGGCGTTGGCTGGTGTGCTGGGGGGATGATGTGCGACCAGGGCGAAGCTCCGAATGTTTCGATAACGCGGGGAAGCACACCAGGGGGTGTCATGCCAAATCGAGACTGGAAAATCACAGTTTGGGTCCAACACTGTCCCTGCAATGGGCATTTGGAAAGTCGGCCATGCGCTTTGCCCTTTCCCATTTGTCCCCCTCTTCCTCGCTCGGTCCATACCGTCTAGTAACGTTTCCCATGCAGACCGTGTCCAAGATTTTCCTTGCTTCGCGTAAGCTTGCATAGGAAAGAAGAAAAACAGATTTCCGTGTCACCACTATGCAGCATTTGCTTCATGGCCGGGACAATTATTGTCACAGCTCAAGCGGCTGTTTTCTTCCGCGGCTCTGAGTGGGGAGCCAGATTGGTAGCAGGTTCCCGTAAAGCAGGTCCCCGTAAACAGACGGGAAGCTCACACATGCCATTGGGATGCTGGATCGGCGCTGCAGTTGTGATGCCCAATGAATTCGTCGCTCGGGTGTCTGCTCAGCAAGATTGTGTCAAGCTATGCTTCAGATTCAACCGTGCCACAAAGCTACCAAGTGGTGCAAAACAGCCCAACCGCGGATGATTGGCTCCAGGTGCCTGGACAAGCCTGTGATTGTCTTGTTTCGACCAGATATTCGTCATTGACTTGCTCTTCATCCTTCCACGTCCCCTTCCCCGAACACTGCTAGTGGCTTCCAACACTGCCCACCTCTTTGCCAAGTTTTTGTGATGTTGCCATGCTTCAGCCTCGACGTGGTTCGGCTGCTTGGATTGTGGTCTGGCTCCACAACCATACCAGTCTGGCTGCGACGGCAACTCCGGTGGAGCTTGATCGAGGCGAGAAAGAGTTCTTGATCAGCAACGAAAGCTAGGCAAGGTCGCGAGGGGTGGCAAGGCAATTGTTTCGAGGGATTCTCTCAAATACTTCCCGAGTCCAGCTTCTCGTGACGGGAGATCTTCTTCTTCTGTCCATTCATATATTTTGTGAAGTCACCTACCAAACAAACCCTTCTCCAGCCGCAGAGATCGATTATCGCAAACCCGTCTGTGACGATGTTGTTCAAGGGCTTGACACTTGCCGCCCTGGCTGGCGCAGCGATTGCCCAAGAGGCCACACCTGATCTGGTGACGCTGTTGAGCAACCAGACCGAGCTCTCGAACCTCACCAGCTACCTACAACTGTTCCCTGACTTCACTGGGCAGTTGGGCGGCCTCCAGAACATCACCCTCCTAGCGCCGAACAATGCTGCGTTTGCCAACTTGTTGAACTCGTCCGCGGGAGCAGCGCTCACCAACGGCGACCAGGACATGATCACCGCTTTGTTTTCCTACCATGTTATCAATGGCACTTATGCCAATCTCAGCGAGGCGGCATTTGTACCAACCCTCCTTCAGCCACCTCAATTCACCAACGTGACGGGTGGACAAGTTGTCAGCATTTTTGAGAGTGACGATGTGACCACCTTCGTCTCTGGCCTGCTCAGCACCGCCAACTTGACCGGAGAGCCACTGAATTTCACCGGCGGGGTTGTCCACATCGTCGACAATGTCTTGTTGATTCCTCAGAACGTTTCCGAGACGGCTACTCAACTCAACCTCACCGCTGCTGCCGGTGCTCTCACCAACGCCAGTTTAGTCGACTCTGTTGATTATCTTGAGGATGTCACTATCTTCGTCCCCAACAACGAGGCTTTTGCTGCCATCGGATCTGCCCTGCCCAATTTGACCATGGAGCAGCTGACTGCGATCCTGACTTACCACGTTATCAACGGCACAGTTGCGTATAGCAATATGCTCGAGAACGGAACATCGTACCCCACCCTCCAGGGTAACAACGTGACTGTGACCATAGAAGATAACGGCGATGTCTTCGTCAACAGTGCCAAGGTCGTGATCCCCGATGTCCTTGTAGCCAACGGTGTGGTTCACGTTATCGACAACGTTCTCAACCCCGAGAACTCAACTGCCACTGCGCCTGCAGATGACTCCGAGTCGGGCACACCTGCATTCGAGGGCGCTAGCTCTGCCAGTGACGTCCCATTCACCAGCGGTGCCCGACAACCTACCAGCACCATTGCAACTGAGAATGCCCCACAAGCAACATCCTCTAGCAGTTCTGGTCTTGCTGCTCCTTTGCAAACCGGTGCCATGGGTGCTGCCGCTTTGTTCGGCGGTGCAGCAATCTTCATCAACAACATGTAGACGAGACACAGGTGAATGATTGGAAAGCGAACTGAGGTGGAGATAGCAGATTGACGTGGCAAGATGGTGGTTGATGTATGGACCTGGCCTTGCATGAGAAGAAGTTATCGACGGGAAAGGTGGGGTGGATGATAGGCGTGTTTCGGGTGTGGGCTGGCGCGTGCCTTCCCTGGACTTCCCCAGATCCACTCGCGTCTGCGACCAACACCACTACCAATACTTACGGAGTACTAAATACTATCCCGAGTAGTAATGCCTAGTATCTAGTTTTGTGAAATATGTACGGATTCTGAGATCCATAACAGGGCATCAATACTATCATCTCTCAACTTTGAACCTTTACGCACCGTTTATTTTCGTGCTCGATGAGATGGTAGGGCGGGAGCCCCTCCTGCACGAATGGGTGAAGCAGATCCTTCCTTCCCAGACTAGGAAGGTGAGGCGGAGCCAGGCATCTTAGTGGTACTAGTGCGGCTAGTGCTGCTAGCGCTCCACTCTATCCGCCTGTGATTGGAGGGCCCGCCCTTAGTTTCGTGCCAGCCACTTTCTGCCCAACTTGAAAGGATCCCCAATACATCACCAGATCTGAGCCACCGCCCTGCTCTGCCTGAGCCAACTGCCAGTGGTACGGAGTGCTCGTCCTCAAACAACGCAACACACGAACAACTTCTCTCTTCTGTCAATCTGTCAACTGTACAGGGCATGCACTTCCACCTCCTCCCTTCAGATTCTAAATTTGGCTGTGATATGCGGGTCTTCCTGTCTGCTTAAGCGCCCTGCTTCTTCTCGCTTTCTCCAGCGTCTCCACGACCAAGCCATCACGTCCATCCTCTAGCCGCCCTGGTGCGGGAACCTGCTCCATCTTCCCTCCCGCCCGCCTTTGCATCATGCAACCTGCCGTCTCACACAATGCCTTCCAAGATCAGAGACAACAGCCCCGAGCGGCGGAGGGAAAAGAAAGATGCCTCCAAATCGGGCGAGAGGAAAGACAGAGACAGAGACAAAGGCAGAGAGAGACACCACAAATCTTCGTCCCATCGCAAGCCTTCTACAAAAGAAAAGGCCTCATCTCGGACCTCCTTGTCTCCAGCCGACTCTAAAAGACGCTCATCCATGCCTGGAGTCGTAGTCGACGATGTCCCCCCGAAGAATGACTCCAAGTCGAGCCTCCCGTATCCAACCTTTTCGAAGGAGCATAGTCGTGAGGCGGTGGCTCCCCGCGCTGCTCTAAACATCCTGACCCCTGCCACCACTGATGTTGATGCCTCCAAAGACCGGCTATCTACAGCTAAACATAATGCACCTCCTAGCCCACCACTGACCGACCAGAACTCGACTGCAGGGAAATGGAAACCCAGCCCAGGCAAACCCATATTGACCGAGACAATACCAGAGGAAGAGAAGGACTCTAGCAGCAAAGATTCCAAAATCAGGATCAGGCTGCGGCAGCAAACTTCCAAAGCAAATGGCCATTTGCGTACCAACTCCGACGTGGGTACCAATAGCTCACCGACAAGGAGACCTCGCGAGCACACTCCTACCAGAGAAACACCTCTCAGGCTCGCCACTGCGCCCCAACGATCTGTGAGCCAGCCTATTAGACTAGATTCGCCAGCCACGACTACGAGTACAGCAGGTTCGGGCACGAATATCAGCTCCGAAGCCACTTCTATCGCCCCCGAGCAAGTAACGATCCAACGCCCAGGATCCAAAGTGCAATCTGCTCAAAATATACCCGATGGCCCCATCGTCTCGCAATCTCGAGGAGTTACACCGCTTGAGGTCTTTATTGAAGAGGACTCACCTTCTCTGCTACGGGCTACTCCGGGCACAGGCATAACGTCTTTCACCCCAGGGCCTCCTCCACCACCTCCCGCTCCGTTGCCCGCTGTGGTTCCCAAGGTGGATTATCTTCTTCAACATGGTGGGTTGCATCAAACAGTTACTAAGAATCTCCTCCTGGCTGGAAAACCGATGGCAGTTCAGCAGGCTCAGAGTCCTGGCCAGCAACCCATTGTCGTGGCAAACCTCTTTGAGCCATATACATCACTTCTCGACAACTATGAAAAGGTTATGGAAAAGAACGGGTCTTTGGCCGTTGCAACTGGCTACCGCTCGGTAGCTAGGAGGCTTTTAGATCGCCTGGAGGCTGTCTTTGCTCGCGATATATCCAGCGAGAACTGCTTTTGCCCCATGTGTGGTTCAGAGTGGGATCGATCGGAGGACGTGCGCGGAGTCAGCTGGGGAGAGGTCCTGGAATTCGTATGTGGACGCAAGGATTTGCCCGCCTGGCCTCCTTTTACCTTCACCCAGTCGCCCGTAGGTCTCGGGATTTCTCTTGAATTTCATGTTCCAATGCAAAAGCTGGACATTGATGTACCCGAAGAGTATCGAGAGCATTACGTTCGACAATCTCGCAAAACCAAACAATCTGTGGACAAGTGGCTGAGTCGACAGACTCCGGGAGATGTACCCACTTCCCCGCCTGAAGAAGTCGACGACGAGACTCTAACTTTTGCTATCCTAACACACCTTCCTGCAGACCAAAGGCCGGCATTCAAAAATCTGTTGGGTATAGTGGACAAGCCAGTTGAACCCCCACGCAGAATCCCAACCCCTGAACTCCAAAATGGCGCCACACGTCCTCAAGAACCCGCAAGAACTCCAACTCCGGCTCCACGCTCGACACCCGAACACGTTGTCGTCGCCAGCCAGGCAATCAAAAGACTTTATCGTTTGAGCTCTTCACCTCGTGACTGCGAAGCGGCTCTGTTCCTCTTGCATAACCCAACCCTACACAACACACTAGCTACGCTGGCTGCAATCAGTCATGATGAATGGGACATATTGATTTCTGGGCGCTTTGATGGCTTCCTGCGTTCTGGAGCTGACGAGAATTTCCCTCCTCCAGATCCTGTTCCCTCTCGAGGGCAAACACCACTTCGCCCGCCAACACGGGGACTTACTCCGGGCTATAACCAGTCAGCGTCAAGTCTTGGTGGTGTGCGCTCAAGACAAGGAAGTTATAATCAGTCAGCTTCAGCAACGTCTGGTGCTCCTATTGCGTTCGACGAGGAGACCGAACTTGCGACCTTGGCTGAGATCGAGCGTGATGTATATACTGGTATGGAAGCCCTTGAAGATGCTTTTGAAGCTCTTCATCAAAAAGCAGAAGTCGTAAGACGAGCTTTAAGAGAACGAAGTGCCGGTCTCGCGGCAGCTGCTCAGCGAAGACGTGGCACTGGTATTGAAGTTCGAATGGGAACACCTGCCAGTGTAGTCGGTTGCGAAAATGGATATACGAGATGGGATGGCGAGACAGATGATGGACTCGGTGATTGGGATGCCGTTAGCGACATTCAACCGGATGATAGCGCGAGCAACATATCGAGTTCAAGGCGACGGAGACCCAAACGGAGAAATGAAAGAAGAACACCAGCGCTAATTGAAGAGGAAGATGAGTTCGAGGGGGAAAGTGAGGGTACTCAGAGCCCAAAGAAACCAGGTTATAGGTGATTGAGCCATGCCGTGCCTTCAGGGGTATGGTGGTTGCATTTCCGTTTCGAGGAAGAAGAACACGAATGAATTGACGCATAGCGATGTGCTTTGAAATTGCACTTGCATTTAGCCGGGATCAGGGACCAGCATGAGGGAATGGATGGATGAAGGGATGGATATCAATTCCTTTGATATTGTTTTACTAACCAGTTTTACCAATGCTGGAGAGGTTCGATTGAGCCGGTGCTTTCTGACGCGGGCAGTGGGCAACAAGCCACTCCTGGTGCTATTAGCTCTGATAGTGATAGTAGACTAGAGCATCAGTACACCCAGTACAGAGTACAGCAGGACAGAGTTCTAAGCTGAACATAGGTGCTCACGGACTGGGCTTTTCTAAGACATAGAAACACACTGTTAATCCCTTGAGCATGGAGTCCCTGTCAAGGCACACCGTCACGTGTAGCCCAGCTCTGAGCAGTAACGAGGCTGAGCACGGCACATTCCACTTCGGAACGTGCTTCAATAACGACCACGTCGTGCCCATCTCCCTACCCGTCCTCTACCATCTCCTTCGCTTTCTCTGACCAGCAAAAGTTCGGAGGATGCATCAGATTGGATGAGAAAGGACATCAATAGCATCTTCGGCAGTTCAAATGCACAATTGTCCATCCGTAGCTTGAGAAAGCATTCTCGGTCGTCGGCTCCCAACTTCGCTACCGAAAAACAAGGGGCGTCTTCCTTCCTTGAAACGGACTTGTTACGACGTATGGTGTACCAAAATAAATCAGATGATTGCAAAGCAAGTGATTTTAAACTACTCGAGTTTGTTCGCAAGGCTGGCCAAATTTGGATGGGAACGCCAAAATACACCTGGCTGCCATGCCCCAGCAACATTTCACGCATGGGTTAGCCGTTGTCTGCTTGAAACTGAGGTATCACGCAAGCCTAAATACAGTAAACAGTTACCCTAAGCTTTCGAGACTGTGTACTCTCGGCTCGCAGAGCAGGGTGTTGTCGAAAATAATAGTTTGGGTATATACACAGCTATAAGAGTGGATCCTATCGAACTCTATGAGGCTGCTTTCACTTTGGTGGCAATGCATGGTGATCTCCACGCCATACATTTGATGGTCATCTACCGGCCCTTAATCAGCTATCTAAATAATTTATATTCTGACGTATTTGAGGCTTAGGCTACGCACGCGGTAGGTCTACCTACTCGTAAGGCGAAGCCGCAATTACGCCAAATGGATAGAGGGTTCTGGCTGTCACTCAAAGACCTTAAACTCCAGAGGGCAATGTTGAAGGAGTATTTCCTCTCAGCAGCATAAGCAGCTCGCGGCCAAGGGCCAAATGTTTGTCACGATTGGCGAGGAGTAGTAAGGCGAGCCATTACCACAATCAACAGAAGTGAAACATCTCAAACGTCAAACCCCACACAGGCTGGCATTGCACCTTTCAAAACGATTCTCGACCTCGGGCCAGACAATTTCCCACTCGGTGCATCAAACCTTTGATATCCAAGCATTCAATGAGCCGAGGAGATCTTGCAAGGATTAGAGTTTTGCTGGGGCAAAGCAAGAGAGGGGAGCCTATCATTTTCCACACACTGACACCGCCAACGATAGTCAGACGGCGTGGTCCCAGTTTTGAGTATATCATACGGTCGACATCCAGATACTTGGGTATTTTCTATATTTCTACTACAATTCAGTCGAGATACACGTTGCATACCTAGGTATTTAGTCTACCTACACCAACAAAACTGGCCAACTTGACCAGAGAGTACTCCAACCTGTTTATCGTCATTGAATCGAACAGCAGCAGCCAGGAATGCCGCTCGAAGGGAGATGCAACTGCAGGCGCATCACCGTGTCCATCAGCGATGAGGTCGCCAACACCAAACCGTCCGCTTATTGCCATTGTGCAAACTGTCGGCGGCAGAGCGGTGCCGGTATGTTGCATTCATGCATTTCTCCTTTCCGTTTCTTGAAGTCAGAGTCATGTTAGAAAGCTGACTGGCACAATTTGGCGACCTGCGTTTAGTTGGAACGGTTGTTATGGCTGTGCCAGAGGCCGATGCTGTCGTAAGTGGTAGCCCGAAGGTGTATGAGGACAAGGACACCGATTCTGGCACGCCAGTCAATCGCTGGTTCTGTGGGGATTGCGGCAGGTGGGTGTGAACTGGTGACGGCGTTGAATCAAGTTCTTCTCCCGACCTCTGTCGTCTGGACCTGAGATTGGCAGCTCGGGGATTTATTGGTGTTACCTTGTACAAACTTGCTAATATAGGACGCATTTGTTGTTCGACTCTAGCCCGATAATGTCCATAACACCTGTATTTCCGGGCGTCAAACTCATCAAAATGGGCCTCTTCGACACCATTCCCCGTCCGGCCGTGGAGGTCTACTGCAAGAATAAGCAGGCGTGGGATAGCCAGGTCGCTGATGCGGCGCAGGTCAATGGTGCAAGTTGAGTTTGAGATTGGATTTTGACCTTAGTATTGGTGGTACCCGATCAGTCGCCTTGGGTAGGCCTTTTTTTTTGGATGTGCCGAGGGCCGGGCCCTTTTTGCCTCCTGAGAGTGTGGGAGGAGCATCTTGAAAAGAGGACAGGTGAGCGAGACTGGTATGCATCTGTGAGCATACGAGCGGACAGAGAGATGACACTCATCGCCCTAAGATGGAGTGCGTCGACGTTACGGGCAAGTATCTGGTTGCTAAATCAGCATTAGATAACTTCTATGAAGCAGGTTTGAAAACTACCTAGGTGCTCCGTACTACATCGATGAACAGTGTCAAAGATATCAACTGTCGCCAGTCATCTGTCAACCACTAGTTAAGAGTGCCATCAAGCGCACACAGCGTTCATTACCAATCACCACTCAAGCAGCCTTCGCATTCTCAGCCGCCTTAGCACCCACCCCCTCAAACTGGCGCTTCAAGTCCTCCGTCATCGCATCCTGAAAGTCCTCAATCTCCCCCAATCTTCTGACCTCGATCACTGTGTCCTCGACCGGCACCTTCTTAGCCCATGCCACGGCCTCGTCCAGATCTTTCGCCCTGACGACCCAGAACCCACGGATCAGGCCTTCTCGATCGAAAGGCCCGTTCTGCACATTCGTAGTCTTGGAGTCGGAGAAAATCACCCGCGCACCTTCGTTGGATGACCGGAATCCGTCAGCGAAGAAGAAGAGTCCAGCCTCGGAAAGGGCTTTATTGTACTCAAGCATCTTGGTGAGGATTTCAGTCTTCTCGTGCGTTGGCGTTATGTCCGACTCGGATTCGTCATTTGCGTGTAGGAGGTAGATGTATCTAGGCATTTTCGAGGAGTTGTTGGACCTAGGACTGAGTTGAACAATGGGCCTAGGGTAGATTGAGGCTATTTATGCCTTTTGTTCTGGGTGTGAGTGCTTCGTAGTAGCCTGGAGGTAGGCGTTCTTGGGCATGGCGCCGTATCTGAGAGAATAGAGGATCTGCATGCGACTTGGGGAATTGAGGATGGTAATCGCCAATTTCAAATTGTAGGTGAATCACCACGACGAATATGCGTTTGAATTTCGCTTCTCGAATGCAAGCACTTTGCCACTACATACATACAAAAATGTGCGCTACCAGCTCGATCCTGGGCTTCTGCCTGCCCTTGGCCATGTCCTCATTTACCTCTCCAATGAAGATTCGTGCGTGACCATCCTTCCAATTTTCCGCGTTCAGCCCCAGAAGCCACATTCTTCTCCGCTTCTGTCAAGAGAAACTGGGTTTTGAGGAAATATGATTCCAAATCCAATCTGGTCCGGATTCCGCTACTCATACATCGCACAGTTGTGAAAATAAAATAGCCGACCAATACCTATGCCGTCTTCGTTCTCTTCGAGGCGAGAACATCCGTGACATGCTTCTTCATATCATAACTATAGTTGTTAACGCTATTTTCTGAGAATCGTCATCAAGCGTGTACTTACGAGTTCATCTCCTCGATGGTCAACTTCTTCTGCTCATCCTTTACATTATATAGGGGGTTGTCGGTGTTGTCAGAGAAACCTGAGACTTCATATTAGCATATGGTTGCCTTTCGAGCTTCGGGATGTATTTGCTTACCAATCCGTTCGTGGATGTTAACACTGGCCCTGGCAGAAGCAGCTTGTACCTTGGTCGCTCTTGTCTTTCTCACATCTTCATATGTCTGCAACGCTTCACGGATATCGCCGTTGAAATTCTGTTGGTTGAAAACGAGACCAAGACATGCTGCGTCTTCGATGGCCATACAAGCTCCCTGTGACTGATGAGGAAACATGGGATGAGCCGCGTCTCCCATCACGCACGCCACTCCGCGCTGCCACCAGCCGTATGGCTCGTGGACCCATAGCCGCCAGGGCTTGATTTCCTTGCCGATCTTCAAATGCTCGAACACTTGGCGATCGAGCTCTGGATAAGGATCTAGAAGTTCGCTGAGTGGTGCCTCCTCGTCCCATTTATGGCTGGCAAAATCCCCCTTTTCTCTCGGGAAGAAGCAGTAATATGATAGCAAACTTCCGCCGTTGCAGGGTGACAGCACAATCTTGTCGTATGTGTGATGTCCACCCCAGTATTCGAGGGCGGCATCTTGTGAGTAATCGACTAGTCCAAGTTTCACTGCTGTTGCTGTATCAACATTGGCGTGGAGGCAGCTCTGATCTGCGGGACGCTTGTCTGGTGTAATGCCGATTAGTCCTCGAACCACAGATCCTATCCCGTCCGCACCAATGACAACGTCATGCTGTGCGCTTTCGCCGCCTTCAAAACTTATCTTGCCGGTATCCAAGTCAATTTCTGTGACTTTATGATTGACGACAATCTTAACTGGGTGGCCTGCTCCTTCGTCTTGTGTGGCGCAGTCGAGCAGCATTTTGTGCATATATTGTCGGTGGAACATATAGTATATGTAACCCCATTTTTCTTCGTAATCAGCAAGGTCGTAGACGCTGACAGGCTCACCCGTTTTCCAGTCTCTGTTGATAAGCTTGCGAAGAACAACACCATCCCCTTTTGCAATGTCGACATTCCACTCGTGAAGCCATCGCGTGCCATTTGCCGCGCATGATATCGAAGCCCCAACTTCTCCAACAAAATCAGATTTCTCATAAACGGTAACCTTGTGGCCAGCTCGTCGCAGGGAGATGCCTGCTGCTATACCACCGACACCACCACCGGCGATCGCAATGTTGAGAGGCCGCCACCCTTTGGTGCCTTCCGCTGTGCCTTGAATGCTCCCCATAGTGTCTTGTTCTGCCGGGTTTTATGCTTGCTTCAAATTGTGCGTGTCCCTGAAAGTCCGCTTGTTCAAGTGTACACGTACTTAGATGATATCTTCAACTAGTAGTTTGACTTCCGATAAACATCTTATATCACTATCAACATAGACTTCTTTTTGCAGAACGCGGGGTTGACCCTTACTCCCGTTGCTTGACTGGTTGAAACTGGTGCGCGGCCCGCAGGAGGAGATTGCTGGACAGCGGATAGGCGCGGGTAGCGCACCAATTCCGAGCGCCTCTACGCGAGTAGATCCCCTTCCCGAGCCTGAACAGACCATGCAAGCACAAGCCAACGCCAGTGATTCGCTTTTGAATGATAGCATCGGTTCAAAGATGAGCAAAACGCTCCGCTTATCTGCGGAATTTGTCCCACCCGCACTGTGGCGAGGAAGAGATTCGATTTTGATACAGTCGTAGTACCAGTATCACGGGAATTAGTTTGCAAAACCCGTTCAGCGGACTGTCCATCAAACGTGTTCTCTAACAGCAGTGAATTCAATCGTCCTTTGTTGTTCGAAATTCCTTCCTGGCAGACTCAGCCAAGCTGGGGTCGCTAAGAACCCGAATTGCTAGCCTTGCCAGCCCTTTCCCGCACTTGATGGCTGCTTTATGTGCTTGGTCACCACCCGCTGCCTCTGCAAACTTGGGGTGATGTGGTGAGATGTTGTCTTCAGTCGGAATGGTGAACCCGCCATGAAAACTTGGTACCTCATGGGAGACGTTCCCTGAATATAATCAGTCAATATAGGGGAAAACTGGTGAGCTGTCTTACCCATATCGGTCGAAGCAGTAAATGTGTTGGCATCTCTGAAAAGTACACGTTCTCCCAGGCGCGCCATGTCGTCGACATACTGTTTACACAGTACCTCATTGACTCTTATATTCTTGTATGTCGGGGCTCTAGGAAGAAGATTAGGAACTATCAGCCGGTCTTGAAGCAAAGCTTACCGGATAAAGTTGAACTCGCATCCAGTGCTGAGGGCACCTGCTTCGCAGCACTTCTCAACCTTTTCCAACAACTCGTCACATCGTTTCATGGAGGGGCTGCGCACATACCAGTTCATGCGAGAATACTGCGTGATGACATTTGGTACTGTTCCACCATCTTCGATAACGCAATGAACGCGCTCATCGGGCCTCATCTGCTGTCGTAGCATGGAGACATTGTTGTAAGTTGCGATCGCAGCGTCAAGTGCGTTTAGACCATTCCATGGCTGGCCGCCTGCATGGGCTGGACGTCCATGGAACTCGACTTTGAATTTATGAGATGCAATCATGTCCATGCCAGCTAAGCCGGTATATCCCCTCTCCAATTGATGAGTCGAGATTGGATGAGCCATGATTGCAGCTGCAATGTCTTCTTCCTTGAAAGCTCCTGCTTCGATTAATTTGACTTTCCCACCTTGTCCTTCTTCAGCTGGTGTGCCTAGGAGTCTTACTCTGCCAGCCTTCAGATCACTTCGGATCACCCTCGCTACAGCCAAGAAGGCTGCAATTGAGGATGTTGCGATCAAGTTATGCCCACAAGCATGTCCGATGTTGGGAAGTGCGTCGTATTCCGCACAAATGATTACCAACGGTCCACCACTACCAACCTCCGCGGCGAAGGACGTCTCCAGGCCGTAAGCATGTTTCTGGACTTCGAAACCTTCGTTGTGAAGAAATGTAGTAATTTCTTTGACAGCCGCGAACTCTTGGAAGGCTAACTCTGGGTGGCTGTGAATGGTCTTATTCAAATTTCGAAGTTTTTGTTCGGAATCGTCAATAACTCCCAGGCCAATCTCAATCACGGGTTCCCAGGCCTGGGGTACCATGTCGGGATCTGCGGTAGCCATGTGCAAAGACAGTGTAACGTAAGCCTGTGTTCAAGTAAGGGAATGACAATACTGTTGGCAGAGCTCAATAGCATAGGTGCCGATTTGACAAAGCCGCCTGAATTGAGACATTCGAGCATACTGACTGGCTGATCGATCCTTAGGCTCGAACTTGAATTGTTGCTTGGGTGTGTGACATAATTAGGGGACTGGGACTCGACGTCATGTCCTGTTATCTCAAAGAGGCCTACGAAGAAAATAGGCGACTTTGGCCAGAGTGCGCCTATTAATATAATGAAAACCCCCCTGACCTGGGACCCCTCCAAGTCCTCACCTCGGCAAGGGGAAAATCACCGCCCAACTTTCGGCCCTGCCGTAGTCCGTACGCGGGACGAGATAACGAGGACCTAAAGCCCTTATCAATGGCAATTTGACTTATTCATTGACGAAGTCTGTCGTATCTCCCAACTGTACCCGCCGTACAATTTGGTCAATTCTGAGCATAAAAGGCGCTGCTTGGAAGCTCTTTCGCTAGTTGAACAAATGAATGGCCGGCAGACCTCAAATGGAACACGAATCTGTCGTCGTCACAAAGCTCCGAAGGGCTTCTCAAGCCTGCGACTTCTGTCGTGGACGGAGTATTAAATGCAAACCACGTACTGGATTTACCGCTGGAAGCCACAACGCGGGCTCAATAGCCAGCTGCTTGACCTGTGTTGAATATGGCCGAGAATGCATCCGTAGCCGACAACCGAAGAAACGAGGGACGAAACCTCGAGCGCAAGGGCACCTCCAGAAGAGGAACCTCGCGCCTCATGGCGATGATCCGCTAGAGGATAGTGTGAAACTTCGCCTGCAGCAACGGCGAAAGGTGTTAACAGCTTTGCTTGATATCTATCTCGATACGATACACCCACTGTGCGTTCGACAAGAACTTGGAGAAATATAGTGTTACTAGCTAACGCAAATAGATTTCCCGTTTTCTGCGAGCGCGAGCTCTGGGTCGGATGGAGAGAGGGCTCATTCCCACAAAATACCGCCGAGTATACCTGTTTTATCACCATGTGTGCATTAAGTGCCCAACATGCCAAAAATGGTGCATTGTTCAACGACGAAGCGAGCCAGCTAGAGGTTGCGACCTGGGCATTCGAATACCTTCATGAAGCACTCTCGCTTGTCCCAGTGGACTTTAGCATGATGGGCCACCAGGACTTGATGCGGTCATATGGATTTCTAGCGCTCCTGGGGACTCAGATCGGCGATAGCAACATGGTGCAAAAATATCTAGGCCTATATCATGGCATTTGCGGGCGCTACGGCCTCCATGAGGAATCGAGATGGCCTTCGAATATCAGCACGTGCGACAGAGAGGTCCGACGAAGAATCTTCTGGTCCATCTATCGCCTCGAAGTTCATACTGCATGCGTCTTAGGCCACTACGTGCGAATTCCAGAAGCACAATGCGACGTTGGTTACCCAGGTGGGATCCATCACCCAGCATTCGTGCCTGGGAGAGATGGCAAGTTCGAAGATTGGTTTTCTGGGTGGAATTATTCTACAGACCTCTACCGCATCTTGGAACATGCTGTCGTTTCTTTCCGAATGAGGAAACACAAGCATCCGCTTCCCCTGGGGTTAAATGATGGGTTTTTAAGCGGTGTTCTGAGCAAGAAATTGTCCATGATTAAAGAGGGTCTCCTTCCTCAGTACGAGAAGGCATTCTTCCGCTCCGACGACAATGGGCGAAACCGTTGCGGGTTCCAGGCGGCAAACATCTTTTGCATTATTCATCTGGTCAGGATGCTGACCTCACTGTCGGATGATCATGAACTTGACAGCATATGTGACACCGCACAGGAGATGATCGAGAGCATGAGGAAAATTCCTTCCGAATATGTCCGTGCCTGTGGGGCGACTCTTCTCCAGCAAGTTGCTGGGGTAGGTCATTTGCTCTGCGTTGTTGCAAGTAAAGAATCGCATTCCACCCCTTCGCTTCACAGATTACGAGATGTGCTCGAATCAATTACAGTGTTCTTGGAAATTTCAAAGCAGCACCATGAACCCCTCGCTACAGCCGCATCACGCCTACGAGAGCACTTGGGTACGCTTGAGATTGATCCAGATCCTGCAGGAACTGAAATGAAACATCCATCAATTGAAGTGGGAGTTCCTCTTGTTGTGGATGGAGCTGATATGTGGATCTCAGAGCTCGATGACTATGGTACAGTATCAGGTTTTGGTGCCAATATCTTCCCGACAACCTTCCTCGGCGACATCACCTGGCCATTTGCATGGTCCAGCAGCTCTCCCACTTCTGGTTGAAGATCTAGAGTTTGAACCTAAATACCTTCTTCCGCCGCTTTCGATGGCTCCTTTAGCTTTCCAAACCCCTTTTGTGTCACAGACCTCCAGTTATAGTATTCTCCACCAGCGACAACGGGGTATTTCATCGGATTCTCGCTGCTGATGCATGTCGGCACAGGCTCCAAGAGTTTGGTACGATCGAATCCCCAGAAGAAAGGAACAGAGTATCTCTCCTTGCCGGTTCTGTTGATAACTCTGTGTACAGTGGAGACAAAGAAGTCATTTGTCTGTCGCATAAAGCAGTCCGCAATATTCACGACGAAAGAGTCTTTGATCGGAGATGCCTTGATCCAACTTCCGCTCTTACTAAGAACCTCAAGGCCGCCACAAGAATCCTGAGTAACAATAGTGAAGCATTCTACGTCCGTATGGGCACCGATACCCTGCTGATCATCTGCGGAGCGTTCTTGTGCTGGGTAATGAAGAATGCGCATACCAGCTTCTGGTCGCTTGACATACTGATCGAAATAATCCTCTGGAAGCTGCAATGCCAGGGCGAAGATCCGGGTTAGACGCCTCGAAAGCTGTAGCAACTTGGTGTGATATGAATAGAGACCTTCTCGAAACCCGGCCAAATCAGATGGCCAGATACTGATGGACTTGCCCTCCTTGTCGACCGCTTCGGGATCTTCGGCTGGATCATACGCCCAGTTGAAGGCTTCACTCAAATCTACTACATGTCAGCACCTTCCAAGACCACTGCACAGTAATGGCGACAAACCTCGATGCTTCCAGCCATTCCTATTGTAATGCTCAAGAGGATGGAATCCTACATATTCATTGGGAACTAAACCAGTGAACACTTCCATCTTCTTCTCCTCAGGCAGCGCGAAAAACCTTTTGGCTTGGTTCATCGCCTCCTCCGCATAAGCCATATCGATACCCTGTCTCAGGTTAGAAGTACACCAGGCATGGGGGAACGGATTTGCGGACATGATTTATCATGTAGAAGAAACCTATCTGCCTCGATGCGTCCCGGATCTCATCTGCCACGGCTTGGCGGTCTTCAAATCTCTCACTGTAAATGCCGGACACATCAATTATTGGGATCTGCGCCGATTCTGTAGATTCGTTGGAATCGAAGTGGAACGTCTTGCCGTTCAAGAGGGTTATAGTCTTGCGCGGTGCCTCGACTGTGCTCGTTGTAGACTGCGACATGTTCAAGATTGACGGGTGGAGGAGGTTTGAACAGCGTAGAATTATTTAGTTACCAAGAAAGACAAGCCAAGTAGATGCTTCAGCAAACAATATAAAGGCTAACAAATGTGAGTACTATTCGACGGAGAGTTCGCTTAAACTGATAAACTATGTATGTGTTAACACCAATATCAGGCCAGAATACTCCGCCCAGGCGTAGCATGAGATGTTCAGGTCCAAGCAACGAAGTGTGTTGAAGACAATGAAAACGTGATCGCGGAGTTGATGATGACAGAATGTTTGATCTACGAGCGGTGCATCATAGGCTGTGAAGGATGAATCCAGTTTAAGCGTCCTTATCCTGATAACACTCTTCGACCACATGCTTTTAAGTGGGCAGTATGCCTAAGAATGATCTTGACCCTCCAATCAAACAGTGTCCGATAAGCCAGATACGACGGATGAACTGGTAAACTTCTAAAACTGAAAAACTCAAGCCGAAGTATTCTCCAGCAAACATTCCCAGACGACCCTAGAACGACTATTCTGTGTACTTAGACCTTTTGCGAGAGAACTAGGTCGATACAGATCCCCCTCTTGCTTGTTATCGCCTTATCAAGTGCCGCGAAAAAGAGATAGATAACAGGGATAGGCACAGTACTATCATTGCTGCGTGGGCTTTCACAAGAACTCGTTACGAGCAGGGAACTATATCTGAATATATGATGATAACCTACAACCACGTTTCGTGACCATGAAACGCACTCCGATCTGTCTACCGGACACCTGCATTACCCTCATCCACCATGGGCCAGAGTTCTTTTCGGCAGCGCTTCATGCGCCGCTTAGAGGTAAACAGAGACACGGACACGGACGTGGACGCATACATCAACAAAGATACTCGTCCCCTTCCGCCGTCAAGGCGTCCATACGGTCCGTGGCACTTCGTTGGTCTGTGGATGGTGACAGGTAGCTTCAACGTCGGCGGTTGGACAACCGGCTCTTCAGTGATATCCCTCGGCCTGAATGTGTGGCAGTCTATGCTGGCAATTATCATCGCGCATACGTTCGTCGGCTTCGTATGCATCGCAGGGGGCCATCCCGGCGCGAAATGGCATGTTGGATTCCCCTTCTGGATGAAGCAAGTCTGGGGCGTCTGGGGTTATCTCTTCCCTATGGCGATTCGAGTGTTCCTTTCATTCGTTTGGACCGCAACGAATACCTGGTACGGCGGCCAGTGCTTGAAGGTGTTCTTCACAGCATTGTGGCCTTCTTATGCGAATCTAGACACCAGACTGGCCAGCGGTACCATGGACGTGTCCGACTTCGTCGCATTCCTCGTGTTCATCCTTTCCTGTCTGCCCTTACTCGTCGTGAGTCCCGAGAAATACCGACGTCCATTCCTGATCGCATCAACTACGGTTGCCACGACTGTCTTCGCTCTCCTCATCTGGGCCATGATACGTGCTGGCGGGGGCGGCGCCCTTCTGTCTGACGTTAGCGGCGTTTCTGGGATTAAGCCGGCAAAAGGCTCCAAGCTCGGCTGGTCGTTTGTGGCTGCCATTACGGCAAATATCGGTGGAATCGCCACACATATGTTCTCACAATCGGACTACACGAGATATGCTCGCAAGCCTGGCGACCAGGTCCTCGCACAGCTGGTCATGGTGCCTCTGGGGACCATAATCGTTGCGTGCATCGGAATCGTCTGCACATCCTGCGCTGCCCAGCTCTACCCCGAGACCACCAAACTTCTGTGGCAGCCATATGCCTTCCTGAGCACCGTTCTCGAATACGAGAATAACTCTGGTGCTCGCGCTGGAGTTGCGTTCGCCAGCCTGGCCTTCGTCTTTTCCCAGTATGGTATCGTGGTAGCCTCGAATCTGGTGGTTGCGGGCATTGATCTTGCCGCGCTTCTCCCCCGATGGTTCACGATCCGAAGAGGTGCTTATTTCACCATTGGCTTCGCTTTCGTCATGCAGCCATGGCAACTGTTAAACAGCGCGACAAATTTCTTGACAGTTGTGGGAAGCTTTAACGTCTTCCTCGGCCCGTTCATGGGAATCATGTTCGCCGACTACTTCATCTTACGGAAATGCACCATGAAGCTCACGGACCTTTTTGAAGAGTCTGGCAAGAGCATATATTGGTACTGGCGCGGTTGGAACTGGCGCGCTGCGATTGCGTGGGTGTCAAGTGTTTGGTGTCTGATGCCGGGGCTTGTACAGCGCGGTGTTGCCCCCAAAGCGATTTGGCCTGGTTGGACGCATCTTTACTGGTTAGCTTGGTTTCTGGGCTGTGTCGTCTCGGGGTCGGTCTATCTGTGTCTCGAGTATTGGTGGTCAATTGCGGACACGAACGCCGTAGATGATGAGGACTACTTTGGAACTTTCAGTGAGATTCCTACACTTTCGGGATTACCGACAGGCTCCGAAAATGGTAGCTCCGCTGAAAAGCTGTCTGAGTCTTCGAAGAGGCAGGAAGAAAAAATAGCCAGAGAAGCTTTAGCGGAAGTTTGACGAATGTTGGGTCTAAGTCGGTTCCATTGTGGACGAACCGTCACTTGTCGTTTAGTGATGGCTGTAACTCCAGTAATGGGAAAGGGCGATCACTGCTCTGAACGTATGGATCACAATTTAATAGCAATATAAGTTTGGGAAATGAGATGCCTAGTTGACCGCTGCTGAAAGGCCTTTGCAACCTTGCCCACAGACCACAGCTTTTAGAGCAGCGGGTGTATGCGACGAACTTTGGTCTTGGCTATTTGGCAATTTGAGAGTGATCTCTGCTTCGCCATTTTATATCTTAGTATAATGTTTATTGATTGGCCCCCATCCTCTAGCCCTAGCTCTTACCGTGCCTAGATCATCCATATTCAGGACGTCGACTTCTCTTTCAATCAAGACTCTCCACGCGATCTCCCTCAGATTTGGCGGTTCCTCGGGCACGTTCCAATATCTGGATAACAAGCCTCTTGCTCTTGCTTGCTCAAGTTGCGAAGCTGTTATATCGAGCAACTGGGGACTCTCTGGTGCGGAATCAAATTCACCACGCCAGGTGAACAATCTGGCATTTTTGAACTCGGTCGAAGCGAAGTACGAGTTGGAGATATTGTAAGTGTATTTGACTGGATTGGAGCTGAAGTCATCATTGATGGAAGGTAAACGCTCAAGCTTGGCATCCCAGAAGATATCTCGATGCTGTGGATCGACCTCAGTGACGGATTCGAAGGGCGCGTTCCCTGAGGCTACAATGGTAAGGGGCCGTATCAATCTGTCTGAACCATTCCAGTATGTGAGATAGTCAAGCTCTCGCAGCGGTTGTAATTGAGCATACAATTCTGCAAATGTTTCTGGCCCAGAGGTTTTGAGGTCGACAAGAAGAACGAATGTTTGTTGAGGGGAGAGGTTAAAGATTCCCCGCCACGAGCCATCCGTGATATTGTGGTTTTGAGCCTCTAGCATGCGTTGTAAAGGATCCAAGTACATGGATCTCAATGTTGCATCGCTGCGTAAACTCCTTCCTGTATGGCCGACTAGAAGATCAGAGTCTCGCAAGTGGACGTCGGCCTCCACACTGATACAACCCGACCCAATCGCTTCGAAGAGGGGAATACTGCGCCAATAGTCGTTATGTGAGTGTACAGGTACAGGAAGAGCGTTATGGATAAATGGTTGGCGCTCATCGTCCCAGACTGCAGCGCTGTTGACATGGATATTTGCGAACGTATTGTCATAGGGGTCATTTGCAACGCGGATTAGACCCTCTTTGAGGTGTATAATGTACATTAATTGAGCAATGCATCTTTTGGAAAGAAGTCCGTCAGTATTTCATAAATTGGTGGTCTCTTCGCCCAGGCCACTCACAATAGAGTCATGACGCAAGCGACATTTTTGATCAGATCAGAGCGAATTTTCTGCTGTCGCAATGGAAGGGGAATCTTCCATATATGAACCAGAGATCGTGGTTGTGTTACTGATCTTTTTGAACCGAGGTTTTCAATGTCCACGCGAAACAGCTGGTCGCCTGACCTGGCATCACTAGGGCTGTGATCGCTAGCTTGGGACGTCATGGTGTAAGTGCCTCTCGATAAGCATGGGTAGCTGGAAGTGTAGTAAACGGGCGTTTGGTCCAAGGCGTCAGGGCTCTAGTCGATAGACGAGAGTTGAAATCATACACTCTGGAAGACAACTTGGAGCGGATAGAAGGGTTATAAGATCGAGACTGCTGATGTACCCACCTAAAACCTAGTGGTATTCGGTGGTCATCTGGGTATTGAGACATCGCGCAAAAGGCATACTCCATTACATGTTGAAACAGCAGTGTGGCATTGCAATACTGGTTGCCTAATCTTTAGTCTAAAGGATCCGTCCAGACAGGCGAAAGAGATGTGATGATCAGGCCCCGCTTGTTTCGCACGAGGCCGAGTCGGGGGCCAAAGGGGCTTCTAGCACCAAGAATACGGAGCATAACATTTACTCGTAGTAACTCATACTCTGTGCCGCATACTCCCGTACATACTCGCTAGTTGGTCACGCAACAAATAGGGTCGCTAAGCATGTACGGAGCACGAAGTACTGGACAATGAATCCCTAGGTATCAAAGAATATCAGTAATGACATGAATCCGGGAATGCTCAATGGGAGTCACCGCTATGATGAAACTCCGAAGAGCTGCCGAGGCCACTGGATCTAGTAGCCTCAGGCAAGGCTGACGCCTATACTGTTCAGCGAGAATGCCATTCATTTGTAAGAGGTCCACGGTCGATGAGATCACTGGCGGCAAGGGTTTCCTCGACCATCCGGTGGATCCTGAGAGGGTAAGCCTAACGACCCAGTGTGGTAGGCCAGACCCTATTTGGCATTAGTACTCTTCCGTAAAAATTCATCTATCCTCAGTACTCCTTACGGAGTCATCGGTATCAGGTACTCCACAATCCACCTCCCTCAAGTTGCGTAACCAAGCAAACGAATCGAGTATCATCAACCTGTGCAAAAGCGAGCAGAAGGGAAACCTGTTACATGAAGCTTAGGGATTTTCACCATATTCGCCTCATTCTGAGACTCTGACTCGAAGAAGCATTGACTATATTAGGCAATCAAAGAGGCTTGTGCTCACCTCCCAGGCTAATTACTGTTGAATATGGTTGGAATAATGGCTTACACACCGACATAGGCAGCAGGACATAAGGGTTCGATGACTCGGGAGGCTGAATGTAGACGGCATCACAACTATTTCATAAGGAGCGATGAGCAATCTCCAATGCCGCTCAGAGTTTGTCGCATTACTTCGTGGAGATGTTGTTATGATCCCGTCATGATGTATGAACTGGATTTAGATCTTCACAACGTCAACTAATGAACCTTCTAGTACGAGGCTAACAGACCTTCATGTTCATCTACCCAGACATCATGGACCACCGATTTCAGAATCACTTGTTGGTGGATTCCCACCGGCGCCTGCTAAGCGTCTACACGTCCCCATTGCAGTGAAGTCCTTCTTATTGGGGGATCCACAAGTGTAAACACTTTCCCTTTTTTTGAGGACCGCTTATCATGCTCTCATCATGTCTACGGGTTGTAGCTGACAAGATGAGAGCATTCCGAGGCCACTTGCTGCACATGAGGTCTAGCATTCAGCCTTGAAAAGATTTTCAAAGCACCATCACCAATCTGTGCACCAATGGGCGTGATGGTGGGTTCGAAACATTCCCCTCTTGGGCGGCTTGTGGTAGACGTGTCTTGACTGTCCGTGGATTGGGCATGGTGTTCAAATCGTCGAACGCAGATAATCGTAGAGCATTAGAACCATGAGTCTCTCCATGGGTTTCACACCCGTGACATTGTTCCCTAAGAATTCTGCGCGCTCTGTAGGATGTGTAACAACGCCACAGTCCAGGAATCCTATTGGTCGACAGCTACCTGTGCTGCAAGAGCCGCGCTGAGACCGTCCAAGAACTCCTCCAGGCCCTCGACAACAGCCTGGTGGTCTTCATGTTGTTTGAGGCCACTCACAACAATGACGCCGACAATTCCCTCCACACCTTTTACTCGGACAGGAACTGCGCCGCCATGAATAGCGTATTGTCCAGCCGACTCACCCAGCATGTACTTCTTCTGGAAGGCTTCTTCATCACCGTGCATTTTGTTATGCATGAACCAGGTGCTCACGCCCCACCGCAGCACTGTCTTGCGTTTTCTCGACACCCATATGTCGTTGTCTGGCTGAACACCTGGACGAGAGACAGCATGAAATAGAATGTTGTTGCTGTTAGCAAGCGTAATATTGACGACGGCAGAAAGATTGGACAAGGCCCGCAGTCTGTTGCGGATTGTTAAACCAATCTCGAGCGCATCATCGGCATTGAAGTGAGGGAGGATGAGGGCTTCTTCTTGCTTGGCGATCTCTGAAAGCTATTTGTGTCTGATTAGCGGGGCTCTAGCAATTTAAGCAATACAGAAGCGTACATCTCGTGGCGCTTCGCGCAGGGGCTTCGCAGTCATTGTGTAACTCAAGGGGCCAGTCGTCGCTTGGTGGCTTGAGGTCGGATCCCACAGACCTGCGCACGGAGAACGTGACTGAAACTAAAGCGCGTTTTTCTCGTAGCCGCGGGGCGACGGCTTGGCGCGTGAGAGAACCGCCGGACAAAAGATAACGCGTTCCAGAGTTATCGGCTCTCAACGGCGATCCCAGAACTTCTCGATTTACCAACTATTGTCTCAATGGAAGCCTGATGGCCTTATATATATCTAAGTATTTGGCCGAGCGGAATCCCATAGGACCAGGTAGGTAATAGTTGTGAGCCTGCGGCTGGACTCAAAGTACATCGCTTGACCGCGCTTAGCCATGGCTGGTAGTCTCCTCGGCCCCCGGGGATGAAGGCATGCACCCCAAGAAAAATACATGCTTTCAACAGTTATAGCCGTCATCTACATTCCAGACCGCACCTGTGATGAAGCTAGCCTCATCACCCAGGAGAAACGCAATAACATTCGCCACTTCGAGAGGATCACACTCGCTTTTTTGCGCTTGGCGAGCAATCTCAGTCTATTCCTCCAAGGGCGCCCCATCCATCATTGGAGTATTGACAACGCCTGTTTACCAAAATTAAGCTTCCATGAATCCTAGGAAGACGGCATGGTGCTAGCCCCGGGGATGGCTGAGTGTATGACTGACCTGGAGCAATACAGTTCACCCGAATATGCGGGCTCTCTTTCGCTGCGCACCTGCTCAACCCTATGATGGCATGCTTACTGGCGCAGTATGACCCCAAGGGCTCCCATCCCACCTGGCCGTTCACGCTTGCTGCAGAGACCTGCGATGAGATTCGCACTCGGTTAGACTGAGGTTAAACAGGGACGTCACAGCACGAGCCCCTATTGATGCGGCCGCTATTATCCAGGAAGCAGTATTCAACGGATTCGTGACTTACAATACCTTCTCCTTTCTCCGTGTGCTTCAACTGGACTCGTATGCAGAAAACGATGCCTTTCGCGTTTACGTCCATCTGGACGGCCCAGCTTTCGTCTGTCTCATCAATTACATTGACCTTTTTGGCTACACCAGCAAAGTTAACGGCACCATCAAGCCTACCCAGTTGTTCAACGGTGCAGCCAATCCATCTATTCACGGAGGTGCTGTCTCGAACATCCACACGGATATAGATATGCGGCTGCTGGTTCTTTCGGGTTTCGCTTACATCTCCTCTGAGACTTTCGATGGCCTTCACCAAACCGTCTTCGTTCATGTCAGCTAGGGCCAAGATAGCGCGCCTGCTCGCGAGTAATTTTGAGATTGAAATGCTCATTCCAGAAGCAGGCCCAGTGATCCCGATCTGAACTCGTGGTTAGGGCTGTTTCTTTTCCATCAACCGACAAAGAGCCTGTATGGGGAATGTTCTCGCATGAGGGTGAGCATACCACTTTCCCATGGAAACTCGAGATTGTGTCCCCGAACCGTGCGACAGGTCGATGGAGTGTACCCTGGAGATACTGTGAAACGAGATTGTTCGTTGAAGGTGTTGCCACCCCAATTCGAGAAATATGGACGTGAATGTCTTGAATTAACCCTCAAACTTCTGTCTAGGACTCGTGATGTTGTGTCGGGAGCGTCAGGTCGGCATTGTATGCACCTCTCTCTATACGCGTTTTGTACCGTCTCCAAAACCTTCCATGTGATGAATGTATCATCTTAACCTTTGCACCCGCTAGGCTTGTATGCCTACCTTTTCCGGCGCTTTTCAGTGTCTCTCGCCACATGTTCAGATCAAATTACGCACGCAATGATGAAAAAACAACAACATGGAGGCAAAACTATCTATTGGTCTTTCAGTCGCAACTGATCTTATCTAACCGCCTGATCAACTCTCGCATTTCCCGTGAGATGCATCGGCCCCACATGAGCCTCTAATCTCCACCTTGAGCAGGAAAGATTCCAGCCATGGAGGTGGACTCGCATATCGAATGGAAGTGGGGAACAAAAGTCATTTAGATACCTATGTTTGACTCTTTATTCCCTGAGAGAACGGACTTTTGAATTGATATGTGCATGGGACGCCTTCAATCCATTCGGATTGTACCTATTACTCAAAGCAAGGCGGGCCAACATTCTCGTCAGAAGGGCCTTTGAATATGTAGTTGGGTTGAAGGGATCACAGATCTCACCCCTTTGCGTGCACTTAATGACCTGCCAGTTTTACCACAATTACCCTGCGCTATCTGAGAATCATTTTGACACAAACGAAACAAGAATAGTCCATAACATACTCAGCAATAATGTGATGGCTAACAAGTAAATTGGGCCTAACATACAGATTGCTCTATGCATAATCTTCACCATTATACTTGCGTTAGTGGGTAGATATATCGACACTCAAACAAAAGCTTCTTCAACAAAGCTACGCACAGCATTCAAAGCTCTTTCGATATGCTCCTCGTCATGAAGGATATTCGAGGCTATGAATCCTCGAGGCCTAGTGTAGTCTGTAGATCCTCTTCTTCACCATGTGATAGAAAAATGACTCTCGTACGACATCGGCATCCGGACTGTAGAAGCAAAACCCACAACACTGCCAAAACCTCGAGCGAAGCTAATCGGAGGGCCTTTGGATCGAATATTGTGTTCACAACATCTCTGGGCTTATCTCCAAGGCTATTTGCTTTATTGGGCGCTTTTCTCGTCAGCAAACTTGTACCGACAAATCCAGCCGCCACTGTGAAACGGTTGTTATTCCATGTTCCTGAGTGGAATAGAGGGACCCTCTGGGACAACTCGTACTGTTGCATGATCTCCTTTCGTCCGCCGAAAGCACCAAACGCCAGATTTCCGCCAAAGTGTTTCCCCATAGTAGTCATGTCAGGGATGACCGCGAAGTACCCTTGAAGTCCACCATAGTGTAGGCGACAGGTAATCACCTCGTCTCAGATTAGAATGGCTCCTATACGAGTAGCTTCTTGACGCAGACTCGTCGAAAATTCCTTGGTTCCAAGATACTACCTGCTGCTCCTTGCATTGGTTCTACCAAGATAACCTCGATGTCTTCTTCCTCAAACTTTTCTCCAGTGCGCTCGATATTATTATAATATCCAACCACAAACTGATGAGGTATATTCAGGCGACTGGGAACAACTGGAACATTAGGGTGCCGCCGTGGTGACCGTCTTCGAAGACCACAACTTTCCGCAGCTAATTGAATGACAAAGCTGTCGCTACGGCGAAAGTATTTGCTTCATTGCTAGAGTTGCAGAAGCGAATCATACCGATGCTGGGGAATCGGGAGACTAATTTCCCGGCTAGCTCGGACTCCTCAGCTGCTCGTGCCACCAAGTGAATGGCTCAAATGGAGGACCTTTTCGATAGCTTCTTTGATCGCAGGATGAGAGTGCTCGTACATTCCTGCACAGTACTCGGAAACAAGGTCAAGGTATTTATCTCCATCTAGAGAAGTAAGATATGTGTCGTGCCCTCGTGAAAAGCTAAGAGGGCATGGAGTGTGGATTGACACTACTCTGGTTGTGCCACTTGGAAGCATTGCTGTGGCATGGTTGTTATATTTGAACGACTGGGAGTTGTCTCTGTTGTAGTTGCGAGCAGAGCATCTTCAAGATCTGGTTAGATAGTAGATTTGTTCCAAGTGGCAAATCACGGCCCTCGCAGTCATCGCAATTCAAGACATCTTTTTTGACCTAGCGTGAGATAGCCGACTTGGTATTTGCATGAATCGGAGGTAGAGTTCTTGCAGCGTTGCATAAATATACATAAACAAAAGATGATAGTGCTTGGGTTTTTCTGAGTTAGTATATATTGTGCCCTTCAACTGTTCTATCTTAACTGACTACACAGATTCTCAAATAAACAGACATAATGTGTTCCTTAGGTTCGGAAAGTCAGGGTCTCAACTATGTATATTCCATGTATGTTGAGGAGAGGAAAAAAGGCATCGGACCCGAAGGAGTCGCTCAGTATACTAATGCAAAAGATCCGAAGAAGTTCCAATATTTGGTCAACGATCCCTGAACCAATGAGGCGGGAGACCGACAGTGGGCGTGGGACCTGGCATATTGTTGGTACAGGCTTGGAGGGCTGACTTATGCCATCCGCTTCCTGCTCGCGGCGAATCTGCAACCATTAGAAATCTTGTTCGTCGACAATGAGACAGGGTTTGGTGGTGCGTGTTACTTGAACCGTTATCCCGGCTTAATGTGTGATCTCGAAAGTTCTTATTGCATGCCACTGCTTGAAGAGACTGGATATATACCCAAAGATAGGTATGAATACGGGTCTGAGCTTGGGAATTATACCGAATATCTTGCTGCGAGTTAGAATTTGCAGGATAGGGCATAATGGAGGACAATTGTGCGCACCGCAAAATGGAATGACGACAAATCAGGGTGGGTGCTACAAATTCAGAAAATTTCTCAGCATGGGACCATCATAACACTTGATATTCGGACTGAGTTCTTTGTTCTTACCTCAGGACTGCTTCATAACCCCAAACTCCCAAATGTGACTGGAATTGACAAATTCAACAAGCATACATTTCACACAGCCCTGTGGGACTATGCATATACTATACTGGTGGTTCATCACGAGACCGAAAATGAGTAAATTAGCAACAAGAAAGCTATCTTTGTTGGCACCGGCTCGACTCCTGTTCAAGTAGTACCTCATCTCGCAAGACGGCTCTTGTTGGCGCCAAAGTGACTATCGACGGAACAGGCAGACAACCTCGTAATAACGATCAATGAGTCAGTGCCACAGCCTCTGGAGTGCTTTGGAATCATGGAAAGCGGGCTCCAGGAGGTCATCTTGCCTAGTAATTGTCTATATAAACCAGAACGGTGACCATAGAATAGAAGAAGACAGAAATCTCAACAACGCTGACTTGCCTGTATCGATTGGCCCGTACAGTTGTACAGTCCAAATCCTCCAACAGCTCTGGAATTGAAGGCTTAGTACTCCGGCTGGTGCAAGCGACCTTGTTTCCACGATGACTATGTTCCAACCTTCAATCAGTCAAATTTCTAACTTATTGGTACCAAAGATCGAGGCATCGAGTCATTTACCAAGAACGGCATTGTCTGTAACATTGTTGAGTACGATACAGATGTTGCGGTATTTGGTACAGGATTCGAGCCTTGGACCAGTGGAACCCCATCTCAACGGGCTGGGTTCAAGATCTTGGGTCGACATGGTCTAGACATGAATGATAAATGGGAGAATGGAATCGAGACACTCCACGGCCTCATTTCTCGCGGATTTCCCAACCTTTTCATATATGGAGTAAATCAAACGGGATCAACAGTCAACTACGCACACATGGTGGACGTGACAACCTTTCATGGCGTTAAAATTGTCGCAAGTGCCGTAGCGCAAGCAAGTCCCGGGAGGACACGGCCAGTTATAGAACCTACAGCGGAAGGAGAAGACGCCTGGACTGAGAAGATTCTTGAAACGGCCTTTGCGTACGCAGGACTTGATGGCTGCACTCCGAGTTATACCACGGCAGAAGGGCATGCAACTCGCAAAATGTCGCCTGAAGAGTGCTTGAAGGCAGCAAGAGGTCTTAATTGGGGATTTTGGTCTAGTTGATTTCATCAAAACCATTGAATCATAGAGGGCTGATGTCCAATGTATCAACAATCCTGGACAGAAGCTGTGGTATTATATATACTCTGCCTGGGCGCCCATCAGCCTCCGCACGTCTGCGAGTGTCGTTGCACGGCTCAGTAAGGACACGTCTGTGCCACTCGCACAATATCATCGTCCTGAAATCTCGCGGTCTGCCGCTCTTTATCAGCCATTCCACTAGTTCCATGATGTCGTATTGTGCGTGAAGGAAGTTTGACAACATGGATCATAATCGAGCCCTAGGTGTAGGGCAGGAGTGAAGTATGCCCACCATTTACCTAATGGATGTGCATGTACGCTGCACTCATATTAGCGTGAGAAATTCCAAGTTTGTCGTCCTTTTATTCCAGGCTTTGATATACCAAAGCAAACAAACAGTCCCCACCCCCGCAACCCCCACCCACCTTGGCATTACAAGGCACCAACGGCGTGATCGATTATCGCGCTTGGGTACCTGTTGTGGTCAGTCGGTTTATCACACAAGAGCCAGTATGACACTCCTGAGACCCAGAGATGCATCATCTCCAGGCTTTCCCTAGCATCAGCGAGGCAGAGTTCGCCGATGCTTGCGCAGCCATTGAAGGAAGATGCGCTGATCGGTTGGCCGATACCGACTGGCTGAGCGTAAAATGGTCAGGCTCGGAGCTTCTCATCAAACAACAGAGAGCCTTGAACCCAGTTCGGCCTGGGCTTGATTGCGGGGACGACAATATCACGGAAGAACTTGTGGAAGAGCCGGTTGATGGTGAAACTGTGAGCGGTGCCACAGAGCCATGAACGGTCTAAGTTGACTTTGAATAGCTTTTACAGCGACATCAAGATTCCAATAGCTTAATCATCGATTTCTCTGTCACTTTATCACCGACGTATTGTGTTCCAATGCTATGGTTCTCCGGCCGACGACAATCCGATGGAAGACCATTCAGCCTTGACCAGGTATATGAATACCTAGTTCCTTCGGCAACGCATACAACACTGCGGGGCATCAGCGTGATGGGAGGTATCAGCATGACAGTGAGCTCATATCATTGTAACAATTCCTTCCATTGACATCAATCAGCACCACCCAGTCTCAGACTTGCCCGCATTTTTCATACATCCTTGCAACACTCCAGAAGCACTTTCTGTGCTTGCTGACGGTGCTGCACTGATTCCAGAGGATTATTTGATCCTTTGGCTTGGCTTGATTGGTTCTGCTGTGGGTCTCCACATCCCCAGTCAGTTCCTCGTCGTCGGACGAGAGGGATGAAGATCACATGTACCGCCACCAGATTGGCGGTGATATAGTCCCCACATACAACGGCGCTCTGGTGCCTCAGACTGGGCTGTCGCTTCAAAAGATCTGTCGACCACGTGGACGTACCTGATACCTGGCGACTTCGCAGGTGTCTTCAGACATCGAGGTGTAGCCAATGGCGATAGTCAAACCTAGCTCGGATTCAGAAAGATGATGGTGGTCCTAGACTCAGTCGTCGTCGTCCTCTTCCATCGATGCATCGTCCTCATCTTCCTCCATGGAAACCTCATTCTCGTCAGATTCCTCCTCTTCACGCGTTCGCTTGATGCCGTGAGGTACAGTGGCAGCTGTCTCTTCAGTTTGATTGACACCATTCTCGACTGGCTTTGCGGGGACTGCACCAGGTGGGGCGCTGAAAATGGATTTCTGTAGATCGGTCGTTCCTGGGGCTGTAGTCGAAGCGGTTGGTGGCTCGAACGTGCCGCGTAGCTTAGGAATAATTTGGGATTGGCCTCTAGCATATGCGATGACCTGAGCGGAAATATTAGTGACCAGTTCTCTGCACGCTGGAGTCTCTCTTACCATCTCCCTGTCAAAGAGTTCAAATCCTTGTAGAGCTCGCATAGCTTGAGTGCTTGTCTGCACGTCGCGGAATACCACATGAGCTTGGCCCCTCATGCTCTGTGCCTTTGAGCCCACCCGGTTCGTGACCACATCAAGCACAGGGCCATGCGTTGTGAAGAGCATGTACAAAGCTCTTTTCAACTCGTTCTTGTTGATCTTGTCATTCAGATTCTTGATATAGAGCCTATACTAGCATTAGAAGTCTGCGCGCACAAGAAAAGTGGGAGACTGACGTCTGGTTCGGCGCGCCTGCGCTCGGGGTCTCTTTGCCCTTGGGTGCTTGCGCCGTCTTTGACGACATGACGAGTACGCGAGATCCACGCGAAGGGAGGGTTAGAACAACCGAACAATATTTAGGCCTGCCGATATATCACCATAGCGAGAACTTGACTGAACTATGTACAGCGTACACACGACCAGAGTTGGATTGACCTCCACCAAACCGGCCGCGGAAAAAATTGTCTTGGCGAACAATTCAGGGCGTCTCGCACATAGATGATCTGCCGTACAAAACTGCGCTTAATGAAAAGGAGCCCCACCCTTATTGCCAGTATCAAGAATCAAGATTCGCCCTCATGTACTACAGTATGCCTTTGACGAGATTTCTCTCACCCACATTCACGAATCAGTAATGCATCGTATTTGCTATCTGCAATCTGAAAGCCTCAGCATGCTTTCTCAATGCCCTCCGTTGGAAGAGCCTAGTTACCACTATGAACGAGTAGCGGTATTTCGCCCACTTCCATTCTTTGATTGAGCAGCCATATCTCGAATGCATCTCCTCGAAGATAGTTTCTGCATACCACCAGCACATCTCTCGAACCATCCTATATTCAGGTCTTCTTTCTGTCACCATCGCAAATAGGCGACTGACAGCGCAGATATCAGGTCGGTTTGATTCGTGGAAATTTAGTGATAGCAGGGGAAGGGGGAGATTATAATGATGGGATGGAGGATCACCAGATCTCCAATTCCATCCGCAAACCACCCAATCCCCTGTCTCTTCTCTTCCAACGGCGATCCGAGTGCGCTTACGGGTTGTGGAGTCCTCGACGATGAATTGAATGAACTCGTGGGAGAAAGGAGATGTCAATGCCTTGACCCATGTCATGGAAACGACCTCATATGTTGAAATCGACTCAGACCTTGCAAGAATCTGCTTGAGCCAATCTGCAGTTGATAGCCTTTCGTATTCGGAGGAAAGTTGCAATGAAGCATCTCGATGCTGGCCCCCACTTCTCACACAGCAATTTGTGTCGGTTCGCTGTTGCTTTTCGTCGGCCATAGCCTCTTCCAAAGTCGAAATTCTGCTTGAGGAAGGAGCTGCTGAATCAAATGAGGACGCTTGATAGAACAACCTCAACACGAGCAACACAAGGGTATTAAATCGGCTCGTCGCGAATCTGTGTCGCGGAATCCACAGACAAGGCGACAGGAATACCGAATGCTCCTTGCAACAAGAACAATGGCTTAGCATGGCCCTTGCGCCTCCTGTCCTGACAAGGCGATTTTTGCCAGGGATGCTCGCCTGCTGTGAGGGAAGAAATCGAGGAGACAATACCCAACGAGCCATGACCATAGGTGCGAAGGTTCCCTTGAGGCACACATTGAAGCCAGCAATCATCTCTACCAGCTTCAGTAGATCGAGATAAGTTGATGTCCATTCCCATTTTGGGTCTGTTGTATTACCTGCTACAGAGGTCAGTGAAGCCTCATATGTTGATTACCCAATCATATATTAGTATTCAATCCCGTGGTGGCATTTGATTGGCCCACCATCATGAATACTATTATTCACATCATCCCACCGCCAGCCATCGGCTTACATGCTGACTTCACATATAAGTCCTTCAGTGCAGCTCCAATAATCGCCGCGCGGCCCATCAGTGGGAGCGATTTCCTCTGTTACATTATTAAGAGTACGACTCAGCAATAGCAGTCATCGACCGAATTGAGTCCCGACTTCGCGCCTAGCCTCCACAGTCTCCTTAAGTTAGACCATACACGAGATTCAAAGTTAATTATAAAGTATTCTCCTCGAATCATTCTTCAATTAGCCCTGTTCAATCGATAGTTTGAGCACAGAGGAATACTTGCGTACCAAAGCAGGGACTTTCAAATGAAGCCTCCCTAACCGCGTCTGTCGTTTGAGCTATGTAGGACGCATATCCGGGATTTGAGTCCCTTCAATATCGTTTAGCTGGGCTCGGACCCTGCCCCTCAGATGAACCGCATTCCGCCCATTCTCTCATACTTCGACTTTCTCAAATCCAGTTATCGCGATTTTCCAGTGCAAATTCACGAAAGCTTTTCGGTGGACGACCTGTTACCTTCAACACTGCATCGTCAAGTTCAGCCTCTGAACCCTTTGCGATCTGCTCATCGAAGCCGGCCAAAACTGTCGCAAAGTCTTGAGGCATCCCAAAACTGATGAACTTTGTCTTTAGCTCCTCGAATGACAGCCTTTCATGCTTCATTGGCTTTCCTATCGCCTCCGAAATAATCTGTGCCACCTGTAGACCCGTGAGTATCACATGGTCTAATTGAAAAATACCATATAGGTCATACCTCTTCATACGAGAGAAGCTCTGGGCCACGAATGAAATATTCCGTGTCATGGGGTGTTTCATCGGTGAGTAAGTGAAAAGCAACTGCAGCTATATCACTGGCTGCTACGAAAGGAACCTTTCCATCTTGCGTTGCGGAGCAGACAAACCCTTCTCGGAATCTGACCTGTCGACTTTTCACATCAGTGAAGTTCTCTACACGATGTCAGCATTGAGCACCCAAGAACCAGGAGAAGCTAGACATGCCCATGAACCAGCTTGGCCGGACGACGCCATATTCAACACCAATTGTCTCCAGATATTCGTGAACTTTGCCGTACGCAGGGCCACCTTTAGGAATTACAGTTGCGCTAAGAAGCACAAACCGTTTCACACCCTTCCTTCGAGCATGGTCGATGAACGCTTTCATTGGTGTGAAGGAATCTATGACTTCGGGCGCTACTAGGTAGACCGCAGTGATTGGGTCGGCAGATGCATCGAAGGGAAGATCATATGTACTATGGTCTAGCCAGTCGAACCGGACATGTTGTGATGGGCCATCCTTTGAAGGCGATCGTGAGGCGACCAGATATGAAAGCTTTCTCGCCTCTAGCAGCGCTGAAAGCTCGCTCGAGGTCTTTCCTTTGCCGCCAGTAACCAGTATCGTCATTTTGAGCCTTGAGGAGTAAATCTACTTTTAGTCATTCAGGAATGTGGCTACATATTGCAGTTAAATCCCTCCGCATCAAGGCATCTTATACACAACTGGCATTATTCCATTTGGCATATTCTCCGCACCGGACGAAAACGGCCGAAGCTTAACGATGGACCCTGAAGCCACTCTGGCCCCAACTGAATCATTGCTCACTAGACAAGATCGAATGATGCCCAGGTCAGGCCGCTTCTCCCCGGAGTCATCGTGTGAGCATGGCCCATGCTGTTCAAAAGCGCTTACGCCAGGATTCAAGCGATCCTTCGCGAAACTCAAGTCGCTAAGGTTGAAATAGACGGTGGACTTAGGTCGCCTAAAGTCCGAAATCTCTAACAGATGAACTTATATTTGAATACTTCTTTCCAATAGTGCGTCACTTCGTCGGCATTTCGCCGTAGACTTCCTCAATAAGCTGGATATGACGGATAACCCATCACAATGTATCAAGTGACTGATTTCCTGCTCGATCGAGCAAATATCCAAGACACCATTACGAAGCTGGTATGAGCAATCCGAACGTACCTGAGCACCTGCGGGAATCATCATCTGATGGAAGCAGTTGCTCTACGTCGACATGCGACTCTGGGACAAACTGGAGGCTGAGGTCCCGGCGAACGACATGGTACTTGATTACAGTCTTTTGTACGGAGGAGAACCGACATCGATCACTCCTAAGGATTTAGTTGCAAAATGGCGACCTCTAATTGATGGAATGACTTCTACTCAGCATGTACTTTCGTGAGTCTTCTGGTCACTGAGAAACAGCCTCACCTCAACAATTACCTGCTGATACCATACCCTTCGACATAAGAGGTGTTCTGATTTCACTCCCCCAGCCGGGGTATCCTGGGAAAGTGAGTAAAGCGTCTGTCATCACCAATGTGTCGGTTCGTCTACAGAAGGAAGGGACAGAAGGAGGAGATGTCAACACGAGTGGAGTATGTCCAGACCCATACCGCTAAGCAGTTGCTGATAGCTTTTGCCTTCAACATAGGGACGGTATGAAATCGAGACGACAAAGCTGCCCGACCAAGATGGAAACCCTTGGCGAGTCTCAAGCTTTAAGGCGGTCCCCATCTGGTTTGATGGGAACGTCAAAATCTTAACGGCCGATCCGGATAAAATCAAAACCGCTGGTTAAGACTGTGGTGAGGATACGCCCCTACTAGCCGAGGTTGCTTTAGACACGCAACGATTTTCTTTATCGACAGGTCGATCTGACGCATGGATGGTGATTCATTCAGGTTTATGTGGTCAGCCAGCTGAACAGAGGTACATATATAATAGATAGTCATCAACGTGTTTACATGCCTGTCGCAATAGTTGAACTGTTGTCTAATGAAGAAGCCATTGGTAGATTCTTCCAATTCACAGTTTAGAAATCAATGCAGAAAGAGCCTTTTTCACCCCCTGCAAGTCCTGCATGATCATTTGATGCCCACTTGTCACCACCAACACTTCTGTCGATCCTCCAAGCAGATTGCTTATGTCGATCGATCTCTGAGGTGGGCTGATCATGTCCTTGTCACCTGCTACGAAAACTGCTGGGCACTTGATCAGACCGTAATCTGGGTCTAGATGATCATCGCTTGCGACCACTTCAGCCGTGGCGGCGTACGCCTCTGAGGAGCAGGAGGACACCGCCTGTCGCACCTCCGCCACGTGCACATCCTGATTTTCTCGATCCGCCGGGAAATTTGACTGGACTGCGATATCTGCGGCTGCAACAGTGCCATTTTGACGCGATATCGCTGCGAGATCCCGCATTCGCTGCTGTGCTGGTGGTATTCCGCTGACCGAACGGCCTACGCCCAGGAGTAGAAGTCCTGCCACTTCGGTGGGGTAGCGGGCAGCATAATGGAGACTGATGATGGAGCCAAGGGAGTGTCCGATGAGGAGGACTGCCGCGTTGCCATTGCTGCTGTTGCTTGTCCCGTTGGTTGCTGGGGTCGCAGAATTTTCTTGTATATGTGTGATGACATCGTGTAAGTCAGAGACATATCGGGCAAAGGAAAGTGGCTTTTCTGGGTTGAGTGGTGTTTTCCCGAATCCTTCGATATCTACACTGATGGTGTGGTAAATGGGTGGTATGGATGGAGTAAGCAGTCGAAACGCCTCTGCTGAAGCGCCTAATCCGTGCAGTAGCACTGCAAGATAGCCTTGCTGTTTGCCAGAGGAGAGGTAGTGAATATTGGTACCATTCAGTGTAAGGTGAGTCCTCGATACACTAGTCATCATTCTTGTCGCGCTCCACTATCAAGAAACTGAAGCCTCTGAGAATACAGGAGGGCTACTAGCGACTGAATCTGCCTTTACCAAGGTTTAACAATCAATAATGGGACTTTTCATAAAGCGATGCCATCGGACCCGAGGCTGAACCCGAGCCTTGACTGAGCATTGAACTCGAGCTCGGCCGAGCTGACTTAGTATCGCAGCTCGCCTATCTCGATCAGCATTCCAGATCTTGCACCGAATCTCTGATAAAGTCTCTCTTCCACAACTACAGACATATTCTCGGCCGAGGATTACAAGCAGAGGCTGACACGGGTCTTCTCTAGACGGAAACCTCGGCTGAGAAAAGCTCGGCCAGCGGATCATTAATGAAGAAGTATTCTGACTTCGAATCCACACCGCAATACACATCCCATTGAAATCACAGTTGTCGAAATCACCAATCAGAACCATGGTCGTCGAGTCACTTACAGAGGTTATCGCCCCAGAAGGCGTTCAAGCGAGGCTTGTCGCAACGAGAGCTTTCGATATCACACTGCCACATGCCGAGAAGACGAACGGAGATGTCGTCCCTCTGAAACATCCAGCAGAGAGCAAGGTGGACTTTGGCGCCGAAGTCTACGGGATAGATTTGAACAATTTCAGTGATGCTGACTTCGACTTCATCTCCAATGCATTGCATAAATACAAAGTTTTGATTTTCAAGGCGCAGCCGCAAATGCTCAAACCTGAAAACCAATACTTGCTGACGGCCAACTTCGACCCTGAGGAGACGACAGGAGGCTTTGCACATGGCGCAGACCCGTTCCTTACATCGCACAACAACGTCAATATCTACGGCATCCAAAGCCGACCTGCCATCCCTGTTCAGCCGCAAGTGCACATTCTCGGACGGGGTGAGGTACCTGAGGATCATTACCAATTCCCTCCCGGTTTCAAGATCAAGGGCATTGACCATCATGAGTTCCATCTTCCACCACACATTCCTAAAGAGGAACGGGAGAAAGGTGCCAGTAGATTCTATCAATGGCACTGGGATGGAGCACTGTACAATATTCCGCCACCAAGAGTTGGCTGTCTGCTCGCTGTGCGGACTCCCAAGGGTCCCGACGTGACTGTCCGCTGGGATGATGGCACAGGAACAGAGATGAAAATCCCCCCTGGAGCCACAGCGTATGTCGCAGGATCCAGAGCACTTGAGCTCCTCGACGATGAGACCAGACAAATGGCGTACTACAGCAGAATAGAGTACGCACCCCATGCCTTCAAGTGGATGTCAACGGCCCATAGCGCTAGGCTTGGTCATATCCTCGAAACTGAAGGTCTGGAGCTGCCCCGCTCCAGGCTTCCTCCAGTCGACGTCAACAAGATCTGTGTCTATCCGATGGTATGGACAAACCCCAAAACAGGCGAAAAGTCGTTGCAAGTTCATGGACAAGGAGCTGTTAAGCTTTACCTCAAAAGCAGCCCTGACGGGGAAGAGACGATTATCGACGACCTAAAGCAAGTCAGAGACTTTATGCATAAGTAAACCTTCTCTCCCAAGAGTCTGGTACATGTCTTTCTGCTGACAAACTGAATAGAATAATGCGGCCGGCTATATCCCCAGAGAACATATATGCACATCGCCATGATGAGCGTGACGTTGTTCTCTGGTACAACCGTGCCTTGTGGCACAGTATTGTAAGTCCAATCCGTAGTGATGGTTCCGTGAAAAGCTGCTGACCTGTACTCCAAGACCGAGTTTCCTGAGTCATACGGCCCAAGGATCATGCATCAATGCAATATTGCTGCATCTGATCATCCTTCAGGATAATAAGGTCGCACCGTGGTTGAGACATAAAGACATTCGATGTGCAGAGGTAACCAAAGGGGCTAGAACCCGCATTTAGACCCGCCCCAGGGCCTATTTGTCGCGAAATCTAGAGGGGATAAAGGGGCTTCTCGGTGTGTGATGTCAATGTGTAATGGTACAACCGGCTTCACTTGAAATAGGTTCATGGTAGATAGGATGTAGCGAATCGGCCAGCTAAAACCTTGTCATCAAAAACCCGTCCAAAGCGTATCCACCCTTGCACGCGCGAAAATCCTCACTGATAGTTCCTTGTGACATTATTCTACTATTCGCACGGTTACTCCTGCTGTATGAAAGTAATGTGAGAGAAAAAAGGGTAGATTCTGCTATTAGTCAAAGCCCAAGGCCGTGATTAGCAAACGACATCAGACTGTCAAATGTCTGCGTGCCATCTGCATCGTTTACTGGCATATTCCATATCCAATTCATGTCTGCTGGGAGGTTTAATGATTCGTCCAATCCGATAGCTTGAGAGTCATCGGTATGCCGCAGAGGATGAATATTCAACCCTGATACACGAGTTTGTCGTTCTTGAGGTTTGGTAGGAAGAGATGAGCCATTCTCGAAGGATCGGGCGAACTCTGCGGCATCAAACCCTCGATGTCGTTTCCTTGAGGCTTCGTGTCTCGCATTCTCAAGTGGTCTCTTTCGACTCTCAGCGCGGTCTGCAACTTGCTTTTGCAAAGCATTCAATACTTTAACGCCGCGGGCCGCGATCATACTCTTTTGCCGACATAATTGAAGATGCTCGATGGTTTGTTCTACGAGGTCTGCTCCATCCTGGTCATTTGACGATGAGTGGAGAAGATCAAAGTATATTACGATACATGCTGCGACTGAGAACGCTTGGTGGGTCCACAGCATTGGACTGGATTCGTCTCTACTGTTCGCGAGGTACTCTTTTAGAATGGTTTTGGAAGCTGCCAAGCACGTCCGCCGAGTGAATGCAAAGAAATGGTTGGAGAAACTCAGGCCTAGAAACTTGCTACATAGGTATATTAGTACTTGCTCGGTCTCTTGTCTCGCGTGGCAACACCTACCGGTGAATCATGATGATCTTGTGGGCGGAACTCATGGCGATCGCTTGGCGCGCCCAAGGAATATAGCAGGGCCAGTTTTCATTCAAAGCTGTGTTTGCAAGAAAGGGGGGTCTCGCTGTGGCCAGCGCTCGCATCTTCTTGTCGTGAACCAGAACTGCTTCATGTTTTGTGTATAAAGTATTAGACAATGCCATGGCATCTTGTAAAGCTGGCATAATTGCGGCGACCTGAGCGAGAAACCGGCAAAAGCTTGTAATTGTCGGCTCTGCCTCTGGAAGGATTTGTAAATTTTCGTCACAATTCTTCGGAGGAAGCGAGATGGAGTGGAGCGGATTGATCGAGTAGGATTCAGAGAAGGCAGTGCTGAACCAGTCCTGCGTGCAGAGCTCTTGCCAAACCCGGCGCCCGGTCTCTAGTGCAACCTCTCCATCTCGAGCATCCTCATCGAGCCTGTGAAGGCCCAGGCTCTGAGCTATCCGAATGGCTGATGCTAACATCACGGACTGAGTGTTGGAGTGGCCTAACATATGAGCAGTGTTTGTCAATGTTGTTATGGCCTGCACTGCATTTACGGAGTGATGCGCTGTATAATTGGCGGCGTTTAAAGAGATAATCACTGCTTTGAACCATTTTTGGGACAATAGTCTAGATTCGCTTTCCTCGAATCCCCACTTTCTGGCCTCGTGTGTCGGAGCCGAAGTGATGGTCCCTGCCATTATGGAAAATAGCAAGGCTACCCATTGTAGGTTGAGCCCTACTGAATTAAAGTTGCCATGATGGTCGTCGTAGAACGAATCAAGCTGCTCCGAGAAGGTTGGTGTGAGATATGAGCCATGAAACCAAAGCAAGCAACTATTGTGGTATTCCACCAGATGATACACTTGACGCCGTGAGGGAAGCAAGATTTGTAACCAAGGGACGAGATTTACGTCAGGGTTCAAGGTACCATCAAGGTCTTCGTCCGGACTGACACCAACGCCGTCCTCCTGCTCCGAGACTCTGAGGGCTTCTGGAGACAGAATGGTTCGGTCTGGGTCTTTCATGCGACCCCAAGCAAGAAATTCTAGGACTGTAACTGCATCTTCAATCCCTGAGTCTTGACTCGGTGAGGATGATCCATCTTGCGCAACCCTGCCGACGACTTGGTCAGCTGTTGGGGTCGGCGACCGGCCCGCCTTGCTCGCCTCGGCATTTTTCTGCTGTAAGGTCGCCTCGAGCTCAATCACCCGACGCCGAAGAGTATCGAAAGCAGCCTCATCGTTTACGTGCCCAGAGACTGATGTGCTACTCTGAGCACTGAGTTCATCGTCTCCAGCACGTTCGCATTCGGAAGTAGTCCCCCTCCTGACGCAATTATCGCACGGAATTTCCTTGTCGCACTTGACCTTTCGGCGTGTGCAGATTCGACAGGCAAGTTTTCTGCGAGGTATGGTAGACATGAATAATTGCCTTTGCCATACCAGCAGCATTCCTAAAGGTCATTGCCATGTCTTTGTCTAGTTGTGGGTGAGCTGCAGTCGGCGATGCTGAATCTCAGGGTTTTCCTAGCCAGTCTGACGTGTCAGACCGTCATTTACAAATTTATCATTCCATGATGTTGCTAGTCGTCATTTGCAAGGCTGTTAAGCCTTGTTGAGCAGTGCTACAGTGAAGTTCCTCACTATTGTGGTTCCAGTGGCTACACGTACATAATCCCACACCAAGACCGAGCGCTTACTATTGTCAGACAACTAATTGAAGCTGAATAACATGTCATTTTGGGCTGTTGGCCGCCTGACACGATATAATTATCATGATTGTCTCATGCCCGCAGCACTGATAAGAAACATTGTGATGACCAATAGTAATAATTATTCGTCGTGCGATTTGAGTACACAAGTCCACATGAATGCGATAACGATAGTTCCGCAGCTCGGCCGAGAATCCGAACGCCTGCAACGGCCCGTAGCATTGTTAAGAGTATGATTCGAGCATCATTGCGAAGCTTGCACAGCGGCTCAAGGTGCGTACAACGGTAAAAGTTAACTCTGGGTAATAAATCACGGTCCTTGCAGTCAAGTTGCAGAGCGGAGCAATTCAAACTCGCTCATTCCGAAACAATGTCTCCAGCAGCCCTCACACCAGAGCCGACCTTTCAGGTTATGCCACTAGTCAAACGCAAGGACCAAAAGTTCAACTTTGGTGCTGCTGTGGAAGGTTTAGACCTTAACGACATCTCTGGTAATGCGGCCCCCATGTGAAGCGCTTATAAAATGCTAACATATCAAGACGATGATGTCAGGAGGCTGAGAGAGGCAATATGGACGCATAAGGTCATTGTCGTCAGAGGCCAAAAGGATCTTGAGCCTATCAAACACTGGGAGCTCGTCACTCGCTTCGACCCAGACGCCTATCAAGTGCATAGTCATGGCGATATGAAAACATTTGAACAGAAGGGTGGCCTTCTCTCAAAGTCCCGTGATGTCTATGGTATTCCTGGGGCAGAGAACGTGCGCCTGATTGGAAAGGGGTACCAAGGTCGGTGGTGCAATTTCTCACTTATGTTGACAACAGCTTTGGCGGGACCACGACGCTAATTGTAAAATGGCAATAGGCGAGGACCACTACGGAATCAAAAATGTCACCATCAAAGGTTTAACAAACGAATTCCATGCCGACCCCCCAAACGACGAAGAATTTCAAGAAGGAATCACACGCTTTCAAAGATGGCACATCGACGCCCCTCTATATGCCCGCGAACCAGCCTGGTTCACCACTCTTCGCGCTATCAAGCTTCCATCTGGCCCAGATGTAACTATTCGGTGGGATGACGGCTCCGGGTTGAGCATGAAAGCTCCCCCGGGATTGACAGCATTCTTCAGTACATCACAGCTATATAACATGCTCAGCGCTGAAGAAAAGCAGCTTGCTGACCACAGCTGGGTTGAGTACGCACCACATCCATATATGTGGGTTGAGCATTGCAAAGCTCCTTCGACAGGACTTGGGTTGAAGTCCGAGGGGAAGGAACATACTATCGAAGAACTTGGTGAATACAACGAGCATGATGTGAAGAGGGTAAGCCTTTAAGTCTCCAGGTGTTGCAGATTAGATACAACTAACAGATAACTAGTATCCTTTTGTATGGGTCAATCCCGTCACTGGTGAAAAAGCGTTTCAAGTTCACGGACTTGCCGCGCGGAAACTCTTCCTTCGGTCATCGGAAGACGAGGAGCCCAAGATCATCGACGATGTAGTTCCTATTCGCTCATTTTTGCACAACATCCAGACTCGCATTCTGCGCCCCGAGTACATATGGCTCCCTCAGGTTGATGAGGGCGATATAATCATGTGGGACAATTACGGTACCTTCCACACGGCTGTGGATTATCCCTTGGAGAAGTATGGCCCCAGAACTATGCATCAAGCAAACATAGGTGCAAGTAAGGGCCCTGTTGGAGCTGTGCCAATTCCTGCTGTAGGTTAAAGACAACTGTATGTAGTTGAACGACCTGGAAAATATGTATGATTGTTATTATTATTTCGTGGAGCACTTTATTTGGTCCCCAAACGGCTAGATGGTCGTCTATCTTATCCACGGCCCCACGTAAATCTTCGAGTAACTTCACTCACTCCTTCTCTCTCTTCAAGATCTGAGACATGCTCGGGGTTTGAAAAAAGGCTCGGCAATGAAGCAGGTAATATCATATAGCCTCATATACTCTTATCATTTGGCCACCGAGTAACTTCGGCGTAGCATATTGCCTGTATCTATGTACTATCACTACTACGTTCAGTGATATGAGTGTAAAAGAGTCCAAAGTCTGCAGTGTGGTCCTCAAATCGATCAGCATTGCTCAGATATGCAAAATAGACCTGACGTTTGGAAGCTACCTGCATAACTCGATGCCCCATAAATAGGGACCTCGCCTGCGAGACCCCAGGTACCCGGGCAACAATCTATTCTACACATTTAAGCATTGCCTGTGTTACCTCCAATGATCGCTCTCAAGCAACAGGGTCCAAGATTACTGATGGCTTATACTCTTCAGCCCGTTTATAGGACCGGATAAACTGCTCCTGGAGGAAATCCTTTACCGAGATAGGGCCATATGGTGCCTCCGGAATGACAGGGCCGTAAACCCTCGTGAAGGCCCGCTGTGGTCGCTGCTCGAGTCCTCGGATCGTTTCCAGCACGTGGTTTGGATTTCCGCTATAGAAGAAGGGGATAGAATACCGATCTGTAGGTGAGAAATTCAGCACACGATGGGTGTTCGAAGTATAGTGATGATTCGTCCAACGAGCCATAAGATTACCGAGGTTGACCACATAAGCCCCCGGAATGGGCGTGATATCGAGATATTCACCCGTCCCCTCGTCCTGGACTTGCAAGCCTCCGACTCGGTCTTGCAGCAGGAGCGTTATACATCCAAAGTCACGGTGTGCGCCACAGCCACGCTCCTTATCTGATGTCCTCGGCGTCGGAGGGTAGTGCACCAAGCGAAGAATAGCCGCTGGGCTGGACTCGGTGAAGTGATCAAAGTAATCTTCAGGGATGGCGAGAGCGGCGGCTAGGGCGCGCATCACATCTCGGGCCAAGGTCTTCATAGCCTTGAAATACTCCATGCATGTATCGTGCCATTGTGCACCGAGTACAGCAGGGTAAATGTTCGGACTACACCCATATTCACCGTTGACAACATTGGGATGGTCCAGAGACAGGTCTTCCCCCAAATAGATGCCTTCTTTCGTATCGGGAGCGGTACCAGGCTCGAGCATCTGGCCTCCTATCATCTCATAGCCTCGTCCACTTTTGCCAGGGATGAGTTTCGCTTTCAGCTTCTCCTCCAGCGGGAGACTGAAGAGCTCTTTAGCGGCAGAAAATATCTTTTGTTGGAGATCAGGGTCAACACCATGGTTGGTGAGTTGGAAGAATCCCTTATCCCTACATGCCTCACCCAGAGCGTCCAGAAACTCCTTCTTCAGTGCCACATCTTGCCCTCTGAACGCTAGTAGTGTCGTCAGATCACAAACATATTGGCAGACGTATAACTCTACCTGATAAGTCAAGAACAGGGGGAAGTCTTGATCGTGTATCTAAGGATCCCATCTGGCAACTTGGTAAGTGCCCACTTGATACCGTATCTTGGGAGCTTGATTGAAGCGTCGTGCAGTGTTAGAGTACTAGTAGTTATTTCCTTAACTTCGTACTCTGCTCCGTGACCTATTTATCTATCCACGAGCGATCAATATCAAGTAGGAAACGTAAAGAATGATTTTCATGTGACGATGAAATGACCAAATATACAATTTGATCACTATCAGCAATGGATTTTCGTCGTCATATGTCCGGTCGGCAGGCCCAGATCGGATGGTTGGCGAAGCGAGAGAGTACTGAAGATCGGCGACATCCGTGAGTATGCACTACGAAAAGAGTGTGCCTCGTGGGCAATCTACCATGCATGGTTAAACTTAGCATTCTCTGGGGAATCGTTGCAGGGGGCAATTTGGTGGGGAGATAGGGCAACGGTGGGCAACTCCACACCAATTGTTACCAAGCTCCGAGTCGGCAAGGCTGAGCCTCCAAAGATAAGGACTACCTCGGCCGAAGGTTATCATGACACGTTCCCAATCGCAGGCATTGAGACATATTGCGGCCATGTTGGTGAACTAAACTATTTTCAATGCCTGTATTTTAATACGCCAGCATGATAAGATGCCGTTCTCACTAATAGCTTTCTAGTGCTACTCTGATTGGCCAGTATGGGCATCAACCAGGTCCGGCTAATGCGATAAGGGCACATCATGGTAACCAGCTCTCCTTCAAGCACGTATATAACAAAGTTGTGCCACAATGAAGACCGCGGACCATCGTCTGACGAGTGAGTACCATAAAACTGAGAATGGGTCTTTCTGGCTTCCACGAGCGTGCCCAACGCGATTTCCAGAGCTTCAAGCATGCGTTCACGAGCAGAAAAGCGTTTGTCAAGTTCATCGAGACAAAGCCAACTGCTGGCAACAACACAGAGGCGATCCGAAATCAATGGACGAATGAAGACCTCGACATCAGCCCTACAAATCATCATACATGGGGATGGTACGACTACGCGGCGTTTTGGTTCTCCTACGGGTTCTCTCCCGGTCTGTGGTACCTTGGAGCGGCACTGCTTGCCAATGGATTGACTCCAGCTCAAGCACTTGGATGCCTCTTTCTTGGCTTCTTCTTCGGAGCAGTTGGTATCGTCATGCACTCTCGCGCCGCTGCGGTTTATCATTTCGGCTTCCCTGTCGAGAGTAGACTTGTTTGGGGACTCTGGGGGTCATATTTTCCCATCATTATTCGAGCACTTTGTGCGTTGATCTGGGGAGGTGTTACCATTGCAACAGGTGGATATTTTACATCTGTTCTGCTCCGATGCATTTTCGGTGACTCATATTGGAACTTGCCGAACCATATTCCCCAAAGCTCGCACATTACAGTGCAACAACTCATAGGTGAGTCGTCGAATGGCTGTTGTGTGATAGATCTTTAAGGCTAAACATGAGCTTCCTGTTTTAGGAATCATTGTGTACTGGTTTATGACCTGCTGGACACTTTCTATACCGATTCCGAAACTCCGTCGAGCTTATGAGATCCAGATGCTCCTCACACCACCCACAATTATTGGTAGGTTCTCCCACGGTGTGTGCATGATGAAATACTTTGCTGATCTGTCGGACTTTAGGGCTATTTATCTTTTGTGTGGTGACCGGGCGAGGACATGCACACAAAGCATTATACGAGGTCGAACCTAAACATGGTGCAGCACTTTCATGGGCATTGGTAAGAACAACTCCGTGTTCTTACAGTAAAGATTTTAAAGCTCACCGGAACAGTTAACTGCAGTCAATTCAGGCCTGGCCAAGACAACCACTCTCATGGTCAACCAGCCTGATATTGCACGCTATGCCCGTAACAAGGTGGCTCCTATCTGGTCTCAGCTCATCATGTTTCCAGCTGCTAGTACTGCCTGCGCTGCCTTGGGCATTTACGCCACGCAGGCTATCTTCAATGCATGGGGAAACATTGATTGGAATCCGTAAGGGCCCACGAGTATTTTGCCCTACTTTCGCAACGCTGACAAACGACGTATCGCAGATGGGATTTGAATCACGATATGCTTGATCACAATTTCAGCCATGGCCGTAGAGCTGGAATCGCTATCATCAATCTCGTGTTTATCTATGGCAATACGTTGATTGAGCTAGGGGCCAACGTAATTCCATTCGGAGCTGATTTTATGGCACTGTTCCCACGATGGCTCAATATCAGACGCGGCATGTGGATGTGCTATATCCTCGGAGTTTGTATCTGCCCCTGGCAGATCCTTGCCACCGCCACCGGCTTCCTTAAGTTCCTAAATGGGTACAGCATCTTCCTGGGATCGTTTCTCGGAATGGCGTTGACAGACTACATCGTGGTTCGCAAGGGCAATGTCTTCGTAAAAGACCTATACCAAGCCGGTGGGAGGTACTGGTACTTCCACGGTGTATCTTGGAGGGCGGTTGTGACCTGGATCATCTCAGTCAGCTTCATGGTATGTCTAATATCATAGAGCCACAAGAGTTGCATTGGCTAATTATAAATTCGAACAGCTTCCAGGCTTTGCGCGAACCTTTGGCGCTGAGATTGCGAATGGGGATGGTTGGAGTCATCTTTATGCCTTCAGTTGGTTCTACACCTGCACCGTTAGCAGCGTGGTGTATTTCGCATTGTCATTTGTGGGCGACTTTGCCAAGGAGGAGAAGGCTATGTCGTTTGAGCACCTAGCTGGCAGTGAGGTTCTCCTGGAAGCTCAAGCCGTTGAAGCACAGAGCGACTTTTCTGAAGTAGCCTTATCTGTCGAACAGAAGGTCTGAGGTAATTCTTTGATATAAAGAAGTGGACATCCAAATAGTTTTGAGATAGTCAGGGAATTTAATATCAAATCCACAAGAAGAAGCACATGGGAACTCGGAATACTTATTAGGTCGTGACACTAAGCTGTTATATAGAACGCAGGCTTATGTAGACTATGAACTTCATTTCCATCTCACACTCAAATGATGCAATTTGGGATCGCCGTACTTCTGCAGGGAGCACCCGCTCTTGCTGCATCGTTGGACTCTAGTTGGCTCATCCATCCTTGAACTGCTGTTTATCTTCCCCAGCTCGGGATCAAGCTAAATCTACCTTTCCCAGCCTGAACGCTCTTCAGGCCTCGACGATTGTAAATGAAGAGGATGAGGACCAAGATCTCAATTACAACCACAACGATGGACGCAGACCAGGTGTACTTCTGCGCAAAAATAATTAGCGATCGATTCCATGTCCATGCGTGAGTTCAACGTTGTGCTCACCTGTTCCACGCACAAAGCTTTCCACGGGATCGTTCCCTTGACATTCTGTTCATGACAACTCCAAGTCCAAATATCCCACATAGACTTTTGCTTGCCTTGGGAGTTGGCCAATTTGAAATATACCATCGCTGGGATCCAAAAGGCGATAAGAATAGCGGATGTAATGTAAACGCTCACGGCGTGCAAACGAGAGCCATGTCTATCGACAAGCTATAGGTAGTAGTTTTAGCTCTTAAAAATCACATCGGCGGAGAATTAAACTCACACAAACACACAAGTGACTAGTCAGAGCACTAAGCTGTATTACTGTGGCAACAACCGCAGCGGCTATCATGACCCACGTTGGCCATCCATCGATAATAGCCCAGGAACGAGTATTTAACTTGGTCGTGTTATTGAAGAAGTATTGATTTCGTGTAGACAACCAAACGGAAGCGGAATGAACTTGAACGCCGAGGATGGTGATTGCGATGATGAGAGCAATGACGCGAAGTCCAACACGTGCGTGTTTACCTCGGGTAGCTTTACCATGGGCGGGCTTGTCCCGTTGAAGCCGAATATTGTTGGCGTTCCTTTCGTGAGCATCAGGTGCGATCAACTTCTCAGAAGCTTCGTCCACATCGCCATCACGCTGAGGATGACTGCGGAAGGGCTCGTAAGATGATGACATATTTATTATGGCACAAGACTGCTACAATCGGCTGAAAATTGACAGAATAGCAAATAATGTGCTACAGGACTCAAAGGAGCTCTGAAATGAGTTATCTCTTGAGAGAAGACTGGTCGAGAAGACGTACCATGCCTAGCATATATTTGCTATTGCAATATGACCATATGACTGTTAGAATGGCAGGTGGAGCTTGGTAGACCACACACCACGAATTATGCTGAGCTCGTTGACTAAGCTGTAGCCCTGAACGCCACTCAGCACTTGGACGCTCGTGGATACTATTCAGGAGTATTTGGGAGCGTTTGGAACCGCCAACCAATAAAGCTTGTCTAGTTTAGGAGCACTCGGATAAAACTTCTGGCGAATATACTTATTCTTGCATCTTGGATTACTCGTACTGCGGAGTGGCAACTGTGCCTACCATACATAAGCTGGGCAGTTCTTGAGGGCTTATTGTGGATTGGGAATTCCCGCCACAAAGCGGAGCCCGCCACCTTGTTCATGCAGCATTGTCGATTACACTCGATAAGCCGCACATACACGCAAATCGGCTCTGCTGGGGCGTATGACTTGGCACAAATGAACTGTGATTTGTATGCTCGGAGCAAAGACCCAACAGGGAACAGCTCGAAGAGCCATGCGCGTAATTCTAGCCTTAAGATCCTCTTTCGAACTCCTGCTGTGCAGATATCACTGGGGCTAAAATTCTCAGTAAGCATGCAAGGTCTTACTGGAAGGCGTTGTGCATGTCGCATCAGCAGTGCAGGAGTAATAGATATTGTCCAAGATGAATCGGCGCTACTGATTAAGCAAGAGCCACTGTGGACCATATGAGAAAGACACATATATCCCACGAAGTGCACGGTCAGCCTGTGCTCATAGTCAGCGATTGTGTCTATATCATATTTCTACTCTTCATCTATCATGATATTCTTGGTAGCTTCCGTGGTCTCTTTACTTCACCTGGTCGCCTGTGACATCTCGGTCCAAGGCTTCGATGACACCCAATGTGCCGGAAACAGGATTGGCACTAACGTGCATTCAAATGCCGGAAATCTACACGAATCCAGCAACTGTATCGCCTCTGACACCTTCGAATCAATCAGCACAATCAGTGTCGACGCTGGATTTCAGTGCAATATCTATTCCGACACTGCTTGTCAGAATTTCATCACCAGCACGAACACAGTTGGATGTGTACCAGTGATTGGTCAAGGCTTAACCTGTTTCAGTCAAGCATCATTCGACAATCCCTTAGCTGGTAGTACAGGAAACATCGGAATAGGCAAGAACAAGATCATTGCTAGCACCGGAGATGAAACCTTCGAGAGAGCTATCAGCAATGCATGTGGCGATGCGATATGCGACCCAACTTCACGGGACGTTCTCAACTTCATACATGGCCGTAACTGCGAAGGCGGTCTTGCTGACGTAAATGGCAATCCGTTCCTGACTGTCTGCGACAATAGAGATCAATGTACGCAGACCATCACCGTCAATGGCCAGTTTGACAATACGCAACAAAGAGACTATATGAAGGGGCTGCTGAAAGCAACGATGAAACAAGGTATCGGAGGTTTCGTGCAAGCCGACAGCAGAGACACGTCCCCCAACGATCAATTGAGTTTTGCAAGTGTGGTTATAAATGATGCAAAGGGCGCGGATTTAGCTTCGGTAAGTTGTCGATACAGACCCAACGCCTGTGTTTACAGCTCAATGAGATTTGAATTCGAAACAATCTAACATTGATAGATGTCGATGTCCATCGAGGTGCAATGTACGGAGATCGAACCTGATGCCTTCAACTGTGACCAGCCTTTTATCGATATTCTGAAAACGTTGGTGGGAGCAATTCCCGCGGTAGGAGAAACTATTGCATCAACTTTCGAAGTCGCTTGCGCGGTGAATGACTTAATAAACGGGTGACGGGACATAGGGTTAGCGGCGTGTTGGGTAGAAATGTTCTAAAATCATGGCTTAGAATTGGCTTCTGGGCTACACTTCTAGCCTAGAGATTTAATACTTCTCATAGTAGAGGGGACAAGACCGAAAATCTCTACCAGAACTTATGGTCCTCGTCGTTGCATTAGGTTGCTAGCGCACTCTGTGGCTAAGTTAAAATGAGTCTTTTTGTTACTTGTACCACTTTGAAACGAGGTAAATGGACGCTCGACTGACCCTCGCGGAAGAGGGTGACGCCAGTCTATCTTGCCCTGAACTTGCTGGAGGCTATAAGCACAAAGCCACGCATACTGTGATTGCGTGGTATCAAATCAGCATACCAGGCATTATAACTACCTGGGACACTTGCGGCAAAGAACGACATACAGCAAGCGACATATTCAAATTTTTTGACCTCTGAGCAAGTTCAGCAGCAGCTTACTCTTGCCAACAACCCCTCTGAACTCCCAATAGACACCAAACACTTCTCGCCCGGGTAGTGATAGTGATTGGGAAAAGGTAGACTATGGTAAAAGGATCCTGAGTTTCTCATTTAAATATGACCCGGCGGTTAATGATGAGTAAGGCCGAACATTGATATGCCGATCGATTCGGCCCGACTCCAGACTTTGTACCCGATCACGAGTTTGAGGTCTGCTGGACTGTACGATGGTCACCCGTCGTACAACGCTCTCAACCCTAAGCTCATTGTGCGAGAATCTGTGAGGGATCGAAATTAGCATTATTCGGACGGAATGCGGACATAATCCGTCCAAAAGATCTTTCTCGAGACAAAACCCTTGTCTTTTCTCCAGGATCTTCCACTCCGAACAAGTGGGGCATCGAACTGTGCTCTAGGCGTACCTATCAGAACTTCCTAAGGATGAGTTTATGTATTGATCGAAGGTCTGGCCATTTTTCATTTGCAAGAGGAAAATCGTCGTTGCCATCTCATCAGATGCCTACCATGAGCGAGATTCAAGCATCGTACAACCTTCCGTTGATTATTGCTTGTGGCCATAAACCCCTGATGGAAGATGCTCGCTTTCGTACAAATTCCTATGAAAGGCAGCAATCGGCTTCAATATTTATTTAGCTCAACTGACTTCAGCTGTGGCAGAATTCACCTCCAAACATCCATTTACACCGAGTTTTATATCCTTCAACAATTCAATATTGGTATCTAGCTACCATGGCGGAGAGCATAATATTCGAGAGGGATATTGCCATCCCCATGGATGATGGATTGATACTTCGAGCAGATATATTTCGACCTAAGGAGCAAGGGCCACACCCTGTAGTGATGACACTTGGACCATATGGGAAAGGAGTGCCCTACAGGGTGGGCTACAAGCAAGCTTGGGAATGGCTCATTTCGACACATCCCAATATCCTTCCTGGCTCGTCGAGAGAGTACACAACATGGGAGACTGTTGATCCTGAGGTCTGGGTACCCTTTGGATATGTAGTCATAAGGTTTGTTTTAATCTAGTTGACGGTTATACCCATCTAACACGAAGATAGAGTTGATTCAAGGGGTGCTGGACGCAGTCCCGGAAAGATAGACATCCTCAGCCCTCGTGAAATTCGGGACTACTATCTTGCAATTGAATGGGCCGGTACACAGACATGGAGCAATGGAAAGGTTGGGCTGAATGGAATCTCCTACTATGCCGTTACACAGTGGCTGGTAGCATCACTGCAGCCACCGCATCTAGCAGCAATGATCCCTTGGGAGGGCGCTGCCGATTTTTACAGAGACAGCTGGCGACATGGGGGCATTCAATCGAATGGATTTTTCGAAGCCTGGTTACCGAAACAAGTACTAGCGGTTCAACATGGTAACCCGGACAGCGCTCATGACCCGTGGCTGAACGAACGCTCAACTGGACCGGAAACTCTCTCAAAAGAGCAACTAGAGCAAAATCGCACGGATCCGGTTCGGGAGACATTGGAACGTCCGCTAGACGGGCCATGGTACCGAGAACGGTCAGCGGACTGGAGCAAAGTCACCGTTCCGTTCCTATCTCCCGCAAGCTGGGCGGGTTTCGGTTTACACCCGCGTGGAAATTTCGAGGCATTTACGCAAGCAGCTTCAAAACATAAATGGCTTGAATGTCATCCAGGGAGACATGAAGAATGGTTCTATATTGACAAGGGCATCGATCTTCAGAAGAGATTTTTTGACCATTTTTTGAAAGGGATCGACAGCGGTTGGGACAAGCAACCTCCTGTTCTTCTAAACTTACGTCGACCATTTAGCAACAACTTCGAAGTGAGGCACGAGACGGAATGGCCACTAACAGGGACTAAGTGGTCTCCAATATATCTGGACGCGCAGGATTCTACGAAGCAAGCAATGTCATGGGAACCCTCAAAGAAGCCCTCCCAGACAAAATTCAAGGCACTAGGCGAACCTATCACGTTCATGTCCAGTCCATTGCAGGAAGCCACGGAGATCACCGGCCCCCTTGCTGCCAAGATCTTTGCTTCTTCATCGACTACGGATATTGATCTTTTCGTTACATTCCAAGCTTTCTCTGACGGCGGCCGCGAAGTCGAGTTTCAGGGAACTGTTGATCCACATACTCCACTTGCCCAAGGCTGGCTGAGAGCTTCCCACAGAAAGCTTGACAAGGCAAAATCACTTCCGTATCGACCGTTTCACAGCCATGACGAAGCTCAGCCTCTCGAACCAGGTAAAGTTTATGAGCTCGACGTTGAAATATGGCCCACAAACATTCTCTTACCGGCCGGCTATATGCTTGCACTCCAGATCAGCGGCAAGGACTTTGAACGACCACTGCCTCCGGATCAAAAGTATGAGGGCTACGTTACCCTGGGGTCGGGCCCTTTCCTCCACACCTCGCAAGAAGATCGCCCAGCTGACATTTATGGGGGTGAAACGACAATCTACACGGGTGCTGATACGTCGTCTTATCTGTTGCTCCCTGTGATTAGCCGTTGAGAAGAGGTTGCTTGACGTGAGAGTCCTTGCTTATTGTATTGGGGATTCTGATCGTTGCGCTCGTGCAGGTCTTTGCAGCAGCTGGTCACTTTAGCTAAAGAGAAGAGAATCATCATATCCAATTAACGTTCACCTGATTCAGTTCGATCGCCATGATGACTCTGTGCTGAGAATAGTACCCCCAGCACAGACTTTCCATACTTAGCTCATACTCTGGTTACAATAACTGTCCGGTTCTCTGTTGATCCTACACTTTGTCTGCCACAGCTTCTCCAGTCTTCTCGCCTGGCATTTTAAAGACAATTTTAAGGACCTTCCTAGCTTCAAAGTCCTTGTAAGCTTGCGGCGCCTCTTCGAGGCTCATGGTCTTGCCGCACAAGAAGGACACCTTCTTCTGCTCCTGGACCAGTATTTTCAAAGCATCATCGAAGATACTACGAACTGGACAGCGTCCAAATGCCATGGTGACGTTCTTGCCGTAGCACAATAAGCCGTTCAGATTTAGCATTTCAGTGTGCACTCCGATAGAGCTGATCTGACCCCACGGACGAATCATGTCAAACGCCAGCATGAACGCATCGGCATGGCCGACGACTTCGAGAACGACGTCGGCGCCGCGGCCACCGCTGGCTGCTTTAATCTTCTCGATCGGATTGTCGTTCAGGTTGATAGGTATAGCACCGATTTTCGCGGCTTCAGCCAGCCGTTCAGGGACAGAGTCAATGGCGTAAACAGTTTTCACCATGGTCAAGGCGCACGTGATCGCACAGATTCCAACTGGTCCGCAACCAATAACCACTGTTGTGAACTCGTCACGGTCCCGCTGTGGGAGGTTCTTGAGGAATCGCGAGGCTGCAAAGTAACCAGTAGGAAAGATATCCGCCATCAGTACTAGCATCTCTTCCGGGATACCTACAAGGTTCAAGCTAAGTTAGTGATCAGAGTACAAGGTACACTTGAAAGTAGTAAGGTTGTGGTTGGCATCGACTCACCTTCTGGCGCCTTGGCTAGGGTAGTGTTTGCTAGAGGCACTCGCACATACTCCGCTTGTCCCCCATCCACGGTATTCGCAGGCACAGAGTTTCCGAACAATTCTCCTTTCGAGCATCTACTTGCCTGACCACGAACGCAGTAATAGCATTCTTGGCAAGCCGTGTAGAATGGAACGACTACTTTGTCGCCAATGGCAAAGTTACTAACTTGGTCTCCTTTCTCGACGATAGTGCCGACAAACTCATGCCCACAGATGAAGTCTGGAGGGCATTTAAGATGACCTCGGTAGAAGTGCAAGTCCGAGCCCTATAGCCCACACAAGATTAATAGGAGACGAAGCAGGAAGGGGTCAGTAGCAATTGGCAGCGAAGCTTGGGGGGCTCACGCAAAGGGCGGTAGATGTGACTTTAAGCACAGCGTCGGTTTGTTTTTGTAGCTTTGGATACGGGCGATTTTCGACAGCAACCTAGAGCGTTTGTTTCTGCGGTCAGCAATCCGTGCCCGGCTTGAACCATATTTCGCGTAGATGGAGACAGATGAACATAAGCGGAGAGAGAGCCTATTTACTTCAAAATTCCCTTTCAGCACTACAGCTCGCATGGTTGAAGGAGGCATGTTGAGTTCGGCGGAAACAATATCCGAGTTCGGTGGGTTGGGAAAATATCTAAGATAACCGTTGATAGTAGTAGGCTTCTAATGCTTGAATGGCCCAGGGGAATGATAGAGAGTGATGCAGAGCTGGGAGTGATATGGTGTTCTTCTACCTAGGCTTATGCAGAAGTTTATCCTGTCGTTGACATCGAGAGTGCCAGAATTTAACTCTTCTCTAGCCAATTCACCCAGGACGGGCAAACGGGAGTGGCATACTTCTATCTCGAGTGAGGAGAATGGTACATTCCCCGCCTTTGAACTTCCGCGGTAGTTTGGGATGCGGGGGACAAGGCTGGGGATGAGGGAGTTATGGCTGAGTCATGATCAGCCTTGCGCCAGGCCAAGGGAGACACCAAACCGGGCTTGCTGCCTAATGCAATGTCTACACAGTGAATCGAAAACATGGTGGGTAGCAATTCAAGAGCAAATGACAACAATTTTGTCAGTCAGGGATCCCACGCGCAGATTCTCTAAGGAGCAATCTTCTGCCATTTCAGAATTCCGCGTGCCTTTCTTCCATCCTAATGCCATATTTAGTAAGAATTCTGCAGGGGAGGCTGAAAAAAACAAACCTTTAGAGTGTACTCTTTGTTTGGTCTGAGAGTCATATAGTCAGCCCCTCCTTCCACACTATGATCAACTCTCCTTGTCTGTGGCTTCCCGATCCAGTTGGGGTTATGTGCAATCTCGACGGTTGTATGCCAAAGAAAGCCCCCATCATCCCTCTCGAACAGTGTAATGGGTCCACAATAGGAGGTGAAGCTTCGTCCGATACGTAGAACATCATCATCAGATGCGAGCTGCCAGTCGTCAGATGCCAATTGCGACATGACCATGGGAGGAACCAGTATCGCCGAAAGGTAACCAGATTGAGAAATAACGACTCGACCCAAAGGCGAGTCCCCGTGAGGCTTTGACAAGAGGGTCTTGTCGTCCTCTTCAGAATCAAACATTTCCCAGGAAATCAACGCCCAGGTGCCTGATAGTAGCTTGCCATGCTTTTCAAAAGGAACCTCAATCATGGTGATCAAGATTAGCAAAATTCACTTCATTGATCGCGAAAAGGCCGATGCAAACTTAGAGTTCGCCTCGTTCAAAGCTTGCGAGTGCCAAGAAAGAAGATCGGATGCTGGCAGAAAAGAAAAGAGGATGATCATCATATTGTCCACAGCCGACGTACACTTCGATTTCTCAACCGGATGATCAACCATGTCAGTAAGTTCATCACTCGTGGGCAACCCCGTGGGGAAACTGCCGAGGCATAAGCGGAGATTGGCACCTAAGTCTCCGTCTCCAACAACTATACAACAACACGTCTACCTAGAGTAAGCCGAATAGAAAGCCAAGATTTTCATGTGTATGTGTCATACAGTGTCAGTTGCGACATCTGGGATGTTGCTATTTATTATCTGTTATAACTATTTAGTACAGTATTGGCGCATAGCTCTTCAGTGATAAGGGATAGTGTGGGCCAGTTGTCCGTCCAACTATGGGTATGGTGCTTAGCACCAAGCGCTGGAACATGTCGTCGCATGTTTCAACGCGTTATTGCGGACAGGGAACCACTCATATCCCCTCTGCCTTCCTTAAAAATAAAAGATTCAGTATCCACAACGTTCCAAACTTTCATGAATTTGGATTGACCATTATGCGATCGCCTGTCATCTGAGAGCTCACCATTCCTGCCAATCTCCCTGTGCACCAAATATCCAGCCAACGGGATCAGCACCGGAGGGACTGAAAATTCTATCCACGTGCTGAAGTCATCTTGAACTCTATCTCATGGATAAAAGGCATCATTAATAATTCCCCTGAGAAATAGAATTGGCGTGGACCTCGTGGACCCCTAAAACTGGGACATCTGACATCCAGACTAATCGGATAGATCTGATCTCCGGCACCTTGCGCTCGTGTTGAGGATCAGGGATTGCGGGACTTGAATTTTCCAGAATGAGACCCTCAAATTCTTATTTCCTTGAATGACACGGGGAAGTCTTCGAATTACCGAGTCCCAAGAACAGATTAACAACATGACGTGCAGTGGGAAACACGAACAGCTGACGGCCTTAGATCGGCTTCGGGGGAGTCAGGCGATTTAGAAAATGTCAGTTCGGCACAGGGATGGAATTTCCCAGAAAACAGGTTATCTGGCAATGCACGAAATGTGAACCCCCCCGCCCCCCCTCCAATGTCCATCGCAAGGGTCGTCTATAGGCCAGAGAACTGTGGTGTCCAACCTAATCGCCAGTAGGGTTCAGGCTAGACCGGTTGAGATCTGCCGATTCTCGCTCCCCTCCACGTGAACGGTTGCAACTCTATCTCGTACTCTCTTTTGCTTCTGTTGTGCCAATGCGTAACATAAAGTGAGATGGGGTGAATCCATGCGGTGTCGCCCACATAATCGCTGCCAGACTTTTTCTTCGTCCTTAGCATGGCTCTTGTGATAGCTGTCACGGCGTTATTTTAGATTCGACACGACCGATAAGACGGAGATTGAGGATAACATAGCTCGAGGTTGGCCTCGTCTGACGAGCATGCATTCACGCAGGTTAGATCCATCTCTTAAAAGCTGAGTGTCTAGCTGAGTCACGATCCTACAGAGGCAGCAACAGGGACTTTGGCGATGACCAACGCGCCTATTTCCAAGCCCTATATTATGGTGTGCTAGATCAGTATGGGTTGTTGCGTCCTAAGTGTTGTCCTGCCGACTAATTCTTTCCAAGGCGCGCATCACAATATGATAGTATTTTTGTGTTGCCCGACACTGAAACGGCTAGCCCCAGTGTAAGAACGCCAGCGAAGAGACGGGGACATGAGAGTTCTGACCATAAAAAGTCCGAAGCAATAGACTCAAAAACAATCGAGTCCCTTGCAGACCACCAAGGCAAGACTTTATTCGAGACGAACCTCGAGCTATCACCCTCCAAAATCGGCTGCTCTGGAGGAAACTTGCCGATGTTTGCAGGCCCTGAGCCTGTCTTCCAGAAACAAGACGAAGACCCATCCCATCCCCTACTTGAGGACCAGATCAGTCCTCCACCGTTGTCATTGCCTTCCTCCTCGGGATCTGAACAGTTTGCATCGCCTGATCCGGATGCCTTGGAATTTCGAAAGGTTCGATCAAAGGCGCACTCAAAAATCAATACCCAAGGCAAGACGAATCCTTCTTTTAACACGATCGAACCCGGTGGATCGTTAGTAGGTGGGTCATCGAAAATCCGTAAAGGCTCTGCGGGCAAGCCGCTGCCGAAAGAGCCATCCAAAGGGGCTCCTCACCCTAACCAACATGTTCGGGCCCAGGAAGGACCCCAGTCAAATATTAGGAAGACCATATTCGTGCATCGCAAGTCGCTTTCCTCCGAATCATTTGCAGGAATTACTTACACACCCATATCTTTACTGTCTCTTGACCCGGCTGAACTCATCTCTTCTGTTTGCAGAAGCTATGCGATAGATCCTGATTCGATTGATCCAGTATCCATCTGGCACGATCCGCACACCGGCTTGCATGGTATTGTCGATGACGCATTTCTAACGAAGCTGGTCAACGACCAAGATATTGTTTTTGATGTTTGCCCCAACACAGGTGAGTTCAAATCATGGGCTCTCGATATAGAAGATCTCATATTACGTGGTTTGATTCAACGCTGACATCAGCGTTTCTAGAAGACGCGGGAGCAAACGACGCCAGCCCGGTCAATCTGCAGAAAACGAGACCATTCATCGTATTGGAGATCTGAGACACCCACCCAATCAATGTAGACGCAAATTCATTGGGTGCTAGTCTCCAAGTGGAGTTCCAAGCCTGGTATCAGTAGATTCCACAGATGAATCGCAATTTATTGTCGCTGGGGGTCCAGGGGATGAGGCGGACACTCAATTCCGAGTCAAACCGTCGGTTCGACCAATACTAGCTTTTGTGGATTGTCCGCTTTCGATGGCTGTGGCTACTGGATAGACATGAGCCTCCTGACAGTTTCTTCGGCTACCACGACCAATTCGATCATTGATCCAATTCGCATTCTGCAAAAAGTTCACGCCAAGAGATTGACCTCCGCTTTCTATCAATGACGGCAATATCTGCGATACATTCGCGATAGCTGTCGACAGTTCCAGGTTCTTCTAAATTGATTCAGGGTTATAAAGCGGAAGGACCTGAGCAGAGAAGTTGGGTAGAGCAAGTTTCTTCCAGTTGAGAGTATTTTGAATCAAAGACTCGCTTGTTCAAGATGTCGACGTTCCGAAAGCCTGAGAGGAACGATCACTTCTGGTTTGAGGGCATTTCACTATGTGTGGGTCAAAGTCCGTGACCGTTGAGCAGAATGGATTAAGAGAACCACGTGATATGATACGACAGTATTCATCATAGCAGATTACTACTTCTGTGCTTGGCTATCAACAATCTCTTACAGGGTGTTCACTCGCAATTCCTCGTACCACTCTCACGCTAATAGTATGATGGTTCGTGTTGAAAGAGCCACGAGGCCATTCGAGTCCTGTTCCACCGTCTGCGTCTCCTCGCCTGAGCGCGTACTGTTTGGGACGCCGGCGCCCCGATCTTCATAGAAGATTCTTATCAAAGCAGGATTCGCAAAGCGATCCAAATCCAAGTCCATCCATCGAAGCCATCTGGCTGCCTCTTTACAATAGTCGCTCTCTCAATCTCGGAGGCCTTCACAGTGAATGCTCAACATCAATGGCTGTTGGCTCAAATCTTAGGGATGAGCCGTTTGTTTATTTGGAGTTGTCCTTGTCCTGTGATAGCTTGCTGGCGCTGAGCTGCTCCCTCACTCACAATCCACGTTTTGACGCATTCAACAAATCTATCGATCTGATGGATAGTATTCCCAGCGTGTAAGCATACTCTTACACGCTCTGTACCTTTTGGCACAGTTGGAGCTACAACAGGTCGGGCGATAAATCCGGCAGACTGACAGTGGGCGGCTAATGTACGGGGTTTCCGAGTAAGTATGGCAAAGATAGGTGAAGACGGGCATGTTTCTGGAAGCGTCATGAGTGGAACAGTTGGAGAAATCCGTACAGTCTTTAGCAGCTCCGATAAAGATTGGAGCCGGGTGAAGAGGTGGTCAATCAGAAGGTAGAGGTTTGCCGCAAGCTACTGCCATCTTAGTGAACGCCAAATGGAACAAAGGAGGACCAAAATGCTCACGATATTTGTCTTGCCAGTCTGAAGCCAAACATAAGCATTTTTGATCCCGACAAGACTGGGATAGGACATGAACGTTGTGTAGATCAAGGGACGAGCATAATTGATGAGATATGAACGAATCACATCGGAGCAAAGGATGATAGCTGATCATGCTTTAGTTAAAAGGGCTCATTGCGTCCGCGAATTGCATATCACTTACCACCACTGGCGCCCAGGGCCTTGCCAAAAGTATGGAGTCGAATGGGAACCCGATTTTCAAGGCCAAGCTCACAGACTCGACCTGAGCCATTGGGACCATAGCACCCGGTTGCGTGTGCCTCATCGACAATGAGATAGACATTCCTTTGTGGGCATATCTCGTCTATGACATTGACAATCTCTGCGAGTGGTGCCACATCTCCATCCATGCTATAGACTGATTCAACGGCAAGGAAGACAGCTGCCTGGGGCCCGTTCGAGAACTGTCCCAGAATTTCGGCCATGTGTGAGACGTCATTGTGTCGGAACGATACTTGAATCTTGCATTTACTTTGCCTCATACCATCATGGACACTGGCGTGTATGAGTTCGTCGTAGAGAATTACGTCTTCCGCACTCGGGAGGAAGCCAAAGATGCTGACATTGGCGTCAAATCCCGAATTGGTTAGCAGCCCGTTTTCTGCACCATGGAAGACTGCGATCTCCTTTTCGAGAGCTTCTGCAAAGACCGAGTTGCCATCGAGGAGCCTCGAGCCAGTTGAACCCAAAGGCCCGACCTGATCATTCAGAAGCGCTAGGTAGTCGGTTTTGTACTCATTATTGGTCGATAATGAGAGGAAATCATTTGATGAAAAGTCGACTGAGCCAGCCGGGGTCGACTTGAGAGTTCGTAGTCGTGACTGACCCTTACGCTTCTCCAGCAGTCTTGATAGACGCTGTTCAAGATGGGAGGGTGCCATGCCTTGGCGGATTGAAGAGATGTTAATTTGTGAGCTGCCTCGGATAAAAGTCGGGTAGCTCAACAAAACAATAATGAGCAGGCTCTAGGATGAATCGAAGGGCAAGAACAGGGGATTATATAAATTTTGAAGTAAGACGGCAAACTCCACTAGGTCAGCTAAGTTTAACGGAAGCTGTCGTTCAATCACAAGAAGACCGAGGCAAAGCCAGAAGATTGAGTCGGCGCAGGAAAATTGCTGATGGGAGGTTGATACGATGAAATTCGGTTGATGGATGGCCGTGGCTGACCTGCCAATCGGAAAGTCGGGATTTTCCGGGGCCGACAGCCTTGGCAGGCACAGGAAAGCTCTAAGTGGGCCACCGGCAACGACTATGTCACGTGTGGAGACCCAATACTCAACGACAACTTTGACGAGTACGAGCAATAATCCCGAGCCATCTCTAACGCCTGTTCTCCGTTTCTCTTCCCAGAACCTCGCTTTCTCGAGTCATCATCGATCATCTTCGTGATGCTTTGGAAAGACCTCAAGGTATGGCAGATCTATGGCGCCAATACAGATGTCGGTAAGACAATCATCTCGACCCTGCTGTGTCAGGCTCTGCGGCGGCGAGCACAACAAAATGCACTTTTATATCTGAAGCCAGTTTCGACCGGCCCGCAAACTGATGCCGATGATGGGTAAACTTCTCTTGATCGTCTACCACCACTTTAAGCTGAAAAACCTATAGACATCTTCGCCGTTTCGTCCCAGGTATTGTTTCCAAATGCATATCTCAATTTTCACAGCCGTTGAGTCCACATCTTGCTGCCGAGCTGGACGGAAACAACACGGTACGAGCCGTGATTCCAGAATTCTCCAATTGGCTGTACTCACCCTTTGCAGATACCGAGGTCCAACAACACAATTCTTGCACAGATCAACAAGCTCCTGAGCCAGCACAGCCAATCTGGTGGAAGATATGCAATCTTAGAGACTGCTGGCGGAGTGCTTTCTCCCGGGCCATCTGGCGCTGTTCAAGCAGATGTGTACAGACCATTGCGCCTTCCAGCCCTTTTAGTCGGAGACAGCAAGCTCGGAGGAATTGGGACTACTATATCTGCATTTGAATCACTGCACGTTAGAGGTTATGACGTTGATTCGGTGATTGTCTTCGATGACCCGAAATGGGGGAACCACGGATATCTCCAGGAACACTTCTCAAACCACGGCATCTCGACACATGCAATTCCGCCGCCCCCTTCAAGGCAGGATAACTCCAGAGATGATGAACTAGCGCTCTCAGAATACTACGAGACATGCTCGACCTCGCCAGCAATCACCAATATCGTGGATCTCCTACAGCAGAAGCACTTTTCACGGGTCTCAAAGCTTATCTCGTTACCCTCCCAAGCAGAGGCCGTGGTATGGCATCCCTTCCGACAACACGGTATCCCACAGAACATCATCGCCATCGATTCAGCATACGGCGACCATTTCCAAGCATACAACGCGGAGACCGACCCGGCATTGACTGCACCGCCAGCCCAGCAAACCACGACTGGCCTGACACCACTAGCAGCCATACCAACAGCCCAACCTCTCCTAACACCCCTTTTCGACGCTTCAGCCTCCTGGTGGACACAAGGTCTCGGACACGGCAACCCCGAGCTAGCACTTACAGCAGCTCACGCTGCCGGCCGCTACGGCCATGTCATGTTCGCGAACGCGATCCACGAGCCTGCACTAGACATCTCTTACAACCTCCTTCGCACCCTCCAGAACCCACGCCTCAGCCGAGTCTTCTTCACCGACAACGGTAGTACTGGAATGGAAGTCGCCGTGAAAATGGCACTACGCGCATCATGCCAACGGTACGGCTGGGCCAAGCAAGACGGAGTTGGAATTCTCGGCCTGCAAGGCAGCTACCACGGTGACACGATCGGCGTGATGAACTGCTCAGAACCGAGTGTCTTCAATGAGAAGGTCGATTGGTACAACCCGTGGGGCCACTGGTTCGAGCCTCCTTCGCTATTGATGAAGGATGGGATCTGGGAGCTCTCAGTCCCAACCGACGTTGCATCGGCCGATATGTGTGCTAATCCTCAGATCTTCACTTCCATAGACTCGGTGTTTGATTTCGAATCGCGACATGAGGATGCGGAACGCTATCAAACGTACATCAAGAAAACATTGACACGTCTGGTCAAAGAGGAAGGCCGCCGGTTTGGAGCTTTGATTCTAGAGCCGCTGCTCATGGGCGCGGGAGGCATGATATTCGTGGACCCACTCTTCCAACGCACCTTGATCACTACAATCAGGACGAATCCTGAACTGATAGGAGTCTCTGAAAGTGATACCAGCGATCCAGGGTCTTGCTGGTCCGGCATTCCCATAATTGCCGACGAAGTCTTCACAGGCCTCTACCGACTCGGACGGGCAAGCTCATCGTCATTCCTGGCATCAACGTCCGATCCCAAAACAACTTCGGGCCCCCAACCTCAGTCGAAATTTCAAACTCAGAGTCAGCAGCCCCAGGTACCAACTGCCATCGCACCAGACATCGCCGTGCACGCTAAGCTACTAACGGCAGGCCTCCTCCCGCTCGCAATCACGACAGCGAGCGAGGCAATTTTCCAAACTTTCCTGTCCTCCTCCAAGACTGACGCTCTGCTGCACGGCCACAGCTACACAGCGCATGCCGTGGGATGCAGTGTGGCGAACACAGCGCTCGAGGAGTTCCGCAAGCTCGATCGCACCGACGGAGCTTGGGAGTGCTTCAAACAAGCTTGGAAAATCGACCTTGTCGATGTCGGCCCTGACGGTGCAACAGCACGAATCGCAGATACGGAGCCCTCTCCCTCTGCAAATTTATATTCCTTCTTCCCACCACCCTTGTTGCACCGCCTCTCACACCATCCGCGACTCGCCGGGTGCTTTGCACTTGGCACTGTGCTCGTGCTGAAGATGGCGGCGCCATCGGGCTCAGCGGGCGGGTACACGTCGACGGCGACAACGGCGCTGCAGGCACGACTGTTGACGTCGCTTGACTCGGAGCATGGCACTAGCTCTGCGATCCATTCTCGTGTGCTCGGTGACATCATCTATTTCATGACTAGCCTGACGACAACGCAAGAGGGCGTGGAGAAGCTGGGTCGGATGATTCTGATGGCTCTGGATGCCGAGGAGTGAGATGAGAGGGTTGGTATGAGCGTTTAGCTGGGTGACATCGTGTAGAGCGCATTCACCTATGGCACCGTGCTCACTGTGCCAAGATAATAAACTGGCCGAGTCGTTGTCAGCTGGCTACAAATTTCGATTAACAGAAAATGCATGCTGGTTGGATTCATTGAACATCGATGCAGACTGGTATGTTTACCTAGGGATCAGCATTTGGGTGCCAGTAGGAATCATACATCGCCGACCTCCACAACTGCAATAATACTCCCGGTCAAGTCAGACAATTTGCCATTGAAACTCCTAGTGCCCAGGGAGTCACAACTACAGACATTCTAGCTTCAGTACTTCACTCTTCACCACTAGGGCATGGATCTCTAGGAATGCGAAGAATGTTTAGAAACCACCATCTCAGGCCCATGTAACGTGAAGGGATTGCAAACGGCCCCTGTCTTCGGCTTTTTCTTCGCCTTTTAGGTATTGTTCTTCTGCCACCTCTTCTTCCGTGGTCACACCTGTGCTTTCATATAGAAGCCCGTTCTCACCGACATATCGAAATTTGACTTGATGATGCCGTGGAGCATAGATGTTGTACAGCCGTGCAACCCCTCTCCTACAGAAAATCCATAGTAAAAATCCCCCAAAGCTGGTGTCAATAGCTATATCATCGATGATATCATCTTCAACCCGCATCAGCCTAGCGCCTGGAATCTGGACTGGCCTTGTAGGTGACGTTTGACTCTTACTCGAAGGGGTCGGACTTGGATCTTGACGTTCCATCAGCGTATCTATAGGCAGGTCACTTTGCCCGATAACACCCTGGCTCTCAGCGCATAGATCGAAAGATTTGCGGGGATCCTGAAGATGCTCAAGTAGATCGCGTGGCACGTTGTAAAGCATAATAGTTCCATCCTGCTGTGCTGCCACAATACGAACACCCCATCGAAGGTCTTGGCCAGCGGTGTATCTGCGAGGAAGAGCTCGTTCGCACCCCTCATCCATTGCGTGCGGCGGCGCAAAAAGCACTTTACGAACGAGCTTTGTCGGCCCCCCGAGTGGAGCGTCGACCCCTAAACACAGAAGCCCGTTCAGAGGATCCGTGAATAGAAGATGCTTCCCATCGCTGAGAGGAACCGCACGATAATGATCGCAATCGACAGTACGCAGCACACCTTGAACCTCTCCACTTTGTCTGCGGATTGGCATCAAGGAACTCGACCGTTGCCCGGTCGAAATTGCAGCTGTTGGAACTGGAAGGTTGCCAAAGGATAGTCTTGTCATGCTCTGGCGCCGCCCTTGCAAAGAAGATGTTTGCCAGTATTTCCACTTGCCGGAAGTGCTGTCGCTTCTGGTCAGCGCTGCTGCTCCAGGACCAATTGCACTCGAGATGAGCCTTAATTTTCTGCGCGGATCGATATTTTCTCTTGCCGGAAGGAAGAAGAGGAAATCACTTGGTGCAGCCAGAGGGAACCATCGACTCAGATCCCCCCCTGTCAAAGCATCTACCCAATGAAGCTCTACGCCCATGCGGCATCCAAAGGCAAGGCATTTGCGGTTGGGACAGATAGATACACTTCTTGGTTCGTCATCTGGGCTTCCGAGATTGGTATATAAGGCGGTGGCATTTGTCTCGATAGGAATGCTGTATCTGCGGGATCCACCTTGAAATTCTGCTGCAGAAACACAGTCTGCCGCGCCAGCTTGCCTTAAAGACTCATTATAGTAGGAGGGTGGAATTGGCACCGTAGGTTGTGATGGGGAATCACTGGAGAGAGCTGTGTCCCCAAAGGCAAGTTGTAAGGCGCTTGTCGAGTGGAAATCAGCGGTCGGCATGGATAGGTTCAGCGCAATATCTCTCGACACAGGGCTTGAAGCCGAACTTTGAACGTCTGCTTGCATTCCAAGACTGATCGGCTCCCCAGAGCTTTTGCGGTAGCGAGTTTGTGTCATGTTATCGACCAATTCCCACAGCATGCCTTTGCGCCCTGAAAGCAGGGCTGCAACTGCATATCTTCCGGAGCTCGTGTCCATACTGACTTTTAATACTTGAACACCAGCAGCTAACTTCACAATTGGTTTGATTGTATGGCCTCGATTGGAAAGACCAAAAAGTGAAATGTACCCAGCAGAAGTGACCAGAACAAACTTTCTGCAAGCAGAAACGGTGAAATGGGATTGAGTTGCATCACCATTGCCTGACTCGAGGATTTTGGAAAAGCCTATCTCTTCTATGAGAGATACCCTGTTTGCGGAACTTGTACCTGCAGTAGTTCGACCATGCCAATCTGGCGACAGTCTGCTTTCGGTGGCCAGCCTTCTTCCGCATATCCATTCTTGATAAAGGCGAGAGAAATCCACGGGTTGCCCATGATTTTGATCATCAGGTAGATTCAAGCGGGGCGGTACAAAACCCTCCGGCGAAGCTTGTAGACGTAGGTCTTCCTCAAAGGCAGATTTGCAACAACCAAGCCTTAGCATCTGTTCTTGAAGCTTCCGATCCTGACTAGCAAAGTACCATGAGGCGCATATGTGACGTGCAGAATCAAAGCCACAAGGCAAGAGGTATCCCAATATTTGCTGTACAAGCTCACGTGGCAGGCGATAGAAAGCAGGGAGGTGTGGCGGAGGTAGATCTTGACACCACTGCCGACAAACCAGGCGCAGGAGCTTGTACTCGGAAAACGAAAAATACCCTAACGTGAGTTGAAGGACAGCATGAGGAAGAGTGGCATAGGCACTGTGACGGCGGGTCTGAGCTGCATTATTAGAGACCGATCCGGAACCGCTATTCTCATCGCATTTAGGGAATACTTGAGCATGTGATATCCTTGCAAAAGTGTCGCGATGTCCCGAAAATGCGTTAGGTCGAATATATGCGCTGTATCCCGAAGCTGTAGAGCTTTTCCTGGATTGGTGATCACTGGCATCGCGGAAGGGATTCAGGAAGAGGCTTTGCTCGTTGTCACTAGTGTCGACAGGTGGTGCTCTTTGGTTTGGCACGGACCAATCACGTGAAGATCTTGTGGATACAACATCACCATCGGGGAGGGCATGTGTACCACCAACTTGAGTAGTTGAAGACCGAATCCTGTTATCACTAGAGGTCCTCTGATGGTCCAAAGAAGGAGTAATATGAGCGCCCTCACAACTACCATCATAGCCTTTGGGATCAGCATCAGTGGATATATCTTTTGCAGGAGACCAGAGTGGGAATTGCAGTCTCGGGAGATGACCAGAAGAGTTCACTTCTTGATGAAGTATGAATTCGGAGCCAGTGGAATGACAATTATCGGGTGAACGCGCTTGAGGACTGTCGCTGATCCAAAAGTTCCGAGGTTTTGTACTGCAGGACATTGTGGAGGAGCCTGTGGAGTGACAAACATTTCGTCTGCTCATCCCTTTCATCTCCTTTAAGCGGAGTTGAAGAGGCTCATCATGCTCTGAAAACCTGCGACGGCGAAGCTCCAACCGGGTCCCAGAGCTTGCGCTGCAAACCCCTGCTCCTTTCGAAGTCGAAGCGAAGTCAACGCAAGGACTCGACTTGATTGTGAAAAATGTTGCATTGCACAGTGATGCAGCTGACATCTGATCGGTTCCAGTTCGGTTAGGCTGTGGCACGAGGTTTTCTTGTACTGTGAAGGGTCTATTCATCTGATAGTCCATTGTAGGGTTGAAATCGTGTATCGAAGCGATCCCTTGGGAGACAAGGATTTCCAGAGCCAGGCTTACAAACTGCCAGCCCTTAGACAAGGGTTTCGGCTATAAGATATCAAGGACTGAATGTCAAGGCTAAGGAGATAGATGCAAGAATAGGTGAAAGATGACGATCAAGAGGCTGGAAGGATGGAAATGCAGAGTAATGCATGGCCCACAGGTAAAAGTCAGAGGTGAGAATGGCCGGAGTCGCCCTTGCCATTGTCATAATTGACTCAGACTGGCAGTTGCATGATAAAAGAAAACATTATGTAAACAAATAGGATGAGCCTTCCTTGAGTCGCAAGATTGGAGCTTGATGATTCAGGAGTCAAGGAGGCCGAAGATTCAAAATTCAGCTGAAAGAAGTCTACCTCTTCGATATTTGCTGAAGCACAGCAGGCGAATTGACTTGCGGTTGAACATAATATATGCTAGATAGGCAGGTAATATTATGATTATGAGAGTGATATGAACAGTGACTGTCGCGTACAGGGTATCTTACGGAAAAGGCAAACCGAAAGCAAAACACCCGCTGCTCGGTCTAATGGACAGAATATACAGTCCCGCAAGAAAGGGAAACATCTGGGTCACGCCTCGGGTATCGGACGCCCATGACCGGGTTTCCGTATCCAAAGAGTTTCCAATGGGGAAACCAAATTGGGGTTGATGTACCGGAGACCGGTCGTCGCATCCGTATCGACGTGCAGACCATGATCAGTATCTCTATCCCAAGACGATTCTGACGGTGTTGTCAGTTCAGGCATGGCATCTTTGTCAATGCTGCGAAGAGCAATGAAGCGCATAAGAGGGACGTATGTGTGGTGGAAGTAGACTGTAAACCAAACTGTGCTAAAAAGAACAGGTGCAATGAAAATTGATGCTGTTAATGCGCCTCGAAGAGCCAAAATCCCTGTCATCGCAACTTGGAAAAGAACCAGGCCGGTGATGATTCGATCACAGATCATAGGCCATGCCCTGCCAGTTGAGTGTTGGCGATGTTCCATGGCATACAGTAATTGGTATTTGTGGATGAAACCACCAATCAAAAAGTATACCAAGCCGAACATGGTGATCATCCAAGATGCAGGAAGAACGCTGTAGACAATACAAATGATGAAGATCAACATAGTCTGAGGTAGGTAAAAGCCGTAGCTGAAGATTGGTGGTTTCGCAAGTTCGTAGTAATCGCGAGGAGTCTTGGCGCTAATCAGGTAGAAAGGATACAAGGCCACTGCACCAAACTCTAGGAGCCTGAAGGGGAATAGCCCAAAGCCCTGGAGGACAATGAGGTTGACATAGAAGGGTGACAATTGCTCCAAGGCCTTTGCCACTGCATACATGATACCTGCAGTGTCTCGTAAGATATCTCGAAGATCCTGCCAGAACTCGAAGAATGTTGAGGCCGAACCCCAAATCGTGAAGACAATGAAGAGGTTGAAAAAAGTGAAGAAGAAATTCTTCGAGATGACCGACATTTCAACATCGCCTTGGGATGTCATCCCCTGAAGGTTAGACAGCCAGTCGTATAAATAGGGAACAGCCAGGGACAAGAGCGAGAACAACAAAGTTGGCAGGCCAGTCTGAACAAGTGACCGAAGGATTTCATGGTGTTCCAAAGCTTCCGCCAATCCAGGAAGAACTTGATCAATGACCTCAATACTGAGCAAACCAGCAAGTGGGGCAACAAGAACGGCCCAGAAGATGGTCAACAGACCTATGAAAACCATGATACCCCACGAGCGCAGCATTCGATGATTACGCGAGAGATAGGTGTTCTTCCAGACAACGTCGGCCGGTGGCGGTGCGAGCGAAGTCAATAGCTGGCCGGGCTTAGGGTCGAGGATTGCCTGAACAGCCATTTGAGCGGCTTGAGTTGACTTCATCGTAACGAATGCCAGTGGGGTTGGTTGAAAATCGGAGTTCCGTAGTGCGTATATCCTCTCGTCAAACATTCTCATCCTCTCTTCGTGATAGTCAATGGCATCAATTCTTTTGGAGTATATCCTGAGTGGGCCATAACGAATTGTGATGGTGGGACGAGGACGATCCGCAGGTGTAGCATGTGCTTCTTCCATTTCGGACCTTGACAGGAGAGCATCTGCGTCTTCACCGTCCCCGATAGAGTCTTGGGGTCGATGATTCGAACGGTTGTGACGAAGTGAGTGGTGGTGCCCAAAGTAGGATGTCCAAGCCTCTTCAAGTTTGCGCAAACACTGCATGCGTCTGGCCATAATGCTATCAAGCTCATGCCAGTTCCGGCAAAGCATAACACTGTCAACTTTTCCTATCTGCAAATCCTCCACAACCTTGGTAATGGCCGCTTCCGATCTCATGTTCGTTGGTATGCCAGAAAGGCGTATAGTCCGGTCAGTGATTGTGGACTGAGTACCAAGATAGGCCTGTCTAATTCGGATGAGGTTTTGGGTCTCCGCAACCAAGAGGTAGATCGCTAAGCCCGTAAAAAAGTAGACAAAGACGACATACATCCAGAGGTAGCTGTCATCCTTCTCGAGGTGTGGTTTCTGGGGCTTCGTCTCATTTCCAGCGAAGAAATTGTAGAGCTCAGGGTCGGAGCCATCGGTTGAATTCGAGGGAGGAACAAGGGGCGTGAACTGACCGGTATACCTGTAGTTGACTGGGAGGATTATGGTGAGGGAAAAGAAGAGAGTGACAGACAAGTATTTAATGGCATAGCGGAAAAAGGCAAGGAAGGCAAAGGCGTCAAGGCCGGCAGAAGCAAGAACCTCCTCTTGTGATATACTGTAAATGACAGGGATCCAGCCAAACAAGGTCTTGGGTAGCTCCGGTAACCGTGAGGCAGCGTTGGACTGTTTCTTGCGAGCATGATATAGGCTTGTCCATCTCGGGCGCAACAGCTGAAATGGGCAACTGGTAAGTAAAGGTCAAAATGGGTCAAATGGTCCGCAACATACACAGAATGCGAAGAAAGCGCTCAAACCAAAAGCAACCGAGATAATGACTTGGAATTTGAAGCCGCGCTGATTGGTGTTCTTGAATTGGTCGCCCCAGGAAGGATTCTTGGAGACATTGAGCGACATCAGGGACCTTGCATGAAGATGGTCTACGGGGACCTCGGTCACAGAAAATGACACGAGGTGTAGAGCGCAAAGTATCGTGCAAGGTGGTTGCGTCAAGACGGGAATTGGGCTCTCGCAAAAGAATTGAGAATTGATGATGTATGTACTCTATTTGGAGGATGGAGGATGGAGGATGCGCAAGGTGCGGCACGTGGTCCTGGCGCATTGGTAGATGGAGAATCGATTGTCCGACGCTCTGACAAAGTTCCAGGATCTCGGTCCTGGAAAATAGTTGATCCTGCTTGCGTCACGTGCCGCTTTCTTCACACAAAATGCAATGCTCTCCTGCTGGTGCCAGGATCATCAAGACCTCTCGTCCAATCAGCATCCTTGCAATCTACGCTTTCCAAAAGCTTCAAGCTCGACTTCTCTTGAACCCGCAGGTCAATTCACAGTTCACTTCAGCCCAATCCACCTGCTACCAGCACCTCCACCACTCCCTTCCCTCGCCAGACAGCACCCCATCATCTGTCAAGAGCGCAATAAGGCCTCACAGACAAGATGATGGCCACGTCGGCAATCCGTAGTGCCAGTGCTCCGTTGAGGGTAGCTACACGAACCGTGGCCCGCAAGACCACCACGGTCAGTTGTCTGTTCCGACTTCTTTCGTTCGAGTCGTACTGACAAATATTAACAGCGTGCCGCCTCTTCCACGTCGTCTGCCTCCACGCCGTCTCCCTTATGGATCACCGCAGGGTCATCCGCTGCAACTGTAGCTGCAGTCGGTTCCATTGCTTGGTACTACCACCTGTTTGGGCAAGAGGTTTTTGCTATGACACCGGCTGAAGAAGGGTGAGTTCAATCCACGAAACCCTGAGCTTGGAAATTGCTAATTCTGCTCCTCCAGTCTTCACCCAACACAATATCCTTGGGAACATCAAAAATGGACAAAAACATTCGACCATGGAGCGTACGTTTACCCTCAAAATGCACAGAAAATGCTAGGAGTGAAAAGATAATTGACAATTCTTGCAGATTGCGAAGAGGTTTCCAGGTCTATCGTGAAGTGTGCGCTGCTTGCCATTCGATCAAACGTATTCCCTACCGGTCACTGGTGGGCAATTTCATGACGGTCGATGAAGCCAAGGCAATGGCAGAAGAGAACGAATATGATACTGAGCCCAATGACGAGGGTGAGATTGAGAAACGACCAGGAAAACTTTCAGACTATCTCCCCGCCCCCTACAAGAACGACGAAGCTGCTCGAGCTGCGAACAACGGAGCCCTTCCCCCGGATCTATCCCTCATGGTCAAGGCTCGACATGGTGGTTGTGACTACATCTTCAGTCTGCTCACCGGTTATCCCGAAGAACCCCCAGCTGGTGCCCAGGTCCAATCCGGTCTCAACTTCAACCCGTATTTCCCCGGAACTGGTATTGCTATGGCCCGTGTTCTCTACGATGGACTAGTCGAGTATGAAGACGGCACTCCCGCTACAAGCTCGCAGATGGCTAAAGACGTGGTTGAATTCTTGAACTGGACCGCCGAACCCGAGATGGACGAGCGCAAGAAAATGGGAATCAAAGTTTTGATCGTTACCTCAATGCTATTCGCTATCAGCGGTTGGGTTAAGCGATATAAGTGGGCGCCCATCAAGACAAGAAAGCTCATCTATAACCCTCCTGTACAGGGCCAACGCAGGCAATAAAAACACGCAGACCCGAAAGACCAAAAACTAAAACGCGAGCACAGGTGTGTATGTGAGAGACGTGGATGTTTCTTTTATGTTGCGAATGGAGCAGAAGACGCGAGGCGAGGCTACGTTTTATCACAATGCAGAGTGATCGAGATGGCTGGATCACTTATTGTTTGTAACAATCAAAGACGTATCATACAAATTTTTCATCATCAATCATTGTTATATGCGATCTTTCGCGTTTCTTTGGTGCTCTCCCAGCATGTCTATCAACTCCTCGCATGGTTAAGCGTAAACGTCAGGGCATCAACATAGAAGGTCTACTCATTGGTCCATCCGCATCGATGCAAATTCCACGCCCGTCGGATAATATCGGATGGTTCACTCATGCCCAGATCCTAGACTTGGATATTCTCACACGGCTCTTGCTACGTCCCAAACTCCTGTAAAACCCTCTTCCATAAATCTGATCTCAATGCTTCCACAACTTGACGACCTTATCCTTCCCGGCACTCGCAACACACTTCCCATCAAGACTCCAATCCAAAGCATATACCTCGTCCTTATGGCCAGGCAGGTCCTCCTTGAGTTTGCCCACGCGCACATCCCACACCTTGACGGTGGTGTCCTTGCTCGAAGACGCCAGCAGCCTGGAATCACTCGACCAGGCAACCATGTACACCGCGCCGACGTGGCCGCGCAGCGTGGTCACGAACTTCCCGTCTCGCGCGTCCCACAGCTTCACACTGTTGTCGAAGCTCGCGGACGCGATGCGCGTGCCGTCTGGCGCAAAGGAGACGTGTAGGACTTGCTTCTGGTGGCCTAACAGTCGGGCGATCGGCTTGATGCTTGCGTTGGAGGAATCAGAGATGGACGATGGGTCCCAGAGGAAGATCGTATTGTCGTCGGATGCGGAGAGGAGTTTCTCGACGAGTTTACCTTCGTGACGGGCTGCGTCTTCGAAGCGTGATTTAGCTTTTTGGATTTTCTCTTCCACGGTGTCTGGAACTTTGCCAGTGTGGTCGTGGTAAGCGGTGCGGAGGGCAAAGTCCGTCGAGAGCGCTAGGTGATTGACCCAATGTGTATGTGTGGCTAGTGTATGGAGACAGGTCCATGTTTTGGAGTTCCAGATCTTGATGGTCTTGTCCTGGGACGCGGTGAAAATGCGGTTGAAGCCACCCCAGCGTACGCAGGTTACAGAGCTTTTGTGGCCGGACAATGTCTCCTCTATCCGTCGCAGAGGGACATCCCATACCCGGACTGTGCCGTCTTTCGAGGCAGAGGCGAGCCGTGGTTTCCCTGGCGCTTGGTTATGATAGGGTTCCCATGAGAGGCTGGTGACGAATTTGGAATGTCCTTTGAGGGGCCCTCCAAGAGGTTCGCCGGTTTTTGGATCCCAAAGTCTGATTGTGTTGTCCATGCTTCCAGATGCAAGAATTCGTCCGTCTGGTGACCACGCAACTGCGAGAACCCAACTTGTATGGCCTTTCAGGGTATGGAGAGGGGTGCCGGTATCACAGTCCCATATTCTTACGGTGTTGTCTCCACTTCCGGTCGCCATTCTAGACGATGCCTCGGGGGAAAAGGCTGTGACCAGTATTGCCTCGCCATGCCCTGATATGGATGCTGAGCATCTCGTCACTGCACGAACCCGGAAAACGGCTTGGGGAATAAATTGCAGTATAATATTGTCTTCGGTAGTTTTGAACCCGGGTCGAAGAACAGAGTGGTAGATGTCCGATCCAACATCGAGGATCTCTGGATCGGATCCTGCGGGACCTCGATCATTGCGAAAGAAGAAACGGTACGGCAGGCGCTCTTCTGGTTCCTAACATACATTAGCAAACAGGACTGGAGATGTGGACTGGGCTTCGTACATTTCCTTGTATTGAATTTAGCAACGCCTCCAAGTTCTTGACAGTTGCATCTTTGACAGGAACAGCGACTACCGACCCAGCAGGTTTCCCGGTACTCTGATCGACAAACTGCACCCGCACACTCCCTAGGTCATCAGGTATTCTAGCGTCTTCGGCGGCTCTTTCTGCTTTCTCAACGGAAGCCAACTTCTGGCGCTTGCTAGGAGGTGGCGCTACAGTCGCCATGGCTGATCTGAAGTCCGAGGGTGCCCGTGGTCGTTGGCTCTCGAGTCAAGGGTTCAAGTGTATGAGGTCTCTATCTGGCTGGCCCTGGCCCTGGCCCAAAATTTATTTTGCCTGAACTCCGCAAATTGCGGGGGACAATAGGCGAGGAAGGCACGTGACTAGAGGTTGCCGGCAAAGCTGCCTAACTTACTCCACGGGGAACAACTATTTTCCAGCAAACCTCTGTCTATATTATGTACGACGAGAACGAACTACAACAACAACACGACGGGCTGCGTTGAGATTTGATGTCTGCACCGCCCGACATCACTATGTCCTCCCCCTCAGGGAGTATATCTACCAGTGGTAGAATTATCACCAGTAAGCATGCTTCTAGGCCCACCACGTCTAGAGGATACAGTGCAAGTCGATCACGCCCGAGGACCGCAGCAACCTCGACAGGCTATGACGATAATGAAATTATATGTGCCATCAGCGAATCTCGTGGTATATCACCCACTGTCGGCCTTTCATTTGTCAATCTCTCTACTTGTGAAGCGGTTCTTTGTCAATTTCCCGACACGCAAACATATGCCCGAACGTGCCACAAACTCAAAGCGTTTAATCCTTCCGAAATCCTGTACATGTCTACCGCCGCTGATTCGAAGCTCATCTCGATCGTGATCGAGAATCTGGAGGTAGAGACAGCTGATATTATGATGACAAATATTCATCAAAAGTATTGGTCGGAAAGCAGTGGCCATGACTATGTGCAACAATTGGCATTTCCGGAAGACTTGGAATCACTGAAGTTGGCCATTTCCGGGAGCTACTTTGCTGTATGCTGTTTGTCGGCAGTATGTTCTAAATGGTGCTGCTTCTGTTTACAGCCACTGATACTGGCAGGTCATGAAATATGCAGAGCTCGGTCTCAGCACGACGTTTGTTCCCCAAACTCTTCGAATCAAATACGAATCCTCCGAGGGATCAATGATGATCGATCCTTCCACCATCGCATCGCTTGAATTGATCCAGAACCTGCAGAACAATAAATGTCGCGATAGTCTGTACGGACTCTTGAATGAAACCTTGACTCCTATGGGTGCCCGTTTTCTCAGAAGCAACATCCTACAGCCTTCGACGGATGTTGAGAAAATCAGAAAGATACATGAAGCTCTTACTGAACTCACTACCAAGGAGGACCTGTTCTTCTCTGTTCGCTCAGGTATTTAGGTGTTCGAATCAAAGAATCTGCTAACCAGAAGCAGCGCTCAAATCATTTGTCGATATTGACCGTGTCCTGGCTGCTGTTGGTACACTCTACCTCTGCTTCACAAACCAACTAACTTGAATAGTTTGTCATCATTCCAGCGCGCCTTGACTTCCACTACATGGAACAATCTGTCAACAATGTTCTCATGCTCAAAACATTTGTGGACTCAATCAAGCTAGTCTGGCAGGCCTTGACTGGGTGCCTTAGCGAAGAACTGACATCGATACGACGGGTAAGCCATCGACATTTCCGGTTGTGTCGTGATCTTAATCGTGCAAAAGCTCTGCGAACCAAAAAGCTACACTGATGTAGAAGAGCTGATCAAGTACTGCCTTAACGACGACGTTGGGTATTCAACCAAGCCTACAGAGCTTCGCAACCAAAGAGTCTATGCTATCCGAGTAGGGAATGTTTCCTTTCTCCACATAGCCGCGTCTGACGAAGCAGGCCGGGGTCAATGGCTTTTTAGATGTAGCACGACAGACCTTCACAGAGATAGGCAAGGACGTATTCGACCTAGTCAATCGGATGAGTGGTAGGCAACCAGCTTACGACTTCAAGGTAGATATACTGATCCTTTCCAGACGAGACCGAGATCGACCTCGAACTCAAATTTGACAATGCTCGCCAATATTACATCCGCGTCCGTGCAGCAGACCTTCAGAACCGCCCTCTACCCGAGATCTTCATCAACACATTCAAGCGCGGCAAATTCATCGAGTGCCAGACCCTGGACCTGATCAAGATGAACCAGAAAATGAAAGACGCGCACAACGAGGTCATCAACATGAGTGACCATAGCATCCAACAGCTGATCGACAATGTCCGCACCAAGATCCAACCCCTATTCAAAATTGGCGAGGGCATCGCCATACTCGACATGCTTTCCTGCTTTGCACAGCTCGTCACCACCAACGACTACGTTCGACCAGAAATCACGAGCGATAGAGACGGGACCCTCGCCATCAAAGCCGGCCGACACCCAATTTCCGAGAAAATCCTACCCGGCAATAGTAACGACCATCCGACCTCCGCAGCCGACCGATTCGTGCCCAACGACGTCTTTGCCACGTCCCAGACCCGCTTCCAGATCATCACAGGGTGCAACATGAGCGGGAAAAGCACGTACATCCGGAGCATTGCACTGACAGCAGTGATGGCGCAGACCGGCTGCTTCGTCCCGGCGACTTATGCCTCAGTACCCATCATCCACAATCTCTTCGCACGCATTTCAACCGACGACAGCACTGAGGCAACCGTGTCGACCTTCGCTGCAGAAATGCGCGAGATAGCGTTCATCCTCCGCAATCTAACGAGCGGCTCCATGACATCGCAAAGTCTCGTACTCGTCGATGAACTTGGCCGCGGCACGTCAACGACAGATGGTTTGGCCATCGCGATCGCGATCGCAGAAGCGCTCATCGAATCCCGCGCCTTCGTCTGGTTCGTCACGCATTTCCGAGATCTGCCACGCATCCTCGCCGAGCGCGCCGGTGTCGTTAATCTGCATCTCACGGTCGACATTGGCTCAGACGACCGCGACCCCTCCGACTATACTCACACCCAACCTCAAACCCCAAATAGCACCCTCAAAATGCGCATGCGCTACCGCATCGCCGACGGGCCCTCGTCATCGCGCTTCTACGGCCTAGCGCTTGCACGGGTCGGCGGGCTGCCGGATTCCGTGATCACGACAGCCACACAGGTGAGTCAGCGACTACATGAGCGGAACGAGGCAAGAAAGCGCAACCCACGCGCCACAGCGGTGTTACGCAGGAGGAAGCTGGTGTTGAGCCTGTGGGAGCAGCTGCGCCAGGCGCGGGCGAATGGCAAGGGGATGCCGGCTGGCGACCTCAGGGCTTGGTTGGAACGGTTGCAGGGTGAGTTTCTCATCAGGATGAGGGCGATTAACAAAGAGGTGGAGGCGGCGGTGGGGTATGAGGAGGGGCATGAGACGGAGGTGGACATCGGTTTCGGTGAGGAGGGGGGTGGGGAGGTGAGTGATGGTGGCAGCAGCATGGTTTTGGCGGATGATGCTGATGCTGATGATGCTGATGGACATCTTTATGAGATGCGTGGTGCTAGAGGTGATAGTCTACTGCAGGAGGAGTAAGATGGCAAGGTGCATTGGCGTTATAGGAAACCACTCGATGTTCACATGTGGTACAGATCGAAGGGCATGCTCTTTGCCATCAACGGGGAAACGGGAAAGGAACAGGGGAGTAAGATCGGCATATAGAATCACGATCTCATTGTCTCGATGCCATGCATAGCTGCTTCATCCCAATCTCCATCATATCTACGCTGTCCAAATAACCAGTCGTCCGTCCACGCCACTAGTACTAAACCGGCGAACACCGCTGGCATTCCCCTCGAAAACACGGATAGTGTTGATAGTATTTTGATGCGTGGTAGTCAGCTGGGTATCATCCTTGGTCTTGCCCTTGAGATCCATCTGCCTGAACATATTGAGCGCCGATTCCTCCCTCTGTCCATGCCCTGGTCTAGCCTTAGCTTCCACCGAGCCTGCAATGTCCCAGCCTTGCTCGCCGCCACGGAACCGGAAGGCTTCGCAATCATACCCTGCGGCAATGATCTCGGCTTCACCATTCCAGATCAGGCTTGTGAACGGCAGCGTCTGCGTGCTGATGTTGATGATGGCTCGGGGTGGCTGTTCCGGCCCACTCGGATAGACAACCGTGATGCTACTATCATGACTTGCGAAAGCGAGTGCATCGCCACTAGGCGAGAACGAAACGGCATGTACCCAGCCAGCGGACTCGTTGAGGTATTCTCCACAGACGGTGTTGAACGGCAATCGCTCGCCCCAGACGCTGGCCTCAGGTCTGGCGTCGATGCCCTTGATGAAACCAGAGAAGACTCGTGCGTGGGAGTCGGTCGATCCTGCTGCGAGGAGGACGGAGTTGGGATGCCATGCAAGCGTGGTAATTGTACTGCGGATGGGCTTCTTCAGGTGCTTGGAGACCCACCAGTCGTTCTCTTCTTCAAAGTAGCAGACTGCGATCAATCGGGCGCCAGACCCAACGGCAAATTTCTTCTCGGAAGGTGACCAACGGACGAAAGTTGCGGCACGGTTGATGCGCAAAAGGACGAGCGTTGGTTTCCATCCCTGTGGAGAAGGTTCCCAGACGTAGGCATTTCGGTCTAGTTTGTAGGCATCAGCAAAACGGAATGGGCCGGGGAGGATCAAATGATGTTACGCACCCTGCGAGCAAGTAACGATCATGCCGCTGTTGGGGGCAATGTCGACACTAGTCACGGTCTTGTCATGGCCCTTGAGCTCGTCGTGAAGTACAAATTTGGAGCCAGACTTCTGATACAGTTCGACATTGTTATCTCGTGCGACTGCGAGAGTGTGGCGGTCGGCGGAGAAGGAGTGGTCGGCGATAGGGTTGTGGAAGAGGTGGTGCACTTCAGGACCCGACATTATGGGTACAGGGGCTTGCGATAGGAGTAGCTCTCTACTACCGCCGGGGTTTTGCAGGAAGAGGTGGTGGGATGAGTGCGGATGAAGTGGGATGGATGCAATTGAATGGATGGACCAAGATGACGTGGATCGGCTAATTCTCGGCATTCAGCCTTGTCTTGGCAAGGCTGCGCCTCTTTAATGCACCAACAATGTCATGACAGTGAAACATACTTGCGGACTATGAGAAGTTGTGATTTCGCTATGCTATCAGGGAGAAAATTGGTTTGAAGAACTTCTGCCTGATTACGAATCGGTCCAAAACCCAGCCAAGTACGGTTGGGAAACACTAGTAGGGAACATCTCAAATGCTGTATCAAATGGCATGGCTAGGTCGCCCATCTCAAGTACCGAGGGAAATTCTCCTACTATAGCAAAATCTTGTGGAAGTGCCTACGACACGTCCGTCAGCCAAAAGCTCCGTCTCAAGTAGAGGACCTACCATGTCGACCGCTTCCGCCGCCTGGGGCTGAAGCGCTTGAGTTTTCTGGTGCGAAAATGATCGGAGGATTCTGTGCAGCCATAAATCAGCATAGTCTACGAGTACTGAAAGGTCTATTACTTACCCGGGTATCTCTGCAGGATCTCCAAGTGCAACCTCCTTAAGAATGAGCCTCATGCGATAGAGCTTCTGAGGGTCATGAACGGCAGGCTCGTCAGCAGTGTCGAGAAATTCGTCCGACAGTTTCGCAAAGAGTTCCCGAAAGGGTGCAGCGACTCCATATGTTCTCGTGTATACAGCTAATGTACTAGAACACGCAATTATAGCTCGCAAACTTCGTCGGGGTGCCAATATTGTTGGCATTACAGCCAGACATTGAAGTAAGGTGATGCCACAGAGAAATGTCTGGTACAAGCCAACCAGGGAGTGGTGGGTTTGTGGACTGAGATTTAAGGCTTCTGCATTCTAAGATGGTTAGCTGAGGAGCTCAAATGAGTTCTTATTACTTACTTCACATGCCTCTGCCGATGACTCTGCGCATCGAAATAGGAGGTCTCGTTCAACTACCGGCTGCATCAGAGCAGGACGCATGGCAAGAAGTATTCCCTGCAGGTGCATTGCTTGCACATGCTCCGCTGTCTGCTGTGGAAATCCTGGAGGATATGATGGGGGCACTCTGGATCTCGCTTCATCAAGTGCCCCAACTAGGTCCATGACATTTTCATAGCTCGCAGGAGATGAATGAGGTCCGTAAAGAGTGGTCCTGGAAGAATCAGTCTGGGCCAGGCAGAAATTGCAATTTATACATTATTCTGGCTTTCAGCCTGTACAGCTGAAGATGATGCAACGCACAAGTTAACTGTTCGACCTTCAGTCAATTTGCTGCACTAACATGGACGCCAATAACTTACTGTCGTCATGTTCTCGTCGTTACCGGTTGAGTGCCCTGCACTTTGTTGGGACTGCAAAGTGCGGATGTATTCAGAATCGGTACATGTCACATCAACATTTACAGGTAGCTGTATTAAGTCAGCACTAATCACTCCTGTCTGAATAGGATAGACCAGACCTCAACATCAATATCCATTTCTTGAATCCCAAATGGTCGTTTGGTCATGGTAGATGACAAGCTTCAAAATGTCAGCTCAGAGACATCACCAACAGAGGCTTAATCGTTTCACCGACCAATCGAAGCAATATATACACCAGAAGAACCGCTTTCTGAGCTCAATGGAATAAGGGTCGAGGCCGCTGGTCAACTTTGTTATTTTGCGATGACATTCTAATTCGATGCATAGGCGCATGGTAATCCCTATAATATGCCTGTGTTCTTTTAAGCCTTGCACGCAGCACCACTCTGAAACACTTACCATACCGAAGGGCCACCCTAAGATTGTGAAAACCTTAGTACCAATAATTACCTGGGGCCGGATGTGCTTACAGTGACTCGGAATTGATATTGCGTCAAAGTAAGTAACGCTTGAACAGTGGTCAAATCCTGACCCTTAAGAACAGCATTAAGATATTGGAGAGCACGAGCACAGTATGCCTTGGATGTCTGTCAGTATGCTTCAATTCATAGAGCGCACTCTTCCACACCTTTGGTGGGTGCTCTGGGTTCGAAATGAACACAGCGCCGATTGCATAGATAATCCAGACAAAGTAAGCACCTATACACCCGACATTGTGAGTACTTCTTACAGATTCCTGGGCAGCAACTCACCTATCTGTGACTCAACTTCACTGTCGTTGGATGCATAGCAGATATGTTCCCGCTGCCGATGCCATTCACGGACCCTTACCCAATCCACTATACAATACCGTGCTTGTGTATAGACGTATACCGTTTCCACCATACGGTCAGCTATATGTTGTGAGGGGAGGTCGGGCAGAGTTCGAACGTCCATCTCAGGTGCGGATGGGCCGCCTTGGAGGATGTTGAACTTGGTAATGCCACCGGAAGATTCACGCATGCGACCATTGTTTCGTAGGCTCCTGTGTTATTGATTAGAACCCCTCAATATCACGAAGGTGTGACTTGCGTTTCAACTAGCTGTTTGATATCAGTTATGTCCGGTATACCAGGGCATTCTCACCTCTGTAAACGTGAATCCCCCATTCTCGCCTTGGCTTGTTTCCGAGACGATGGGGATGTTCCCGAAACTTTGGTTTGAATCATGCCTCCCACCTTCGTAACTCGATTCAACTGGAAAGCGGTGAGGTCAGTCCACGCACCAAAATGCAAAAGACGCCAAAGCGGATGACCAGCGTATTGTTGTACCTTGCGAGCCATCACTTATAAGAGGAGACTCAGGATTTGCAACACGTAGCTCGGCTTCCAGAGAAGCGACCCGGTTTTCCAAAGTGGCAATATACCTGCATTCATCAGTCAATTCATTCGACCACATTATTCTGACGGCAACTACTCTGCTCCTCTAGCTATCCCGTCTGGAGCTTGATCGAACTGACAATCTGCATCTCTCATTAGCTTTGAAATTTTCCAGTCAATCAAGCACGAACCCGATTTTGATTTGAGGCACGCGACACATTGCCTGTGCTTTATTCAGCGTGTTCTTCTAAGATAAAGCTACATTTTGCTCACTTGTTGCTCTTGCCAAAATGGTGACATTTGAGCTTTTTCAATCGGCAGCGTTGACCTGTTGATGTGTCGTTAGAAGTGTTGCTGCGCCAATGGACGTGAACCAAGCTCACAAGCATGTGTGCTCCGACGGCTTCCACCGCCGTTCTCGGATCGTTGTTTCAGCCCATAGCGCTCAATCATGGACTGCTGCGCGCTGATGGCAGAAGTATTTTCCATAACTAGCCTGAATCAAGGAGGAAGAGGATCTACCAAGTAAAGAGTGGCAGATAAGCTCGATTAATGAGCCCCAGGGTGGGGGAAGGAGCGGGGATTACTACGGTATCTGTCCAGTACGGCTAATCACGGCTGGCAAGGCTGGCGCGAAATTCCCGAATGCTTTGACGGCCCATATTGTTTTCAAGATCCTGTTCTTTCATGAAATCAGTAGTAAGTCCTGGGCAACGCGGAAGGGGTGCAATGTCTCCCTTAGGTGTTGTTACCATAGTCAGATTAAAAGGCAATGTCGAATAAAATTTGGGGCTTCTCGTTGCTCGCGGTGTGGAAGCTTAGATTATTTTGAGAACTGGTACTAAATTCTAAGCCTCTGGTAAATCCACGTTTACCATGTAGGCACGACTAGGTTGAAGACCCTAGAATTACTTTTCTCAAAGAAATCTGCGAACCAGTCCTGATCCAGCCTTACAGAAATATTTATCTATCAACTTCTGGAATTTCTCGGCGGTGATTTCTTGCTCAGTCCTACAAATGACTCTGGATTTCGGCATACTTCGTCACTTGGAAGGAGAAGTCGTCAGCTGGTAGCACTTGTTAGTGGACGTCATCAAACCGTGTCGAAATACGCACCCGCTGCCATCTTGATCTTGGACATCTCTCGAGGCCCTGTTTCTCCTTCTTCCAACCCATTGCAGATATTGCCCTCGCTGGTGACTCGCCATTTCCAGAGTCTGGTGAATTGGTCAGGAACACGCTCAAGCTGGTTCTTGACATGCTACAGGGACTCTGTCAGATTTCGAAGGCAAATCTTCTGGTTCCAAATGACTTACTTTCCCAAGAATTGGTAAAAACTTGAAACCATGGCCACTGTAATATCGCATCAGTTACCAATGGTGTAAAGGGCAGTCCATAGAACTTACGAGCCTCCAGTGCAAATGAAGAGGGATTCGGAGTAGCCTGGAACATAGTCGATAACAAACTATGGTAAGGGAAGCATTGGTGATTGTCTCCAAATGATGTGGTAAGAGATACATACATTATTATCCACACTATCTGTGTACCAGCAGAGCTTTCAGTAGTGTCAGCCTGTATACTCCCTGTGATTGTGAGAAGCTTGACTTCAACCTACCCGACTATCAGTGAAACCGATCTCAGCAAGCTCTGGAAAAGCTTCATGGATCACTTCTTTCATAAGTTGAAGTCCGTAAAGGGGCACAGTATTGATTGGCTCAGCACTAAATCTTGTCCGTGGGGTCGAAATGCGACTAGGACGTTGGAATATTTGATTAGCCGGTCTTTCTTCCTGGATCTCGAGACCTGCTATGACTTACAGATTCGGTTCCGTCGGGTGGTCACGAAAGCTAGTAAACTAAAAATCGAGCAGTAAGCGCGAGTCATCCGTGCAAGAGGCTATCGTTACCTTTCGACCACGGAAACCGAATTTCAACCGGCCTTCCTTGGTAATGGGAAAACATCCCCCTTGATAATATCTGCTTGAATCGTCAGATATCAATTTGGAAAACGAGGACTGACACTTACTCATCACCATGTCCCCTCCGGTATGACCAGACTGGAAAGTTGTCCGGGTGAAACTTCTCCCATAGATCTGGTCTATCTTTTGGAACGTCAATGAACACTACCGTCCCTGCCGTAGCCTCCACTGCGCAGGAGGCCTCAGGAATGATAGATGATGACCAGGCTCCACCTTGTGGTTCTATTAGCTTGGAAATACGACACAGATATGACCTTACCAGCAACGATCACAATATCCCCAAAATGTTCTTGGCCGTCGTAAGTCTTGACGCCTGCCACTCGTCTTTGGGCACCATTTTCAACAACAATCAAGTTCTTTACCTTGCCATGCGGCTCTCCCAGCACAAACTTCACACCTCCTTGAAGGCATAGAAATCTAGCGTATGTGCAAGCCTATAAATCCCCAGTGAGCTGAAAAACAGAACGAAGTGGGTTTGAAAATACCTTGTCTGCCAAGGTTAAGCCTCCAGCAATGTCCAAGAAGCCGTTTGTATGACCTCCAGCGATTTTATCAACTACATGGAGCTTTTCTACCCATTTTGGGCTGATTCGGCGAAGACGCTCTTCGTCTTCCTTATTTCCCTGTCATATGTTAATCCTTTACTTCGAGCGCATCGCGTAAAAAGAAATGCCACGAACCTTAATGAATTGCTGCTCCCTAGCTTGTGGTGCTTCTCGTTGCATCATGTCTAGACTCTCTTTGTGAAAGCCTTCTAGCTCTCGCCCATGTGCTAAGAAGTAATTGCCGCATAGGTCAATGACCTTATCGTCCGGAGTGAGACCAGGCGGAAGGTTAGAAGCCGAACTTTCTCTGATTTCCTTGTTCCACTGCAGCCAAATATCTCTTGCCTGAAGCGCTAAACCTTGGTATCTAAGGAGTTAGACCGGTTGTCGTCGGGCGGATAATCTAGCCACTTACTCTATCTCCTTCCCATAAGCAGTCCTGAAGACCTTGTTGATGTCGGCAGAGGCACCGTCACATCCATCGAGAGGATTATAGTTGTTCTTGTCAAAGGCACATCTGTCGAACACGGTAATGTTTCTGTATCCACTTCTGGCAAGCCATAGCGATGTACTCAACCCAAATACGCCGGCGCCGATGATAATGATTTCGGAGTCTTGAGACAGCATGTTGAAGATATTATTAATTTACAGATGACTTGGTCGTTGATCGCAACGACATTGCGGCAGACTGTCCATACTTGTATGAACGGGTTGATCTGGTCACTGTTGAGGTTGTTGGCTGGTGGAGTGAATTGCTGATAGATGTGGATCAACCTGCCGAATAACAAAGACTGAGGAGTGTGCCTTCGGCATTCCCGATTGGTTATCGGACTTTCGAAGGGAACCCTGATTTTCTCGGGCTTCCGAGAATTTCGGAAGACCGGGACACCACTCCATGACGCCTCTGTCGATCTATCACTTCGTTCTAGAGCAGCACAATCTTTGGGCAGGATCTTTGTCGAGTAACGAGGAGCTCCAATCTACTTCTCCCTTGGCCTGGGAGTCAGAAGTCACTCAAGCCTTTGCCCAAGAAACATGAAAGAACCCTTGCAGATCCGGTGAATGGTTTGTATCCTAACTCCCGAAGTGCTCGGAGTGCTCCCGGTCTGATAAGAAGACAGTGGTAATGGAGGAAGCACCGAAACGCTCGTGTTCGCCTCAAGCACAAATAGCGACAGCTAATCCCATGATAATTGCTTCTCTCACAATTTGAACACATGTCCTACCATTTGATCTTGGAAACATCCAGGAACGTCATCACGTATTCACCAAAATGGGGTTCAAAGAAATCATCAGGCAATCAACCATTGCAAACTATGGAAAATCCATCCGCAGTGCACCTCGAGAAGTCATTTTCAATCGCCCCTTGATCATCTCGGTCGTTCTGTATGCTATGAGCGCAATACCTGCTAGTAAGCCGATCAGGACATCGGTTCGTTGTCCAAAGACATACTAACATTCACCCTCCAGCATGGGATCAAGGCTCGTCGTCTGTTGTGCCGTCCCTGCCAGGATTCCAAAAACATTTCGGCATCACTTCTGGCACAGACGCAAAGCAGATCCGCAACTTCATCACCATTATCTACATCGGGTATGCCGCTGGGGCTGCCCTCTCCTTCTTCCTCAATGATCGAATCGGCCGGCTCTGGTCCTTTCGTCTGTATTCCGTCGTCTGGATTGTCGGACAACTCGTGGCCTCGTTTTCGCCGGGGCTCGCTGGACTGTACGCAGCCAGAATCATAAGTGGCCTGGGTATTGGAGCGCTCACTGTGACGGGTCCGATGTCAATCGTCGAGCTCTCTCCCGCAGAGATACGCGGTCTCCTGACTGCCTGGTTCAATGTTGCCATGGGGCTTTCCCTCGTCTGCTCGATATTCTGTGTTCTAGGGGTGTATGAGCATATCCCGGAGAGCAAGCTGCAGTTCCAGATTGTATGGACCGCGCCTTGTGTCTACATGGCACTCCTGGTCGCAGCCAGCTTCTTTCTTTGTGAATCGCCTAGGTGGCTTTTCATGGTCGATAGGCACGATGAAGCCACCAAGATTCTTGTACGAATTCGAGGTCTACCAGCAACCCACCCTCGAGTACAGATAGAGTTGCAGGAAATCCAGGACTCCATCCGCAAGGAGAAGGAGCTGTATCATTCCGATGGCTTGGTCGGCATCATCAAGGAGACTTTCACGGTGCCATCGAACCTGCGTCGTGTCCAGCAGTCTCTGATATCCTATGGCCTTGCCCAGCTCTCTGGCGCCAACTCCATTACCTCGTACTTCGTACCGATCCTGAGCCTGATGGGTCTTGGAGGAGGCACAACCCGAAGCATGTTTCTCAGTGGAATGTACGGAATGTCGAAACTCTTCTTCACGCTCATCGCGTCATTCTTCTTCATTGACGCATTGGGCCGCCGCAAATCGCTGTTTGTCGGCACTTTCCTTCAATTGATATCAGACGTCTATGTTGGTGTGTACATCAAGTACAAACAAGAAGGAACTGTTTCCAGCTCTTCATCGCAGGGTGCAATCGCGTTTATCTTCATCCATGCATTTGGTTATGCCGTCGGTATGTATAGAGACTGAATATATCCACAACCCTCTCTCTAACAACCTTTCGTGAAGGTCTTTTGATCCTCCCCTATGTCTTCGGCGCCGAACTTTGGCCAAACCGAATCCGATCTTTTGGGGGTGCACTGTCTGCCTGCTTTCACTGGCTGTTCATATATGCTTTTCAAAGCGGCCTGCCATCTCTTCTCTCCCAGACAAACAACTGGGGAGCATTTATTTTCTTCGGCGGATGGTGCTTCATCGCCATGATTTACGTCTACCTGATGGTACCCGAGCTATCAGGTCTGAGCGTCGAAGAGATCGACGATCTTTTCAAGGGTCCCTGGTTCAATGCATACAAGCGCTCCAAGAAGGCAAGGGCCATCACGAGCGAGGAGGCAGATGATCTAGCTGATATATCGTAAGGTTTTCCTTGGCTGAGTTGTTGTTGTGAGCACAGCAGGCTGACTTACACGTTTTAGGCGCGAGACTAGCAAAGGACTGGTCACCACCAAATATTGAGGAGGGCTCCAGATGGTGCTCAACAACAAGCAGGCCTTTTTGGCAAGTCTTTAACTTTACACTAGTAGCGCTCTTCTATGTATTAAGCATTCCAAATTGTGGCAGACTTGAAGCATTGGGGCATCATGGACAAGCGCAACAAAACAACAGCAACGAGGGAGAGCGCCCACAAGGCTTCACCAAAGTGGCTAATACAAGTTTTGGTTGGATGGAAAACAATGCCAATTCTCGTCTGCCCTCCCGCAATGAGAATTATAGATCCAGAGCACAGAGAAATTATGAAACGATTGGATCCGTAAGCAGGGCCACCGTAGGAATCGGTAGGCTCGCCTTATCGTCAAAAAGCGGCAGAGGGAGAGCCGGCGAAGAGTAGTCAGGTAACGGAGGGAACCGCCACTTTGATATGTGGTTGGTAACGTCCTCCCCAGATGTGACATGTTCGTCGACAAGTTCGACCCGTGCGCTCGATCGCCTCGAACGCTTGGTAGCAAGAGGAGTTTGAGGCCGTCGTTTTATCTTGCGATCGACAGCTTCTTCCGAAGGAGTCACCTCACACATCTCATCGATCTCAGTCTCCGTGAGGCTTTGGTTTAGAACCCCTCCCTCGTATGGTTGAAGTTTCACCCATTTTTGAACTACCTTCAATGCCAGGTTAGGGCTAACGTGGAACCATTCCCTGTGCTTTCCGTCACAGCCTCGGCATTTAGGCTCTTCCATCTGATATTCTTTGAGCTCGGCGTGAATAAGTTTCTCGATTCGGCCTACATAAAGAACTTTGAATTGCAGTTCTTCGCCTGAATTGATGACCTGTTCGACTTCAACATGGCATCTCTGTCGCCATTCTCTAAGTCGCCTCTTAATGTTGTTGGAGCGTCCGATTTTAACGTAGCCAAAACTCCCAGGATGCCAGTAAATGTAAATGTAGCCCTCCTTTTTTGGGCCTAAAGGTTCCTCGAGCACCTCACGAATCCGTTGAGAGGCTGATTTCTTCATATGGGCTTTTGGGCAGTATGGTCGAAAGTCCATATGAAGGTGTGTTGATCGAGTATCTGGGCTGAACTCAGTCTCTCTTAAGGCGACCAGACTTTCCGGACGTGGTCGGTCAATCATTTTCCGCTGGAGTCGGTCCCAATTTACTTCGCGCGTGAATAAGGTAGCTCGGTCCGAACTTACTTCGCGCGTGAATATGGTAGCTTCCACTTTCTTTCTCTTGGCCCTGCTGAGGTCGCCGCTCGTTTGATCATCCTTGTCTTTAGGTCCAATCCTAGATTCGTTGTTATTTTCTGGACTTTCGCCTTCAACCATGGACTGGTTGCACATAGGCGACTTAAGACGACTCTGGGCCCAAGCTTGCAGAGCGCTGTGAGGGTTCGGCGTGTCTATCTTGCTGTCAGCGGTGGTCGCGCAACGGGTTTCTGCATCTCTGAGATCCGCGTCAGAACCGAGCTCTGAGAATTCTTTCTGAGCTGGTTCCAAGTGCTTGATCTGGCAAAATGCCCGAGTTCCTAAGTCTTGGACAATTCTCATAATATCATGGATCTCGAGAAGTGATGGGAGAGTGCGAATACCCTCCAGTAACTCGTCGACGTGCTCCTTTGTCAGTTTTGCTGCGTTGTCGTTCCTACACCTGCCAGTCTTGGGACCTCTCACCGTGTTTGCAACGCAACGCATTGGACTACACCGTAGCCTTGCCATCACATCAACTGGTAAAAGCTGCAGCAGGGTGGCACTGGGGACCCATGAGACCGCAACAGCGAGAAAACCGTCTGCGTCAGTTGAGCCATCAAGAGGCTCGACATTCTCTGTGTCAGGATCACTCTGCGTCGTGAGTGTTGCCAGCCAATCGGCCAGGGCGCTTACGGCCGATTCACATTGGGGCTCGACATTGTCATTGGGTTTCGCCGTGTCAGAGGTGGTAGGAGTATCGCACTGACTGGGAGTGGATGGGACTTTATGTGGGTCTTCTCGCACTTCAGGTTGCAGGACAGGATCCTTTCCTTCTATTTTGAGTGCATCATCATTATGACCACCTAAAATGCACCTGCATGAGGAGGCATGACCTTGCTGAGGCATACTAAATTGTGTATCAGACAAGAAACTGTCGTGGGTGTCTTCCAATTTATTTTCATCTTCCACGGTATCCAGGGGCGTTGCATTTGAATTATCGATACTGACAAACTCCTTGGTCAAGACAGTGGGATCAAAGTAGGCAAGAGAATTGGATTTGACGATGCTGTCAATGGTGGGTGGAGATGAGAGATGAAAGGGAATAGGTGTGGGTCTTCTCAGCCTTGCACGATGTACACGGGCGACCGTTGGGGAGAGAGGAAGTGCCGCGTCATCCTCTGAGTCGGATTCATCTTCTGGTGTATTCAGAATTGATGATACTATTGGGGTATCGTCCCAGCATAAGTCAGGTGTTGATGGGTTTGGTGTTTGTGGTTGGACAGCCGCTTGGAGGAGAGGGCGGCCTGCACGCAGCGGGGTTAACTCTGCCGCTGCTTGACAAGGCAAGCTCGAGATTTCAGAGGCCAGAACAAGTCTCGTGGATGGTGTTTCCATTATGAGAAGCCTTGAAATGAGAAGCCTTGAAATGAGAAGCCTTGAAATGAGAAGCCTTGAAATGAAAATCTCTGAAATGAGAATCTTTGGATGACCAAAGAAATGAGTGGGAGTCTTTAAACTATGTGCATGTAGCAGGCTGCCAGCTTGTGGAAAGACTTACAAGTGCTCTTATACCTGAGGGCACCTGGAGGCTGGGAGCTCGGCCTAGTTGGTACCTAGGAGCAGATGGTCGAGGTGCTACACATAAGGGCACGAGACATAAATCGGGGTCAGGTATGCTAGGCGCATTGCTTCAAGCCCAAAACGAGTCAAGGTGTTCAGCGGACATCCTTAGGAGACATTCAAGGGATCCCAAAAGGCAACCAGGCAACTGTGATCTTTGCTAGCAAGTTTTCGGGGCTAGGTCAATGTCAAGACCCGCGTGACTCGAGGCTCTCTGAGGAGCGTGGCCTCCATCTTTTGTATGCACCTTTTGTTTGGAGCTGGGATGCTCGGTCCAGCCGGGCTGCCTCAACCTAGCCGAGCTCATTTAAAGGGCTTCGCCGCGAGCTGCGAAGCGTCAGCAATGTCTTCATAGGAGCGAATAGGCGCAAAACTTGAGCGTCGGGCTTGCTCGGGTTGAGTGTTCGCAAGCAGAAAATGCGTCTCAGGTCGCAGCTATCAATTAGATGCAGATGCATATGCAAGGCATGGTCATTGGTCCAACCAGATTGTCAATTGAGATTGGGAGGCGCTTACCCCTGCCTCGACTTGAGTCGTCGATTCTGCAGCCGCCATTGGCCATGATTCAGTCTGTCCCAGTCAAAAGGATTGGGCCTAAGAGGATCCTTGACAAAAGGACCTTGCTACCCTCCATATTATTGTTGGGAGGCAATAGTCGCTTACTGTTAGTGAGTCGAGTCTGGGTTCGACATAGAGTTGGGATTGTTCGAATCCCCAGTGTGCATTATACCCGAGAAAATAGTTGAATGGAAGCGAGATAAGGCTGTGTCTGGTGAATCACACGCCGCTCTCGCGGGTCACTGTATCTCCCTAGCACCAAGGAGCCATGTTCCGGCCCAAGGATTCAAGGCGACATCAGATCCTCAGCTTCTGTCATATACCCAATACTCGCTCTCGCTACCCTCAGCAATATCTCAACCTCCTCGCCATTCCTCGGCGCGTAGAGCAAGACATACTGCTTAGGTAGCAGCTTTCTCCCAAAAGGCTTAACTCCCGCCCAGCCATGAAGCTGGCCCCATCCAGACTGGATAACCTTCAGGGCGTCCTTTGGGGCAAGGACGACGTGCGCGGAAAAGTCAGTGTTTTGATGGATGTGAGTGATCTCCCTTGAAAAGCCTTCACCAAGTGCACAGGTTGGATGCGCATCATTAACCCAAAGTGCCTCGGCATGGCGCTCGTACTGAGAAGTTTTGGAGACGATGAGGGCTGGATATTGTTGCACCAGAGCTCTGAAGCCCCGAAGGAATTTCTAACCATCCCCGTTTGGAATTAGTCTCGTAGAGCCCGTGGGGGAACATCATGCGAAGACAGAACCCGAAAGTCCTGGGAGTAGGAAATGGTACCGACCTCTTGCACCTCAGCGGACGCGTGCTGGTCAAGCTGTCTCTGAGGGATAGGATGTGGGCCCATCCTCGGCCTCATGCCACTTCTGGGACGCTCCGGCCAGTCCCGACCAAGCCAACTTCGTTCGTCTGGGCTCTTTTCGAAATCACGCACATCCAACATATTGACACTGATTGCACGGGCAACCGTGCTCGTGAACAGCCATCCTCCGACGTTGTAAGGCATTCCGCCCGGACCATAACTCAGGTACACCTGGTAGTCCTGGTAGGCTGCTCGGCCGACTACAATCGATGTAAGAACACCGGCAATAATGGCCGAATGAATTGGCTTGTAGTGCAGCTTGATTGCATTGATGTAGTGAGATATATGGCTTTGAATAATGCTTGTGGTTGACATCTTGGCAGGCAGATGTTTCAGCGGTTGACGGCCCAACATTTGGGTTGTACGGAGTATTCAAGGGAGGACTTGAGTTTGTCTTAAAGGGCTGCAAAAGTCTCGTTCACGAAGCTCAAAGCTCCTGGTAATGTCGTGGGTGGGCCTTAACTGGACCCGGCTACGGGCATATCCGATAGATTCCACAATGGGGCTCGAGCAAGCGGTCGGTCAACCCTGCTCGGCTCCGGCTCCTGGCGCCCTCGGTCATAATTCCATGGGTCCGGGGAGAACAAATAGTGAGGAAAATCGAGGCAGAGACTAGGCACGTATGGCGAGCATCTGGCAGGTCATTGAAATCGAAGCTATTGAAGAAATTGCAAGAAGATATGCAAAATAAAGAGATTCAGAAATTCGGTTGGTTCTTCATTAGTCTATCATTAATGAGCGATTCTTCAAGTCACGTAAAGGAATCCTCCGGCGACTCCATCTCAACCAGGAGGCTGGCTTCTCATCCGTTACCACCACTAACTGGGATTAGCCAGGCCCTGCGCGACATACAAAGGACGCCACAACGGGCATCTACGATCGAGGACAGCACTCTGGACCGTAGAATTCAACTTCCCGGACCCATCGCCCTTCAAACCCACACCATTGCCCCAGACGCCAACAGTCGGGACATTTGCGAAGCCGGGACCCTGTTTCGGCGCCTTCGCAAAATTCGCCCACGAAGCCTGCATGGCGGCACTCAGTTTGGCTTCCCCTTCCGTAGCGTTCGGACGCGGATACGTGCCCCAGACAATGGGGATCTCGCTGGAGTGGTAGACGCCGAGGCCTGGGACGAGCTGGGTGTTCGGGAAACTGGCGTTGAAATAGTAGCGCCAAGCCAAGTTGCCGCCTGTGACGGTGTCGTTGGCAGCGATGCCCGCCGGGCACTGGAAGATGGAGTCGGTGAGGATATCCGATAGCTGGGTGGTAGTGTTGGGGTACGCGCTGAGGATACTGGTGACTAGCGCCGGCTGGTTTGGGATCAATGCAGATAGATACTGCGAAGCGTTGCTGCCGGCCGCGGAGATGAAGATGCTGCCCTCATCCGCATTGTTTCCTGTGAGGATGGGCACGGGTGCGACAGTTCCGTTGGCGCGTGCGGCGGCTGGGTAGCGGAGATTTGTGACATTGTCGCTGACTGGCGTGAAAGGGATGGCGAGGTGTTCGATGGTCGACTTCACCACAGTGGCGGGGAACGAGCGCACACACGATAGGTTGCTCTGCGGGTGCGACTGCGTGCAATTCAATGCGGCTGCGAGTGCGAGCCACGATGTTGGTGCATTGTTGACATTCGTGTAGAGGGTTGTCTGGCCTGATTGCATGATCGCTGCACGGAACGGTGGGTTCTTCGGATAAGTCGTTACCAGTGTATCCACGCTGGCTGCGCCAGCGCTTTCCCCGAAAACCGTCACCTTTTGGGGGTCGCCGCCGAAGGCGCCGATGTTCCGTTGGACCCAGTCCAGAGCGAAGCCTGCAAGCGAAGCTCTAATTAGCAATTGTGGTTCCGTAGGACTGTAGAAGATTTGTTCGAGGCTAGTGACTCACGTTGATCGAGATATCCGAGATTCCTCTTCTCGAGCGGAAGTTCTGGGGAGTTTGGAAACCCAAAGACTAGATTATAGCGCATCAGTGTTCGTCCACTTCTTTTCTTTGACGGGTCAAGAAATATGCTCACCATTAGTTCTGTAGTTGATAGAGACGATGATGACATCCTGATTGGCCGCAAAGCCTGTCCCATCATAAGCTAGTTGAGAGTTGGAGCCAAATGTCAAAGAGCCGCCCTATAGTTGTGGCGTGCCGTGTCAGCATTACGAAGTAGATATAAAAGGGAGCATACGTCCGGGAAGCTGGGCTCACATAGATCCAGACCATGACAGTCTTGTTCTTTCCCGGCGTGCCTGGGACGTAGACGTTCAAGTTGAGACAGTCCTCGCTCTCTCCTGCAGGTGGTGGAGGTGTGTTGAAGAAGGCAATAGTACGATTGCGGTTCGTTTCTGGGTAGTTGAACTGCTGGACACATGCTGGGCCGTACTTTGTCGCGTTGAGTGGTTTTTGCCAGGAAGTCGGGCGAGAGGCTGGCGCGAATCTGGTAGGCGATGCCGCAAATGGAATTCCCAGGTACTTTGTGACCGAAACACTGGCACCGCTGAGCGAAGTGGCTGTTCCTACCACTAGGCCCGAGTCAACAGTCACAGTAGGAGTGACAGCGCTCGTTGGAGCGGTGTAGCATATCGAGAAGAGGAGCGAGAGCAGAAGCACCAGTAGCGAATGCGAAACGGTCGCCATTGTCGCGTTGATAGACAGACAACCAGGTGGAGGTCTTTGCGAAACCAAAATCCAGCGGCAACAAGCGTTGAAAAGTCTCGGTGAAAATTTACGACATTCACGGAGCTCACCGTGTTATAGACTTACGCACAGATTTCCGGATCTGGGCCACGAGGCCCTCGCGTCACCGTCATAGAACGGATCCATGTCGGCCTGAGCTGATCACCTTGCCATTTCCACTATTGACAGTCGATGGAGACAAAGCGGAGAGATTATGCAAGCTGAAGAGCCGGAGCATCGACACCTAGCCGGGATGAGCTTGAACTTGATGGCATTCTAATGGTGCAGCGGGTCGACCCCTGCCAAAACCCTGCGCTATGGCTGTGTCAGGATAAGTGAACAGGGCGAACGGCCGCGATTCACGAGTACGCAAACGAAATCGTGGAGGAAGAAAGTGGAGATCTTAACAGGAAATGGCGGGGATGGGAGAGGCCAGAGCAAGGTTGATCAATCGTGATGCCGAGGTCAAAGACGAAGCTCATCGAGGGGAGAGATTGAGACTAAGATGGAGCATCCGATGCATCATGCAGATGATGATGCATGGAGAGGTTGCGGGATTGACGTTGGAGCGACTTCCCCAGTGCATATAAAAAGGCCGTATTTGGCAGTTTTCCCGGGTCTAATATTAGCTCCCGTATCCACAGCCAATCACCAAAGTGTGGGGTTCCGCGCTCAGCCTCGGCCACTCAACTCGAGCACAAATGCAACCATGTGTCTTGCTCAGCATGTTTGGGTGGCATGTGCACGATTCACGTTCACGACTCACGCCCGAATTCAGTACCCAAAATCGATCCTAGAACCAATAATCAAAAGTTGAGTGAGCAAGAGACCGAGCGCCAGCGTTCCAGAACTCCGAGTCCCCGCATCCAAGTAGCGACCTGCCCCAACTCCACTATTGACTGTCGCTGTAGCAAGCGTCGTGGCTTTCACTGTGACAGTGTGGCCCATGACCGTCGTACTTGCGTCCACAACCGTCACACCAGGTGGTATCGACTCGGTCAGCGAGGTAGTGCTTGAAGGATGATCCGGCGACGAGCTGCTGGATGTGCTTGAGGCTGAGGTTGACTTGCTCGAAGATGAAGATGGATCGCTCAAGGTTGTACTAGTACCTGTGTCGCTTTTTGCGGCATCAGATGTGCTGGTAGTCTCCGGGACAGACTTTACGGCAGTGCTAGTCTCGCTCGCAACCGTAGGCGCGGATGCGGACGCGTCTTCACTTGTCTATGTGCAATCACCTTGGTTAGTCAAATCATCGCTTTATGGCTGCGGCTCAGGAGCATGGCGCACTTACCCGTGGCTGGGCGGTGACGATGGTAATACCGGGCGTTGGTCGGGAACTACTGGCAGCCGTATGATATGTGCTCTGAGTGGTGGTGTGAGAGCTACTTTCCGTTGTATGGGAAGTACTCTGGACTTCATTGCCCTCCAGAGTCAAAGTCTTCTTCGCACCTCCGACCTCAACGGTATAACGAACGCGCTGGTCCGAAGTCACATTGCAGTAATACGCAGCCTGATATCTGAGAACATCCATGAGCGTCGGTTCTTCCGAGCAAGGCTTATTGTTCCGAAGGCACCACAGTATGTACTCGCTGTATTTGCCGGATTTGCAGGCGCAAGCCAGGGATGTACCGCAATCTGCCTTGACAAACGCGTATGAGATGGACTTTTGGAGACAGACTTGGCCGCATTGAGGAAGGTCTTCGAATCTTGTGTATTCCGTGGCAAGGGTTGCGAGGGGAAACAGTGTCAGCATGGCGAGGATGTACAGAGAGATATGTCTGAGGAAGGCCATGCTTGAGGTTCGATGACGACTTTCTAGCCACAAACGACCGTGTTTGATTGCGATTGCAGTGTGGCGGTGATGAATTCCAGGTTACGAACGGCAAGGCCTGGAATTATTCGAACTTGACAGACGGGCACGTTGAGGATGAGGCACCATATGACAATCGGCCAAGCTGAAGATCTGCAATGGACCAAAAATAAATGAGCCACAAGTGACAAGTCAAAAACAGACGTCTGACCTCCAGTGAATCACGAGCACACGGCGGAGGCAGCGAAAAGCAAAGCCATCAACATTCACAGACCGTTCGGGCGACTTATGACCGACGGCGACCTACGGTAAATTCTTCCTATTTGTCAGTGAGTCTCCGTCCTCTTCGAAGAATGAGACTATGGCATACGTAGTAAGCGGTACATCCTACATCCCCGTCCTAAGCCTAGACAGCTTTGACTCTCAGAGCTTGCCGAGACGCAGATAAGCTGATCCCATAGATCACTATATCTAGGTTCTCCAAACCAGTCATCTTCAGACTCAAAGACTGTTCGCAGATCCCTCACCAAGACTCCGTTGCGGCTCGACTGGATTGTGGGTTGTCGACAAAAGCGTTGCTCGATCGACGACCTATTCTCGTCCCATCGTCCTAATTTCTTCAAACGTTCAAAATGGCCCGAGCCCGATTCTAAATTCCAACGACCTTCGCCGCGTCTAATCCGTGGTCGCTTGGGCACTTATCGCACTTCTATACCTGGAATCTCGGTAAGTCCTTTACCCTTACTACAGCTTGTTCCATGGCTGACTATATCTTCTCGATGCTATTAGAGTTCTGCGTCGGCACGTGTCTACGATAGACATCGAAGAGAGCTCGTTGGATGATGTTCGTGTTTCTTTGATGCGGGAGAGACCAGGAGGCCAATCTCGCACGGTTGTGGTCAGCGCTCTCTAATTACTCGGAGCTTTCACCAACGCACGGCCAGGAGAACGGAAAATGTGTTCTACGAGTATCTGGTCAGTCGACCATCGTCTGTGGCCACCTTAAGGGAGATAGGACCGTTTTCCTCCTCAAATGCAGTGGTGTTCTGGCCATGCATTGCTGGAATACCTGGCGTCAGAGCCCTGGCAACATTATTGAAACAGTTTCTGAACAGCTTCGAGAGTTCTGCGAGGTTGCTGTTCAATCGCCTTGCCGTTGGGCTCCGGCACGAGCATCTCTCCTAGACTATGCTGTCAACCCATAGGATACTCAGCCAGATGGCGGACGTACGGTATCCTCTCATCGTGTATCTAGCTGGAGAACTAGATCAGTTCTCTCTTCGGTCTGTGACCGACTTGGCTCGTTGACATGTGATTCCTGTGGTCGTGGATGAGGTTGTCACCCTTTTCCCAGCCGACTAGTCCGACTCCGCCGGTAACGAGTGGTTGAGATTCCAGGATCCCTGGTGCAATGTTGACAAACCAACGCAACGCGCACGCCTTGGTCCACGTGTCTCCGAGTTATGTTTGTCCTGTCTGCGCAGATCAACAATATAGGTATCCAAGGCCCGACAACTTACAGAAGCGCGTGGGTCTACCAAGTGCACCGGCAGGTACCTTGGATAGCATTCAAGTGCTATTGGAGGTATTACGATGGAGCGAAAGGCGTGCGTGCAGAGAGACGGGTTAGACGGGTGCCACAACGCACAAGGTACGATGCATCAGGATGCGACGTAGAGGGTCGATTCTTGGCGTAGTTGCAGTTAAATATCGGTTTCATTAAGTACAGTATTCAACGGTCTATGTGTTTGCTTTAGGTACCAGTTACGCCATTCTGTGCTCAGAGCGTTATTCTCCTCCATCATCGAGGGCTGTACGCGGGACAATTTAAGCGAGCCCATATTGAGATTGACCGTCATTCAATTCTCCAATCCACCGTGTCACAGCATCAACAGTTGACACCTGAGAAGTATATTAACGCATTCGTTAATCATATTGCAGCGTTCCGCGCTAGTCCTGTTCACCACCGCTCTCTCGTCAGCCAGGTCCCTGTTAAGGGCGATTCGACCCCTTGCCCTTTCTCACTCCCAGGATATCCTCATCACGATCGTTCATCATCACCTGTAGTCCATTTCTCCATGACAATGAAGTTGACTCTCAACACAAAGCCTCAAGAACGAGGCACAAGCAAGTAATGGGCGCATGCACTCTATTGGACATCAAGACACGAGAACTGCCAATTCTCATGGCAGCAAAATAGGCACCCTCCACACACCGTCTGCGCCAGAGAATATAACCAGTGTACGAACGCATCAGATAAAAGGCACAAACCACGCCCCCAAGTCCGGTATCGTCTAAGCTGATGCGAAGCAAACCAAACCACATGAGCGCTCCAAGGACTTGAATCGACAGACCACAGGCAAAGCAGAATGGGAAAAGGCTCATAAAATCGACAGTCCATTCCACAAGCAGATTTCCGAACGTTTGCCCGAAGCTCCAAAGTTTTCCCCTCGAAAATGATAAAGATTGTGGAAAACTTCAGGTCAGCACCATTGAGTGGCTTTGATCAGGTCGGTGGTGCCGATGGCTGTCCTGCAGTCGGTCTGCCTGACCTCATGTACATGCCGTCTGCCGGGACGGGCGACATTGTGGCATGAGCTGCTTGCTGTTGTGCAACCAGTTCTCGAGCATAGAATTCCACTAACATGGTGCCATAGGCTTCGAGTTCTTCTACGGGCACCGAGAGTCTAAAATCGTTAAGAATGAGGAATTGGAGTTCGAGGTTGTTGAGTTCCACGAGTGGAAGACCGCCAACCTGGGTATGGTTAGTATACTCTGCGGGCAACAGGGTACAGGAAAGAGGCGAGGCAGCTTTACCTTTGCATATCGAGAATTGGTGTAGAAAACATCGGAGAAGAATTTGCTAGCACATGTGACGCCAGCTATGACAAGCCGGTGAATATTGTAACTGTCAACCACAAAAAACTGGGACAAATCTTGGGGATTTCCAGACGACGGGTGGAATGAGGGCACTCTAGTTATCGAAGGAGGCTCAGGTGAAGTACTAGGAGCCGATGGAGGCGGGGTGCCAACATCGGAATGTTGCTGTGGACTATCCACATTCATTGGTAGAGGAGATCTTGAGGTGGGTGTAGATGATTCAGGAGCAGTGGCCGGGGAGTCATTTGGACGGGCTGATGTGTTGCCCAAAAGCCGTCGATTCACAGCTTCAGTCATGCGGTCAAAATAGACCAACAGGCTCAGGAAAACCTCATAAGTGGTCGGACAGTACTTATGTATCCGACTCAAATAACTCAAAATGGTGATTCCTGGGACGTTCTTGCCGTGGAAGGCGAGGACGCAGTTGGCTTGGGGATTGAGGTGGCTCTGCTCCTCAGTCAATGCGACGGGTCGGTGGTGCTCATGCTGACGGTCATTGGTAGTGGTGATTTTGGTGAGTAATCCTGCAACCATCTCAATGATGTCCGTAACCGGCATGGAACTGATCTCATATTGCCTCCCCGTATCTGAAAAGCCACTAGCTGTCCTCGCAGCCAGTCTTGGTCGGGCCAAATATTCCTCACTGGCAAAGCTGCGGATATGGGAGAGATCTCGGACTTTTATCCTACTAGGAGAAGTAGCTTCTGAGCCACCCAAAGATCGCGTTGAACGATAGGTAGGCTGAAGTCGAGGGGAGCCTGGGGGAGAAGCAGCCACCAAAACTCTAGGGTCGTTGGAAAGGGGAAAGCCTGATTGGTCAAACCCACGGCTGTGTTGATTTACGTTGGAGGGATAAAATGATGACTGCTGTTGCGAAGAGGAGTGGGCACTAGAAGGCTGCTCATGTTGAGAGCGCTGGGTGGAGGGGGTTTGAGGATGGTCGGTAGTGTGCTCTCGACTGGTATGAGATTGAGGTTCGGTGGCGGAGGAAGACTGTTGCCTTGTAGAGGCAGATGCCGAAGCACTTCTGGGTCTGGAAGAGCCCTCGTCTTGGGGATGGTTGGTGGCAACCATCATGTGGTGATAAGAATGATGACTGATAGCCGGCGGCGCCTGGCTCATCACCAGCGAGCCCATCTCAACCTGCCGCGTTCAATGCCTAGAATGGAGGGCGAGGTCAGTATGGCGGTGTTTGCAGATCCGAACAGAGTAGGTTTTAGGTTGTTTTTTATGGACATCCCGCAGCCTGAGTATCACTTGCGCAGCCTGTATATGCATGAAACGGAGTAGGACAGGGGGGTTGCACCAATATGGTTGGAGGCGATGGAGATCCAAGGAGTGAGAATGGTGACAGGACTGATATCACGGTTGAGGTGATGGCGATGGTGAGGGGCTGATGGTGATTGACAACGACAATGACAGCTGGTTCGAGGGAGTTCGCAGTCTAGGTGGGCCGTGGTGAGGGTGAAGTTGACCTGAGGGAGCAGCGGCCGGCTGCGAAAGCGAGCCAGGAAAATGGAGGTGGAAGCTAGCATGTGCTTATTGCTGAGGAGATGGGCAGGCCGTGGGCGGTGGACGGTGGGCGGTGGGGGCGATTGAATTCAAGAATAATAAGGAATGGTAATAATGGGACTTACCATAGACATAGCTTGGGCGCCAGAAAGCTAAAGTTGATGGCAAGACGAGTGACAAGCGACCGGGACGCGTCTATTCCTGTGAGGATTGCGGATGGGATTGGAATGATAGAGGCCGGGATAAGGAGAAAGGGAAAAGAGTGGTGAGAATAATAATTAGTTGAAAAGCACGAGAAATCGAGGCAGTAGCAAGATACCTGAAGGTCGTTGGTTAGTGCGCAGTCTCTGTTACAGGGGAGCCGCAGAGGGAGAACATAATGAGGGAGGGAGGCAGGGAGGGAGTGGGAGAAGGGATCGAATTGATGGAGTCGATCATCAAGATCAAGACTACGGGCACGCAGTACGGAGCTCACTAGAGTCGCTCGGGTCGCTCAGTGTACAAGAAGGTACCTGGTACATAGCAAACAGCACCTCGCACAGGCAGGAAGCAAAGTACTGGTACAGACCTGTTACCACAATCTGCCTACGAGAACTGGCCGGAGTGGAGGCAGGAGGACAGAAGGCAACACGCAGGAGAGGCGGACGGGCAGCGATTGATGCGTGAGGAAGGGGCGCGGGCCACTCTGACCTCATTTTGCATAAAATGCCCCCATCCACAAATGTAAACCGCATCCACAGGATTGGGCCGCACCGTTAATAATAATACCTTCATCAACTAATCAGATGGGCTGTTTGCAAAGGACTAGATAGTAATCTGTGAGATCCAGTACGGGAGTATTTTTATACCCAGAACCCAGTCTCTTCTTCTACGGCTGCAACCATCATCCTCATCATTACGACGAGGCTGACAGATAATACAAAAGAACAGTGAGAGCACTACTACTCTTTCCCATAACAACAAGTCGGTCCTCGCTCTGGAGTGTTAAATAAGGGCCCAATAATGCGGACTGGGGGTTGAACCAAGTTGCTTCTATTCTCAACTTTGTTGTGCCGCTGAATGCACCGGGTACGAGTACATACACAATCCTTGACGCCACCCATGGATTTTCCGTTTCCTTCCTCGATCTCATACGCCTTTTGCAGTGCCCGGTCCCTTGTATTGTTGGTCAGGTAGGTACAAATGTCGTTGAGCTCCCTTGGCTGTCAGAACCACCATCCGGATGACACCACCGGAACTTCCATCCCACTTGATCGCTTCTCTGAGAGAGTTCTTGACAAAATCCACACCTTCCTCTTCAGTCATGTTGTCTTTCCAGTGGGCATCGGTATACCCGTAGATGTACGTCGATCCTGACCCTCCAATGGCAAATGACTGCTTGTGCAGTGAGCCGCCCAGAGGTATTGAGTAGACTTGTCCACCATTCCGCTTGTCATAGCCGGCAATGATCATTCCTGCACTGCATGCTAGTCAGCTACCAGTTCCCCTCGAAGCCTTGGTTTGTATTCAATTACCTCAATTGGTCCTTGTTCTCGTAGCACAGTTCCTGAAAGAGTGCCGCCGCAGTCTGGGTGGTGGGTGGTTCGTTGTTGAGGATACCGTAGAGCCCAAGATGATATTGCACGATATCTGCCACCGCTTGGGTGTCCGCAGCTGATCCTGAGCGACAACACCAGATGGTGTCATGCACTTGTGTGAGCTTGTCCGTCACTCGGTTGGCAATGTATGCGCCGGTGGTTGTTCGACTGTCGGCTCCGAGTATAACTCCGTCTTTGAATGTGATGGCCATGATCGATGTGCCTAGGTTGACTTCTCCCTTCTTCAGATGATTCATATCCACATGTATGCCATCTTCCCCCAGCATGCCTGTTGAATGACCGATCATGATTGCGTCCGACACAAGACGGTAGTAGGAAGGTCAAACGTCTGGTAGAACTCAAGCGACCGTGAGAAAGGTGTGTTGCTGATTGAGACAGCGAAAGGTCTCAAGAACAGATCAAGGATGAGTGGTGGATGGAGTTGCAAATTGCTTGTTCTCAGAGACTTGAAGGTACTCTGAAAAGGCACACCAGTGAACGCGTTTCCTCTTAGCAACTCCTTCCCCAAATGCCTGCGCCTGCAGGCTGTGGCTGATTTGTTTGGGGAAGCTTTGCCGACTCTGATCTTACCCTAGATGGACTAGCAAGGGTACTAACGCTCCACACAGGTCAACCCCAAGGCTGGATCCAATTGCACGCCTCCGTCAAAACCTCCGTCCTCAACTTAACATGCCCGCAGGCAGCCCCTCTCCGCCACACCTCTCGACTTGCAGTACAGCCTTGTTTTTCTACCTTATCCCTACACTTCTTCCTAGTCTTCCATCGCGCTCAACTGCTTCTTCCAGCATATCGCCCATGAGTCCATGAATGAGCCTCTTCAGCGCTTGATCATTCTTAAAAAACCCCCCTGGAACCATGAACGCCATGGGTACAGCACTCTCTTATCTTCGAATACCTGCTCTTGCCACCTCTGGTCTGGCCGCTGTTGGAAGCAGTCTGCTGTACTTTAAACAAAACGACATCATCTATCCTGCAAACATTCCCGCCGGTTCGAGGACTCAAGTTCCCACTCCTGATCAGTTCGGCCTCAAGAACGCGGAATCTATAACATTTCCTACGCCTGACGACCAGGTTCTACATGCATATCTCCTCCGCCCATCTGAGCCGTCCCTGAAGAAAAATGTCACGCTTCTGACATTTCACGGGAATGCTGGCAACATCGGACATCGTCTACCTATTGGAAAAGTCTTATCTGAGAGTTTGGGCTGCCACGTCTTCATGGTTGAATATCGAGGTTATGGGCTGTCCACTGGTACTCCAGATGAAGTCGGTCTGTCAGTCGACGCCCAGACCGCCCTGGACTATGTTCGCAACCACCGAGAGCTGAGGAAGACCAACATTATCATATATGGCCAAAGTCTAGGAGGCGCAGTTGCCGTCAAGCTCTTGCAAGCCAACGAACAAGTCGGTGATATTGTCGCTGTGATTCTCGAAAACACCTTTCTCTCCATTCGGAAGATGATACCCGCTGTAATGCCAGCCGCAAAGTATCTAACTCCATTCTGCCACCAGCGATGGGACTCTGAAACGACGCTGGCCAAAGTCAAAGATAAGAGTATTCCGATTCTCTTCCTGTCCGGTGGGCGAGATGAAATCGTTCCTGCCTCAATGATGAAGAACTTGTATGATATGTGTCCTACCAAGAAAATCTGGAGGGAGTTCCCCAATGGCGACCATAACTCGACAGTTGCGGAGCCTGGCTATTTCGATGCAATCTGGGAATTCCTGGTCCAGGATGCGCTTGGACTGGAAGGAATGCCAAACTTGAAGAAAGACGAAATCAGTATCGACGAAGACGAGCTTTGGAGTTGAAAAGTCTTCGGGCGCAACTTCTCACGAAATTCTCTCCGCTTCGTCAATCAATTCCTCGAGGCTGAATCCTTGATCGCCGGAGCTGAATTTCTGCAACAATCCCTGTCGTTTTTCACGGCCGATGCCACCCCCATGACCTTCATTGTCGTAAAACTTCTGCAGGCACATCAACAACCACCTACCCTCCTCCACACTGACCCCTCGCCCTTCGGTGACAGACCCATTCAACAGAACTAAGCCATGGGAGTCGACTAAATCCAAGTGATGCGTTATTGCGGTATGTGGCTGTGCATATGTTCCATGAAGTTTGAATGCCGCCAGGTGTGTGAACAGGACGGTGCTTGTATGAGTGTTTGCCGTCTTTGCATCGGGAGCTGCAGGTTGACCGGCGGGAGGATGAAACCCCCACTGAAGGAAATGGATATCGGCCGCTGAGCGTTCACCACCTTCGAAACCTTGTGCAGACTGTGCAACATCGCCGCTGCCGTCATCTGCTGCCGGTCGCGGTAAGGGGAGGACAAACTGTGGATGGCTCCGAGCTGTTCGGTAGATACGCTCGTATGTCTCCAGGGGAATGACTGCACATAATGACAAAGGATCATTGGCGTGCCGCAGCCTCCAGATGTACTCTACCTCTTTATTCGGCAAGGAAGCGATTTTGTCGAGGTCGAGATATGAGGACAGAGGCTTGATACCCGGGACATTGGAGGAAGATTGTTTCTTCGTTTCCGTAGGTTGATTCTGCATTGTCGCCCCAGTCTGTGGTGACGGGGGCGGAGGCGGAGGTTGTGCGAAAGTAGAGGTAGAGGTTTCTCCCCGAGGAGAAGAAGATGCAACACCGGGGCTGCCAGTCGGCAGTGTAGCAGCTTTCTTCTTCACCTCCGATATCTTCTCTTTGTACGATTCCTTCAATGATGAGACCGAATCGTGTCCTTCCCTGTGGTCGTCAAGCACCATATAATGTCAGCCCATAGTCCGCCCATGCACAACCACAGCCGTAAGCCGGCTTGGACACATTGAGACATGAAACTCACGCTCTCGCCTTCTCCTCCAGCTTCGCACGGTACCGATCCAGCACCTTCTCGGCCTGGTGCTGCGTCGTGACGAACCGCACATCATGCACCCGCGCCCATCGTCGCTGCGACGTCCTCGCGCTTGCGGCGATGCTCGAGCTTGAACTCGAGTTGAGTGTACATGCGCATCGGCGCAGGGAGCTGCTAAGGAGGGCGCTCCGCCCGGACATCGTGACTCGTGGCGAGCGGAGAATCACAGGCACGGAGGGTGTTGGATCGCACAAGGCAGGGAGGTTGCCGGAATGTAACTGATGAGTTTCCGAGACGGGAGTATCCAAGGCTCGTCGATGCGATGGTTCAAGAATCCAGCGGAGTCAAGGCCAGGTGCAGCATGCTTTGCGTTGCGAAGCTATCGACGATGAACTTGACATTTTGGGCTTTTGCGGGCTGTGCTGGTCTCCGATTGGCTAGAGCCGGAATATTTCGATACGGTGGAGTATTCCACGCATGAGTGCTCCTCTCGGAAAATGTGACGAACCAAGACGCGGATCATGGGCTGAGCCACATTTACATGCTATAATATACTACTTCACAACCGGAGTACATATGATGATGATCACACAGTATGTACGGTGCGCACAAGCCGTTGCCATGATCGATCAGTACACCAAGATCTGTCCAGTGGTCATGCACCGGCTGGGCAAGTCCGCTAATCTGATCTGACAGCCGGAGCCTCGCAACGTGAGTAGTAGGCTTCTTCTTAGTAAATATTGTGAGATTCCTGTACCCAGAAAAATGCACATTCAATGCTATGTCATGTCATGCCATATGGGAAACCTCCATTCCACTCGCTATGCAGATCTCCCCTATGCTTCCTCCCTCTATCTCTCGCCCACAGTGATGGTGATGCTAGTACCTAAACCCAACGCCTCGCTAAATTCAAATCCCATAATTAGTTTTGCGATAATTTGATTGGTGGAGAGGGCATGGATATGTCGAGGTGCCATGCCCATCGGTGGGGAGACATGCATGCTTCCCAGAGAGAATTGTCCGGGATGTGGTCTGTCCCTTTCTTCATTTGCCATTCGGATCGCTCCATCCTGTTCCTTGTTCTCATAAAGAACAAAACAACCTAAGCGAATGGAATGGCCGCTCACATGCCACAAGCCATCCCAGGTTGGGAGACTCCGAGATCAATCCCCGACCCTCAGTCACAGTATTTTATAAGGTGGTTTAAGCGAGTGTTCTGATTTATCGACGATAGGAGTCTGAAGCATCTCGATAGTGACCTGCCGGCAGGTGATGATGTTGACTGCTTGGAGGACGTTGAGATTGTTTGGCAACCTCTGCAGTAGGCGAGAAGAAAAGACTAGGCACGCTCGAGAACGACCTAGGTAATGCTTTCAGATCCGCCATGTTGTGTGAGGATTGCGCCGCTGGGTTCTTCAGATCTGGAAGAGGGGTATAGGAAACATTCCCAGTTCCAGACGCGCTTGCATCACGTTTGAAGCGGCGGTTGATCGACCAGGACATCAGGATCTGCCATCCTATGATCAACAGGGCAATAAAGCCCAGGGCAGCGCCAACGACGATAAAGACAAAATTTTCTGGTAGTTGCGAGGATGCTAAGTAAGGGGCGCCAGCGGATGGAGGTACGGTGGGAGGCGGGTAGTTGTAGCCGCCAGGCAGGGTGGGCAGAGCAGAATCTGTTGCGGCTGCGGCGACCATGGTGGGTTGTTAAGTTAGATATGTGTATGAGTATGTATATTGCCGTGTACCTGTACGATGTAAGGAATGACTGATGAGTTCCGACAGTAGAGGAGATAGGTTGGTAGGGATGTGAATTGGGACGTGAAGGGGGAAGGACAAGGCAGGTCACAGGAATTCAGCGTCGAGAAATAGGGTGAGGTGGAGGAGGCAGATGGTGACGAGGACAGGAGTGACGAGGGTGTTTTTCTTTGCTCGGTGCACGTGTATCCCTGGTTTTGGTCGACTTGGGCCCCGGGCGCGGTTGTGGTTATATTTGGTTGGGTCCCTAAGGGGGTGCCTGGCACCCACCCTTGGGGCTACTGGCCCTATTAGGTATGCAGAATTTGTGGCTGGGGCGAACCTTCCACACGCCCAGGACTGATCGGGTGGCACACTATTAAAACTCTCCTGAGGTCAATGGGGAGACGGTGGAGCTTTGCACTTTGAGGCGCAGATACCCGCAGTACCCTGGCCTAGTCTATATGCGGTTAGGTATTGGGGATATCTTAGAGATCTCCCCGCTCCTCATACATATTTTTCCCTCGCCTGCAGCGCAGCGACATCAACGGTAAATACCGACAATCTTGGTCCAAAGTCCTGGTCGTAGAAGGCCAGTCCTGGAGACTCCCCAAAATGGGCGTCAATAAGAAGACTCGCAAATTTGCCCAGGTCAAGCGAATCATTGGTCAACGTGACGCTCGCCTCAAGAAGAATCAAGACACACAGAAAACTGAAGCGCCCAAGAAGAAGAAGGATGACGAGGTCATTCGGGAAGCGTAAGCCAACAATGTGATATTGAGCCCCTAGAGCCTAACATCAGCAGACCCCAAGTTTCGTCCGCTCTCTTCTTCCAATACAACACTGCCCTCGTACCACCATACCAAGTGCTGGTCGATACCAATTTCCTCTCTCACACCGTACAAAAGAAGCTTGAACTACTACCGACCATGATGGATTGTCTCTACGCGAAATGTATTCCGATCATCACCGACTGCGTCATGGCCGAGTTGGAGAAACTTGGTCAGAAGTACCGAATCGCACTAAGGATAGCAAGAGATGAGCGATGGGAACGACTCTCATGTGGCCACAAAGGTACTTATGCCGACGACTGCATTGTCGATCGAATCATGCGACATAAGATCTACATTGTTGCAACAAACGACAAAGACTTGAAGAGACGCATCCGCAAAATCCCAGGTGTTCCTATCATGAGTGTTGCTCGAGGGAAATATCTGATCGAAAGACTCCCAGGTGAGTTCCCAAATACACTTGTGTACAATGACATCCAACGCCTTGCCCTTGTTATACCTGTTTTGTCATACATCCATGTGCCCGTTTTCGACGGATTCACCAGCCCCCTTCCAATCTGGATTCGAGGGATTGACCACATTGCTGACTTTTGCACTAGACGCCCCAGAAAGGTGATGATAATACCAATCAGATCAAGACATTTGAATCCACCATTGCTTGCCAGCTCGTCATAAACCCCTATGATCACATGTCGTGGATCATAATCTGGCTCTCCAGCCACGCCACAAGGACTCAAAAGCCCAGGCAACAACAGCGACTGCCACGGCACTTAGAACCGCCATGATGGCGATCACTTTCCGCCTCATCTGAAATGCATCGTTCATTTCTCGCTTGGCTAATTTGCGCTGATGAGAGTGATAATAGCCGCCTTCGCTTTTGGAATTGGCAAATATGCTTCCATAGTGTTGGCGGTCGATGAGAAATAAGGATATTAGAAACGACACGAATAGTACCGGAGCCACGATCAGTCGACTGAGCAGTGGCTCGGATCCTGGAAGTGGTTCGCTGACTGCTGAGGTTTTGGCCGATGGCATGATATCCGCAGTAGACAAGGTGTCGAAGTTTGAGTTATTGTGCATCGGTGTGGACTCGGCTCGTCGCAAATTTAGGACGCTGCAACAGCAAAGACGTCCCGTGGTAGAATAGTGAGGTTGTTAAAATTGGTGTTGTGGAGGGAGGAAGCACGGATACTGCGGAGGGACACGGCTTAGTCACGCAGACAGCACGTCACAAAGAAATGATTGAGTTTGTCGTGCCTTGAAGGGTCTTCAAATAGATCCTGAAAGAGAATGATTGAAGAAGACAAAACGACCTGGGCTTTTAAGTCACAATAGAACACAGATTCCAAAAGTCCAGGGAATTGAGTAGTTATTCACAACATCCGTCTTGAATATACCCAGTACCGGCTAGCATTAGTGTTATGCTCCTCCATAGACCATCAGGGACAGCGTAGCTTTAGCCCCGAAGCCAAGTTACATTTCTGTCTCCGGTTGGCCATTGATCAATCAAAATACATCCTCCTGGGATCATCATGGGAAGCGGGAGTGGCTTCGCCGTTTAATTGTCGTATCGATATCCATCCGCCCTCTAGCAGCCAAGGCCCTTCTTGTCCCCTCCAGTCCACTAATTAGCTATCCAATGCGGGTGCCTGATATACGAGTTGGCATCAGGCACCGGTGTTTTGTCTACACCTATTTGGCGTATACAATGGCCAAGCCATTTTGCCTCGAATGCCCTAAGAATTCATCAGCAGCATCAGCCTCCTTTTACGTACGTTTCCTCAATCGATCGAAGTTCTCCGTACGATTGCTTTCATTGTCAGGCAATGGGTCCGCAAGCCCTAACGGATCGCTCAAGAAGACTAGAATCTCGCATGAAAGTGCGAGGATATCTCGGACCTATTAGCTATATGCTTGCCAGAAGGCCGCTCTAGGCATTCCTGACATTCATCTATCCTCGAGCGACTATCTATTAACGCTAATGCCTTTGTCTGCTCTACCCTTTGACTAGCCTGGTTGTCAACCCAGATTTTTAGAAGCTGTGTTACACGCCCATGGATGAGGCACTAGATCCAAGCCAGATCGTAATGAGGCTGCGCTCGGGGTTCCGAGCAGGGACATAGCTGCCGTACCTACCACAAAAGGTATTTTCAACACGCCCTTGTGCAATACGGTGGGTATAAATTACTGTGTGGTGGTCCTGGGGGGTTAGGGATTCTCCTTACAGGCGAGCGGCGCATATGGATACCGCCAACGCCAAAAGGACTACGCCCTTCCGCCGATGATTATTACCATATATGGGGAGTGATTGCACCCTGGTGCGACTATGTGAGTTTGCAAACAACCAAGATTGAGTCCTTGATATCAAAAGAGAGATTGGATGATAGCATTCACGATCCTGCCGTATCTTGGAGGATTGTGCGATCGCGTGTCAGATCCAGTCAACGTCGAATCATCGCGATTCATATCTTGAACATTAATCGAGCAGATATCCATGTTGAGATTCCAATTGGAAGTCCCTAACTAATATCACTGCTCCGGTTCTAGGTGTATTTAATACAAAATGGGTTCAATCGCTGCAAGTATTCCTATCGTCAATGGTGGCTCAAAACCAGACGCACGCTATCCTCAGCCTTTGAAGCAGAGTGGCACATTGGATAAGTTCGAGTCGGAAGATGTTACTCCTGTCATTGGTCGAGAATTTCCATCTGCGAACTTCGTGGACGACTTCCTCAATGCCGCAGACTCAGACAATCTCCTGCGAGACCTTGCTATCACAAGTAAGTTCTCCCTTGATAAACGGCCACTAGTGTCCAAATACCAACGATGATAAAAGTCAGCGAGCGGGGAGTTGTCTTCTTCCGCGCACAAGACAACCTCTCCAATGACCTACAAAAGCACTTCATCCAAAGACTGGGGGAAGTAACTGGCAAGCCATTGACATCGACACTACATATCCACCACGTGTTGAATGGCCCTGGGGAGTTTGGCGACGATTCACAAATAAGCAACATCTCGTCGGTCCATCGCAGGAAGCTCCTCGACGTCTCGAATCAACAGAACAAGCGACAATACGACGCGGCCCAGTGGCACAGCGACATCCAATTTGAGCGGGTTCCCGCCGATTACTCCAACCTGAGACTAATCGAACTCCCCAAGACTGGGGGAGACACGCTCTGGGCATCTGGTTACGAAATCTATGAACGCTTCAGCGAGCCCGTCCAGACATTCCTGGAAGGCCTGACGGGCTACTTTCTGTCGGCGATGGATTTATCAAAGCTGCCGAGGCAGGGCGAGCAACACTGTACACGGAAGCTCGAGGCTCCCCTGAAAATATAGGCAAGTCACTTTCTGCCGTGCATCCTGTCATACGCACCAATCCCGTGACAGGATAGAAGAGTATATTCGCCATCGGCCCTTTTCCGAAGTACATCAATGAAGTCCATGTGGGCGAGAGCGAGGAGATCCTCAAGAAACTCCATGATACCATCACCAACAACCATGACCTGCAGGTTCGCTTTAAATGGAGGAACAAGAATGATATCGGTAAGTACCAATCACTGTTGACGCGTTTTGCACCTATGCGCCAGTCACTGACTTAGAGTGGCTCGGTAGCAATCTGGGACAGCCGCAGTGTGTTCCACTCGGCAACATTCGATTACGATGGCTTAGGAGAACGATTTAGTAGCAGGGCCGTTGGATTGGAGAGACTTCTTATTTCGATCCTCACAGTGAAAAAAGGACCGAATCAATCGCAGCAGCATAGATAGTGTTGAACAGTATTTATGCACCTGAGTCTCCAAATAGCTTTCAGCTAGGCCTCGAGGGAAATTTATGCTGCTTCGGTCTATCATAGAGCCCCTTTTCCTCAGCGCGCCAGTGGTGTAAATGCACAAGTTTTGCGTGTGCCTAGCACCTAAATATCAACAACGAAAACATCACCCGCACTCGTGATAAGTCTCTACCCAGTCCTCGAGTTTGCGATGTCCAGCACCAGTATATCCGTCGCCCCCACACTCGTCAGGTCATCCATAACCGTTGCGATTTTCTTCTTCTCCACCATCGAGCTGACTGCCACCCATTCCGGTTCCTCCAACGCTGTTATCGTCGGAGCCCTCTTTCCAGGTGTGATCTTGGTTGCTTCTGGAAGTTTGGCTCTCGGTACATTGTACTGGCACAGAATGTATCTCTGAGCCGCGATAACCCCCCGTATTCTTGCTTCGATCAGGCTGACAAGCTTTTCATTTGAGACGGATCTAGACTTGATCAAGACAGCGGTGCTTTCTACAACCGTGTCGATTGCTTTTAGACCCGCCGCTCGCATTGTCTCGCCTGACTCCACAAGGTCAATGATCCCATCCGCAACGCCCAGGGCACAGGCTGCTTCGACACTTCCACCGACGAATTTGATCTTCGTCTTCAATTTTGGAACAGGGCTCTCGGTTCCGTTGACGCTCTCTTTGCGACTTCCGTGTCCTTCGAGTCGAGCAAAGTAGTCTTCCGCAAGGCCGGTGAAACTGGTTACGACGTTCTTGCCTACTAGATCCTTGACTTCTTGGAGGGGCCCCTTTTCCGGAACCTGGACTTGAAGCTTGCAAGCTCCGAACCCCAGATCCATCACCTCCACCACTCCAGATTCTTCGCCGAGCGGTAGATGAGTGTCATGCTCGGCAACCTGGTCTCTCCCAGTGATTCCCAGATCAACCTTTCCCTCACCCACGAATGTTGGTATGTCTGCCGCGGGCAGGAAAATAAGTGCAAGTGGTAGGTTCTTAACCAAAGCAATATCCAGTCGAGTTTCTCTTCGGAACTGAACATCGGACCCTGCTAGGAGATCGAGCGTGGCTGATTGGAGCCGTCCTTTCTTCGGTACTGCAAACAGCAGACGGTCGGACAGGTGGTTAACCAAATCCATGACTTCTGTCTTATTTATTCTTATATCAAAATGGATGTCTCAAAGACGACTGTTGCTCCTTGGATTTATGACTGGAGGCTTTTCTATATTTTTTAGTCGGCAAACGAAAGTGCTTGTCGACGAATCAATTGTCACTATCGAAGCACGGTGAGACTGGGCCGTTGGATTTCAGTAATGAAGAATATGTTTCGCAGCTCTGGGTGAAATAAAAAACCGACGAAACCGGCAATGCACAGTTCACCGTCATCATTTACCAGAAATATCCTCACCTCACTGCCACCCATTTGAGTCACTCCCGGCCTCAGGCTCATTTTGGGTGAGGGGCGACTAGTCCTATTTGGGTCTAGTCGAAGTGAATCTTGGCATCCGCGGCAACATTTTCAGAATCCCACAACATCTTCAAACTGCGGGCTCACACTTGGATCAACTACCCTTGAAGCCGCACAACAACCTGCGTACTCTCGCAAGCCTTCCATTCGAGATCAGTCCTCCATAGTCCTTCTTTACAACCAAATCTGCCAAGATGGATGCTGGAAAGGTTCCCGTCAAGCTTGTCAAGGTTACTCGAGTCCTCGGCCGAACAGGTAAATTGCGCCAACCCAGACACAAAGCGAAGAGTTGGATTTGAGGTTGACGATAGAATTCTCTAGGTTCTCGAGGTGGTGTCACACAAGTCAGAGTCGAATTCATGGACGACACGAGCCGAAGCATTATCCGAAACGTCAAGGGCCCAGGTACGATTGACCTTCTAGGCGAAAATCGTGCACGACGATGGAATAATGACTAATTGATCTCCCCAACCTGTACAGTGAAAGTTGACGACATTCTCTGCCTGCTCGAGTCCGAGAGAGAAGCAAGGAGACTGAGATAAAAAGTGGTGTCGGAATGGTGTCATTTATTTTCTGGGGCAACTCGGCTTGCGATTGAGCGCTTGAAAACTCAAACAATCAATAACGGATAGCGAACAGAAAAACACGAGAGATACGTAAGCATGTTTCACACTGCAGAGAGATGCAGGTGCGACTAGATCTGCTACATAATGCAGACACGGCACTGGCGTGATCCGGGAATGGGCTCATACCCGCCATTGATCTGATGCAGAGTTGCAAAATAAAAATCAATCTTCAAGCATGTTGCTCGCAGGGTTGCTACACCATCCAAATTCTTTTCCTCTACGACTTGTAGCCTCCGGGTCCTGGTGGTTTTACAATCTTTCCAAGGAAACAGATCAACGCAGCCCCAAGAGCGCTCTACCTGCACTTATGACTTAGCAAGCGTTCCTGATTGTATAATACCGGGTCGGAACCTGTTTCTTGTTAGATCTCGCCGATGTCGTGCGTGGCTTTGTGTCTAACTTTTAATCCCTATCAAGCGCTGCCTTATGAGAACCCACCTTCGTTAAGTTCTTTGTCAATCCCTAATGGCCTTGCACCCAATACTGTAGACAACAACTTTGAAATAAAATAAATTGTAAACCCGTGACTTGTGAGCTTCTGCAAACTTCAGCCTTGTCGGCTTTGAGAGATTAGCGGGCCAATGGTGTCAACGCTTGGCAAACTCGCCGCTTGGAAAGGCTGCAACCAGAAGACGTGGCGACATAGATAGTGCAAGAAGTCTTAACAACATCACGTTGATGACGAACACCCTATGTTGCCTCCCCAAGTTCTATAGATATCGTCATAGAAATCGCATAGCACCGGAGCAACAGTTGTTGCTGAATCATCAAGAATTCATTGACTTTGTTTTTGGGGCTGAGTGCCAGTCCTGTTTTTCATCCTCGATAATAAGACTCACTACAATTTCAAAACTTTGTCCCAGACAGCAAATACTGTCAGATGAGCGCGTCCTTTTGAAGATGATAGACGTGTTGAATTAGAAAGTACTATACAACTTCCGACAATGGCATCAGTGCCCGCCAAACCCGCTGCAGCAACGGATCCAGAGAGAGAGTACAATCTAATATCCAATCTCGAACTACGTATCGCGTCTGCGTCTACGGACGAGAAGCTGGAATCGATTCTACAGAAATTCCTTCCAGCACTTTTACTAAAATTGGCTTCACCCACGGCGAAAAACAGAGACCTTACCATCAAAGTTGCTGGGTATGTCAACCAGCGTGTCAAAATCAGCCAAAGCATCAAGCTTCCGGTATCAGCCCTCGTCAAAGCATTCCGCGAAGCCGAAAATGCATTTGTGAGAAGGTTTTGCCTCATATTCATTGAGCAGGGTCTGCCACGACTGGAGACGAGCGAAGCAATTGCCACTCTTCCAGGAGTCCTCCAGTTTGCTATCCCTAAAGCTGAAGGGTACGACACAACGGATCGGAAAATATGGGCCATTGCTTTTGATTTCACCCTGGAAGTATTACGACAGTGGAAACTCCCAGAAAGGAACAGCAAAGAAGATCTTGCTCTAAAACATACCTTCTCCTTGACACAAGTTCAAACAGACCTCCTGGCTAGTAGGATTTGCGACTTTCTGCTCTTCGATCCAAGGGACAGCAGCCAGGCTTATGATGAAGACTTTAAGCCATTCTTTGAGAAGAATTTCAAGCGTCGTTCGGAAGTTGTTCTACCCTTGGCAAGATTCCTCTTCAGCTCGATTTTTACAGATTCACAACGTCTCATCCCTGCAGTCATCATGGCCATGGATGCGAACGCCTCAGCCTCTAGCATGAGTGACACCATCTTCAAGCAATCAGACTTCGACCTTGAGGCCGAACCAAACGTCGATGCTTTGTTCGCGCTGTACAAGCGGTCAAAGCCAAAACTTCAGACGAAAATTCTCACTTTGTTATCTAGGAGTCAGACTTCGACTAGCCGTACCACAGCGATCATGGCTATGGTCGAGACGCAACTGAATAGCCCAAATGCGGGGCTTGAAGCTGCCAAGCTGCGAACAGCGCTGTTCAATTATCTAACATGGACGGTGCGAGTGGGAAAGACGCTCGGGCAGATCAGCCACCGTGTTCAGGATCTACTCAAACAGTATATTGGAATCCAAGGATGGCCGGTGATGAGCGACCCATCAGTCGCCGAGTTCGAATTGCGGGCAAAGGCTTATGAGAGTATTGGACTCTTGGCAGCCGTGAAGGACGTAGAGCATACTGCTGACCTGAACAACCGCACGTTAGATCTCATCACCTGGCTCTTCACCAGTTTACGCTGTGATACAACAAGGGACATCAAGGGAAGCATAGAAGAGGCTATCGGGCGGGTGATGAACTCGACATCAGACCTGGACGAGGCATCCATGAAACGGCTCAAGGATCTTCTCCTGTGGAATGTGTTGACAACGCGTGGACAAGAGGATCCGGTCTATTTTCTGCCTACGCTCAACAGCACAAAGTACCCGGCAGTTCGCTATGTCAACAAAGTCCTCCCATTCAGCGACGTGGATGCACGATTCATCAACGTACTTGCGTTAGCACCGTCAGATCGAAGGGAAATTGCCGAGGAAGGCTTCAGAGGCCTCGATCCCTATTGGCACGCCTCCAATCTTCGCATGACAAGTGGCTCAAAGCAAGATACGAAACTCGTGTTACCAGACCTAAGCGAACTAGTCGCTCGATTCTTTGTGTCAAATGATGGTCAGGAGGAATTATTCAAGTACTACGAAGAACCAACTGTTCTGGCCGCAGCCGTCACGTTCTGCTACAATGTGTTCATCTGCGACGCTCTTCAGGACACGAAACTTGCACCTGAAAAGTCCGCCGATTGGAAACAAGCAATTCATGCGCTCGTTAACAATGATCAACAAGCTCGATCTAAGATCAAGATTCATCTTCGGTCACTGAGCCTACAACTTCAAGTTGTTCTCGTCAATTCCGGTCTCAGCGGTATGTCGAAAGCTTCTGGGGACTCTGTGGACTTTTGTCTTGAATTTCTGTCAGCAGCTCCAAATAGCCTTCTATCGCTTGTACATCAGAAGGGGCTCGAGAGTACCTCACTTGTCTCCTCGAATCCGTCGCTACAGACTCGAGCGGCTCGTGTCTTTGGTATTCTCGCCTCCGCAAATGACGATGCCGAACGGCTTGCTAGAGATGAGTTCGAGAAGTGCGCGAATTGGCAATCTGCTGTTGGCGAGGGAGTTCACAGAGTTCGAGGCCATCTCCTACGAGCAGTCTTCTGCTTGACGAGAAGATCGTTGAGGGGCTTGGCCGCTTCATCAGACTCGCCGATACATGACATATCGAAACTCGTCCTGGAAGTGATCAAGGTCACTCATGATAAAGCGCTTAAGGAGACCGCATACCGGTGTCTGCGCCAGATCGCTTTGTGTACACCAAGCCTCAAAGACGACCTTCCAAAAGATGATATTTTTAACCAACTAATCTCAGACTCGAAGAAGGAGAGTGAAGCGGCAGCGGCAGCTCTTGGTCCTGTTATTGGCTCGCTGGCGCAAATTGAGAAATCCTCAGACTTAAGCCCCACGCTCGATCGAGTGTTCGCTTTGCACGAGGTTAAGCGGGCAGAATTTCATTTCGCGTTAGGTGAATCTTTGGCAGTTGCATGTGCGGGATTCAAATCGACCTCGACGATGACCGAATTCGATGTGGATGCTGATCTGCCTGACTGGGGCGCGAAGGATACACTGTTGGCAACGATCATTGACAGGGTAATCCAAGATTGCAAGACCAGTAAGCCATCACAGAAAAAGGCTGCTGCCATATGGCTCTTGTGCTTGTTGCAATATTGTGGTGACGCAGATCCCATCAAGTCCAGGTTGCGCGAGTGTCAAGCTGCATTCAGCCGCCTCCTGAATGACCGCGACGAGATTGTCCAAGAGACTGGCTCAAGAGGCTTGAGTGTTGTGTATGAGCGAGGGGACAATCAGCTCCGTGAGGATCTGGTACGCGACCTGGTGCAGAGTTTTACTGGAAACAAGGCTAAGATGTCTGGAACGGTCGATGAGAGCACGCAGCTGTTCGAGGCGGGTGCTCTACCCACTGAAAATGGTCAATCGGTAACAACGTACAAAGATATTGTCAGTCTCGCCACCGAGATGGGCGATCCAAGCTTGGTGTACAAATTCATGAACCTGGCATCGAACAATGCCATCTGGACTAGCCGAGCCGCCTTTGGAAAATTTGGTTTGGGGAGCGTACTCGCGGACTCGAGCTATCTCGCAGAAAACAAGAAGTTTTATCCGAAGCTATTCAGGTACCGATTCGATCCCAATCCGAATGTCCAACGATCCATGAATGAGATTTGGAAGGCACTAGTCAAGGATCCGAGTGCAGTCATCAACGACAATTTTGACCTGATAATGGATGACCTCCTGAAAAGTGTGCTCTCAGGCAAAGAATGGCGAGCCCGTGAAGCTAGTTGTGCTGCAATCTCTGACCTGGTACAGGGTCGAGACCTCGATCTGTTTGAGAAATATCTTAATGAGATCTGGAAAGTCTCATTCAAGGTCTTGGATGACGTGAAGGAGTCAGTGCGGCTGGCAGCAATGAAACTCTGCAGGACGCTGACCAGCATGCTGATTCGCAACCTAGAGATTGGCGATGGAAACACTAAGCGTTCAACGACCATGCTCAACCACGCGATGCCATTTCTGATCCAACAGATGGAAGGAGGGGCGGGTCAAGATGTTCAACAATATGCTATTGTAACGCTGTTGGAAGTTGTGAAGAAAAGCCCAGTTAAGGCCCTCAAGCCCTTTGCCCCTAGCGTGCTGGAGACCCTGGTCCTGTCTCTCAGCTCCTTGGAACACGAGAGCATCAACTACCTGCATTTGAATGCAGACAAATACGGGCTAACCGCAGAGAAGCTAGACAAAATGAGGGTGTCCAGCATCAATGCCTCGCCCGTGACGGAAGCGATTGAACGGTGCCTGGAGAGCATTACATCACAGATTGGCGAGTCCGGGGAAGGCGTAGATCCAATGCAGGGCGTCGTCTTAAATCCCAGCGCCAAGGTTGTTAACCCGATCATGGACGATGCAATGGCGCGGCTTGCCAACGCATACCGTGCTGCTATTGGACTTCCATCCAAAGTCGGCCTAAGCCGGGTCATGACGACCCTTGTTGTCCGCCACCAGGCAGCCTTCCGACCTTACGCGGACGGATTCGTCCAACTCACCCGAAAGCACATACTGGATCGCAATGCTACTATCAGTATAGCTTTCAGCACATCCTTGGGATACTTGATGCGACTTGCTTCAAACAAGGAAGTTCAAGCGACGAGCAAATACGCGCAGAAGCTCTACTTCGAGTCTCAGGAGTTGATGCACCGCTCCGTGGCTGGAGAGATTGTCCAGGCTATCTCCAAGGCAGCCAATGACATCTTTATGAAGGCAGCCTCGTCATTTCTACCCTTCGCCTTTATTGGACGACGTGATACGGAGAAAGAGGTCAGAGAGAGATTTGATATTCCCTGGCAAGAGAACATTGGTGGGTCGCGTGCAATCAATCTCTATCTGAAGGAAATTGTGGAGCTCATCTCAAATCATATCCAATCGCCACTTTGGCCCATCAAACACGCATGCTGTTTCGCTGTCGCCGAGTTGATTGCATCGATGGAAGTCACCGAAAGATACAGTGACAATGACGCATCACTTTTATGGGGACTTATCCAAGAGGCACTAGATGGTAAAACCTGGGAAGGTAAAGAGGAAGTGGTTAAGGTGTATCCGAAATTCGTTCGACAGGCCCAATCCCTGTGGCCTAATGATCAAATCAGCCAACAAATGAAAAAGATCGCGGTCAGGGAGGCAAAAAGAACTAATGCAGGATATAGGCCTCCCGCCATTGCTGCACTTGGCGAGTTCGCGTTGGCGCGAAAAGACTTGGACTTGACAGAAGACATCCTGCCCAACCTAGTGGATGTCCTGGATGAGCTCACTGACGAGGATGCAATGGATGTTGATAGCACCAGTGGGAAGGCTATGGATAATCGGTGAGACTGACCCCACCGTTGCATGTACTTACCGCTAACAGAAAGGCTCAGATCGGTAGTTGAAGCCATAACAAGCGCCATCGTTTCATGCTTATTCAAACTGCTGAGAGCTCATGCAGACCCAAAGGTTCTGGACCCAGCCATGGGGATCGTTCGCAAGGCCCACGCAGTTCAGGCAACCGAAATTGATATTGTGCTCTACGAAGAGACGAAACACTTCGTTCTTGCATGGCCCCAAAGGAAAGCGGATGCCCTTGTCGATCGCAACAAGCAAGGCCACGATAAGGAGCCGGAGGAAATCCCCGAAAATGCCTCAGCCACGAGGAGATCGGCACCAGCCTCAGAGGAAGCGAAAATGGGGCAGTTTTCGGAGAGAAGCGAAGGTGAAGGGCGGGTTGGGCCTTTTGAGGCATTTGAGCCACTGATGCTGAGTGTCCTCCAAACCAACCCGCAGCGCCAAGACCAGCCCGAGCGGGTCCGCAAGTCACGTGCAGAGCTGGCCCTGGCCCTGGCCCAGCACGGCATGAAAAGCTCCGCAGCACTAGCGGCGATCCTCGACGGATGGCTCCAGATCGAACGGTCTCGGTCTTTACGTGAAGTGATCGAACGTGCTCGCTTGCTTAATCAGCGGCCCCTAACGCCTTAGTGACTCGCGTACGAGGGAACTAGGAACGGGTCTGTTCACCTCAATCCAGGTGTTCGCAACGATCTTGCATGGACCCCGATATTTGGGAACAGAGACTCGGACTGGTTCTTCCGGCGGTGAGGGTTGGCCATAGCGACCCACGAGTAGGTAGTTACCGGTTATTGGCACTTGGCATTCGTCGGCCACGGGGTTGGCAGCTGCAATGCACCCGAAGATGGCCAGAGTAAGAGGACGCGGTAAGGCTGCATGTAGGTGACGGAGAGAACTGGAGTCTGTACAGAGTACTCTCAGCATGAGTTGAGCACGGACCATGTTGCAAACCCTTGTATCTTGCATGTATGCCGTACTCCGCACTCCGTATTCGTTGAGCGGGACCCAGATGTTTGGCGCAAGCACATGCCGTTGACAGAGATAGGTCTTGTCCAAGGCTTTTCTTCAGTTCCTACCTTACCAATAGCTGCAAGTACTATGTACATAGTACCTATCTAGGACTTAGCACACATGACGGCTGCAGACGGTGTTGATCAGGGGTCTTTCACGAGGCATCCATGACACGATGAGGCTCGTGCTTTTTCGTGAATCCCCACAAAAGTTTAATCTTTTTCTTGTTTCATGCACAGGTTTTTTCAGCTCGGTCCCATTCAAGGCTTAGTGTGATTGCGCTTTTGTTGGCATGGAGCAGGAGCACGGCAAGATGGCAGTACAGGGTTTCCCACTTCGGCTTTCTCTACTAGTTTTACTCCTCGAGTCCTCGTATGGAGCCCTCGTACTAGGTGAATGTCAGATCAGTTGGCGATCTTCTGCTCTGGAAAGCGACCGCGCGGTCTTCCGCAGATCCGCCACGGATGATACTGGTGGATTTCCCGGAGCGACCGTTAGTGATTCCCCAACACACCTCGGATGTACCTCTGCCTTGGTGGAGTTGATAGACGAATTTCGGTATTGCAATAAGGGGGAGGCGAGAGCATCACTGTTCGCTAGCAGGGCTCGGACAAGACAGCGAGCAACACACCCCCGGCATTTTGAGAGTCCATCAAAACAAACGTTACGAGAGAAGAACCCGGCCGGTTGAATCCCCCAGTAAAACCTCGCTTGGCCTGAATAGACCAGGGTGGGGCTGTGCCACCAAGGGACTTGCATGCGAAGGCGAATGAAGGATCCAATCAGACAGAAGCGGGATTTTGCTCGGCCATTCTAGGAGGGTAGAGGGATTATTGATTATCCGATCCGACGCCACGCTACAGGGTTTCGAGATCAACATCTCGAATCCCTGGCCCCTGGACCCCCTAGCCTGCCCTTCTATATCCACTTTTCCACCTCGATCTCTTATTCATCCCCCCGGGCGCCGCGACTCCTCCCCTAGTCTTTCAAGCCGCTTGTGGGATCGTGAACGGGCTGGCTCTGGCTTTCCTGGCTTCGTGGTTGCTACTTCTGCTTCTGCAATAGCCGGAAAGGCCTTCACACTATCTGCATGTCCCCGACTAGTTGCATAGGGGAGATGGTTCTTGACGCCGGAAGCTTCTCAGGCTTTTTCAATGGCACCCAATCAGTGCCCCAACCGTCCAGCCCGCTGGGTGCACTATGACATCGTGAACGACTCGCAGGTTGTTTCTCAGTGGCTTTTTGCAATCGAGCCATTTCATTTCCTGCACGCCATTAGATCTTCGTTCTTCCCTTTCTTATGCTATATCCACTCCGCTCAAATTCTTTGTGTCTTGCCTTTTTCCTTCCTCAGTCGTGTCATCAGACTGGGATTCGCCGATGTCCTTTCTTCGCATTATTCAATAGCAGTTCACTTCGTTGCGTGATCTACATCGCCTCGAGCCAGCAGCCTCCAGTTTCGCCGAACCTAGAGTCGAATTTTTCGATCAACGAACTCAGCCATTGCGCCTTATCATATGGACTCGTGAGGGCTTCATGTTGCGCAACTAATGCACGGTAGTTGTCCGGCTGCACTCGATCCATAACCCGTCACCTTCGCCTTTCAGACTGCGAGAGACATCCTCCATGACATTCATTACGACTTTGGTGATGCAAGACGAAAGACGAGGGGACTCCTCAAGGAAGCAGCCACTGCGATTACCTATCATTGCGCCCAAGGACGACCATTCCTCCTCGGCTAGTTCCAGCCGCAGCGGCCAGCTTGGCTCCATTAGCCCTGCTGTCCCTCTTAGGGCCCGCCTCCCTCCACGATCGAGAACCGGATGTTGGACGTGTCGTACGCGAAAAGTAAAGTGCGACGAAGGAAGGCCAATTTGTGGTCAATGTGCTCGTCTCGGACATCATTGTGACTACAGTCCACGACTGGCCTTTCGCGATGATACTCCCCGAGTCCTTGAGCGTATGCAAGATGTTACAATCGTCGCAAGTTCGGTCTGGGACTGTCAGTATATGAATATCATGCTTGATTAGCACTGCGCATGCTGACTTATTTTCAGCAACTTCTCCTTCTGTGACCGAGGTTAGCACAGGCTCTACAGGCGCCGACGATCTTCCTCCATTCGCTTCATTAACGACCGACGAGGAACGCGAGAAAAAGGCCGAACGATCAAGTCCAGGTACTTACAATGTGGTAGTGAACCAAGACAGTTTCCAACACCTACCCGAATATAGTGACGACGCCGAGTCCAGGAAGGAATTTTTATCGCCTTTACGGCGTGGATCCATTGCCACGTCACTTACCAGCAGTGCGGGTCGCGATTCCAGCACAGATGCGAAACCACACCCCGAAGACCCGAACGTGGTTGTCTTGCCACGGTTCGAAGATATCTCTCGTCGAGGAACGTTCAGCTCGAATAACCCACGATCGCCCTTGTCACCAACGACGAAGCAAATCATCATCAAAGACGAAGTCCCCGAAGAAGCAATCATCTTAGAAGAGCCAGATTTGATGGATGACAGAGATTCAGCTCAAGACGCGAAATATCTACATCAATTTCGTCATGTCGTCTGGAAACAACTTGTCCCTGCAGAACCTGATCAGAGAAACGGGATGATGAGGTCGAGCGTCAATGTCCTAGAAGCTGCTGCAAATGCTTTTGCACCTGTAAGTCCTTTGTATGTGGAATCTCTTCGGGCGCTAACTCTATCAGCTCTACCACGCCATGATGGCCGTCGCAGCGCTTAGCTTATCCTCACATGGCGGAAACGAGAGACTTGATGCATTACAACACTATCAAAAGGCTTTACCGGCACTACAGAACAGCCTAAGAAGCACTGAAGATTTATCATCGGACGGTGCATTCCTCACCCATTTTGTTCTGCTAGTCTATGAGGTAAGTGAGGTGCAATTCTGGATTTGGGTGTGCATGCTAACAACTAATAGATTGCTGCAGCCGAAGCTGGTCACTCAAACCTGTGGTCACAGCATCTCTCTACCCTATTGCGTATTTCCCTGCTACGACGTGAAGTATTTGGTGGCGAACGGTTCCCATACGTCGTTTGGTGGATTTCCAACATTGACTTGGACGCACTATTTAGCGGAGCTGGAAGAGGTGAATTTGTTGGGTCAATGTTGAACCACGACATCATTCCACCTCCAAGCTTTCACTTATATCCCCTTGGCGTTGATGGCTCGAGTGTTGTATATGCCAATGAACTGGATACTCTACCGACAATCTTACAACTCGATTACGAAGTTACAATCATCGCCGCTCGTCTGGCCCTGTTAGCTCACGAATTTCGACAAGATTCCGGATATGATAGCTCTGATATGATGGAGAAAGACCAGACTACCAGGATAAGGCAAAGCCAAGTTTTCGAGCTTCAAGAGGCGTTACGACAATTATGGGTGGCGCCAGGGGTGAGCATGATAGGGCATGACTTGGAAGCCCTGCCGGACCGTTCAAAACAACTATATGAACATGCTGCTACTCTATACCGAGCATGCATCATTTATTCACACTCTTCTATGTGGCCAGGGCAACGCCTTGAAACTTCACCTGACTATAACACCGAAATTGCGGTTGCTTCCAATCAGATTTTGAACATGACCAGGAAGGCCTTGGCTGAGGATCGATCGGATTGTCGCTATCTGGTGTGGCCTTGCTTTATAGCGGGGTTTGCCAGCACTGATGGCACATACAGAATGCAAGCCTTGGAGCTGATTCGGACGATGGAGAAGCACAGCATTGGCCGCAACACGACTGTGACAAGAAAAGCACTGGCAGCTGTCTACGAACGCCAGAACGAACGATTCATGAACACCGGTCAGAGTTTGGATGTGGATTGGATGGAAGTGATGCAAGAGCAGGGGCTAACGGTTGTAAATTTTGGACTTTGATTCTTGACAAGCAGAGCAAGCAGGCCAGATTTCTTTTTGTTCTTCCTATTCCTATATGATTCCCCTTCACTGCGATCCTTTCTACTCAGGGAGAGTATTTGGAGGCCTGAATATCAAACTCTCAGTTCTTTGCGGCCACCGAATGGCCCAGCGAATTATTCATGATGATGCGGCAATGAAGGTTTCGTGAGCTCCTCCTTCGGTTGAGGATGCATATGTCAATTAAGGCTACGTCTAGTGTTGTACAGCTAGGATGAATCGATACCTTTACCACGATATTCAAGGTGCTTTGAATCCACCTACCCGTTCGGTGGAACGGAGTTTCGATGTGCCCCATTTCCCCTATTCTCGTAAGGCTGAGACGATTCTATCGTCGTCGAAAATATCCGGACATCGGTTTTGCGAGGCGAGCAGGCTGCGCAAAACCGGTTCCGCTGGGCAGGGTACTTGAAGCCTCGTATATGCATGCGTCTAAGGCGGGACTAGGCCATACTAAGTGACGGCACGTGTGACTGAGAATCTGTCGGTTTGAACTTTCGGTCTAATCAGATCGGAGTAATGGCCATGAAGAGTGGACCCACGGTCGCTCGATCTCCCTGTCCTTGTTTCCTAACGTCCATCGCCCACCGCCATCTGCGGAGATATCCATGTGCGTGATCACCAGGTGCAGATGCAGGCGGAACAACCCCACAAAGAGGATGGACCGAATAATTATGCAAGATTGATCCCGCCCTACCGTCGCTTTCAGACCTGCTGTTCGTTAACGAGCGAGTAGTACCTAATGGATTGAATTCCCCGCGCCCAGAGGCAGAAGGCGGGGTATGTCGCGGATTCTGGGTGGAGCGACCAGCAGCCCAATTGGCTAATGGACAGATGGGCCTTTGATGATCTCCTTGTGAGTGACCGGGTGAGCAGGCCAAGGGGACGCTTTTCCATCTAGGTAGGCACCAAAGTCAAGGAGCATGCCGCCTTGGGCCCGGCTGGAGCAGGGATGCGGTTGCTTGGGGGCCTGTTGAGAGTTTCGAGTCAGTCATGCTCTCGACAGAGGAGGCACTACGAATGGTTGGAGCTCACCCCGCAGGCGGCGGTTGCAGGAGAGGGATTGTGCGCGGTTTAATGAGCTCCCTTCAGCGCCATCCTCCGACCGCAGTACGGATTACGCAGGTTCTCTCCTTGGAAAGGCCTTACCGTAAAGGCCAACCTGTTTGTTGAGTTCACCGCCGGCCGCTGTCAAACCCTGTGCGAGTTGTTCAAGCTAATGCAATGAGCTAAGAGGGGCTCTCTTCAGAAAAAGTCTCCCTGAAGGTTTGAAACACATTGCCCGCCAAAACCATGCGTTTGCGCCGGCCTCCGGTCTTTGAAATTGGTCTGTGTTGAATGTTGGCCCTAGTGAGTTCCCCTACATTAGATGCTCCGATGTATGGATCTCAATGACATATGTGGCTGGCTCCCATTCCCACCGCGCACGGATACAAAAGCCGCATTAATGGAGCAGAAGGAGACTTAGCACCCACTGGCATGTCGTGCATTTACGTGAACGTAACTCGGTGGACCTGAACCTCGAAAAGTCAAATTAAGGGCCGACTCCTGTCATGGAAGAAAGTTGCGCCGCGGGGCCCAACAAAGTCTTATGCTTTGTCAACCAGCGAGAAAGGAGTACATACACTCACAGCGAGGTGTGCCCCGTGCAGGAGCTTGGTCAACCTCCGCTAAGTTCTTCGAAATTTCCGTGCCTGATTTCCATGGTAACCTGAAACCGGCTCGGTGTGAAACCCGGGCTCCCTTGTCATAGGCGCTGCTCTCAATCCTGGGAGATCAACGGTGACGCATATGCATGATCTCTAGGTTTCTGGGCCCTAAATGGTCACAGGGGTTCAGCGGCTAAAGAGTTTATCCCCCTAGAGAAATTTGGATAGCCGAGAGGACCCAGTGCAGCTAATCCGTTTTAGGTAGTCACTAGCCGAACGGCCGGGCTTTCCCGTCGGCATTTGGCTACCGGCAACCTTAAAAGGCCCCCACTATTGTTCAATTGGCGTCCTCGCTCCTCCTAAGGGGCAAACACGTCCTTTTTTCGCTTATGCCATTTGTTCTCATCCCACGCATGTTAAGCGAGGGAGAGGGAATTAACGGCGGTGTATCTTGCATGAATATCCTAGTATGCTGGAACCACCTGGATACATCCAGGTAATGAAGACCAACAATCGGCGCTGGAGCGTTTTCAATCGCTCCAGACTGTCTCCAAGAGGCAATAACCAGAAGCGGAGAAGGCCTCTATGGATTTTGCGTTCACCAGAGATTAGGGCTAGCACAAGTCACGGTTATACGAAAAGGTCAGGCGTGGTCGGAGCAAAGGTCAAACAAGAAGAACCGTGATTATCCGATATAGACATCCCTGGCTGTGGGCGTTGACAACAGCCGGCAATCGCAAAGTTGAATAGTAGGCAGTTACTGGATGGAAAGCCTTTTCTAGAGTGAGAACATTGTTCTGTGTTGTGGCGATTCACACTACATTTGACACCGCTCATCTTGAAATTGCGAGACGATAGGTGCACCGATCGGTATCCACGGTAGGATTTTCTCGAATTGCTGCCTATGAATCAATTACCAACAAAGGTCTTCCGAGTACGTCGCCAGATGTCTGTATGTTTCACTGTCTGGGATGGCGCTGTGTGCCAGTACGCATTCAACGCCTGAAAATGATCAAGTCCCTGCACGTGCTTGTTAGTCAGGGTCTAGGGAAGAATGTCAACTTCTTGTTAGCTCAATAGGCCTCGATGTATAAAGCAGTAGCGCCACTCTTTCCAAAGCCCGCCTACCAAACTAGTGCCGCTTCCATTCCAACAGAGAGTGAGGTTTTCTTCTTCGATAATCATGGCTTAATATCGAACCTCAGTGCTGATCTTCAGTTTACAGAAGTTGCTCCTTCTGCTACACATTTGACTGTTTGGTGGACCTGAATTTGCTCTCACGTTAGTAATTCGGAACGATAACCAGAAGGCAGTGGACCTCTTTTTTAAGCGTTATCGATGGTCGCATCCCAAAATTCACCCTTTACGCCACAATGAATTCAGCCGTCGGGAGAACTAGGACGGTACATTTCTCGTGAACCACTACAGAGATGGATCCCCTTGTCCATGTGTTATCTCTTTGCTACCACCATAAAAGTTATGCCAAGGCCTTCTTTCTGGCTGTCATCCTTACAACTTGCCAGCCACACGAGCCCCACCTTCGAAGCGTCAGCTCGAGCGCGAGCCTGCAACGCTCCGCACAGATACTCGTGCCAAGGAAGTCCGGCGCAAAATTTCAGGTGATCAGGGATCCCTCGGTCATGTTAAGCCTGACGAGTAGCCTGTACATGCCCCGGAGGCGAGCCATCAAACTCGACGGATCCATAGTTCTCGGATCTTGGACAAGTCCTTCAAGTTCAACAGCGCATTTCCTTTGGCAGATAATGTCTGAGATTCCTGAACGGTTACGCTACATGCCTTACATGCGCTCTTAAGTTCCTGAGGCTGTATGTAAGGACTTTTACAAGTAAGAATCGTGGTTTAGGTGGTCATATTTGTTGTACGTGGTTAGTACATCGGACTAGAGCTCCTACACGAAACGTTGCACTTCTGGGCGGCAGGGTCTCAACCTCCAATTCCTTCATGAATCAAATGAGTAACGAGCCCAAGTTTGACGAACACATGGAACATCATTCGGAGGGTACCTGTGATCAACACTGGAAGTGAGCAAATGTGGACCTAGCCAGATGCATAGAAGAGGTAGACCATCCACCGTCGAGTGGATATGGAATAAATTTCAGAAATACTGTTAGACGGTTACACGTCGATTGCTCGATGGCACCCCCCCCCCCCGGGCCCAAACCTTTTCTCCTTTGGGTACAATCTCAACAAAGCTTTATGCAACGTTGAGAGTCAACTCCAGATCAAAACTTTCCTCTTACCTTCCAGAAATGACTAAATTCAGCAGATTGGCAGCCATTTTGAGCTCAGCAACGGACGTCTCACTAACGAGTGCCGGAGCGTTTATTATGCTGGTGTTCTTCTAATCAATTCAGACTTTTCGAGTCTCTGACCTGACGAATGCCTAAGCCTGTTGCTTCTTAGAGCGCCCGGACGGAGTAAGAATAGCCTTCTTGGTACTAAGGTTGTCCTCAATCCCACTTGTCCTGTTGCTCAACGCCATCATCTTCACCTCTTCTTTCATCTGTTTGACTCGAACCCTCAGGTTGAAATTCTTCAACTACTCTTTCAATCTTGCAAGTTTCTGCTTTCACAATTGTTTGTTCAGGCGCTTTACATGGCTTTTCAAGGTCAAGATTTTGGCCTTCTGGCTTTTCCGTAGAGCCTTTGCACGTTTTCTTGCTTCTTGCCTCTTTTGCTTTTTGGCTGCTTTGGCAGACTCGCTTGCAGCACTTGAATCCGACTTTTCCGCTGTCTTCGGCTCCTCCTGCATTCTTCATGATGGAATCCAAAAATATCTCTGTGACCCATTCATTCCGACCTGTGAGCTGATAGATCCATCCCGAGTTCAGTCCTAGATATGTCCAGTCGTAGCTCAAAACGATGCCGCGATCAAGAGATTTACCGGATGCGACTGGACTGATTTCCCACGGCCGTACTTGGGAGCTTTCGTAGGAGGTTCTGGTCATACTTGATGACCCAGTTTGCTTTGTCCTTTATGTTTCCACCATCGATATCCGAAAGTGGCGCAATCACGATGCAGGTGTCACAATTGTCAGTGCGGCTGAAGTGCGTTGCGACTCGGACACACTTTGAGGCTTTACCCGTGGCCACTGCGTGCGTTTTCGTTGTTGGATTATGAAGTTTTGAATACTTTCTCGCCCACTGCGAAGGTCGTGTCTGGGTCATGTAGTCTGCATGCTCCAAGGTGGTGCTTCCTGCAGTATTTGGTGCAATGCTTGTCTAGACTACGCTCTGCTTCTTTTCAGACTCCATGAATGGCTAGTGAATGGAGAGTGATAGTGAAGAGGGTACGTGCTCTTCAGGAACCCGGACCGCAAGCGACAACATTTTGCTCTCATTGGGGCACGCAGTTGAAGCTGACACAGGAAGGGAAGTTTTGGGAGGAAGGTCTGGATTAAGAGATAGAAAAGGGAGCGTTGGACTATTGATCCTGTCCTCGCTATGAAAGTGAAGCAGAATTATGAACGAGCAGTGACAGAGACATTAGTCACAGAGATTAGCTAGGGATGACTTCTGGCCGACAGCAGGTCCACGGGGCAGGCTCCGTGAACGTCAAATCGCCCAGAAAATGCCTGGTCACCGGTGCTTAGCTTGCATCCCAAAGCTCTTCGACTCCCTTTCAGGGCCCCGCAAAGCATCACTCAGGATATGAGTACACAAGCGATATATATTCAAACATCTGATCTCTTTTTCGAAACCTTGCGCAAGAAAAAGGCGAGCAGCGAAAGGTAGCGAGAGGGAGGGACTGTGCTGATAACAAGGCTGAGAATCCTACCTTCCCCTTTCCCCACACCTTAAGCACGTGCAGCCTCCCGACCCAGCACTCCGCCTCACGCAAATTTGGCGTGCTTACGAGTAAGGGCAGTTTGAGAAGAGTCGGCGTTCACTTCCCAACTCTACTAACATGGACCACACATATCTTACTGGCCTACCAATGAGGTAGGGTAGGAAGGGTCTCGCGTTAGGAATTCCTTGATCTCTTATTTCCGCCATCAAGAATCTGGCAACACTAGGCCATTCAAGTTCTTGGTGAGTTGCCAACATTTTTGCTAGGTAGAAGGCCTACCTTGACGCAATGCCTGGCAATTATATCGCCGGGAGCAAAACGAATGTAAACGGCGAATTTTAGCTCACTGAAAGTCATGGCTGTCTCAGTGATGGGTCACTAACGACTTCAAGCTCCCAGGAAAGCCATCAACCTGCTGTAGACCTCGGCGACGTACATGTTTGGCACGACATGCGAGGCTCCTTTGAAGACCTTCAAGGTCCCTTTCTTCAACAGTTTCATCGCTTCAGGTGCACTACCATCGAACGGAACAATTCCGTCATCGTCACCGCAAAGCACCAAGATTGGTATGTCGATACGGTTTAAATCTTCTCTCATGTCCGTCTTCGAAAAGACTTCGATACACTCATATGCGTCTCTGATTCCTGTCGCCATGCCTTGCCGCCACAAACTCCAAATTTGACCTTGGCTGACCTTGACTCCAGGCACCCAGGCGGTTGAGCCCAAAGAACCGGCCAGAGTGAACATCGATGAAGAACTGGGTGCGGTATTTCTCAATGGCTGCACGGAATGCGTCAAATACCTCCATTGATGTACCATTCGGGGTGTTTTCTGTCTTCAGCAAAAAGGGAGTGATTGCGCTGACGAGGACAGCATTGTTGACTCGGCTCGAGCCATGACGGCCGAGGAATCTCGCGACTTCACACCGTCAGTCGAGTGTCCAACCAACGTGACGTCTTCCAAGTCAAGATACTCCAACGACTGGGACAGATTGTCTGAATGTGTGTTCATGTCATTTCCAGTCCAGGGCTGGTCAGAACATCCATGTCCTCGTCTATCGTGAGCGACGACACGATAACCGCGATTAGCGAGGAAAAACATTTGATTCTCCCGATTCTCCCAATTATCGCTGTTCAGAGGTTGAAGAGGGAATGCGCCGGTGTCTTTGGCTTCTTTGCTGCCATAATCCTTGTAGTAGATCTGGTTTCCATCTTGAGCATTGATCGTGTGCATGGCAAAGCCACTGGTTGAAATATTGCTGGATGGTAACTGACAAGGTTCTATGCCTCTAGGGGACAGTTGTGCAGTCACAGAAGCCTCATACTGTGAGAGCGATCGGCGCTCTGGGGAGCACAGGCCCCTTTAGTCACGGTGTCGAAGACTGCATGCCTCAACGGCGCTAGATCGGACAAGGAGGACGACGATTGCCCTTAACTACGCAGGGATGCCTCCTAGTCCAGTTCTCTGTGGTGCAGACAGACTGAAAACACGGCGCTCCCGTGCCTTGAGGCCTTTAACTTCGTCCCGGAACATCCAGTCAGCAATTAGTGATGCTGTTCTTGCCAGCATTGGCTGCATCCCAGCATGAAGGTGATTGAGCCATAGCTCGGGAATGTGAACATATGAAGTTTTCTATGGTTGAAGCTGTTCTACCTATTAGCCAGCCAATTACCTTTTTCCCGCAACCTTGGCAGGATGGTCTTCTCTAGTGACTAGGTGCGGTTCATCGTACAAAAATTAGTGTATTTAGACTGAAGATAATTCTCTTGCGGACCACAACTCGTTCTAATGTTATGGTCTTTGATAGAGCTGGTGCTTCTGTCATTTCGGACATTGAGACCATGTTCCGGTTATGACGTCGGGATGGCACACTGAGTGCTACTAGTACATGAGCTTTTGCATGGGATTTGGATACCTCAAGCTGCCATCTTTCTCGTCTGTAAACGCCGTCTATAGTCCCCGTGAAGACGTGCCGCCGATTATTGAGTTGTAATCAAATATTGAACCATGGCCGAATTGGGACCGCTGAGATTGAAGTGCAAGTAATTAGAACGCTTCGAAAGACCTTGAGTATCTCAGTGAAAGGACAAGGGGCGCATTGTCGTAGAGATCATGTGCATGATCAAATTGATTGATATTGCTTGTAGGATGTTTATGATCCGCCGGACAACGCGACGCGTTTTCTCGCGCCTCGAATAATCTCTTTGCATCCTGTGTCCACCACTTCCACACCAATTTGTTGTAGAAGTCTACAATCATCGCTCACAGCTATCTCTGATGGTGTAGAACAGGTCCACCGTTAGGAATGGCACCTGTACAGAAAAAGCAGCAGACTCTATCTGCATTTTTCAAGGTCCCCACACCCTTACCAACTCCCTCAATCAGTCGCAGCCCACAGGAGCACAGCGATGAGGATGAGGATGACGATGTGGTCCAGCCCACTGCCAAAAGACGAAAATTAGCAACGGCTACAGAAGATCCAAGACCAAGCAGTTCGAACCTTGCCAAGGATAGCGAAGTCAGTGACCGAACACTCAGGCCTGTTGTCGCAAACGGTCAGAAGATTACACCGTCTGGCCCTACTACCGCAGACAGAACGGCAAGGTACATCTTCTCCTCGTCCTTGCAGGAGAACCAAGGAGCCGAAGATCCAAATAGCCCCGAAAAGCAACGAAAAGATGAATTGCACCGCAGATTTGTGAAGAAACTGGGTAAACCTGACAGCATTGTTGAAATCAAGAGACGCAATCGGTATTTAGAGGACAATGTTGAAGAACAAGAGGAGGAAGGCGATGAAGAACCCGTGGAAGAGACCCCAAAAGCCAGTGCTCGGGCAAAGGGTGGCATAAAGAAAGGCGGCGCCAAACTTACGCCAATGGAGAAGCAGGTCATCGAGATAAAACGGAAGCACATGGATACCGTCTTGGTGGTTGAGGTCGGCTACAAATTTCGCTTCTTTGGGGAGGATGCACGCATTGCGGCTAAGGAGCTCAGCATTGTCTGCATCCCTGGCAAATACCGTTTCGACGAACACCCATCAGAGTCTCATTTGGATCGATTTGCCTCGGCAAGTATTCCGGTACATCGACTTCATGTTCATGTCAAGCGTCTTGTTTCGGCGGGACACAAAGTTGGTGTCGTCCGTCAACTTGAAACAGCGGCTCTAAAGGCTGTTGGTGACAACAAAAACGCACCATTTGTGCGCAAGCTTACGAATCTCTACACCAAAGGTACTTATATCGACGACATTGAAGGCCTCGAGGAAGATGGAAGGGGAAGTTCAGCTCCACAGCCCCCTTCTACTGGCTACTTGCTCTGCATGACAGAGGTCAATGCCAAGGGTCATGGCAATGATGAAAAGGTTCATGTTGGACTTATCGCCGTCCAACCCGCCACCGGAGATATTATATACGATGACTTCGAGGATGGTTTCATGCGTAGCGAGATCGAGACCCGGCTTCTTCACATTGCACCTTGCGAATTTCTTATTGTGGGCGAGCTCTCGAAGGCCACTGAAAAGCTTGTCTTTCATTTGTCTGGCAGTAAGAAAAATGTGTTTGGTGATAAGATTCGTGTCGAGAGAATAGCAAAGGCCAAGACAATTGCCGCCGAAGCTCACAACCATATCTCCATATTCTATGCCGATCGATTGAAGGATCATCAGTCGCAATCAGAAAAGGCAGCTAAGATTTTTGACAAGATTTTGGGCCTACCAGAAAACGTCTCAATTTGTCTGTCATCGATGATCACTCACTTGTCTGACTATGGTTTGGAACATGTTTTCCAATTGACTAAGTACTTTCAACCATTTTCAGCGCGGTCACACATGCTGCTCAATGGAAATACCTTGACAAGCCTCGAAATCTATCAGAATCAGACTGATCATTCAACGAAGGGCAGCTTGTATTGGATGATGGACCGCACTCATACCAAATTTGGGGGACGATTACTTCGTAAATGGGTTGGCCGCCCTTTACTGGACAGGCAGGCAATTGAAGAACGACTCACTGCCATTGAAGAAATCCTTGATCCAGGTACAGCTGTCCATGTCGAGAAACTACGGCGCGTTCTTTCGAGGACAAAGACAGATTTGGAGAAGAGCCTGATCCGGATCTATTACGGTAAATGTACAAGGCCAGAACTTCTAAATGTGCTACAGTCTCTGCAATCATTGTCGACTGAATTCGCCCACGTCAGTGATGCAAGCTCTACATGGTTCGATTCCTGCTTGATCTCAGAAGCGATTGTTTCACTTCCATCAATCCTTCCCGAGGTCTTAAATTATCTGAACAAAATAAACCTCCAATCAGCAAAGGAAGACGACAAATACAACTTCTTCCAGGAAGAATTTGAAACCGACGACATCACCGAACATCGGTTGGGTATCGCTAGTGTCGAAAACGATCTCGATGAATTTCGTGCTACCGCCGCCGATCGATTGGGCAGGAAGGGTGCGATGAATTACACAACAGTTGCAGGCATTGACTATCTGATCGAAGTCGAGAATAATTCGTCAACAATCAAAAAGGTGCCAGCGTCGTGGGCAAAAATATCTGGGACCAAAAAAGTCTCCAGATTCCATCCGCCGGAGGTCGTCAAACTCATTCGCGAGCGGGACCAACATAAGGAAAGTCTTGCTGCCGCCTGTGATTCGGCTTTCCAAGACTTGCTGTCCGACATCAGTTCAAAATATCAAGTTTTCCGTGACACCATACAAAGCCTTGCTACGCTTGATTGCCTCCTTTCGCTGGCTAATGTGGCGTCCCAACCAGGCTACATCCGACCCACCTTCACGGATGGTACTTGCGTCGAGATCGAAGGGGCACGCCATCCGATGGTTGAACAAATCCTCATTGATTCCTATGTACCCAATAATATCACCTTGTCCCAGTCCACAACACGCGGCCTACTTGTCACCGGACCCAACATGGGCGGCAAGTCATCCTATGTCCGCTCCGTCGCCCTAATTACTATCATGGCACAAATCGGGTCCTTCGTACCAGCGACCTCGGCTACCTTGGGCATTCTTGATGCCGTCTTCACGCGTATGGGCGCCTTTGACAACATGATGTCCGGCGAAAGCACGTTCATGGTCGAACTGAGCGAGACTAGCGACATCCTCAAACTCGCCACAGATCGTAGTCTCGTCGTTCTCGATGAGCTTGGTCGCGGGACGAGTACTCACGATGGCGTTGCAATTGCCGCTTCCGTCCTTGACTACCTCATTCGCGAACGCAAGTGTCTCACACTCTTCATCACACATTACCAAATGCTGTCGCGTATGGCAAACGGGTTCCCTGGTGGTGAGTTGAAGAACGTGCATATGCGCTTCACTGAGGAGGAAGGCAGCGACAATATCACATTCCTGTATGAAGTGGGCTCGGGTGTCGCGCACCGCAGTTACGGTCTGAATGTGGCGCGATTGGCGAATATCAGCGAGAGTGTCATTGAAGTCGCGAGGGAGAGGAGTGCCGATTTGGAGCTTGAGACGAGAGTCAGACAAATTGGAGCGCTGGCTGGATGGTTAGGCCTGGACGATGGACGTGAGAGTAATGTGGATAGACTGGATGCACTGGTTGAAGGGATCGAAATGCTTTGATCGATCCTTGTTGTGTGACAGATATCGTGACGGAAGCCTGTCTATTACGTTGATGTGCGCTAACATAGTCAAACGGGCTGTCCCACTGGCTGTATATACTGTGGTTAGTGTGTCGGTGGCGGTCTGCATGATGGCCTTCTACTAACTCCCCTTATAGATATACGGGAGGATACGATGTATCTTAGACGGCTGTGCTGTCACTGTCATGGAAGATACACATATGAAATATAGAAAATTGATTGGTTCAAGACTGGTGTCTTCATTTGCGCTGCGTTTCCGCGCGATCAATGCCAGGTAATGTACTAAACTACATGCACGATTATATGCTTGCATGAGAGAGCCTATCCGCGATGGTTCCAGCGCCATTTCTCACAACGCACGCTATCGTAATATATCATAGCAGAACTTGGTGACTAGCCAGAAGAGGCTTTTGGACTTTACATAAAAACAATCCGTCCATCACAATGGCCATGATGTATAACTCATCAACGATGTGCCGTTCGCAGCACCTCCTTCGTTCGTGGGTAGTCATGAAAGTAAGATAAGAGCCACATAGACATTTGTGGCGCAGGAGCATTAACGAACTACACCTCGCCAATTGCATCGCCGCCGATAACCACACTGTCTTGTGCATTTGGAAGACCGATGACGGCGATACCGACGGGAATAGCAGCACTGCGAGCATTGAAACAGGCGAAGACAGCGAGCTTCGCCAGCTCAGGGCAGCTCTGGAAGATGCCGTTCATGACGACATCGTCGACCTGGGTCACAAACGACAGATCGATGTCCTTCAGGACGGGATACTTCTTCTTACCGTCGAAGACGCTGAGTAGAGCACTGTGTGAGATATGTCGGTCGGCTTTCAGATTGAGGGATCTCAATGTGGAACCGGAATGTTGCATGAGAGCGGGAAACGCTAAATCAGCAACGCCAACAGTAGCGTCTTCAGGACCCTCTGGAGCCATGTTATCTATATCACGGTTATCGGACAGGTCTGCATAGACGAGGGAGGGGATCGGCGAGTTATTGCCAAAGAGCTCTGCGAAGGCTGCGTCCGTGGCAGTATTGGCACCGCGGATTCGTAATTTGGAGAGCCTATTGCAGTTCTTTGCGATGGCGGCCAAGACAGCATCATCGAGCTCAAGGAAGTCTTCGAGGCAGAGTGTGCGAAGCTTAGGGCCGAGAGTAGCAATGAGATCCACAAGAGTGGCGGACGATGTTTCCTGCTGGGCGACACCCAACGTGAGGTGTTCCAGGTTCCCGAGCTGACATAACAGAGCGATGGATGCTTCGTCCATGTGAGAACAGGATCTGAGTTTCAGTCGTTTCAAATTCTGGCAGTTTTTGGTGAGCTCAGCAACGGTGTCATCCTTCAAGGAGTCGTTCAACTCTGAAAGTTTAAGGCTTTCCAGTTGAGGGCCAATGGTCCGAAATAGTTCGATCCAGGCTTTGTCAGACACTAGATTTGTTGCCCCCAATTGAAGATGACGGATCATCTTACATTTATCAGCCATATAGTGGATGGTATCGTCCTTCAATTGTCCAGCAAAGCGCAGGTTGACGAACTTGATATCAGGCATGAAGGCAAAGATTTTCTTAAAATCTTCAGTCTCGAGCCTGCCACAATCGTAGATGGAGATTCGATCGAGATCACGTCGTAGAAAGAGCTGGAGCACTCTCGGTGTCAAGACCCTCTGCTTGGATAAGATCTGGCTCAAGCGGTCCAGGACGTCTTCGGGCATATCACCAAAGTCATCAATGTCATGGACGACATTAGCGACTCGACGAACGCAGACATCGACCAGACTCTTGGCCCCCGGCTTTACATCTCCCATTAGGCGATCGCTCTCGGTTTGTCTCCGTCGACCTCTTGGAGCGGCAACTTTTTTCTTTCTAGCCGCAGCATCCTTCTTCTCGTCTTCCTTGAGCTCCTTGGAACATTTGGGACAGAGCAAGCCACCGTTCGGGCCAGTTTTACTATAGGGTGTGACAGTGAACCTTTTCGCGCATACGTCGCAATTATCTAGTTGACCAGGCAATGGTCTGGACTTCGTCTTGAGCATATCGCGGGCGATAAAATCGTCGTCTTCGTCGTCTTCGCTTTTGAGACCTTGCTGGCGTTTGCGGCGTTTGAATTCTTTGGACTGCTTCAGCTTCAGTAGGGCTTTCTCCTCCTTCCGCTTGCGCTTCTGACGCTCAGCCAGATCTTCGTCGGCTTCCTCGATCTCATTTTCTTTGTCTTCCGCATTAGCAGCGTTCTGGGCTTCCTGGTCTCGAGCGTTTTGCAAGCGTTGCTGATGGTCATTATGAATCTGTTGAGCAGAAATATTATGGGAGGCAAGGAAGTCTGTCAAGGCGGACTGAGGACCACGGATGCGGTTGGCCGCAGCTGAGCGACGATTGGACCTAGAACCATCAGTATATCGACCACCATTGATATCCTAAGACCGCTGCTTACATTTTGGCCTAATACAATTTTGGTGGCCAAGAGGGACGAGAGGCAAGGAAAGATTTTCATTGGACAATGCAGCAGCTGGCATGCATCGAACCGAATTATCCACTGCCACCAACAGGCTGTGCAGGCCAGTTGAAAAAGTTCTTGGTTGTGAATCGTCAAGAAGTGTAAGCAGCGTCCGTCCGAGCCATCTTCACTTCAGAGGAAAAGCGCATTGCAGCCTAGATGCCAAGGTTCGCGCTCCTTCCTCCTTGGGGACGAGGATGATGCCGCCCTGTGCTCACCCAGATGGGGTCCCATTCGAATGGCTACGATTGGCCTTCTCGGTAAATCCTTAGTGAGTCCCTCCAATGGAGTTGTGAGATTTCCTTAAAGCAGCGCTCCTAAAAATACGCTTTGAGGCAGGCTTCTAACAATTACCTTCGCCAGGTATCCGTACGAGGTACTCCGTACATATGAGTGGGTAATCGTGCCTACAGGGTGCACGATCAGAGAGCTCCCTCATTGCTGACCACTTATGCCCATGCGTTGAACTCTACCATACTCGAAATGAACGTGGTCACAGATATATTAGGGAGAATACGGAGCACCTTTTCGCTGCTTTCACTAGCTCTACAATAATGTTCCCAAGGTTTCCCAATGCCATCGCGCTTCCGCTCTCGGCTTCTGTTGACTGTTCAATAAAGTCGATACTCGTGCAACTACCTACTGTATGTAGAGACACTGGCCCGAGCCTTGTACAGCTCTTACTAACCACGTGACCTGAAGAGACCCGGGATCCAACTCTCCTCTTCACGTCTATTCGCCTTTTAAACTCACTCTTCACTCACTCTCGCAGTGACGGTCCCATTACGTCTGTAGGACTACCTATATGTCCCCCATCTGCATTTCGGCCCGCCAAACACGGTAAGCCCTGGGCTCGCACGGCGAAGTGAGTGCTCTGGCAGACGATACATGGGGGGGAGGTCAATCTAACACACAAGCGTTGTGCTCCGTAGTATTATAACTACCAAGGAGGATAGATTTACACTTGTTTTTGAGGCCTTCAAGAGAAAGGCTCTTCGTGATGGCGGACCGAACTGACACACTGACTCGCCTCATCAGGCTGAGGCGCTAGCCGTGTATGGTGTCTGTTGCCAACGCAGCAAGTACACCTCCATGCCAAGATGTTGAGGCCTTGCACCCTCTGACAGTGATCGTATCTGACAGCTGTCGCATCCTCTAGAATATACGTTCCCTTTACCACTTCGACCAGATCTTGTTCTGCTCCCTCCTTCGGCTTGCTAGTCGAACACCTATGCATGAATTGGCCATAGTAACCCAAACAATACATACCGCAGAAGGCGTTGCGAACATTCTAGATAACGAGGCTTGTTAGGATTGACCTATGCACCATTCCCACTTCTTTAGAATCCGGCTAACATTGATTAGTGCCTTCGGCACATGAAATCTCGTTCAGCACATCATCGTCCACGTGGAATTTCTGGGAGTTATGATGGGAGACTCATGGTTTGTGATCCCGCATTCCCACCGGTTTCGAGCATCGCGGTTGCTTCTATGCTCATGCTGCTACATGGCATTGATTCAGGGATGTATTCTGCGCGCCGAAAACTCTGGTTCTGTACCTTGATGTTTATTTCCCGTACAAGCCCACCCAGGTTCAGTGGGACTAACCGAGTATCAGTCTAGACTTTCGACGGTTGAAAGGACTATTTCGGACCAAGATGGTGTCAGTGGTCGCCCTCCAGTGTCGAACATCTCACTTGCTAAGGCACGTTACACATCGCAATCAACAAGCAGCAGTGCCAGTATTCCAGGTACCGGAAGTGGTTCCGGCTCTGGAAGATCCAACAGTCCACCTGGAGGGGTGCTCGACCCAGCTACATCATCAAGTAGCAGTATGGACAATGTCAATGACAACAATGCGGGTAGTCTAAACGGACCCCGGCCGAGGACACCCGTCGCGTCTCTTACACCACTTCCCCAGATGGACAAAAGTATTCCAGATCAAGTGTTTGACGGGGAGATGTTTGCTAAAGCGAAGAATTCCTTGAATACGCCTCCGTTTGGGAGGGATTGGAAATTCAAGCAGGACCAGAAGCGGGCTGATGCAAAGGGGGAAGACATGTTAACAGAACGAGTCAAATAGAAAAAACAAGAATGACACTACCTCGGCGATTTATCAGAAGCTCACAGGCTCTACTAGTGCCAGAACCCTCACACGGGGACTGGCGGCGAAGGTAATTAAAGAGATCGTCGTGGGACCAGAGGAGAACGTCAATACTGATATAGAGATCCTGGCTCATGATTCTGGGTAGTATTGGTCGCGATGAAGGTGGAGCCTCACCGGGTTTTCCTTCTCGATTTGAATAACAACGACCCTTATGCTTCCGCTGAAGGGTATCTTTTGGCAAACGCCAGAGCGAAAGCGATTGTCGGAAAAGAAAAGGACAATGAGGGAGCCCCTCGAACTAACCGTTGAGGAAGAGGATATCTACAAAAATATTCAGGCTCTGGCTGGACACGACTTCACCACTGTGCAAGAGCGGTTAACCGCAGTCCACTCCTTCCTTATTTGGTCACGTTTTGCTCACGAGAGACATTTTCAAGGTTTTCATTGAAGACCATGGTAGTTGTAGTAGGGTACGCTCTGCTCATTCACACATACTATCAAATTACGAGACCATTTTGAATAGAACCAAGAGCATTATCTGAGGGCGCTGAACTTTGAAGTACTGGTACTGTACCAAAAGCTATGAGGTCCGTGATTGCCATTGGTCCCTGTCATCTCTCGAGACCACCAGCAGCTTGGAGTTCGGTAGGTTGAGAGGCACTGAAAACGCAATGGATAGTGAACAACCAACTCTGAATAATCCTTCAAAGTCTCACGTTTGAAGAGCCTGCCAAGCTGGATGTGAATAGGTAGCAATATTCCTGGTCATTTGAGGTTGTCACACTGAGGTTAGCTATGGTTCTCGGATGGCCTCAGGCCTTGGTCCCAGTTTGGAAGGCGAAAGTATGCTCCTATATTAGTCATAATGGGTCGATCCGCGCGGCTATTGACCGGTGGACCAGAATGAGCAATGCTGTAGGATTCTTCCTCGGATTGATCCAAGCAGTATAGTAGAATCAAGCTGGGAATGCTCAGTGGGATGGAGACATGGCGGCGAAACTTATACGGACGTGGCATGCCAAGCATGCCAAGCATGGCACGGAGCCAAAATCACAACCGCGCCCAACACGTGACTCGCGTCATAGCACACAACTGGTCTAGCTATATCAGGAAATTGCCGAGCTGTCAGACACCAGGTTCTGACATGGCAAGGACATGGGCATTCTCCATACAAAGAGAGTGGATCTGATTGACCCTCTCGCGAGCCCAAGGTTCTAGAGGTCCACCGTCCCACAACTCATTTCAGCTGCCCCGGATTTTCAGCTCCATACATTAGCTGGCCCTCCTTTCATCTATACGCGTCCTCCCAAAGACAGAATCGTTGAGGCACAGATCAAACCAAGTACCTTTTCCTTATGATGAGCTTTAGTGTCGAGCGTCACACGTCACGATTAGAGAAAGCCCCTCGAGCTGTTCGAGCTTGTGTATTGTGCCATTCTCGCAAGGTCAAATGCGACGTGAGTTCGAGCAAGCCCCAATGCTCCAACTGTCAGCGAGATAGCCAAGTGTGTGAACAAAGGACACGACAACGAAGGATACATGCCTATAAGGCGAAGACCTCGTCCGGGCCGAATCCAATGCAGGAGAATACCACCAAGGGACAAGAAGCTTCAAGCCAGATTGCTCGCAAAAATGCTCACACAACCCACTAGGCACCTCAGCTGGGAATTGATCCGAGCCTGTCCGCACAGTCAGAAGCAGCCCAAGTGTTGCAACAATTCGCGCAACGAGACGAGACTCTTCGTGGGCCCGGGCCCTCCCCTTCCAATCTGTCCGAGCACAGTGTGTGGTCCTATCATGGCGGCTACATGGCACTTTCGGCGTACATGGCACCAGACAAATTCCACAGAGAAGACGGCTTTGAAATCGATTATAACCTTCCTAATCCCTCTGAAGTCTCCCAACAGATGGCCAAGCTTTAAAATGTCTTCGATATTCCCTCTCGCGCTATCTGGGAGTCCTTGTCCGAGAACTTGTGGAAGTATTGTTGTTCTTGGGATCCAATTATCGATCGAGCTGAATTCATAGGCACACCGCTTGGAAGTATATCACCTCTCTTGCTTCAATCTGTTTACTTGGCCGGAAGTCGTGTGTTAACCGTCCTCTCAGCCCTATACCTTTGTCTCACCAGTAGATTACTACACGCGAGCAAAGACGCTCTTTTGGCTCGATTATGAGAAAGACCCTATAATTCTTTTGATTGTTACGTCGCTAATGCATTGGTGGAATCCACATGGCCTGGAACGAGTGTCCACAAATACTAGCAGCTTTTGGTGCCGGATTACTGTTAGCCTGGCGCAGCAGATGGGACTTCATAGCCAAAGTAAGGCGGTCCCTAATGGGTCCCTTCGCCGTCGCCTATGGTGGTCCATAGTGGTAAGCGCCAGTCAATCTTATTTTGGTCTCTCGTTCTTCAAGTGCGCAAGGCTAAAGTCTGTCAGGCTCGTGATCGCCTTATCAGTGTTGCCCATGGAAGGCCCCAAGCAATCAGCCTCGATGAATGTGATGTTCCTCGACCTACCCTCGAAGACTTTCCGACCCTGCCTTTAGCTGGAGCTTTTTTTATCGCTTATGTTGACTTATCACTGATTATGGGACGATTTACTCAACTTGAAATCCGGAACGCGCCTAGCAAAGATCATGCCACCGCGATCGAGGACTATTTATATCGATGGACTAAATATCTCCCTGAACAACTCCGACTGAACCACAAGGTTCACACGTATCAATCCATAAAACCTTACATTTTGGAGAGTCGCCAGCTCAATGTCCTTTACTTGACTACGATTTTCCTCTTATATCGCCTAAAGACCCTCGAAGGCTCATTTCCCACCGCTGCTGTGATTGCGGCATCAACGCTAGCAGGAGTGTTTGAAGACTTTCTAGCTCGTGACGAGGTGCGGTTCCTTGGGCCTTGCTTCAGCTTTCATCTCCTTGCGGCGCCAATCGCATTACTTCCGTGCTATAAGTACCCTGACTTGTGGCCACTTGCCCAAGGGACCTCAAAACCTTAGCCCTAGCTCAAGAAGAGATGAAGAAGTGGCCCTCTGCCAATGGGAACATTGCCAGCACCGATCGGATGTACAAGCTTACGGTGGCCACACAGAAGAAGGCTACGGGATTGCCTGAGAGCACTCTAACGCCATATCAGGCTGAATTCTTCGGAGGTTGCGACTTGACCTTGTGTCGAATGTCTACCATCCTGGCTAGGAAGCCTGAAGCCAGTGGTGGTGAAGATCGAGGAGAAGTGCATTTCAACACGACCAGCCAACAGATACTTCCCGTGACCGGAGATCCAAGTGATTTAATCCCCATGCCACCGCCTCAATACAACCAGAGTGATGGCCTTGGGCAGAAGTCTCTTCCAGAACCACCATCAGATGCTGATGAGCCCATGACGTTTGACAAAATATTTCAAGAAGAGGTCGGTCAGTCTAATGGTGCTATTGGAGACTGGCTGTTCTGGGATTCGCTTGCCTTCGATGCGAATTGAGAAGTCAATTACGCCGACGCTGAGCCAGCCACGCCCGTCATTGCTTCGACAGCAGTAATGGCGCGGTCGGCGTTCACAGTACCATCAGTCGTATGAAGGCACGGGGTTACGGCGAGGCTAGTTCCATGACAAAAGATATGCAGACAGTTCTATTCGTGTCGTATCTTCGTGGCGGAATATCAAAAACAGAATCATTCCCTGTTGTCAATAATTTCATTGACCTTGAGTCAGGCCCCACCAAAGCTATTTGCGAGAAATTTCAGATTCTCATTCGACCATTTGTCGGCTCCATCGCCCAACCAATTTGGCATCTCCCTAGCCAGCCCCTCTTCAAAATCCCATCCTTTACGTTCTTCAACGTAGATGCTCTTTCCATTCAAACCTGCGAGGACCATGAAAGACGCGATGTGCTGCGCAACAGCTGTTGAGGTCTGGTAGTGTGAGAGCAAATTCGCATTTGATTCCGAAGATCTATTCTTGAATAAGTCAATCAATCCGGTGGAGCTTGTCATCGGGGAATCCGTCATGCCCAGGCACACAGCGTTGACGCGGATCCCGTCCCGCGCGAAGATAGCCGTCCGCATAGATCGCATTAATCCTAGAATTGCCTGTTTCGACGTCTGATAGAGGATCATGCCCGGTGAATCGCGGAAACTTGTCACGCTGGAAAGGAACGTCAAACTCGGATTAGAGGACGAGCTGTCGCGGGTTGCACCTGCCCGTTCTCGTAAGAACGGTAAAGCCATCCGCGCAAACGCGCAAGTGGCCATGAAGTTGACTTCGAGCGTACGTATGCCACCTAGCTCCCTCCCGACGGTGTCAATCGTCAAATTCACGTCCAAGTATGACGATGTAGGACCATCGACGATACTGGCGCAGAAAACAGCATGGTCGATGTGGCCATGTTTGCCGTATGCAGAGCGGAAGAGCCTATAAAGGTCGTTGTATGTGCACACATCGCAGAAAAGGAATATAAGTCCTTTCCTCCCTCGACTTGTAGCGTCGAAATCTGTGCGGTGTTCCTGAGACTGTAGCTTGCTGACAAGCGCCTCGCCAGCGTCCCGATTGATATCCCCAAATATGATGTGTGCCCCGTAACGGTACAGTACCGTCACTAGTGCAGCTCCAATGCCGGTAGCACCTCCGCCACTACGACAACTTGTTTTTTGAGGCCGTAGAAACTGTTGCTGTTAGGAAAAGGGGGGTAGCGTGACATATCAGCGATTCTGATAGATGTGTGGTATCTTGGGTATTTGAAGTTATCAGAGGCCCCAAAAAGTTCCTATCAAAACTGGCTGATCAGGACAGTATGCTTTTTCACCAGACTCGTAGGATTTGTATGGCGAGTCGCTCCCTGGAGCACCTAAGTATAATAGGCCAATCTGAAACGGACAGTGTAGAGGTTGGGTCTCCGGACTTAGTGAAAAGTCTTCTGGCACTTGAATAATGTCTACGGGAAGTGGACCTTGGAGTTCGGCATTATTCAGTACTACTTGATGTTCTCAGCCCTAGGCAAACGAAGGAGAAATTTCCGAAAGTCCCCTAATATACTTGCCCATTTCATGGATGTTGCAAAATTTCTACTCAGGCTAGCAATAATCCTCCATTCGAGCGAATGACGGGCCCATCCACGAAATGGTCTCGCACGCCATAGAGATACGCCTCGGCAATATCCTCCGTAGTGCCTATCGTGCTCGTCATGGTCGAGCGCTTGTACTTTTCTAGAAGAGGCTGAATCACCTCGTCCGGGAACCTGTCAAATAATTCTTTCCGAGTTGGGGCGGGACAGACGTAATCAACCCTGATCGGTCGCAAGTCGACGGCGAGGGAGCGCGTGACGCCTTCAACGCCTGCACCCCAGCCGGCCATGAGCAGCCGTCCCCGGAGAGGCTTGACGTTGTTCACTCCACTGGTGAAGGTAATTGATGACAGTGGGCTGCGGTTTATATACTCCAATACTAGCTTGCCAATGATAATGGGCGCATAGAATCGCAGAATCCCATGCTCTGTGATAGTATTGGTCTCGGTCACGGCGAGCGGGATCGATCCCAAGTTATTGCCCGCCGTGTAAACAATGTGGTCTAGTCGTTTCTTGCCTTGCTCCATGGCAGTATCGAGTAACAGGGTCAAGTTGCTCTCTAAACAATCCAAGTCATACAGATCGCACGGATAGCCTTGCACGCTGACGGTGTCATGATCGGTGACACTAGCATTTGTGATAGATTGTACGGCTTCGACTCTGCGAATCGCCGCGTCAATTTTGGCCTGGCTGGAACTTGATAAGATTACGGTGACCCCAAACTCTCTGGCTGCTTCCGCCAGGGCCAATCCTATACCGGACGTCCCCCCTCTCCCCCACCCAATATAAGAACGCGTTTTCCAGCGAGTTTCGCTGCATAGCGAGGTGCCTGCCCTTGAGCCGTAGACACAGTGAGCTGAGTTGAGTGACAGCCTGGCAGGCGTAGAAATTTTGCTGGTGGTAGGTGTGCAGCTTTAATCTCGTCGGCAGCTCTTTCAAATCATGTCGAAAAATGGATAGGAGGCCTGGTTTGCGGTGCGTGTTGATGTTCGTAGTCGGGGCCTGGCGTTGAAGCATTGGCAATCGCAATCCAATTAAAAATCAGGGTAAAATAACGCTGGCAAAGTTCCATTCGGTATTTCCTACTTTGGGCGTTTATATGCAAGCCAATCATTTCAACCGGGATGATCCCACTGGAGATCTCATCACATTATTACAGATCAGATGCAGATATCGCCTCCAATGCCCGCTATAGAACCTAGATTCTAGTAAAGCACTGTGCCGTAGAGACTGATTGCGTTATTTAGACTCCTTATCATCTCCGTTACACAAGATTGGGGCAATGGCTGGACTTGGACCCTCGATAGAGCTATACACGTCGCAGACGCCGAATGGAATCAAAGTAGTGGCCACCTTAGAGGAGTTGGGGTATGTCGACCGAGTCGGATCTAGGCACTTGAGCTTATCCATGCAGGTTGCCATATAATCTACATAAAATCGACATCTTGAAGAACACCCAGAAAGAACCGTGGTATTCTGCAATCAACCCAAATGAGCGCATACCTGCGCTGACGGACACCTTTACGGACGGCCAAGCAATACGTTTGTTTGAGTCCGGTGCCATTCAGAAATATCTAGTCGAGCGGTATGACAGGGAGTACAATATTTCATATCCTCCGGGCACGCGCGAGTATCATGAGATGAACTGCTGGGTAAGTCTTCAGCGCCCTTTCTTCATAGTCCGCAAGGATAAAGTGATAGATACTCACAACTCTAGTTGTTTTTCCTCAACGCTGGCGTTGGGTAAGTAACTCTGGTATACTACTTGAAATCCATCACTAATCTCTCTTCTGATAATGACAAGACCGATGCAAGGGCAGGCGACACACTTCCGTCTGTATGCTCCTGAAAAGCTCGAGTATCCGAACTTTCGATATCACAATGAGTGTCGTCGACTCTACCGGATACTCAACTCCCATTTACAGTCTAGTGTCTCTGGTTACCTTGTTGGAAACCATTGCTGCATAGCCGACATTGCACATTATGGTTGGATTGCGTGTTCTGCATGGTCTGGTGTTGATATTGAAGAATTCCCGAAGCTCAAACAATGGAGGGAGAGGATGGAATGCCGACCCGCGATTCAAAAAGCAAGAACCGTGCCTGACCCTTGGCCCTTCCAAGACCTTCCCAAGGATGACGGAGCCTCAGCGCGATTCACCAAACCTGGAAGAGATTGGTTTCTGAAAGTCATTAGCCACGATATGAAGAGCTATAATGGCGATAGATCTTGATTTATTTGTGGCTCAACCTATTCCACACCAATGGGCTTTGAGATACTGGCTATACACTTGATCCATCCACAATGAAGTCCTGCCCTGTCGTAAAGCTAGCTAAGTCTGACAGCAGGTATAGTAGCATGCCGCAGAGTTCCTGTGGCTGCCCAATTCTGTTCAACGCACAAGTTCCAGCAAACAGCGGCAGTCGCTCAGGATGCTCGTCGAGCACCATTTGCAGCAACTCCGTCTGCATGCAGCTGCATGACTGTTCAGTGGAAAATGAGAACATGACCTCTAATACGACTTACCCTGGGCTCACAGTGTTCACGCGTATTTTGTATTTGGCCAACTCTTTCGCAATTTGGCCTATAAAACCCCTGATAGCATACTTAGACGCTGTATAGGCGGCAATCGCATGAGCAGCGGGAGACTTGTGGGATGCCGTTGAAGCAATCGCCACTATGCTGCCGCCGTCCCCCTGGTCTCTAATCTGCATCGCGCAGTGCTGAACAGTGTAGAACACACCTTTAACCTATCTTCCAGAAAGCAAGAAATTTCGGACAAATATTCTTTTGGGTGTACATTTACACTTACATTAACATTCAGGTTGATATCAAGATCACTTGGGGTGTGTTCGAGAAATGGTTTGTCAACAATGACACCCGCGGCCGCAATACTTTTGATTTTTGAATCAGTATTGCAAGTACAAACCTTACCAGCAGTGATGCAACTGCCACACTCACCACCCATGAATACCTCCAAAATCATGAGAAATTTGTTCGATGATTTTACCCAAGCCCTCGTAATCCGTCACATCTCCTCGATAATATTGATACTTCCCTCCATAGGCCAGCGAAGAGAAGATGTCACTGGGCTGCGCAGCAATGTCAATAACTGCAATATTGGCCCCTGCTTGAGCCAGACCATTGGCGAAAGTCAGCCCGAGTCCGCGTCCGCCACCAGTGATAACGATCGTTCGTCCTTTCAGAGAAAATTTCTGGAGGAACTTGTTCTCGTAAATAGGGAGTTGAGCCATTGGGAAAATACAGCTATAGAGGATATCGTGGAGCAGAAGTGCTGTGAATTTCTTCATATGTTGAATTGACCCCTAGTTTTATGTATTGCCCTAGATCACGTTGTTTATTAGTGACCTACGCTAGTTGTCACATCTCGTTTCGGCCTCCGGAGGCTTCAAGCTGCTAATAGTGGAATTTCGGCGTTTCGAAGCATTTCTACGGTGTGGATGAGCTTCGTCTCTACTTACGTGCTGCTTAAAATGTATAGAGCCAATGATAATTAGTCCTTTAGCTCAACTAGATTTACGAAACCAGAGTCATCCAGTCCTCAAAACTGGAGGTTCGATACCGGTCCATCCTCATCAAACTCGAATTCAGGTCACCCCAATTATCGCACCGTGTTGCAAGTAGACATGATCTAGCCTCGCATATTGTCGACTGGCGCCTGAGATAGGTAAGCGAAAAAGGAACTCGTGCTGATTTCAGGCGGACGTACCTCGTGTTCTACTAATCGCCAGATGGCATCAATTTGCAACAAAACATGCTCCTCTAGTGATCCCCTCCGCCCGAATTCTAGTGTCTCCGCAAGAAGGCTAGCTCTTCTCGTGCCAACGATGATGCTGTCATCAAACTCTGTCTTCAGGGCTGAATTATATAGCATCCACCTATAAGCCATCTCTACCATTTTCATGCCATTCTCGTGTGCGAGCTGCTCCCATTTTTCGAGGACAGATACTAGAGAAGGGCGATTATAGAGCTTATGATAAATCTGCCCCACAGGGTCATCTCGACTCCATCGGCCGCCTAGCTTGTCGCCACGGATCTCATTTGCTGTTTTGGCTAGAAACCCACCAGCCAGAGGACTATAGGCGTAGATTTTGATGCCTAACCTTCGGAGCAGAGGAAAGAGATCTTTCTCGGCATGACGGGCCACAGGATTGTAGTTCCCTTGATACACTGACGGGAGGATAAAGGAGCTTTCTTTGGCAAGATTGTACAGTCGTTGTACCTCCTCTGCTGACAGATTTGAAATTCCGAAGACTCGAAATTTGCCCTCGTTGTAGAGTTTCTGAATAGCCGCCAGAGTCTCGTATAGAGGAGTGGCTGGATCTGCCGTATGGAGATAGTATACTTCCACATGGTCCACGCCTAGTTCCTGGAGGGAGTTCTCCATGCCCTTGAGAATTGATTCTCTACTCATGCACCCTGGCACCACCCCTGGTGCCTTCGTGTGGATGTTGAAGTCCCGAGCAGCATTCAACTGTCCAAGCAGCTTCTCACTGTTTACGTAGAGATACGCTGTGTCAATGTCTGTGATGCCACCGGTTTTGACGACGCTAAGGATCTAAGCTGCCTGTTCCTTTTCAATATGCGAGAAGCTTTCTGCACCGTAAATGATCTTGACTGGAATTTTTACCGCCATCATCTTTGTTTGGTCTGGGGGATGCATCCCTAAACTAGAGGTTCAGGAAGACCAAAAAATGATAATAGTCAATATCATAGGCATTTCTAGAGATTGACCTGCAAATTACACAACTCGTAGATGCCGTGGCGCAACTTTTCTTGGCCGGGAAGATTGCCTATAAATTTGTTATAGAAACTGTTCAGGCGGGCCATTCACAAATGTCAAAGGAGTGGTAGGTTATCACGAACCGCTGTTCCTCAACCATTCTTCGGAAATGTCCAGGTTCTTGGTGGCGCATAATGAGTCGTGGAACCCGCAATCATTCCAGCCCCGGGTCTAGCTCTTCCAAGTAAAGCCAAGACCAATTTCCTCAATATTGTTCTGGTTTTCTCGATGAATGGGACATTGTTAGATCGCTGCCTCGAGCACTGTCGGCGGTCGGTCGGTTTCCGAGCTCGGAAGAATGGTACCATGAGTGCTCGGCATTTCGCTGATTGCCATTCTAACTTTAGTGTCAAAGATCAAAGAGGATGGAATTGACATGGAACTATACTAGTGATGTCATTACTGGGCGTTGAAAGTAACAACCGAGACCTTATCCAATCCTATGTGGGGTCTCCAGGAGACCCCAGGAAGAGTAGATGCCGTACGGGGAAGCCGAGCCAGATATGGAATATGTAGGTTTCATGGTATAAAAGAGAATAAGCGACCTTATGAGACTTCTACCTCAATCGATTCTCTCTGCGCCATAGACCCCTGCTTACTTGGGTGGCCTCTTATCGACATGAAGTTCAGGACCCTCCGTGAGCTCGGACACACAGAGCAAGAAGTCACGCTTATCGACAGTCCTGCGACTCAGGATGAGCACAACCCTCGTCTCATAGGAACCGACATTGTACTCGTCCCCCACCCCTCTAATGACATTAATGATCCCCTCCGTCTGCCTCAATGGAAGAAATGGGCGGCATTCTTGAACATATGCATGTTGACGTTCATGACCTGCTTCTGGCTTGGGGGCTTATCTCCTGCTTTCTATTTGTTAAGTCTGGAATTCAATGTCACCATGGCAGATGCCTCTGGCTTGCTCGTGTGGCCTGTTCTAAGTGCCGGGCTCTGTGTATGTGTGGTTCTCGTCCTTTGATTGCATGAAAGTTGAAGCTAAAACTTTGATTGGCAGAACTTCTTCTGGGTACCATTTGCCGAGTATCTTGGTCGCAGACCAGTCTTCCTTGTTGGCTCACTGGGTTTGTTCGTGTGCGAGGTATGGTCAGCAACCAGTGCCAGTTTCAACAGTTTGCTTGCCAGCCGGGTAGTTGGTGCATTTATGGGGTCTTGCACCGAAGCCATGGGTGCCCTCATTGTCAATGTGAGCACCAGGACATTCCTGGGAGCGTGACAGTCTACTAACTGCAGAGTAGGATCTGTTTTTCTTGCACGAAAGAGGGTCTAAAATGGGAGTCTATATTATAGCTCTTTACTTTGGCAACTCCATGGGTCCCCTCATCACGGGATTTATTGTCCAAGGCGAGTCAAATGCTACATCACCGTGTATCGATCGACGCCCTGACTCGCTCTAGGTGTGGGCTGGCGGTGGGCTTCGTGGGTTAGTGCCATCCTCGGAGGAATTAATTTCCTGGGCATAGTGCTGTTTGTTCCTGAATCTCGATATACAAGGTCCATTGACGCAGTGGATCTCAATAATCAGAGCTCTAGGCTGGACGAGCATAGTGAGAAACCCTCTGGAGAGCAGTTGGTCCAGCAAATCAGCGCTATTGGCCCAGAAATACTTATCGGAGATAAGAAAACCTGGATCCAAGAGATGAACCCTTGGTCAGGAACCAGCAACAAAGGCATCATCAACCACTTCATCCGGCCATTCCCACTTCTAGCTTATCCAGCCGTTGCTTGGGCAGCTCTAACCTACTCTGTTGCCCTGGCCTGGTTAGTTGGCGCTGGAACCCTGAGTTCATTTATTTTTCAAGTGCCTCCCTACAACTTTTCGGCGGGTGTGAACGGGTTGATCGGTCTACCTGGTCTCAGTAAGTTGAAATGTTTATCATCAGCAGCTATTGAGATTCTGACGCAGTTCTTATCAGTTGGTAACTTTGCAGGAGCTATTTTTGGTGGAAAGCTAACAGATGTATATGCGCGTCGACGTGCACGACGATCTGGGGGTAAGTTCGTGCCGGAATCACGTCTTGTGCTGCTTATTATACCCGCTATTCTTGGGCCATGTGGGCTCTTGATGTTCGGGTTTGGTGCACAAAAGTCTCTTCATTGGGCTGTGCTTTATGTGGGCTACGGGTTGATTAGTATCGTTCCGGCAGCTGCCAGTATCGCCATGACATACGTGATGGATTCATACTTTGAAGTGGCCGCGGAAGGCCTGCTGGTGGTCAATGGTATCAAAAATGTGGCGGCTTATGGGTTTACGTATGGATTTATCCCATGGACTACAAGTGTTGGCTATGAAACTGTAAATCCTGCACCCCATTTCGAATTTTTTCAAGGTCCAAAGCAGCTAACCCCAGCTGTAGGTCTTTGGGACTATGGCCGGCATCTGGATATTTACACTGCTCCTAGCAGTTCCATTTTATATCTGGGGCGCAAGCATCAGAAGATTCACCAGCTTGCATTTTAGAGTTATCTTATTCTGAGGCAATGAGATCTAGTTCTCTGGCCTTTTGGGTATGCTGAGACATGTTGGACGTGTCACAACATAGCCAAAGGAGCGAGAGTGACGAGCAGCGGAGATTTCTCTCACAGGCTGGTTTTACTGTCAGATATTCCTCATTCCTCTAACAATAACATCATGTTAAAATGATCTGTATTGAACTGCTCGATGTAACGTTTCCGCTAGGGTCTGAGAGCTGGGGGACCTCTGAGCCTCCTCTCATCACCCGCACGACCAAAAACTGATAGTGTAGTATTTGTCTGGTCCTCCGGGCCTTGTGAGTCGGACACGAAAAGTTGTCAAGTATTGTATTAGGAATACTCGGTCGCATCTCGGTCAATATTTCGTGTTTTCAAATTTCCCAAATTAAAATAAATCGGTCGGCTGGCTGGCATATACCTCATTTTCTCTAAGATAGCTAGTGTGCTCTGTATTTAGTGGTGGGAAGAGATCCCTTTCCAGCTTCTGGTATCGTGTCAGATACAATCAATGCAGAACCTTCGGACGGTTATCCTTCTCGTTAGCGTTTCCCCAGAATTTAGCTCCCATCTCTCCCAGTATGCGAATCCATGCGTTCTTGTGTTCATAACCATGGCGATTGTCAGGCAGACCAGTCATTGAGAGGGTGACTTCAGTGAATCTCTCATCGGTCTTGTCGACATCTAGTGAGACGAGAACTTTCGTCTCATATTGATCCGTCCATTGTGATTTCCATGTATACTCGATATTGTAGGGTAGCATCGTGTTATTGATCTTGGTAAACCTCCCCCAGTGACCCCAAGATCCACCCCCACCACCTAGGTCAGAAAAGTTGTGGTCGTTCCAAAAGAAGTCGCCTCCTTCTCGAGGATCAACCTGCCTCTCCCCGTCACCGACCCATGGTCCACGGCTGTCGTTACCGTCTGTCCAGACTTGGAATATTCGGTCTGGTGTTGCCAAGATGTCGTGCTTGACAGTGAACTCCCAGGATGCCATCGTGGCTGCTGTGAATGTCTTGTGGTTGGTGTAGAGAAAGGGTCTAGGTAATGTTGGGATATGGTTCTTTCCTGTTTCTTTCCCGATCCTTTCACAAGGGTATTTAGCCACTCCTTGTAATATTAGTAGGCATACCACTTTTTCGAAGCGGCGACAATCCGCCCGGGCTAAAGCTGGTGGTGAAGACTCGGAAAACGGCAATTAGTTGAAATTTTGGTGGTCTACCTGCCTCGGGACTTACCGTTTTGAGTAAATACCGACAAGATTTGCAGAGTCCAACCTTACCCCTCCTCAATCTCAGGCGGCACGGCAGGGAGCGCGAGCCCAGCAGACCCAAGGCCAGACACTCGGGAATGACTGCTCTGCTCTCAAGGTAACGGATGGCCAACCGAACAAGCTTTTCTTTACTTGCTGATATTGATTCGAAGCGCCACAATTGATAGTTATGTTTGGATTCGGATTGGCTTGGAAGAATTATATGACAATGTTTCACAATGACTTGATCCACTAGTGTTCATGCACGGTAATGGAGTTTCAAGCATTCGCCCATGATTTGACATCCTCATTTGAGGCGCCATCCCTAACATCTCGCGGACAAGGGTATATAGAACATGATACTAATAGTGATTGATTATCAACCAACCTCGACAGTTCAAGTCAACCAAACCTAAAATCTAGTTCAACCTTCTCATTCAAGAGTTTTCACTATCGGATCCTTTGCGGCTGTCGACTCGGCTCCCCGATACGAGTCGGACATTGTCGAAACTCGAGCTTTAGGTGAACCCCTGAAGTTCAAGTTTTTCAGACTGCTCCGAATCGCTTCATGAAAGCCGCAATGACAGAACAGCTGTTGGCTCTCTCGTAAAAAGACCTCTGTCAACTTTGAATTCTGACCTGTATAGCTGTTCCTGGCACAAAGACGTTCCGGAAAAATGAGGAATTCCAACAAGAAATTTGTGCCGGGTTTACGAGCGATGGGGCCAAGGTGAGATTGGTATGGTTGTCACGGGCAACGTCAGTGAGTCGAGGGAGGATTTCTGATAATGCAGTCACAAGGTTAATGGACTTGACAGTGATCTTTTGCGATCACCTCGAATCTGTTGGTGATCCGGTCATTCCACCAGACGCTTCCTTCTCCGGTAAGAGGTTTGCAGCTCTTAAAGAATGAGCGCACTCGGTCAAAAAGAACGGCAGCTTGATGATCGCACAAGTATCACACCCAGGTCGACAGTGTCATAAATACTTTCAAAGCCATCCGGTGGCTGCATCTGCTGTATCATACGACTTCAGCGGACCACGGCGTCCACTTCAATTTAATAACCCTCGCGCAGCTTCTCAGGAGGAAATTAATACCATTTTAAACTCATTCGCTCACGCTGCCGAGTATCTCGAAAAGGCCGGATTCGATGGTATATAGCTACATGCTGCTAATAGTTTCCTACTATCCGGACTTTTAAGTGCTAGGACGAATCTTCGAACTAACGCGTATAGAGGGCATATTAATAACCGTATACGTATCTATTTAGAAATTGAACAAGCTATTCGTGCGAGGGTGTCACTAAACTTCATTCTAGGTATCAAAATAAACAGTACCAAGTTCCAGGAGACTATATTCACGCCCTAAGAAGTAAACTAGGTTTATTTAGCTTTCGAGAGACACTACTTCGACTTCGTCGAATTAAGTAGTAGTTCGTCTAAAGTTCTCATGACCGGCAACTAGTACTAGGGTAAAAAGTTAAGGGAGTTAACAAAAAGACGAGAGGCGTACTTTTAAGAGTTTACCGAGAATATTGTGCCCGACCTAATAAAGACTAAGGTTTACATTACGGGAGGTCTTTATATAGTTAGCGGAATAGTAAGAGCCCTTAAGACTATAGACGGAATAGGTCTTACTAGACCATTATATTAAGAGTTTAGTTTCTACAGGAAAGTTCTAGAGGGGTAAATTACTGGGAGTATTATCCCTAAGATAGAGCTCGGAGAGTTCTAGCTCGCTTTAATGGCCGGAAACAGGACTATCAGGGGATATTAGCCAAGGAAAAGAGCCACTTAAGCTTTAGAAAGAGGAAGTCATTAATGAGCTGAGAGCCGGATATAACTTGTGCGTAGACAATAAAAGCTCCGACCGTGAGTATATGAGCTACTACGGAGTTACTTCAACGGAAGCTATGGAACAGGGGAAATTGCCTCCTCTCGCGCACGCGCTTTCGGTGGATGGGTAGGGTTTGAAATTACCTTAAACCGTCATACATCTGTCAGACTCTAATAAACAATCTATTTTCCTTTATATTCACTTTCTATCACAATGAAGAGATGAAAAGGAATTCAAATAAAACGACCGCCTGAAGACAAATGCTGTTGGCAGAGTCGCCTGATCTCGCTCAGTGGCAACCCTTGTCATGGAGGTGAAATTTGAGTACAGCCTAGCTTGATATCCTTATGCTCACCGTTACGCTCTAGGCAACCCGAGTCGTTTATGCTGATCTTCTTCCATAGTTGTGTCGTTTCGATAATCGCCGGCCAAATGTGAGACACCTGGTCTCCCGACATCTCGCTGGTCTGAGGTCCCCGCAATAAAGCTTCGTGTCGTACTCGGTCAGACGTATACGGAAACAATGGTGTTCACATGGGTGATGGATAGATCGTCGATGGCACTCGCATATGCTTGTCATAGATGGTCAAGATGAGCAGGCGATATATGCAATGCTTAGGCTAAAGTGAGGTGGTGTGGGTTACGCAAAATTGATAAGGAAAATAGGATTTATTAAGAAGTCAATCAATAAGAAGGATAAGAAGAAAGGATAGGAAGAGATTGGGTAGGGCCAGGTGATTGAACGTACGAGTTGAGCTAATAATCCCACATGCGGCGCGAATTCCTCTTGAGATTCTTCGACGGTGCGGACTATTTTCCAAAATCCTTTCCAATAGATATAGTCAGAATAAGCCATAGTCAATGAGTGACTTGAGTCGCTTGTATCTGCCCCGCGTCTGCTGTCTTTGATGTGTTGTTAGACGAGCTGGGTCGAGCGAGACTCCAGCGCCCATTGCTGCACGGAGATCGAGTACCAATCTTTCGATGATTCGCTGTTAGGTATTTCTATGTTGCTACATCCAGGCTAGACCATCTCCAAGAAGGGGAGACTAGGCGGGAGAGTACTCGAATTTTGCTCACAATATTTCATGATCGCTCCCGTTACTTGTTGGCTAATGACATAGTTGTCGCCTTCGTAAGTCACAGCGTTCACCGTGTGGGCGTACATCCTGCCGAAGCAGAGAATGCGCTATATCTATGGCCACCACAAGCCACTCGGCATATCTCGACGCCCTTACTAGCAAGTTCTGTCGAGTACGCCTTAGCTGAGACGGTCTAAAGATGCAAGTCTTCGAGTTCACTGGTGTTCCCCGTTCGGAGCACTTTGATCGTGTACCCGTCGTAGGCGTTCTTAATAGATTGGCCAACAGGGATTGAAGCTTTTGCCTTCTTCTGTGTCAGTGCCGAAGCCCAATAAGAAAGACATATAGAGTTAGCTTCCCGACGCAAGTATTGGAAGAAGTCGATATCTGACGCTGTTGTAATCCTAAATAGCAGTCTCATCCACGTCTCGCGCTTTTCCCTTGTGGCACTTGAATTGTCTTCGGAATTTAGTGTAGTGATACGCAACGCAAACTGCCTTGAGAAGGTCCCAGCCTGTGATCTCGGCCATTAAGGCTCGTACTACCACCATCGAACCATATGCGTGCTTGGTGTTCTTGGGCTGGATGTAGCTCCCGTCTCGCAGGACTTGAGCATTCCTTGTTAACTTATGCGATCGAGGAACTCGCACATGCCAGAAACCTTTCTTGCCAACTAAAAGGGCATAATAGTATCTTTGGTGAATTAAGGGTGAGTTGAAAGGATCTCAAGTGTAATCTTTCGTCGATTGAATCGCTCTGTATCTCCCCATAGGAATAGAGTAAAGGGCGTTTGTACAGCACGTTGGGGGACATCTATTCGATGATGATGCTTATCTTCTACTGCTGTCACAGGCTAGCCTCGATGTTGTAACACTCTCGAACAAGACTAGTAAGTAAGAAAACGAGAAAAATATGCAGCGTATCTGAATATACCGAGCTCTGGTATTAATTAGGCCTACACCACGTTGGATGCCGTAAACAAAGAGGAACATTGACAAGAAGGAAATTCCGAACTCCGGCTCTTCTCTCAGTCCTCAATATCCGATTAGCATCCGAAAGACGGCTGCAACTAGGCCGTTCTCCTATGCTATATGTCCGGCCGAGTCCTAGGTTGGGATGAGCCATAGTGGGAGATTGATGAGGACCTACGAGCAGCACTTAGGATGGTCTTCCCAGGAAGATCTATCCTCGATAGATCCTATGGGACCACCTATGAAATCTGTGTGAAGCTTGGGTAGTTCTATACAATAACTACTAGTTAAACACAGTATTTTTGGTAACTCCTTAATCTCCCATTTCATAACTTTAGAAACTTTACTACGGTATTTCCTACACTAACTAGGTCTTCAATGACACTCCAATTGCCCACGCAGGGGATCGCCTCAAGCTTTGCATTCGGCAGCCTTTCAGTGAGACTTTGATAAGCTGCAATTGGGCTGACCTTGTCCTCCATCTCAGTAACAATTAGAATCATATTGAGCTTGCTCAGATCTTATAAGACAGCAATATTCTCTAGAGGGTTCCCATCTACCAGGATGCAATCGGCCAGATACCTAGGTGTAATCTAACCGAGCTTATATTCTTGCATGAAGGATTTTGTAACCCTAATAGTGGCGGCGAGCAAGGACTCTATGGTACTAACATCTAGCTAGTTAATAAAATACTTAAGATCGCGGGCATAGGCACTATAGGGAGTCTAAGTAAAGCTATAATCTCTACCTCTAGAATAAAGAAGTTAGTTACTCGTTAGAAAGAACTAAGAATAGGAAGGATACCTTACGGAAGTATAGTTATTCCTCGTCTATACATCTCACTTAACACCTTCTTTACATTTTGAAACTCTCGTTTATATCCATCTCTCTCGTCGTCTGACATCTAGTCGCCATAGGCCTCGGATTCGTGTAAGGCTACATAGAGCTAGTTGATTACGGGCAAGACTACATGTTTTTCCTTATTTTTGTCTAGTATATCCATGCCCTAGTTATCGGTCCAACTAGCGTAGAAGACGACATCTACACTATACTTGATGTATATTTTAATATTATCGCGGACTCTATTAAAAGAAACTCTTATATTAGAAATAATTTCAATCCGTTACTGGGTCAAGTACGTTACTAACCTTGCTAGGCACAGAGTCTTTTCCCTCGACCATGGACTATTTCAATGCATACCGCTATTTCTTCATCATCGAAGTAGCATTTTTTTCCCGAAGATAACGGCTCACAGATCTCCTCCCCTAACATGGTCATCTTGACCTGGTCGGCGCCCAGATCGATATGGCGATTGACTGCCGCACGCATCTCCTCAGGCCCATTTGCGACGACTACAAGACCATTCTGACCCACAGCATCTTGGGGATGAGTGATTTCCTTGCAGTTGGCGAGATAACGGGGTCCAGGTAGCTTTCCAGCGTTGATAACATCTCTAATCGCCACATCTAGCCGATCTTGTGCAGAAGCTGCCCCGAAGCACCTTTGATCTATGCTTAGCACAATAGTCTTGACCTTCACTCCGCTGTGAGCTTAGAGCTTTCCTTACATGGTATAGCCGCTACTAATAGCAATTTTAGCCGCTCGCGGTGTCAATAAGGTGTGCTCCTTGACACCTAGGCCTGTCAGGGCTGGGATGTCGCCAGAGTTCCAGGAGAGATGGGTGTGCGCATCTCCAAGACCGCTCCTCAATGTCCTGCCGCGTCCTTTGACGATTTTAAACTTAGGGTTCTCAACCAATACGTCAAACCCCGACACTGTGCCAACTTTTACTATGCGATTCCTTTTATGAGTACATCGCCGCTATAAGGAAGGGCTCCACTAGAGTCAAATATCTTTACATCTAGTATCAGAATCATTGACTCCCCAGGAGTACCTGTCAAGAGACTCATGTCAGCAGCATCTCCTACAATTTTCAACGTTAATGAGATATAGATACCTTTGATTTCATATTCTGGGGACCTCAGCGCATTGTCAAAATGCACGGATTCCCATGGCCTCCTTGGTTTTCCTGCATCGTGGATGTTTGCAATAAATACCTTAATGCCATTGGCATCGTGAATACCACTGGCTTGTCTTAAGCTCGGATTATCTTGTGTTGCTGAAGACATCTCGTTGCCCAGAACGCCCTGTGCAAGACTTCGCCTTCCATTGGTCGCTGCAAGTAACCATGTGAGCAATAGAGACTTGTTTCATGTCAGTGATAGACACTTGACCTAAATTGTGTACGAGAAACCTAGACTTCATGCTCCTATTGTCTCCGCTAAAGATGCTGGATGCCAACTCAGTATTTTCTTGCCTTGTGGGGCGCCTGCAAGGCTGGTCTTGCGAGTGCCTCAATGTCTGGGAAGGACAGATATCCACTTCATTGCGTATCGGCAATTCCCCGAAGTAGTCGCAAAATGGTCGATAGTCCGCAACTCCGACTGAATTTCAAGTTTGGGATTGTACCACAGCTAGGGATACTGGCTGATCCAAGGATGAGGACCGGTGCTTGCGAGTTCATACGCCACAAATATCCTTCGCCTCGGCATTGACGGACGGCATAACTGTAAACGTTAAATACCGAAGATGCCGGACGATATTAAGGGTAGTACTTGAGAGCAGATTTAGATGCTCCACGAAGAAAACATAGTGCCTGATTCGTGACCTAATAACTTGGTTCAAACTCCCTCATGACACACGATTCCGCCGTAATCATCAACCCCAACTCCGCTGAGAAAGGGAGGCCAACACAGTCGCTACCGGTCAAATCACTCCAGGAATTGGAGCAGTGCAATGGCAAAGACCATGAACCACTATGTTCAACTTCCACGTCCTCGACCACGTTGTAGAGTGAAGACACTAATTCATAATAGGGCTTGTAATCGACAATGTGATCTATGACTGCTCACAATTCGTCAAGGAGCATCCAGGGGGGGAGGCAGTGATCAGGCGCTATGCTGCGAAAGACTGTTCACTGCAGTTTTGGAAATTTCATAGAGAATGTCACCTTGTGAAATACGGCCCAGTCCTTCAAGTGGGACAGGTAGTAGTCAAAGTGGACAAAGCCGATCCTCCTCCAAATCTGCCTCCGATAATTTATAGTAATTCAACCTTTGAGTACGACGATGACTGGTAGATCTATTCATCAATGATTGTTAATCTCTCCGATCCAAGTTACTCACTTGTCTGTAATCGTCGAGCATGTCTTCCGATGAAGTCTCCTATGGCTCGTGCCGAGGAAGAATGCTCGGGTCCGTTAGCGCATGACCACGTGTTCCTATATATCGACAGAAGAACACCCAGCCGTGCCCAAGCATCTCCGTCACACCATTCAACCACATTGCGAAGATTGTTGACCGAGCAAGCTTCGTGCCGCCGCATGGCAATCTTTCAGATCACATTCTGCCTAACAACCCTCTATTTATAAGGCTTCTTGATATTGCACACAGCAAGACCGTAGCAAGACCGTTGGTCTGAGATTTGAACACTAATATCGTCGCAACGGCTCAAGATCTGCTTACGGCCGCCTTGAATCTGAGGCGAAGGATTGTAGAAGCGCTGCCACAGCATGTAATTCAAGATCTATGCCAGGGCAAAGATGCTTTCATAGGTCTCTCTGCTGATGGAGGCTTTGAGTTCTCTGTGGGGATGTTAGCAATCCTCGCATTGGGTGCCTGTGCACCTTTGCTGAGCACAACAATACCGGTGAGAGAACTGGCATACTATGTCGACAAAACCAGGTCCGCAATGATCCTAGCTTCGCAGCAGGGTATGCCGGCGGCGCAGGTGCTTGCAATACAATCTCAGGATAAGGGGGCCCCTATCCTTGCCATCCCTATTCGCCCTTGCAGCTCAGAGACAACAAAAGGCCAACCTACTAAGCTCTTTCCACTCTCGCAAATCTGTATCTCATCTGACCCGCCGCAAGCCCCAAGCAAGCCAGGGATCATTATATTCATGTCCGGTATGACGGCTCCACCAAAAGCCGTGGTCCTTCGCCGCTCAACAATCATCACCTCTGCTCAATCCCTAGCTGATCAGTTGGACCTCCAAGCAACTGACACCATTTTGCATCTTCCTGTGTACCATGCCACTGGGTGAATTTGTCATTCTTTCCATTTCTTCAAGCAAGTGCTCGCATCGAGCTCAAGCCAGGTGGATTCGATCCACAATGGACGTGGGATCGAATGGTGCGTGGACAATTGACGCATCTCATTAGAGATCCGACGGTCTATATACGGCTCATGCGACCCACGATCTGTCGATTGTTTCTGGAAGGACCTTCGTGGTGGTTGGCCCATCGTGCAGAGATATGGCTCAACAACCGAGACGCAGATTGCCATTAGTATGCCTCTTGACAGCTGGCAGGATGTTCCTGACGGCAGCGTCGGCAAGGCATCTATGGAGGTGGAATTAAAGATAGCAGGTTTGGTAGATGAGGGCGAAGGGGAACTGTTGGTCAAATCTCCTTATATGTTTTCCGGCTATCTGCAGATAAGAATGCAAAATGGCGGGCCCATGATAAAGAAGGCTTTTATAAGACGGGCGAAATAGCCAGGAAGCAAGGCGAGCACTATTTTATTCTGGGTCGGGCAAGCACGCATATTCTCAAATCAGGTCGGTACAAAATTTCTGCCTTCATATCGAGCGACAGATATTGGGCCTCCCGTATGTGAACGAAGCGATGGTGGTTGGCGTGCCCGACAACGAATTTGGCCAAAGGGTCGCCGCGGTTGTGACATTGCGGAAGGATTCGAGTAGCACTAGCACGAGGCCGAACTTGGATGGTTTGAGGCAGGACTTGCGGTCCGGGCTGGCAGGGTACAAGTTGCCGACTCTTCTTCGAGTGGTCGAGGGAGAACTACTAAAGAACGCCACAGGAAAGTTGGTCAAGAAGGTACTGGGACCGTTATATTTCCCTGAAAACGACCAGCAAGACGTGAACGCCCGGGTGTGGAACCCAAGACGACAAAAGAGGGCGGGACTGTGTAAAACCTAGTCACCTAGAGAGCTAGTTTCCATTAATTACTTGGGCTCTCCAATGTACTCCTAGCCTTTGTCCGGCCTCACACTGCAGAATCGTAGTACGTTGTACTAGATACTCCGTAGTCTGTAGCAAAACTTGCGGCGAGAACATAAAGTGAACTATGCTCGTTTAGTGCAGCAGTGTTTGCCGCCTTAAAACCACTCCGATGCTAGCCCGCTGGTGTAGGCTCAGATAAGACATGTCAACACGCGTTCTGTGCTCGTCCGATCTATGCAAAGGGCTTACACGCGCCCTCTCTCTCTGCGTTAATTAGCCATCGCATACAACTAGTCTACAGTGCAACATGAAGATCGCACAAGGGCGTAAACCGAAAGCTTGCGCAAACTAGAAGCGAATCAAGTGCACATATGCCCACCAAGATATGTCGGTTGGCGCTGACAGCAGGCTGAATGTCGAAATCACTTTGATGCGACCAGGCTTCGATGACCTAGTTGGAGAAAAACGGGCATCAAAAATCCAAGCGCAATGCTACACACAAGGATGATATGCGCGAAGTAAGGCTACGTCGTTCTTCTTCTTCAGCCGTACAAACGGATTTCACCAGGGGAACCCTTACGACGCAGCAGTGAATGGACACGATTCTTGCGATACGATCGATATTGGTCAAGACTTGGGCGACCTGCACATAGAAAGGCAAAGAAAGGGGGGAACGACATCGTCATATGAGCAGGCCAGATGCTCAAGTGGGGAGTCTACTTGCGCCAGGCATCCGGTATTGAATCAAGCGGACGAATTCCTAGAGGCAGGCTTGTCAAAGTGTCTACCGTCTAGCTCATGCAAGTGTCTGATTTGTTGGAGGTCTAAGTTGTTCAAACTCTTGAAGCAGCTAATTTTAGAGCCTGGTTGAAGTTTATGATGAAGACTTTGCGTGAAGGTGAGCGAGTTGGCGGATGTTGAGTGTGAGGTGAGTTGTTAATAAAAGCGGCACGACGTTCGATGAGTTGCACGTGAGCTCGAGGCAGCAATTACGGGTACTCGTCTTCACTTACCACTTTACGCGTGAATATATCGCGTTTTAGGACTAGCCCCAGGCAGAAGTCGCGCTAGGCAGTACAAGGCCTGCCTTTGATTGGTGCGTGAGTGCTCTCGATCTGGCGACATTTTTACGCCCTGGGAACTCATCATCTTCTTCAATCATCTCTTCAAGTCTTCTCATGTACAACCCCTCTGTCCTCTGGTTTTCCTCCCCAGACAAGCCGACATGGCACCTCGAGGGCGCCCGTTGAGGACTTCAGCCTCCAAAACATCGCTGTGTAAGTCACTGCCTAAAATCAATTCAATGTTAATTCTGCTAACTCTACCTTTTCAAGCCTCAAAAGTCGCCACCCCCAATGTATCGACCCCGGCATCCAGGACTCCCTCGAGACGCAGCACTAGGATTGCTAAAGTAATCGAGATCCCCGACTCGGACGCACTTGAAGAGATATTCGGTTCAGATCCAGTTGTTAAGGGCAAATTTGAAGGAGTCTACGTCCCCTCGGCCAGTGGACCTACAACTCGGCGAGGTCGAACAACCACGTCAACATCCACAGCTCCATCCTCAATCGCCGACTCACTCGAGTCCTCTAGCTATGAGACTCCTGGAACCAGTACTGCTCAGACTCCCAACACCATCAATCGACCTGCTTCCAAGTCTAAGATAGGCGCAACGGCCAGAGCGATCCAACTGAGTACCTCCAACTTTGCGCTGGGAGGCAGCAAGAAGAGAGGAAAACGCGACTTCTCTGAAATATCTACTGGATACGAGCAGGAAGACAATGATGCAAAGATTGCAGCGAGACTCCAAGCAGAGGAGTACAATACTATCCCAGATTCCGATGCGTCCGATTCCGAACCCCTCTACAAAAAACGGAAGGTCCCTGGAAAACGCTCTGGCGTTATCAGATTGTCCAACTCTTCAGACGAAGACGAAATCTCTCTTCCCAACAGAAAGAGACCAACCCTTGTTACCCGCCAGCTACCTCCTCCCAGCCGTAGTACTGGTGTTCCTCTTGATGACTCCGAGCTGTCATCCCTCGACTCAACTTTCGAAGAGGATGATGCTTCAGATTTCGATCTCCCCTCATTGTCTGTCACCCCGTCAGAGGCTACTCCGTCAGAGGTTGCTGATGACGATCTTGTTGCCGCCGCGGCTACTACTCAAATATCTACTTCTGGTACCAGAGTCAGAGGCGCTGCAAGGGGTAGACGTACGGGTAGGCGCCGACGTTTCGACCGAGAGGATGAATGGGATCCTGTGAAACGACGACAGCAACGCGAGCGTAAGAAGCTCGAGCGTTCGCATCCAGAAATCATCACCATGTGGTCCGATCTCAAAAAGATTGATCCAATCAAGCCTGTTGCCGCGAAGCAACCTGAGGCCATCAATCGCAAGCTGAAAGGCTTCCAGTTAGAGGGGCTAGATTGGATGATCAAGCAAGAGAAATCTCAGTGGAAAGGCGGTCTTCTCGGCGACGAAATGGGTATGGGAAAGACAATTCAAGCTGTCAGCTTGATCATGTCCGATTGGCCAGCCAAAGCACCAACATTGGTTATAGTGCCACCGGTTGCTCTCATGCAATGGCAGTCAGAGATTACAGACTACACGAGTGGAAGGCTAAAGGTTCTCATCTATCACGCCTCTGCCAACCCGAAGTGCAAGCTACTCACTGTCAAAGACTTGAAAAAGTACGACGTTATCATGGTCTCTTATTCCGGCCTCGAAGTCATGTACCGTAAACAGTACAAAGGCTGGAACCGCGACAACGGCATTGTGAAAGAAGACAGCATACTACACGCCATCAAATATCACCGACTCATTCTTGATGAAGCTCACAGCATAAAGTCAAGAACCGCCAGCGTTGCCAAAGCTTGCTTTGCTTTACAGGCAGACTTCAAATGGTGTCTATCAGGCACTCCTGTTCAAAACCGAATCGGAGAATTCTTCTCTCTACTCCGGTTTCTGCAGGTTATGCCCTTTGCTTGCTATTTTTGCAAGAACTGTAGTTGCCGTCAATTGCATTGGAGCCAGGATGAGCAAAAGATGTGCGTTAAGTGCAAGCACAGTGGTTTCAGCCATGTTTCAGTCTTCAACCAAGAAATCCTCAATCCAATTACTGGCGATGATACGGAGAAACGAAAAGAAGGCCTCAATAAGTTACGACTGATCACCGACCGTATCATGTTACGTCGTATGAAACGAGATCACACTTCCTCGATGGAATTGCCTCCCAAGGACGTTGTCATTCACAACGAATTCTTCGGAGAGATGGAACATGACTTCTCGCAGAGTATCATGTCCAACTCGAACCGCAAATTTGACACCTACGTCGCCCAAGGTGTCATGTTGAACAATTATGCCAACATCTTCGGTTTGATCATGCAGATGAGACAAGTCGCAAACCATCCTGATCTGATCCTCCGCAAAAATGCAGAAGGTGGTCAAAATGTTCTCGTTTGCCGGATTTGTGATGAACCCGCCGAGGAAGCAATTCGATCACGCTGCCGACATGAATTTTGTCGTCAATGTGCCAAATCCTACGTCCAATCATTCAATGGTGCGGAAGGCGATGCCGATTGTCCAGCATGCCACATTCCCCTGGTCATCGATTGGGATCAGCCAGAGATTGAACAAGACGAAGAAAATGTCAAGAAGAATTCCATCATCAATCGAATCAAGATGGACGACTGGACTTCATCCACCAAGATTGAAATGCTTGTCTATGACCTGTACAAGCTGCGAAGCAAGAAACAAACCCACAAGAGCATTGTGTTCTCTCAATTCACCTCGATGCTCCAGCTTGTCCAGTGGAGACTACAGAAATCTGGCTTCAGCACCGTCCTCCTCGATGGCAGTATGAGTCCCATTCAGAGACAGAAGTCCATAGATTACTTCATGAACAACGTCGATGTCGAGGTCTTCTTGGTGTCCCTCAAGGCTGGTGGCGTGGCTCTCAACTTGACCGAGGCGAGCAGGGTGTACATCGTTGATCCGTAAGTTTCTTTCTCCTTGCGTAATTTGACCACAATCTAGGCATCAAATGCTAACCTATCTCGCTAGGTGGTGGAATCCCGCGGCTGAATGGCAATCCGCCGATCGATGCCATCGCATTGGCCAACGTCGTCCCTGTGTCATCACTCGCCTGTGCATTGAAGACTCGGTCGAGTCGAGAATGGTCCTTCTCCAGGAGAAGAAAGCCAACATGATCAACGGCACCGTCAATAATGACCAAGTTGCGCTCGACAAATTAACACCAGAGGATATGCAGTTCTTGTTCAGAGGAACTTGAGTGTGGCTTTCCACCTTCGATGCTAAAGGACAATACTGGTCAGCCTTTTATTTGTATCAATATGCGAGCAGACAGCGGAATGGCATGGGAACGGTTTGTAAGGACAGGCGGTTCGCTACTGTTTGTATCCATCACGAATCAATGATTTGAATAGGTCTGAGCTGCTGGAAGAGAAAGCTTGCCATATTATGGCCCCATCATCGCGTATGAAATCAAAGGAGCACAGCATAGATGTGATATGCATAGATTAGAGCTTACTTTGTACTTGAATGAGACAAAAGCAGGAACAATACAATTATTGGGGGCCCTAAACTTCCCTAACTGTGACACTAATTGGCAATCCTATGACCAGTCTGGAATCTCTCTAGCTCAAGCAGTTGAGATTACAGCTAGCATATATAGTGCTTTGAGCAGAAGTGGCACAGGTGGCCCGACTGAAGTGGCTTAATCAACAAATAGAAAGACGGGATGCTTCGTTCCCACCCAGAATGTACTGAGTGGGAACTATAGGATGTTGAGCGCCAATAGTTACGAATACAGTAATAATACACCACACAGTCCGTTCGCCACCATTCCCAAGCATTCCCCTTATGCCGCCCTACAAGCTTTCCAACAAGCTCAGGTTTCGTTTTTTCTTGACTAACCCTGATGAAAAGTTGTACTCTAAACCGAAAGTAGGATGATAGGCGAGGCTGTCCTCAGATTCCTGCTGTCAGGATAAGAAATCACCCGAATTTGAAGTTAAAAAGCCAGGACATCTGACCTCAGCGCCGATTGCGACCACAGAAAGCCAAGCGGCATGGGAGACAGCACAGCTGGCATATTCGACAGTATCGACAGCCACGATCATGTTCAGCCCAGACTGCTTCTGCGCTGAGTTTCCCTTTGCTTTCTGGAACGATATCTGAGATCAGCAGGGTGAAGAACCCTGCGATGCCAGCGAAAATAAAGTACAGCTTGCCAGAAGGCAATTTGGTGTTAAGAATCGGGACCAGTTGGGCGACCAGGAAGGTTGAGAGCCAATTCAAGGCAAGGGCCCAGCTAGATGCCGCACCAACAGCTTCGGGACCGACAAGCTCGCTCGGCAGAATGAAAGGGATGGGACCAAGCCCAAAGCCGAAGCTGCAGACAAAAAGCGCAACACCAACGATGGTAAGAACTCGCTTATCCTGGGCAAGTCCCTCAGCGAGCATGATTGAAGCAGACCCCATTCCAACAATTGAGCTCAAGAGACACTTCTTGCGTCCAATCTTGTCAGCTAGCGGAGAGAAGATCAGAGTGACTAGAACATTGGCTGCGGAGACAATAATTGTAACGAGTGCAGCCTTTTTGGGCATAACTTCTCCTAAGATCGAGACGCTGTACATGACCACACTGTTGATACCGGTAAGCTGCTGGGCTATCATTGCTGCACTAACAGCAAAAACAGCTCTTCGGTACTTTGGAATCCGGATTACATCAAAAAATGATTTGGTTGGTTCTGGAGGATTTTGCGTTCCAGCTGATGGGTGAAGTAGACTCTGCTGCTCGGTATCTCCAGATATTTCCCAGTGGTCGATTTCATTGCGGATGTCAATGCCAGCACCACGGATGCGTTGAAGGGTTGTCCTTGCATTTCGAGGCTGGTTGTTCGCAGCAAGCCATGTTGGGGTTTCAGGAGCGAACAGAAGACCGAAGAAGTTGAAAGCGGCGATAAAACCTGCCGTGGCAAGGATCCACCGCCACTTTGTGTTCTTGGAGAGGAAGAATCCAAGGACCTGAGAGATGGCTATGCCAGCATTGATTTGTACCTGGGTAAAAGCACCAAAAAGACCACGTTTGTCTGGTGGGGAAATTTCAGAGACGTAAATCGGACACACAACGGTTGCTGCACCCGCCCCAAGGCCGGATATTACCCTTCCAATTGCTAGCACCCATATGTTCCCAGCAAGAGCTTCTGCAATTGGTCCAGTAGCGAGGAAAAAAGTCAACAGTCTCAAGGCAAAGAGTCGACCGTTTTTGGTGGCCACGCGGCCAATAAGGAGGGCACCGAGGAGACCTCCAATAGTGAAAAGAGACTGTATCATACCCCATTGGCCTGAATTCATGCGTATACAGTGGGGTAACTTGGACCGGGACGCATTGTCGGTGGGCAGTTTCTTGACTTCACATCGGATGACTTGTTCCGGAGCATTGAGTTCTCCCTACAAAGCATGAGTTCCGGCGGTTCAGAAGATTTTCGGGGGGACAGCAGCTTACAAGATGGTAGCCAAACTGAAGAGGGCCCAGAGTTGACACGAAGAGAAGGTAGATCAGGAAGAACGTTGGGGGCTTCCCCCGAGATTTAAGATTGTTGGGGCGAGTGACGGGCATTTTCACTGCTGCTTCAGTGGATGGGACCCTGTCGAGGGACTTATAACCACTGCTGGTTCTGGTGAGTATAGCTCGATCCATGGTTCCCTGGATGTGTGTGATGTGGCATATGGAAGAGGAATTGGCCTTGCCGGGCATGGACTTCACGACTTACCTCCTTATAGCGATCAATACAAGCCGATAGCCAAAGAGATATCGGGATGGAACAGATGTATGGGCGCGTCATGTTGCAGCACAAGTGCAGACAGGCAGCAGAATTGATATCGATCTCCATGATGTGGTTGGTGAGGAAGGTGCTGATCACGGCAGCCTCCGATGGGAAAGTGCAGTGGGAAAGAAGGAAGGAGGCATCGACAAGGCTGGATTGGTTCAGCATCGAACCTCAACTGGGGAAGGTTCAGCCTGGCCCGTCTTGGCATCTCGTACATCCCCAAAGCCTCGTACATCTCTCCCACCTCAACCACACTTCTCCCTCAACTTGACTCTCAGCACCGGCAACAAGACCAGGTGATCATCCAATATCGATAACCAGACAATTGCATATTCATTTGCCGATATTTCAGTGATCATCTTTTGCACCGGGATCTTTAATATCTCATACTGATCGACCATCCGCGGGCGATCCATCCTTGCACCCTAACCCTCTCGTTCAACAGCCTCCATCCTTCCCCAGCTAAGCCGTAGTCTCAATCCTGATAGAAGACTTTTAAGCTTTCATTTATCTGCCTCTAACCATGTTAGGGTGGCAAGCCTTGACCACGAGAAGCTCGACAGTTACTCAGTTTTCCGGCAACCGACTCTCTCAATGCTCAACATGTCGAGGCCAGGGACAAGCCTCAACATGGCCCAACAGTTAAGAAAGACCACTCAGTTGAGCCTAGTAGAAGGTGAGTTTGCGATTTTGTATTATGTTCTCCCTACGATGCTATAGTTCGAGCACCGCCCCTCCAGATTACTTGACAATCGATACAGCCATGGATCAGACGTTAAGAATATCTCATAGATGCGCTCAGAAACCTCGACAAAAAGCAACCAGGCAACAGCTACACCGCGAAGGTCAAAATAGGCCACAAATATAACATCATCGGATTTATCAGCAGTGGAACTTATGGTCGTGTCTACAAGGCTGTGGAGAAGAACCCGAAAGGTGACCTCTCAAGCCCTGTTGGAGCAACCCCTACAAAGGAATTATACGCGATCAAGAAGTATGTATCTTCAACTCCTGTCTAGTATCTCACTGACCGCCAACAGATTCAAGCCCGAAAAGGAAGGTGACAATGTACAATATACCGGCCTGTCACAATCAGCCATCAGAGAGATGTCCTTGTGCACCGAGCTGTCCCATCCTAACGTTGTCCACTTGGCGGAGATCATTCTCGAGGACAAATGTGTCTTTATGGTCTTCGAATATTGCGAACATGACTTGTTGCAGATCATCCATCATCACACCCAGCCCACCCGAAGACCCATCCCCGCAACCATGATCAAGTCCATTCTTTTCCAATTACTGAATGGCTTGTTCTATCTCCACCAGAACTGGGTGATCCATCGAGATCTAAAACCCGCCAATATTATGGTCACGTCTTCCGGGCACGTACGGATAGGTGATCTTGGTCTCGCACGGCTGTTCCACAAACCCCTGTCATCATTGTACTCTGGCGATAAGGTCGTTGTTACTATATGGTATCGTAGCCCCGACCTCCTTTTGGGTGCCCGGCATTACACCCCCGCCATTGATCTTTGGGCAGTCGGTTGCATCTTCGCCGAACTGTTGAGTCTACGACCCATCTTCAAAGGAGAAGAAACAAAAATGGACAGCAAGAAGACCGTTCCCTTCCAACGCAATCAAATGGGCAAGATCGTGGAAATTCTTGGTATGCCTCGACGGGAAAATTGGAAAGGATTAGTTGATATGCCAGAATACGCTCAGTTGCAGTCTCTCATTCTTTCACGAGGTTCTTCAGGGTTATACCCTGGTACAACATCTTCCATGAACAGAAACTCAAATGGGAACAGTGGTAGTGGACTGGAAACATGGTATAACAACTGCCTTCGGCATGCAACATATCCTTCAGACAAATCACCGGGACAACGCGGATTTCAATTACTGTCTGAGCTGTTCGAGTATGATCCCGAGCAACGCCTAACCGCAGAAAAAGCTCTCCAGCATGAATATTTCAAATTTGCAGATGAAGGCCCAAATAAAGGCAAGATCTGGGTCAGCAATAACTGCTTTGAAGGACTGGACGAAGTCTACCCACACAGAAGGGTGAGCACAGAAACGAATGATATTGGCACGGGCAGTTTACCAGGCACGAAGAGAGGTGGGCTGCCAGACGATTCTCTTCTACCGGCGGCGAAAAGACGATAGCATCCGTCTTTATACTGGACCGGCACGCGGATCGTGTATAGGGAAAATTGGGTGAATTACTAAGCACGTCACCGCCAAGTGCAACCACAAGAGCCAATAACTCTGCGTTGCTCGTTTGAAGCCGAGAGATATCAGATTGAAGATCACAATCCACGACAATGGGCCTGAATGCAGAGTATCTGGCTTTTTCAACGGTCTTTCTGAATGTGAATTGTAACAGTTACCAGTGCAACCTGATTCTGATGGTGAATTAGTCGATGCTCGTTCACAGTTAGTCTTCGACTTTCCCCTTGACGCCAATATGTGTATTTTCGCAACCCATTCGAAATGGCTCATGAGTACACAGCATCACATCATCATCAATCCCTCGCTGACACCCTCAGCTGTAAAATCTCTATGGAATTTTCATCGTAGTCACAAAGACAATTGTGCTTATGCCTGAGGAGTCTTAGCGGCCTGTTGAGGGTTGACCTTCTTTCCGTCCTTGTTGTACCGGATTCTTGGGGGAGGGGCGCGGTTGCGGCGACCTTCTCTCGATCGGACACGCACGATCTTGCCGTGGATGGCGCACGAGACGCAGTATTGCAACTTCAGGTACATCTTGGGGACGGCGTAGTCGGCGAAGACGGAGGCGTCGGAGATATCACCTATAATAATACCGTCAGACCATTTCGCGCAACAAAGACTTGATTTTTCGTGGATTCTCTTTTCTTGACAGATCGAGGTGCTATGTCTGTAGGAGCGGGGAGGGGGGAAGCGTACGAATGGCGGCGGATTCAACCATGTTTCGGATGGTGAATCTCTTGATTGCCTTATCCTTGGGAGTGCATCGAGAGCAGTTCGAGCATCGAATTGGCTTGACGTGACCACGACCCTTCTTGTTCCTCCCGCTAAAGGTGAGAAAAGAAGACGGCGTTAGTAAATTGTTTGTTTCTCAATCAATGCTTGCCTATGCAAAGCACGAAGACCAGAAATTTATCGCTTACTTGGAGGCTCGCTTCTTGACCATGATTACTGGAGGAGGCGGAGATCGAGTGACTTCTGTGAATACTGCACAGAAGTCTGCAAATCTTCGAGTGAGTATGTGAGGTGAACGAGGCGAATCTAGTTGTCGGTTGTGAGGGCTTGTGGCCGATTTCTTGAAAGGGACCCGTGTGCGCTCTGCCAAGTGTTGCAGACGCCAAGATGTTCTAACCTCGTTTGCAGGTTTTCTGTTAAAGCAGCCATCAGCTCTGCAAGTTTTCGCGTGGACAGCCGCCGCTTTACTATCAAAAGCAATTTTCTTAAAGCGGCTCATTAGAACCGAGGCTCATCTGCCAAGATTTTCGGCGATGATCGCTTGGGAATGTCGACACCCCATATGCTTGTTTTTCCCCATCAATTGATTCTACCCCTTACTAGAGAGTACTAGTAGGCAAACTAATTTTCTAGCTGTATGCTCTTTGGATTTCGATTCGTCCTCGACGATAATGATTTCGGCATTGAGATGCTTGCCCTTTGCTTAGGTTGGAATAGAGCCTCCTGTGTTCGGTCCCACAGGCCATGCCCTTTTTCATACTGAGACTGCCTCCTTGTAAACACCGCCCTACGTTGGCTGCACTGTCACGGAAAGGGGTCCTTTTGGAGACATGATGGTTGGTGATGGAGGACACGAGTCAACATCACACAACGGACTCTTGCACGCCGCCAAGGTTTACCTGATTCTCCAATGCAGCTGTACTCACCCTAGTCAAAGCCCTCTCCCTGTCCAGAGCAATCTCACCAGCCTTGGACACGGTCTTGGTCTGCCAGAGATTTGTCCAACCGGCGAAGGAAACCCATGTCTCCCTGCAAAATAGCCCTCGTGTTTCATGGGGTGCTACCGCCCTTGGCGGTAGGCTGGACCCAAACCGAATACGGGCTATGAATACTGGCAATCATGTCAATAATGCATTTCTCCCTCTTGAGGTCCGACAATGACACTTTCATTCTGCAAAGTAGGCAGCCTTTCAGTCAGCTTGTGAACTTCTGCCATGGCTTCATCAGCTGTACCATGTTCAGGCACTATCACCATCTCCAGCAGCTCTCAGGCAACAGGAGTTACCCAGTGTGAAAGTTATGACGGTGATATTCGTCTTGGGTCTGCGGTCAATGGCTCTGTGTCTCTCAATGGCATTGTGACAATCACTGGAGATCTTAGCGTTGCCTATGGCTCAGACATAGGCAGCCTGAGCGCCTCTGATCTCGTTACGATAGGTGACACATTAAGTATCAGCAATAACGATCTCTTGACCAGCCTCAATTTCCCAGCTCTCGAGAACGTCGATACAATCGACATTAATGGCGCACCAAACTTGACAGAATTCAAGTCTACAATCGGGATTTCGAACGTCAGCTCAATTCAAATCATTGAGACGGGCTTAATGGACATCGATTGGGTAAAGTCCGTGAACATTTCCAGACTTGAGGTCGAACAGAACCCTGTGTTAAGCGACATTTTCCTACCAGTTGTCAATGGCTTGGGCTCTTTCACTTTTGCTCGGAATGGACCCGCAATGAAATTATCCCTCGCCAGCCTAAGATCAGCCTACAACCTTACCTTCTCCCACGTCCAGACGATTGATCTGCTTTCTCTTGAGTCAGTCACTCATTCCCTCGGTTTCATCGCGAACGATCTCAAGACATTGTCCATTGAGAGGTTGTCTAAACTCGACGACCTCATGGTATGGAACAATACGGCCCTATCGCAGCTTGATCTTCCAAGTCTCACCAACGTTTCCGGAGATATTGTCACAAATGGAAATTCCGCCATGGAATCACTTTCGCTGCCAAATCTAGCACGAGTCCGTGGCGACATTGCCTTGAACGGAAGCTTTACAAATATCTCTATGCCGGCACTCGTTGATGTCCAAGGCAATGTCATCATTAGGAGCTCTGCTAGCTTAGACTGCTCGTCGTTAGTGCACTACGACCAGAGCGATGTGTTCAAAGCCCAGTACAATTGTACTGCGTCCGAATTGGCTGTTGCGCCACCTCCAGCTCCCGAGCCAGGTTCAGAGACAAATCGTGGAGGTGGACTTTCTAAAGGGACTATAGCTGGAATTGCAGTTGGTGTGGTGCTTGGTCTCCTCGCGCTTGCGTTGATTGTCTGGTGTGTCTGGAGAAAACGTGGAAGTGATCGCTCCACAAAGGGTCAAAGCAATGATACGAGACCTAATGCTCCTTCCGATAGCAATTTCGCAAATGGTCCATACGAAGCCGATTCTCAGGCGGTCCATCCTGCCGAGCTGCCCGCTCGATATAACAATCAAACAAGTGTCACCCACGAGAAATCTGGCTCCACTCACCTGGGCAGAGCGGAATTATATTCCGAGTATCCAGAACTACATGGACATCAGCGACCATTTGCCCACAGCACATAGCCTGGAATACGATTGGTTTCAATCTAGTCGCATTTCATCTAGCACTGCCTTTGCGTCGAGTGTATCCACAATGACCTTTCGAAAGACTTGTGTCTACTTGATTATCTCCTCCGTATCATCATGTACATCTTCAGCCGCACGGCCAGGGATTTCCTCTGATGTTAAGGCGCCGCACTGAACGCAGTCTTCGACCTTGAGATCTGATTTGATCATGTAGCTGTTTCGGATATATGCGATGGAAAAAACCACTGATAGGACTCTAGCTCTGCTTTCCCAGACCGTCTCAGAGATTTGTTGTGCACATAATCATTCTGACATCTGGGAGATTATGCCGACTACGCCGACACCGGCACAATATTGGCCGGAACAGGCCAATACTTCTGCACAAATTCAAGTGGCTCCTTCAGCCATGGTGTTTCCATGTTATGGTCCCTGTCGAAGACATGGTGACCCGTCTGCCAACTTAAATGCATTGGCACGTCTGGCTGAAGCCGTTGCAGCTTCTCCGCCCATGCTTCCGAATACTCCCACGAAACCTAGGTTAGGTCAGCGGTAATATAAATAACGTATCCATATTGATACTTACAGCTTCATCCTCCTTCGAGTGCACTAACAGAATCGGCGGCATCTTCGGGGCTGTTTCGACACTGCTCATTGGATCGATCCAAGCCCTGTCACCAGAAATATCGCAGAATTTGCCAGCCTGAATCATGGCCCGGTGGAGGTCCATCCTGGTGCCGAACTTGGCTCGAGTGCAAATTTTACCAGGCTCCAGCCCTGCCAAATGCTCCTCTATGAGTGAATAAGGAAGGGGCGGGGTCAACCTATAGTCAAGTTTGATTTCCTCTAGAGTCCTGTTCTCTGGAATGTTAAGCAGCTTCCCAAGATCAATACCTGGGTACTGTATGAAAAGAACCTTGATGGGCAACTGTGTCATGCGTAGCATCGCAGTCTGCGCCGTGTAATAACCGCCCGCACTCTCGCCGCCAACAAGCAAGTTGCGAGCATCTAGCTCAAGCCCGAGAATCGCCTGCCGGAGGACTTGTTGCGCCTCCTGCTCGACCCACTTCCAGAAAGAGCGTACATCATCGAGACCATCTGTCATCTCGTGTTCTGGCCGGAGGCGGTAGTCTGGTGTGAGCACTATGGCCCCGTGCTTGAGTGCCAACTCGAGGAAACTACCGCCCAGATCAGCATTTGAAGGTCCCACTCGGGCTAGCCTCTTCGTGGGAGCTTACAATGGTCTGAGGGAGGCATCGGCCTCTCCTTCAGTCCATCCACCACCATGGAACCTCACCAACAGAGGCCTGGGTCCTGGTGGGAGTTGCTTGGGAATGACAAAGAATGCATGGATTGGTTGGGAGTCGACGTATTTATATGCAACACGGTAAGCGTCAAATTTATGAAGGATTCTTATAGTGTTGCTCCACTGCTTTGCTGGGTCAATGGTGTAAGGCTCCATAGTTGCTGTGGCAGATAGATGACTATTCTCATTCGCAGACGAGACGTTTGAGCTGCAATCCAAATGCGAGGTGAGACACAGGAACTGCTCTTCCAACACCTGCCAGCCGAGGGCGATGTTTTATATTTAAACAGATGACCATTAATAATGTTATGGACCGCGAAAAAGACCTAGTCACAGTCTGCAGAGCAGGCGATGCCTGATCAGTAATAATGGGTGTTCCCCACGAACATACTATACGATGCGTAAGAATGAGGCACAAGGCTAGGACCCACTAGACGATCTTAGGCGAGCACCAGTTGTGTGGAACTGTCGAGTTGACTCGTCAGAAATTTCCAGTCAACCCAGCGATTCCCACCTTTTCAAGATCACTCAACCTCGAGATTATATGTACGAGTAGGTGGTCCTTGGTCTCATTGTTCTCGGAATTAGTCGCTTTATTGGAATCCTATGCGTTTCACACGATAACAAAATTCGATATTTCTCTCTGTCCCTGTCACCTTCCCATCATGTTATTGTGCTTGCTTCAGTGCGGCCGCTTCCTTTCTTTTCCATGCTATACACGTTCAAGCCTCGACCACAAATGGCAAAGACCTCGCCTGCTGTTCGAAATAGAGCTGCTACAGCTCGACTGTCTCTGCCCACGAACAGACTACCAAGACCTCGATAGTGCCATGTTTCTCCCTTACAATATCCCCGAGCTTCGGTGGACTTTCCTGTGCCGTATCTCCGGTGGGGTTTTAGGCCAAGGCACTCGCTTCCGTACCATGGTTCGTGTTGCTTCGCACACTCTGGGTATCTTGAACACTATTAAACGTGAATAAAATAAGAATTCATTGCTAATCAGCACTTGAATGCATCATCCGACATATCTTAAACGGGGAGATTCCCCGCTTCAGGGTAAAGAGTGGATGCAGTACACAAAAGCACGAGTACGTTGATATCCCCCCAATCTACCATCTCCAACTCACCTATTATTCGTCATCATCCAAGATTGCTAAGTACATCGAGTGACATAAACCAATCCATCATTGTGCTTGATTGTGCAGGTTTCACCACCTCTATCTTATGTATTGACTTTTAACGGGGCAAAAGCCGAGCACGTGTGGTAGGTATTAGTGGCAGGTATACACGGCGGAATCAATCGAGATGGCATGTGCTCTGACTATAGCGCGCCCCATGTGCACATATCACGTAATGAAATACTACTCGTAGTAGTAATGGTCGTGGATATCGATACAGGGCAGCGCTGCGTACCAGGCTTGGAAGCAGGGACATCCAATTCCTAGATTGAGTTAGCATTATTGCCAAGGCACTATGATGTCGGATCTGGAATGGCCTGGGCCTAGAGGGTGTCTAACCACGATAAGGAGGTGTGCCGAGGCACGTGCAGCCGCAGAAATCTCAAGCCATTGCGATTGGACATGGGTGCAGTACTTGTTTACAACCCGAAACCGCGCATCCCCGACAATCCGTGCGGGACCACTCATCGACTCGTTGGCGCAGCCTGGCAACCAATCCGTCAAACTTCGGACCTTTGGATTTGTTGCTTGTTTGCTCTCCTGAAAGACCAATAATCGACACGCTCTGTGTTTTGACTTGCATTCTCACCCACAGACCATCTCGGTCACGTTGCCTGCAATTCCTCAGCCTCTCCCACGATGTCGTCAAGTCAAGTCAGTGGTACCTTCAGAGGCACTCCTACGAGCAATCGTCGTGGCCCGCTGCCTTTCACGGACAGTCCATCGAGTATCCCTCGTCCGAAGTTGGATTCGGTCAACAGTCAAGCCCCGAGCGAGATGTCTGGAACTTCAACCATGTCCGCCAGTAGGCAGAAACAGAGCAAGAGGGATGAGGTAGGCCTCAAACCGAAGAAGTCGTTATCTCTTTGCCTAACAATGTTTATCAGGCCATCCGACGCAAGATGGAGGCGGATCTCAGTAAGAAGAAGCATGTCCCTTCACGAGCCCGACATACTCGCAAAGCACCACCCGGAACAGTCCTCGCTCTCAAACCTAGCCAGGCTTTGCAGATAAAACCCAACACTACCGTTGCCGAAGCCGCTCAACTGATGGCTGCAAAGAGAGAAGACTGTGTCCTGGTTACGGATGATGATGATAGAATCGCGGGTATTTTCACAGCCAAGGATCTTGCATTCCGTGTTGTTGGTGCAGGGATCAAAGCAAGCCAGATCACCATCGAGCAGATCATGACAAAGAACCCTCTCTGTGCAAGAACTGATACGAGTGCCACCGATGCCTTGGATTTGATGGTAAGGAAGGGCTTCCGCCATCTTCCAGTTATGGACGAGAATCAAGATATCTCTGGTATCCTCGACATTACAAAATGTTTCTACGAGGCAATGGAGAAATTGGAGAGAGCTTATAGCTCCTCACGCAAGCTGTACGATGCGCTGGAGGGTGTCCAGTCGGAACTTGGATCAAGTCAGCCCCAACAAATCATCCAATATGTTGAAGCTCTCAGGATGAAAATGTCTGGTCCGACCTTGGAGTCTGTTTTGAATGGTTTACCGCCCACCACCGTTTCAGTAAGAACATCGGTGAAGGAAGCGGCCCAGCTCATGAAAGAAAACCACACGACCGCTGTTTTGGTTCAGGATCAAGGATCTATTACCGGCATCTTCACAAGCAAGGATGTTGTCTTGCGTGTGATTGCGCCAGGCCTCGACCCATCAAATTGCAGTGTTGTTCGTGTTATGACACCTCATCCTGATTTTGCTCCTTCGGATATGAGCATCCAGGCAGCACTTCGCAAGATGCATGGTAAGCACCCTATAATTTATACACCGGACCACAGCTAACATCAATAGATGGTCATTATTTGAATCTTCCCGTTATGAACGAGACTGGCGAGATTGTAGGCATGGTTGATGTTCTTAAACTTACATATGCTACACTCGAACAAATTAACACGATGAACACCGGTGAAAGCGAAGGTCCAGCCTGGAATAAGTTCTGGCTGTCAATGGATAATGATACTGAGTCAATGATATCTGGTGATGGTAGTCACCGCCCTACAACGCCTGGGCACCGATCCATGTTGGAATCCGAAGCTACCCGCCCAGGTGTGGAACGAGGTGATAGTGTCATGCCACACGAATCTGCTTCCCATCATGGCGATGCGCATTCCGAAGTTCTACCATCAATTGAGGCTCCTGAGGACACACCCTTCCCTTTCAAGTTCAAAGCGCCCAGTGGCCGCGTGCACAGAATACAGGTGATTGCAAGTTTTGGTGTAACCGAGCTTGTAAGCCATGTCACTGCCAAACTTGGTGCTGAACTTGAAGCTGTCGGTGGTGAAGCCACAGTTGAGGATGGTAGACTGGGTAAGGCAGGTTATGCTTTGAGCTACATGGACGATGAGGGAGACACGGTTTCCATCACCACCGATCAGGATCTCCTAGACGCCATTCTTCTCGCACGACAAGGCAAGCGAGACAAAGTCGATTTGTTTGTGCATGACCCTTCCCAGCCGCCAATTGTCACGACCATCGACCCACGCCCACAGTTATCAAAGCCTCCCACACCACCAGAGTCGATTGCAAAGGAGGCACCGGCGACTGCACTACCCGAGAGCGAAGAAGACGACGAGGAGGAACGTGCACCGGTGAAGACAATCCGATCCAAGAGACCTCATGGCCTTACGACTGTGCAATCAACGCAAGAAGAGCAAATCATTGCGGGCGTTCCCAATGACCTTCTCCTACCAGGGGCGATTGTGACGCTTGCGGTTGTCATCATCGGTGTCTTTGCACTCGGCCGCGCCACTTCGAAATGATTGATTGATACCCACGAACGTTTTCCCTCATTCGTCCTCTCAACTCTAATCCCGACATTTTCTGGGGAGGGGATGGAATTCAAGTATTAAATATCTGAAGTTGTAATCCTTTTTTTTGAGACCTGGGGCTACATTGCTTGAGCAATGGATGCCTTCTTCGGTTCTACATATGCACGAACATCGCAGACAGCCAGACCGATATGGTACGTCGAATATAGCCTATTGAAATCTTGACTCTGTTGATAGACGTGCCGTTTGTTTCCCGTTGTTGCCCCAAAAGTTCTCGCATGAGTCTACAATCGAGATGATTATTATGCATCCACATCCTCGATTTTGATTTTTGAATATTTATTCCACGCCTGTACCGCTTTAATCTAACCACGGCTCTCATACTACATAGGTAGGTACCTTAGTTAACCATACCATCCACTCGCCACTAGAGTAGGTACATAACAAACATCGTCCATATGGTTACATCAAACTAGTCCTCCCGCCAATCTCCCTCCCGCCATCACCATTCGGCATCTCACCGTTCCTGCCGACAACGAACTCGCGATAAATAGCCGCCAAGCGCTTCCTTTCATCACCACTGATCGAGCTTCTCGTATTGGTCAAAGATTTCTCCATGTGCTTCCATTCAATAAGGACCTCTTCTTTTCCATTCCCATTTTCATCGCTGGCGTTAGCTTTCCGAGCCGCAATGTCCTCGCTCATGTTACCTGCGCGCAACGCTCCTTTTTGGCGCTTGCGCACGAGCTTCAGCTCGTCGATCTTGGCTGCGATGGCGGCCTTGGAGTCTGTCGCGGAAGTGGTTAGTGTCTTCTTCGCGCGCACATCCTCTTCCGGTGAGTAGAGGAACTGAATGAAGTCGGTTTTGTCGCTGCCGGGTCGCTTGCGCCGACGAGTTGCAGATCCGCTGGCATCAGCGGCCGCCTCTTTCGTGCCGTTGGAGAGGTTGTTCTTGCCCTTCTCGGCGGTCTTGATGTCGCCAAGGAGATCGTGGATCGCTTCTAGGTGGGCATTGTACATTAATGCTTGGAGGTCGGCACCGCTGAAGCCTTCGGTACGATGGGCCACGCTGAGGATTTTGTTCTCTACTTCTGGTGATAGATCGAGTTTTGTGCTTACGGCACGCAGGATGTCCACGCGGTCGTCCATGTTGGGCATGTCACAAAGCAGTGATTTGTCCAATCGGCCTGGACGTAGGAGCGCTGGGTCGATGAGATCCGGTCGAGACGTGGCGGCTAGAACGTAGACGCCGTCCAGACCCTCGGCGCCGTCCATCTGTGTCAGCATTTGATTGACCACTCGGTCGGTGACGCCTGTACTATCGTGCCCTCTTTTAGGGGCGATACTGTCGAATTCGTCGAAAAACAGAACACATGGTTTGGCAGCTTGTGCACGTTCGAAGAGATCTCGCACGGATTTCTCCGAGGCGCCGATGTATTTGTTAAGGATTTCGGGTCCCTTGACGGAGATGAAGTTGAGGCCGCATTCTCCCGCGACTGCAGAGGCGAGTAGCGTCTTTCCGCACCCGGGGAAGCCGTAGAGAAGGAGGCCTGAGCGGAGGCGAAGGGGAGACCGCGCGAAGATAGGTGCATACTTAGTAGGGTATAGGAGCGTCTCAAGGAGGGTGTTTCGAGTTTCTTGCAGTCCTCCAACCGCTGCAAAAGTGGTGCTTGAGTGTGTCAAGGTCACGTTGCGTAAGGATGATGGTGTGAAATTTTTCAAGGCGGCTTCGAAATCAACCTTAGTAAGTATAGGAGCAGCATCTGACGCATCATTCTCAGACAGAATTCGGGTAAGGGTCTCATTCCTTGCACGAGAAACGAGTAGGACGAGATCTGCAGGCATGTATCCGTCGGTCTTACCAGCGATATCGAGCAGATCAAGACTTGGTGACAAGCGGAACCCCTCAATTCGAGCTGACGACGATGACCTAGGCCTCGAGGAGAGGTTGGTGGGGTCCATCCAAGAATTCTCCGACATGCTCGTTGTGTCACTATCAGTTCTTGCATGGCCGTTCGTTTTCTGCGTTGAACCATCTTTAGTGAGCGAGTCGAGGATATCACGACGAATATCCTTGGCCGGAGCTTTGATAGCAATGATATCTCCAACAACATGTCCGCTTATTATAATTGAATTCAGGGCGTCTTTCGACTGAGCCGTTGCCAATAAAGCCACACCTGAATGGATACTGCAATATTGTCGAACAATGGCGCAGAGAAGCTCAGTGATCTGTCGACTACGGCCGTTATCGTTTCCAACCTGTAACTCGGTCTCAACAGGACAAATTTTGTCAAGATCATCAAGGATGACAACTGACTGACCACCCAATCTTGCACACCAAGACGCTGACATGAAGATCCTGGTTAGCGTCTCCTTGATCGTTGACACACGGATCTCGTCCGTGACCAACTTTTGGCACGAAAAGTATGTTACATTGAAAACATAATCTTCTCGAAGACGTTGAGCAATAGATTGAGCGAGAGATGTTTTCCCCGAGCCCACTCCTCCAGTCAGAAGCACTGAGGAACACAAAGTGAGATTGGACATGCACTGCTTTAAAACACTGTCCACACCCACAAGGATTGAAGTTGTAGCTGAGACATTATGGGCAAAGCCAGGAAATAGAGTCGTAAACTCGAGAGGTCTAGGGATTTCATCTTTAATGTCGAACTCACGGTCTTGTTCCTGCCCAAGAACCCACAAGAGAGACTCACTAGAACCATCTCCTTGCTCGGCGGGTCGGCGGAAGCGCAAAATGCCGCCATCGAATGAGGCAGCAGACAAAGGATCCCCAGTGGGTGGTAGCACCATACCATCCGTTATCGGCCCAGAGAGTAGACTGTTATCGGCGGCAAAGGTCAGTCTCAGCCTATCTGCCATCGCTTGTTTTGCTGCCTTGGAGTCTCCCCCAAATTTCAACCCTTCCTTCTTTTTGCTATTGCGCGGCAAGAATGGATAGAATGAGAACTTCTTGACAGAGTATCTAGGCAGTGGCGGCGAAGCTGTTTCAATCCGTACGATAACTCCGACCAGGCCATCAACTCCAAGCATATTGCACAGAGCTGACGATAATACGACATGTTGATTGTCCAGCGGATTGGCCCATGGAAGTATCTGGGCCACAATCTTTGCTGAAGGCCTTCCAACTTCGCTATTCTCTTCTTCTTTGAGCTGATTGACCTGTGTAGAGTCCAATTGTGCCCTGAGGCCCGACGGTCTTACTATTGCTACACTCGCCCACGCCGTAGCTCTCAAACTGCTTGACTCGATGACTTCTTGGCTTACCCAGACGCAGATTTTATCGCTTTCAGAGTCATCTGATGCGTCATCATAAAAAGCATTCGCGGAGTGGCGGTTAAATGCTCTGGCAAAAATCGCAGAGCGTGCAAGTGCTCTTCGGGAATTAGGTCCACGAGCATTGCTCGTTCCACTTTTACCACTGCGTCGACTAGCTGTGCTCCTGGCGTCACCCCTTGTGGATCGACTATTTTTAGGTCGAGTTTTCGGAGCTACAATGACTTCTGCGTCTGGAGCAATCTTGGCGAAGGGTGATGTGCTCGGGATGGGTGGCACCAAAGAAGTGACGATAATATTGGCGGTTGAAGTCGGAGATAAATGTAGCGTTAAAGGGTGCGTAGTCTCAGCTTGGGTCGAAGCATTGTTGTTGTAGGCTGGGTTTGGAAGCGCACGAATCTGAGAAAGCAGATTGAGCTCTAAGAATGTGGCATGCAATTCAATCACCTCCCAGTCTGCTGGGGTCAGGGGTTCAATGTTGATGCTGTGCGCGACAGGAGGATCAAGATGGATCAAAATGCCAATCTTTGAGCCCTCGGAAAGACCTAATAATTTGGCAAAAGTAGCATCAATTTCGACAATTTGGGTCTCTTGCTCACGTCCTGAGCGAGCTCGATCATTGCTGATGACGGAGGAGGGCCGAGTCCGGCTGGGCATTCCAGTCCATCCGACATAAGCAGATCGCTGAAACCCAGAGGAGTTCCCGCTTGAGACGGCGCCTGTTGAGAGCGTTTGTGACCGATACTGCAATTCCACCACGATGTTTTGAGCTGGCTGTTTTCGACATAAGTACATATGCTTTTAGGCGAAGGGCAGTTCTCACAATATTTGTATTGCTAATTAGTGCTATCAGTCCCGGGGGAAGATTGACCAGACAGTTCTTGAGGGAGACAAGTGCCACCTCGGCGCGCACAGCTGGTGCCATTCTTACGAGCCTCCCTGTGGCTCCGATGGCGGGGATGTAGAGAGCTTCGGTCAGCAGAGCAAGGAGCTTAAGCAGCGTAATGCTCTACGGAAAGGAAATGGGTTCGAGACCGCAAGCTTGCGTGAACAAGTCCCTTCAGCTCGAGCTTATGTTGAAGATCTGATCTAAAGGAAACACTGAATGACCAGAGGAAAGCTCGGAGGATGTTCAAATGTCAAGGTCACGAGTTTGTTGAGAGACAACCGTGGAGATGGGCCTCGGCTCAAATTCGAGGGTGGCAAGAGGATATGGCAGACCACAGAGCGTACATACGCAGATTGCACTTCTGTTCTAATACTTCCCTGAACACTTAACGCGTCTGTCCGACGCGAGTTGAACGCGTTCTCCCCGTAACGTGAAGATTGGCAGCCAGCCACCCCTTGTCCACAGAGATGCTTTCTTCTCTCGCAGGCTTCCCAACTTTCACCCACCTTGCCGTTTTCCTGAGCAGGCACATTCACAATGGCGCTCCTACAGCATAAAGCGCTTGCTGACTACAAGAAACAAGTCGAGGCCTTTCAGTCCTTCCTCGAGAAATTCGAGACATCCAAAACCTCACCAGATGCAGCCACCGAGGCCATTAGCGCGCTGGATCTTGACGGGGATCAGACCAGTGATGAATATGACTTCATGGATGATGTCGCCGAACGAGATGGCAATAACTCCCGACGGCGGCCAAAGCGGAAGTATCTTGATATGTTGCTAGATGTCGCCAACCGAGAGCGCCCAGATGTTCTGATAGAGCTCGACGATGTGCGAGAGGTATATGTGAAACTCCAACCAACTCCTACCACATTAACTAACGCTACAACGCAGTTCGAGGACTCTTTAGGAGCCGAATCTGATCTCCATCTCGTTGAATCAATCACGAAGAATACAAAGCACTACATCGACCTTTTCTCAGAGGCGGTGGACAAGGCAATGCCAGAACCAACCAAAGCGATCTCGTAGGTCACATAACATGGCTTCGATTGCAAGTTTTCTGATCATCATCTAGTTTCAAAGACGATATCATTGATATTATCACCGCTCAACGACAAAAACGGAACAACACAATCGTTCAGAACGCCCAAGTAGATCCTGACGTGAATCCTGCTGTCGCATCCTTCCCACCAGAATTAACGAGAAGATACACACTCTACTTCAAGCCCATCACTCCTACGGGTGCAGACATTGCGAAGAAAACACTGGCCGTGCGACAAGTTCGTGGGGAGCATTTGGGTCAATTGATCACTGTGCGTGGGATCACGACAAGAGTCTCCGACGTCAAACCAAGCGTACGCATCCAGGCTTACACGTGTGATCGATGTGGTTGTGAGATCTTTCAACCTATTGCAACGAAACAATTCACGCCGATGCAAGTCTGTCCTTCAGAGGATTGCCAGAAGAATGACACAAAAGGCCAACTGTTCCCGGCTACCCGCGCCTCCAAGTTCGTGCCATTTCAAGAAGTCAAAATACAGGAGATGGCAGATCAGGTTCCAGTTGGTCACATTCCAAGAACATTGACAGTCCATTGTAACGGACCTCTTGCGAGAAAAGTCAACCCAGGTGACATTGTTGATATTGATGGCATTTTCTTACCGACGCCTTACACAGGATTCAGAGCCATCCGGGCCGGACTTCTAACAGACACTTATCTCGAAGCCCAGCATATCACCCAACACAAGAAAGCCTATCAGAATGTGAAACTTGATCTTCGGGTTCTGCGGCGCATCGAATCTTTCAAGGCCACAGGCCACCTCTACGAATATCTGGCAAAATCGATTGCTCCTGAAATTTATGGACACTTGGATGTCAAGAAAGCACTTCTTCTTCTATTGATTGGTGGCGTCACCAAAGAGATGGGCGACGGCATGCGCATTCGTGGCGACATAAATATCTGTCTTATGGGTGACCCTGGCGTAGCGAAGTCCCAGCTTCTCAGATATATTCAAAAAGTTGCGCCACGCGCTGTCTACACCACCGGTCGAGGCTCAAGCGGAGTTGGTCTAACAGCCGCTGTAATGCGTGATCCAGTTACAGACGAGATGGTGCTTGAAGGTGGTGCGTTGGTTCTCGCAGATAACGGTATCTGCTGTATTGACGAATTCGATAAAATGGATGATGGAGACAGAACCGCCATTCACGAAGTCATGGAACAGCAAACCATCAGTATTAGCAAAGCTGGTATTACTACCACCTTAAACGCTAGAACTTCGATTCTAGCAGCGGCTAATCCTCTATACGGACGATACAATCCACGTATCTCACCTGTGGACAATATCAACCTTCCAGCCGCCCTACTGTCTCGTTTCGATGTCTTGTTCCTGATACTTGACACCCCTTCGCGGGAAGCGGACGAAGAGCTCGCCAATCACGTCTGTTACGTGCACATGAACAATGCGCACCCCGAACGCGAAGGCGAGGGCGTCACATTTGCACCAGACGAGGTACGACAATACATTGCACAAGCGAGGACCTACCGACCTAACGTCCCCAAAGGCGTGAGTGACTACATGGTAGGGGCATACGTTCGAATGCGCCAGCAGCAGAAACGGGATGAAGGAGGCAAGAAGCAGTTCACGCACACCTCGCCGCGTACGCTCCTCGGTGTCCTACGTCTTTCACAAGCGCTGGCTCGGCTGCGGTTCAGCAATGAAGTCGTCAGCGAGGATGTCGACGAGGCATTGAGACTGATCGAAGTGTCCAAGGCAAGCTTGTACCACGACTCGCGCAGCGGTGGTGATCAGACGGTGTCAAGCAGGATCTACGATCTCATCCGTGGCATGAGAGAATCAGGAGCTGCCAGCGTCGGCAGTGGTGGTGCACGAGGCGAGTTGAATCTGACCAGAGTTCGGGAATTGGTCCAGGCCAAGGGCTTCACGAGCGACCAGTTCACGAGGACGGTGGAGGAGTATGAGTTGCTGGATGTAAGTGGACAATGCTTTGAGAGTTTCTTACCACCGCGTTTTCATCCGTTGCTTCGTTGAAACGAATGCTGATGTCTCATCTCTTGCAGGTGTGGCAAGTCGCTAATAACGGCACCCGACTGGTGTGGATTGAGGCCGGTGACAGCGACGACGAGGATATGAGCGATTGAGCGATGGAACGATTGATTGACGGAGTGAGTAGTTAAGAGAAGGCCCAATGCAGCCAGCACGATGGGTTCGAATCTACGGAAATCACGGACACGGCAGTCCCTCTTCAGGGTAATGCATGGATGAGCCTTGAGAGTTCCGATCGTTTTGTTGGTCCTTCAATTCCCAAAAGGATGATATAGAGGGAGCTCAGCTAGGTAGAAGCTTGTCAGCGATATCGGTCATGCCATACAAATGCTATGCGATGCGATGCGATGCGATGCAATGAAAAGAGGGATCCAGAGTCTAGAGTCCATGGGATCTCATGCACCTGTTCCACTTTATTCGCAAAGAATCCGAACCCGCTGCCGCCTACAGTCCGAGAAATCAGTTTTCCGCGTTCGTAGAACACGCGAAGCCAATGAGAAAAGATAACACCAAATCAAATGAAATTAACTAATGACGGCACCCTGTTTCGAAAAAGAAGCAAAACTCCGATAGTATTCGTAGACGTCCTGAACGAGAGGCTCGTTAGGCACCCGTACCCAACCGGACCAGCCAACCAGTCATGCCCATCCTCGTGCAAATTCGGAGTACCTTAACTAAACAAGCATAGACGTTTTGAGTCTCTGAATAGCAAGTGCTCCATAAAAGAGGCCGGACATCGTGCTGTGCCTGGTGAATTTAAAATGTACCTTTGAGATGACGCCCCCCATTGTGAAACTCACAGCTTTCTGATTCCTTCCAGTGATGCCGAAAATGAAGCCCCAGAGAAGAGATCTCCCCCGTTGAAAGAATAATTCGTAGCGTAGCGTAGCATAGCACATCATAGCTAAATTCCATTTCGCCTCTAATAATTGCACTGGACCACGTCGGAAAAATTTCCCCCTATGGAAAGGCTTTCAGTCCCGTGTTCGCTGCAGCGGATCGTCCTCGTGTATATCCCCTTCCCGCTCAGGACTACTGGCGGTGCCACCGGTCCTCATTCGTCGATTCTGTTCCATCTGTTCGCGGAAAGCATTGCCCGTACTTGATGGTTTCAGGGACGCTGGCACGGGAACGGTTGAGAATGTATCCTGCCTTGACGTTGTTCGGGATGGATACCCTGTCTCGATGTCCAGATCGCCTCGGTTCAGGCCAGCCGTCGAGTACTCTGGCTTTGCGTGCCGGGGACCTCCTACACCACCATTGTTGGTGCCAAACTCCATTTCGTAGCGCGAGTCGTCGTCATCCTCGCCTGATACAGGTATGCGGTCATCCAGGACTTCGAGTGTTTCGCTGTCGACGAGAACCTTGCCACGAACAGGTCGTCGAATCGGAGTTCCCCACGTTCGCATAGGGTATGCACGACCCTTTTCCCACACGTGATGCACTGGCGGGAAGTACTGGCGATAGCTGGCCCATGCGACGAGGATGCCGAGTAACGACCCAAAGAGGACATCGAATGGGTGATGACGAGCATCCATGATTCTGGAGCCGGCGACACAGGAGGCTGCGAGGGTTGGTATCAGGACGACGAACGTTCGCCAAACTTCACCACGTTGATCGAGAACGTGGAGTTTTGCAGCGAGATAAAGAGACAGGTAAAAGAGGCCGGCGAAACTGCTGGATGAGTGGCCGGATGGGAATGATCGGAAACCATCTTGCATAATGTGCTCGTCTGTCTCGGTGCACAGTGCTTTGGTTGCCAGAGTAAAGACGGCTAGGGCGTCGACTTTTGCTGGGTCGGGCTTGCACCGGGCAATAATGTCAGGACGAGGCTTGCCGATAAGATTTTTGAGAGATCCAGTGATGACGAACGCAGCGCCTTGGGCGAGTAAAAGACCTAACCAGCCACAATTGAGTTCCCATAGTCGGTCCCAGAAGGTGTACTTGGTACGAGTACGTGTGGTACGGCGATGGTGTGAGAAGAGGCCATCGAGAAATAAAGTATAGACGGCAATAGCAGCTCCGGGGAAGAGACCAGAGATAACAAGGGCGAGCCATATGGGGACCCTTTCAGGGTCGGCATAGGGATACTGGAGCGATGCATTGTTGAGAGAGAAGGGTTGAGCGAAGGGGGTGACGATCTTGTCGAGAACGGCGTATAATATGGCCAAAAGACTAGAGTTGTGGTTAGGAGACGCATTGTCTGTTGCTCATCAAGTCACTTACACTATTATTAAGTAATCAATCACATATCTGTAAAACGAAGAGAATCAGAATCAGAATCAGAATCAGAATCGCATTGATGGCAGGGACAAGGCTGAAGGAAAGGTGATTTTGATAGAACGTACGAAACCAAGGCTCGGGTCGGAATTCTCCCTGGAGGTGCGAGACCTCTACCCTGAAGATCCAGACGGTTGACTAGACGATCCATTATCTGCCCGAGTTGATGGTTGATTCAACCACTGAAATGTTTAAGAGCTGGATGCCGAGAATGGATCATCTGGCAGAGCTGAGAAGTCGCAAGATGGAAGAGCCCATTGAAGGGGTGGATTTGAATTCTGGTCAGGTATGGATGAGGTTGGTTTGATGAAAGAGGTGAGTGCGAGATGGCAGTAGTGCGAGGTTCGAGGGAGTTAGCGAGATGTAAGACGAGCAAAGCGACCGGCTAGTCTTGTCCTTGTTGGGTCTTGGGTGGTCTTGGACTGTCAGAAGTGATGGACCGATGGATGGATGGATGGATGGAGTGTCGCGTGCCTGGCATAAGACAGCCTCCCTCGTTGAAACTGGAGCTGATGAAAAAGAAGTGCCATCCAGCAACCCCTGCTACCCAGCACCGGTGGCGGCAATTTGACGATTTCTTGGCTGAAGACTGAGCCACCAAAGAGGAGCCCTCGGCGCCCTTGGAAGCCCTTACAGCGGGGGGTTAGGGGAGGGGATTGGCGCAGGAGAGACGCTGTAGGGGCGGTCAGGGCGCGAAGGGCGCCCTCGGCCTCCCGTCGGGTTAAAAGGCTTCTCTTGTTTCGGGCCTGAAAGCCTCCCCAAACGTGTAGAGTACCACGTAGGATGGAATTGGCTCACGGGGATCTGGAGTCTTGGAGGCTTGGACAAAGGCCCAGAACAGTCTAGGCAGAGGGATTCGCCTGGGTTGTGAATGGAATTAGCAACAATCAGCTCCACCGGGCCTCAAACCAGATCCCAGATCATCGAGGCTGTGCAGGTTGAGTCAAGGCGAGGCAGTGGTGACTGGGTAAGTGTACTCGGTGCCCGTTTCATGTGTCTGACATTCTTCCTTGGTCAATCCTCATTCCCGGGCCTGAGTATGGATTACAGATGCTCCGTACTCGCAATTGTTCGAGGCACCAGCACCTCTGTACAGTAATACAGGACTCCGCGCTGCTTGCCAAACACAGCTGTTCTTGCGGCTCTTGCTTCTTGGCGATCCCACATGTGACCGACGAAGCCCTAACAGCCTCTTGGCTCATCCCAATGTGGAAAGCAGTTGTTGTCCTCATCGCAGCGCACACATCGCACATGTACGGAGTCCTTCATATAATGTCATTCACTGCTGATCCTCGCTGCTACTCGGTGCTTATTACGCCTTCTGCCACCGCTACGACTCAATTAGTACAGGCCAGTGCTCATCAATCAATTCATTCTACTTGACAGTCCACCCGACCACTGCTTTTTCTGTTTCTTCCTTTCATCCAAATCCTGGTGCTTCGCTTCTGATGCTACTGAGCCCACCAAGGAGTGGTGATGACACTTGATCGCACAATGCACAGTCCTCTTTAGGCGAAGTGACCTACTGTGGTTTTCAATCCGCCGAATAGACCCATGTACCATTCACCCACCTACAATCCTTCACCTTGGGTAAGTACTCCGTACTCGGGACGTCGTATGAGGGACAGCAACTGCTGCTCGTCCTCCCGGGGCCTTCCTTTCAACCTCGGGCTCCCCCCCGCTAACCACCTCCTTGCCCAATGGACTGAACGAGACGCCGATCATATGATTCTGTAGGCCGCAAGACCACTTGACGTCTTGCCCAACCTCTCCCCACCAAGTGCCACCGGAAATCCTTTTCAAGTACTTACCCGAGGATATCTACGAACTTTATCATTGTCGTTTAGCTTTCCTACCAAGACTCAAGAGGGGGCAGCACTGAATGGCCTTCAAGCTGTCTCCAAGCATTGACTATGTACCTACCCCGCGCCTCGAGTTTTGGGTCGCGTCTCTGGGTCGGCTCAATGGCCAGGTCCTGCTTGACTCGTCGATGAATGGCAATGAGTATATGAACTTGGGAAGGAATTAATTCTAGGTAGCAAAGAAAGCGTCCTCCCCACTCCCAGAACCGAGCTTCTCCCTATTTCTCCTCTGTTCCACCATTAAGATATAACATATTTGCCTGCGATACCACGGAAACATGGCAGACTACTCCAATCTCCCCGATTTCGATAGCCTCCCCAAAGTGAAGGACATGCCCCAAGGTTGCGCCTGGGGAGTCTTCGACAAGGATGGCAAGAAAGACCATCTGGGCTGCCTCAATCTCCTGAGCCCCAAAGTCGTGCAAGAAGCCTTCAAAGAAGCTCGCGATGGCGTGTCCATCTCCCTGAATTGGCCCATTGGCGCCATCAAGAAGCCCGGCTTCCTGCGCAAAGGCCTCGAGCACAAGGTCATCTCCTTCAAAGACTCTCCCTTTGACATCCATGGCTACGACGACGAACTCGAATTCAACACCCAGTGTTCTTCCCAATGGGATTCCCTAGTTCACTTCGCACATCAGCCGACCGGTCTGAACTACAATGGCACCCAGCCCGCCAGGACTGACTTGATCCAAGCATTTGGCGAGATCGACGTAGACAAAACTCTGCCCACTCTAAACCACTGGCATGATCGTGGCGGCTTGGTCGGTCGAGGTGTCCTCCTCGACTATCGCGCCTACGCTGAAGCCAAGGGAATCAAGTACGACTGTTTCTCGGCACATGCGATCTCTGTGCAGGACCTCGAAGCCGTGGCTGAGCACCAGGGGACGAAATTCAAGCATGGAGACATCGTCATCGTCCGCTCCGGCTTCACAGAAGATCTGGGCGTTGCCTCGGCTGAGGAGCAGGAACAAATGCTCGGAACCCACAAGGCCGTTGGCGTCAAGGGAAATCGCGAGAGCGCCCGATGGTTCTGGAATCACCACTTCGCCGCCGTTGCGGGTGATGCCATCGCGTTTGAAGTCCTACCGCCAACTATCGAAGATGAGGATAATAGGGATGGCACGATCGGGGAACTCGGTATGTATACTTCCCTCTATCTACCAATCGTGAAGTTCCTGGTCGAAGAGTGGACATTTGCTGACTGTAATCCACCCTTTGGGGGAAACAGTGCTGCATCAATATTTCCTGTCGCTGTTTGGACTCAATATCGGTGAGCTGTGGGATCTGAAGGCTCTGGGAGCACATTGCAAGAAAGTCGGCCGTTATGAGTTCTTGCTCACCAGCGTACCGCTCAACGTTCCCGGTGGTGTTGGCAGCCCCCCGAACGCCCTAGCAATCTTCTAGACTGTCTTCATGTCGGCTTTTGCGTGCATGACGGGATGCAGGGCTGTGGTCAAGCTGACTTGTGGAGCTTGGATTCATATCAGAATCGCATTGTTGCTGTTGGAGGAAAGGAAGTCTCGCATGAGGCTAGGCCACACGGGTTGGTTCGCCCATACCAAAACCTGGTTATCATTGAAACCCAAAGGACGAGGGTAATCGGCTTGTCTGAAGCAGCGTGGCCACTACCTATCCCATCCACTGCAGCTACAGGTACCTAAGTCAAGAAATCGCCAAACAAAAACACATCGGAAAATGGAGTGTTTGTCCCTGGTTTTCTATGATCAGAACGCGCCGTCAATGTCAAGTGCAGCCAGGTATGGTATGTTGTAGAACTTTATTCCATTTGAATTTATATTTTGATGTCCCGTTCTCCTTTGCATCTTTGGTTGAAGCACCTCGCTATGCAGAAACTGTCATTCGTCTCTTCCGATGTCCAGGTGAACGGGTGAGTCTCCACGCCCGAGAGAGTCATCTCGGAGATGTTGGTCAAGGAGGCCCACTAGTGTTCTTTCTCTTCATTCCATGATCGGCCAGAGCCACCGGTCAGTCCGCCATTATCGTCGGGACAGACAGCTCAGACAAAAGGTCAGCCCACCGTCACATGATTTCGTTCACCCATCGTTACAACCCCTTGGATCTCTCTGCGGTCAAGTTGAGCTCAATCGTACCTCTCCGGCGCGGGAATGGGAAACCAAGCTCAGACACGCTGGACTGTAGTCGATCAGTCAATACTGAGACTGCGTCGAGCCTTCATTCTTCTCCACCAAATCGCCCACCCCCAAGCTCCGGCCAACCTTGACCTTGACCATCTTCTCCTTCTTCCCATCGCCCTCGCCATTAACCGCACCATCCTTTCCACCTAGACTGCCCACCGCCTCCCCCTCATCGTCATCATCTTTCTCGGGCACATCCTTGATCTGAAAGCGCCTCAAATCCATCTTCATGGCATACGCATCCTCGCCGTCGGCGTAGTACTTGCTCTCGACCTTCTCGACCTCGAAGCCGAGGGTGTCACGGTACAGATGCAGGGCGGCGACGTTGGACATGCGTACGTGCAGGCTCACGTAGTTGGCGTTGAAGACCTCGGCCATCGCGCGCTGGCTCATGCGCATAAGCTTCTCTGCGATGCCTAGACGGCGGTGTGTTCGCATCACCGACAGCGAAGTGATATGCCCGTGCTGCACGCCGTCCGGTGGGTCTTCCTCCATCTTTGCGAGCACGTACCCAACAACTTTGGGGTAGGCGCTGGGTTTAGACCCCGGTCCGCGCACGACGGCGACGAAGGAGAGTTGCGGCCATGTCAGGGCGTGGTACAGGTAGTATTTCAGGAAGTAGTTCTCCGGGAGGTTGGTGAGGTTGCATTGTTGGATAGACGGGAGGAGCGAGATGTGTGACGGGAACGACGAGATGGGGAGTATGTCGACCATTCTGAGAGGTCTTGTCGACGGATAGGAAGTCCGCAATTGGTGTGAAGATGAGTTCGCTGGTAGATCAATGCCGGTGAGGGTCGAATTGGACGAATATTGTGCAGTGCTGGTGCCCGCAGGCCCGGCGTATCTTCGGGGGGTTTGTTTTCAAATGACGTATATTTAATGCACACAGCCTCACGCGACTTTCATTGAGCTATTTCCCTTTTTCCCTTTCTTCCTGAGTTCCTCTGTATTTACTGTAATGAATCCATTCATGCTATCGACATCTTCATGCCACCGTTAGCACAAATAATACTTCCTGTAGTCCACCCACTCTCTTCTGAGCAGAGCATTCCTATGACACCTGCAATTTCATCCGTAAATCCAGGTCTCTTCCCACCCATGCCCTTGGTCACAATATCGTCATACTCCTGAGGATCCCCGCCCGCTCGCGCTCGTGTGGCATCGTCACCGGTATAGTTCATTAAAGGAGCAGCATCCACATATTTCTGGTTGGTCTTCCAAAACTTCTCGCCGGCCTCAGAATACATGTCACCCCATACTGGACCTGGGTTGACTGCATTGACGGTGGCATTTTCCGCCAGTTCTCGTGCCCAAACTCGAGTCATGCCCTCGAGTGCGGCCTTGGTTCCCGCATATATAGACTGCGATTCACAGCCAAATGCAGCCGACACACTCGACACATTGACAATCCTACCGGACCTATCCTTCGGTAGATGGGGTTGAAATGCCTGGACCAGCAGCAAAGGAGCTAAGACATTCACATTGTATTGTCGGTGAAATTGCGTCTCTTCAATTGGGCCTAGATCAGGGTCGTTCAGCAATTTGTTGCCAGCGATACCTGCATTATTGATGATGATGTCCACCTGGAACGACCCAGTGCGGGGGTGAGAGAAATGGTTTTGGGCGGTGGAGAGGATATGAGGCACGCTCCGTGTTGGATCTGCGAGATCGGCCTGGACTGGGACGGCGAGGATATCGTGCTGGCTGGAAAGTTTTCCGCAGAGATCTATGGTTGGTTCCGTAGAAGAGTCGGAGGTGTAGACCAGGAGCAAATTACACCCTTTGGCAGCCAGATTGCGGGCTGTTGCTGCACCGATGCCTAGAACACGTTAGAAGAGGTCGGAGGCCCTACCATGTCACGTAATGCATTGTACCTCTTGATCCTCCGGTAACTATGCCCAACTTGCCCTCGTGTGGGCGGTATGCTACGTCGCGCGGCACGTTGGTAGACGAGAATGTTCTTCTGCTAGAGGAAGGTCGCTGTGCCATGTTGAGTAGCAATGACAGAAAGTAGAGAAGGTCCTCCTAGATCTTAGGGCACAAGGGAAGAACGATACCTAGGTAGGTAGGCAGTATATATTTGCAACAGTGATTTCGGTGTTATTTAGACCGACATGGCGGCATGGCCACGCATGTTCCTGTCAATGGCTTTTGGTGGTGAAACCTCGACCGCGGGGAATATTTGATGCGGAGTTAAGCACGTGCATGCACCATCCCAGTGGAAGGAGCGATATCCAAAAAGTAAAAGGGAAAGTGGCCGCTGAGTCGTGACAACTTTCGATATTTAATAGTTATTGTGTAGGCCACCACCAACACCATCGCTTCTTTCTGATCTCTCTCCATTCCGTTGTGCCGTGCCCCGTGCTGTTGATGTTTCCCCTCGTCTCCACTGGCCGCTCATGGACTTTCTCAAGTCTGCGGTCGCCTCCGCCATCGCCAAATCCAGTTCCTTCCCAGTAACCATCGGCGACAGGATAGACCTCTCGGATTCCATCTGGGCTTTGCATAATGGAGTCAAAAAGGTACACAGTCACCCTGTTCTGTCTCCGCTTCCCTCTGCTGACTCCGCACCACGCTCTAGGATGACAACTCCCCCTGTTGTCTCTTCACCTTTGACATCAATGCGAACAAGGCTCGATTACCTTTAGCGAAGAATGCCGCTCGAAGACTGCGGACATTACGCCATCCTGGAGTTATCAAGGTCATAGATGTGGTTGAAAATGAAACACATATCTACATTATCACCGAAAAGCTCACTCCACTGAACTGGCATGTGAAGCGCAAGAGTCTCAGCGAAGAGACCATTAAATGGGGCTTGTACACAGTGTCCTCGACTCTCAAATTCATCAACAATGACGCTTCCTCTGTTCACGGCTCTGTCCGAGTCTCTTCCGTCTTTACCAGCGAAAGTGGAGAGTGGAAATTGGGAGGGTTCGAGCTTCTGAGTTCCATGAATGAGGACGATGCAATAATATACACCTACGGAACTCTTGTGCCTGATTCAAACCGTTACGCCCCTCCAGAAGTGGCAAATGGCGGCTGGTCTGCCATCAAGAAGAATCCTCTGGGTGCGCCGGATGCCTACGGGCTGGGTATTCTTATATATGAAGCCTTCAATGGCTCCTTCGTGGGGATTGATCAGCTACCCCATGCGCGAAGTATACCCGCAAATATGACTCAATCCTACAAACGACTTGTCAATGCCAATCCAAAACTCAGACTTAATTCAGGCCAGTTTTTGGACCAGGGAAAGAAGGCCGGCGGCTTCTTCGAGACACCCCTCATCCACATTACAGAAGGTGCTGATAGTCTTGGCTTGAAGAACGAGGAGGAACGAGATGAATTCCTAGGTGAACTTGACAGTCTTACTGATGATTTCCCTGAAGATTTCTTTAGGCTGAAAATCTTACCCGAACTGTTGAAGTCGGTTGAATTTGGAGGTGGTGGGCCAAGTGTCTTTGGTGCCATCATGAAAATCGGCCTCAAGATGTCTGACGATGAATTCGAGTCCAGGCTGGCTCCTCTCGTTATTCGTCTCTTCAGCAGTCCTGATCGAGCCATGCGAGTCTGTCTACTTGACAATCTGCCAATCATGGTGGATCGAATCTCTCAAAAAGATATTAACGGCAGAGTCTGGCCTCTCATGACAACAGGTTTCACAGATACCGCTCCTGTCGTGAGGGAACAGACTGTGAAAGCAGTATTATCGGTCATTTCAAAACTCTCCGACCGTGTGATCAATGGAGAGTTGCTTCGCTTCCTTGCCAAAACTGCCAATGACGAACAAGCGGGGATTCGGACAAATACAACCATCTGCTTAGGAAAAATTGCTAGGAATCTTGGTGTTGGCTCAAGAGCCAAGGTCCTGATGGCTGCATTTTCCCGCTCCCTCAGAGATCCTTTTGTTCATGCCCGTAACGCTGCCTTACTAGCCCTGAGCGCCACCGCGGATGTCTTCACGGAAGAAGATTGTGCCACTAAGGTCCTCCCTGTGGTGTGCATTGCCTTGGTCGACAAGGAAAAGATGGTTAGAGACCAAGCAACTAAGTGCCTTGATATTTATCTTCAAAGAGTACGGAAGTATGTCTCAAATATGCCCGACACTGCTCTTCCACCAGAACCTGTTTCTGGTGCTCCTGGACCAGCCGCCACTGCTAGGATGGGAAATCAAAGTGATAGCGGTTGGGCCGGGTGGGCCATATCATCTTTCACCAACAAGATGACCGCAGCAAGGGGTGATATGGTACCCTCGACAACAGCAAATGGTTCCTCGTTGTCACATACGCAATCACTCCCGGCATCTGGTCGCACCACTCCTATAATCAGCGTCGCTCATGAGACAGCCTCTGCAAACCCATCGCGACCCACCATCTCACAAACCCCGAGAACTTCCACGTCACAGCTTTCCGAACCGCAGGGCATGTTTGAAGATGACACGCTGGATGCTTGGGGAACTGTCGACGATGATGGTGATAATTTTTTCGATGCTTCGTCTGCCACTCCAAAACGTAGTGAAGTTACTCCAGCCCCTGCAGCTGTTGCCTTTGATGACGGTGGCGAACCGGATTTTGCAGGCTGGTTGGCAGCACAATCCAAATCTAAGACACAGAAATCGTTACCAAAGGGTTTGTCAAAGCCCCCTGGTACCTCCGCAAGCAAGTTAAATGTAAGACCAACGGGCCCAGCTAGAAGTGCCTCTGCAGGTCCTCCAAACGCCGCCAGCGCTTTCAAGAGACCGACTGTGCCTGCTTCGAGAACAACGTCTAATGCAACGGCCAAGAAGGAGGTCAAGAAGGAATTACCAAATCCAAAAGAGCCAGACGTCAACGATGATGACTGGGGCGATGCTTGGGATTGAGAGAACTGTTCAGATTTCAATCAGTTCGCAGCCGAGAAGTCGCAGCCGAGTATAAGTCGCGCCTCATGGCCGCAGAGGACGTCGAATAGTGCCTGGGAAACGTCCCGCTTCACACTCCTACGTCAAGCCTCAGCCGTTGGATTGGGGAAGTTTTGAAGGGTAGGTGGTTGAACACTCGAAACGTCAATCGACGCTCATACTTGCTACCAACGTCTCTCCCGTCCTCTGACGAGTTTGATGACCTGAGTGATTGTGATCATCAACAACGCCGGTGCAAGCGAACCATGGTATTGCCTGCTTACTTGCTGCTACAAACGCACCTTTTCCATTGAGTCATGATTAATGTCACAGGCGGCTGCTTTCATTCGATGAGTCTTCTGTTCGATTTTGACACATCCAGCAATGTCTTCCAATCACATAACCAATGATGCAGACACCGCTTTTGCCGATCCATCCACACGCCCACCAACGAGTCATTCTACAGTTGCGTCGGAAGCCACACTGGTGAGATGACAGATTCGGACGATCGTATTGCACGCTACTTGGAGACAACACACCAGAGCGATCTGAATGAGAAGATCCTTATTGAACCCGAATCTATCTCCCCATTGTCAAGTAAATCTCGGATTGAAGACGCACCCTATGAGGTTTACACAGCCTTAGAAGCGGCTCGGGCAGACTGGAAGAAACGAGAAGTTCGTATTGACCAGCAAATCTGAAATTGGATTCTATCGCGATGGAAATCCTTAATCAGCACGCTGATCTGACAAAAGAAAACACAGGTTTTAGTCGCGGAAGCAGTTGCATCCGCCAAGGCCGAGATTGACAAGATCATCATAATGAACGATGCCTGGAAGCAGGGCAAATTGTCACCACCGATAGCGAAATGCAGACAACACAAATGGAAGAATTCACCGAAGGAGACGCACAGCCATGGGAGCACTTCTGCACGTCTAGCGACAGGCAGCAACGTACCCTCTGCTAGCCTACTAATCTCACAGGCGGGAGGTTCGAGATTAGAGGTTTACGTACCGCCTTATCGATTGCGATCGCCTCAAGAGAACGAAATGATTAGTCAAAGCATGATCTCCGACCTTCCACAGCCTCATCGAAAACCTGAAGTTGACTCGAGTGTTGTCCGTGTGCGATCTCCTTTGCCAGACCATGGGCATGGAGGGCTTGGAACGGGAGGAGACACTATCTTCTCGGCACAGGAGGAAGAGGCTCATGTTCGAATGCTTGCGTGGGAAAACTGGGCCTTCCGAAATATTCTCATGTATCGCTTCGGCCTCAGCCGACATGATATCAACCTTGCTTTGGATGTTGAGATGCAGAGACTGGCGACAGGTGACAGAAGTCGTTACGAGGCTAGCTGAGGGAGGGGGGAAATACAGGTGGCAAGTTGCTGGGTTATGAAGTTTGTTGTAGGAGTAGACCAAATTACCTCTCTCTCCTTAATATTCTCGAAGCATGGTTTCTACCAGTACTGACAGCGTGCTCTATGCCATTATGAATCAAGTGTCTCATTCGCTTTTAGACATCATAGGCTAGCTTCATCAAGGTGCATCCACGATCTCAGTCCCTTCGGACTTCGCTAGGCAAGTTACTTCAGCCGGCCATCAACAACCATCTGCCTCATAACCTCAATCGTCTTCTCGACCGCCATCTTCCCAATCTTCCACTCCTGCACCTTCCGCTTCTCCAGGCCGTCGGCATCCAACTCCGGATGCAACCACTCAAACGCATATGTCATGTACAGCTCGCCATTTGCACCTTCGCTGACGATGTTCTGCACTTTGGAGCCGTCGTGCTGGTGGAACTCAACCTTCATGGGCTTGAAGGCGATGCACCGCTCCTGCACCCGTCGGTTGCCTTCGCGGAACACCACTTCGCGCATGGTCACCGGCTGCCCGTGTTCGGTCTCAGACTCGCTGAGCACGTCGGTCGAGATGATGGCCCCGCCCACGAACTCTTCGCCCGCCCTGATTTTCCTCTCGAGCCCCGCCCAGACTTGGGCGTAGGTCAGGACGGGCGTGACGGAGCCCGGGTTGATCGGCGCGGTGTAGGCGATGTTGTTTGCTGGTGTCGGTGCCATGATTGTTGGTGAGACGGGTTCCTGGTGTGTAGTTGGTGGAAGCGTTTGTTGAGGTAGGGTAGATAGACTCGGTCGATCCCTCTTATTTTCTGGGTGCTCCTGCCTCTTTCAAATTTGCGGAGATACTTATGTGTTGTAGAGACCTGATCACAGGCTTTTTCCACACGAGCCAAGCTCCGTTGAGATGTATCGATACAAACGCGCAAATTAGGTTCACTGACGCGAAGGAAAGAAGTTGTGCGCCAGATATTCACCCTTTAATATTCAAGGCCAAATAGCCCGATCAGGTGAGATGCTGATTCCCGTGAGATCTGTGTCTCTTCGCTGGTTGGTAGTGCAGGATCCAATTACAGCTGGTGGTTAATGGTTGTCAGTGGTGGCATGTTCATGAACGGACACGAGATCCCTGCCGCCTGGCTCTGTTGGGAAGCTGGATAAGGGCCGGGCGGTTGCTTCCCATCGGCACGTCGGGGCTTCCATTTGAATCTAGACGGCACGTGAAGATGGAACACATTAGGATTTGTAGGCACCCTGGAGGGGTTGCGGGGTGGGTGACTGAGTGTGTTCGGCCCAAATTTGAACATCCCGTGCGGGTGGCTTACGTACACCCTGACTAATAAACACGGAACTTCCCCTGGTCACGTGGCGCACCACATAAACGACGTCACCAGAGAGAATTGCTACATATGACCGCACAGCTCGACGATCTTGCTCAAACAATAGAGTCAGTATGACTATGCCGCATCCTAATAGGATGACCGGATCAACAGTGTTCACCAATCTTGACGATCCAACGGCTCGCCTTTAGCGTGTTTCTGCCTGGAGATCCCAGGGCACCCAGGCACCCGCCAGGGTGTGGGCCACCACCCTGTGTCAGCAACCCAGACTCCCAGAGCGCCACACCTTGCAAAAAATACGCTCTGACCAATCACAGCTCGACTTGTGCTCGGACTGGGTCCGGTCCTGAGACTTCCTCCAGCTTGGTTGAAGGTGCATACTCCAGAAAGCGATGGATCTAGCTTGTTCAGGGTACTCGTATCCGGACAGTCTCAGAGAGTTCGTTCAGAATTCATATGTATATCATCGGGCGTCGCAGCTACCCCGCGGTCCTTTCCTTGTTGGAAGAGCGTGAACCTGGTTCTGTCCTTCTAATTACCGGCCATGACTGCACCCATCATGATCGAGGACATCACGACTCAGGACAAGCCTAAACGTACTCGTAAATCGCATAACAAGGTTCGAACGGGCTGCCAGACTTGCAAGTATGAGCGACCGTTGCACTGAGAGAGATCGCAAGGACCAATTGGCTGACTTTGATATTCAGGATCCGCCGGAAGAAATGTGGTGAAGAAAAGCCATTCTGCCTTCGATGCACGAGCACAGGTCGCAAATGTGATGGCTATCCATCACTATCACCCCCCGCGACTTCTTCATCTGAAAACTCACCTGATAGCTTTCCGGAACCGGGCGCAAAAAGACTCAAAGCCCACAGTACCGTTGCCATCCCGAAACAGCAAAGTCATAGCCAGAGCAGCGATGGACAGCTAAAAAGGATCTGGAGGAGCCCTTCATCTGTCCGCTTCGACGATGATGGGGAGTTCTACTGCTTTGACTTCTTCCGGTCTCGCACTGGTCCAGAGTTCGCCGCTTATTTCGATAGCTCGATCTGGAGGTCCTACACCGTCCGAGCCTGTCTACAGTATCCCGCTGTTCTCGCCGTCGCTGCCGCGGTCGGTGCTGCCCACCGGCGGTTTGAGTTGGGTATTTCGCGGGAGGCATTCGAGTTTTGCGATATTTCCGACAAGCTTTACCAGCGAGCCATCAAGAAATTATCACAGGATATGGCCTCCAATATTCCCAACTCCGCAGAGATCAACATGATCGCCATGAAACTCATGGCCGTATTTGACACTTTCCAGGGTGACATGGATCGCGCTCAAGCCCATATGACGGCTGGCTTGAAGGGCCTTCTGAACAGAAATTTCAAAACGACTTACACCGACACACAGTATCGGACTGTGGATCTAAATTACGAATCCTTGAGGAGGCTGTTCCTCAAAATCGAGCTCGAGTCGGTTCGCCTTTTTGGTAGCGCGTGTGAGATCCTCAGTGATCCTGACGACTGGACGCCGCAAGACGAAATTGACCACAGCAACCCCTTTACAGACTCTTGCATGACACCTCCAACGCCTTTCCACATTCCGGACCCAGTCCCCTACCCAATCCCACGAGCCTTTAACTCTCTCCACCAAGCCCGCAATGTGCTTTTCACTGAAGCGACATGGATTTGGCACACCTGGGGTCTTCTCGAACAAGGCCTCCTCTCTGGTTCCGGCTTCCGGCGGCAACAGATCCATATCTCTCGCCTCCTCCAGTGGTCCATGGCGTATGCCGAATATACGAAGTTGGACGTCACACAACGACGAGCCCAGGATAAACACGCTGCGCAGTTACTGAAAACATATCGCGAGGCGGCCTACTTGCTCCTATTAACCCAGATGGCATTCCACGAACCGGACACCGGCGCCCCCATCGTACCCCTTTGCGACCCTCCTGAAACATGCGACTGCCATCGGTCGTGTCGGACGTACGCCGAGCGACGCGAAGCGCTCAACGCGCATTTCGCTCGCCTGCTCGTGCTCTCCGAGAGCATTTTCAACGCCTCTTCGTTCTTCGTGTACGAGGAGCACGCCTTAAGCGTCGATTCGGGCATTGGACCACCACTGTACGTCGGTAATTCCAATTGCCGCTCCACCAAAGTCCGGCACCAGGTGACCAACCTCCTCGAGAAGTCTGAGATCCAGCACCGTATCTGGGACACGCTGGGCGTCTACTCCATAGCAGAGAGAGTGTCTAGTATTGAGGAGCACGCCGTCGTCAGCTGTGGTGCTGTTCCGGCCTCACTCCAACCGAAGTGGGTTGATATCACCCTCTTCCTCGACGAGAGGCGTGTTCTCTTGAGGTATTGTACCCCTGACAGGGAAGGTATAGGTGGCAAGATTCGTGGCACGGGACTCGTCATTGATGAATTTGGTCAGGGAAGTGGCAGTGGCGGCCTTGTCTGGACACAGCAGTGGATTGCCTTTTGAGTACTTATTGGACCGGAAAGTGAGGCTTCATTATTCGAGGGACAGTCCTTGGGAGTACAACCATCCGGAACAGGGAAAAATGGGGCAGGTGTTATGGGATTCTTATACACAGGCATCAAGGGTCAAAAATGGCAAAACGAAGACATGCGACTATAACTTGAGGTTGGGAATATGGGTCCTTGAAACTGGCTTCAATCATTGGACACACATCAGTTGAAATTTCCAAAGCCTTTCAATTCAAAGCGTGAGCTCTTGCGATTGAAAATCGGGAACAAACACGAGAGCCGACGGGTCGCATTTGCCGACTTACAGGCGTTTGTCTGTTACGAATAGGGCTCTTTTGCAGTTCTTCGATCCTTGCACAGAAGCTTGAAAGGAGTCGGGATTCCCAAGATTGGAGCCCTTTCGCCTACAAACCAAGCCGGGCCAGAGGCCAATCAGACTGATCTGGTCTCAGCATGGTGATAACACTTGGTGTGGTGGAGAAGGCTTTCCGCGAAAGTCCATCTAGGGATTCTGTTCTACGTGTCTTGACGCCTGGAACCGGCAGTACTGGGGGGGTTGAATACGGGGAAACGACAATCCTAGGCAATGCTCAGATTTGTTGCACCATCCTCTGTTTGCATAGATGAGAGAACCTGGTGAGGCCGGGCTGGTCATTGCCGTTGTGCTAGGTTGAATCCCAGAAAAGAGGGCAAGTCGAACGGACTTGAGTGGTCAAGATACTGCGTACGAGTACTGGAAAATCATTATGTGCCTCTGGCTTTAGACCCTGTTGACCTGTCCACCATTCAGACCTCCGAGCCAACTCAATATCAGCGCCATAAATACTTCGGCTGGGAGCTCTCTACTAGATAATTGCAAGACGAGAAAGAAAGCTGATATGATTGTCGCCACGGAAGTCAAGAAGCGAGCTGCAGATGTATGTAACCGAGTCCACCGTGCCCCCATATTTACGAGTACGAGTACAAGGTCACGATTCTCGCCATCAGACAGAGCAACGCCTGAGCTGGATCACACCATCCAAGGGTAGAATGTACAATCTTGGAATTGCCAAGGCCACGTGTCGGGATACAGTGTTTCAATTGGCTTGTTTTGGACGACTTCGGAAGGGATTCTGCTCGATTCGGTCAAGACTCCAGAGATATCGAAAACCTTGCCTCACGCACTTGGTATGTGATTATTGGTGACCCTGGGATCTTGAGCTGCAGCTCAGAGATACCTCGAGCCTAAGCGAAAAGTAGCATGCCTGAACCACCAATCACGACACAAAACTGAGGCCCTCCAGCTGCTTCGCCTTCAACGGAGTAGAATCTGCTCATCATGGAAGAGGCAATGTGTCGTGTGCTCAATTACTCGCAATGGCAAGACATAAACATCTCCTCAGATTCAAATCTCTCACCAGGAAAACAGTGAAATTTCTCGAAATTCTCGACCTCTCATGCTCCATCCCATGCAATCTTGAGCCCAAGCTTTCTGCTCGGAGCCACCTTCAGGGACTCAAGCTCGAAATCTGGGAAACGTGCCTCGATCAACCATAACTATTGGCTAATTGGACGTCGGGTTCTGAAAATTCAGCTTCTGAGCCAGAGGAGAGGCGCAATCCAAGCACTTGGCGGAATTCTTGGCTAGGAAGCGGACATCTTGGCCTCGGCGCGAGGAGCATCAGATACTACCCAGAGCTGGCATTGATGTTGCAAGATTCGAGTTCCGAACTACTCGTATGGGTCTTTGACGAGTTCAGAGATGGCAAGTACTGCCCAGGCCTATAGCACACGGCCGTCGAGAGCAAAAGCAATACCCAACCGCCCCGCTTACCATGTCCCAGGGATGGATCCGTCCTGAAAATCGTCCTCGGTGGTGGCCGTGGGCGTTGGGCGAAATACGGGATCCGCCCTCTTTCGCCATAGGTATATAACACGGTCCCTCGGTCAACCTCAGTCTATTCCTTCTTACCTAGCGTTTGCAAGGGTCTGCCTCTGTTCGTCATTCCCAAGCCTCTCGTGAAGGCTTACTTAGATCACCATGCCTCCAGCAATCACCGCCAGATATGACTGGATTCTTGCCATCTCCAGCATAGCATTCGTCTTCAGTGCTTTTGGCAATGGTGCAAATGATGTTGCCAATTCCTACGCCACATCAGTGGCCGCCCGCACCCTTACCATGCCTCAGGTCGGCTTTCTCGCCATGATCACTGAATTCGTTGGTGCCGTTGGGTTGGGTGCGCGTGTCACCAACACCATCAAGAATGGAATTATAAGCATTGATAGGTTTCAGGGCGAACCAGGAGCTCTGATGTTGGCCATGGGTTGTACTGAAGTCGGTTCCGCTACCTGGCTCATGGCTGCCACTAGCTTGGGCTTCCCAGTCTCTACCACTCAGACAGTTGTTGGAGCTCTCATTGGCGCTGGATTTGCTTCTCAATCGCCCATTAAGTGGGCTTGGTCGTCGGGCAGTGTAACACAAGTCGCGGCTTCTTGGGGTATCGCACCTCTTCTCGCAGCCTGCTTTTCGGCGCTCATTTTCGGTACTGTCAAGTATTCGGTGCTTGAACGAAAGGATTCTTTCAAATGGGCGATGAGACTCATTCCCTTTTACTTTGCAACTACGGCTGCTATTCTCGCGCTATTCATTGTTGTCGAGGCCCCTACTGCGCCATCACTAGAGGAGTTCGGTGGTGGAAAGGCTGCCGGAATCATCCTTGGGGTTTGGGCCGGCATACTAGGAATTTCCTATATCTTCTTTATGCCATACTTCGAACGGCGCCTTATTAAGGAGGACTCTCGTGTCAAGTTCTACCACATCCCACTTGGGCCGCTCTTGCGTAAAGAGAATCCACCTCTATACTTCCCTGCAAAGGAGAGTCGGTGTGTGGTTGACTACTATGAAGATCCATATGCCGTGGCTGAATCATCATCATCCGTCAATTCTCTCAAGGAACAGAAGCAATCGACTGGTGATGAGGTACGCAGTGCTCCAGACTCGGCCAGTGTTGAAAAGGGCCTTGCCACTGAAAAGGTTCAGCCTAGTGCTCCTGTAAGGAGACCACTTACACCACATGAACGATTCCTGGATCCCGTCAGGCATCTCTCCTGGACCAACCCCCAAAGGTGGTGGGGTTATTTCAAGTTCGGACTTCTTCAGGGCGTCACGCGTGATTGTGTCAGTCACGACTCAGTCAAACTTCGAGAAATTCACGCCCGAGCGGCCAAGTATGATGTGCGAGTTGAACATCTCTGGACATACTGCCAAGTTGCAAGTGCTATATTGATGTCCATTGCTCATGGCAGTAATGATGTTGCAAATGCTGTTGGTCCATGGGCTGCCGTCTATCACACCTACTTAAATGGCGAGGTTTCAACGAAATCCCCTACCCCGGTCTGGTTCCTTGTTATCGCTGGTTTTCTCTTGGGAGCTGGTTTCTGGGTGAGTTTTCCTCTTTCCGTTCTTATTTATGTTAAATACATTTGCGCATGCACGCTTATCCTCCTCATCTTTGCTTGAACGATGGAGTCCACAGAACCCTGCTAACGATCGCTCCTAGTTCTATGGATACAACATCATCCGTGCCTTGGGCAACAAGATCACCCAGATGTCTCCAACCCGAGGATTCAGCGTGGAGCTCGGAGCTGCCGTCACGGTCTTGTTAGCCTCCCGACTCGCACTTCCAGTCAGCACTACCCAGTGTTTGACAGGCGCGACAATGGGCGTTGCTCTAATGAATTATGATCTCGGGGCCGTCAACTGGTCACAGCTAGCATTTATTTTCATGGGCTGGGTCCTCACTCTGCCATGCGCTGGCTTGATATCGGGGTTGTTATGTCTTATGGCGTTGAACACCCCTCATTTTTGAAGTGAGAGACACAGGAGCGATGGTGTTGGGAATTTTACTTGGGACGTCTCAGATGAGGACGATAGCTTAAGGCTATTTCGGTCGGAGTCAATAGCATTTTGCTCGGGGTCGCAGCAAGCGGCGTTCAAAGATAACTTTAAAGACAACATGACATTGACGCGGACGAAAGCCACGGTGATCAATCTATGAAATAGCTATATCCAGACCTACTTTTAATATGCTGTCGAAGGCAATGTCAAGGGGTTAACATACCCAACAAGGTGCCAAAATACGTGCCCTCAAGATGACGTCATCCGGTGCCACCCAGTCTACCTTGACACTCCTCCATATAGATCATCAGTCATGAACCAATTTGTGTTATGCTTGTATATCAGGTTATTCATGCTAGATATACTGAACTGACGATGGTCGCTGATTATTCTGAGGATACATGAATCATTTAATGCCCGAGACATGATGGATCCAATGTACTTCGCAGACAGCGAGGTCCGTTTTCGACCAACAACAAAAGATGTCAATGCACATGTCCTTTGTCTCTGATTCCACGTTTCAACTGTTTTTGGCCTTGGGTCTCTGGGATCACATTTTAATCGCCACGAAAGGTAAGTTGTGCTGGAGTCTCGAACATACTTCGTTGCACTCCGCCAGTGATCTTTTTGCACTCGACTGTCGATGCTCAAGAGTTGCCCATCATAATGCCATCCGCACTTCGTTTCCGGCCTCTGCAGCATCGCAACTCGATCACCTCGATACCAAGGACACCCAAATCTCCCTGGGGTGCATACACCGGCGAGGTTGTCCCGTATGGGCCTCACCGTCCTGGTCGGTTCCAGAGAACGAAAGCCACTCTCCTAGTCGCAGTGCTCCTGGCCACGTTACTCGGCGGTGCCTCATGGTTCTACCCCCAGCTCTTGATTCTTCCAGGAGCCACGGTCAATCACACAAGGCCTTCCTTGTCGCGATTGTGGCGGCCATCACCTTCCTCTTCCTCTACCCCGTCGTCCAATGCGGAACGATTCGTACCTTCATTCCCATTGTATGAAATGACCTTCCAAGACAACTATATATTCCAGCGCAAGGGGAAGGCCGCTGATCGGGCTTGGGAGACAATGTTCCCCCACGGCGGCGGCAGTGTTGCGATCAAGAACCCCCGGGAGTACGGGCTACCGCCCAGTTTCGCTGCTCCCGATGATTCAGGGAAAGCGTCAGGTACCGAGGTCTACGAGGTCTCGGTCATAAGGCAACTAGGCTGTCTGGTGAGTACACATCGACGGGTCTTCCCTACCTCTCCCAGCGCCTGACTCTCTGCTAACTTTGGCGTCTTGCGAGACCCTTCTCCGTCGGATCCTCATCGACTATGAAGACAATGTGCCTTCGCAAGTGCAGACCCAAGCTCATGCATTCCATTGCCTCGACCACGGTTCGCTCGTCCCGCCTGATTTCTTGGGTTTAGCTAATTGATGTTTCTAAGTCCGACAGGCCATCCTCTGCGCCTCAGACACGAGTCTCGAAGCGATCAGTGAAAGGGAAAGTGGGCTTCAGTACCCGGACGTAATGAGTAATTCGGAAGGTAGCACTCCTGGGTTTAAGTCGGCGCGCCATACCTGCAAAAATTGGTCCGAGGTGAGGGCTTGGATAGAGCTTAACCGTCCTGATGATAGGTAGCGACGTAAGGATGCGGGAAAATCAAGACGTGGGGATCTGAATAGACCCAGCTGGGAATGCCAGGGTTAAAAAACATGTAGAGAAAAGTGCCAGTCTCTTGAGGTGTTATGAAGCGATTACGGTCGTGGCAATCACGAGAACCCATCTTTTGAGGCTCTATGTTCGCCTTTTGCATTAATGAGAAACATCACCGTAGCTTTTGTCGGATGATCCTGAGTATTGAATGCAGTAATGAAAGTGAGGTATTACATCGGTGGCGAAGGATGAGTAGCACAGGCGTCGTAAGTAGCAAGCACGAACGCACACACGCACACACGTGACGCCCACAAAAATTGCGGTATATAGCCGCTCTAAAAAGACAAATTTAAACTTCCTCATGAAAGGCTCGAACCCCAGGTAAATATAAATGCTCGAAAAACTGCCAAAAAAACTTTTAGCACTCTTTGAAAAGCGTGTCATCCTTAGTGCAGGGGCCATGCTAATCTTCTCTGTATCGTTTCAAATTGACCAAATGTTGCAAAGCAACATCAGAATATTTGATACTCAAAAATATATAGTTACTAATAAGGTCACGTGGACAGTAGCTAGGAATGTCCCCTGCAGCTGCCTAAGTCCCCAGCGAATAACTAGATTGCTACAGCGATTACTCTCAAGACACCTACCAACTCTCGACTTCATACTCCGTACTCCGTATAGGGTCGCGACTATGGCATGGCCAATACGAGCAGTGACATCTGGATCCAATCAACCTACTGGTTGCTGCATCAAGCAACCCTCCGAGCCTGTTGATATCAGTGGTCCTTCACATTGCACCCAATGCCGGGCACTACTTGAGGCTGTGTTTCATGATCCTACTCGCGGACCTCAGGCCCATTCGCAGCATGCGGCTGCAGTCCTCAGCCTCAAAATGCACAAACTCTTTCTCAGCCTGATTGTAACAGTCTTCTTCAGTTGTCCACGCTATGCAGTGTGCTTTGAATATCCTGAACTGTTCCCGCTTGGCTATCACCTCTTCCGATCGCCATAGCTCCTGATGAGCTTCAAGTCAAACATCATCGACGTTGACTACGTCATGACATCAATGCCATGCCACCAGCGCCGCCCCTCCTAGTCGAACGATCTCAAACCCAGCAAGCCTAACGCCATGGCCACATTGATCGATGGCAGCTTTAACCCCCGAAAACGGCCGCGCCTCTCGCACGCTGACTACACTGTAGCCTGTGTATGCCCGCTCGCCGTCGAACTCGCCCCGCTCCGTGCCATGCTCGATACTATTCATGAGGATTTACCAGCCCAACGCAACCACAATGCCTATGTTCTTGGGGAAGTTGGAAAACATAACGTGGTCCTAGTGGTCTTGTCTGGCATCGGGAACAACCATTCAGGGATTGCTGCGACTCAAGTCTTAAACGACTTTCCCTCCATACGCTTCGTCCTTCTGGTGGGCATCGGAGGAGGAGTCCCGAGCGCCGGCTTCCAAAGGATGGATAGCGTACGACTGGGTGATGTTGTGGTCAGCCAGCCCACAGATACATCGGGTGGTGTCATCCAATTTGACCGAGGAAAGCTTCACGACGGCGATTTCTTCGAACGAACCGGATGTCTGAATAAGCCTCCCGCTTTTTTGACTGCTACTGTCGAAAAGCTAAAGGCGAAGCATTGGCAAGAAGGAAATCAGATCCGAGAGCTCATTGCGGATATGCTGTCTCGTAATCAACATATGAACATGGCTTACACCTTCCCTGGCTCAGAACAAGATCAGCTTTTTGAGTCGGGGTACTACCACACAGGGGGTGAACACTGCCAGCAATGCGATGTTACAAGAGTAAGACATCGCGAAGAACGCGTGAACTCTTTATTGAATGTCCATTACGGCGCGATTGGCTCCTCCAACTCTGTAATCAAGAGTGCCATGGAACGAGACAGTTTGAGAAAGTCATACAACATTCTCTGTGTCGAAATGGAGGCCGCCGGGCTCATGGATGCCTTTGATTCCTGCCTCGTCATCCGGGGTATATGTGACTATGCTGACTCACATAAGAATGCACAGTGGCAGCCATTCGCCGCTGCAGCGGCTGCAGCATATGCAAAGGAATTTCTGCTGACCATTCCGGCCCAACAGCAGAGTGACGCACATATGCCCACCATGCTCTCTGAACACAATCGCGATCTTTCTCATGCCTTCCAAAGGGATGATAACACTTTCCAACAGCAACCAGATAGTTTTTCCGTTGACGGGGCTACGTATAAAAGGCTTCTCGATTCCCTAACCTTCCAACGTATGAACTCGCGTCTTCTAAATATCAGTCGCGCTCTATCTCAGACATGCCAGTGGATTTTTGAAGATGAGACGTTCAAGACATGGATCGCTCGCCATAAAAGTAACGATCACCACGGATTTCTCTGGATCAAATCGAAGGCTGGATCCGGGAAGTCAACAATCATGGCGGAGATCCTGAACACCCTCAAACGAACACACTCGAAAAATGTCATTCTCTCCTACTTCTTCAACGCACAAGCTCCAGGCTACCTAGAAAAGTCAAGCATCGGGATGTACCGCTCTCTAGTACATCAACTTCTTCGGACCTGTCAATCTACTCATCAGCACTTCGTAGAACTTTTTTCTACCAAAGTGCAGGGTGATAACGTTGATGAATGGTCGGCAGTGGAGCTGCAAGGATTCCTGACGCATATCATCGAGAAAGTTGGAGGTCAGCCGATAGACATCTTGATTGATGCACTCGACGAAGGAGACGATAGCGACGTACGCCAAATGGTTGCCTTCTTAGAAGACCTGAGCACGAGGGCAGTCAACCATAGCACCTTGCTGAGGGTATGCCTCTCTAGTCGACATTACCCGCACATCAGTATCCGCCAAGGACTTTACATTGCCCTTGAACATCAAGACGGACATAGAGAAGATATCGAGCTGTTTGTTCAGCATACACTTCGTAGTGACGGAGAAGGCAAGATGGACCGGCTAAGAGAAAAGGTCTGCCAAAAAGCGTCGTCTGTATTTTTGTGGGTTGTGCTGGTTGTGCCGATGCTGAACCAACTATATGATCGTAGTCAGTTCATGGAGATGGAGAAACGCCTTGATGAGATTCCGGATACGTTGGATGGGCTCTTTGCTCAGATCCTGGCAAGGAATTCCGAAGACATCGGAATTTCTATCCTGTTGCTGCAGTGGGTACTTTTCGCAAGACGTCCTCTAAGTCCCATTGAGCTTTACTCTGCAACTCAGTTGGGGTCAGCGTCCGCATCCCTGGCAGAAACGGACGTTTTGCATGGTGATTCATTGAATCGATACCTCCTCAATTGCTCCCGTGGGCTTACCGAAATCACAAAAGCCAACCCTCCTGTGGTGCAATTCATTCATGAGTCGGTACGAGACTTCCTCATCAAGAAAAATGGCCTGGCAAAACGCGATCCGACTCTTTCCGAGAATTTCGAAGGTGTCAGTAACGAGCATCTAAGCAAAGCATGCTTACGCTATTTTGACCAATGTCTCCCACCACATCAAGGTTACGAGAGGCGAGGAGTTCCGTTTTGGAAAGGACGCATACCATCATTTCAAAAAACCTTTCCATTCGCAAAATACGCAGTCACTTATATGTTTTCTCACGCAAACATTGCTGAAGCCATGGGCATTAGCCATCTCCAACTCGTGAGACGATTCCAAAATAATAACACTGGAAATCTCCTTACATGGGTTCAGTATTGGAACATCTTTGAACAATTCCAAATACGAAGATATACTGCGGATGTCCATCTGCTCTACATCCTGTCTGAGAACAACTTACTTCATCTAAGCAAATTGTTACTCAAAGACAGGGTTGATGTGAATGTTGTCGGGCAGCGCTATGGGAATGCATTACAAGCAGCTTGCGCTGCAGGTCATGTTGAGATGGTCAAGCTCCTTCTTGAAAACGGCGCAGACGTTGATGTTGTGAGTGGAGAGCACAAACACGCCCTGTTTGCAGCGATACATAAAAAGCAAGATTCGGTCGCAAAGTTACTAGGACGCATTGGTGTCTCACCGCCAATCAAACTACTTGTGGAACGGCTTCGCACTGCTGTCCGCCAGAGTAACTGGCCTACAGTTGAGGTTCTCCTCGCCACCGGGACTTCAGTGAACCTAAAAGACATGAAAATAGATGGAGAGCCTCTTCTTTATAGAGCAGTAGAGGAAGGTGAAACGAGTGTCGCTGAATTACTTATTCAAAGAGGGGCCGACGTGAATTCCTACGGTGGTAAATATGGCTTTGCTCTACAAGCCGCAGCAGTTCGGGGCGATCATCAGCTGTCACGAATATTAATCGAGAATGGAGCGAACGTTAATAATGGTGGAGGCTACTATAGTAACGCTCTATACGCCGCAAATGTTCAGCACGCTTATCAGCCGTCACAAAGGCTAATTAAGAATGAGGTGGACGTCAATGCCTCTGAAGGTGGCTGGGGCAACGCTCTACAAGCTGCAGTAGCTCGGGGCGATTATCAGCTATCGCGATTCTTACTTGAGAACGGAGCGAACATCAACGCTTGTCGAGGCTACTATGGCACCGCTCTACAAGCTGCAGTAGCTATAGGCGAGCATCAACTATCACGATTCCTACTCGAGAACGGAGCGAACATCAACGCCTCTGGAGGCTACTATGGCACCGCTCTACATGCTGCAGTGGCTCTGGGCGATCATCAACTATCACGATTCCTACTCGAGAACGGAGCGAACATTGACGCTTCTGGGACCTACTATGGCACTGCTCTACAAGCCGCAGTGGTTCAGGGCGATCATCAACTATCACAAATACTAATCGAGAACGGGGCGAACATCAACGCCTCTGGAGCCTACTGTGGCACCGCTTTACAAGCCGCAGTGGTTCAGGGCGATTATCAGCTGTCACGAATATTAATCGAGAACGGAGCGAACGTTAATAGCTTTAAAGAGCAATATCTGAATGCCCTACAGTCAGCGATACAAAGTAGGCAAGAGAAGAGGGCAATGCTATTAATTGAGAGCGGAGCGACGTATCTTAATGCTCTACGGTCAGCGTTAAAAAGTAGGCAGGACGAGAATAAATTGCGACTAATTGCAGGGGGAGCGGACGTTGACGTCGACGTCGATGTGGACTTCTTTGCCACTACTCTGGACGCATTTGAAGCACTGGGCTTTGATCATATAAATCGAGAATGCAACAAACATCAACGCGATTACATCACATCTTGACAGCACTCTTGTAGCGGCAGCAAGAGGAGGTAAAATAAGTATCGTACGACTACGACTCAAGACAGGCGCAAATGACAATGGCCGTGATGGTAGGGGTATCTGCGCGCTATATGAAGCTACGGTGAACGGGCGCGCGGAAACTGCAAGACTCAGGAATGGTGATTCTAAGACGCAACGGTAAGGCATGGTCGAGTGGGTTTGAAACGGCTATTACTTGAGAAAGGGGCACGTGGGAAATCTCTGTCACTCCATCTTGAATGTTAGAGTGTCACCATTGGCGCTTTGGGCATCGTAGAGGAGGATCGGCGCGCAAGGCTGTGTGACCCCTTTATGTATGGACCCTTGACATTGCATTTGGCCTCCTCAGCATCCGTTCAACCATAAAAATGACTCACTAGCACCACCTCAGAGTCGCCTGACTGACTCTAGTATGCTTCAAAACGCACCCACAGCTTCCTGGACAATTCCCGTGAGCTTTGGTGTTTCAGCACATGATTTTCTCCTTGTTATCCTTCTGGTGGAAGACCTCATCCACGTCGCTGGCTTGATCTGCATTAATGCTATGAACTTCGGAAAACCGGCCTTCCCTGTAGGCCGACTAGTTACGATATGGACAGCCTCGTCGCGCCCCCTACATCTTCCCTCTTATACGCCAGCAGCGTCGTCATCGTCTTCATCCTTGCGACGATACCCTGATCCTTCGGATGGCTACCGACGTTGAACAACCTTAAGTATTCCTCCTCATATTTCCATTCGAACAATAGCCACTCCGCATACTCTTTGCCGCCGGGTCACGCACCCTCAACGCCCAGATCCTCGCAGACCCAATAGGTGAGCTGATACCGCTGATGTTTAATACCATAATGTGCGTGGGCTGAGCGGATGTTATCGTCGTGCATCTAGCATCAATGATCCGCGACGTGCCTCCTATCATCGACTCCTTGTTCAGCCAGTAGTCTCTTGGAACTCCAGTCTTGCATGTAACTCGGCTTTCCTGGCCGCGGCGTAGTCCAGGAATAGGGGCTGAGGGGCACAACATCCACGTTGTTGACAAGGCCGTTGTTCAGGCCACCAGGATGGACCTCGCGTGGCTAGTGGCGGAGATATGGCATTTGGAAGCCTTTCCGCGTACATCAAGCGTTCGTCGAGACAGCCGTTCTCGCTATAGACGAACCGTTGGTTTGAATCATAGACAAACAACTACGGTATTTTCCGCCTGGCCCCTTTCCATAGGCCACGTCTGCAGTTGTAGGGACGCGGTCGTTGCGGCTGTGGGTCGTGTGCAGGCGACACTGCATGTATCGGTGAAACTCCAGCCCTCGACCCCAGAGGCTTTCTTGCCGGAGAAGGTGATGGGCTTATTGAAGAAGAGCACCATTGTGCATCCGAAGGAGCTTCTCAATTGCAGAAGCCTGTCCTTCCGGTCAAAGGTTGTACAAAAATGCACATTCTGCACCGTTGCGATGCGTCATACCATTTGAAGTCCGACGCTGCCAACCACTTAAGCCAAGGTGCTAGGTTGGGCTCGATTTCCTTCTCACATAGACAAGTGGCTCATCGCCCCGACGCACTCCCTGCGAAATCACCACTCACGAAAACGACCAGCACAGCAGCATAGGCGGCACACGAGCCAAACACCTCCGCTTTTCTGGCATTCGTGATCAGCGCGACGGTGATGGCAAACAACGTCGTGAACATTGCGATCAACCCAAGTGTCATGCCCGGCCGAGAAGACGACACATTGTACAGGATATAGATGGGTAGGAACAACAGGAGTGCCGATAGTAGCGTAGAGAGCAGGAATGTGGTGGTGTTGACATAGTGCAGCGAGTAGTGTGTCAATTGGGGCGAGTTCAAGTGGGAAAGGTGTGATGAAGTCGGCAGAGTCTGTGGCCTGGTGCGGAAGAGTCGCGAGCAGTGTGTCTTGAGGAAATAAGTGAGAAGGTCGGGGTCCGGGTTGGCAACTAGGGATACGTGATCGGACGAGGACCTCTGGGACTCGGAGATGGTCTGGGGTAAGGGGTACAGCCTTGCACCGGCGCCCATGATTGCCGAGTCGGTCGTTGGTTGACCGCCACCGGTCTGGGAGCCTGGTATATGGCTGTGGAAGTTCTTGGATAGAGCGGTCATGATTTGCTTCGACGGTGGTCCTAGAGACAGAAGGGTTGACTCTTGGATCAGGGTTTCTCCTGGATTGTTCGTCAATCCCAGGACTTTGTGACACACAGTTGAAGGACTTACGGTATTCCCTCAAAGTGCGTCGGATTTGCATAGCAAGATCCATCCGTTTCCTCCAGCGGCCATCATTAGACCCATTGGCGCCACTCTCCTTGAATGCTTGCCAGCTTCGAGCGTTCCTCCGTACATGATATGATAGATCTGAAGTCATGTCGTCCAGCTTCGAACCGTCAATGGCGTCTTCCAGGTCATATTGATCCTGCAAGGCTTCAAGCTCTGCGAGCTCCGCTTCATAATACAGGCGATCGCGTGCCCCAAGGGGGCCGAAGCGTCTGTAGACTTCGGTGCTGTGGTCGGCATCGCTGGCGATGACATGGGCCAGAGATCCAAAGCCGGTCAAGATGTTGCGAACGTTGTGGTAACCGGGTTGTGCAGATGCCATTACGTGCCAGGTGAGAGCAGTCTCAGTCTTCCCTCTTCTAGTTCAATAGACTCCAGCCCTGGGGCTCGATACGCCCTTGATGGAACAGGCTGGGCTTTGCGACGACAGAGGTCGACGAAGCTGAGGCATCGCTGATCGCTTCTGTTATATTTGCCAGAACCTTGGTCCTCTCATGTATGAAGTTTCTGTACGTCCTCGCGCTGCACGTTGTCCCACTAGCGATTCAATATCCAATTGGGGGGCCAGACGTGCTCAGAGCGTCTTTGCACAGCCACGCTCTAAGCTCTTGAAGGCGATCTTCGACACTTTCGTCCGTTCCGTCTTGGTTTCAATAAGGTCGTTGAGAAAGCAGTCTGTTGGCGTTTCGAATGGCCATAGCCCTAGGCTTTTTCTCAGCCTTACTAGTGCACCACACCTACTTCATCACCGCTTTCATCTTCGTTGATATTTAAGTCCAACATTCTACAAGCACCGCAACGACGTTAGCCTTTCCAATGGTCTGCGGGCTCAATGTCGAACACCGATTCAGGTGCACTCTGTAATAGCCCCTCTTCCTCTCCCAATACACCACCTAACATATACTCGAGTACACCCAACGTACACAGCCTTCATGCTGAAGCGATTTCTCACAAGCCATCTCCTGTCACTCGAGCCTTATTGGAGGAGTTAGATTTGATGTTGATTCAGTCCAACATTAATCTCCGAGTTGACATTAATTATGACCATGATCTACATTTCACGCCTGTGTCAGGTCAGAAGGGAGAGAAGAAAAGGTCGGGAGCCGTACATTGCTGGCAAAGTCGTGCATATGAGCTCCTAGCACACGCGTGTAACTTCCCAACAAGGGGTACCAAATGCCAACACACAGGCCTAGCGATCTCGAAAGACTCCGGTTCAGGACTCAAGACTTTATTCACCTCCCTCTACGAACTTCTAATAATCTTGGTTCCGGATAGAGAGCATGACCAGATTTCGCAATTTCGAGACATCCCGCAACTCATCCAAGAGGCCGAACTTGGGCTTCTGGATGTGGTGCACCTGGGTCGACTGATATGCAAGCTACTCCTAATACACTGCGCACCGATGCGCGACGCATCTATTCAGGAGATAGACACGAGATTCAGAGAGGAGAATGAGGACTCAACGGCTTACACCGCCGGCATCAACCAAGTGCTTGCCATTTTAGAAGCAGTGAAGCTGGATGTCACCAATCATCAAATTCGCACTTTGAGGTACTCTCTTGTCCAAGATACCACATCCGATGGCCCACGCTTCCCACATATCCAAGCTTGCACAAAGCAGGTGCAAGTAGCTCGCCGTCAGCGGCAGCAGCATGGCAGCCTTCCTTACAACACGAAGCGACTGCCACGCGAACGGTCCTTTCTCCCAATGATCATCAATGGAAATTGTTTCGAGGCGCTTCCAGACACAAGGTCTTCATCCAACATGATGACCGAGGCTGTCGCGAACGCCCTGGGCATCTCAATCGACCGAGCGGAATCAAGGCGACACTCATTCAAAAATGCCTGTGGCGAATTGTTCCATTCGGTGGGTGAGGCAACTACGCAAGTTTCCTTCCCAGGAGAGGGTGCTCAGGAATGCCGATTCGCAGTGTTGCGCACCTGCGCGGCACCCTTGATCATGGGTGACCCCTTCCTGAGAACGACCGAGACTTTGACCAAGTTCCGCCATCGCCTGAAGAAAGCCACCACGTCGGCAACGAGGAGGGCTTGGCAGGTGTGCTACATGAGCGTGCCCAGTCAGCGTCTCGAATGTTACCTTGACTCCATGAGCGTGCAAGCTGACCCAGACACAGGCTCCGACATGGACCTAATATCCTTAGCATACGCGACGCAAAGCGGCTGGAAGATCAATCCCTTACCACCTGAGATAGGGCCCATTGAATTGGCTAATGGAACCAGAAAGACCCTCTCGGGATATGTGCATGTTCCTTTCACCATTGGTGGATACTCATCATACAACACATTCTATGTTCTGGACGGCCTTGTCTGCGACGTGATTCTCGGCGACGAGACCCTCGACGAGCTCGACGCATTTAATCAGTATGCAGCTTACTTCGTGGAGCTCGAAGCCAACATGGTTGAGCCGAATCACTGCCACAACATCAATTGGGCGGAAGAAAGGATAAGGCGTACGGAACAAATCCTCAACGGCGTCTATCCATCCCCACATCATCCAACCTCATCGACACTGCCGCAGCAACAGCAGATTCCCAAACGTAGCTCCTGGAGACAACGCCTCTCAGCCCTGGTCGCCCGCCAGTCGCCCGCCGAGGACGCGCAAGCATGGGACTCGGCGTTCATGAGCGCGCTAGAAATCCTGGACAACGTCGAGGTGAACGACCGTGACCAAGCCGAACAGCAGATGTCACGCCTCAGCGGGGACACGCTGGACCGCGCAAAGGACACGAACAGAGCCCGTCAGCAGAAACATGCCGAGCGAACGACAGCAATCAAAGCGGCTCGTGATCGTTTCTTCGGTGTGCCTGCTCCTCTTTGATACCTTGCGGTGTCGGTCCATGGGCGGAAAATCGGGTTTTATGGGGCCGGCGGTTTCTGCAAGTTTCCTCGACGATGCGAATTTCCGTATGCGATGCATCCCTTGCCGACCTAGGATGGTCAGATCCTGACGAGAGGTGGATAGGTAGGAATATCCGGATTCTTGGCGGGCGGTATGGTGAATCCGAGCCTGCTGATATGCGTTGCAGATACTCCCTTCTATACAGGTTGACTTGAGCGCCTTGGACATCCAAGGTAGATAAAATACAATCTGCAGTAGTAATTCCCTTTACAAATTTTTTTAAACAAAGGCAGAGCCCCCTGTCCCTTGCTTTCTATTTATTTTCCTTGAAAGTCGCGGTCATTCTTGAAGCCAGCCAGCCAGCCAGTTGGACGCGCCATACCACGACCAGAACTGGCATGTCGGGTGCTCTGGTCCAAAGAACACGTCAAAAACTGTTGCCTTACTCTGTAATACCTTTGACTGAGCCACGGGAGCTTGACTCTGGGAATCGGCAGTACAGACGTACGAATTCACCCATTGTCTTGAGTTTCCAAAGGGAGGGGACCTACGAATTTATTTCCTTGATATAATTGATTCTAATTTTGCCATGACAACTAATTCATACTACCTTACAAAGTCTCGGCCTTATCATCTTAAGCATTCCATGCTGCTACCCATATAGAGCGTGTTTGTCAACATACAAACAGTCCTGAAACCTAACCCATCATCTGTCATCGTGTACCCTTGTCCCTCAACTAGCTACTGTACACCTGCTCAAGAGCAACAAATACATGTGATTTGCATAGCTGTGAAGAGAGCGTGGGACAGTGTGTCGTATTTATGCCCTTTACACATTGGTATATTCTGCCGCATAGTGATTTCAATCAAAGATGGATATCATGGTAACGGCTAGCCTCCACCCACTTCGCAATTCATCAACGCCTGTTCGCTGGAGGAATCCAGCAGGATATCTTTTGGTCAAAGCACGGACAGCCCAGTCAATCCTGCTTGATGAGCATGTTCTCACTGACACCGAAATGAGGAAGTGCTTGAGCGAACGGGTTTCTAGTAACCACAAATGGGTCATCGGTTTGAGTTGGTGTTGGGAACAACCCGAGAAAATTCTCAAATGCCGGCTCTGTAGCGAGACCAATACCGTGCGAGTCACGTAGAGGGGAGCGCCACGACAAGGGGTTTGCAGTGTGGATGCCAAGTCTCGCTGACGGTAGAATAGATGGCATGATATTCTCCTTGTGTTGGGCGTCATGATAAAATTCGGAGTTTTCACGCTGGAAGTGAGGCTGAGTAGAGTATGGGTTAGGACAGTGCAACGCGCTTTGGTGCTGTGGTTGAAGCCATAGTGCGGTGCTCGCAGATAGGCGAGGACGCGAATTCTCTGAGTGCAAATTGCTGTCTTCAGCCATAGATCCATTCCCATTATAGGTAGGACTTCCGTCCGTGAAGATCTTGAAGGTGGCAGGGCGTCTGCCGTTGACCATAGAAGACATTCTCGGGTTGGGATCCATCTCTTCATCCTCGCCTGGGAGAAAGCGAACCCCAAGGCTGTATGATTCGATGGTGGACGAACTTGGTAGGTATGGAAGTGATGGAAGTTCATTGCCGCTTCGCTCCATATCCGTCATAGAATCTTCGGTTTTGAGTTTGCGTTTCACCAGGCGAGGAGCATTGGGATTTTTCGCTGCCAAGGGTGGCCGCTTACGAGACCGGGTCTGCTTTGATTTCGGGATGGGAGTTTCGCCCTCGATGAGACTGCTGGCATCTTCAAGGTCGTCAATGTGTCGTGCTCTCTTCAGTTCACCAGTGGGAGTGTATACGGCCTCGAATGGCTGAACCATTGTAGCAAGGCGTTCCATCTTTCTCAACACGGAACCGTCTTTCTTCTGGTTTCTCTTTCTTCTCATGGCAGAGGTTGCAGCATCGAAAAGAGCCATGCCTGGCCAAACGGTGCCCTTCAACTTGGCATGTTCTGGTGTCGCAAGGTCCTGGGGATCCAACTCAGCGGGGCAATCTGCCTCGGAGGAAAGCGGAGGATCTGAGGCTAGAGCACGTTTGACGGCGGGTGCAGGTCTGGTGTGTCGATGCTTGCGTCTGAAACATGAAGTCAGTTTGGTCAGACACGGTATGAAAATGGGGCACAGGCCTTGGACGCTTGACTGGAGTGAAATCCTGGTCACTATCACCATCATGCTGCTTTCTGGTTCGTCGGGCTCGATTTCTTAGGGGTCTTGGTTGACCACGAGCAGCTGTTCTGGCAGGAGGGGCTTGAACATGAGGAGGTAGGCTTCTTGTCTCCTGTTGCTGAATAGTAGCACCTCTGGCTGCAGCATTGGCCCTTCTAGTGGCTTGCTTTGCTTCTTTGAGTAACATTCGTTCGGAGAGAAGTTGACCAAGGCCATGATCCCGGTACCATTGATTATAGGCGGCTAGCTGGATTCCAGCAGCAACCTCCTGATGGCTTCTGACTTGTAGTTTGTGAAGGTGGGACAAATGGCCTTTGGAGCCAACATGAGTAAGGAGATGAGAGGTATCGCTGAAAACCGGCAATTTTGGGCAGATGGTGCAACTGAGCAACTGCAGAGTCATTGTAACAAGCGACAACAAGATCAAAACGAAAGGCAGGGAGGCAGCATCCAAAGCAGAAAGGACAATGACAGTAGGGAAAGCTCAAAAGGAAGGTGAAGCTAGAGATGATGCCTTGTGATCAGCATGAGCACTGTAAATGTGCAGGAAGGGAAGGGGAAGACGAGCCCAGCGTGGGATGCAGGAGAAGCAGCTGCACAGGCTTAGAGAGAAGTTTGAGAAGACTTTGACGGTGAAGAACTGCAGCTGGGGACCACGATCAGGATAGGCTACGAGGGCAGGTGGGAAAAAGAGAGGCGGGCAAAGTCCAAGTTGAAGTGCACCGTCAGTTTTTCCGGTCGTCACTGCCGTCGTTGGCCCCTCTTCAGGTTGCTGGCCAAAGGGCAGGCACGCGTTCCTCGCCGGTGAGGTTTTTCCGTTGGGGAGCAGCGACACACACGTACCTCGCCTTTTCAAGATGCGGCCTTTCAAACCCGTTATACTTATGATAACAAGGGCCATTGTGCCATTGTGCCTATGGTGCTTCTGGAGCAGAGGACAGAGGACAATTGACTTCTGGATTAGAACTTAGTTCATTCTGGCCATCTTAGTCTCTTCTAGCCTCATATCACATCGCGCATTCGGGGGTTATTAGACTCCAGAAGAAAGACAGGCGCACCGTCCGTAGAACTACCGCAAATCACCGTTGATTGTATGGCAGAGCCTTGGTTATTGTTTTGGGCATACAACTGTGGCCATCAGCATCCTTCTTTCACAGCTGCACGACAGGAACTCACTAGACCGGGTCCACTTCCACCAGGCCTGGGTGGCCCAGTAAGCTTAAGCCGGCAATACCAAACACGGTATGCATGACATCAACCATGTCTCCAGGTCGGTCGGCTATCCCTCCATGCTCGGCATCTTGACATTGCAGGATAAATTTGGTCAGTGCTGTGCCGTCGATCCAGTGCACTTTATCCAGCATTGCAATACTACTGATCACCCACCAGCTGTAACATACATCCTCCAGTTTCTCTGGCCGACCGTTAAGGCCGCCATTTGGAAGTTGTCTCTCGCTCAACCAGGCCCCTAGGCGGTCAGCATCGGCAAGATCGAGGCGGCGTGCGATGGCCAGTGCCCCAACCGCGGTGAAAGTACCTCCAGCATGAGATTCTGCCCCAGGAGTAAAGCCGTATGCACCATCAAAGTTCCCGCAGCTCTGAACATGTGCCACAGCTTTCTCAACGTCGACCAGATGCATCATGTCAAGAATAGACAATGCATTCAAGGCTCCGTAGAGGAACCGAGTGTCCATCTCACCCCACTCATCGCCAAAAAAGGCACCAGTATCAGGTTGTTGGCACTTGGCAATGACTGGTGGCCATTAGTCGAAATGAGACAGGTCGGCCAAGTACTTCACGAGACTCACAGGTTGCAACTCGCGACTTCCCTCCTCTTTCACTTTGATCCAAATCTGATAGAGCGTTGAGGGTGGCCAAGGTCTGGACGGCGCTTACCGTGTAAAGCATATGAGAGTCATGGCCTGGAGCAGCACCAAACCCACCGTCACTGTTCTGACATGCGAAGACGAACTCTAGGGTCTGGTCTCGGGGAAGAGCATCCGGGTGGCCAAGAAGATGAAGGGCTGTCAATCCCCAGTAAAGGCCAGTGAGCCTCAGGTGCTCAGTCAGCCAGTAGTCAAGTTCATCTTTTCTCTGTTCAAAGATCAATGGTTTGGAACTTGAAATCAGTTGCTCGATGGACGCACGGTATCCAAGCCTTGAATATATTTGACGTGACGATCGATCACGAGAGCGAGCTCGGTGGGCAAGGAGTCAATTGTAGCAGAGGTGCCACCTATACCTGGGCCTGCTACAAGGGCCATTGGGGAAGGCTGTGGCCAGGATCAGAGAGGGGGGATCAGGAATGGGAAACAAAGATGCCGCAACAGCAACAGATGCTTTTGAGCATGAGGTACGAGGCACCCGAACCGAGTGCTGGGTATGGCGTAGCAGCAGTACAGAGTAGTAACAGAATTCGGTGGTAGGACGCATGAACCTGGTCGTCGATGGTGTGAACAAGGAGATGTTACAGATCTGTGGAGGCGAGATTCGATGAAGAATGATGTGGGCTTGGCAACGTGTCAGCCTGAGCCGAATTGTCATCCCTGTGAGTCTGTGACTGACGGCCTCAACCCCCCGAACACCGGTTCCCTGCAGACTGTAAAATGAAAATGAATCAGGGTGGAAGAGGTCGATATCAAGAAGAGGCTTGATAATACTAATCCGTGGAGTCCATCGTACGGAGTACTCGGTATGGCACACTGCAGAGCCCAATCATAACCTTGTCAGTTGGTGTGTTGTTGCTTGACCCAATTTATCAATGGCTCAGCAGGATCGTGGGCGGCGGCAAGCGACCAACATGATGGCCATGAATCCGTGAGTCCATGAGTCCATAATTCCATGACCGGGCATGGAGCACCAGGGGTCCGGGACCCGAGCACTCCGTCCTATCTACAGTACTCCGTACGGAGTAGATTGATTCCTTGTACGGGTTTCGCTAGAGTCGTCGACGGCCGCTGCTCTAGTTGATGGCCAGGCAGACTACCTCGTAAGGGTGCTGGTGCGGTTGATCTTCTGCCTGACTGTGACTAGACAGCCACGCCAAAGAGATCCTAACGCAGGTAGTCTGAGATAGTCCATGCTCCTCGTAGAATTGCGCAAGACTTTCCATCCTCCAAAAGCGGTGAACGAAGATTATCCCGACCAGGAACGAGTGGTTCGTGTATCACTCAGATTCGCTTGTCGAAAGTCAATCAGGATCGACAAGGTGGGGTTGAAGTTGACAATGCTGCTCCCAAGTACGGAGTAGTACCGAGTCCCGAGTGCTGTGAGTCTGTATGGAGTAGGTCGAATAGGCTTCCAACAGAACCAGCTCCTGTATCTCAACTCCGACGAGGAGTCACCACGGACAGCACCATCGCAATCACCATCCATCATCACCCATCACCATGGGCTCATGAATCTTGGTTGTATGTATTTCATTTCAGTTACGCTTTATGATTGTCTGGTTTCCGTGGCACTATACCGCACATACCAGTGCAGTGGTCTTTGTCGCCTTGTCAGGTCAAATGCAAGGTCCTCTGTACCCACCCACGACATGAGCGCCTATCACTATTGCTCAGTTCAGCCGGGCCCGGCCGCTGGTGTCATTTTCCAGGCACGGCCTCTGCCCCTCCAAGCCTGGCTGGGCCCTCAGGATGCCCATGGCTCCTGGACCCTGGCCCCTGGCCCCCGGCGTACGGCACTGTACGAGTACTGTAGCTCGGGGCACCTCGGCCCCTTGTCAAAGCCTGGGCCAAAATGGGCCAACTAAGCCAGACTCGAGTCGGCCAGCGCGCCAAACATACCAAACGGCGGTCGAAGCGGGAGGTGCTTCATCAGATGTCCAAGACCGTCTCATGCATGTCGTACTTAGCGGCCCAGTGGGTGATCTGATGGCTTTCCAGGGGCAACAGGGCAAATACGAGGCATGCCTCAGCCTGCCGTGCATGGCATCCACTCCAACCCCACCTTTGCGGTACCATCGCGCAGCTGCATGCAATGATTGTGTTCAAGTTGGACGGCCACTCAAGGGCCTGCATTGTGGCTAATATCATCAGATGCAGATGCAGATCAGTTTGGCTACAAGAAATCTAGTCAACTACTGTAAGTTAGTTAGGAACTTGCTCGTAGGACCCTCTCAGTTGAGTGTTGGTTGGTGTCGGTCTCGGCGATGAGTTGCCAACTGATGCGATCAACTCCGTACGAGGTCAGGACGAGGACTCCGTAACTGCTGTCTTGTACGCCGTAACTCGACCTACGAGTATCTCTCAGATCCATTCTTGCAAGTAGCGTTGTGTCCTGTCATAACTTGTCTCAGGCTCACAGGGCTCCTGCGAATTCCAGCTCTCACCGCTCCACCGTTATTACGACTTTGCCGCCTACCGAGGACCGCCTACGACTGCCCAACTCCACCTAACCACTTCCCAGCTACCGCCTACCAGTCCACCATCGGGTGCACCACCACCGCTGCCGCCGCTCTCCTCCCGCCGCCGCCCTACCCCAAACTCTCGCACCTACGCTCACGCCTACGCTCACAAATTCACAGTCCAAAATCTCCCTCGATTCATCTTCTCACAACACCACATCCCCCTACCAACATCTCTTCAATTCTCTTGTCAACACATCACCCCGATCACCACTCTATTCTGATACACCTCCCACTCCTCCCACTCCCAACCGATCCTCATCTTTCGGGTTGGGCTTTTGTCTCTTTTTGTCTCTTTTAGTCTCTTTTAGTCTCTTTGGCTGCCAGCGCTGAGGCCTTTTGCTCCCGCCCTGCGCTCCCTACCTCCCGCAAAGTTCAACCCTTCATTTCTGTCACTCCTTGAGGTCTGAGATGATGCATCCTTGTTAGCCAGTTTTCTTTCATTCTTTTTTTTCAGGTTATTGGTCGACCTGTCGCACAATCACGCCTTGCTATGAGAGCCGTCTGATTGCGAGCTTTGGATGCCGCCGTGAGAGACCAAACCCTTCACTTGCGCTGCTTGGGAAGACGAAGCATTTCTGGCACCACACATCTCTTGCTATCCTGCTAGGGCAATTGCACCTCCATAGCAAACACGACTACAAACACTGCGCCAAACCCGTTCGACATCTCTCCAACCGCCCGCCGACTCCCTCTCATTAAGTGATTTGCCATTCTGAAGCACGGCAATCCCACCAACAACAGGTGCCACCTTGTTGTCCTTTGGCAGAATATCAGAACAGCGGAGCCATTTCTCAGCCCGCTGTGATCATTGTTGTCACCTTGTACCACCCTCTTGCGTCCTCTAACGTTGGTTTTCAGTGCTATACATTAATAAACACATCGTTTGTCACAAGAGGTGGTACTGACACGCACACCCCCCAACTGAAGTCTCACAAGGTCCCGTTAGCCTGGTGCAAGCAGTTTTTTGTCTGACCGTGAGCCCGGCCGGCTCCTTGCAGTCGGCCCTGTGGATGACATTGTTCAACAGTTGCGGATATGCCTAGGGCCTCGGCTCTACCCTATCTCAACCTGAATGCCGCCAAAAACAACGATGATTTCAATGGCTTGACTCCTGCCACTTTGAGCCCTCGTTCCACTGGCTCTCCTCGTACGCCTGGCTCGGCTCCGGCCTCTCCATATCTACAAGGAGGCACCGCTCCCTCCATGATGCACCACATCTCTGCCGTTGAAGACCCTCCAGCCGACTCCCATCAAATGGCCCCTACTTCTCCTCGCATAACCGCCATGCCCGAATTCCCGCCTTCCCCAGCACCTCCCCAATCGCCGAAGCACGGTCGCGAAACGTCAAAGGGCTTCTTCTCAAATCTGATTGCCTCAAAGTCTTCACACAAGCTCCACTCTTCAGAAAGTGCAATCCCAGAGGCCGTTGAAAGACCAGGCACAAGAAGCAGGGCCAATTCAAAGGACCGGACCTTGCACGCTGTGAAAAAGCAAGGTTCCACTTCTGAGTTGACAAGATATGCACAGGGAAATCCCAACGGCAACGGCAATGTCCATCCCATCCCTCAGACAAGCCATTCAGATAGCATTAGCTTACAGCCGGTCGGCGAGTCCGTGCACTCCAAGAAGGCGAAGTCAAAATTAGGTGGCATTCTCTCGAGAACCAAAACCGTGAAACTCGACGACAGCCCCCCAAGACAAAAAGGCCCCAACCATTTACAAATCGATCCTACTCCTCAAACTCGTGATCCCATCGAGCCGTCTCCCAAGACTGCACCAATTCGTGCAGATTTCAGGGAGAGAGCATTTGCACACGAGAATGGAGCAACCCTGCGAAACCACTCAGTTGATCGTCAAACGCGAGAGGATTCTCATGCGAGAAGGGAGAGGCAGGCAGGAGCTGTCCCGATGTCACAATCTTTCCGTGACGGATCGACCATGCAAATCTTCTCAAATATTGGACAGACAGGGAAAGGCATGGGCGATCGACTCGGCAAGGCTGGCAAAGGGTTTTTCGGGAAGATCACCCGCAGCGGGAGCAGCAATGAACGTGATCATCTCACAGACGACAATTACACATGTACCACCATCAATCTGCCGCTTGTCAAGCAAACTCGCAAAACAAGAATAGCAAGGCGGCTAGAATTATCCAAGGACAAGACCGAATTCTGGATGCCAGCCTTGCCTTGGCGATGTATTGAGTATGTACAAGCCCCATTTGCGTTATTCCTTTACTAACGAGGAAAAATAGCTATCTGAACATGAACGGCTGTGAAGAAGAAGGACTATACCGAATTCCTGGAAGTGGAAAGGAAGTCAAACACTGGCAACGACGATTCGACAGCGAATGCGATATTAATCTATTCGACGAACCCGACCTCTACGATATCAACACCATTGGTTCAATGTTCAAATCGTGGTTGCGAGAGTTGCCAGATGAGATCTTGCCCAAAAGCGTTCAAAACAAAGTCGCTACTCAATGCGCTGGTGCAACATCAGCGCCGCAGCTGCTAAGAGACGAGTTATCTCGCCTTCCACCATTCAACTACTACCTCCTATTCGCAATAACCTGCCACTTGAGCCTTCTAAACAGTTATGCCGACAAGAACAAGATGGATTACCGCAATTTATGCATCTGCTTCCAGCCTTGCTTGAAGATTGACGCCTTCTGTTTCCAATTTCTGGTGATGGATTGGAAGAACTGCTGGCAGGGTTGCTGGACGGAGAAGGAATACCTGGAAGAAGAATATCGATATGAGCGAGAAGGGTCGATTCATGGGAGTGAAGATCTTGCGGTAGACGACCGGGCTATCTCTTCGAGTGGAAGCAGCCATCAGCCTGCCCCTTCGCTTCCTCCTCGAAGTGCCGATGCTTCTACTCAGAGGAAGTCGATGGCACCAAAAAGCAAACAAAGGAGCTTGTCATCGGGTGGTGGAGCTCGAGATCGATCCAACAGTGGACACACGACTTCTCAGAGCGTGCCCGCCGTCCCCCGAATGGTGACACCCGAGCCTCAGACACTCACGCTAGATTCCAAGCTACCTGAGCTTACTGGTCTTTCACCAATCAGGATGTGAGCTCGGCCACACCTTACACCAGAGCCCTGATTTTGCATTACAATGATACCCCAGACGATGAGATGGAAGCACGAGGAGACAGAAACATGAGTCTGTCGAAGGGCTTGTGGACGACTTGGCCTAGATGACAGCAGAAAATTGTGTGGAGCTCGTCCAGACCCCAGAACATATCTGTATTATCTATTTGAATTTTGTGTTGAAGCATTCACGTTTACAGCGGGCTCAGTCTTCTGTGGGGTATGTGTTCCGTTCTTTTGCTTACTCATACTCATGAAAGCCATGAAATAGGAGGGCGAGAGTGAAGTGAGGGAGCAGTGGGGGCTTTGATGATGATTCTTGCTTTTTTTGTACGATTAGAAATGACGATATTCACAGAGAAAAGAGGGCAAGGAAAGAGAGACGACGTTGGATTTGATAGGATTTCAATTCCTCTTCTCTGTTCACTTGACGACAGAGATGAGATTGCCATGTTCAGACGTGCCGTCTGATGCCTTGTGTCTTTTTGGGCTTGCTTTCCGCCATTCACTCATGGTAGAGACTGATGATCGTTGGCTCATTAGACCTTATCCAACGCCATGATCGAAACTCAAGCACTCTGGGCTCCCATGTTCGCCTGAAACTCCACCATATGCTTTGATTCAGTTGCTTGACACATCAAGCGGGAGGATTCATCCGATTCCCTGCCCTTTCGACTCACTCACCCGCCCAACGACAGACGAAGCAAAGAGAAAAGAAACATGGCCCTAACTCTGGCTCACTCTTGTCATCTCAGCCCTTCAGCCCCTGGCCCTTCCTCCCCTTCCTCTCATTATTTCTGTGCCGCCGATCCTGCCTCTTGATCCGCTCAACCCGCTCCCTGCGGCCCTCGCCTCTCACCGTCCTCCCCTCGCCGCCAAACCCTTCCTTCTCCTTCTTCACCGTCTCATCGTCCAACTCAACCAGCCAATCGCTCTCTCCAGCCTTATTCCGTCCCTTATACCCCCACTTCTTTACCCATTCGCCGGACTCCTCGTCGTACACCAGGTTCTTGCGCCTGTCTTCCAGCACCGCCCCGCCCTTCGCACTACCGGCAAACTTCCCAATGCCCTTCTTCCGCGCAAACTTCTCCCAGGTTGTGGGCTGTCTGGGCTTTGGGAGGGGTTTCCATCGTGGGAGCGGGTTTGTCACGTGTGGGAGCGTCATGGTCACGCCGTCTCGCGTGGATGTGATGGGGCAGGTGGTGAGGAGGGTTGTTAGTAGAGATTGGGCGCCGTCCCGCGCAATAGTTTGCAGGGTGAGGTTGCGGGCGGAGAGGGTTTGGGCGAGGAGAGCGGAAGTGCTGGGCAATGGATTTGGGTCTACGGCTGTTAGGTAGCCGAGTTCGTATGTGTATGGTGTTGGCTTATCGACAGTGACGGGTCTGGTGGGCAGGTCAGTTAGTATGTATGACTAGCGAGGCAATGGATGGAGTATTGCGGGTGAGTGCCGAGTGCATTTGCATGTAAGCAAGACTCACAGTCTTTCCGGTTTTGTCCTTGATGAGTCGGCCATTGCTATGTCTATCACGGTCTTGGTCGCCATGATTGGGAAACACGCAAGTCGTGCAGTGGAAGTAACACAATACTGGCAGGCAATTTCAAGGCGAAAAGCAGAAATCAGGTGAAGTCGATGTGCATTTCGCTCGAGACTTTTTTTGTTGCTGCTGTTTTAGTGATGCAGTACAGTTGCTCCACTCCGATTGGTATAACAGCTCTGATCTGTATTAAAGCAGCGATCGGTTGTTCCGAGCTCCATCCTGCGCGTTTTCTGAACAAATTATCCATTGAAATCCAACAGGACAGACTACAATTCATCTACGCCCGCCGGCATACATTACCAGGTGTGGTCCCAGTCACCATGTCGGCATCCATCTGTACAGACTGCCTGGCAAGGCTTCGAATCACCAAGCACCCTTTAACTTTCACTTCTCTCACCAAGACCCATGCCTCGCCTTTCCACAGCTCCCCTGCCCAGTACAAGTCGCCTTTACTAAAGAAGAAGGTGATGGATCCCAACAAAACCGTTGCAAGTCGCAGAGCGACTGGTGTCAGGCTGAAGAAGAAAGTCAGACAGAAAATCAATATCCCGGCTGTGGGCGAAAGAAGAGCCGCTCGCAAGCGCATCGTCCTCAGTAACACCAATGCCCTAGAAGTCTATGGCATGGAGACCCTGAGTGTAGAGACTATAGGTCAAGAGGAATCTCTTGGTCGCATGATGGCCTTCCCCGGCGAACTACTCGATCAACTGCGCGATAGCCAGGCGTTCAAAACCACACAGAATTGGAATTTGTTTCGACGGCCTGCGACGATGATCAGGTCCGAGACACTTGACATTGCTAAAAATGTAGAAGAGGTGGATAAGAGAGAGGGAAAGAATGTCAAGTATCTGGTCACGGGTGAGAGAGGTTCCGGGAAGAGTATTCTCATGCTTCAGGCCATGTCCATGGCCTTCATGAAGAAATGGGTGGTCCTTAGTATTCCTGAAGGTATGATTTGCCCGACACCCTAGCTCCGTGTTCTCCCAGAAATCTAACACCCATTGCAGGCCACGAATTCACGAACAATACCTCGTTCTATGCCCCTGTTCGGAAAACCTCCCCGTCTTCCCAAGACGAGAACTCTCTGCCCGGTGAGCAACTTTACAATCAATCTCATTTGGCACAGGCGCTTCTCACTCGTGCCGCGAATGCAAATCAGATGGTCCTGTCCACTTTGAAATTGAATCATCTTGAACAACATCTGCAGGACTATCCCAAGCTTCGGATCAAGCCAAAGGCCACTATGAGAGACATCGCCCTCCTCGGTGCTCAGGACGCTACCAATGCAGTCAGTGCCTGGAAAGTATTCTGGAAGGAGCTCAATACTGCGGGAAATAACCCTCGACCCCCCGTCCTCGTCGCCGTCGATGGAGTCGACCATTGGTTTGGCTTGACCAAGTATCGCAACGCCGACTATAATCTCATTCATGCTCAACAATTCACACTCATAAAGCAGCTCACCGATCTATTCTTCTCATTGCCCAAGACACCATCTCCGCTCCTGAACGGGGGTCTACTCCTCTACACAACGTCAGGGTCCAACAGCCCCAAGTTCCCATCATTCGAGGCCCTGATCGAACAGATCCAGGCGACCGAGAGAGGGGTGAACCCCAAGTCGCCCGAATTCCCACTGCAGGATCCATACAGCAAGCCTGACGTGCGGGTGACAAGTCTTGTCTCGCGAGCGGGCGGCATCAGTCTTTTGGATGTCAATGGAACGAGCCAGTTTGAAAGTAGAGGGATCCTGGATTACTTTGCCCGCAGTGGATTGTTGCAGAAGCCTTTGTCTGAACAGCTGGTGTCGGATTTCAGGCAGCTCAGTGCGGGGGGGATTATTGGAGAGCTGGCCAAGCTTGGTGCGAGAGTTAAAGCATAAATCCGACCTTATTGCAGGATGGGCTCGCACTGGAAGACCCGTTTACTATGATCTCAGATGTCCCTGGACGACTCGTTCAGGCCCAAATTCCAAGATCAGGGCGTGACAGGTCCGGCAGGATCCCACGAGTTGCACTGTTTGCTTGGTATGAGTATTGTATCTATGCTAGCCTGGAAAGATAGCGAGACGGGCATCTCAAAATGGGGAACGCCAGCGACGGGAGGACACAGGTCCTCGCTTCACAACTATCAGCGAGAAATTGCCATCAAGGAGTGCAGGAAATACAATAATCAAATAGGCAAATAGGCAAGCAGGGTGTACTGTAACATAGTAGTGTGTGTTGTACAAATGTATCTCGTACAATCGAATCCATATGAATATCAACACAAGATATAAGGCTACAGATGTCGTAACGCCTTGTCATCATTCCAAACAGCGAATTCTACGCCGAATACGGGGGAGGAGGGCCTTGCTCGCGATGAGGCTCACTCGACCGATATACCCGCTCAGACGGCTGCTGAGGCTGGGCAGTGTTTTTCCGCAACTTGTTTTTCTCCCCTTTCTTAGAGCTGCTGCTCCTCTGGCGGAACTCTGGCCTGCTCTCAACACCTCGGGTCTGGCTCTGAGGTCGGTCTGCTTCATACTCCGAGTCAGATGAATCGTCGACTTGTACAACTTCACGAGCCGTCATCGTCTGGCCACGAGACTGCTCCTCAACAGCCGCCTCGCGCGCCGCCTTCTTCTCGCCATGTTTCTCGATCGCCAGGTTGATCAGCCCGCCGACCAGCGCGGTGATCGGTCCCTGTCGTCTCTGATGGCGGCCGTACATGTCGCGGCCGCCGCAACAACCACGCCCGGAGCCGTAGTCGTAGCCGTAGCCGCTGTTGTAGGATTGGTTCATGGGCATCATGCTCATGGCCATCATGCTGTTGGCGTCGAGAACTCGCACGCCGCTCGAGCCGCAGCGGCAGCGTCGCCGGTAGCATGTGCATTGGTAGCCGAGTACTGTTTCATTGCCGTAGGCGTTGGCTGTGGTGGTGGTGAGGGTGTTGGGGTGGCCGAAGATAATCGGTGTGTTGGCCATGGCTCTTCTTGCGTGTTTACCCATATGATGTGATTGGTATTGGAACGGGGGTTTGAGATGGAATGGACGTCAGGCTTTCCTGTGATCGGTTGCGTATTGATCTTGATGATACTGAACAGTGCTTCTTTCCGCATGCAATCCGCTGATTTTGTAGATGTGTGAAATAAAGACACGGTGGGAATGTCTCATGATATATATCCCTCCCGAGCACCACATACCAAAACCATTTCCCCAAGCTGTGTTGGTCGCATGGAGCCTTGATGCACAGCCCAGGCATCAGTTAATCCCACCAGTCACAGCACAGCACCTCGATGAAACAGCCATATCAGGCTACCTTCGCGAACTGGAAAGGGATGGGGAACCGCGATCTGCGTCATTTAGCCTCCGACCGGTAATCCCTAGTCGTAAGTACGGAGTAGGTTACTCGTACACGCGTGGCCGTCAAAGCTTCGTTGGTTACAGTCACTCAATACTCAGAGTGGGTGCAACAGCTACCATGGCTGTGTCAAAACTCTCTCCCGGAGCCTTTGAGGCGGAGTAACGTCTCCCCGAATCAGGGTCGGGCGGCAGGCACGGCCGAGTACTGAAGGCGGCGCTCTTGCCTGGCGGTACCCAATGATGTCAACGCTTGAATACCCCGCTAATCCTAATGCGGTCATTCCCACGAGCTTGGTTGTCCACAAGTAACTAACTTCCTGCGATAATTACTCTCTGCGGTGCTCCCAGCGGGTACCTTTCTCAGCGCGACACCACTCGATCGCCATGATGGCTGCTCGTAATACGAGGCTGAGGCCATGTTTTCTGATGCAAGCCCACGATAGAGTGGGACTTGGTCACTTGCAAATGAGCACGGACAGAAAAGGCACCAACCATCAAAGAAATCATGATTTTCATTCAGCCCTGGAGGCTGTTCATATGCCATTTTTAAACCAATCGCTGTCCATAAATCTGGTATGCAGCTTGGTGGACCGCTATATCAAAAATTAAATATGGTCCCGACAGTGGACGGCGCCAGACGACCCGGCAACACGTTCTCAATTTCATTCCTTGCCCGCCAGCCGGTACAGTGCCCTGGCATAAGCACATGCGGATCCAGGGCCTTGAGGTCCTGGACAGTCTGTTTAATGAAGGCTTCATTCGGCCCAACTAAGTGGTAGCCTCCGATGACAGCGTGCAATGGCGAACCTTCTCCAGCGAGCTCAAGCGCATGCTTGCACGCATTGACTACGCCTGCGTGGCTGCATCCGGTGAATACCACCACTCCCTTACCTAATCTCGTTTAGATTGGTCAGTTTCTTGACAGCATTTCGTGGAGTGTTCTTTCGTCACGAACCTTTGACCTTACACATCAGTAGACGCTCATCGCGTATCAACTCGTCCTTCTCCCAGACGCCGGTTGCTTCGATATACCTCATCCCTCTCAAGAAGCCGATCTCATATGGCGTCACCCTTGGGATCTCGCCAGAGACCATGAAACTGCCGTCAAGAATAGTATGGGCTTTGTCATTCTTTACCATAGTTGCGCCAGTGGCCTCAATTTCAGCAAACGTCGGGTCCCGCTCCAACGAGACCGGTCCCATGGGCCCTTGAAAGCCCCGATAATCCGGTCGATCTGGATGGAGGTCGATGGTCAAGCCATCTTTGGAGGACTTCGCTTCTTGGATCATAGGTATCGCCTTCAATATTCCACCAGAATGATCACGATGCCAGTGCGAAAGCTGGATCCATTCGATCTTGCCAATATCTGCCCCCAGTCTCTTCGCATTGAGTTCCCAGATGTGCTCTTCCGGTGCCGTATCGAAGAGCACAGTTCGGCATTCATTTCCCTTGATCGCCGTCTGTAGGAAATTCTATCAGCTCCATAATACTTCTCAAGGATCATGACAACACCGCACAATCATCAGTGATAGTCCATGTGCCCCACAGCAGAGATTGTCGAGACGAATCTCGTGGCTTGCACCTCCACGGCTGGCGGGGTCAAGTGGCGCCTTGAGCGCTATACTGGACATTTGGCCAGACACCTTGAGATCTGGGTGGTTATAACTAGAAATTGGGTCAACTTCATTGTCCACGATAACCACCACTTCTAAGGAATCAAGTTCAACGAGCGCAGAAGCCATGCCGCCAATTTGGGTATGGTAACCGGATCCGACTTTGAGATCCAGTGTCAAGCTGAGCCCCTTCAAAATGATTTTCTCAAGTACTATGTATAACTCGGTCAGATAAATAATGGCCACCTGTTATCTAGCAACAGAAGGAGTCCAGACTGCCCCCAGACTGCCGGCCTGACGTTACTTTACCCGTATTCCGTGAAAGCGGCTCTCCAATTAGCATTCATATTCGGGGTAGCTGAAAGCCATCCAAATCCCGAACCCTCCGGGAAGGAATCTACTGTTCTGGAAGTGTCGCTTTTGCAGCACGACGACTTCGGGCGAGACCATCAGGCCTATCCTTTAAGTACGATCACTTAGACCTTGGTGGTTGCTCATGGCTAACCCAGTTGCATAGCTGCTGTTCGCGTTGGTCTCAGGATCTCCCACATGGCTCAGTTTGCTAACCATTTCTTCGTGATACTCGTATGTTGGGTATCCACTCAGTATCTTTCCTTGCTGACTTAAGGTGGGTAGGTACGGAGGAGAGACCGCCCTGATTGATCGATAGAGTAGAATTCTACAACACGATCAACACGAGTAATACACGCCTGCAGTGGACACTAAATCGCACACTCGGGTATAACTATGTCCCACTCATCATGTCAGAACGGAGGGCCTGACCGCGCCAGATGGTACCACGAATCCACGATTGGTCCACTATCACTTCCGGAGTGGGCCATCGAGCGTATGAGTACTCGGTCGCCCTCTTGATGTCTAAGGCCTAACGGCGTGTTTCGGGAGCGGAACTCCTTCTATCGATTTCAATACCTATTATCGAAACCCTTCTGTGCCGCAACCATGAAGCAAATCAGGATAGGACAAGAGTTACTCGGATCCACAGCTGGGCTTGCTTAAGCGGCCCTCAGGTCCGGGGATCCAGTGGGAACTGGGAACTCAAATATGCCTAACTACTGTGGATCGATCGACGGCCTAAACACGCGACGGAATTAATTATTCCAGATAACCAAATAGGCGACCCTGGTGATCTCTGTTAAAAATACGAGGATGAACAGTGTATTCATATTTACTGAATGCTAGTCCTGCTCGAAATATCCCGAATTCATACATATCCTCATCCTAGTCTTCCTCAATTGTCACGTACGCACCCGTTGTCAAGAAACATGGCTGACAAAGACAATCAAACTGAGGGTCTCAAATCTCTTCTAACTTCCCAAGAGATCGTTGATCCATCTTCTCCCGACTATCAAAGAGCATCCCGTACTTGGTCGGCACATGCCAATCTCAGGCCTGGCCTAGTCATTCAGCCAAAGGATGTACCAACCCTGAGCAAGAGCATTTCCTACCTGGCCAACACCGCCCTTGACTTTCGAGTCCGTTGTACAGGTGTTGGCAATGCATCCGCGAAAGACGTCCTAGTCAGCCTAGCTGCGTTCAAATCGTTCTCATTCAACCCAGACGACGACACAATCACATTCGGTGCAGGGCATACTTGGGGTGAAATCGACCAAAAGGTTGAGAAACATGCACCCGGCTACGCGGCCCTCTCGGCTCGCTGCAGGTTCGTCGGTGTAGGCGGTTCCATCCTTCATGGTGGGCAGTCCTGGCTGAGTCACCAGTATGGGCTCGCATCCGATCCACAGAATCTGCTTGATGTTCAGGTGATCAAAATGGATGGGACTGTCCTCTGGGCAAGTGAGGAGCCAGAGTTGTTGTGGGCCATGAGAGGCGGAGGCGGAGGGTTCGCCGTGGCGACAGCTTACAAGATGAGAGTCTACAAGTATCCGTCTTCGATTTTCTGCGGCCAGATCATCTATCCCGCTGATGCCATGCCGATCGTGGCAAGGGAGACAGCCGCATTTATTGCAAGATGTAGTGATCCCAAGATTGCACTGCACCTATACTGCCTGGATATGACTCAAGGTTCGATGACGAGCAAGGAGCCGAAACCGGGAATATCAATCTTCGCATATGACGCCAATGGAGAAGAGCATGGGAGAAGCGCCGACGGGTTCAAGTGGGCTTTGGATATTGAAGGTGCCATTGACATGACCCACGCCGTCAATTTCAGACAAGTCAATGAGAGCTTTGGTAAGTCTCAGTCTGCATATTCTTACGGTGTTTTTGCAGACGCTGATGCCACGACAGATGCTCTGGAGGCACATTTCGGTGTCACCAATACATGGCAAGCAGGTGTCACTGTACCTGAGGCGACTGAGCAACTGATAACAGACGCATGGAATTGGTATCTGGCCTTGAAAGAACAAGATCCCATGCTTGTCAAGGGCACCTATGTCTTGCTGGAGATGATGCAAAAGGTGTGTTTAGCATGTTAAGAAATCGACGCTTCCCCGAATCTTCCGCTGACATTTGCCAGGCTGCGTATCAATCACTGGGTTATCCCAGCACCGCTACCGCTTGGCCGCATACCAGAAATCGACATAATCTTCAACTCGGTACCGGAATTGCACCAGGGAATCCCAAAAGCGATGCCCTTGCTTACAAAGCCATGGCGGAGGGCCCCTATCAGATCCGACCTGAGCATACTGGGGGGAACTACTTCCCAAACTTCATCGAGGAATATGTCAATGCTGAAAAGGTATAATTCATTCCGGTCTTGGTTCGGCGATCGTGTTCAGTTTTACTAACCTGGCCGTCTCTGATACATAGGTGTTTGGCGTCAACTGGCCAAAATTGCTCGCGCTGAAACAGAAATACGACCCGAAGAACAGGCTCGGTGGCCCATTTGCACAATAGTTCCGTGGCGGTCGGATGTTGCCTTAATCTGTTAAGCGATGCGCCGCTGAATCATCTCTGTTTGCTCCGCTTTACCAGGACGAGAAGCGCACAGGCGACGATACGGTAAATGGTCCCAATCGTGAGAAGCACACTGTAAAAACGTCAACATCTCTCGGAGCAGGCCAAGAGTCAGTACGGCATACCCCATGTCCAAAGCTACATGATGGAAACTGAAACCGGTGGCGTCAGCCGCAAGCTCTGTGATGTATAGGTAGTCCAAAGGCTCCACATTCTGTGTGAACCAGATTTCCGTGAACCATGTCTAGTACAGCATGTTAGATGTTGATTTCCGGGACAAGATTGGGTTAGCTTGTGTTCAGACCAAGAAACGAACTTACACCAGGCGACATTCTCCACAACCATTCCATATGCCACGTCTTCACTTTACTCAACGGCGGCGCGGCGCCTCCGAGGATACCAAGAACCAAGCTGCCCATGACGGCCAACAGCGGCCCATCTTCTCGCCGAGTCGCCATGCTGATACAGCTGGAGAACCCGTAGATGCAGTAGAAGTAGAGAAGGTTGGAAGCGAAGATGGTCGGAAACGACATGAGCGGCGTGGCGAGTACGCCCAGGAATACGCTGAAGTGGAGGCATGACAGTGTCATCCTAATCAGCGTCGACAGCACCTTGCCGATGTAGTATGCGTATCGGTTGTGACCAGCGGCGGCCTCTCGCCAATAGATTTGTTCTACTAAGCGTGAGATTCAAGAATAGCTGAAGGGGGCCATTGAAAGCTCACTTTCATCACCAAATACCTTGACGCCAGCCGCGCTAGCTGCCAGTCCTGGATGTAAATTGTCAGCACACATCGACGCTGATGAATTCATAGTCATACCAATTGCAAGTCCACCCAGAAGCCCAATCTGGATAGCAGACTGATAATCCACAGCGCTCGAAAGTGCCGTAAATGGAAAATGGTAGATCCCCTTGAAGAGTTGGCCGTTGGCTGAGAACGCAGAGAGTCCGATCACTGCCCCTGCGAGTGCGCCGACTCCCACTTCAAAGAAAAAGCTGCCGGTGTTGCGGAGCTGCTGAAGCATGGCTCGGTCGAAACAGAACCAGACCTGTGAGAAGAACGGCGCTCCTCGCTTATTTATTGAGTGTTTAAGGGAGTCTTGCTGTGCCAGTGTCGATGCGACCACTCGCACTCCGGCTCTGGGTTTGCTGGCATCATTATTTTTTACCATATCGCCTTTCTCGTCCTCGACGCTGGCCGCTGAGGAGTGGCTCTGCCAGCTATCTAGCAGCCGTTGAACACTGTCCTCCCTCCACGACAGGTCCTCACTGTACTGCTGCCCGCTGCCGGTTGCAATATCCATCAGGACATCGGCAGGGTTTCTGTTCTGGGGAAAGCTAAAGTGAAGTTTGTTGAAATACGTTGTCACCTCTTTGGTTTCGCCTGCATAGATCTGTTGTCCATTACCTAGAAGGAGGAGGTTATCAATGGACTCAAAAACCTCCTGCCGTGGTTGATGGATGATTGCAATCGTCGTGACGCCGAGGCGAGAGATAGATCTCAACAGTCCCATCACAGAGGCTGCAGAAGTCGCGTCAAGCCCCGAGGTCGGTTCATCCAGAAAGAGGGCCATTGGCGCTGCTGCAAGTTCTAGCCCTATACTGACGCGCTTTCTTTGCCCTCCAGAGATCACGGGCTTTCGAGTATCTCCTACCAGCGAATCAGAAACGTGAGACAATCCCAAACAAGCAATCAAAGTGTCAACATGTTCTTGTCTCTGCTCGTCTGACCAGTTGTGAGGCAATCGGATACGAGCTGAATGAAGGATATTTTCTCGCACTGTCAGTTCTGGCAGGACAATGTCATCCTGAGGGACGTATCCTATCAGTTTCTTGTACTTCTTCATCTTCTCCTGATGACCATTCACTAACACTGTGCCTCCAGTATGTTTGGTCTTCCCCATCAGCACATTGAGGAAAGTACTTTTGCCAGCTCCCGAGCCGCCCATAACGGCCCAGAATGACCCGCTTTGCATCACCCCTGAGATACCACTGAGAATGCTTTTGCCAGGCTTTGGTTCAAATGACAGATCTTGAAACTCGAAGGCCAGTCCAACATTGTCGGCCCCAATGCATTCTTGGAATGATCGCATCAGACGCTGGATTTCTGGTGATTCTGCAATCTCTCGTGCCTCAATAGGTTCGCTGGCTATCATTGGCGGAGCTCCAGCCTCTTCGCTTCCAGCTACTGCGTCTGTCGACTTTGCCTTTTGCATAACTTTTCCTCCATGAGTTTTGCGTTTTTTGAACAGGAAAACTCCGATGGCCAGGAGGATGAGAAATACATCCAGTGCCACGGTTATGTAGACGGGAAGCATGACGACCTGTCTCCTACTGCCTCTTGGGCAAGTCGATGCTCTTGCACACTTGATCGGCTCCACGCTGCCCATCGGGCAAAAGCTACCCTCTGGACATCTGAAGGAGAGTTTCCCCGGACGCGGGCAGAAATAGCCTGGTGGGCAGACTCTCGGTTCATAGGCACCTTGAGGCTGACAAGTCCCTTTTGTTGATCGGATGAGCAGGCATTGTTCTGTTGGCGGACAATATTGTGGTGGGTTCGTGGCATTCGAGGTCCGACAGAGGAAACCAGGAAGACATACGTTGGTGTTATTCGGTACACATTGGTTCTGCTCGAACACCATGGTACTGCGCATCTGTTCCAACGTGCCTACCGATATCAGCATGATCCATCAAGAGTCCACATCAGCAAAGAGCGCAGCAATCTCATATCCCAGGTGCAGTGAACAGGGCATTTGCGAGCACCCACAATTGAAATTGTACATTGGAATCGGCATCGCTCCAGGGCGCAGGCATCCAGTTGTGTTCGTCGGCACTAGTAAGGTGGCATTGTTCCAGGCGATGCTGGACATATTGAACTCATTGAGATTGTTCACGATGCCGTCGACGGCAGCCTCACCCACCGTTTCCGCATCCATCGTGGCAATAGATTATGGCAAGCAACAGAGCACGTAGAACGGAGCTCTCCAGAGGAGAACTAAAGGTGAAAAACCACGTCGCAGACAGCAAAACCCTCACGTAGCAATGCATGTGATGACACTCTGACCGCAAGCTTCCATCGGTCCTTGGGAGCATTGTAATTGAGGGTATTAAACTTGGCCATTGTGGTTCTAGAGGGCAGAGTTTGGTTCGTGCTCTTGGTAGGTGTGAACACAAGAACCGTTCCGTCCATTGAAGTGTCCATAAGATGAATATAAGTTGAACCCTAATTTCATCGACCATCTGCGCACTGGCCTGTTCATGATCTGGGCGTCGATAATCCAACGTTCATATCAGGCCTTGCTCCTTATGGTTGATGAGCACTTTGCCGCGAGGATTGAATAGCGTAGAATGATTATTGTTAGCGAGGTCTCTCCTTGCCCACAAGTTCCATCTGAAATTACCACAGAGGAAAACCGTTGCATTCAGCCGCAAGCATCTCCCAAACTGGAAGGCAGAATGAGGAAAGGGTCTGTACGAAAGAGTCGGCAGAGCTGAATGCATATGTACCTCTAAGTTTGGTAAGGTTAGCCACCCAGCTAAGCGAAAAGTTGGTGCACTGGGTAATAATAGGCGTGACTGGGTACCCAAAAACAGAATCCAGTTGAAGTCGGGCCAGCGAAACCAGGGACTCTGGCCGTGGGGTTTCAGTTCACCTGGCGAATAGGGTTGTAACCAAGAGGGAAAACCAGACGGGTAAATCGCTCTCTTCTTGAGGAAATGAAGAGTCACAGCGGCCGACTGGGGCGGCACACGGCCGAGGGCACGGACCACCAGTCCCAAACATGCAGAAATTGTTTCTCGCTGTGTCTTTGTCTGCGGATATTCCAAGCTGGAGCTCGGTTTTCGGATGGCTGATTAACGCCAGGGCAGGGCAGGGTTGGCTGCTTTCGATGCACAGCCATCTACTGTAACAACAACCCCGCCCTTCACGTGGCTATCTCGATTGACGTCCCGGGATTTCTCAGGCACCTTCGTCGAGGTATTGGGTGGCGACCCTCGTCTCTCCTTGCGGGACTAGACTGTAGATGGCTAGCCATGCGAGGTGCAGTTCTTGACCTTCTGAATAGACGAGGAGGAGAGACAAGGCTCTCCAATCTGATGCTGAGATTAACCTCGATACAGCAGACTTTGAGAGGCCCTCTTTCCGAGGCCATGGGGTTCCAGGCAAAGATACCTCGTCCTTGTCGTTGTGTCTCAGAGATGCAAGTCTGCGCTCTTTTTCCATAGCTGAACACACGGTCAGAAAACTGCAACGTAACCTTGAAGAAAACCCTCCGGTTGCTCAAGGGTATTGTTGCCCTCATGATGTCCTGACAAGAAACATCATTTTGCAACAAAGGGGCCACATCGTCATTCGTCTCAGATGCTTATATCTTATATGTATATCATATGGTGAGGCAAAGACGGAGAGATATTGAGGTCGAGCCGAACATTCAAAGCACGGAGAGGTCCTTCTTAGTAACAAGCATCCTGTACTTCCGCATGAAGACGCATTTCGTATCGTAAAGCCTCATCCGCATCCAGGCTGCCTTGCACCTTCGCAAGGCCCACACAATTGAGGCCATACGCAACACTCCGTCGGGATTCATCCTGAATGGGAAACATAGGCCGGCCGAGCACTGGATGTGGCCTGTGTCGCAAGCGGAGGGTCAAGGTCAGTTCTATCAGTCCCATGGCCCTCGTGCCTGTCACTGTTGCCCGTGGCGTTGCATGCTCAAACGTGATTAGTGTGACGAAGGTCGACCTGGATGTCGCAATTGCGAAAGGCTGAAAAAGCCATGCCCCGGATATCGAGAGCCTGGATATGGCTTCATTCGAACAACTGTCTTCGTTGCGCCAAAAGACGACCAACGCCAACCTCGAGACGCATCACCACCATTCCATGTACAGCCGAGTCAGCTGCGAACACCCGACATCGAACTCGACCGCAGTTATGGCAACGAAGACTCTATGCGAGGGCGGAGCCTCGACCACCAGTATGATGGTATACCGACCCCGAGATCAATGACAACAAGTCCAGATAGCGTGACAGAACAGTCTGTGTGTTACTCCCTACAACAACTGGACGTCAACTCTCGGGTCTTGTATGGAAACGCGGCGTTTAGCTTCCTGCCTACCATTCTTGCCCAGGCAGGCCCGGATTCCTGTGTTTACGCATCGATGCGGTCAGTCGGGGCAATCAACTTTGCCAATCGCTCTCCTACCGTTGATTTACGATCCATTGTCGATTTGGAGTACGCAAGAGCTGTTTCATCAGTCACAAGCGCACTGGCAGACCCCCAACAATGCTTGAAGGATGAGACTTTGGTGGCGGTCTGGTTGTTGGCCATGCGAGAAGTACTTTTGGCCCTACCCTTATCGATTCACCGAGAACGACAAGCTGACGCTCACAGATGTTGACAGGGGTTAGTGGACCATCACGGCCGGGAGGGTCTGGTGCCTCTGGATATCAAACCCATGTCGATGGCACTCTTATGCTCTTGCGCCTACGTGGTGAGGAGCAATTCACTCGCCCTGAAGGTCGCCATTTATACTCAACACTCCTCTCTGCCATGGTATACATCTTTATCCTATCCCTCAAGGACACCCAGCTAACAGCTGCAGCACTGGCGACCTCTATTTGCAAGCGAAGAACCGACGCAAGAATACCTCACCCTCGAATCCCAGATCTCAAAAGCGACTCAGGTACCGCCAGCCTCACACAAGCTACATGCCTTCTTTCACGGCACATGCAAGCTCAGGGCGCGGATCAAGAATTTCTTGTACATGCAACAACAAGACGTCAACATTAACCAACAGAAGATCATCGGCACGTATCTCCGAGCCGCACGACGTCTGGAAGACAAGATGCTGGGATGGTGTGACATCCCCGAGTGGTTGCCTCGCAAAGTCCACCTCGGCAACAGCCCGTCTCGATACCAAACACTCTTCCGCAACCCATGGACGGTCGGTAGCCTGTACAGACTGCACTGCTTCGTGTCCTGGCCCGGTTTCTTCCATTGGAATCGCTTCTTCGTCGCCAAGATCCTGCTGCACGGCGCGCTGCTCGACGCCCTATCCGTCCTGAACCCAAGCACCACGGTGTCCGGATACGCCGAGGACATGGATATCCCGACCTTGATTCAGATCCACACCGCCATCATCCACGAGTCAGTCGGCGACTTCCTCGGCCTGCTAGCATACGCCTTCGGCGACGTCGACGGCGATGGCTTCATTCGCGCCATACCCACCCCTGTCATAAGTGACGGTGCCGCAGACGAACACCGTGGCATCGATATTCCCGCTACTCTCCAGGTCCAGCCCCCTTTGACGTTTCTCATCACTTTCAAGTACCTCGCTCCCGGCCAGCGGGAGGCCATGTTTCTCGCGTTGCAGCGTATTCAAGCGGAGTTTTGTTTGAAGTAGCGCTCGATTTGGTTTGGTTTCTGGCTATGGTTGTTTTTCAAAAACCTTCGGCGCCGGTTCGTTGGCTTTGGGACCAGGAGACGGAAAAGCAAACTTTGTGTGTGCGACACGGAATAACAGAACGGTCGTCACAAGTCTTCTTTAAACACTACCATCGCATACAGTGAGTATCTTGCGTGGTGCTTGGAGTACAATTGAAACATGACGAGTTTGCATGAATTGAACATAGTAATGGTATTGAGCTGTTGAGCTGGCCACGTTCCTGGACCAAAATTCTACTCCCTGGTCCTCGCGGGGTCTCCGAAAGCCCTCTCGTGAAACCCGTCTCATCACGGTACACCACGCCCAACAGTATTACAGTGATACTGGCTGGAAGGACCCTCTATGAAGACTTATCAGCTGTTCTTCCAAAGGAAAAAACCATGATAGATACCGCTAGAACATATCGAGGTCCAGGTCATTGAGATCCTCCAAGTTCATATCTGTACTCTGTGGCCCGTAGAGCGCATCAAAACTCAAGTCAACATCATTGCCTCCCATACCATCGTCGAGATTTCCCAGGGCGGCAGCTTCCCCCAAAACCTGGTCGATTCCGTCTGCCTCGTGGCCCTGCTCAGCTTGCAAGTCCAAGCCATCGCCCTGCCCTGATACGACAGCATCGAGGTTCGCGTTCGCCGTATCGATGTTGCTCAGCTGATGCGCGAACGCAAACTGGTCTAGATTCATGTCCTGGGCAGTCAAGATGGTGGTGTAAGTCTCCACTTGTCGGTAAAGCCGAACAACTGCTTCTGCCGAAAGTGCATCGCCTTTGCGTAGAACCGTGCTCAACATGTTGTACCGAATGCGTAATACATCGCGAAGCTTTGGTTCGGCAATGCAAATGATTGTAGAGATCAAATCCAGTGCGAATAGGAAGTTGTGGCTATTACTGAGTTGGAGCAGGACTTCGATGAGTGACCGTAATGTCGCATCTGCACCGTGACATCTGAGGGCCAATCGCATCAGTGATGGAGAGTATCGCGATAACGATTGATTTTCAAGGTCCAGCGAGGTCACGGGTGTGAGGAGACATGTGATACTGCTCTGGAGTGAACCGAGAATATCAATCGTACCGTCCAAAGACTCTCTTTCCGGCACAAATGAGAATTCCTGATATGCACTGAAAATCGAGATTGCTGACTGAATGTTTGGGTCTTGCGATTGGGCAGCTTCCAGTCGTCTTCGCAAGGTGGGCGCAGCCGTGGCCAGTATCGTGCGATGTATGTCCTGCGAATCTGCGCTGCTGGGTGACTTAGTCAGCACTTTCAGAACAACGCCTGCGAGAGCTAGATTATTGTTCAAATATCGGCCAACCCAATTTAATGCCGAGATCAGTGACGGTAGTAGAAATGACTCTAGGAGGTCTGTAAGCCGTTAGCATTGTCTCGAAGACTATAAGTGACTAATCATACAATCAAGGCCAGCGTTCAGCGATTCAGAAGACAGTTTTCCATATTGGTGTGCTGTGACCGACTGCCTCAGTAACGTGGGTATCAGTAGGTAATAGTCATGTGGACTGCAATTGGCGAACAGTTCGTCACTTAAACCATCAGCGAGATAAAGAGCGTTGACCCATTCGCTCAATTTCGATTCTCTGTCCTTCGACAACTCAGACAGAGTATATTCACTGTTTTCTCGCTCAAGATAGTCGGCTAGAAACCCATCCTTTCTCCGAATGCCGATGTCCGATTTGCGCAGTCCTAGTCGCGCTCTGCTGACTAGTATCAACAGGAACACGGCTCCAAATTCATCGTAGATTGGCTGAGCCTCACCTAGGTTGTTTCAGCAGCGCTCTTTTATAACCCTAGAAGACATCTTCCTACCATGGATTTCGTCCCATCGCCAGTCATCAATCAGAGTACAGAGTGGGCCAAGCCAGTAAGCTGGACGGATGAACAAGGAAATACAGTTTATGGCGGATGGTTTCCGCAGAATTGCATTTGCAAGGTCTTTCAAATACTGTGTCTCCTTGGACTGGCAATAGTGTTGTATGACCTAGCAGCAATTAGTGACAAAGACTCTGATCAAAGATGCTGAGAACTCCAGAAACCTCGACGATTGCTTGGCTGAGCGACCCAGCGCTTCCATCACTCCGAACAAGTTCCTCGATCAACTTAGGACCTCTGGAATGGTTTGAAATAACTTGCGTCACAAGATCATCCTTTGAATACAAACCTTTGCTGAAGCTCGCCGTAACGTCTTCACTGCCAATAAGCTGGTGTATAATCTGCGGTGACAATAAATGATGGAGCGAACAGGTGTGCAGGCATTTGTAACCTATTGTCAGGACATCCTGGCTGATCAAAAATGGAGATACCTGGTGCCAAGCATCGGTAATAGCTTCATCGGTATTAAAGCTGTTGAATGAGGAAGCCGATATCATTGAGAGTAGTACTGGCAGCTTACTCTGAATGAAAATCTGGCACTGTTCCACGCGCATGCTAGAGTCTTTGGAGGATACATGGACTCGTAATGAATCAAATGCCGCTATAAACAAATCAATAAACATAGATTGGTGTTCGCTCTGAGGCTTGTTAGTCGGTGCAACATCGGGAGGACAGCTCTCTTTACCTGGTGTCTTGAAGATAGAAAGTTAAGCATAACACTGTCGTCGATGGTCGCACCTGTAGAAAGCTTTTCCATGAGCGCGTGTCGACAGGGAAAGAGAGAGCACATACCAGAGTGTCAAGGTAGCATATCGTAGCCGCTCGTGAGGCCACAATCTGACTTTGGGGAATAGAGACCTGAAACTGCAGGGCTTGCATTTCAGATGCCTGCATCGACTCGTCCGGTTGGATGGAACCGTCACCAATCATGTTAATATGCTTCACAACTGCATTCAGTCGCTCAACAAGTTGAGGTGACATGTTCGGATAAAGGGTCAAACATTGTCCTATGGCTCGTTGAACAGAACTCTGTACGTTAGAAGTGGCATCTTTGGGCAGTTCATGTTGTGACAGAGCCGCCAGACCAGCTTCAGTCGCGGCTAGTGAAGCCAGTAGAAACGCAAGAGCTTCCAGGACGTAGTTGAGTTCTTGGGTTGGGGTCTCCTCCACGGAGCTTGACAAGTGCTGTGACAATGCTATCAGCCACTTAGATGAGAGATTCAAGCATATCTGTGCTTCAGACATATCCATTTTGAATTTGGGAGACACAATAATCATGGTCATGTCCTGCAAAGTTTGTGTGCAACAGTCCAACATATCAGTAGTCTTGGGATTCTTCGATTGGTTCCACTGATGAATGAGAGCCACAAGGGACTCGGATATCTTGGCAAGACCGGTAGTACCAACATGTTCGAGGTAGAGGGATATCAAGGGATCGCCTTTGGCACAAAAGGACTCTCGACAATTGACCAAGGCAGTGACCACCTGGGTTCCATTGATATCGCCTTGGTGTCTTTGCAGTATTTGAGCGAATTCCTTCACAGAACGCCGGTTCAAAAGACATTGTCGGATCAGAGTCATCCATTTTGTCACCGCCATGGTGACTTGAATGCCGGGGCAACTCGCGAGGGATTATGTTTTTCTCATCGTAGTTCGCTTTGAACAGTGGGATGCAGAGCGCCGATCAGCACCAAAATTTCAATCAACAACGAGAGCAAGATCTTAGATTATGTGTTGTTTTAGAAAATGGTAGAATGAGAAAATGAGAATAATCAGCTGGAAGTTGGTGCGTCAAACTTGCGGAGTAAGGCAAAGAAATAATACTGTAGTCGTGCCGGAAGTTGATCGCGATACTCGTTTTGCACCAGCACTTCAAGGCGAAAGTTCTTCTGCGAAATGTTACGAGTCAGACACAGGGCAGCTTAGGGAGACACGTGAGTTTCGGCATGTTGGTATCGCCAAGGCTTGTCACGTGAGCCGCTAAGTCAGCAGGGCTTCAAGGTGCACCACATTCGTAGTCGCTATTTGCAACTTCACTTGATATCGATAATTCAGGGAACGAAACAATGCTTGTTGCTGCATCAAGATTGCCTATCTCATGTTTACATAGTCAGAATTCCCCACGCAACTCCCACCTTGCACCTACGCCTGCAAATTGAGGAAGCAACCTATGACTCGGCTGCAGCCGCCCTTTCCTGGTTGAAATGTCTCTTGAGGCCATTTGGTTCAAACGAGAATTATCGTGGCTGCCCCCGTGATGTCCCAACGGTAGACTAACAGGTGCCGACACAAGGCACATTCGGAAAAGTATGATGGCGGAGTCTTCTCGACGGATCCATCCGTTGTCTGATGATGTTCGTGCTCAGCTATCGTCTTCCATCGAGATTACCTCCCACGAACAGGTCATGACGGGACTTCTGGAAAATGCCCTCGATGCAAACGCAAGATTTATCGCGATTTACCTGAATCTCGCAAGAGGCTACTTCTCAGTACTGGACGATGGCATGGGCATCCGAAAGGTCGAATTCTCTCAGAGTGGCTACTTGGGGCAAATAAACTGTCAGTCGATGAGTTCTGGTCAGAGCACCGAGCAAGACGCATTTACTAATCAACTACTAGGCACCTCCAAGTCAGAATCTTCAGTTGATAGCTATGGTCGGTTCGGCCGCTTCCTGTCCTACCTGTCTGTTATAGCACTTCTTTCGATAACGTCACGCCACAAATCCGAAACTCGTGCCAGCAGACTCATACTCCGTCGCGGCCAGGTCGTCCACCGAAATCTGAGCCTTGATGAGTCTGGCATTGATATCGGCCGATCTGGCACCAAGATTGAGGTTCATAATCTCTTTGGGGATATTCCAGTTAGATCAAAACATATGTACGCTCGCTTCTCTTCGACAGCGGAGATTGAGAGGACTTTTGACCTTTTACGGAGGGTTCTCACCGGTTATCTACTTGCCTACTCAGGTCAGATAGATCTATCCTGCATTCTTAGCGGAACTTCACGAAAACTAGTTCACCGAAGACCAAATCCCTTGGCGTTTCCAACCCAAGTTACACTCGAAATGGTAACATCCGTACTTTCACAGACCAAATCCGGGTCAGCTGTCGAATCCAAGAGCTGGAGATTTGCTTCTGTTCGCACAGCCAAATATTTCATCAGCGCCGCAATATCGGTGGAACCAGCACCATCTCCGTACCACCAATACCTCTCGCTTGGAAACATTCCTGTCCATGCACGCGGGGATCATAATTTGCTCCTCAGGACCATTAACGACCAGTTCCAAAGGTCGAATTTCGGAAAGGATTTCAACGTGCCACGCTCTGAAAGCACTGAAACCATGCTGCAGAGAATGATCACCGAAAATCCAGGACCTCTTAACACAACCAAAAGTGTTGACCGCTGGCCGATGTTCTATATTCGCGTCGATGGCTTACCTAATCACGAGGCAAGAGAGCTTTCACAAGATACTACCTCCTTCACTATCAACAATGTCAACAATTCCATCACCCGAGCCCTGGACTCATTAGTTTCTCATTTCCTCGATGCGGAGCACTTGAAGCCAGCCTCAATGACGACAAGGCCCCAGAAACTTGGTCGGAGCCATCAGAGCTATGGTCCAAATATAAATCTGCCTGCATTGATGAGAAGAAGTGAACTCGCAAATTTGGATACTACTTCACAAATTAGTCAGTGGCATCGTATCAAGAGCGGACGCTCGAAGCCAGAAGATATCGACTATGGATTGCCTTTTGCCAAGTCAACTAGAAACCACCACACCCAGACCGACCTAGCCAGAGATAGTCAACTACTTTATGACAACTTGAGCTCTGACGAAATCGACCTTGATATTCCGATCTCCGAAGAATCTCTGTCTACGTCAGACAAAGGAAGCACTTCTGACCTTGGCTCCCATACCGCAGTTGAAAGAGATTTTCTTGGAGAGAGCAGTGTTTGGACCAACCCTCGTGACGGCCGCACCGTTCATGTTGACTCCCGAACGGGTGCAACGATCTCGGCAAGTCACCAGCAACTCAATGCCACGATGCCGCTCAATTCGCAAGTTGTTCGTTCGACCAAGAAATACCAGACACATACACTTGGCTTGCATCACCCAGACAAATCAACACTCGCCCAACCCCATGCTGACCGTGCTCGAAATCTTAAGCCTTACGGCGAAGGCCAAGTTCTTCGGCGGGAGGCCCCCATCGCTACGATTGGAACAGGCGGGCCCCTGACTTTGGATGAGACAGGATCTCCTTATTTATTTCAGGAGAGAAATCAAGTGTCCAAGGAAGACCTGGCTCAAGCAAAAGTGCTTGGACAAGTGGACAGGAAATTTATCCTTATCACCTTGAATAACCTGGTTATCCTTATTGACCAGCATGCAGCTGATGAAAGGGTCAAGCTGGAGCACTTATGCCAAGAGTTATGCATTGGAAATCCCAGCGACCTTGAACGACCTCTTGTCTTCGAGATTGAAGAAGATGAAACGGCCCTCTTCAAAATGTGGCAGGGATATTTTCACAAATGGCAAATCAAGTATGAAGTGCAGGACGTCAGATCAAAACAACGGCTTCAGGATCAGGTGCTGAGACAGGGATTTTTTTCAATCAGAGTGGACGCCCTTCCAAAGCTTATAGCAGAGCGTTGCCGAGCTGAGCCCAGATTGCTCATTGAGCTTCTACGGAATGAGTTATTCTCCAATCGGGCTCAGAGCAAGCTGGAGACATGTTCACAGACAGACTCAAGGCTAGAGTCACGGCGATCGTGGCTGTCCATTGCTGCCTCCTGTCCCGTGGGTGTTCTCGAATTGCTGAAGTCGCGGTCCTGTCGAACTGCGATTATGTTTAACGACATTTTGGATGTGGACGAATGTGAAGAGCTTGTCAAACGCCTATCCAAGTGCGATCTTCCCTTTCAGTGCGCCCACGGACGACCCACTCTCACCGTGCTGACGGATGTTGGACTGCTGGGTCAACATCCTGAGAATAGAGCCGCTGGAGCAGAGGCGGAAGCGCTCGGATATAGAACGCTTGGGTTTGGGGCGGCATGGCAAAAATGGATCTCGAGATCCTAATCCTAGTATCTGGATAGACATTGGATAGGCTGGCTTGCATAAGTTTGTTAGGAGAACTTGGTAATAAATTGGATCAACACACGGCTTGAAAATCCATCAATTGTTGTAGCCTGTATTTGAAGTGTTATGGTCAACCCAGCAGTCACCTAAGTCGCGCGTCGCTGTTGATGCACATAATGGCGTGGCCTGTCAAGATCACGAGATGCATAGAAAGCACGCAGGGCATTCTCAACTTGGACGAGAGTGCAAAAGTGCGGGAAATGCGGCACGAGCGCTAGATCTGGTAATGGTGTATATGACAGGAGCAGGAGGTGTAGTATCCGATCCACCAACACAAAGTGCTTTGTTTTTGGTCTCTCCATTCCTACATCAGACAACTAGTCTAAACTCTCTCATCCAAATTGTCCTACTGCAGAAGGCCCCATGCCCCTGAGTGTAAAGAATGTTGGTCGCGCTCAACAGGATGATCCAGCGGAGCCGGTGGGGACGATGATTGGGTAGTATTGGCTAGTAAGCGCACTGGCGTTAATTATACGCGGATTAGCCCGGAGAGGGCATTAGGCCGGTTTCATCTACCGACCATTCACGTGATCGCAATATGCAGCATCCCTGATGTGGAATGCAAGCGAGGGTGATGCGCGCGCAGTCGCATCCATCACAAAGATAGCAGCCAATAGGCGTGAAAGTTAGCCCCGATAGACGGTGACGGCGCAAGGATGAGGTGAGTCAAGGCGGGCCTTATTCGACCAGAGCGGCTGCCCGCCAGCTGTAACTCGACCTCGGATTTGAAACCTGCATCCAATCCAGGTCATTGACTCCTTGCCCGTGCACACAAACCATGGCCGTCCAGGCTCCCACGGGGAGGTGAGCCAGTCCCGAGCCCCGACTCACTGGGAGTTGCGCTCTCCTGACCGCAAAGGTGACGCGCGCAGCGAGAAATCCCCAACGCCCCCAAGTGAAAGTGAAAGTGGTAAGGACGTGCAGCTCACGTCAAAACGAAGCGGCCGGCACTGGTCGAATGGTGTCCGCTGCATGACGACGGTACAAGTCTCCTGAGCCTTGAGCCTTGAGCCTTGACACACAGCTTGGAACCCGTCAGGACTAGCTACGGCATGTACGGAGTACTCTCGTACTCGTCGACAGTTACGTAGTATCCACGTCCAAGATTGCGAAAGAAGCGATCGGCTGATGCCTTGCATGAGAGCATGGGCGGGCACAGTCCACGGCCCAGTTCGAGTTGAGCACAAAGCATCGTATTCGGACTAGTGACTAGTACTTGATCTTGGTGGACAGTTAGTAGCACTGGTACGGATGCTGAGTCCTTACTCGTAGTGTACTGTACTTGGTCGTCTGTAGGATTGGACAGATACCAGCCGTGGCCATCACAGCGGGTGAGGCACATCCGCGTGCCGCGCGCACCCACACCGAATGCAGAAGCCGCGGTCAGCAAAGGACGGAGGCGGAAGCAGCCAGCCACAGGCAAGAGGGCAAGGACTCAAGGAGGAACCTTCGGGGCCTTCCCTTTCTCTCCCCTCCCCCTACGGATCCACTTCTGACACCCTTCCTTGGGAAGTTGCGAACAAGGTGTTACACCACAATTGCCGCCTGGGGGCGACTTCATCGCCTGCATGTCCCGACAGTCCCCGGGCTGAGTGCCCATGCAGGAAGGAGCCAGTCACAAGACGCAACACGGCGACTGCGCCAGTGGACGCCCCTGCCCTGGCTGACGCTTGTCCACTGCAAGCGCCATTTTGCAAGCGCCGGGCGGTGGGGATGCATGTCCTGGTGGACGTTAGTGGTCGTGCACGCGTCCCTCCAGAGCCTTGGCCGAGTAATTCTCATTGATTCTTACGCCGCCTCGAGGCCCTGGAACCCTGGGCCCCTCTCGGGCCTGGTAATCGATGCAGCCTGGAATTCCCCTCTTCCGACATGCAGTGCGTCTTTCCTCTCTCTAGCCCTCCAGTCACGCCCACAGGCTCGGTCTATGTACGGAGTATTCATATGTACGAGTACTCGTACAGCAGACTACTCAGACCAGTCTTCCATGCCTCCTCTGACGACGACGAACAGAACCACACCAGAGCGAGAACCAGGACCAGACCATCCTCGTCCCCACCACCCAAGTCGAGTTGACCCAACCCACCTCAAATTCCCACTTACATCCGAGCCATCTCTTGCATACTATTTCTGGGAGACTGGGAAGACTGGGACTCCTGGCGCCGCCCGAGGGCCCGCGCCTACTCGTCCATCCTCCTAGTCCGCGCAAGGTGGTGTCCCTCTCAGACAACATCCCTCGACCTGCCTGCCTTTGGTCCTCAGGCCGACCTCTGATTCTCCTCCTAATTCTTCCAACCAGACTCTCACACTCTCGTTCAAACCTACCATTCTTTTCGAACCTCTATACCCTTCGGTGTCAACTGTTGCCGCCCACTCTTTGCTACGCTTCGTTGTCCTTTCAAGACCTGAGAAGCGAGCTGAGCTGTGTCCAACTGCGGCTGATTCCGCAGTGCTTGAGCAAAACCACCACCCAGCTGGGCCACCTCCTCCCACCTCCCGCCTCCACCTCTCCCGCCTGCGCTTCCGGCGCCTTATTGCGCTTATCGTCCATGCATCCGAACGCCTCTGTGATGACTTGACTTGCCCTGACCTTCTGGCTCCTATCAAGATCAAGCATCATCTCACTGTCCTTCGTTAGCACTTACCGTCATTCGAAGCTAGAATACCTCCATCTGTCTCCCTTGGTCCCCGGGTCGTCCTCTGTCATCCACCACGGCCCTCATTTACCTCCAGCGCTTATCCTCTCAGCACCCTGTGACGATCTTTAAGCGCCGACTACCATTGTGCCCGCCCGCGTCTCTGCGCTTTGCGCTGACTGCAAGTGATCCCAGATCCAAGGAGTGCACCTTCGCGCTTGCAGACGTCATTCGTCTCTGACCCAGGGAAGGGGTTACTGGCCGAAGCGCCCAGTGCCGTCTCAGGCTTGTATGCTTGTCGAATCCTCAAGATTTCAGGAGGCGCAGATCTGGAAAGGAGTCATTGGAGCACATAAACCGCCGACCGTCCAGTTGAACTGTCTCTAGGACGACGCAACCACCTTACAGTCCTGGCAACATGGCCGTTGTCACTTCGATTGATCGAGTTGATACCGGGAGGGACTCGACTTTGACCCCCGAGGAGGGCCCTCGGGGGTTTGTGGCTGTCAATCATGCTTCTAGTAATGGTAGGATACTGCTGTCTCTTCAGATCATGTCACATGCTAACGACCCTTGGTAGAGAGCGAGCCGTCCAGCCAACTTTCTTCGCCACAGGATGGCCTTCGGCGCAGGGACGACCATGTCTCACTCAGTCCTGACAGTCAGACCTATCCGAGGATGCAGAGTCGAGAGGAGCACAATAGTCACCATAAACGGAAGCGATCCGCATCAAGTGAGGCATCACGCCCCGGCAATCCCCGCGCCTACGACCACAGTCCTTCCAAACGGGTCGAGCCACAGCATGTAGCAGATAGAGCACTCCGTGCAATGGGCCATGCAGACCAAAACGGCACCGGCCATTATGCCAATGGCCACACTGGGGACCAGAACGGGCACAGCTGGCCGCCACATGCCAGACCGATCCAGCCACATGGTCCCGTGAATGGCTCGCGCCCTACCACGTCTGATGCCCAGTTAGCTGAAGCCCTACAACGCGAAACACAATCCCAAGACGACCAATCACGAAATTGGGAGAGCCAATCAAGCACCAATGGCGACAGCGGCCATAATCAATATGACCGAGATTCTCCAAACACCATCACGGTGGTCGGGCCGAAGCGTAAGCGCAACTTTAGCAACCGAACAAAGACTGGCTGTATGACATGCAGGAGGAGGAAGAAGAAGTGCGACGAAACACATCCCATCTGTGAGCAAATCTTTTTAGCCCCAAACCCTGAATTGTGATTCTTGTGATATACTGACGAATCATATTTGTAGGCAATAATTGTAGTCGAGGAGGTTTTACATGTCAGGGCTACGGCACCCCGGTCAATGCGCCGCGTTGGACAGCCAAGCCACCACCGATCAAGACCCCTGTTCTATTGCAGTCAAAGGATGGCCACAGTGACGTGTCTGAACCCTCTTCGGCTTATAAAGGCCCTAATGAAGGCTCACCTCACCCAAAACGTACACCTGTTCAATATGAAGGCGGTCAGATGAGACCCTTTTCTGTTGATGACCAGGACAGCCGACGCCAACAACAACAATATGTCACTAGTTCACCTCAGAATGAACCCCGAAGCAGGCCACCTTATCCCAACCCACAAAAATGGCCGCCACATCAAAATCAACCACCATATCCTTCAGAGCACCTGCCTCCTCTCTCTGATATCAATCGTTCAGAAGCAAACCCAAGCGCTCCTCCAAGAGATATGTCAAGGCCTCCAACTCATGGTACACATGCTCCACCCCCGCCACCCCCCCCTCCTCCCTCTCACCAACCTCCACCGCCAGTTCAACAATTGCATCCTCCACATCAAGCTTCCGGACCGCCGCCGCCACCATCTCATCCACAAATAAGTCATCATCCGCCTGGTCCACCTGGTCCTCCCGGTCCTTCAGGGCCGCCAGGGCCGCCAGCTCCTACTCCTCCTCAGTATCAGTATGCTCCCAATCCACCACAACCTGAATATCGGGCCCCCTACTTGCCTCCCCCGGAGCATCATCCTCCTCCGACTCACGTGAGGATGACTTCTTCAGGGTATGATCCCCACAAATCTGGCGCAAAGACATTCAACAAAGAAGACGTCGAGCGGTCGAAAATGTTGAGGGGAAGCACGTACAATCATTTTGATATGACGTTACAGAACGAACGACAGCGATGCGAACGCGCTCTTCAAAGATATAACGATGCGTCAAGACTCGACAGTGGAGTGAGTGAGACGGAAACTCGCAACATTCTCCTCAAAGTGTTTGACCCTACGGAAGACACGACTCATAAATTTCTTGCCGCGCCGCAAGAGAAAGGTACGTTGGGCAAAGGGGTCAAGATCGAGGCGCCTTTTACTTGTACGTATGGGTACAATATCAAGACCATGGACAATGTGTACATTGGCAAGAATTGTACGATTGACGACGCTGGCAAGGTGGATATAGGACCTCGTACTTGGATTGGACCTAATGTGACGATACTGACGACGGACGTTTTGAAAGACATTCAAGATCGTAAAGGAACTGGAGGGGCGTGGACAGCGAATGGGGTGACGATCGCATCGGAAGTTGTGATCGGAGCGAATGCCGTGATTTACCCCGGTGTCACGTTGGAACGAGGGTCGACAGTGGAACCTTTCGCTGTTGTGCGAGACAACCTCCCGGCATTCCAGACGCAATTCGCTCCGGTCGGTAATCGGGCGTGACAAGTGGGGTGGACCCAGGGCAGTGGTGGTAGTCGTGGTAGTGGTGATGGTGTTGGACCCTGGCATCCACCCGATACAAATGTACCGCCGCAGTACTGAGTGTTCAGGTACCCGCGAATGCAAAATGGTGTGAAATATGGACGACGTGAAGAATTATGAGCCGGACTCAGTAACGTGGCCTTTCCTTTTCCTTTTCTCTTTGTCTCTCCATCGCAGGGCTATGAAGCAACGTTCGACGAGAATGACTGGATGATGCCGGAGCGAAGGGATGACAGATGACAATAATACTGAAGTTGATCTCTACCTGACTCCAAATATGGCTAGGTGCTTGATCAATCCATTTCATTTCGATCACGGGAGTTATGTACGAGGAAGCTAGGGTGGGTTCGGGATTCGCAGCGCAAGGCTTACAGATAGAGTGAATGGAAGAAAACAATCCTTTTAAGTCAGCCCTCCCCCCGTCCTGTGATAACTGTTTTGGGGGGAGGGAATGTCTATCGGCAATCCACGGGACTGAGCCTGTGAGTCAAAACAGGTAATTTTCTCTCGCTCGCTCGCCCAGCCAGGTCAAAGTTATACATATCGAGAAAACTCCTGGGCTTGCTTTCACCTCGCGAATAAATAGAGGATTTGTCTAAATACTACACCGAGCTCGGTACGTACTTAGTGGTAATGCCTAAAACTGGTCAGAATTAGTGTGTGGTGTGCAGTACTTGAATATGGGTAGCTGGGAGTGGCAGGTAGATGTGGCCCCATTCCGGAAATTTTGGATATTAGTACTTGTATAATGTATATCCGTACTTATATGATATATACTAGTACTGTTATAGTGTATACTAGTACTTATATAATATATATCCACACATAAAATCCCCGAACTGCTTTTCCTCCGTACTCGCGCTGACTCATCGGCCGCCGCTTTACTCCCGCGCTAACGGCTATTTAATCTCCTCACTCCAGGCGCCGCAAGGCGCATCATTGCAAGATGTCAATCAGCCTTCGATTGATTCCTCCATCCCTGTTCTCGACGAAAGGATTGCTAGGGTTCCAAAAAGCAGAATTCCGAACCCATCAAATGTAACAACTCCACACAACTCAAGTAAGAACGTCCAGGTTTGCAAGGCGCTAATGTGCGTAGTACAGCGAATCGGCCAATTGATATGTCAGTCTCGCGAGGGGGGACAAAGATATGTCGAAGCTGAACACATATTGTTCATCTGCGAGTCTAAGATCCAACATTAGGAAAATTTTCGGCAGAAGTCGGACACCAGAGCCAAAGTCTTCTTCGTCGAATATGGTCCTGGAATTTTGAATCCATGGGCGTGGAAATGGCATAATGCTTGTAGTATCTTGCCTTTGCGGTATGCTATGCAGGCGGAAAGTCGATTGCGGCTCTCATGTAATATATTCGTTGAGAATTCAAAAATGTCGCGGCTGGTCAGTGATGCTCAGCCTTCGCGTGAGTTACTCAAGCCCGCTTAGGCTCCTATTTACCCTCCTCATCCTTCTTGTCACTGGTGCTCAGTCACGTCTCTAGGGCCCTGCTGTAATTGGGTGCTCGTGCTGTCTTAACAGGGGTCTCTGTTCGAGAAATATGGGAATGTCGTACAACTATCCACGAGGGTATAGTCTTTTGGACGAAAGGCTCAAAACTAGGGCTTAGAAAGATCGTAGATATAATCAAGATTTCTCGCACCCTATGTGCTTCTCGCAAAGAGAATCGCGCTTTCCATGTTACTTTCATCCGGATGACGATTTCTGCTAATGATGACTTGCACGTCATACACGTCGTATCTTTGCTATCATTCAGTCTGCCTTTAGATGGATCGTGCGTTCTCCCGTTTACCTACCATCTACTCCAGAAAAGGATTGGAACACCGCCTTTTGCCGTAGTTAGACTGGCCTTCAGTTGCACGAAAGCAATAATGTCAGACACACGACAGTTCTGGGCTGGTGGTCAGACGTGCAAGCCGCGTCGCAGTCCGGGGGCACGCTGGTAGCTTCCAGCAGTCAGACCGGACCCCGGTCTCGGTCGTTGTTGGACCATGAGACGTGGTGGAGAAGAGTGATAACATACATAGCAGGGGGCTCAGGGCGAATGAATCCAATCGTCTTGTTCGCTAGAACTCACAAGCTGCGCTGTCGAAGTCGCCGCCGATCTAGTGTTGGTGGATCAGTCCCGAATCCAGCGGGCTTGAAATCTTCATGACCGACCACCCTAATTCGCACCGAAGGGGGGTCTGATCCATGAAGGTTACATCACTTCATTCGTCCTTAACCTTCTGACTATGATGCAAACGAGGTGGCCAGGAGTGCTTGGCATTTTTGGGAGATAGGATCGAGAACCATGCGCTCTTGCTCATACATTCACTTGCGGCCAGACATCATCACTTATATTCGTGTGTTCAAAGATCTGTACATTTGGATTGTCAAACAGAGTCTCGAACGGATCGAATAGCTCAGTGATGTCGGACGGCAATGTCTGGGAGATGTCAAGAACCGGCTGAGCTATCCGATCCAACTTGGGCATGGAGCCTGCGTCACCCTGTGTAGCTTGCGGCATCTGCAATAGCTGGCCATTGATTGCATGAGTGGCTATAGTTAGATTATCGGTTTCTTGAGAGAATGAAGAGTCCGATCGATGATCCTGTGATTGACGTCCCGAGGGCTCAGGAACGTCGACCGGGACATATTGGGGCCGTCGATCGCGCTCTAGAAGTTCCAAATAGTCAGGCAGTGCAATCTCGAACGCCTCATCAACTATCGCTTGGGTTGAAACGCCAATTTGCACTGATCCTGGACCGTGTTCCCGGCGAGCCTGCATCATCTGGAAGAGCTCTTGAGGACCAACCAGCTGAAATACTCTGACAAAGTGCTGAACTGTTTCTGGATCGCAAGTAGAAACATACGGAGAGATGGGTCGGGGAGCATCTGGGAACAGGAGCTGGAAAATCTTATACCACATTTGATGTTGACTGTTTTCCGGGCTCCGCCGCTTGATCTCCTTGAGTTGATTATCTGTCATCATTTCTTCGTATCGAGCAGTGCTTCGGTCACAAGGAGGACGTTCTCTGTTGTGCTCATTAAGCTGTTCTCGCGAATCAAAGTTCTGGTAGCAGTTGCCGCAGTACCATTCCGGGCGCTGATGGGTTCTGTAGAGATGTTGCTTAAGGCGGGCAATATCTCTAAGGTACTTGCTGGAGCATTTCCGATAATTCTTCTCTATGATGTTCCGTTCTGAGTATCGTTCCGGGTCAAATTTCGCAAAAGGACAGGCAAACAGCCTTGCTGACTTCTCTGGGCTTCGGCGCTTCCGTTTAGGGTGAGGTCCTCCGTCTGCAGCCCCTTCCTCATCATCGCTAGGACTATCTCTCTCATCGCGATCGTGCACCGCTCGTTTTGACTGACCGGTCCGTCTAGTAGGGAGCGCTTTTGTGTCGGTGGCGGACGAAGCGTGTGTTCTTAGTCCCTGACGGCCAGCAATGGTTAGAGACCGACGAACAACCTTGGAGGCGAGTTCCTCGATGAACGTCATGGTATGCCCGTGAGGCTCATCCATGGCGAAAAATAATGACCCGGATGTCATACTGGTTCCGGTAAAGGAGATTTCGCTTTGAGAGTGGCTGCTATGATGCAGCCCGCTCATTGATACTGTTGGAGACAGTGGTAATGGGACTAGTATCGGAGAGAAATTTGATCTTTCGATATGGAGTTGCGGTGATAGCTGATCCTGGCTCTTCATGAAAGGTACATTAAGGACTCCAGAATTGACAGTGCTCTCTGCCCGACCACCGGGATGGATATCCTCCACGCCACCCAGAGGCGCGGTTTTGATGTTGACTGGCTCGAACACACTCTGATGGTCAAACGGGGAGATGTAGTCCTTTGTTTCTCTTGTGATCTTGGCAGATGTTGGCTCTTTACCATCCAGCTCAAATGCTTTGTAATCGGTCTTGAAGTGCTTGTTCGCGTATTGCTCACAGGCTTTTGCGGGTTTGCCTAATTTTTGCCCAATTGCTTTCCACTTGTTGGCCTCATATTCCTTGATAGCGGCACGGATGGCGTCACTCTGTACGAGACATCAACTCAAGTAGAAGTATCATTCACTAAGGGGATGCTCACCTCATCCTCCGCAAATTCGGCATAGTGCATATCCTCCACTCATTGTCAGCATGCCTCAATATATACTGGCAGACATCTTCACCTTATACCAGTGCTTTTTTATACTCCCTCCTGTTCTACTGGGAAATGCCTACAACATGTAAGCGTCTAGATCTCTTGGACAGCCACTTTAAATATTACCTTTGCAATCTCAGACCAGCCGTGGCCAGCATCGCGCATTTGCTTCAGTCTCTGTTCCTCCTGATGAGTCCATGGAGTGTTGGTCCGGCTGCGCTTCTTAGCCGGGTATTCCGTGCGCAAAGCAGGTATGGAGAGATTGGCCTGAGATCCTGACGGCACTGTGGTTCCAGGGGAGAGCTTATTAAATTTCGGGCCTTGAGGTGCTGGCCGTTTGGGGGAAAGCATGTTGGATCCTCGGGACGTAAGAAAATGGTCGTTCAATCACAAATGTGGCATGCGGTAGTTTTACAGAGTGGCGCTTCTTGCCCTTTAAGTTTTAACTCTAACTTCTGTAAGTTCGGGACCTTTTCTCTTGATGGCCTCCAGCTAAGAGCCGGATAATGACGGCGACAACTGGTTCCCTTGTGTGGCTTCAGGGCATTTATTGTAGGAGCCTGATATGTCACGAGCTGGGTTGTGAGCAACAGCTACATAGGTGGAAAGTGACACAGTTGATAGGATCATGTCGACCGATAATCTACGGATTCAAGCGCGCCGTGCTATAATGAAGGGATGCTGAACTTCAAATTGTAGTACAAGACACAAGTACACAAGTACACAAGTACACAAATGTGCACAATCTGGCCTACGCGCGTAGTATGTCTAGTAGCGTCATGTGATTTTTTATGTCTTCTCTTTTCTGATGACGCCTAGCCACGGCGTACTACGAATACCTTCGATATACCTTGGCGTTATAAGTAATGCCAAGGCTGGCTCTGACTCGTATATAGAGATTACGATAGCTTCCGTAGCATTTAGAATGACAACTTACTTTCTCTGGACCTTCCGCGGTACGATCACAGTCATCTCCTGAAATTAAGTCATTAATAGTCGATGTTTATCAAACAGGACAAAAAGTCCAAACGATCCAAACAGTCCAAATAGTCTAAACATTCTTGGCAAGCACTCCACGAAGTAAAGGCAGCCCAATCCCAAGTAGACGTGTTTGGCTGGGGTAGAGGCCTCAAGATGTGCTTGGAACTGCTGACTTCAGGGTAGAGCATAACGCTTCCCCAGCACTCGAACGCTTTAGGAGGAAAGCCAAGACTTCACGTACCAATCGACATGAAAGCTATGCAGGTCTGCCGCAGGGGTTCTTTAACATTCCATCAGCTGATATCAAATCAGCAGTCCGGACAAAATATAATATTAGCTGACTAGATTTAATATTCCTTGACTTCGTTTTAGCCTCGATTAATTATTTGGGCAACTAGCCTTAATCTTTTCGTTCAGGTTATTTCTCTTGGTAAGTAGAAGACAAAGAATTTTGCCCAGTTTCAATTCCAATACTCAACCTTGGTAAACCCAAATGACCGACGATGTAGCTTTTCCACGCTCAGCAAAGTATATGTATCTAGATCGAAGCAATCGCCGTCATCGGAGAAACCGCCATCACACAAAGGCCAAAGCATTTTAGCCTCCATATCACAGAAGGCGTGTTCGGCCAAGGAGACGAAGCTGGGACCATATGATGTAGGACTGGTGCACAGTTCTTTCGATGTGCCATTATGCTGATCGCTTTCACTGATAACAATATTCGAGGAAAAGTGATCGTGAGGTTGGCGACGTCTATGACGGCCTGTAGTACTGTGAAGGTAATATTGAATTTCACTGTCGCAGTAGTAAGACGCATCTTTGACTGGATCTCCTGTAGAAGGACTAACGGCGACCATATCAATAGAGACTCCATAGGCGACGCCGTCGGGTTCTAGATACCCGATCCACGTACAAGCGGGCTGAGTTGGCATAGCACTGTCAGCGTTCTCTCTATGTGCCTCGTCATGCATCAGGTCCGAACTCACCTTGTAAGATTCTCCGATCACAACATTGGAGGCATACCATTTCTCACCGCATATCCTACCAAGATCGCCATTCCAGCCGTGCCTGCCGCCATCGGCCCAGGTTAGGGTCATATAAGCAATACAAAGCAAGTCTCCGCTTCCATCTCCCTCTACTAGAATGTACTGTGATTGCGTTCTCTCTTTGTCAGCGACATGAAATATTGTGATATCGTCGAAGTTTCCGTCGTCAATTATAGGACGACCAATCCAATTCTCTGTCGTTCTGCCAATCTCATTTCCGAGAGCATCATAAGCCCAAACATCTGGCGAGTAGCCACCTGCGTTGGTCACCGTTCCATCGTTGAGCCCAAGCCCCACTCTGAGCAACGAGTTTGAGGGGGGTTGAGATGGAAACCTGTCTATCGTCCAAGTGATGAGGCTCAGTGCCGTACCAATAGCGCCGATTACTGCTAAGGCGGCCATGATTGAGTGCACAAGCTGTGCACTCGGAATCAGCAGAAAATTATGAGTAGAGAAAGATAGCCCTTAACAAGCTTTTAAATTTGGTATTCCCATAGATTTGAGGCTGAGAAACGGGCAGCAACAAGGGCTGTATATGTAAGAGCTCAGAACTCGACAACCACATATGAGTGCTGTAAAAACGCTAACGATGCGGAACAACATCAGCCGCAGTTTCAATGCATGCTTGGTCATTGCAGCACAGAACTATAGGTCGCCTAAAGAATAATGAGCCAAACCGGCAGAGTTTGGGACTCTTTATTTGGGCAATTGCCATCTAGAAGACGGCTCGCTAAGACGCAACCTGCAGCCTGACTGAACAGCAAAGAGGATTTTGCCATGATGTCAGGATCGTTCTATGCAATCGCTGTCCAGCAATTGATAACCTGCTTGGACCCCAGCCTCCGAGTGCGTTCTGCAGCTTAATGGGGATTAAGATGAGAAGGCTCAAGAGAATGCACGAGCGAGCGGCCCGCGACTAAGCGTAGTTAGTCCTTGAAGTATTACCGTGAGCTCATAAATCCCCACCATACGCAAGGAACACCAACAATAGTAAAAGACTATTAGATCTTGGGTTTAGTGGCTCGGTATACATATCCTAAACACTATTGTCTCGTGCTCCAATGGCCATGAAATTTACAAGCTGGTCTCTAACCTTGAATCGCGCAGAAAAACGTGGTAACTATAAGTACAAATCTGGTGACTATTATGAGATACCAAAAGTTAGGTTGAGAACGCTATCTATACAGAAATTTCTGAGAGCATACGAGACTTCTAAACCTCTCTTTGCTTTAAGTCACGGTAGTCATACACTAAGATAAATGAGGAGGTGCTCTATCTACAAGATGATCTAGTCCAGCGAGGCTAGAGGACGATGGTATTGAAGGGACCATTTTCCATAATGGGGAATACCAACAAGCTAAATATGCGTATTCAATGACAGCGAAGCACGCAGGAATGGGACTAACTAACTACGGCTAATAAGAATTGTTTAGTACTGATCTGAGCGTCCGTGCTCGGTACCAAATGGCTCACAAACCGGGGCATATAAAACTAGGCATACATTGGGCAACCTTGAAGGCTTTCGACGAACATCTACTCATCCATACCATAGCCTAATAAGTGTGAAAGAGGGGCCCGTTGGGGCCATGAGGCCAATTCATGAGATTCAGCTCTCTGTAAATACAAAACCCGATCTCAGGTGATTAATCGGCCTACGAGGTTAGGCTGCTATCTAGTGTTTAACCAAATGGACAATCGAACTCCATCTTCAGCCCGACAGATGGGAAGGGGAATACCCTAGAGGTTCTTTACCGGGATTATGCACCTGGGGCAGCCCGTCTGCCGTTACTCCTTTATAACAAGGTGCCCTGGAGCCATGATCTGCTGTCGACCGACCCGGAAGCTGGCATTGGTCCGCAATGGTGTCATCCATTGCATAACTGCCAATGCAGCAATGCAGCGATGGCTGAGGAAGCGACACAGAGCACGACCTTACCTTACACGCGATGGCGGGCACAGGGCGTCTTGTAGAGAAAGGTCTTGCCCGTTCTGATAGGGCCTCAAATGAAAAAGGGAGTCGATCGCAGTTCATATTCCAGGGCATGAGTGACTTGATCGTACGCCGCCCGTTCGCCCGCGTGTCTGCAACTCCCCCGCACTCGCCTAACGCGCTCTCGTACTCCCCATCTACTCTTTAGACTTTCGTGCTCCTTTACGTGCCCGATTAAAGCGGCCACGCTCCCTTACTCAACGAATGGGGTAATCGACGAGGGTCAGCTCGGGGTATATTAGTTAGCACGGCTATATATAGTATTATACATATGTGATATATATCCCGACCTATATTTCGTCTATTGCTATATTTGTTCTGAAAAGGGAGCAAGGCTTGCTTAGATCGGGCACGCGATGTGCCCTAGGGAGCGCGGGAGAACCGCCAAGACAGTAAGCCACCACATAGCTTTGGGCACATGATAAATTATTTTGACGCAAAAACTCTCTCAAATCGACGCGAAAATCGTGTATCGGACTTGTAGCTCAGTGGTAAGATCCAATCTTTCTGGTGCCTCTTGAAAGCCATCCTAATTCCTTATAGGTAGAGCGAGAGATTGCAGTTTGTCGGATATCTCTAGGTCACGTGTTCGAACCACGTCGAGTCCTGGACTTTTTTGGTTTTTGAGAGTTTGGTGTTTCTTGGCATCGTTTTCATAGCACGGACGATTAACAGTGATAGATATAATTTTCTGATAGAACAGTGGAATTGTCACGCTTAATGCTATGTTAGAAGCTTTGCAGCTTTCGACTTAAGGCACACAGAGCAGGGCCCTGGATAGCGATAAATACGACAGGTAGGGGCGTTTCATACCTTTCAATAACTTTTCAATCTCACCACTCGGATTTCATTATTCATCGGTCAGGCGTGACTTTGTACTACCAATGCGGATGATTTCCATGCTCTCTCACTCTCACTCTCACATACTGTACATGATATGCTTCATGTCATGCCTTGCCCCTTATTGAACATATGTTTTCCTGGACGTTCCATATCAGATTCCGTTGACATTTCCAGAAGCTCTCTCGAAATCGTTGCGGAGGACGGCATTCAGCGGAGATATGGTGCGGCTGATATCGAGGTTGTGGGAGTTGACCGCTCATCCCCATGACAATACGAGAAAAGAGGAGGACGATTTGCGGCCGACTTACTACATATGGAGTAACTTAGTCACGAGATCAACCCATCACCATCGTGGTTGCCATCGCCGTAGCGGGATCAAAGACCGACCCTACGACGACCCCGCTGCGCGCTTGGTTGCGATGCTACAAGCGTGGCCGCGGGGTGCCATGGCAGCCACAACAAAACTTGAAAGTGTTTGATATTCTGCCAACCTTCGCTTAACACGCGAAGGGATTCAAAACTGTACGAGATCCTTTCACCCTCTCCGTCCGCCTCTGTGGCAATGTCTGAACCCGTCCCTCGAGTATCAGATAGTCCACTTGGTGGCCAAGATTTGGGAGGCCAGAGTGCGTCGCTTGTGGCCGATGTAGGTGACAAGATTGCCCGCTCGCATTGAGCCTCGTTGACCTCGTTGGAAAGCCCGATGCTAGTGACACCGACTCGGCACTGGGCGAGTCTGTTGCGGGATCGTCATACTCAACGTCACTAGCATCGTCTGTGCTAAATTACCAGTACGAGAACGGCCGTCGTTATCACGCCTATCGCCAGGGCAGCTATGTCCTTCCGAACGACGAGCAAGAGCAAGACCGCTTGGACATGCTCCACCATATTTTCCGGATGATCACCGGTGGCCCTATTTTGCGAGCGCCGCTAGGGGACGCCAGGCCGCGAAGAGTACTCGACATGGGATGTGGCACAGGAATTTGGGCTATTGACTGCGCTGACGAATTTCCGGATGCTATTGTTATTGGTACAGATCTCAGCCCGATCCAGCCCTCGTGGGTGCCACCAAATTGTAAATTCTATGTGGACGATATTGAAGCCGAATGGACCTATCCGCCTGTGGAGCATTTTGACTACATCCATGGCAGGGCATTGCTCGGAAGCATTACTTACTGGAAAGAATTGTTCTCCAAGACATTCAACAATCTTAAGCCTGGTGGGATCCTTGAAATCCAGGATTTCCCAAGTGATATCCGCTCTGATGACGATACTCAGAGTTATGTGCCATATCTAACGGACTGGCTCGAAAAGCTGAATGATGGGTTGGCAAGGATTGGAAAACCCTCTCGGATTGTTCATCTATTGAAGGGCTACATGGAAGAGGTAGGATTTGTTGACGTACATGAAGAGATGTACAAGGTATGTAGAAAAGATGACTGCAGCATTTTGCATGGTACAACTAAACATCCGTCAGGTTCCACTCGGTCCTTGGGCCAAAGGACGCAAAAACAAAGAACTCGGATTATTCTTCCTAGCACATGCTTTGGATTCAGTAGAAGCTTTCACTCTAGCTTTATTCACCCGAGAACTAGGCTACAGCATCGACGAGGTCCAGGTTACTATTGCGCGAACAAAGAATGATCTACGAAATCCTAGGGCGCATCTCTATGTGCCGTTTTACATTGTGTGGGGGAGAAAACCAGGGTAAGAACATTTTACCCGAGTAAGATGCCAGTAACGGTTTTTGAAGTGGAAGGAAACATGCAGCCAGGAGGTAAGTTACATAGTAAGTTGCAGGCATCAGCCTAGCCAACGGAACGTGTAAGGTTGTGTTCAATATGCTCTGCGCCTGGGTGACTTGTAGCTAGGCACGATCTGTATAGCTTGAATAACATGGCTTGTGGGAACGTACGCAGGTACTAGCAGATCTATTTCTGCTTTGGTCTACTTCTTTGTATGCCGTGGTGTGGTGTGGTTTGTCCGCACTTAAAATAGCTCTCGCGGTATTTTTGCACGTGATGCGGCTGAGAGAGAGAGATGCATACTGTACGCAATTACAATGCCTTGTTGATACCGACGATTCCCCCCATCACCATCACCACCTTAAGTGTGCTGGTAGAGTATACCTGCAATCTCCCCTGGTCATGGAACCTGTATCTCGGTATCGCCAGGTCGAGTATCGAAACAGAGATATTGGGCAGATGCATGTAGCTATTTAAGCATTGAAGGGGATTGCGCTGCTGTGAGGCTTGCCACATTGTCCAAGCAGTTTCAATATGGCTCACGTAGGGAGCACGGAACGACAGAGAGTAGTGGGTACAACCTGTCTGTCTTTGCTATTTGGGTTCAAATCAGCGCCCTGGACTTGATGGCTAACAAATCCTTGTGCCACATACTTCCATGTCGCGCTTCTTCGAGCTCGTTCATCGTCTCTGAGTCAGTCTATCATGGCCTGGGACATTACATCGGCAACTCCCTCGAAGCAGCGACTCTCCACAGGCGGCAGGTCACGGGCATTGTTCCAATACTGGCAGGGGACGAAGTAACGGAGTACATACAGATTGCTGCGAGGACGAAGCGATAGGGATGTACCTACTGTAGCCAGTTGTAGGGGGATTGTCAGGGACAGGTCGCTTGGAGGAGAGAGGAGCGAGTCTTGGCCAAGAGGACATTGCGGTGGATCAAGTTGCATATTTGAGAAACTTGACATCAACGGCAGTTTCGTCCATTGGGCGGATTGACGTATTCCCGAGAACTCGAAAGGATTGATCCCTGGTGACCAGAGGTTGGAGACTTCATCCTGTCCAGACTGTTTGGTGCTGTGGTGTCGGTGAGGTGAGTGGCTGTTTCATGCACCCCTTGGCAGACAATGAAACCAGACCATCAGGGACCATCAGGGCCCATCAGGGCCCGAGGCTCGCTTCTGGAGGTGGAATGGGGGGAAGCAAGATAAGCAGGGTTGGGGTGCTGCGTCCCTATCGCAGTTCCGAGCAGTGCAGCACTCATTTGTTCCTTATTTGTTATTTTTCCAAGAATCCCTTCTCGCCATCTCGACGGCGGGCGTGGAGGGAAAAGCAGGCTAAGATGAACCCCAACTTGACGCGTCGAGCTCGTGCTCTGGTCGATATGTACTCGTATGAGTGTGCTGGACCCTGGTGGTGTGGGTGTGGGTGTGGGCGTCGGCATCGGAGGAATGTGACATGATAATAGGGGAGGGATTCGACAGGAGCTGCAATCAGTAACAATGATGAAAAGGAGATGATGACCGGGCCTTCCAATCACATGTGCATCTGACAATAATGTCGAGGCTGAATTCTCCGAGATGGATTTTCACGAGCCATGGAAGAGGATTGGCTCAAAGGGCAGCCATAATGGCCTGACGTGGAAATTACAGAGCGTGATTATTGGTTGGGGGTGTCGACGGGGGTTGCAGGCCGGGAAAGCGAAAGTGGTACTAGGACACGCGCAGCCGCTTAGAAGTTAGCAGAGGCACGAGCACTCCACACGGGTATGTACGATAGCGCTCGATCGACGCGCTCGACTGACGCGTTTGATTGTGATTGTTTGTATTCTGAATGGGAAGGAGAGCAGAGGAGAAGAGAGGGAGGCAGCAATGGCAAAGCAAGGGCCAGGTACGGCGCACGGCTAGTACTCGCACTACTACTAGTACTACTTTAGTAACTCATTGCGACCCACGAGTACTCGCAGTACTAGTCATAGAGAGCAACCTGCCATTTACTGGTTCTGATCAAAATCCCCATCCATCGGTACCGACGTCAACGCCGATCCATGATCCACACCAGAGCCATGCACTGTGACCTGGCGCTACGGAGTCAGACTACGATGCATTAATGATACTGACCAGCCTATCTATCAGGCTGACTGATATTGCGGGTATATTTCTTATATGTGGATTGATGCGAGGAGGCTGCTCCGCTTAGTTATTGGCAGAGCCAGTGAAGTAAAATCCGAGGCCCGACTCCCGACTCCCCGGGGCTGGTCGGTGGTCACAAGGAAAAGGATTGACTGCTCGTATTCCCCCCCACCCGACCTTGGGGGTGCTCTATGAGGTTCCAGGTACTCCGTAATTACTGTACTCGTACTGTAGCTTTGGGATCTGCCTGCCGAGGAGACTTATGTAAGTCATTAGACATCAACTACGAGTACGGGAGCACTCGTGCCTGGGAAGTATCACTTCCTGCCTTCCACGTTTACCTCGTCATTGGGGAATTTCTCCAAGCGCAGGGAAGAGATTGTTAGGGGCCATAAGATGCATGTTGAGACAGACGTCAGCCTGACCAGCGCGTAGTGGTTGAACGCGATGAACCAGGCACGACCAAATATGACTGCCCACGGGACTCGTGGTTTGGTGCTTGCGGTGGCTGCCAGGTATGCACGGAGTACTCTGTCCTGACTCAAGACTGGAAGGTGGTCTGCTAAGCAGCGCTGTGGTTTCTTGTGGCCTGGTGTGGTCGTCGCCTCGTCGTGCTGTATATGCTAAGGCTTTGTGGTGGAAGCTGCTACCGCCAGCCCAGCCCAGCCCAGCCCAGCCCAGCGCGAGCACAAGCCTGTGGGCCCACACCCAAATACTCGGACAAGGTCTCTTCTAGACGATCGGCGACTCGGCCTGGCGGTACCTGAAGTGGAGAGCCCCATGTCTAGGAGGGTCCTTTGGGTCCTTAGTCTTGAAGGTCTTCTGGAGGGGATGGTGTGGGGTTTGACTGGCCCAAAAGTGCCCACCCGGAGCCCACAATGCACCATTTAGCAGGGAGAACCGAGAGCCACCCATACTACCCAACGGCACGCCCGTGAGGAAAGGAAAGTGCTCCCAGCTGGGCGCCAACTGCTGCGTACCGTACTCCGTACGCTGTACTGTAAATCCCGGCAAGCAAAATATCTCCGCATTCGTTTGATTTCTAGTTAGTTGGTTGCTAGTCAGCAATAGTTACCCGGTACGGAGTACTGCCTTACTGCTCCCAAAACCACCCGCGACGGCTAGGAGAAGAGCTAACCACGCCTAAGTACCACTAGCCTCCTACCGCCTCTTTCCTGTACTCCGTGCTCCGTACTCCGTACCTGGGAGCAAATACGCCCTGAGCCCATGCAAGGTCGCGCCTTCCTCCATCCCCATTCACTCTTTTCTACTACTACCAAATACGGAGGACTATTCTCCCTACATTCAATGTCTCTCCTTTGACACCTCCTACAACAATACAATCCCTTACTGGTCCCTATCTCACACTCGCTGTTTGTTGTGACACGAGCTGCAACCTCTGCTAGGTCCCTGCGTCTCTCGTCACGGCCCCCTCGCCTCAAACTTCATACCGAACCCCCCCGCCCCCCTTGAGCCTTGGGCCTGCACCACTGCACCACTACACCACTGCACCACTGCACCACTGCACCACCGACTCTGCGACACTTGTTCTGAAGCAACCCCTAAACACCTCCCTCTTGTCGCTTGTGTCACTCTCCATCCCTACACCTAGTCCTCGGGACCCTGTACCACGATCGCAACTCCGTGCCATGCTACACACTCTCTCCCGCTGAGCTCTACTTGTCTTGTCCCCGAAAGAAAACCCAATCTCCATCTCGCCTGACTTTGGCCTACCACGCATCACCCTTTACACCCACCGCACCCTCCGTGCAACACTCCCACTTTGATTTGTGGTCAATCACCTCGAGGAATGGCAACCGTGTCCACCATTCACGCGTCTTTTCCCTCGTGAACGATATGACTCGAGTCCTTTCCCGCCAACATGCGCGAAACCCAACCCTCATCCATCTTTGTCGCGCCCCTGCGCATTCGCAAGAGTAGCGGCCATGACGACGATGATATGCCAGACAACGACCGTCGGCCACCTGCATTTGGTGCCGATTCCCCCGACGACGTGCCCTCTAGCCCTGCAAGATTCCACAACTATCTCAGAGCTCTCTATCCCTTCCAACCCTCTTCCCCTCACTCATCCACGACTGTCACCTTGCCTCTAAATTCTGGAGACATCATTCTGATACACTCGATTCACGTTAATGGATGGGCCGATGGCACCCTTCTCGACACAGGCGCCCGCGGCTGGCTTCCTACCAACTATTGCGAAGGTTACGATTATGCTGCTATACGTCCACTGCTGAGGGCTTTGACCGAATTCTGGGATATCGTCCGATGTGGAGGTGATTCCAACTTGAATTTGTTTCGCAATCAGGACTATATGCGAGGCCTAGTCGCTGGAGTTCGTGCCTTGCTCGAGAAGTCCGAATGCTTGACTCGCGATTCCTCCTTGGTCAAGCAACATGAAGCCATTCGAAGATCCCGCAAAAGCCTCCTATCAGACCTCGCCTTGCTGGTCCGTACGGCAAAACAGCTCCAGCAGGTCATCCTGGCACATCAGACTCATACCGACCTCGACATCAGACTCGATGATATGCTCCTCAAGGCCTTTCGAATAGTCACACGAGCTGTTTTGTTTTTTGATGTCTGGAGTGAACAGGTTGCTGGAGTTGTTTCTAGCCCAAGCAGAAAACTCGACCCGTCTCCCGAGTCCTTGAACCAAAAGTCGACCCGTGCCTTCGCGGAATCGTCCAGCGCGACGACAAGCCAAGCGCCCGCTTCTGGTGCCGACTTTTCAAAACGAATCAGTATGACCTCTCCTGGAAAGTCAACTCCGGTCAAACGCCGATCGTCCGTCGCCCACCGCATGTCATATTCCAACAAGAACATCCAAAAGAACCCCAACCTCATATCCGAGTTGCTACACAGGTCCTACGACGACTTCCTAACCGTACTCGCCTCCTTTCTTGGTTCGCACATGCAATCTCGCTCGTCCTCAGAGCTTCTCTTGACAACACAGAATGCTGTGAGGTCCTGTCGACAGCTCTTTACCGTCGTTGAGGCTGTAATCGATCGAGATCACAGTACTTCTCGGCCTTTGGTCCAGGCCAAGGACTCAATGTACTATGCAATCACCGAATTGGTACATGCAGCTCGTCAAGTCTTCAAGCCTCTGCACTCAATCGAAGACGATTTGGTCTATTTACCCGAGGAAGCACATAACCTCGTGCAGGCTGCTACAGCCTGTGTAAGCGCAGCAGGTCGATGCGTGGCAAGGACAAAGGCAACACTGGAAGAGATTGGCGATTTCGAGATCGAGAATCTCAGTCAGCTTCTCGGGAGAAATTCAGATGGCTCAAGCACTCCGGAGCCCAGCTCTCAAGGACGCCAGTCACACTCAAACCAGACGCCGTCCACCCACACAGAGCCTTCTGCTCACCCCGGAAGGAATTCCAAGAACCCTCCCCGCATATCCATCTCGCACGGTCTGCAAACACCTCCTCTGTCTGCCAATACAGCAGATTCTCCATCCACAGCTTTCGGTAGTGTTCCGCCAACCCCCAGAGACGATGTCATGGTCGATCTCATCCGATCCTCTCCACTGGCTGCTTCAGCTTCTCCAGACCCACATTCCACCGCCCTCAGACCAAGTTTCGAGAGGTCATTGACAGAGGTCAAATCGCAGAAGCACCCGCATCGTGTTGTAGCCGGCAGCACGAGTAGTGACAGCAGCTTTGACCATCACAGTCGCCTGTCAGATCCCAGCAATCTTTCCAGCGCCTCAACTCGAGTCACCTCCATCGGCGATGCTAATCATGGTTTCAGAGAGTTTATGCCGTCTCCATCTACTGGCGATGATTATACGCATCTGCCAGATGATGAAGTAGTCGAGGCTGAGATCCTCACGCATACCTTCGTCCAGGAACTCGTTTTTAATAGGGAAGGCTCCATTGTCGGAGGCAGCTTGAATGCCCTGATCGAGCGACTCACCGCACATGACTCAGCACCTGACGTTATCTTCATCTCTACCATTTATCTGACATTCCGTCTATTTGCAAAGCCTGAAGAATTTGCCCAGGCTCTCGCTTATAGATTTGACTATGTTGGTCAGACCACCAGCATTGCAAATCCAGTTCGTCTGAGGGTCTACAACGTGATGAAAGGATGGATGGAATCACATTGGAGACATGATATCGACGATACCGCACTGCCTGTTATTGTCGGATTCGCGAGAGAATCCGTTGCTCCTGTTCTTCCAATGGCTTGCAAGCGGTTGCTGGAGTTGGCTGAAAAGGTGTCTTCCGCTAGCATCCCAGATGTCCCACGAGTGATCTCCGTGATTGGAAAGACCAGCACCTCCTCCGCGACATACATTGATCCAAGCTCCCCTCTGCCAGTGCCAATCATCTCCAAAAGTCAACTTGCTGCTCTCAAGACATGGAAACAAGGCGGTTCACCTGTCAGCATTCTTGACTTTGATCCGCTGGAGCTTGCGCGGCAGATTACTTTGAAGACGTCAAAAATCTTTTGCTCGATCCTCCCGGAAGAACTTCTCGCTACCGAGTGGACTAAACGCACCAGCTCCCTTGCTGTCAACGTGCGTGCGATGTCAACACTGTCTACAGATGTCTCCAACTTGGTTTCCGATTCCGTCTTGCAATTGGAAGAACCCAAAAAGCGTGCCGCTATCATCAAACAGTGGGTGAAGATCGCGAACAAGTGTCTAGAACTGCACAACTATGACACCTTGATGGCCATTGTGTGTTCTCTTGATTCCACCAACCTCAAAAGAATGAGGAAAACTTGGGAGGCAGTACCACCAAAGACGAAAACCATTTTTGAGGACCTTCGCAAGGTTGTCGACATTTCTCGCAACTATGCAGTTCTGAGACAACGCGTGCAGTCGCATCTCCCTCCATGCTTGCCGTTTATTGGCGTGTACCTCACAGATTTGACCATGGTCGATTCTGCGAACCCCTCTACACGACCGCTAAACAATGACGACTCAAAGATGACGGTCATAAATCTGGATAAGCATATCAAAACCGCGAAGATTATCTCTGCATTACAGAAGTACCAGATCCCCTACCGGCTTACTGAAGTATCGGAGCTACAAACGTGGATGCAAGATCAATTGATCCGAGTACGATCTGCAGGGGACAAGAGTTTCCACCTTCACTATCGGCGATCGTTGGTGCTGGAGCCCAAGGAGCAGCAAGCGGGCAAGAGTCCTAATCCCGAGAATTCCGGGAAGGACCGGGATAAATTTGATTTTCTGAACTGGGCGCACCTGTTGCAAAAGGAGAAATCTGTTCCAGTCAATGGATAGTTGACCTCTTTTTTTTGGCCCGAGGTGTGTTTTTATGATTTGATGCTTTTCATATGTTGTACAGTATCCCAGTCCACGAGCTTATGATACCCTACATCGTCAGTCCTCTTTTGTCTCGCGTCGCGGTTTGAAAATTTTTATGATGCGGGCGCAGGTGTGGGAATGCCTGGCCAGGGCAGGTTGAGCACAAAAGGATGATAATGTACAGCCAGGGTCAGGAAAGGGCGGTTCTTTTTTCCCCATTTCAAAGTTACACAGCAGGCATTCTTTAGCCGGTGCGGCCAGTAAGCAAGCAGCATGACTATGTGGTGGACGAGTCCAAAATCAGCATAATAGTTCTCTGGCAAGCGGATGAAAACAAGCCAAGGAATAATTCACCATTCTTTTGATATGCAACATTGTGGTCATGTTGTGTTCGTTCGTCTGTTCTTCTAGTACCCACCTCGTAGCTTCCCGCTCTCGCGCCCTAACTGCACCATGTTCAGCATTCTCTGAGCAGAATGTTGCTTCTCAATCGTAGTATACAACCGTCAGCCATGAAGAGTGCTATCTAACTATCAGTCAATCAATCACTCATGCTAGAACCGGGACCGGGACCGGGACCAGACACAGATCTAGGCCGAGACCTGGAACGTGGATACGAGTAATCCGCAAGGATCACGATGAAAGCAAAAACTGGGCTAGGAGAGGGTTGATGTTTGATATTCTTCTCCCTTGCTTGCTATGGATTCCTGATGATTCCTGATGATTCCTGATACTACCGACAATTGGCCGTACGGCAGGAGTTGAGCAGCTGAGCACCTAGGATGTGCTGTTTGCCGTTCTACGTCGGAGCGAGGTCTAGCTTTCCATGCATTTATGGATGGGTGTGGCGCACGCATGAATCCTGCATGTCCGGCTGGCCAACTAACCACGCGGACGCTTTCGGTAGTTAGTACGATGGCAACGAGATCTGATACACCTTCCTCCTTGCTTGAACTTCCAGGCGATTCCTGAACAAACGAGCCAACCTGTGGGCCGGACGCGAACGCCAACTGATTGCATGACATGGCTGGTTTTCGTGGATGGTCGTACGAGTAGGTATGGCATGACGGTCGTGAATATGTGGATGGTGGTATCTAGTGATACAGAATATGTAACACATTAATCGCTTTGTGTTTCCGAGATCGAGGACGAGTGGGTGGATCATGTGGTGGATCAGTTGTACGGTGGAAGAGCCAGTCCTAGTCTACATGAAACATGTCACGTCACCACCCGACACCGAATTGCCTCCTCACCCAAGGCTGATGATAACCCGAATAATCGCGTGCCCTGGACATTCCAAATTGGTCGGCGACATTGACATAGCCGTCGTGGCCGATTTTGCCGGTTTTCTTCGTAGCTTTGAGATCGCCGCTCTCGGCTTGCCACGGTGACCGACAGTAAACACACCGCACCTCCTGGCCACGTTGACTGGCCGCCCATTGATCGAAGCACGATTTATGAAGGTTGTGACCGCATTGCGATTTGCACCACACGAGTTTGTTGTGGCCGGGGTCGAGGTCCATATAGCAGATGGGACATTCGCCTTCGGTTGGCTTGCGATTTCCGCTCTGATTGTCATCTTCTTCGCTGCTCCCAGCGTTATCTGTGGGGATTGGAGGAGCCTTTGCGAAGATTTGCTTCAGCTCTGGGCTGAGAAATGCTAATTGGTAGACAAGCACGGCGGGCGCCTTCAACACCGTGTTCAAGGCGTAGACCTTGTGTTTGCATTCGTTTCCCTTGATTGAGTCTGGACAGGTGCACGAGGTCTCGTGGCCAATGTGAACGGTATAAACGTTTCCTGTTGAGCCAACAACGTCGATATCTTCGGCTGGAGCCCCGGATCGAGTGGTACTACGTCGTCGGCCAAGCACAATCATGCGCTGGGTTCGGGCGCGGAGCAGTTTGACGTCGAAACTCGCCGGTGGCTTTGACCGAAAGCGCCGTAGTCTTTTCTCTGTCGCCCCGACGTCTGTGGCAACTTTCTTGGGTGATGCCTTTAGAGTGGTAGAATGCTCAGACGCAACCTGAGAGAGGCGAGTCGCTGTTTTGGATGTGGACTTGTGTGGTGTGTTCTGGCTTGACGCTCGGCGGCGCCTTGATTTCACTTTTGCCTCTTGAAGAAGTCTCTCCTGCTGCTCTACTGTATCTTCATTTGTTGCGGATCTTCCACGAGAAGATTTCGCACTTTTGGTGGTAGATTTCGAGACCGCGCCTTTCGCATTGATCCGGGAATTCTTTGGATTGCGCATTTTCGACCAGCAAAACCCCTCGGGGTGTTGTAGTTTGTACTCAGTAGACCTATACCTCGGTGGAGAGGTGTCACTGAAGGAGGCATGCAGCACCAAGAAAATCAAAGACAAAATCGAGCGTTGAACATGACGATGAAACCGAGTAGGTGGACGAGGTTACGTGTGGGGGGGGGGGGGGGGGGGGGGGGGGGGGGGGGGGGGCATGGAGGAGTGGAGATGCGTGCCTGCGGCCATTCATTCATGACGCGGGAGAGGAGCGCCAGCACGTGATATCAAGCCACGTGACATGCTCAAGTTCGGGTCAATTCATCCTCCGGTTCCGTAAGTTCCTTCCTTGTCAACAGCTGTCTATATCTTCTCATAAACAGTAGAGGCATTGATTTTTATATTCTACATCATGAAGGGATCATGCGGGATGTCGCTCCAAACCCCATGCGCTTACGCCATTTCATGTCTTCTACGCATTAGAGCCTTATTGGGGGAACGCGTTGCTTGCCTACATCAAATCTCTAGTGTGGCCACCAGGATTTTGTGCGGAATCTGTGGAGTAACAAGATTAATCCAGGGAACAACAATCACACGAACTCGAAAACTTACAATCAGTGGTGACGAAAGCACGGTCAACCTCTGTTAGTGCCTCAGCACAATACTGCAGTGTTTCAGCAATATCGTGTGTCCTTCGAAGAGGTGTTTTCTCATCAAGCAAGATATCGTACTCGGCCCAGACCCCATCGCCGGCGTGATAGGCGGTGATTGCTTTAAATCCAGTAACCAGGTTACTAAACCGATAACCTAGGTAGACCAGCTTCTTCTGCACCGTGTCATCCACCGCAAGTCCACAGAGACGGGTGATGTTTTCAAAACAGGTATCCCCCCAGTCGTAGATGATATAAACCGACAGCAGCGCCGCGCCTAGAGGGTCTAGCCACCATATGCCAGCATGCTTACCAATTAACGGGAAGAGCAGTGACAGCGTGTTGAAATAAACATCGGTCTTGCAATCTTGCGCCAGGGCTTGCACCTGTGTAGTTTTGATCCGCATACACCACAACCCAATAAGTCCTTTGAGTCCAACAGTTCCTGCCATTGAGGCAATTGCCACGACCGGGAGAGTTGCAATTTTGTGATCGCCCCCTGGTAGGAGTTTCTCAACCGATTCTTGCAATATTTGCAGAAAAGAAATCACCATGATTATCGAGAACACCAAAATTCCGAGTGGCTCAAGTCTTCGACGGCCAACAGGGAATTTGCGAGACAGAGCTGACAGTCTCCATGAGACGAGGCGATTTGTGGTCCATACGATGGCTGTGCACAGCAGATCGAGCGCTGAGTCGAGCAATGATGCAATCAGCGACAGTGAGGACGACTTCAGGGCTGCTATCCCCTTGGCCAATAGAAGGATCATGTTGGCAATCACATTAATGTTGATTGCCCATCTTGCATTCCGGGCAGCCCTTCGTCGTTGCATTCGTACTTCGTCAGGTAACAAGTCCTCAATACGCTCCTCCACACCTTGCAACACACCTTCTCTTTCTCTGATACCGTCGTGATCGGCATCCGTATTCATAGATTCTATCACATCATCGGCCATGGCCAAAACGATCGTGTCGACCTCTGCCCAATCATTCAATGCAGCATTCTGATTTTCGTAATACTTGCGAAGTTTTTTGTTCTTGATATGCTTCAACTGCATGTCGGCCAATTTAGTTTTAGTTCAAACCAGAGACGTGATCCGAACTTCTCACCTCTTCGTCGCTTTTGCGGTAGCTTTCAAACTCTCCTTTGCGGACACCGGCACACAATTGCTTTTTCAAGTCCGCCGTTGTCTTACGATCCATTAAGTTTTCGACGGTATCTTTGAAGCCGCCAGAACGCCTGCCTCCTTTGCCTGTTTCAAGGTCGCCGTTAACATTGTAGCCAGCACTGGGCCTTTCGAATTGAGCGTCGAAAGCTCGCTTACCCACCATAACTGATGGATAGGAGGATCGTCAACAATGGCCTGGACTCTGCTGTCTCTCAATTAAAACAGGTATCAGTGCCGGGCGAACGTATAAAACAGCGGATAAACAAAGATCAAGGCTATAACTTAAGCATATCTCCCCATCAGACTAACAAACCAGAAAGACCCTGGCAAGAAGATCAAATGTAGTACATATGTTTATTCATGACGACCCCGCTGCTCGATGACGGCATCCAATGCATAAACTTGGCATGGGCGCACGGCCTGCACTTGCCAGACTTGGCTTTGATGCTAATAAATCCCACTTTCAACCTCGCCATCCTCTCTACAAATCCTGCGACGTCAAGTCTGTGGAGCTGACGTGTCAACACACCTTAATTTACCTTTGCAGCCTCTTCACTCATGGGGCAGTAGAAGCAAGGCTAGTTGGTACATGATCAGCATCAGCTACTTCGTTGAGCTTTGCAGACTCCAGGCTGCACTTTGAACAGAAATCTTCGCAATGAGATGGTCTGCTCTAGCTCTCAGCCGGTCCACACGGGTTTTGACGTCGTGCAACGAGGGCGTCGTGCTATCTTTCGTCACACTCGACGCGACGCTCTGCACTCTGGCCTGCGATGACTGTGATGATGGAGACTTCGAACCAATTGTCGACTCACCAGAAACGTTGGGAGGGGCAATGAACTGAAGAGTCTCTGATTCATTGTCTTCAATGTCCTTGCACGCTTCATCCCGGGTGCCATTTGCATTCGACTGGACCTCGTGTGGTGCTGCATGGACCGCTGCGCGACGTTTCAATCTCCAGGATCGAAATATCTGAAGCTTGGCACCGGGGTCTTGTTCCATCCAGTTTCCGACCACCCCAGAACTCTTGCATTGATCACACATATCTGGAAAAATGTGCAAGGTATCAGAAACATCCACAAAGAGTTGATGTGTGCATTTTGTCTTCTCGTTAAAGTCTGCAAAATCAACCACTCGACCATTTATTAGCGTCCTTTGGTTCTCCAATGCGCCTTTCAAGAGGCGTTCCGTCATTTCAGCGCACTGGACAATTGTTTTGATCTTGGTGTGACCGCAGAGGTTGTGAATCGTGTGCGACTGGCACATATTGACAATTCGAGAAAATGATGTCCTTGAATAACAAGTAACTACAGGTGAACTCCCTATCATTTGCTGGTTGTGCGGCATGAACAAAGTTCTATGCGAAACCCATTATATCTGACACTGTCTATCACTCGGATGGAAATAGGCGGCCAACAAAGCAGAAGAGGAGGCCAACCTGTTCCTTCTTCACAAAGACCATCTTTATTTGAACTGTGACAAAATTGGTACGGTGGCTCGTGTGTTTTCGCCGACTCGTAAGACCGTCTCCTTTGTTAGAAGCAAATTGCTTGAGAGCGGTTAACATATGGAGTTGCACAGCAAGAGGACGCTTCACACGATACCAGCCCATTCAGCGGCCCCAAACGACTCGCATGGATGGTTTCCAAGCCTGCTTCATAGGATATTGTGGTTCGTCACAAAGACACCACCACGATGCTGTGAGTCATGGACAATATGGCCATTGAGTGCTGAGACATAACAGCAGTTCCATGCGCAATATTGCTTAGCGATAATGGCGCTCTGGTGATGCGGTGTAAGACCAGCTGCAAGGCTGGCAGTTCCTCTGTGGCTGTCTCTGCCGGTATGGAGAGCCGTGTACAAGTGTGGTTTCCACTTTCTGATACCTAGGGTCAGTAATCCCATAGTGGACCGAATGTAACTTCGTCTTCAAATATTGATCTAATAGGAAATGGGTTGCTGCATTTACATTGTTTGAGTGATTTAGTTAGCTGAGCTCCTATGCATTGGCTGTCAGACTTGCTGAGGCACAGTTCCTGGATGGCCCTGTAGCCTTTGAAACTTGTAGATTGACTCCACCTTGTTTACATGAGTGTAGCGTGATGGGTTGGATAATAGAGTCCGATAGCACAAGGTTAATGATCTAGCTCCCATCATGTGCTCGTGTTCGTGCTGCGTATCCCGTACTTGGCTCTCTGGATAAGCTTCTTAGGCCTCTCACAGGGGACTTCCCCTTGGACAACGCTTCGTTTATCCACAGAGGCGAAAAGCTTGCCACTGGTAAGCCGCGAGCTCCGAGATGGTACAAGGGCCGGCTCGCCCACCAATCCCAAGTGAGATTTGCTTATTCCTACCTTAACGAGAAATATTCAAACGCTCAATGTCATCATAGTAGCTTCGATTACGTTACACTTGGCACGAGACTCTCTGGGGAGCGGCACTGTCGTCAGCAGACCACCGGGTCTCACAAGGCGCAAGTCCACCGCCGGGTGCATATTGTCATCCTGTCCCGGTTCAAAGAACGGGAACGATCCCAGGGTCAAGATTGGTATCCGGTCATCGAGCCCGGTTCAAGCACCCTGCAAGCCCTTTCCCAGAGACCGGAGTTTGAAACTCTATTTATCATGTGGGACGACCTGTTTTCTTCAACTCCTCCCACCTCTCTACCTCCTTCGTTGCTATCTGGCAAACAGAAATCGAAACGGGCTGAAGCAGGTTGGAATCCAGCTCGCCATGACCGCACTACGAAGACCCAGCTCCAAATCCGAGACTGCTGCGCACCGTCGCAAGAGTAGCGTCCATGCCGATGACGCTGCTTTGGCAGGGATGGGGATCAAGCAGGAGCTCAATCGGAATTTCTCGTTCTTGTCGATGCTTGGTCTCGCTTTTGCAATTCTAAACACATGGACCGCTGCCGGTGCGAGCATGTCACTAGCTTTGCCAAGCGGCGGCCCTTCAAGTGTTAGCTGGGGATTGATTGTTGCAGGCATCTGTAACATGTGCCTCGCTGCATCCTTGGCTGAGTTTCTTTCGGCGTTTCCCACCGCGTAAGTTTCTCTGAAATTGGATTTGCTTCGAGCACCGTGGTGCAGTTGCCCAGGCTGTGACCGAGCCATGGCCTCTGCTTTGACCCCCCCGCTCATCATTGTTCTCTCTACCTAGGGGTGGTCAGTATCACTGGGTTGCTGTGATCAGCTGGAAACGCTGGGTACCATTGCTGTCATGGATCACCGGCTGGATCAATACGGCTGGTTGGGTCGCTCTAGCCGCCACTGCAGGCCTCCTGGGAAGCACGCTGATCATAGGGATCATTTCCCTTGCCGATCCCTCCTACGAGTCCCAACGTTGGCATCAATTCCTCATTTACATTGCGTTCAATCTCATTGCATTTCTAGTCAATGCCTACCTCACTCGCCTCCTCCCCTTAGTTACGCAATCAGCACTCTACTGGTCGATCGCTGGCTGGCTTGTTATCTCAATTACCATTCTGGCGTGCGCCTCTCCGGACTATCAGACTGGACATTTCGTCTATGGACAGTTCGTCAACGAGACTGGTTGGCCAGACGGCCTGGCCTGGCTTCTGGGTCTACTGCAAGGTAATTGCTTTGTAACTTCCTTCGCGAACGATTTCCTCGTCCAGACACCCGTCCCTCGTCCGGAAAACAGGCTAATACATCGGAATTTTCCAGGCAGCTTCTCGTTGACCGCGTTTGATGCTGTTGCGCATTGTGTAGAGGAGCTAGGAGATGCAACGATCGAAGGGCCACGCATCATGCTTGCATGTGTCCTGATAGGAGTTGTCACGGGCTTTATTTATCTGTCTGTCCTTCTTTTCTGTGCCAAGGACATCGACACGGTCATAAGCTCAGCCGCAGGTCCCGTAAGTATTCTCTCCCAGTCTAATTTAAAAGTGGAGGACTCCCAGCTCGGCAGCTGGGAGAGCTTGAAGAGTATCTCTTAGACAACCTACCGCATCTTGGAAGAGAGCATATAATCCATTTTAGAGCCAACCTCACTGACCGCACTTGCTCCTAGATGTTGGAAATCTTCTACCAAGCTACTGGGAGTAAAGCCGGCGCTATCTGCTTGCTCATGTTTCCCCTGATCTGCTTGATGGTAAGTTCTCCGTGTCATGAAACCTGCCTACAAGCAGATGCCGAGTTTGGCTGAGACTGACAAACAATCCTAAGTTTGCTGGTATCAGTATTATGACTACAAGCAGTCGTATGGTATACGCCTTTGCACGGGACGGTGGCCTGCCAGCATCCAAATATTTGGCTAGAGTGCACAGGAAGCTCGTGGTACCCTTGAACGCCCTAATATTTACAGCAATACTTGTGATCATCTTTGGGTGCATCTTCCTTGGTTCCACAAGCGCTTATAACGCTATCGTCTCCGCATCAGTTGTGGCTCTGGGAGTTACTTATGCTATTCCACCGGCCATTAACTGCCTAAGAGGTCGAAAGATGCTCCCAGAAAGTCGACCTTTCATTTTACCAAGTGCGCTTGGCTGGGTGTGCAATTTGGTATGTGGAGAGCACCGGCTTATAGCAAAGAGCTGACAACAGGCAGGTCGGTATTGCATACACAATCTTGACTACGATCCTTTTCATGTTTCCGCCTGTGAAGGAGGTGACCGGGAGCAACATGAATTATTGCGTAGCGGCGTTTGCCATCGTTTTCATCGTGTCCGTCATTCAATGGTTTGTTGATGGCCGCAAGAACTATACTGGCCCACGTCTGGATGTTAATGCTCTTAAAAGAGGATCAATCATTGGAATGGCACCTGTTGATAGCAATAGCGTGCCACAAGCAGAGAACGGCATCGATGATATCAGGGAAAAGAGAGCCGATCGAGAAACTTAGTGGATATTCATACTTACTTGATGTACCAGGTCGGTTTTCAAAGAAGTGGGCTTGGACCTTGTGCTAGATGTTCGGCATGAGCATTCAAGTTAAGTAATGATAATCATACCATCTGTCGTCATTCAGGCCATTCAGGAGTGTGCTTTCTTCTAAAGACAACAACATATTTGTTGCCTCCGTTCCGCGTCACTTTCTTCGATTCTTCAGTCTCCTCACTCATGATCCTGACGCAAGGGTCGGCGTCCAATTCCTCCTGCGAAACTTGTTCCCACAGCTCCTTAGCATCCCCGGCCTCCTTTCCCACGAAATGCTTGGTCATCCATTGCGACAGCTCCTCTACATCGGTTATCGTGTAGATTAGACCACCCGGCTTCATGACATACGCATACTCGGCATTCAATTGCGCGGAAGCGATTCGAGCCTTGTGTTTCCGTTGTTTGAAGTGTGGATCTGGAAAACAGAGGAAGATCTTTGACAGTTGGCCTTTGTGAAAATAGTTTGGGAGAAATTTCATCGTATTGGTTCGAATTGCCGAAATGTTTTGATAAAGCGCAGGTGCGCCGGGTATCGATGGTTCTTTGTCTCGATTCTGAGACCGTAACGCCGCGATCCTATTGATGACATACTCGGTCACCTGGGACCGCAGCTCCATGCCGACCATCAGTGTTTGTGGCATCACTGGGGAGAGCCCGACCAGAAGGCCACCAAACCCACAACCGATATCTGCAACTTCAACCTCTTTGTCGACTTCACCTGCGGCCTCTCCGATAAAAGCAGGATAGTGAGGCGACCAGTTCATCTCTGCTGGACCGCGGGGGCTGTAGATCCGCAAGGTCATCCGTTAGTTCATAGAAAGACGCCGAAAGTCAACAGAGGCGTCATCACTTTCAACTTACTAGACAAGCGCATGGTCAGAGAAAGGGTTTGCATGGGCACGTTGTCGATAGAATTTCTTTTTAGGGAGCTCGACATTTCCACCTCCAGTGCTATTTCCTTCCTTTGTGAGAATTTCTTGTACCTTCTTGTATTCGTCGCGCTTCTGGCGCTTGTTCGGCGGACCTGGCATTCTGGCAAGTAGCTTTTGGATATCTTGGATTAAGTACGCAAGTCTATCCTCAATCTAGAGGGCTAACCCGTGAATCTCGTTGATAGTATTTGACTCTTGCTTCAGGGCAGAACTGCGATGCCAAGACTGTACGGTGGGGCCTGTCTACACAGGCGCAAGCACTGGGAGTTTTAAGCTTCACCGTATGTGCCCTACCTCCCTTCGTCTACTGATCTTTAAATCAACTTCTAACCCATTACCGTTTCGAATGGAAAATTTCCTAAATGAGTTCTCTGAGTTCGTTGGAAAAGTGTCAAAACTGAATGGTGTTTACAATAACACAGTACTGCTCAACAATGATCAAATCGGCGAAATGGTCATTGACATGGAGCGGTAACTCAGACTCAGTGGCCCATATGAGGCACATTGTATCTGTATCTTAGGGGTGCCTGGCCAAGACTGTGTTCCCCAGGGTCAATTTCATACGAGGCTATGCCACTTGCTCTGCCGTGATCCATACTACGGAAGAGCAAGGAATGACCATCATCTCCGGACCAAAGTGTTGACTCTGATGTGCATGAATGTCATCGAGGACCAAGACGCCTTAACTTGGTTTATTCTGCACAGTTGTGCTGAATACCCTCCCTCGCGATGGCTGCTAATCATCATTGCAAAGCATCGCAGCACCCAACATATCTCTTCTGGAATCATTTTCGGCACCCGCTGCGTCGCCCATGGGACTAGTGGGTAGTACGATTGTTTGCTTCTCTATGCTTGAAGTGTTGCCTCTTCATCTAGAACTTTCCGGAACCCACTGAGTCCGGTTTGTTGTTTGTACTTTTCTATATTATCAACATGGATTCAAGTATGCTCACTGGCCCTAATCAATATCCATAAGGCCACACTCCTTCCAGGGATGTGTGTGCATTAGAAGCAACAATTGAGATATTTCTTTCCGAGCAAGAAAGTAATATGGGTTTCCTTCCGACTATGGCTTGGCGTCGCATTCGCCCAGATTCATTAATCTCTCTACATTAACAAGAAACTGAATCTGTTGGATGTGCCGAAAGCAATATGTCAAGAATTTCGGTCTCTGGGATAGGAGTTTCTACACCGATAAAATCCGCAATGTAATAGGTGCTGACCACCGAGCCTCTAGACTCGACCACTATAGGCAACATCTGGAGAAATGGGGTGTTGACAGATCCGACAGCTCCAAAGGCCACCGAAAAAGTTGAGAAGGTACCTTGTTTCGTGCATAACAAATACGATAGCTCCAACTACTTTGATGAGAAATTGACCGGTGCAACAAACAAATATCTCAATGTCTATTTCCATCGTGTGCGAGACTGCGAGTTGAACCTTGATGAGATCTCGGTAACGAGTCTTCCGTTGCCGGGAAAGAAACTGAATCAAGCAACGTTGTTACGGCCTGGAGAACCACTCTCATTGATTGACGACGTCATCGCCAGACTATCTGAGGCAGATCAGGCTCTCGCTTTCTTTCAAATATCGCGAGCCTGCGGTCAATGCTAATTTTCTCCTGCGACAGTACCCAACAACTCTACTCTGCACGATGGAATTCTTAGAGCTTACTGCCTGGAATTCCCTCCTTGAAACCAGCAATCTTAGAAAGCATCTACTGCAATTCGTGATTTCGATGGCAGTGCAGATATTTGGTCGGGACCATCCTCTCAGTAATGTTTTGTCAATACTATTCTTCAAAATCAAATCTTCTGGCACCGGTTGAAACGCTCGTACCTGTATGATCAAGCTTCTTCTTGCCTTCGGCTTCCAGAGGGAACATCTCTTGGTGTCGAATGCCTTGAACCGGATTGGTATTATTCCTCATGACGGTGCCGATGAGGACAGATTCCAAGCCATGATAGGAAGGAATTCGTTTCTATTAGACCTATCTTACGATGTGGCACTTCAGCAAATGGCTTATCTTTGTCTCATGGATTCCAATAGATGTACGAAAGATCCTATCGATCCACCCTATCGGACAATACAAGTTGGCACAAGAGGAAGAACGTCCAGTCCTGTCAGAGCGGAGGAAGCGGAGCTGAAAATCTCTGGAAATCAGTGTGTCGTCAGCAAAGGCAATAGGGATCATTTCGCAGCGCTTTTTGGCTGCTTCGGTCCGGAGTAGTTCTTGAGCATGTTACGAGGTCGCAGAAATCGAGGCGGACGCCCTTTGCAATTATCCACTAAACTAATTGCCCTCAAAGCCTTTGAGAGACGGATTTCAGCCATCAGTGCCAGATGGCTCTCAAGTTTGGGCGCACATCCCAGCACCAAGTATCGACAGTCTCTGAATTGGTTCCCCCCGACCTTTCGCAGATGCAAATTCGTATGAAAGGTGCGAAGGCCTCCAACCAGAAGCTCCGGTTTCCATGTTCATGGCAGAGGATCTGGGTCGAACAGCAGATGTTCGGCGTGATAGACGCCGATGACCCAACGGAGATAGATGATGCCTTTGATTTGCTTGAATTGCCCAGCGGAGTTTGGAGTACTATGCTGGGTCACCCTTTTGATAAAGCCTCGAGATTCGCTCCACGACCAATGGCTCATACTAAAGAATAATGATTACATGCTAACGACTACCGGTGATTATCTATGATAATGATCTGTGATAACCACATCAGGTATTGGTGATGACCTGACGAATATAGAGGGACAACACTTTAACCCATAGGATCAAATAACGTAGTTTGTAACATAGCATCGGGGTAACACCAATACATCACATGAGGGCAACGGAATATCAAGATTTCTACTGAGTACATCATCGGGCTTCACAGAGTGTTTTCTCAAGCTGCGGGAGCAAAATATACGAATAACTGTTGCGCGAGGATTCAAAGGATAATTTAATTGCAAGTACTGGAGAAGCTATGTAGTAGAACGCTTATACACATCCCATGGTACCTAGACCGATAAGAGACGACAAAGCATAACCAGGGAGTCGCGCTTCACGAGTCACTGAAGCCCATCACTGCCATCGGAGCCAAATCTTTAAGCTGGCGTGTAGGAGTTGCACCTGGAACAAACCCCAGTGGACGGAAGGGCCCTTGCAGCGCTCACGCAGGTGTCAGCGAGTTGCTTGAATCCCCAAATGGTAACGAGTACTCCGTACTCGGACAGTCTAAAAGAGTTTTGATACTGGGCGCCTATTAGCGTTGCTCCGCTTGGCAGTTTTGTCCGGTTTGTACACATTTTTCACGGAGAACTCGAGCCTTCTGAACCACAATACGCCATGTCAAGACGAACAGAGCAGAGCCTGAAACCCTGATATGCCGGCTCCCAACCCTCTCCAGTTCCGTGAAAACTACTTTCTACAATGCCCCCTCCGACGAAACGACGGCGGACCGAGCCGACCGCAGTGGAAGAGATCACCTTTGACCTGTCCGCACGACAGGAATACTTGACGGGGTTCCATAAGAGAAAATTACAGCGGGCGAAGCAGGCCCAGGAAGCGGCAGCGAAGAGGGCCAAGGCGGAGAGGATTGAGCATCGGAAACAGGTACGACCCAGCCGGTTGGGAGAGGAACTTCAAGGGCTAATTTGGTATTTGGGAAACAGATTCGCGAGGAACGAAAAGCCGACCTTGAGAGGCATGTGAGAGAAGTCAATGCTCTCCTTGTGCCTGCGGATGCGGCCCCGGGGGTGGATGATGAAAGGGAGAGTTCAGGGTCTGACGATGAATGGTCTGGGATTACAGACCTAGAACCACCTCCGATTGATCATGAAGCGGAATACGTTGATGAGGACAAATACACCACAGTGACAGTGGAAGCGATGGATGTGACGCGCGAAGGGCTGTTCAAGGCTGGGCAAGAAGACGCAGAAGAGAACGAGGAACAGGCCCGAGATGCCTCAGAAGAGCCGGCGTCTGAAAAGAAGCGAAGATGGACCAAAGACAAACCCAAAGATGCTGGTCACAGGGGCAAGAAAAAGAAGAGGAATTTCAGGTACGAGAGCAAAGCGGAGAGGAAAGCAACTCGATACAAGGAGAGATCCAAGAACAAAAAGCAAGCGCGAGAGCGAAAGTCTGGATGATATTGTAGTCATTCGTCAAAACTGATTAGCACGCTTCGCCCTGTATTGGATATTGGATGCCCATGGTATCATTTGATATGGAGTGATGGAGGCCCGGTGTCGTTGTCGTTGCCGTCGCCGTGGTCATAGTCATTGGTCTATGCATAATGAGTCCAACGACTGGCCAGAGTTCCAATTGCACGCAATCCTCTGGCTGACCAGCTGACACAAACAATGCTCGGCGGAGAGGGATTAGATGCCGCCCAAAGAGGTCTCCAAGTCGTGCAGCTCTTTCTGGAGCTCAGCATGCTTCTTGGCCATCTCCTCATACTTGCTTTCCCACTCGTCTCGGGCTTGCTCAAGGGCTTGGACTTTACGTTCGTAATGGCCCGCCTTGACGTCGGTCTGTCGGAGTCTGCACAGTGTTAGATCCTGGCGGTGAGGTTGCAACGAGCATTTCTGGGCAGGCTAGGCTCACTTTTCATTTGTCTCCCTCAAAGTCTTGTCAGCACTCTCGGCTTCCTCCTCGAGCAGTTGCAACTTTCGTGTCAGAGATTCGTTCTGTTGACTGTGATTGGAAGACTCGCTGGCAGCAGTCTTCGCTTCCTTGATGGACGTCTCGAGTTTCTCAACCTCGGACTCAAGGAGTTGATTGCGGTGGGTGAGGGAAGTGATTTCTTGTTCCTTCTGGAGGTTCTCTGCTTCAAGGGCCTTGACCTTGGCCTTGAGTTCTTCGCTTTTGGCAGCGCTCTCGTCCGCTTCGATGCGGAGAGCATTCATTTTCTGGTGGAAATTAGCGAGAGCGGAGGAAGCCATGTTGAGACGGCTGTTGCAGACGGGATGTGTGTGAGAGAGAAGAGGGGTTTTGCAGTGAGGACGATGATGAAGAGGATGGGGTTGATGACGATGAGATGAAGAGCAGGTGCGGCATGATGAGGGCAAGGCAGTTCAGCGGATTTCAGATGGAGTCACGCCAACCTCAATGTGAATGTTGGCAAGTGCAGCTCTGGTGCCCGCTGTGCCTGCCTGGACAGTGTGCCTGGACAGTGAAGGTAGGTACGAGCATATTGTGATTGAGGTGGCATGCAGGCGCAGCTAATAGGTGGTCGAGAAAGACGTACCTCCTTGATACGGTCCATTTTGACTCTGACTGGCGGGGTGGTGCAACGGACAAATTCAGAACTGTTGATGACAGGCGGTCAGAAGGTGTTGGATATTCGGCGGATAAGTGATAATGGTATTTGGAGACTTCAAAGGAGTCAGGTCAGCGCAGTTCGGTGGATAGCAGGAGTACAAGTAGTTATATGGAATTGGAACTGGCACGCTGGAAGGCGGTGGGATGGATGAGACGGAAAAGGAGGGGCTCTTTTCGCTAAGCAACCTGAATCCAATGGTATTCTGCCCTTACAGGTGAGGCTGTTGACTTTTCTAGGCGGCAGCTTTTCAAGATTAGGTGCTACTGAGCCCCTTGGCTCCCCCCGACGCCGCTGTGTGCAAGTGTTTCAGGGACCGGGAGGGGAAACCTGCAGGGTTGGGGGTGCCCAGGTGGGAATGCAGAGAGGCGGGCCTTGCCGGTTGCGAGGGACAACCGGCGTCAACATCCAAGCCTCCTCCTCCTTCTCGGACACGTAGCCTTAACCTTTCATCCCTTTGCGAAATCCAAATATAACGACAACGACAACGACAATTAACAACCTGCAACGACACCACCATATATACTTGAACCTCACCATGCTAGCCCTTCGAGATCAAGAGAATCTCGCCCACGCCCATCAGACAGCAGCTGCTGGAAAGCCTCTCAACCAAACCATCCGAGGGCTCCAGCCCAAAACTCCAGGAAACTTCAAGACTCCTTTCAGACCCTCAAAGAACGACGAGAATAGACCTCTCGAATTCAAAGGCCAGAAGACCACTCTCAAGAATGGACCTAGCAAGTTGGAGAAGAATGCTTTTGTTACTCCTTTAGGTGAGATCGCCGTGGTGCCACTGTACTCTAGTTACTGACACATCCTAGCTCCACGAAGCCGGGCACCTCTAGGCCAGAAGACCACCAACGCAAAAGCACACGCGTTTCAGACCCCCGCCCCTGCTCCATTAACCATCAAGCCCGGCAAGACTGTTCAGAAACACTCTTCAACGCGTCGTTCTGCACGCTCCAAAATCTCGATTGCGCAGTCTGAACCGGTCGATGCGGATGTGCTTACAAAGAAGCAACACGAGGACGAGGAACCAGATTTTGGCTACGCCCCTCCTCCACCTGTCGCCCTCCCGGACCCTCCATTGGAAATCAACCAAGACTTGCTCTTGGACCTTTCAGGAGACTACTGCTCCGCTTTCGGCTCTCCGAAGGACGAGCATGGGGCCTCACTTCGACTCAGACGAGAGGAGGAGGAATATCAGCAATATCTGAAGGAGCAGAATCGAAAAATCCTTGCTAGCTTAGACAAACCTCTTTTCCCAACAGCCAACGAGCTCAACAAACAGGTCGATGATATGATCGCTGCAGGACCTAAGAAAAAAAGACCTGCTCATTCTAGAGTCGATACTATGCAGGCTAAATCTGCCGCCGCGCTCCTATCTGATGCTCAGCCTCGCCTTCCACCAACTGCTTCGAGGCAAACCCATGCGTCTGAGCAGAAGCAGAAAGGCCTTCTTGGCCTTGGGCGATCTAAGCCGGCTTTGCCTCCCCAACCTCGATCTTCAAGTCGGGCTGGATATGCGGCACTATCGAAGAATACCATCGGCTTCCCAAAAGCGAAGAAGGCCCCATCTATTATCCCCAAAGGACCTCAGTCACAAAAGGGCGTCGCCGCATACACATCAAAGGCGATCAAGGTTGACCAGGCAAAAATTCACCCAAGAGACTTTCGAGACCTTTACGGATCCCCACCAGCTGAAAGTGACATGTGGTTCAGGCTGAAGAACTACGAGCTGTTGGAGAAGGATTTATTCCAAGAAGACGGCGATAGCCTTGCCGATGAGTTGTTCGAGCCCGACTTTTTCCCATTCGACAACTCGAAGCTGGATGATGAAGACTTCCAGTTGCCCATGCCTGAATGATCCTCTTGCCCGGTCGATTGTTGTTCTGGAACCCATGTCTCGCTTTAATTACAATGGTGGAAAGGGGCTATGACTGTAGATGAGATGATTCATGAACGAGATACCCACTCAGGATGCAATGAGGCTATCCTTGGACGAATTGAATTGTATGAGTAAACGGATTGGTCTTACCCGGTGTATCATATTATAATAGACATGCCCCTGGTTATCACGATTTGGTCAACCCTGATCACGAACAAAAGATGCTCAGACATGACCAGGCCGCCCATGATCTTTCGTCATACTTGCCGCATTGATGCTGAATATCATCTTGGTACAATAATCTTCCTCCAGCTTTTTAAGCGTGGGCACTATGATAGTATATTGTCTCTGTTATTGCTGTGCGGTACCCTTTTGTATCAACTCCAGCAGAACTACCCCAACCCTGACGCCTGACGACCTCACGGCAAGGAATCCACCGCGCCATTGGTACCCCCATTCACCTCCTGGCTCGTGAATCCCTTGGGTACCTCCGTGACTGTCCAGTTCCACCCGAACTTATCCTCAATCTTCCCTTGTTGAATACCCTTCAGCGTGCTCAACAATTCCGCGCACACCGGACCAGGATCCAGCTTCTCGTTCACGGGGTACTCGAACTTCTCATTCTTGGATGCCAGCGTGATGCTCTTAATGGGCACCAGACTTGCGGCCGTGCCTGCGGCCATGACCTCGCTGAACTCCGAGAGCTCTGCATACGCGATGCGACGGCGCTCGACCCCGTAGCCGAAGACCTTCTCCGCGATCTCGCACGCCGACTCGGACGTGACCGACTTGATCACATTCTTCGAGTCCGGCACGACAATCGTCGTCTTCCCTGTCGCCGCATCCTTGCGCACGCCCAGAAACCCCGAGGTCGAGAACTCGTCGATCTCACTGCGCGTCTTGCTGTCCAGGTGCAGGGTGATGCCGTAGCCCGCGTTTCGGGCCTTGTCGGAGTGTCGTAGCACAGGGGCGTAGTTCCCGCCAACCTTGGCGCTTCCGGTCCCCTCTGGTGCCGCTCGGTCGAAGTCTTCCAAGATCAGGGCGTCCACGGCGTGCACGCCGTGGTAGACGCCCGTGGGCATTACGAACACCACGAACGTGTACTCGTCTGGCGGGTTGAGGCCAAGCTGGGCGGAAGACCCGAACAGCAGTGGTCGGATGTACATGGCCGCGCCGGTCTCATGGGGCGGGACGAACTCGGCGTTCGCTGCAACGGCCAAGTTGACACACTCGGTGAAGTGCTCCTCGGGCACTGGCGGGACTGAGATGTAGCTGGCTGAGTGCTGCATACGCAGGGCGTTTTCCCTCGGGCGGAAGATGGTGATTGCACCCCCTGGTGCTCGAAATGCTTTCATGCCCTCGTAGCATTGCACGCCATAGTTCAGGCCAGGCGCCATACCATGGATGGACAGGTGCGGGGACTGCACGAATCGTGGTTTGGACCATGATGGGTTGGGTGCTGAGTGTCGGAATGTCGACTCGATGTGCCCGTTGACCTCGCGTACTTTAAAGCCAACATTCGACCAATCTAGTAGGGGCGTGGCGTTAGAATGGGCGATTTTTTCAAGCGGTTGAGGCGGGTTGACGACATACCAATTGTACTCACCGGTGGAGGTGGGAAGGGAGCCATGGTCGCGGATATAGAAACGGAACGGTGAAGACTGTCTTAGACGAGGCCTGACCCGACACCTTTTTAACTGACGATTTCTGAATCACAAATACCGTCCAAGCCCTACAGAAACCTGCGGTTGAGGGATGCACAGTCACCCGAGCTGTTTTTAAACCTTTTGTAAGATACTAGCACGCTTGAAACCCGCTGGCTTACGGATTTGATTGGCAAAATCAGACACGCGCAAGGGGCGCTGGTATGTCAGCGGTGACTAGTATGAAATCCTTCAAAGCATCCACATTGACGCGCGGGTGAGACGGTCTATAAAATATTATTTATCCAGAGATTGCGATTCGGTGCAGGGAACGACTTGTCTTTGACTGTGGGCTTGCCGTGCAGTGGGCAAAATTCGAGGGATACAGCGAGATCGGAGCGGAGAATCTTTTGGCGGGGGATTCCTTCCGTGCGGCGAATGGAAGAACAATCATCCATGTTCGTGCCATGCCAACCTGATTCAGTCCTTAGCCCTGGCCGTTATTTGATCATACTGAAGCTAGTCGTCATGCCGCTATAACTCCTCCAGTCGTCATCGTGCGTATTTCGTGTTTCGTCGACAGACGACATCCTCAAAATCACTTTCTGGACCGTGGTCTGAGTAGCATTGGTCGTCATCTGAGACATTCCTGATGTCTCCTCCTACTCACTGCTGAGACTCACTACTTGGGACATCTTTTGTCCAATTGCTATCACCGAGCCTGTAGATCCATCCTTCTCGTATTTCCTCTCCTTCGAATCCTTCCAGTTTGATCAGCCGTCATGCCTCGAGCTCCTCCTCCATTCATGGTGGTGCTATCCGCTGTTGCACTTTTCGTATGGTATGTCGTATACACGAGTGGACACGAACGTGATGTTTCGGCCTTGTCCCATGCCAACAGGTTCAACATCGGCCAGGGTCGCATCCAGGACCCAAGACCTCCTGTCGCATCCTCTGAACCCGTCCATGGGGACCACATCATGGGCAGGCTGGGGAATGAGACACTGAAGGCGGACTTAGGAAGAGCTGCATGGAAAGTCCTCCACACGACGATGGCTAGATTTCCTGACAAGCCGACTGCAGACGAGAGCGCAGCCTTGAATCAATACCTTCACCTCTTCGCCAGGCTCTACCCCTGCGGCGAATGCGCCGAGCATTTCCAGAAGGTCCTAAAGAAATACCCTCCGCAAACATCATCCCGCTCCAGTGCAGCTGCATGGGCCTGTTTTGTTCACAACATCGTCAACGAGCGGAAAGGAAAGCCAATCTTCGACTGTGCCAACATTGGAGACTTTTACGACTGCGGGTGTGCCGATGAAGAGAAGGAGGCCATCTCCGCGCCAGGGGCTAAGAGCACCAATATAGCTCAAGGGTTACCATTAACACATCACGAACCGGTGGAAATAGAAAAGGAAGGGCCTACAAAAGGTGGTTGAGATACTGTGGCATTGCTCTCAACCTGAAATTGCTATGTACATGGGCTCTCTTTTTCAATCACCACCAAATTACCAAACCAATCCACGAGCCTTAACCTGAACCATTGAACATCCAGACTCCATCCTTCCGACTGAACCTGAGAACTATGCGGGGCCTCCTGACTTCTGTGGTTGAGTGAGCGTTTTCCTCTTGGGTCGACAGCCTCTTGCAGTGTAGCTTGATTGTCGGGGGCGGCTTGCAGATGAGTCTGATTATCGTGCGGGGCTTTGGCTTTTCTCCCTTTATCGATCGGGTAGCGATCATGGCTTTGAGTTGCTTGTTGGAGATCACTTTGAGTTGTTTGCGAAGGGGAGGGCGGCAGCATTGTTCTGCCGTTGGCTTGGTGTACGCCTCCTCCATCGGAAGTCGATTGCCCATGTTGAGTGTTGTGTGTTGTGTGTTGTGTGGTGTATGTTGTGTTTTGCCTTGAGTTTGTGGTGTTTGTGGTGTGTTGTGTGTTTGTGTGTGAGAGAGAGTGGGGTGTGTTGTGTGTGTATGATGTGTGGTTTGTGTATGATGTATGGTGTGTAGTGTGTGAAGGCTGTCAAACTTGGGATGTGCTGAATGATGTTCTGCACAAACGAGGGGTGTGGACAGGGTTTTATATGGATTTTGAGAGATGTATTCGCTGCTGGAACGCAAGACCAGGTCCTCACACCGAAAGCTAGTTGGACGCGCATTTACTAATGGATTGCAGCAGAGAGGTCCTCACAGCGAAGGCCAGGCGTTAACGACCAAGTTTGCCTTTCTGGCCAACAGCGATTGCTGTGAGTGAGTCAAGACCCAGACATCATTGATACTCGCTATGCCCTATCTGTGTCCCGCGGAACGTTGGGCGGACACAGTAATGGCTAGTGACAAGGACGACATGACCATGAAGACACCCATGAACTGCATTGTGTCTGGGTCATGTCCAAGGCTTGCAGAGTATCGAACTGGAACCTAAAGTGGTGGAGACATGGAAGTCCCATGCCAGCATAACATATTCGAACCCGATTTTTACACTTTGAGATTTCAAGGTTCGACTTACGACGAGATGCCCTGTGTGCTCATGGCAAGTCCGAATCTGCTCCAACCCTGTGTTAGAGCTAGAGGATCCACCGATGGTATTGTCAGACGTACTGCTATAAAAGAAAATTTCCATTTCGTCCTTTCAAATCCCCCTTCTCCCTTTCATCTTGCTTCTTCACCTCTTTCTTCACTTGAGTCACATCTATCCTTCCCCACTTATTTTCGTCCTCAACGAAATCTTTCGACCAGCATTCTATCGTTCTTCACGCATCATCTTATGGCATCTAGAGGAACGTACAAGATGCGTCGGAGCAGGACTGCGTGTTCTGAGGCTTCTTCATGCAAACCGCTCGAGAGGAAAATTGACCTATTCCGCAAGACACTCACCACTTTCGGCTCAAACATAGAACATGAGAATCAAGGACTGCCGATATGGATTCCTTGAACCAGTATGATGGAAACAGTGGTGGAGACGTTCCACGCACTAGATGTCGCCCTTCTGAACAGCAATAGTAACCTACGAATGAATAGGTGTCCCCTCAAACGAAGCCCGTCGACTCTGTAATTGATCTTGGAATCGATCGATTCAGATAGCGCGACCTCCACGCAACAATAGTAAGCCATCTTCGTAACTGCTCTATATACTACCTTCTAATCATTACAGAAAGAATGGCATGTTTATACTTGGTTGGGCCTTTGAAGCATGGAGTTTGGTTACCCTGCAACTAGATTGCAGGGCGAGCAGCTTGCCTTACAAAGAGTCTGGGCGGCTTCTTGCTTGACGAAACAACCAAGGTTCCTGTGGGAGATCTTGAGAAATGCTCTAGGTTCAGAGTTTGGAAAGATGGTCGACAAAGGACCCTCCCAAGGATTCAGAGTTTTGGGAAAGGAGGGCGAGAAAAGACCGTCATTGTTTTCCACCACGAATCTTAGACAACAGGCGACAACCATTCCGAGAAAGTTTCCAACCCTTGGACCTATCAAATCTGGTTCCATGAGCCGACAACCACGCAGCTATTGGCTGATAGGATCAAGTCCAGCAATTCCAGAATTGTTTCTGGACGTGATCCACTGAACATGACTCTGTCCGATCTCCTCGGTAGTGCCGATTATGCTCTATCGAGCGTCGCTGACGCTCGGAGATCTCGTTCCGAAGTGGATGCATGATGTGGAGGCCCACTTCTTTCAGCCTTTCTCGCAGAATGTTCTACGCCCATTGCTGCTTCTTAAGCCTTTTGAGACTTGGAAGCGTGATTTTGAGACCCACCTTGATCATCCAGAGCCTCAACCAATATTCTTCTAAAATACCTCTCAACAAAGGCACCGTCGCTTAAGGAACTACGGGCGAAAACGTCGCGGGTCTTTTGCTCTGCACGCAACGCAGGATTGCGTGTGTGTTTTTACGTAGAGGCCGATGGGACTCTTTGATTTGTTGTGATTAGTGGCAAATGGAGCGCATGATCTTAGTCGTCGAGAACCTGCCCCATATCACGGTCCGAAACGATGAAGGCGGTGGGTCCCAGGTGCTATTGCTACTATTGTATACCCGTGTGGCTATGTGTATCTAAATGCTGGAATTGTGGCGATCTGCACTCCCCATAACATGCTTGACAATTCCCTTCTTAGAGATACCGTATGCCCCGAGCACTTGAGTTCATGGAAAGCCGTTTCACGTTGCACCAACGTGGATTGGAAGCCCATTTCGGTTGTGTTGATTCTACGGTGAAAGAGTCACTGGCTTGACGGGGCACAAGGCTGCGTGACCCTTTTTATCTGCTGCGCCACATTTTGTCTGCGTGCGAGACCAGCCTTGTCTGCATGATTGTTTGTTCGGATTGGCCCACCATAGGGTGCTGCCCCTCCACACCTTTGTTGAGTCGTCAGGATAAGACCCGCACCACGCAGCTAACCTCCAATCCCCCGTTTCTTACTGCTCTGTACTCTTCAATTCCATTTTCGTCATCCTGTCTCAAGCAAGCATGCAGGACCGTACCCCAGAGCAACACAGCAATGAGCATCTATCGCAAAGACCCGTGCCCTCGCTGCTCGACCTTCCAGCGGAAGTCACTGCCCTCATCTGGCACCACGCCTTTGTCCGCGCAGACCCTATCCGGATATACTGCCATCCTGACACCGAATGTGTGGCGTTTGAATCTGGAGAGCACGACCGAGGCGCGCAGATACGCCTCCGGAGCGAAACCTTAGATCTACCGGTCTCGATTCTCGCCAGCTGCCGGCGGATCTACGACGAAGCCGCCCCACTCCTCTACGAAGAGAATTTATTCGAGTACCATCCGCTGTGAGTTTGATTTTCACTTTCTACTACCCTAAATGTGGCAAGGGCTACGAGTCATCCACTATTGCATGCGTATCTCCATTTCTGCTTATGGTAGCCAATCGCGCATGCATTCGCGAGCTACAGGATCAGGATGAAACCTGTCTGACTGAGATTCCGCCGCGAACTAGCTATTCCCGCTTCCCTCCACTCACCCACAAGGACTTCGCGATTATGCCAGCGGACCGCGTTCTATCTCTGGAGAGGATCAGCATCTCCACCCCTTGGTTTGACGGACTGACGTTGAATTCCTACCGGAACTTACGCAACATCACCTTCAGATACCCCGGCGACATCTTCCTGGCGCGGAGAGATTTCCCCTCTCGGGACCATCCTCGCACCATCCGTCCACCCGCGTCTAAATCGCGTGGCACAGAGGAGACCACTGACCATGACGACGACGACGACGACGACGACGAGGACAGAAGTGGAACCCATTACTATGAGCATCTCAATGAAGTCGACCACGATGCCTTGATTGCGTACGCGAAGCGCGACTATGCGCACGAAAGCTCGTTCTACGACATGAGGGCAGCGATATGCCGCGGCATCTCCGCTCTTATCGAAATCTTCATCGCGTTCAATCTGCGGCACTTGGATGACTCCTCCAAGGAAGAGGCTGGGGAGCGAAGTAGGGAGGTCCTGGTAAGTCTTAGCTGTGAATGCAAGCCATTGAAGAGCGTGCTTAGAGGGAAGGAGGGAGTTCTTGAGGAGGTGAGCACCGACAAGGCTGACTGTCGTAAGTAGATTCCAGCGAGGAAAATTCTCCAGTTTGTCGCTCTTAATGCGGAAGAGCGTGTCGCTGCAAGGGAAGATATCCGTATGCAGAGGAGCCTCTGGGGTGGCTTGTCCACGTTGATCGGTCAATGAATAAAGCTGCAGAGAGTGATGCCATGGAGGAGACGAAAGGTAAGAGAACACCTGACGTTCGAGTGCTAGTATTCGCACTCCAGAAAGGTCTGATGTTTTGGGATGTATGACAGTCAGCTCCTTGGGATTGAGATCTTTTTGTCAGAAATATGTACATCCTTCTTGAAGACTCCCAAGAATCTCAGAATGCCTTTTGAATTGTGTGAGAAACTGGCCGCTGCACTCAGCACTGATCTATTGACCGCCACTTCACACACTTTGATTGCCAATGACTGACACAGATCGATTTCCCCGTCACCCTCCCGTATGGGCTGAGATGCCCGCCCATATTCCATCCATTCTTACCTGATTTTGGCCTCTTGTGGCGATGGCGCCACTTCCTATTTCTTCTCCCCCACAAAGGCCTTGTTCGGTGACGGGAAAGCAACATGTGCAGCCATGCTCAACATCATACTGGACTGGCCAGTCCACTTAGGATCATGGCCGGTGAAATTCCCAGGAAAGCCGAGATCAAAATCGGTCTGACTCTCTAGATACTGGATCTGCTCGTCCGTCAACTTGAGGCTCAAGCTCTGAATGTTATCCTTCAGATGCTCGACCTTGCGCCCGCCAATAATCGGGAACACATGCGGGGTCTTTTGCATCACATACGCAAGCGCCACCGCAGTCAGGGACTCGATACCATGCTCATTCGCGACCTTCTCGAGCGCGGCCGACACCTTGGCCTGCTGCTCGGACTGCTCCGAGCCCATGAAGCTGCGGAGACCTTCGCCCTGCTTCTTGCGCTCTTCGATCTGCTTCTTCGACTGGAACTTGCCGCCGCCGACCACGTCCCATGGCGCCAGCGCCATGCCGAAGTGCCGCGCCATGGGAATGATGTCGCGCTCGAAGTCGCGCGCCATGATGTTCCACCGCCCCTGGTACACGCTGAACTGCGTTTTGCCCTGTTCCCGCGCGTACACGTTCGCGGCGGAAACAATCCACGCTGGCGTGTCGCTGATGCCCAGGTACAGTATTTTGCCCTGCTGCACCAAGATGTGCAGGCTGTCCATCATTTCTTCGATGGATGTTGTGTGGTCCTGGTAGCGGTTAGCTGGTAAGGATAGGGCCAGTGGTTGGCGGGCCAGTTTCTAAAAATGATAGATACGCGGCCGTGGAAGGAAGAAACCGTTGTGACTTACCCACCAATGCACATACAACAAGTCGATATAATCGGTCTTCAACTTCTTTAACGAGTCTCGCACGGAAAGGTGTAGACTACGCTTGTGATTGCCTGAGTAGTTGACTGTCTTGCCCTTTCCAAGCTCGTAGCTGCGGTACGGAGTCGTGTATCTAATACAATGTGAGAAAGATCCCATGACTGGGAAAAGGCAGAGAGAGCGATATGACGATCTGTCATGAAAAGGGTTGAGGCTCATGTCACGGCATACGTACTTGGTAGCAAGCACAATCATATCGCGATTCTGGCGCGCTTCCATCCAGTCGCCAATCCATTTCTCTGACTGTTCGTCTTGGTAATTGTTCTGTTGCGAAAGGCAAGGCAGTATTTGTCAGTGTAGGCTCTTCTTATTAATGCTCTGGGGACAAGTTCGTTGGCATGGAGAGCGTGGTCGACTTACAGCTGTATCGATGAAGTTTCCGCCGGCTTCGTAGAATGCGTCGAGAAGCTGGAATGAGCTCTCTTTGTTCATGCTTCCCATGAACTGTACTCATGGGAAAGAATTCGCAATTAGCCTTTATCGTTCTTTGTTGCCGCCAGGACGTGTAGTCTAGCATGCATACCTCAGACCAAGCATCCCCAATGGACATGGCTCCCAGACATAGCGGCGAGACTCTGACACCGGCAGTGCTAGAGAGAATACGATAGCGACCTAGCTCGGTGGTCGGTTCGGGAGCGGGTGCAAAAAAGCTGGCTGCCATCTTTATGGAAAGCGAGCTTCTACTGTGGGAAAAGTGGGATGGGTAGCAGGAGCACAGAGTGAGGCTGTTGGTGATGGGCAAGGAATGCACAGTCGGGAGTTCAGCAGAAGTTAAATATTTATTTGAGGGAGGCACGGATGAAGGACGAAGGCGATGCTTGAAATTGTTTGGACATGGATTGAACAGCTGGACCCCAACTAACAATATCAACGTGCCTCCGGCTGGTACACGACTGGGTCCCTGCCTATCCTGCAGGATGATGACACCATCGCCGTCAAGGAGTTAAGGACTGGCCGGTGCCAGGCCCGAAAATACCACCGCACAGGGCCAGCCAAAATCCGCTTAAACCCACAACAAAATGCCTTGCCTCACGGGGTGTTTGAGCTGTGCGTATCAGTTGTGTGCATGGAACGAAGCACTCGCCAGATGGGGCCTTTCGCCCCCCGGCTGCACTCCACATTATCATTATTGGAGAGTCCGAAACCCGGTCGAATTCGGTAAATGAATAACACATGCAGTGGTGCGAGGGAGGAATGGGGAGGGGCAGGGGTGGTGGAGGGCGAGTGGGAGGGAGCATATCCGAACCAAATGATGGGGCCACAAATGGGAGGACAAGGAACATGGGCATAGGGCAGCATGGAGAGGGCGCGAGGGTTGAGGATTCATAAACACCAGATGCGAGCCCGGCCGAGCCCGGACCAACACCAAGGCGGAGGTCACTACAGTACGTATATCTTCCTGTTTCCTCGGTACACAGGTAGATAGATACCCCTTCAAGGACTTAATGCATGGTCAACACTCCGTAGATCTCCAGTCGAACTACTCAACTCACCGAGGCCGCAAGTCTGTTTCTCGGTCTGTCTGTATTGACCGCTCCGTCGAGCATACTTCAGACGCTCACCATGGCCTCAACGTGTAGACTTCTTACGTGTTGTGGAAGAAAAAACAATTTTCATTTGTGAATTGGTGGCCTGGCAAGTCTGATCTAATGCAGCCGGCGATAACCTTTCCCCATATGGAGTCATTTCCATCAATTGGAAGGTTACAAGCTCATCTGGAGGCCGTCCTCCCAACAAGGGAATAGGAAAAGGGAAAAAGCTCCGGGATATGTAGATGTTCCATCGTCCTCGCAGTAGCAATCAAACTCGATCACATCACTCCTCTACCACTGCGTAAAATATTACTTTTTGAAAGCCACATCCCATGTCCCTTGTTCCTGTTCCCATCCATGTCGGCCTCGCGTAAGCTCGTATGATTGATTCATGTCGAAAAGTCTATTGGTCATCATGTCCCCCTCGTTCGAAAGAGAGCAACCCGCAGTGAGAAAAAACTTTTGTGTTGGTCAAAAACTGGAAATCCGCTGCAAGGACACGAGAGACCTCCATCACCATTGTCTGGTAATCTGCCCACGGCTATTGGTCCCTCATCCATCATCCATTGCGGTGCTCCCTTTTTGGCGCCTCAATTAGACTCTCTTTCGGTGCAAGCCGACGCCGTGTTGTCTGGTCATTCAGGGCATAACATCATCCTCGGTTTGCATGAGGAAGTTCGACATGCTCGGGGTATCTGGAAATCGATCGGAAAAGCCAACGCTATCTATCATGTGTTCATGCTGTGCCCATAAGAATCTCGAAAAATGCGCCCGGGGTCGTATCGTAATCTGGCGAGGAGCAAAGGTCCATCTGGTGTGACCACTGCTCATTATTACGCGTCACCCAGGCACTCTTCCCAAGTGCTGATTTGAAGAACTGGAGAAAAGAAAGCAAAACTCCGTGCGACAATAAATAGGAAAATCCGTCGTCGGTGCGGTGTCGCGGCTGCGATGGAATTACCACCATGACGAAGGGCCGCTGGCACCACCGGGGTTGCCATAGCTGCCACCGCCACCGCCATAACCGCCACCGCCGTAGCCACCTCCGTAAGGGGCTCCGCCGCCGCCGCCGCCGCTATAACCTAGTTGAATGTTAGTGACTGATTCAAGGACAGATTTCGAGATCGGGGCTTACCACCGCCACTGCCGCCGCCATAGCCGCCAGAAGAGCCGCCGCCGAAGCCTCCACCGTACGAAGGAGCGCCTCCCATCCCACCACCTCCAGGAGCGCGACGCACATCACGAGTGCCGCCGCTCCCGCCACGCCCACGGCCACCACCACCGCGACCTCCGCGCCCGCCACCAAATCCAGAGCTTTCACGCGCAATGTTCTCCAAGAAGCTAGGGACCTCCTGATGGGCCTCCTTCAACAACTCGATGAGGTCGCGCACGATTCCACGGTTGCCGCGGTTGAAGAATGCAGTTGACAAACCGGTGTTTCCAGCACGACCAGTACGACCAATGCGGTGAACATAGTCATCAATGTCGGTGGGAAGGTCATAATTGACAACGTGCGTGACATGGGGGATATCCAGCCCACGGGCCGCAACAGCGGTGGCAACCATGATAGGACATCGGCCATTCCGGAAAAACTCCAATGCTCGCTCACGCTCTCGCTGGGTACGATCGCCGTGAATGGCGGTGGCAGGAAATCCCTGATTGATCAGGAAATCAGACAAGGTATCGGCCATGCGCTTGGTTTCGACGAATATCAAGGTCAGACCACCGGCATGAGTGTGAAGAATATCGAGCAGAACAGAGCGCTTATCATTATCCTCAACGTACTCGACCTTCTGGGTGATGTTTTCCGAAGTCGATCCCACACGCCCGACAGACAGGAACACGTAGTCTTTGAGGAAGTCACGTGCCAACATTTGGATGTCTCGTGGGAATGTAGCTGAAAACATGAGGGTTTGGCGGCTCTGCACAGTTGGCATATCTTCACCCTCAACAATGCGACGAATTTGAGGTTCGAAACCCATGTCAAGCATACGATCAGCCTCGTCAAGGACAAGGTACTTGATGTTGGCCAATGAAATACGGCCTCGCTCTATGAGGTCCACAAGACGACCAGGGGTAGCAACGAGTAGATCACATCCTCGCTCGATGGACCGGAGTTGAGTACCAATATCAGCACCACCGTAGACAACGCAAGGTCGGACCCAGGAACGGTAGGCGAACTTGCGTGCTTCATCGTAGATCTGAGAGACCAGCTCACGGGTGGGTGCAAGAATCAAGGAGGTAGGGAAGGCTTTTCGCTGACGGAAGCCACCACCGGATGCAGGTGAGCTGGATGGGCCAGTCTTGAATGCTTGCGAGAGGATTGGGAACAAGAAACCACCTGTCTTGCCAGAGCCGGTCTGGGCACAGGCCATGAGATCCCGTCCGCCCATGACAATGGGGATCGAATATTTCTGTACAGGTGTGGGCACATTGTAGCGTGCAAGTTTGATATTGGTGATTAGATGGTCATCAAGAGGAGGATTGGTGAAAGTGATGACAGGTTCTGGAACATCATGGCCAGATGCTTCGACGGGAATGTCGTCGTAGTTGGCGAAGTTGATACCGGTATGGGCCTTGGTGGGATCGTTGGGGACGCCGAACAGTTCTCGCTCGAGTTTTGGGTTTGCGGGTCCGGGAACATGTTGGCCGTCTTGCCATCGTCCATCTCCTGAACCGCGAGCCGCACCGCCGCCGTAGTTACCGCCGCCGCCGCCGCCGCCATACGAGCCGCCCCCAGGGGCACCGTAAGCGTTAGGGTTGAAGGTACGCGGAGCATGACCAGCCCAGCCATTGCTCTGAGGTGCAGGACCAGGGCCTGCAGGCCCTGCAGGGCCTCCAGGACCTCCAGGACCGGGTTTGAAATCGGGAGCACTTGCCCAGTTGCCATTGCTGTTCCCATTGAAGTCAGAATTGTCTCTCTTGATGATCATGTAGAGCTCACTCACGTATTAGTTGCCCAAGCACTGCCATTCAAGCCTTGAGCATTGGCGGCAGCAGCACCTGCTGGCGTAGGACCAGCGGCAGCACCTACACCAGCACCAGCACCGTCAAAGTTGTTCATTGGAGGGCCACGAGAGATCTGGCCACGTAGGTGTGGTGGAATATAGGCACGGCCACCAGGCATGCCAGCAGGTGGACCATGCTTGGAGTCGTTCAAGGAAAGACCGTTCATGTTCAAGGAGTCAGCCATGTTGGGTGCTGTCGATCTCTGTGTGGAAGAATTGTCAGCAATGAGATCTTCTGGTACAAACGGAGATAGGGAAGTTAATTGGGGAACTGGGAAGGGAACGTCAAGTTCGACCCATCAGTGAAACGACGAGGTTTCAGGAGGATGATGGATTCGATCGAAACTGGCAGTGAATCGGGAAGTGAATTTGTGCAAAGACGAAAGCAGTGGCTTTGAAGACTCACAGAACTGATTGTGAATTCTTGATAGATTGAGTCAGAGGGAGTATTCTGGATGGAGGGGAGGAAGATGAGTTGATAAAGTGAGGCTTGCTAGAGCGTCTAAGGTGAGGTGTGATTTGATTGGGATTGATTGGGATCGGGTGGCGTGGGATGAATGAGTTTTCACCGCAAGTAGACCTTTCGAGATCTGGGATAGAAGAGAGACACAGAACGCCTCTCCAAGTCTATCTGAACTTTTAAAACGAAAGGCAAAGGCAGAACGAGAAGGACTGTGGAAATTGAATATGAGAGTGTGGTTTCTTGTGAGGGTGTGAGGTGGTGACAAGAGGTGTGCAAAGCGCAAATGGTAAAAGAGATGCAGAAGTTTTGAAAGGAAAAAAAAGGCGCAGGGAGGACTTTTCTTTAGTGAGAGACTAACGAACCATCAATTGGTACGGGTACGGACTATAACGGGGAAGGCAATGGCAGTCGGACCGTGTCAGCCTGAAGATACCGTCATGATACGCTGCGCTAGTGTTTTAGCGACGTAGTTGGTGATGTGGCCATAGGCAAGAGGCAAATCTCGGCCGGGCGGCTATTGGGCCAACTGACAGGATTGATACACTACTCGCCAAGACAATACGAAGATTTCATTCTTCCCATTCTATCAATTTCTTTGCGTCACTATTCCCTCTTGGGTCGTCATGGGTGTGAATGGGACTTGATAACGGCCCAATGACGAAGAGGCGTACAAGAATTTGTGCAGACTACTAAGGACAGTGGCATTGGTCGTGGATATAGGCAACATGCATGTTTTCATCGGACACCAAGGTCAGATGCATCGGCCAATTGTTCATTCATTCACGCCATGCTTTTCTCATCAATCTTGCTATCCCGAGATGATGTCCGTCTTCTCACTACGTACAAAACCACAGCCAAGATCAGAAAGAACAAGACTGCCTTTTGCACATACTCCTGGGTGACCATACCCATCACGGGAATCGTGATGTCGGCTGCGCTTGGTATATCTTTTGGTGGTTCTGGCTCTGCCGTGCCTTCTATCAAGTCAATATCATCGGATCCATCGTATTCGGGATGTGCATCCGAAATAAGGACTTCTATATCAGTGTAAGAAAAGACCTGCAAAAATAGGGATTCGAGAGCAGTACAAAATACCCGCCCTCAAACCTAGAGCTCGGCATGGGTACCTTCGGCTGGGACTTCCAGCTCTCCGCTCTTCACAATCGTGACAGGCTTCGAAGGGCGGTCACCAGACCCCTTTGGGACGTTTTCGATCTTCTCAACAATGTCGTATCCCTCAAGCACCTCGCCAAAGACGACGTGACGACCATCAAGCCAGCTGTGTTCTTTTGTAAGCCCATGCACTTGCTCTTTGGCTGCTCTGACAAACCTTGTAATGACGGTGGTGATGAAGAATTGCGAACCATTGGTATTCTTGCCAGCGTTGGCCATACTCAAGAGACCCTTCTTGGTATGCTTCAATTTGAAGTTCTCATCCTCGAACTTGTCTCCATAGATGGATTTACCACCAGTGCCGTCTCCTCTGGTGAAGTCACCACCTTGGATCATAAATTGCTTGATGATACGGTGAAAGCTGGACCCTTCATAACCAAATCCCTTTTCACCAGTTGCGAGGGCACGGAAGTTCTCTGCAGTCTGTTCGCATCAGCCACGTTAGTTCTGGGGTTGCTGGGACCACTAATGGGTTGATCTACATACCTTTGGAACAGTCTTGCCATAAAGGCCGAACACGATTCGGCCCAAAGACTCGTCACCATGCTGGATGTCAAAGTAGACCTTATGGGTAATCTTGGGGCCTTTGGCAGCCTCCGCAGTCTGACCGAAGAAGAGGAAGGTGGCGGTCAGAATGACCATCAGCGAGACGAGGACCCGCTGGATGTTTGCCATGTCGAAAATCATGGACGTTGTGAGCTATAGAGGTCAAGGAATGAAGCAACAAGCTGTTGCGTCAAAGGGGTTGGTGCTCAGGACAGATGTACTTCCCGATTGCCAGATGGGGGGACTGAGATGGGGAACTTGCGTGTCGTCTCGACAAGTTATGGCTCACCGTACTTTGTCACGGAAATGAAACAGGAGGCACCCGCAAGCCACCCAGCCCGTAGGACTCGTAGCCATCGATTACATAATAAGTGTCATTTGAAACTGCCAGGCGAAAGTTGCCCCTCAAGCCCAGCAGGGTTTCAAATGACAGGGAACCCAATGCACATCGTCGATAGCTCATGTCCAAGTCATCCTCTCTGGGTACTTCTCACTGTTCAATCTACTATATAATATTCAGGCTCAGGGATGTCCTCCGTACCTTGTTAAGGATGCTTGCCTGCCCGGCGCCCACTCTTTGAGCGGAGACACTCCGAATTAGGTCTCCAAACCAGCCCTGGTAGGAAAGCATTCATCTGCAGGGCTAACCTATGAACGGCATGGCACACAACTCGCTTGTCCAAGATCTCATAGCCCAACTGCGGAGGACGGAGTACCTATGAGCGAGCTGTTCGGGTGATGGGGAGCCCAAAGTAGCACAACGTACGAGTATCTTCGCACCCGCAGCTGCATGATAGTGATGTGTCAGCCTCATGTCCCCTCTCTCTACTAGGTGGGGGTGGGTGGAATGATCACATTGTGTGTTTCCCAAGTCAATTCCATCATCCCTGTGTGCATTAACAGAATATTGCACTCTGAACGCACTCCTTCTAAGGCTGCCTGTCGTCTTTTTGATCTGCTCGCGCATCAGCGGTTTTCTAGATGCAGATGCCATCGAAAGGCGCTGCACAAGTGAGTGGGATTGTGGCAGCCTTGCTGAATCTTGCCACAACCAAGTTCATGCAGTACTGTGATTGATACGCTATACTTCTTGACAATGGTACGAGATCCTCGCCTTCCCTCACACCGCCCTCTACTCTATCAGTTTGGCCCAAGAGCTGATCCAACCAAGGCGACCACTGAGCATAACTTCCTTCGAATCCTTGTCAATCCAGATAATGCCAATATTGAGTATGTCCAACTAGAGGACGGGCTGCTTCGTACATGCTCGGATTCCTGTCTCCATACAGTCATGATTTGACACATGCAATGTATTTAACGACTCTCCAGCATTGTGGCCATTCACGGACTGAATCCAGTCAACAAGAAATTCCACGCCGAGGCAACGTGGACGGCAGAAAACAAGAAGGTGTGGCTTTACGACTTTCTTCCTACGCGCTTACCAAATGCGAGAATCTTTCTCTTCGGTTATAACTCCAATGTTGCTCTCGAGACGTCGGCAGCCGGTGTCAATGAGCAAGCGGTCAATCTGCTCGATCGGTTCGACGCACAACGGAAGCAGGTATTGCCACAAAGGCCGATCATATTCATCGCACACAGTCTGGGTGGCATTGTAGTGAAGAGGGTAAGCTGAAGTGTTGTTCTCCGTCCCGAATTGCTCACAGCTTCAGCATTCAGCCTTGCGTTGCACCCATCTTCTCCACCCTCAATGAAATCATCTGTTGACGCTCGTTAGGCATTGGTGGAAGCGAAACTCAACGACAAATACTCCAGTATTCGCCGAGCAACATTTGGGCTCGTCTTCTTCGCAACTCCTCATCGTGGTGGCAATCATGCAAAATTAGGCGACATCGCAGCAAAAATTGCCAGATCAGTCCTATGGAACCCAAGGAATAGCTTTATGGATAATCTCAAATATAACTCACTGTTTTCTGAGCACCTCCAGGACGAGTTCAGACATCAGTATGAAGACTACCAGATACTTTCCTTCTATGAAACGCGTCCAATGGGGTCGATGGGCCTGGTATGTGAACATAACTATCATGGATTACAGCTAACATACTCTAGATTGTGGATAGACACTCTGCTACTCTTGGTCTCTCCGGACAACGAGAAACCACCATTGCTCTTGATGGCGACCACAGAAGTATCTGCAAATTTTCTGAGCCAAACTCAGCCTATCAGCAAGTCGAAGACGACTTAGCATCGTTGGTCGAAGAGGCACTTCAAAGTCCTAGCCTTTTGGAGGAAAGGCTCCTAATCCCTACTGCGCACGCACCTACATGTAAGTGTCGCGAAGCCTTTGGACAGGTGCACATTTGCATTGCCAAACTCGAGGGCCTCCTAACCGCACTTTCGGCTATCCGTTTCATCTTTCTAAATGAAAGTGACTGGAGGATATGTACTGATCTGGCTCTAGTTTTTGTACCATATCAAAAGAACCCAAGCTTCGTTGGCCGTGGGAAAGTCATTGAACATTTGGTCGAATTACTCTCACCCCACCCTGGCTGGCAAAGACGGGCAGCCCTTTACGGGCTTGGCGGAATTGGGTATGTTCCCCATGAAATCAGAGTGGTGTCTTGCTCATCAGTACAGCAAGACTCAAATTGCTCTCAGTTATGCCCACTGGTGCAGAGAGACCCAGCCAAAGATATCTATATTCTGGGTTCATGCCAGCAACCTGGAACGATTTCATCAATCATTTATGGATCTAGCTGAGGAGCTAAAGATCCCAGAGGCTGCTTCGCCAAAAACAGACATCCTGGTTCTTGTGAGAAACTGGCTACGAACGAAGAGGGACAGTGGAAATTGGTTGATGATCGTTGACAACGCTGACGATTACGAGATGTTCTTCAAGCCACCTAAAGTCCAAGGGAAAAGAAGCTTTTCGGGCAGACTTGCGGATTACATACCTGACTGTGCACATGGTGCTGTCTTATTGACAACTCGCGACAAGAAAGTGGGCATCGGGATGGTAAAGAAGATGAATTCACTGATACATGTCAAACGCATGAGAGATTTGGAAGCAGTTGATCTAGTTCGGAAGATCCTTGAGGATGAAAACGAATATAAGACGGAGGACATTACCAAGCTTGCAAACAAATTGGAACACATACCACTTGCTCTCACCCAGGCCGCAGCCTTCATCTGGGAAAATACTTCGGCTATCACCACATACCTACGGCTCTATGAGCAGAGCAGGATCAATGCAATGGAACTCCTTGATCACAGCTCTGCCAGTACGGCGGCTGAAGATGAGGCTCGAAATGCAGTGACGACCACATGGATGATGTCTTTCACAAGAATCAAGGCACAGAACCCTTTGGCTGCGAACATTCTCTCTTTATTGGCCTTTCTCGATCGACACTGTATTCCCGACGAGCTGATCAGGAGGCAAGATACGAGTCTTTCAGATATGGACTTTGAAACTGCTTGTGGGCTCTTGAAAAGATTCTCTCTTATCGAAGAGAGTCCCCTCATCATAAACGGGAAGATGCATTCAACATTCAGTTTGCATCGGATGGTGCAACTGGTGACACAGAAATGGCTTCAATTCTATGAGCAGGCGGCTGTCTGGGCGCAACAAGCTCTGGTGGCTGTCTCAATTGTCTTTCCTCCTGGAGAAACGGAAGAATGGAAAAGCTGCGAGATATATCTACCGCATGTGGAAGTTGTCCTAGAAAGTCAAGCGCAGTTCGATAGAGGCAGTGTTTTGGCATCAAAGGCAGCATTACTGCACAACGCAGGCACATATTTTCGCGTCAAGGGCTACCATGGTCGTGCTGAAGAAACTGCATCAGAGGCTGTGGCTGTTAGAAAAGCTTTACTAGGAGCGGAGCATCCTGACACTTTGGCGAGCCACACTAGCCTTTCACGCATTCTTCTTGAGCAGGGGAGGGTTGAAGAAGCTATGACACTACAGCTTGAAGCGGTGGCATCCTCAGAACTATCCATCGAAGAGGATAATCCAAACTTGCTTCGGGCAATGGCTCATCTGGGCTCTCTCAATGGTATTCAGGGTCGTTATGAAGAAGCTGAGCGCCTGCAAGCTCGTGTGCTGGAAGTCAGCAGACGGACACAGGGCTTGGACCATCCAGATACCCTGCTAACCATGCGTGACCTAGCTGTCACATATGGGCATCTGGCCCGATATGACGAGGCAGAATCGCTCAACAAGCAAGTCCTAGAGCGCAGGAAGCAAACTCTAGGCGAAGACCATCCTGAGACTCTGATCAGCTTGCTTGATCTGGCTGCTACATATGGTCGGCAAGATCCATACGAGAAGGCCAAGATGGCCGAGGAAATCGAAATCGGAGTGATTGAAGCTCGTAAAAGAGTTCTTGGTGACGAACACCCAGCCACCATACAAGCAATGGAACAACTTTGTGGAACATACAAATGGCAAGAGAGGCATAAGGACGCAGCTAAGCTTCAAGAACAGATAAATGCGATTGACCGACGAGGCGGCCACAAGACAGATAAGCTCTCAGGTACTGCATTACTAGCCATGAGCCATGATATCACGACATACCAGCTGCCACTGCTAGTACGACGTGTTCGACGTATGTCTCGTGATGGATGTATCGTCGTTGGAAGCACAGACAAGGGTTTCGAAGAGAAACCGAAAATCCGAGCGATGAAGAGCTGGGCCGATCTGAGTTACGTGGTAGACGCCCCGACAACTGTAGAGAAGGTTGAAACGCCCGCCACCAACATGGTTGAGGGGCATCATCACGCCCAATCAGTGTCGGCTTCCTCATTACTGTTATCCCCTGCAAACGTCCCCACTTGCGAAAACCCAAGAAGATCGCGAAGCCCTGTTCCCGGGTTTCGTTCTCGCTGGAAGAGTTGGCAGGGGACTCTTGACTCAGAGTCCGTCGAATCGCCAGAGAAGTCTCGGAAGAAAGGCTGGAGTTTGAGACGTTAGGCTCAGTCTATGCTGCAACTCACCCAAATTCGACTTGATCGCGAGCAATAGTCTGAATAAGAGAGTAATTTGTATGGCCTTTTAGTCAAGGATTTATGGCGAATGCTAACCCTCGTCAAAAATGCTAGCGAGCCTCATTCTGATGTTAAGCTCGGCGTAACCAAGGACTAGCACGGATGTGACATACTCTTTTACTAGTGCAGGTGATCAAAACGGCAAATTGATCCCGGCAACGAACAGTATCAAACGATTTCAGTCTCCACTTTCCGCGCGTGGGTTTGTACCCTGGGGAGGGTCAGCCAGCGAAGCGCCTTCAGGGTCATCTCCACCATCCGCCAAAGGCGTAACTTGACTGGGCGCACAGGTTGTGGCTCCAGTCCCGGAGGCAGTCCCAGTCTCCACATCCCCAGCTGTGGCCGTAAACATAGAGTCCACCGTGAGTTCACGAAGCCATTCTCTGATCGGGGACAGTTCCTTTTCTTTTCCATGATCCGCCCAGTAGAATCTACCAAGACCTAGCGCAGCAACAAGGAGGTAACATATCAATAACGCCCTCGGCGCGGTCTTGCCAGAGATAGGATCAAGATCTTGCGCCCATAGGCAACCTAGGTATATCCCTAGGCCCACTAAGAACGCCCCCATCGACGCATTGAGTAGCTCAGGCGGGATTGACAAGATGGCACAAGAATAGAAGCTTGCACGTTTCCATCGATGGCCTTCGAGAAAGCGCACGATGTCTTTCCGGACAAGCTCCCGCTCCTCTCCCGCGGAAGTGATTTGAGCATGCCTTATCCTTGGTCTCAGCCGTTTCTCGAATGCGGTGTACTCCATGCTAGAGATAGGCTTGCATAGCCAGTCTTTCACATCGTCAGCAGTTGCCAACGCAGTGAGTGACCGCTGTATCCGAGTGGAGAAGAAGACCGATAGACAGCCCAACACCAGACTAGTGATGAACGCCCCTTGCGCCGTCCAATGCACCTCCTTGATATACGGAAGCGTAACCGCTGTGATCGCGACTTGAGAGACGATAGCACCGGTGACAGCAAGACTGTTGAAGTCGCTAATGAAGGCATTCCTGAACGCGACTGGATCAGAAACGGCCGGGAATACCGATTTCTCAACGCGATCCATTGTCCGAAGTGTTGACGAAAAAATGGTTGCGACCACGAGCCATTTGATGAAGCTGTGCTCTCTCCGGATCCGCTCTGAGGTACTATGGCCGGACACCCTGTTATAGACTGGAGCATCTGCGACTTGTTCGCGGAAAAGCTAAGCACGGGAACGAAAAATTGGGATGGCTAGAAAGAGAGAGATGACTTTAAAGCGTACCTTATTCGCCATTGCGATAAGGACTAAATGGCGGGCAAAGAACGGAATGAATTTGTGAACAAAAAGGGTAGCAAAGCAGGCGACAAGTATGAAGAAATGGGACAAAGCCGAAGATTGGTGAAGCTAAGAGTGTGGCTGAATCTCAGCCTGTTAGTGTTTTGGGACTTTACGAACAACCCTCAGCCAGAACAAGAGTTTGGAGGTTGATAAATAGCGGCACGCATTTTTCACCAAAGAGGATACATATCAGCGGTGGGTGCACGTCATGACCAGGCACGGGTCCGTTGTAGATGCTCAGATGCTGGTTCAGATTTCCTGCAGCTTCAAGAACAAGGAGATTCATTTGTTGGTGAGGAGACACTGGTTACATGCACGTCGCTTCAGCCTTGCTGTTCCTAAAGCCGGCTTCAACCCCAGATGCCAAGAGGTTGCCAAGAGAAGATATAAGGCTGGTGCCGGCGTTAAACCCCTTAAGTCCCCTGCCTACCTGCCGTATCCAAGGTATGATCTCTGGACGATCGTTTCTTCCCATTTTCCCCAGCTGGACCTCCCCATAAATCCCCCCGATTCATTTAGCCCGGCTATGATCACAGCAAATCACAACCCGTGTTGTTGAAATCTGTCGTGAGCCCCAGAATACGGACCGGTTTGTGCGCTGACTCCCCGTGGGAACCATGGGCCAGCTGGCTGCTCAGATCGCATCAGCCGGTCCAGCCCCGACGGTAGCCTTGATCGCTGACATGGCTGGGCCGCGTAATAATGTTGAGCCCGAAGCACTCTTACCAAGAGTTACGGGGGGGGTCATGCACCGTATATAAACAGTCGACAATGTGGAACAATAATATTTGCGACTGATTTTCCTCCCAATTGCCCCATTCGAATCTCAAACGAATATCTTTAAGTTGGCTCGACGAGACTGCACTCAGATTCACTGCCATGTTTGCTAGCGCAGCAGAAGAGGCCCAAAGCCGGCTCCATGTTGAGATCATTCCCGGAACCGAGATTCTCACGGATCTTGAAGACACACATTTCATTCGTGGTGGCCGACAAGGTGTTGTGCTTGTGCCACAGCCAACCTCAGACCCGCATGATCCTCTGGTAAGATGCGGCAGTGTGTTCACAGCAAGCAGTGTGATGGCTGATTTTGTGATACAATCTTAGAATTGGAGTCCTTTCTGGAAGTATGTCACGCTGCTCAACTGTTCACTATATATGTTCCTCGGTAACTTTACCGCCTTGTCTATCGCTCCGTTGACACCCATCTACCTGGAATACTTTGACACGACCCTGGCAAGAGTCGGGCTTCTGGTAAGTGGAAGAACGCAACAACCAATGCGGCGGGTGTCTGCAGAGGCTGACAGGTGTGAGATAGACTGGCGTTTGCGTCTTGACGCTTGGATATGCCAACTTCATCCTGATCCCATTGGTTCGACTTTTTGGGCGTCGACCAGTGGCACTTGCTTGTAGTGCTCTTTTTCTCGGCTCAAATGTGTGGCAAGCTCTCGCGACATCATACTCCTCCTTAATGGGAGGTCGTGCCCTTATCGGTATTGCCGCCGCAACGAGCGAAAGCCTGATGCCTGTCGTCATTGCAGACCTTTTGTTTCTTCACGAGCGGGGCACTTGGATGGGAATCTACTTGTGAGTTATCTGGACGGTGTGCCGTTTTGTTCATACTAAAGTTTCCCTCAGTTGGTCCTTTTTCATGGGCGCCTGGGCAGGTCCCATTGTCTCGGGGAATATTGCCGCAAATCCGAACCTGGGCTGGAGGTGGTTCTTCTGGGTATCAGCTATAGCCCAAGGAGTAAGCATATATCTTGCCTTTGGAACAATGCTAATGCTCGCTCAGGTGTTACTGATTTCCATGTACTTCTTCTTTCCTGAAACCAAGTACACAAGAGAGCCTTCAATTGCCCACTATCAGCACCACGATGCAGATATTACAAGCCAAGGAGAGACAAGGACTGATGAAAAGGAAAGTTCCGTCGGGACAGAAGAACACGTCGGGCCAACAGAGTTGTCCCCTGCGATGGCACATGTCTTTGGCCAGGGATGGCCAAATCATACTCAAAGACTGGCATTCAACCTTCGCCCTGACAGAGCCGAGTTGAAATTCCTTCCTCGTGATCTCATTACCCCGATTCAACTGGCTACATATCCAATTGTTATCTTCGGCTCATGCTGTCTTGGTTTCGGCGCCAACTGTCTTCTAGTCCTAAACCTTCTCGAGTCACCTGGCTTTTCAGCTGAACCCTACTTCTTTAGTCCATCAGCAGTCGGATTTGTCAACTTTGCATTGATGGGAGGTGGTATCTTCGGTCTCCTAACTGCAGGTCCCTTCTCGGATTGGGTTTCAATGAAACTTACCATTCGGAACAACGGTATCCGTGAGCCGGAGATGAGACTCCCCGCTTTGATCCCATTCTGCATCGTCGGCTTCGTCGGGCTCTTGGTGGCAGGTCTAGGCTGGCAAAATAAGTGGCAATGGCCTGTGATTGTCGTGGTTGGTTTCGGGTTGAGCGGTGTGCTAGTCATGGCAATTCCCACAATCGGACTAACCTATGCGATTGACAGCTACAAGCCAGTAGCAGGGCAGATCGCAGTCGTGGGAACAGTGGTCAAAAATACATTTGGCTTTGGTATGACATATTTCATCAATGACATGGCAGAGCAGCATGGCTATTTGGTGCCAGTAATGCTGTTGGCTGCGCTTGGTGTGGGCATTCCAATATTGGGCGGGGTTCTGCTTTGGTTTTTCGGCAAATCTTGCAGGCGCAGCACCAGGGACTCAAAAGTACACCAATTTTAATCCGAGTGCCGAATGCGCTGCGGTAGATAGGGTTATCAGCAAGGTGTGAGTAGAATCAGATAATCCCGTCTTATGCCTCATCTCTCGAGCATGTACGTGTACCGAGCCCTGACCACCGCCAACCCTCAGCCTCGTTACATGCAGGAATTTCACCTATATATTCGTTGATTTCAGATTTTAAGATTTAGAAGTTTCACCTCCAATCTGGTGGACTTTGTTCTTAGATACATTTAGTCTCAGCGAATTGCCCTTACTTGCTCACACTAGACATTATCTACCTGCAATTACCTTTAGAGGCATATCTATCATTCTATGCTTTGCTACCCTACAGCAGGACGCGGATTTTTTTTTGTTTGAAGCTGCCTACTATTCGGGTCGCTTGAGGAACACTTTATGTGAGTTCATGTCGCAATTTCTTCATTGGTAGCAGTTTGAAATGATCCGCAGTGCAGATGTTTATCATGACGGCTTTTGGCTCCCCACCGGGGCGAGAAGATTGAGGATATACAATGTTTAGGATATAAGATATTTAGAATATAGGATGTTTAGGGTGCACGATGTTTAGAAAATGGCGATCTTTGACTTGGTTTTTCTGTCCTGGCACGGAATCTCATAATCTCCGTTGTGTGGTACGACAAACGACACATAGTAGAGACATCCACGTATATTCTATCTGTGCGATTATCATCGCCAAGCCAAGCATGAATTAACACAGCTGTATACCTTGCTGTTCCGGCTATTGACCGCAAAAGTCCCAGCTATGGGACTTCGCCGGCAACTTCCCCTATTCCCTCCGCAGCCTTGTCGGGATATCCGCATGTGGTGCCGATATTTCCACTAACTCCGAGTCTGCACGAGAAACTTCCCTTCACGGAGTTCTGGACAACAGCTTCGAGTTGATGGACACGTCCGAGCCTTGAAGACATATCGTACTCATGCTTCTTGCTTCATGACAGAGGTACTAGCGTTGAAATTGGAAGCCAAAGACTAGATAACGCCGAGCCATTGTTACAGTTACTTTGGCCGACTCGCCAAAGCATGCATGCATGCCTTGTGGATACTTCCTACAGGTTCGACATAACATATATCTTACTATTGTGCTCTACTGGCTCGACTCTACTAGCTATAGGAACCCTTGACAAAGTTTTCAAGTCCTTATCATCATCATAATTGATTACATGCGTTCATCTACTGCGCAAGACATTCCAAACTTCAAATGATGAGCACGTCTTCACCCCAGGTCATTCTCATCACTGGAGCGTCCACGGGATTCGGCGCTCTTGCAGCCCGCCTACTAGCAGAATGTGGCCACATTGTCTACGCAGGCGTAAGAGCGCACGAGATCACCGAGATAGCAGCTGCCAGAGACTTCGCGACTCAGCACAAAATCGCACTTAGGACGGTCTTGCTCGACATCACAGATGAACAAATAGTCAACTCCGCAGTCAATCAAGTCCTGCGAGATCTCGAAGCGGAAAAGAAACCCAAGACGATCGACATCGTCATCCACAACGCAGGGCACGGCTCCATTGGCCCTGCAGAGGCGTGGAGACCAGAGGAAATGATGAAGTACTTCGACATAAACGTGCTTGGTGCTCAGCGTCTCAACCGTGCGGTGCTGCCGCACATGCGCAAAGCTGGGAAGGGGTTGTTGATTTGGACCTCGAGTTCAAGCACCAGAGGTGGCACTCCACCTTTCCTGGGGCCGTACTTTGCATCCAAAGCGGCGATGGATTCTCTCGCTGTCACGTATGCAGGCGAATTAACGAAATGGGGCATCGAGACGTCAATCATCGTTCCTGGTGCGTTCCCGAGAGGGACCAAACATTTTGAGAATCTGGGAAAGCCAAGAGACGAGACTGGAATTGAGAAGCAATATATGGATGGGCCTTACAACGGGGTTCCTGAGCGGGTTGTAGCGGGACTAATGGCGATTACCCCCGAGGATGCAGACCCGGCAGATGTGGCGAGAGCAATGGTGAGAGTGGTGAACTTACCACACGGCAAGCGACCTTTCAGGGTACATGTTGATCCGATTGACGATGGTGCTGAAGTGGTCAACGGAGTGGCGGATCGAATCAGAGGAGAGTTCTTGAGGCGTATCGGGCTTGACGATACCCTGAGACCTAAAATCTGACGTCTTTGCCAGTACAGTATTACGGAGGGGAGAAGAGACCTTCTAGTGGCTAATCGAGATTCAAAACATGCGAGGAAATAGCTAGTAGAAGTGAGGAAGTGTAAACACACGACTTCGCACCTAATGCCTGAGCATGGGCGGGACGCACGACAGCCACTAAGGATTACTTGGTCCAGTAACTGGGACAGGTTCCGTGAGTGACCTTGCGATAATAAATTGTATAGTTCTCATGGCCTGTACTTGTCCGCGAAAGGGCCACATGTGAAGCTGAATAGTTCTGAGATCACGCAAGTTAGGTATGTGTGCGACATTGGGATACGAGATCACGGATACGATGACGATGAACAGGGAGAACGGATATGACGCGGCAGTTACAACACCAAACCAGCGCTGGATCTCTGCATTCAGCTTTCCACCAAGTGAACGGATTGGTTAAGCTGTGTAGACTGCTTACCTGAAGTCAGTTTGAGGTGCAGCGACGGGGAGGAAAGAAAGGCAAGGCATAATTCGGACTTCACTCAGTCCACACGAAGTTGGAGACGTTGTCGCAAAATATTACGAAGATATGGGAATTGTCTCAAAGAGTTAAAAAGGTAGTACCCTCTCGATCAACGAGAAGCGCTGAGGAAATAACGAGAAAGAATATGGTCTACGGGTGTACAGCTCCGAAACACCCTCCACGTGATTTGGACCCGCGTGGTTTTTCCGTTCCGAGTTCTTGCTCGCCAGGAATTCGAGATCTGAACTTCCGCAACGACGTACTCCTACTCCCGCAGGTCATGAACTCAAGTCACTAACACCAACCCTGTATCTCAATCCATAGCTGCGTAGGCGGAGGGGGAAGGCAAGATGGTGAGCGCCATCCGTGACCTGCAAAGACATATCAGTATCGCTCACAACACACCAGGTCTTCATATTCGGCGTCAACTTCCCGGAACATCGATTTCTCTACGTCCGTCCTTCCTCTGTCCCTCCCTTACCCTTCACTTTCGTCTCCCATACTAACCTATCACTTCTCATAATAGCGTTCCCTTGAATCCTTCTTTGGCATCGGGGTCGACACGCGACGGCGGATAATGGCGAAGATGCATTTACACGAGACGATCAAAGTGGGCGAGCTCACGCAACCGCAGACGATCGAGCTGTCCTCGCAACTAGACGGCCTCAAGATCGAAAACTTGCTGCGAAGGCAAATCCAACAGGATATAACACGCCTGAGAGACACGGGAACCTACCGCGGTAGACGCCATGCTATGAATTTGCCGGTCAGAGGCCAAAATACTAGGAACCAGATCAAGACGGCGGTTAAGATGAACAGGGCGGAGAGGTATTCTTGATCGAATTGTTGACTCTGTAATAAGGGAAAAGACGAAGCTGGATCCCGGTAGGACCATTTAATGAGCGACAGAGATTTGCGCTTCGGGAATCGGCACTCGAGATCACTGCCGTTGTATGAATACATTGAAGTTGCATGCTGTGGTTTTGAATATGGCAGAATTATAACATCAACATGAGAACGGAAAACGACTGAACCTGACAATTAGCGCAAGCTAGCTGGACGGATGTCGCTGGCGACCAACATAGGAATCCACGTTTCGAGAGTATGCCAAGAAAGGATCGTCGATCAGGATTCTAAGTACAGACGCAAGGCAAACCTATCTTCGCTTTCATTCCCTGGCTATATGCTAATAGGGTTATATTTACAAAACTCGCCAAATTTCGCTCACAAATTCGTCGTAACTGTCATGCTATTGCTATGCACAAGCAACGTAGGGGGTAACCCACCCACCAAGACTTCCAAATCGCTCACGTATCCCAAGCTCTCGGTTTCGCTGCGATACGTCCCTTCGCTCGGCGCCGGTAACGTTGTAAAAATGACTGCGGTATCATCGCTATTCTGTGAGATCAGCTCATTGAGGATCAGGTGTTGCGCCCGAGACGGTAGGTCGTTAAAGGATATTTGGACGGACCCGGCGGATGGAAAGCCAGATGCCGGCTTCTGGTTGGAGGAGATGCCATTGCTTTCGTCCAGTTTTCGCTGGTAGATTGATCGGCCAAGGTCAGCGAAGGTCTCTTCTGGCCTCTGGCGTCGCGGGTGTGGGTCGTCGGCGAACATAATTGATGGCCCAGCACCTTCTTCCTCTGCCACTTCTGCGCGGGGAACTGGTGAAGATGTGAAGTTTGGCGATGTCGCCCGAGACCTTTGCGAACCCGTGACATTCAGACTGTTGCCCGGCGAGGTAGTTGTTCGAGACTGAGAGTTACAATCATCCACACCTAGTGTTCGGCCTCTAGGGTCCTTCTGACTAGCTTGATTCAAAATGTCCTGGTCAAATTGAATCATGTGGTCCGGCGACCCTGAAAGATTCGCTCGGCTGTTGGCCAACGAAGTAATGCGCTGCTTGTGCTTTTGCAGTGACTTTTTAGAACTGGCCCTGCTGCTCTTCTTCGATGAGGATTTCGATTTCGACTTGGCTGGGGACTTGAACCCGGCCGGAGGTGATACTTCTAGACCCCCGTCTTCATCCGATGAGCTGACATCGGAGTGCTGCTCCTCATCTTCTTCATCGGACTCAGAATCACCGCCTTCTGAGTCGCTGGGATGCGAAGCATGTCGACTCAACATGTCATCATCAAGTCGTGACGTGCGCATCGTGAGGCTCACACCCAGGCTGGATAGATTTCCGAACGAAGGCCGTTTATTCGGACGGGTGAGGATCTTGCGTAAGCCTTCAAATTGGATCATTGGGCTGTCCCGTTTGTTCGGGAAGGAGCTTGGCCACGTGAAATCTTCCGTAATGGACAACGCCTCAGCACCGCCGATGTCTCCTGATCTACTGACCTTGCCCCTTACTGCTTGGAGTTCTCGCCACCACAATTCGTCCTCCAGTACTTTATTGCACTGGTCCAATGATTCCTCATCAACATCCTGGCCATTAACAATGAGACTGTAAGATTTCATGTCCCCACAAGCCAACCAGAAGACAAGGACTTCAGCCTCGATCCGAAGGTTCTCTAAAAGTGAGACAACTCGAGACCTTTCTTCCTCCACATCAGACTCGTACTCGACAAAGACTGCCACCCGTACTCGATATGTTTTCTTCCAAGACGATACAGTATTGAGAATACAGCCAAGTTGCAAGATAAGAGTGTAGGTGTCGAAGTTTGTGGTTTGCACATGGCGCGGGGCACCTTCAGTTTCCGATGCCAATTCAGCCGACATTTGTATCGGCCAGAGATCGATGTATTTCTTAGTGTTTCCCTGCTCGGCATTAGGCAGCTCCAAGTCACTAAATCCAACAGCGATAGCAACATTGGTCTGCAACTTCAACATCATATCTTCCAAGACCATGACATAGCTCTGGACATCAGTGCGCTTCTCCACGTAACAGATGTCTGTAGGTAGCTCACCCCTCACCTGACTTCTGCTTGTGCGTCGACGCTTGAGAGATGCATGCTTGCGTTCTGGTGGAGGGCTCGGAACGTCAACCAAAGGCTGCTCCGAGCGAAACTGCTGTATGTTGTAAAACCCAAATATCACGATATTTGGACGCATACTTCCGAGACCAGCTGATAGAAATATGTTTCTAGCGCCCCATTCTATCGAAGGTGAAATGGCGACATTAACAAAGGCTTTGATCTTGGAGAAGTCGATATATTTGTTCCAGGCCGCTTGCTGGCGTCGGGCTTCTGGCACTGAAGCCCCGAAGTTTTGTGTAACGATGACGTGGCCAATGATAAACAGGGAACCTTTCTTCAAGGAATTGCAAAACTGGATGAGTTTGTAACCTCGTCTAGGATCATTGACGAATAGCAATATCTGAGGTCGCCAGAACTTGACATGTTCGGATTTGAGACGTAAGAGATACTTCCTGACTTGGTGGTAGATCAGGACCTCGGATATTGAGCCCCAAGGTTTTGGTTGTGTCGTGTAATGAATGACGAGGATCAAAACAAGTAGAATACATACGGAGCCTGATGCAGAGAAGCCATCTACAAAGAACATACTTCCCGCACTCAGTAGTGCTCCTGTAGCAGCTGTCCACCAATTGAAATAGTGGAACGAAGGCCGGAAGTTAGGAGCTGATCCAATCTTGAGAAGAAATGTTGCTACATTCAAGGCGAAAAAAGTCATCAGATAGGTCATTGTGATCAGCGATGCGATGCGGTTGAGGTCCAGAAGTAGGGTCGCCTGTGCGACCGCAAAGGTAAAGAATATTGCGTAAACGGGATCGTCGGTTGACCTTGTACCCTGCCCAAAGATAGCAAGACCAGGCATGACATGGTCACGGGCAATGGCTTGGAGCTGCTTCGCCGGGCCGATAATTCCCATCAATACTGAAAAAAAGGTTGTGGATATTTCGCCCGCAAGTATCAAGATTCCAGAGAGGTTGGTATCTTGCACGACATTGACGTTTCTATAAAAGGATTCACGGGTGATGCTTGCGCCCATGGCAAGAATGACAAGGCCATAGGACACGAACGTCAAGCCGAGGCCACCAAGAGTTCCCCGAGGGATAGATGTGCTGGGATTTCTGAGATCTCCAGACATGCTTGCGCCAGCTAGAATGCCGCCAGTTGCTGGGAAAAGGATGCCGAAGAGATCTTGGAAATTTTCCCTGGATGACAACTGGCTACCAGCGGCACCTTTTGTGAATCGTGGCAGTAAATTCGACTTCAAAGTTTGGACACTGAGACCGGTGAACTGGGTGAACTGTTTTGTTGTTTCAAAGGGCTGCCTTACTGCAGCGGAGAAAGGGATGCTAAAGGTGGCAATAAGAAGAATAAGGAGAAGGGCGTTGCTGGCACGAGCGAAGATGGCACTACCAGCAAGGCAGATGGCAACACAAATAAGAAGGACGAGTGTGCTCCAGAGGTACTGCCACCATACGCCTTCGGGTAGTTTATTCGACCAGTTGCCAGATTCCGAACCGAAATTGTAGTTCAAGCAATCAATCAGGCCGACAGCATTCATGCCGGTGTTGAAGACGAAACCGAGATATGAAACAATGCCAATCGCACCCCCGAATTCTGGGCCGAGAGACCTGGAAATGAGATAATAAGCACCTCCACCACGTACAGTGCCATTTGACGCAACGGCAGATATTGACAAAGTGGTGACAAGGTTGATTAGGTATGCAGCACATAGCATAGCCAGCATGCACAACACGCCGCTTTGACCAAGAATGAAGCCGAATCGAATAAACATGAGGATGCTCAGGACATTCAAGCTTGTCGGTACAAATACTCCAGAAAATGTGTTCAATTTCTCCGTTCCACCAACCGGTCGCAACGAGCTCACCCTTGGTAGGGAGGACTTCTCGGGCTTAGTGGTGGGCTCTTGGAGAGCATCGATCAGGCCATGTCCAGGCGGTTGGCCAACCGCTAGATCGCCCTCGTCATGCTGTAGAGCCTCGCGCACATCTCTAGAGCCATCAAAAGCCCCATAGACTCCTGTAACTGAGGTTCGTGGTTCAGGGCGAGTAGTATCGGATCGGTCAGATGTTGCCGACGTGGAAGTTACGGGCCGGGAGGCGGAATGAAGCGATTCTCCGTGAGCAGATGATGGTTGGGCATCCCTGTCTTGCGAAGTAGTAGGAAAAGAAGACCTCCTAAGTAATTGAGCAGCCTCGTCGGTGGCAGTGCGCGTTAAAAACGTGGGTCGACTGCGAGTAAGAGTACCTCGTCCCAGGTTTGGCCAGACCTTGCCCTCTTTCCCGGCCATTTCTACCGGTTATACGAGATGTGTGACCGGTTCTCACCCATTCTCCAGTTTCCAAGAGCGCAGAACTAGTGTCTCGCAGCCCGGCGGGAGGATGCACCGGTTTCTAGGTGGACTGTCCTGAGCACTGGACGTTGATATTCCACGGTAACTCGGTTTGTGGCGGTGCAGAAATGAAGTAACTTGTTGGTGTAGGGCTGAGAGTTCTGTCAGCTGGAGAGGGTGGATTCGTGACTACTCGGACTAATAAAACACTGCTGTGGCGTCGATGAAACTATTATGTACAAGAAAAGAGAAAGAATTTTCGCTACGCGCAAACGAGTTGGATGTGGTGATGTCAAGAACCGGGCACTGGGAACCGTGAGGTTAAGCTTTACTATACAAGCACAATTTCTTGGCGGCGACGGAGATTGCCGAAAGGCATCCTAGGCGCTGATTGCCCACATCATAGGCACTCTTACGCACTCCTAGACACCGTTGATTGCATGTGAAGGAATAGAGAGACTGTGCCGTGATGGATTGGTAGGGCGTCGCACTGTCGAGTGGTATGGCAGTGTCTCTGGAAAGAGAGAGTGTGTACTCGTACAGTAAGACTCACCTGAATCTACGAGTAACTAATTTATCAGCCTTGGCGCCAAGACCCAACGGCCCCAGCACCGAAGGAAGCTCTGAGCGAGGAGCCCACTAACTTCCAGATGTGGCACTAATGTCCCCTGCTAACTTAACGCGTTAAGTCCATGCACTAACTCAGGCACCCGATCAAATCCCGTGACCTGTGTCTCACATGGCCAAATGAAATGCGTCGATTTCAATCCATCCTGCGCCTTTCGCCTCGGTTTGCTCACTTCAAATATTGGGCCGGCTCCATTAAGAAAAGCGTCCAAATCCCCTTCACTTCGCACATACCAACTAGGTCAACGGGTTACCTACGAGGACGCAAAACCTTATCACATGGCTCGTGGTCGACATCGTTCTTCGTTGTCTGCTCCTGTCTGTTATAATCAACGCACTTTGCTGCCCACAGCTCACTCTCTAACTCTCATGATCTCTAGCTGAGCCTTGCAACATGGCGTCTCCTTCCTCTGACCCCGTTGATATCCGGCGGAGAAGTCCTGCCCCAATTGCTGCTGCTGGATCTCCTCTCCCTGGTTCGCATTCGAGACATGTTTCTATTAATCGACTGTCTTCGCCTGTCCCGTCGTCTCGCGGCAACCTCAACACCCCCCCCGTTGCACAAGTACCTACTCCCCAGCAGTTAGCTGTTGATAGTCACAACACCTCGGCACTCCCTAAGATTGAACATGGTACCTCTCTTCCTGGTCCTGGACAGTCTGCCTTGTCCACCGCCCTAGCTGGCAGCTCGAGCCGCACTCCACCAAGTGCTCGTACTCCCGACGGGCCTTCTACACCCAAGCAACCGTTTCTGAATGCTTCCGTAGGCCTCGGGAGCCATGACAGATCAAACAATTATGGCTCATTCGGCGCACGAGATATGGCTAGCAGCCCTGCTCCAACCGAAGACCCTGATATCATCCGGCGACATCTTGTCCAACCCGATCACCCTCCCACTCGCCTCGGTCGATCTCGAGGCTTAGACAGTGACGAAGCAGACCACGATCCGGGCTCCGACGAATTCTCCAGTCTTCGTTTACAAGGGGGAGACATAACGCGAGCTGTATATCGTTGGGCCGAAGAGCAAGATGCCAATGGGCCCGGCAGAGCACAACGGAGTAAAAGTTTCCATGTACAAAGACCGGACCCTGAGAGTGAAGTGTTGGACATTAACAGCATCCGTGTTCCTGGTGGATTTCGCCGCAACTTTCTTCGAAGAGCCGGAGAGTCTCCTGCCCCGGTCGGACGCAGCGCAGATGGACCTTCTCAGACAGGCGTTCACAGGAGCGATGCCTCTAATACGCGCCCGCCACCACTTTTCACCAATAACTTCCTGGAATTCCTAACCCTTTACGGGCATTTCGCTGGTGAAGACTTGGAGGAGGACGATGAGGTTCTTGAACCTGATGAATATTTCTCTTCTGATGCCTACGACGATGAAGGTAGTGACCGAGAGCCCGGAGAGACAAGTACTCTTCTGACACCAGGCACTCCGGGCTTGCGAAAGAGGAAACATAAGGAACGAGCTCCTACTGGCAACAACAGCCGCTTAAACGCCGCTCTCTTACTGCTGAAGTCCTTTGTGGGTACGGGTGTACTATTTCTTCCCCGTGCCTTTCTCAACGGTGGTATGCTTTTCTCCTCGCTGGTTCTGCTAGGCGTTGCAATTTTGAGCTTTCATTGCTTCATATTACTTGTCAATACTCGTCTCAGAGTTGAAGCCTCATTTGGAGAAATCGGTGGCATCCTCTACGGTAGATGGCTCCGCGGCTTGATTTTGTTCTCCATTGTCATCAGTCAAATTGGCTTTGTTGCAGCCTATACGGTGTTCACCTCGGAAAATCTACAGGCTTTCGTCCTAGCCGTCTCCAAGTGCAAGACCTTCATCGACATCAAGTTCATGGTCTTGATGCAGCTGATCGTCTTCCTGCCCTTAAGCTTGGTCCGCGATATCAGTAAACTTGGCTTCACCGCTCTCGTTGCTGATGCATTCATCCTGCTTGGTTTGATATATCTATACTATTACGATACTCACACCATCATCGAGTATGGTGGAATAGCGGACATTACACTATTTAACCCCTCAACATGGACCCTTTTCATCGGCACAGCAATTTTCACCTTCGAGGGTGTGGGCCTCATTATTCCAATCCAAGAAACAATGAAAGAGCCCAAAGCCTTCCCCGGCGTCTTAGCCATGGTCATGGTCATCATTACCGTGCTTTTCACCTCAATCGGCGCCCTCTCCTATGCGGCATTTGGCTCGCAGACCAAGACGGTCATCCTGCTCAACCTCGCGCAGGATAACAAGATGGTCAACGGCGTGCAATTAATCTACTCCCTCGCAATCCTCCTCAGCACACCCTTGCAACTGTTTCCCGCCATCCGCATCATGGAGAACGAGCTCTTCACACGCTCCGGCAAGTACAATCCGTACATCAAATGGAAGAAGAACATCTTCCGCTTCTTTCTGGTAGTTGTCTGTGCCCTCATCGCGTGGGGCGGTGCCGGTGACCTCGACAAGTTCGTGGCGTTGGTGGGGAGTTTTGCGTGCATTCCGCTGGTCTATATCTACCCGCCGATGCTTCATTTGAAAGCGGTGGCGAGGACACCGTGGCAGCGCGGCTTGGACTATACTGTCTGTGCCTTTGGTGTTGTTGCGTGCGTCTACACGACGATCCTGACCATCCAGCAATGGGTGCAAGGCGGTGCGACAAAGCCGCCGGGATATTGTGATTCATGAGTAGAAGGTAATGATATCTGTACGACTTCTATAGCAAGAGGAAGTACTTGTTCCATGTCTTACAAGCTCAGAAACTTTTCCGAAGTTGCCAGATAATAAGCCGCTTTCCAACCAGGTACAAGGGAACGGAATGCTTATTGATACATCCCAATTGTCAAAATCAAAAGTCAAGCCAGATGAGGAAGGTATATTGATCGATACCTGTGCCAAGTAAAATCTCTTTCCCACTTTCCTTCCTTAAATGTCCGACATATGTTGAAAGTAGCGTCGGAAGTCGACAAAAGACTGGGGCAAGCTCGGTACAGATTCAAACCCTCGTCGATACATGGCATGGAGGATCCGGGTTTCCCTTTGGGCTATAATAGGACATTGCCACATCAACTCAGGTTCCTGCCTTCTCAGGGCCATATGCCTCTCGTGTTTGGCGAGAGCGTCCAAGGAGACCTTCTAGCACAAGATTCATCACGTTCTCTGAGCATCTCGGTAGATTTAAACTCTTGGTTTTTTGGTCACTCAGAAGACATCCCTAGAGATGTGGCGATCAGTGTGGCTCGGAGACTGGCAGCCCCTCGCCTGCTTCAAAAGAACGACGTACGGGCTCTTCGTGTAATAACTTGATCACTACCGGTGTTGCGTACTTGGTCCAGATTACCCATGATGCCGTCGAGAGGGCTACCATTACCCGTGGAGGTGACACGGACGTCTGGCTTGTGGTTTACCGCTCGTCCATCAACTCCTGGGCATCGTAGATGGGCCTTCCACGAAGCTATCTTCGGCGGACTGAAGGGCATGGGCGTGGATCTCTCCCCTAGCCTCCGCATTCGGGCATCACTCTTGCGTAGGCATGCGTCATCCTGATACCAAGAGGTGCCATCATCAACGGCATTGAGGCCCAAGTAGGACCGAAGCGTCCGCGGTCAATCTAAAGACAACAGTGCAGGGAATAAAGGTGGCGAACGGTTCTCTGTTTTGTACGCATCAGTCCCGTAGAGAAAATCAGCCCCGACACGTGCATCTGCAAATGTCCTCCAGGATTCGTCGACATTCATCATATCCAGGGCCGCCTTTGCCTTTTCAGGTATGAAAGGCTGCAGAAGGATGGAGATAATTCGAAGGGTCTCAGTGGTGATGTACAGACTGTAGTGGGCTACCAATTTCTCTTCGGCGCTCTCAGAATGGAGCAGGTCCCAAAGCTGCGCCTCGTGGAAGAATTTATTGGTCTAGGAACATAAGTCAGCATGAAAGGCGAATCTGGCCGGCAACTCTACTTACGCGTCTGATCGTTTCCGAGATCGCCTGGACTGCACTGCGAGGGTTGGGAATGTCCATGGACGCTTTTACCTCCTCGGCCAGCTTCTGGATCAGTTCGTATTGTTGTTTGATGTCAGCGAGAACAACTCCGGATCCAAAGACCTTCAAGTTCAGCTGGTCAGGGCTTTGAATGTACTGTTGTAGGTCTTCTTCTTGCGAGGCCCACCTGATTGTTTGGCGCGTGTCGACCTTTTTGCTTTTGAAAACTCTTTGTAGTAAATTTCCGTACTGGTTCTTGAGTATAGTGTTGTAGGTGCGTGCGATGTATGAATTTTCATAACTGGCATCATCGACAATGCCGCCTTCGTGGGCCATGTAGAAGCGAATGGCATCAACACCATAGCGGTCAATAGCAAAAAAGGGGTTGACCCCATTACCGGATGACTTCGACATTTTTTCGGAATTCATGGTCCAATGGGCATGTGTCAGGAAACGTTGGGTGATGGGGAGATCCAAAGCCATCAAGAAAGCCGGCCAATAGATGGTATGGAAGCGGATGATATCCTTCCCGATAACCTGGCAGTTTGGGGGCCAGAGCGAGTCAGGACTGGGATTTTCTTTGAAGGGGTAGCCCGCCATGGTGATGTAATTGAGGAGGGCGTCCAACCAGACATAGATAGTCTGGCTGTCGTCCCCAGGGACTCGGATACCCCAGGTCAATCGAGATGAAGGTCGGGAGATAGATAGATCTTTAAGGCCGTTCTCAATTTCACCGATGATGAAGTTCATCCGCTGTTGTGGTACAATTGTGTTAGGCTTCGATCTATAGTAGTCCAAAAGCTTCCCCTGGAATTGTGACAACCTGAAGTGGTAGTTGGTCTCTGAAGTCCACTCAACCTCCTTTCCAGTTTCTGTTGAAACCGTTGTGGTAATGCCACTGGAGGGATCGAGGACACGGCTGACCTGTGTTTCAGGGTAGAATGTTTCGTCACTGACAGAATACCAGCCCTCATGCTTGGCCTCGTAGATATAACCATTGTGGCTCAATTCGGTCCAGAAATGCTCAACTGTGGTCTTGTGGTCAGCGTCTGTGGTGCGAATGAACCGGTTGTAGTCAATATTGGCAGCTCCACAGAGGTTCTTGAACTGCTGAGCGTGCTGGTCACAGAAGCGTTTAACATCGGTTTGTGCTTTCTGGGCGGCCTTTTGGATTTTCATGCCATGCTCATCCGTCCCAGTCAGTAGGGTGGCTCGCTTATCACCGAGAAGACGGTTCCAACGTTTTAGGATATCGGTCAGGATGAGGGTGTAGAGGTGGCCAGCATGAGGTGCTGGAGGGGTGTCAGCCGACGGTTTTGGAGCTCACGAGACGAGTCCAGGCATACCTGCGTTAACATAGAAGATTGGGGAGGTGACATAGTATGGCTTGTCATTTTGTCTCTGCTGGGGACATGATGTAAATGGACGGTGTCTTGAGGTTCCCGTCGCTCGAGTCAGCTGCGCCGGCCTTGAACGTGCCGATGTTCTGCACTGCAGAAAGAAGCTGCGCGCACGGAGTTCTAAGGCTATCATGGCCAGGAGGTCGCAGAAGCTGTATCAGTGCCCAGGGAGGACTGAGCCTGAGAGATGAGGAAAACGTCACTGTGTAGGTCAAAGGTGAGGTGATGTGCCTGCGGACTGAACTGCTTGAGCTGGTCTGTCTGTCGTCGACTCGTCGCGTGTTTCGCGGTTCTCCGCACTCACAAAAGTTGGGCTTTTCTCCAATTTTCAGCTTCCTGCCAAGACGACCAATTTGGGAAAGTTGGCCGAGCGTCACGACGTCTATTCCTCGACGTCCACACACCGCACTTCCTCTACGCCATGCCGTTTACCCCATCATTCAGCCCTCCGGGTGCTACTGGACACAATCATCAGGATGTTGGCCATCTGTAATGGTCTAGCTTGTGGCTCCTTTCTCTGACAGCTCCTACAAAGACGGAACCACGTGGCTAAACATGGAAAGACTATCGCTGGCACATTCTTGCTGATGCTGAAAGTGTCTTATGTGCAGGGTGCGTGACTCTCGAGATGGCAAAAACGGTAAGGGAGTCACGGCTACTCACCCTGCCGAACATTGCTCCTTCATCTTGGTCCCTGTGCATCGTGAATGGATCAAACCCATTGGAAGGCTCGATAACCCTTCACGATGGCGAGGCAGCCACGGTCCATTCACCTCTTGAAGCATGCATTTGGCTTAGAGGCCGATCTAGAGCTTCCTGCAATTCTGATATTGTTGAGATGTTGTCAGCAACCTTTGTTGTCCCCGTGCGTCTCAGCTTCAACACGTTCGCTCAAGCAGCAGCCTCTCAGAGTCTAAACTACTGGTGTTGTCGATTGAAGCACCACCCTTGTATTTCGAGGGATTGCTGCATTCGTTTAGTCAGCTCACCTTTGTCGGTTATCCCACATACTGCTTCCCAGAGTCCTCTCAACCACGTCCTGTCCGGAGCTAAGTATACTGCGCTCCCCCGAAAATGATCCGTTCGCGGCTTGGTCCTGTCATCTTCCTCTTGGTCTATTTGGTTCTGCAGAATGCACCATGCTGTGCGGCGGTCCAGCCAACATATTACATTCCACCTTGCAGTGATGCAGAACGGTTGATTGACTTACATACCGCTTTCAAGGATGCCCTTCGCGAGGCGAGACTGGTAGCGGCCACATTCAGCCACTGTGAAGACACCTTTTTACGTTACTTCCAGAAAGACCATCAAAACTTTGTCAGAGACCTATTTCGAACAATTGCCAACATCCCCCTCAAAGCGGACATTACTAAAGATACGGTTCAGCAGTACTTGGCCCCTTCAAAGCTGGACCTTAATCCTGACTTTGACAAGCTGTTCATCTCATTTGGAAATAATCCACACCTCACGCAAGCAGAGTTGCTTATCAGCTCTTGCAATGCAGATGCCCCTGGCCATCCCAATCAACCTGATGCTTTTATCTTTAGTCGGCCGAACGGTATCGCCTTGGTATCACTCTGTCCCGAGCTGTTCACATACCCATCTCTTGACACGATTGAGGACCCCCCTCCCGCTCTGAGAGATCCTCCACCAGCCAGTACACCTTTCATCGGCTTCACCTGCGACCGATTGGGTGATCATGATACCGACTGGATGACCAGTCCAGGTGGAGTCCTCTTACACGAACTCATGCACTGGGCTTACCTCTTCCGGAACGTGCCAAATTTTGATCTTTGGATTCCGGACGGGTGGATTGCTGACTACCGTGGTGACAATCCAAAGACTGGATACGGGCCCTTTTACGCTGAGCAGCTCCTGTTCTTTTCCACGAAATGGAACCCGGCCAAGTTCCGACAAAACGAGGTGCTTCAAAATGCCGATAGTTATGCTGTTTATGCCCACTCCAAGTACTGGACTTTCTCCGAAGCCAAGGGGCCAGAAGATTTCCAACGGCGGACCGGATTGCCGATGACCTTTGACTTTTTTGATCGAGACCAGCAACCCCAATCTCTAATTGAGCATAGGGCAAACGGAGATGACTTGTTGGTGGAGGCAGTTGCAGACAATCTTCTGTTGCGCACGTTACCAAGTGGAAGGCGGAGAACTCGAAAGACCAATAGGATGAGAGTTCGAGTAGAGTACAAAGTCTCTACCGGGAACGACTCACTTGCCGAAAATTGAGATTCGGCGTTATCTTGGTGTTTTGGAGGCGAATGAGAGGGTATGATAAGGTTTCACAGCATTTTGGTGGTCGGCCTAATCTTCATGACTCAACGCACTGAAATCATCCTGGACGTCTCAGCCAGTCCTCATTTGCCAACAAATGTGGAAGGAATCAGTCATTTTCTTAATAGCTATATTGTGAGATTATCCAGTGCGAAGCTGACAGCTCCTGAAAGGACATCATGGACTTTTCAGCCTACCATACATTGCATGTTGACATCCCGTGCTTCTTCCTTGTGCTCCAAGGTTCATTCCTACTCAAGTCTAACCATGACAGATGCTTTTTTCTGCTGACAATTCCATCTTGGTGAGTGCGTGCGCCGTTTTTCCCCTGCCAATGGTGTTTAGAGCCTTGCCCACCACCATCACCAGTGCCAACTCCCTCACATTCAATAAATTGATACTGCAGTGTACTATGACCATGATTCACCTCGTTCTGGCCCTCATTCTGCCATCAAGGCTGTGGTTCTTCTGCTTGAGTCAACTGTGACTCCAGTGAGTGGCGAGGGAGGCCATCAGCCCGTCACTTGTTAACGAGAGTGAGTGCAAGTGTTATGCAGTATAGTGATATCTGCATATCTTGAAGCTGAATTTCTCCACTTTGCAGGCGCAGATGGGCAGAGTTGATTCCGCGACCAGGGCCTGGTGAATTTAAAGGGCAACGAGCCATACGTTCTGCCTTACGAATCACTGGTCACCTAAAACACTTGAGTATGACCTCTTACCACTATGGTTCACAGATACGGACTCTTAGGTGGCATTAATTCTTAAGATAGGCCCGAAGTAGTGCGGAGAACCTATCACTAGATCCCTCCTACATGGGACGAAGATCCATCCACGAATCGTCAACACCAAACGACCTGCCAGCTTCCGATTCTTGGAAATTGCTAGAACCTTGCGAAAATGAAGTCCTTCCGTCCCTCAAATCAGCCACCCTCCGATCATCCCGGCGTCAGCCGTGCACCGCGGAGGTTGTGGTGAGGCTGAGGCGATGTCTAACCTCATTACACCAACTCACCCGCATAATCTCGTCGACGTTCTCATACCCTCAGGTTTGCCTTGACTCGCTCGATCAATTCCTCTCTACTCAGCTTCAAATCTGCGGTGAGGTTTCGCTGTTGAAACGAGTAAATCAGTAATTTTACTCCCGTCAGCAGCCTCATGAACAGTCCGCTCAAGCTAGAACTGCCGCCACTAATCAACACTTACATTCTTCAACCACCGTCTGAGCTCTGTCTCCGTCCATTTGTTCGGGTCTGTGTACATGCGTGTCAGTCGCACGCGTCAGATCCAGTCGTGTACCAAGCGAGAAAGAAAAGGGAACTGCAACAAAAGGTCCTCATTCTCACCTCCAGTAGGATCCTTCTCGGCAGGAAACATATCGCCGCCGAAAATGTTCCATATTGATGCAACCGTTACGAGCCCGGCGAAGCCTGCAATGTACTCGGCAGCGGTTAACATGGTGATTCCGATTCTCCGAGGTTATGGGTAGGTGCAGAACCAAGATGATGGTGGGGGAGAGCAGGTGGGTTGCCTCGAAAATAGGGCAAGGAGCAGCGCGGTGCTATGATAAAAGCCAAAATTGCCTTAGGCTCCAAAGTGTGGATTTTTGAGACGCGACAATGCAGAGAGGAAGATAATGCAGAACAGGCAAGAAGTCCAATAGCTCACCGAAGAAGAGATTCTGCGTGGCGATGGAAGACTGATGGTTAGCCCAGGTGAACGAAAAGCAATGTGTCGTAGTTGAGGGCTCTAAGCAGTGCAATATGACAACCAGGGCCAAACGAAGTAGAAATAAGATCTACGAAGATGCCACGTACACGAGACTGCAGTGCCCGATCTATGGGCGTCGGCATGTTTTGGGGAAGAGACTGGTGGTTGGGGGTTGTTGTTAATTCGGCTGCCTGGAGGAGTCTGGAGCAGATGTTTCAGAGCGCTCGCTTTCGAAATCGACAACTAGGAAAAAGTGTTCTCGTCGAAGAGAATACAAGGTACGGCTAATATCACCAGTGGATGATCGAGCAAGCAAAATCATGGGGAGACTCAAAGTATGTAGGTGTAATAATACTCTTCGATAGGGATAGGGCGAAGGCGACGTGCATGTCGAGGAAAGGTGGCGTTATTAACAGCGGCTTGCGCGAGGGACGAACAGACGTCATAGGTGGACGCGGCAGGGCTGTGGGCAGGGGTCTACCCGTTCACTTGATGAGGGTCCGAGTTCTATCAAAGTACGGAGGGAGTACATGGCCTGGTGAGAAAAGAACCACACGGAACTCGGGAAGTAACCTCTTGAAGTGGTTGAGTCCCAGATATTTAGCATCCAACGCTACCAACGTGGACCCGATGGCCATCTGGGTATTTTACCATTCTAATCGGTCATCACACACAAGCCTGACATTGTATCTCTCCATACCCTTCCAGACCTTGTCGCCTGAATTGGCGTTGGCAACGATCGCGCGCAGGTCTGAAATCATGCCTCCAGGACCACTGGCGAACACAGTAGTCGATCCTCGCACCGTTGAGTTTACAAACTGCTGCACAAGGCCTCCAAGATCAGGATGCCGCGAACTGGCGCTCCCCTCAACAGACCTGGCGTGCTGCACTGAAAATGGCCCCGACCCCGACCTCTCAGCCTTGTGATCTTCCTCGGAAGACGACGAAGCAGACGAGATCGCCAACTTTTCGTCCACGGATAGTTTCTTGGATTCAGAGCTGTGGCTTGCGAGATGCACATCGTCCTGGTCGTTTTCGCGGGTCACAAAAATCCGCACGCTGAGGTTGATCACGCCGCTAGCACGGCGCAGGACTTCAAGCTCTTGACCGATCCACGCCAAATCGCTGTCCCGTCGCACAGCCCAGATGAGCTCGACTTTCCGGTCGGGACCACGTTGCTGATAGATGAAGTTGAGAAGAACTGGAATGACGAATGTGATTCCAGTGCCGCCTGCGATGCATAAGACATTGGTCTGGGGCAGAACATCATTCACGGTTGACCCGCCGTAAGGCCCTGACAGAATCACAGGTGTCGTGGGTGCTGCGGTACTCTCAGATCTCTTCTCTTTCGCATCAGAAGCGCAAGAAACTGCGGCGATGTCAGCAAGAACCCTGGTCGCGCCTTTCTTGGCTCGCAAGATGTACGAGTGCTGCTGCTGTCCATCCGTTCTCGTTCCTGGCAGGCTCAACGGCGTGAAAGGATGAGATTGCCAGAGAGTGACTTGCGGAAAGCATAGGTAGAAATGATCACCGACCGCCCAGGGCTGCTGGGGATGTACGAAGTCCAGTCTGACCACGTCACCGTTTTCTGCGTCTGGGAAATGCGTGATGGATGCTTGGGCGCTCCGGAACCCCATGGCGCTCCCTGAGATATAGTTATAGTGAATCAGGCCAGTGCGTGCCAGACGGATGCCACGATCGATGAACCAGAGGAGGAGCGCGGGCAGAAGAAAGCAATTCAACTGTGCCCAGTGACCCCAGCACGCGCCGATGTAGAGCATGGCAAGAACATAGTGCGCTTTACGGAAGAACTCGTATCCGAACCTGCGGATTGCCCAGGGGGTGCTGAGGAGGAATAGCAGCAGGAGAAAGAACATGGCGATCACGCCCCATATCATGTACAACTGCTTGATCCACATGATCCCGACGCTGGGCTGGGGCTGATACAGACGCATTTCGATGACGCACCAGGCGATTGTGTGGAGAGAGGACTGAGCGAAAATGATGTATCCGAGCCATCGGTGTAGGAAGTTGAAGCTCTGGTAGGGTACCCCTGTTATTAGTGAGAGGAGAGACTCGCGCTGGGACAGGAGGACCGAGAGAGGCGTCAGCGCGTATGCCAGGATGCCTATACGATCTGACCAGGGTCCAAGGCTGGTACGAGTGTTGTTCACTCCTGGCATCGTCTTGACGGGCGTGATCCACGTGTTGTAAACTATGCCCACGAAAGACCAGATGGTCAAATAGCCCGTCAGGGTCAGTAAAATGACGACTTGGAGGCGGGTGGTCCGACCAAATATGGGTCGAAAGGAGTCGGGTAGGAGATGTTGCCGCGCGTATGACGAGACAGTATGCTTCCATCGTTGAACAGCACTCTGTCCGATCTTAGCTTGCTCTCCTGACTGCAGAGGGACCTGCTCGTCCGCCTGGGGAGACGGAAGCAACCGTCGTCCGATCCCCCAGAGGAATATTATGCCGCCCACCGTTGCCCAGAAGATGCCTGAATACCAAATACCTAGGTCATGGGAGTGATAGACGACATCCAGATACTCGCACGACCCTTTGTCGTTGGTACAAGGCACTGCTCGATCGGCATATCCCCAGTGCGGTTCAAGGGCCGCGGCCTCACTCATATTTCTGGATGTGGCGAGCGGCCAGGGCATTCATGATGGAGGCCATATTTCCGGAGCAGTTGCAATGGGCTTCGTGAAGATTGACTACGAGGAGGATCCTGCGCACGCTTCTGCGCCCTCACAGAATAATAAAGCAACATCATGTATTGCAACGACGCAGCCGAGCGATCTCCTGTAGGTGGAGGGTCGGAGTCCCGCTGTCTTGGATCTGTCACTCCAAGTGTGCAAATCAGCTCAACAGCCAAGGTAAACGCCGACGATGGAACCATGCTCTCAGCGTTGGCTCTTTGGTAATAACAATGTTCGGATAGGGGATACTGTGTGCGCGAGAGACAGAGTTTGATGTCGATGGAGCCGGCGGATGGGATTGATGGAGCCGCTAAGGCCCGGTGAGCAAGTTTCCCTGAGCACAATGAGCAGATTTTCAGATGTACCCAACAGGCCCGTCACTCGCGCCAGCATTTGCATTCGACCAGAGCGTGCAACCTTGTATCTCTCTGTCCAGTCAGGTCACTCTCTGGGTTCGAAATGCATGCGTTGATGGACTGACACGGCTGAATTGTCGAAGAATCGCGTAAAGTCAACCACGCCGATGTCCGGCCATTGCCACGATGCTCGGCCTGAAAGCAGTGCGAAAGTATCATATCAGCTCAGATCTTGCCTTGGCTGAATTCGTGATATCTCTTAACTGTCGTGAAGATTCCCATTCCATGGTGAGGACTTTATGTGGTACACTCCCTTTTGATACCAAGCGTCCAAGCCCCTGCGCCGAATCGGAAACTCGACAACAACAGCACAGCTCCTCGCACGATGTCGATGTCGATGTCCATGTCTATGGCCAGCATGACCATGTCGAGTGCAACCGGCACTTCAGCGGCTGCATCGGCAACAACGTCTGCCATGGCCATGGATATGGGCATGGGAGGCGGATCTTGCAAAATTTCAGTACGCTTCCAATGGTTTCTTTCCAGAAGCAGCACCACTGACTGATCAATCTCGCAGATGCTGTGGAATTGGTACACGATAGATGCTTGTATGCTCCTGGGCTACCCGGATGACGCGCACCGCCCTCCAGACTAACCATGCTCAATCCTAGGCTTCCTCGCATCGAGCTGGCACGTCACGAGCGCGGGCATGTTCGCCGCCAGTTGCATCGGCGTGGCGTTCCTGGTCGTCAGCATGGAATTGCTACGCCGGCTCGGAAAGGAATACGATGCCCTGATTCTCCGTCAGTTCCAGCGCCATATCTCATCGCGGTCCACGGATTTGAAGAGGAGTCCAGGCTCGTGTCAAACCGAGCCTTCCTTCGTCACCTTCCGCGCAAGTCCATTACAGCAGCTCATTAGGTCTGCGATACACGCTGCGACTTTTGGTGTCGCATACATCGTTATGTTGCTCGCTATGTACTTTAACGGATATATCATCATCTCGATTATTATCGGCTCGTTTATCGGTAAATTCTTGTGCGATTGGCTGGTGCTGAAGATCCAAGTTGGTGCTGGAGTTCCCAAGCCAGGCCCTGACAATGTTGTCGAAGAGGCGACTGTCTGCTGTGGGTAGGGTTGAGGCAGATACGCGAAGCTCTTCATCGCGGACAAGTGACCAACCACCGAATGCCGCCGGCTGTATGTGGTTAGACTGCGAGACGAGTGATGCGATAGCCACACTCCTAGCGACAAGATGCGCAGCTGCACGAGGTACCAGAATACTATTACGAATGGGTATCTTATTCGTTCTAGCCATAGCCTGATCATCATCATCATCGTAAAATATAATATCACGCGAACTATAAATACATCCAGAAACATTCAAGTCTCCAAATCGGCCCGCCTAGCGAGAGGTATTATTGGCACTCCTCTGTGGCATGCCAGGACCTCGCGTCTGGTCCTGTGATACCGTCGCCTTTGATGCAAAACTCAACAATCAACTTTTGGAGGTCCATCAGTTTATACGGTTTGGTCATGAAACCTTCCATCCCTGTCTTGGTTGCCCGATCGATCGCTTCATCTGTCACGTCTGCGCTGACTGCGAGCACCACTGGTGCAACGAGGCTGGGGTGGACCGGTTCGTCCCGATCTTCAAGTGTATGGTTCTGAAACATGTTCAAGATTTTCTCGGTGGCTTGGTAGCCGTCCATTTCCGGCATCCAAAGATCCATTAGGATGACATCGACTTTTAGGCGACGTCGGTCGCCAGATCCACTGCCTCGCCTCGCCCGGCCATACAAGTCGCGCATGATTCGGACCGCTTCTTTGCCATCAAACGCCTCGTGGACATCTTTATATCCCAGCTTATTCAGCATATTGACAAGCAACTTCCTGTTGATCTTGTTGTCTTCTGCGACTAAGAAGGTGAGGGGGTACTTTTGTGCTAGATTTCTGTCATACGACTCTTGCCTGAAGTGCATAGTAGGGGCGGACGCCACTCTTCTAGGCTCAACAGGCTGTGGATGATCCTTGACAAGGCTTGCAGTTGTTTGTGTGTTCGGTAAGATGGAGCTTCGCCGTGGTTGATCTCCTGGAATGTGAGGAGCGGAGGTGGGCGAAGTCGGACTAGATGATCTTACAGCCGTTGGGGGCCGTGGTATGCTTTTGGAAGGATCTGGAGTCCTATTCCGAGGAGTCCCTGTCCTACTAAGACTGTCTGAAGGCTCTACCGGGACCCTGATCTCAAACTCGGAGCCTTTGTCAGGACCAGAAACCTGTGATCTGATCAATGTGATGTCTCCGCCGACACGTCTAGCCAACCCTTTTGCAACAAGGAGGCCGAGGCCGAGACCTTCTTTCGACCTGGTCAATGAATCGTCCTCTCGAGAGAAGGGTTTGAATAGTTCTGGCTGGAAATCGACAGGGATCCCGTCGCCCGTATCTTTGACGTTGACGATGACGAAGCGCCTGCTCTTGGACAATCTCCCTGTCAAGGAAACATGGCCGTTTTCAGTGAATTTGATAGCGTTGAGAAAGACAGCTGAGACGAGTTTCGCCAGATCTCGTTCATCCACCAGTAGTGTCTCTGGTACATCTGGGGAGACGGTCCATTCGATCGTTTTCTGTGAGGTGTGGCCGTTTGATGATCTGGATCTCACAATGATGCGTTCGCCAAGGTCCAAGAGTTGGCCAATGGCTGAATCTGGACGACCCCCGACGCGTAGAGCATCATGAACAACCGTAGGAATAAGTTCTCGTATGTGGCATTGTTTCAGACCGGGGGTAGGGAAGGTGTCTCCATCCCCCAGGAATTTGGTAGAGGGAGTGGCAGTGGTGAGATCGCTGGGGGTTTCGTCAGTAGTCGGCGTGAAGATGACGGGTACCCGATCATCTGAAAGGGTTCGGGAGGTCCATGATGGGGTAGTGCTCTCCCGCCCGCTCCGTGGGGACACATCGCAACGGGTTGAAGATGTAAGTTGGCGAATCTTGGTGGGGTTCCCAAAATGCCACGAAGTAGGGCTGCTTCGACGTCGCTTATAGCTGTGTACATGGATGTCACTGCCCTCAATCAGTCGAGATGGCTTGTAGTCGAAGTAGCTCGTTGTGGTTGCTGCAGTGGCGGGTGATTCGTGTTCGTTCAGAGGAGTTTCTGGAATTTGCATGTTCATGTCATAGGCGTGGACCACATTGTCTGCTGCCTCGACAGCTCGTTTGGAACTGTCCTGTACAGTCTCAATGTTATCCTTCAGGGTTTGAAATACGTGGCGAACGGGGGAGTTGGAATGGCCTTCGATCTGTTCTTGAACAGTGGCGTGCATAACATCCAGCATCCCGACCACGCCCTGCATGGGAGTCCTCAACTCATGTGATAGGCTTTTTGCGTAGGGTTTCAGGGATTGGGTTGCGCTGACAGCTTCTCGTGGGATGACGTGATGTGGTCGGGGCATGCTGATGGCCTTGGGTTTGGAGAAGCCCTGGCCTTTGACCAGTCTGACGATGATCATGTCTTCCAGTGTGTGAAGGAGCATCTCTATGAAGCCCCACGAGGCATCCCGGTTGTCCAGGCCCTCCTGTGTCCACATCAGGCCGAAGTGAGCGAAGCATTTCCCGTCTTGGAACAAGGGAACACCGAGATAGCCCTCGGCAGGAAATGGTAAAGCATTGGGGTTATGGGTTATAAAGCTGCTCATGTTTTCCGGGATCAAAAAGACCTTGTCGTGCCTCATGTAGCTGCAGGGAGCACCCCAGGCAAGATATTTGTAATCGCGGTGCATGGCCTTTTGTTTGTCGCCATCGTTGTAGTAAAATGCGACTCCTAGGAGACATGAACCGGGATCTCCGATGGTTGGCATCTCAATGGCCGAGCTATGATCATCCGTCAAGACTCTTTTTGCGACGAAACCGTATTGCGCATGACAAATGTCGGTGACTCCCTCCATCAACCTCGACCAAAACGACTCGGTATCGGCGATGTTGAGCTCCTTTTTCAATTGCACGACTTTCTCCAAAGCGTTGTTTTCGGCGGACAGGAAGTGGTTGGTGAGGTTCTGTACAAAGCCATTCTCCCCAAACTGAGTTGCCACACCAGGTTCGACGCTGGGGAGACATATTGACTTTCGTTCGATGAGGGGAACGGAGAATCCATTCTTCAATGACCTGCCGATGAACGACATCTCCCCGATGACAGCTGAAGCGCGGAGGGCGATCTGTTAAGGTTGCAAGGAGGAGGTTGGCGTGACCAAATGCATGTCGGTCAACAAGGTGGGGGATCTGGCTCACAGGGAGGTTCGGAGGGAGGTATATTTTGTCTCTGACCAACAACAGACTCTCCGACTTGCGGGTGCGGGCTTGGGCTGCAGGAGGAGATAAGAATGAACGGTGAGTTTCTGGAGTCGGTCAAGGATGGACTTAGGAAGGGGGGTGAGTATTCTGGTTTGGGGTGCGGGTAGGAGATGGAGGCTGGTGAAGGATAAGTTGGCGATGACGGTGTTGAGAAGAGGTCCTATTCAGATGGCTTAGATAGGATACGGCGCAGGTGGTGAATTGGTGAGGAGGGTTTGCGTGATTGATATTCAAGAGCGTTGCAAGGAAGGAGGCAAGCGCAAGTGTGAGTGCGAGTGCGAGTGCGAGTGCGATGGGAATGAATAATGCTCGGTGAGGCAAGTGCAGGTGCGGTGCAGGTGCGGTGCAGGTGCAGGTGCAGGTGCAGGCGCAGGCGCTATGTGTCCTGTAGAGTAAGGTTAGTGGTTTTGTGCAGATGCAGTAGTACGGCTCAAGTCGTCGAGTCGTCGAGTCGTGGTAGCAATGAGTCGAGTTCAATCGACTTGGTCCGTCAGAAACTCAGAACTCAGAACTCAGAACTCGCAAACTCAGTGTGGGCGGATGAGGGCAGTGCGAACAGTCCACGGTCCAGTCCACAGTCCCCTGCTACGCCTTCTGTACTCCATGCGTTGGGTGGGACCAAGGATCTGACCAAGAAATACAATCGTCTGCACGCTTAAAGGTACTCCGTACTCGTGGTGACTACTACTATTACCTTCTCCTCTGGCCTTTTCGCGGTGCTCTTGTCCTGCCTCTTGTCCTTGGTTTATACTGGCACAAAGTACCGGGTCCTGCAATCAAAGCTGCCGTTTCTATCACCTCCTGTGGCCTCACTAACATCGGATGATATATCCTTCTCCAGGATCACACGGACTCGTACTGATCTGTACCCTTAAACTCACAGGCTTGAGTGCGAGAGCTAGTCCCGAAAGTCAAAATCTAAATACGCGGAGGATAAAGATGGTTTGGACCCTTGGTACATACCTCGTCCCTGGCGCCCTGGCGCCCTGGCCTCCTGGCCTCGGCATCCTGATCGGCCATGGGGACATGAGGACAAAGAAAGAATGGTGCACACCAAACCAAGTATCCATCTGCTTACTCCCCAAGTATTTCAACTACAAGCTGCCTGCCTGTCCTGGAATGGACTTTTTAGAGCCTGGTCTGCCTAGGTACGGAGTATGTAGCCATGAATTATGTGGCATGACGCGGGTGGCAGATGTTGTCAACTGTTGTGGCATCACAGCAGCGTGCGCGCCGTATGGTCCTAAACTTTGGTCTCCAAGGCAGCGAAGACAGCAGACAGCGAACAGCAGACTGAAGACCGAGTGGCTCCAGTTGAACGACAACCCGTCCTGACTGGTTATCCGGCCGAAGCCAGCTGTGTGCTGATGTTGCACAACCCGAGAAGCAGTTGTCCACCTTGGCTGGTCTGGACCCCAATCGACCGCCGGTACACCCTAATACATTCACGGGCTATCGTGCGGGCCCTGACGCACTTGGTTTGAGGACTAAAGTTGGGACCAGCAAGCGGGCCAAGGTAAGGGGATAGTGGACAGCGGCCTCCTTACAAGTACACGGACCACTACACCAGTCTATAGGAGTTATGCTCCAAACGGGACCGAAACGCATGGGGCTGTGCGTCGTCTGTTCGAGTACGCCTTTATTATTTGCAGCTGCCGGTGAGCAATCTACATAGTTCTTGTCAGGAGGATGTCACTGTCGATCAGTGCATGCGGACAAGACACTTCAACGTCCACATCTGGCTCCTGCAATGCACATCGTTTGTTCTAGGCTGTGCTCGGCCTCCGTCGGTCAAGTCATCCCTGCAGCTAACATCTGCCACTGACATCATTGCCCGGGTAAGCGACCGGCTAAATCGGCAATGTATAAGATACCAAAGGAACGTGCCTTCTACGAAGGCACAGTGCGAGCTTCTCTGTTCTCCTCTGATTGCTGGGGTGGCCACTGGCCAGTGCCGCTGGCGCCCAATGCCCACCTCTCTCCAGGCCTAGTCACTTCCCTTTGCAGATTGGCAGGTTGATCTCAAATTGCGCATTCAAGCTTTCGTACCAGGTTGTAGAAGCTTTGTTCTTTCAGATCATCGCTCTCCGGTCTGCATTTGCTGGAGAACGTTGGCCCCTGGGGGATCCCCTGATGATTGGAAAACTCCAATAAAGGTTTCCCAGGTCCCTGATGATTGCGAGTGTTTCCACAAGATTTGCTCGCAATGGCGATGGTGGGGGTGGCATCATCGAATCCGCTCGCCTAGATCGCCTGTGTGAGTTGGTCCATCAGAGATTGTGCTTAAAGTGAGTACCTTTGATCGGGGTGCTCTAGGTATGTAACTACTCCTTGACGGGCGTCGATGGTGCGGGTTTCCGACCAGCCGGCCTGGCGTGGCACGTGACCAAGCCCGCGACCCACGTGACGGGAATGTCCGCCCTCTCGAGACGGAGAGGGAGACGAATCTGCTCCGTACATTGCTTCTTATCGGGTCTCAGCAATCCAGTTCACCCACCACACAAAGCTGACAGGATTTGATGTAGATAAATGTTCCTCGTACTCGGCAAATCTGTCCAAAGTGCTAGCAGCGGTGAGGTCCTCGTCCTTTTGCGCTCCGACACCCCTCCCTGCCCAACTGTCCTCGAGTTCTTGCAAATCACATTCTACAGTACACAGCACGCGATTCCCTCGGCTACGCCCCCCTGCGAGAATGCTTAGTTGACAGGTTCTGACGTCACTCCTCGAGATACCTGGTAACCCTAGTCCGGATATTCGTGTGGGGAGCTCGCAGGTTGAGCTTGTCCCTGGTCATCCTTATCAATACCAATCGTGGGGAACTCTACTGAGTTAGGTACGAGTTACCTCCTCGTGCGTGCCAGGTCGACGGCGTTGACGGCACAAGGTTGCACCCAGGTCAGGTTGGATCTGCAGACCGACAGCTCCAACAAGGCAAAGGCTGCCCCGGCAGTAAGTTCGAGCAAGGGCAGGCGCAAAAAACATGGTGTTGTCGCCGCAGTCCTTCTTGCCATGGCGCTCCTTCTGTTTGATATTTCGCGCTCTCAAGCCTGCCAGTCCTGCTGCGCTGCACATTTACACCATGCTATGGCTGGCCAACGTCGTTTGGGCCGTGGCGATTTCGCCTTTGGTCAATCAAGTCAATGCCTCTCCTTTCCCCCATACGCGCCAGTTTGAGCAGCAGTCAGACACCCGAGGCGCTGTCGCAAGCGAAAGTGACATCTGCAGCCACATCGGCATCGACCTCTTGCGAATGGGAGGAAATGCTGCGGACGCGGTGAGTACCCTGTGCCTGTTTCTACGGACGGGCCAATAACAGCGACACTAGCTAGTCGGAACGGTGTTTTGCATTGGAGTCGTCGGCATGTACCACAGTGGCATCGGTGGAGGAGGTTTCATGCTTGTCCGTGCACCTAATGGTACATATGAATTTATCGATTTCCGTGAAACAGCACCCGCCGCTGCCTTCCAAGACATGTACAAGAACAACACAAGGGCGAGCATATTTGGGGGCCTGGCTAGGTAGGTCATCCTTGTCAGCAATCAATTGCACTGCTAAACTTGGTAGCGGAGTTCCCGGTGAGGTTCGAGGGCTTGCTCACCTGCACCAAAACTATGGAAGTCTTCCCTGGCAGCTGGTGATGCAAGGAGCGATCAATATTGCAAGATACGGCTGGACTGTCAACGAGGACCTTGTCAGCTACATCAAATCGGCAAACGCATCGGATTCGGCGGTTTCTCCGAATTTTTTTGTGGACGATCCAAACTGGGCCTTGGATTTTGCGCCAAATGGGACACTCCTTGGGCTTGGTGACACGATCACCAGGAAAAGATATGCCAATACTCTCGAGACGATCTCAGAGAAGGGCCCGGACGCATTTTACACTGGTTCAATCGCAGAAACCATGATTGCCGCATTGCAAGAAGAGAATGGGACCATGACAATGGAGGATTTGCGAGATTACAAGGTGTCTATCCGGCCTGCAGCGAACATCACGTACCGAGGCTATCGTATCTTTGGTTGCAGTGCCCCAAGCTCGGGGGCAGTGGCCCTCTCCGTACTGAAAACGGTGGAAGGGTACAGCGACTTCTTCGCTGCCGACAAGGCGAACTTGAGCACTCATCGGCTGGATGAAGCCATCAGATTTGGCTACGGCGAACGAACCAATCTTGGCGACCCCTCATTCGTAGCCAACATCTCTGATTATCAAGATGATATGCTCTCGGACAGATCCGCGGCCCAGATTCGTGGCAAGATACTAGACACCCGAACATTAAATGTGTCGGCGTATGATCCCTCGGGAATCGAGTCACTGGAAACCCCCGGGACGTCCCATATTGTCACTGCCGACGCCGACGGGATGGCAATTACTCTTACCACGACCGTCAATCTCCTGTTTGGGTCGCAGCTTCTGGTACCTGAAACGGGAATCATCATGAACAACGAGATGAATGACTTTTCCATTCCAGGAACCTCTAATGCGTTTGGGTTTGTGCCTTCACCGTCCAACTATATTCGACCGGGGAAGAGGCCGTTGTCAAGTGTTTCACCAACGATTGCTGAATTCCCGAATGGGACGCTCTACTATGTGATTGGCGCGGCTGGTGGCTCACGCATCATCACCGCTACCATTCAGAATCTCGTTCATGTCCTGGACCAAAACATGACAGCTCCTGAGGCCTTAGCACAGCCTCGCCTGCATGATCAACTGATACCCAATCACGTGACTTTTGAATACTCATATGACAATGATACGGTGGCATTTATGAAGTCTTTGGGTCACAATGTTACCTGGATCCGTGTCGCACAAAGTTCTGCACAGGGGTTGCGACGACTCTCCAACGGAACTTTTGAGGCCGCTGGGGAGCCTCGCCAACTGAATTCAGGCGGATACGCGATATAGAACCGATGAGAATTCTACCACAGATGCAATGTCTCTTCAACCCAACGGCCCTGCTGTTATTGTTGGGCTTTTGCCCTCCACGTCTTGGATTCCCTACGCACCTGGTCACCCCGGGATTCTGGAGATCGCGTCGGCGCAGAGCTACCCTAGTTAATGTGTCGATAGAGACTTTTCGAGGCCTAACTTGACGGCAACCTCAACGGTATAAGCAGAAGCTGTTGAGATGAACATATCCAACATCCGTTTCGGCCTTTCCCAATTGAACAATCAATTGCCTTATGTTGGTGCGGACCATCTTGCACGCCACGCTCTGCGGGCCTTTGTCAGAACCATAGCACTGGCAATGAAATGTTGATGTCATGTAGCGCGCGAACCCTAGAATATCAGAGTAATTGCCAACTTCTATCTGCCTACCTGTCTCAATCCTATGATCTATCTCAACATGTCGTCAGAAGATAAGAACTACTGGGGATCTTTTGATACACCATGGCATTTGCATACAGGCAAGTGACCGATGTGTAGCATCGACGATCATAAAAGTGCATAGTGCTGCATTATTTATGCCAAGGTACCGATATCTGGTGGCTTCGGGCCCTGCTGGTGAAGCGACCCCTCGGAGAGTCCATGGGGCGGGGGAAGGCCCATCGGCCCCAACCAGTTCGCTTTGGGGCGTGGAGTGGGTGCTTAGAAGATTCAAGGTACCGAGTACGGAGTCCTAGTGGAACAAGCCTCATGGGTTCCCCTTGCTTGGCAGCCGGCTTGGGCGAAGCTTGATTCGTGTTGGGCCAAGCCTAGTGGGGCCAACTGACTCAGGAGAGGGGGAAATTGGGGTAGGCGCGGCTCATGCACCAGTAACAAATTACAATGTGATGTAAGAGCCCCACTCTGAAGGGAGGCATAACTTTTTATGCCCTGGCGCACAGTGACGCAGCCATCTGGATTCGCAAAGTCCACGAAACACCTGTTTTAAATTGGTTAGAAAATTAGATCTTTGGTTTAGAGGTCATAGAGCCTCTGATCGCATGCTCCTTGTTCTTTAACACCTGCGTTGCGCACCTTCAGCGCCAGTGAGACGTGCTCTGCATCGTGCCGGACTTAGGCGGATATAGGCCTCGCCACGTGCATTGTACAATTCTCGGAGAACATTTGCCGGCAACCAAAAAGGGTGGAGGAGCGATACACACTTAGAGGTCAAGCGCCCTTTGTGAACGGAACGAAAGGACGCGATCAAATGAATACCCAGCCGATGTTACTTACGGTCTCTTGTATAAGTTGTTTCCTGTTGTCGACCCTTTTCAACATCCTTTCGACGAGCTACATCCCACGACCAGGTCTCCACGATCCTTCAGAACCCATACTCTATATTTCTATTGGGCGCAGACGGATTGAAGCCGCCCATTGGGATTAAGGTGCTGACAAACGCTTAGACACAACGCCGTTTAGGCTTGGTGCCGGTTTTATTCCACAGAGAAACGGAGATTCCGTTCGTATTGTGAGCCTCGTCCCGAGATCCTACCGATTTGATCTTTCCCCATCCACTCGTTGTCCCAGCGCATCTCTTGAATGTTTCGAGTGCAGTGCCGATCATTATGGCTGACAAGTCGTCGTTTTCCAGCGCTGATGGCAGCTTCATCACCACTTCCCCTAGTTGGGGACCAAATCCCGGGTGATTCAGAAACGGCGGGGACGTCCATGAAATCAACACCCTCTTCATTGGAAAAGAACTCTTTACAAGGGTTGGATCGGGTCGACTCAGCGGAACACGGTATAACAGTTGTCAACCCGAACCAAGATGCCGATGAAAAGCCACCACCACCAACTTCTGTCGAAGCTGACCCTAACATCGTCGACTGGGACGGTCCCGACGACCCCGAGAAAGCTCTCAACTGGACAGATAAGAAGAAATGGGGCAATATCGCCATTGTTTCCACCGTTACTCTCTTGACTCCTTTAGCATCCTCAATGGTTGCACCCGCCACCCCGCTTATCATGAGAGACCTTCACTTCTCGGATCCTACACTTGGCAGCTTTGTTGTCTCAATCTACATCCTAGGCTATGCATTGGGTCCACTATTCATCGCACCCCTCAGCGAAGTTTACGGTCGCCTCCCCGTCTATCACGTTTGTAACGGCCAGTTCATCATTTGGACCATTGCTTGCGCTCTCGCCCCTAACATTGGCGCACTGTTATTTTTCAGACTAATGGCCGGTATTGCCGGTAGCTGCCCGCTGACGATTGGTGGTGGAACTATTGCCGACCTCATTGTTCACGAGAAACGTGGTGGAGCCATGGCTTTGTTTGCCTTGGGCCCGCTCCTGGGCCCTGTAATCGGCCCTGTTGCCGGAGGCTACCTGGCAGAAGCTGCCGGCTGGGCCTGGATATTCTGGCTCATTGCCATCGCTGTGAGGAGCAATCCTTGATACACTCCAAAGCAGTCGTCCAGATATGCTAACGTACCCTTCTTAGGGCGGCGTCGTGTTCGCATCTTCCCTATTTTTCATGCGAGAGACATATGAGCCGGTCCTCCTCGAGAAACGCACCCGACGACTCCGAAAGGAGACGGGGAATTCTCTTTTACGTTCCAAACTTGACCTAGGGATCCCTAGAAAGGAGTTCTTCATTCGTGCCATCGTACGTCCGACGAAAATGCTTCTCTTTTCACCTATCGTTCTCACTTTGTCAATTTACATGGCTATCATCTATGGCTACCTGTACTTGTTGTTCACGACCTTGACCATCGTCTTTGAAGGGACATATCACTTCAGCCAAGGCAACGTAGGCCTTGCGTTCTTGGGAATCGGTGTTGGATCACTGCTTGGGCTGGTGATCTTCGGGGCCCTCTCTGATAAAACCGTGAAGAAGTTGGCCGCTGCTGGTGAAATGAAGCCAGAATATCGCCTGCCTCCCCTGATCCCAGGGAGTTTCCTCATTCCAATCGGGCTTTTCTGGTACGGGTGGAGCGCAGAGAAAGCCATTCACTGGATCATGCCAATCATTGGGACCATGTGGGTTGGCCTTGGTCTTTTGGCAACTTTCATGCCAATCCAAACATACCTGGTCGATGCTTTCACCCAGCACGCTGCCTCGGCCATTGCTGCGAATACAGTCTTGCGGAGTCTTTGTGGTGCTTTCCTGCCCCTAGCAGGCCCTAAAATGTACGACGCTCTTGGACTTGGATGGGGCAACTCACTTTTGGCGTTCATCGCTTTGGCTTGCGCACCTCTCAGTGTCGTGTTTTACAAGTACGGCGAAAGGATCAGGAAAGACCCCCGATTTCAACCGAACTTTTGACCTCACGTCCCAGGGATGCCTTCACCGAAATGGCAGGATTTGGAGCCTTTCGAAGCATGCTGCGGACAATTACCCAAACATCGGGCGGCATCGATCATGTTCCGACACCACCGACTAGGGTCGATTTTTTTGACCCTACGACTGCATCAAACACAGTTGGAGCACTTACCGGACATATACAGGCCTGCTCCACAAGGTCGACAACTCGGCAAAGCATCTGGGGTTTGAACTTCTCACAGCTAAGGATTGTTCCCGGACCCCTCAAGTGTCTTACACTTGAAAGATCAGAAAGCACCAAATTAGGACATGTTTTGTGAGTTTACTGGTCCTGATTTCTGTGATGCAATGGTCATTGTGCATCGAATGGAGACCAGAATACAATATACTGTGTCATTTCCGATGCGCCCACTACCATCGAGCCATCGAGGAGGATTTTCCTGGGAGCCGTTCCTGGAGGGAACGCGCTGCTCACAATGAAATCGCAGGTAGGTAGTGTCTACATCTTCTGCATAGGCCTGTAATCCAATCAGCAGACCTCATATGGGACCGCTCAATGATCAGGTTCTTGGAAGGGGGCGTTTGGCTTGTGCAAGGCACGCGGGGGGAGAAGAAGAAGGGACATGGTGTCCCTCGTTGAATCACAGCCCAGTGGCTATACAGTATCTACGATTCACGCGACAAAAGTTCACCTCCATTGACAATAGCATTTCAAGTTAGAGATTTTGAAATGATGGAGGGCCACTCCGAAGCTGGTTTGATTGCGATGGACTAACTAAAACTTATGTAGTGCAAGGATGTATTATACCAGTAATGCAGTCTACTCCGCTCTCGCTTTTTTGGGTCACATTTTCCTCATTAGAAGCAAAGTGTGAACTTTCGATCCTTGATCCATTGCCCTTTCATCCTCATCATGAAAAAGGTATTCGAAATTCAAAGAATGACAAACCTGCAAACCCAAAGGATTACAAAGATCTCTCCCTCATAAACGAAACTCTCTTCCGCGATTTCCGTGAGCTTATTCAATCTGGATCTTCTTCGTCTCCCTGCCCTTCTTCATCTTCGGCACCACAACGCTCAGTATTCCGTCCTTGAGGCTGGCTTTCACATTGTCCTGGTCCACGCGATTGGGGAACGCAAAGCTCCGAGCGAACTCGCCGACGCTGCGCTCCGTGATCCAGTACGTGTGATTATGCTGGGAATTGCCCTTCGAAACCTCCTGGGAGGAACCAATGGTCGAAAGGTGCTTACTGTCTTTCCCACTAGCCTGCTCTGCAGAACCGCTCCCCGCCGCATCCGAAGCCTGCACTTCCTCAGGCACGTTCCCTTCTTTCCTGTAATTCTCGGTCCTCCCCTTGATCGTGAGCGTCTGGTCATCGAGAAACTCAATCGCAATATCCTTCTGCGCAATGCCAGGGAGCTCGCCCTCAAGATAGTACTTGTCTTCTGCTTCGCGGACGTCGAATCTCGGTGCAAAGGTCCGGCTGGCGTTGTCGGAGAGCTTCTGTAGCTCGGCGAATGTATCGTTGAACAAACTTAAAAAGGGGCCCATTTCGTGGCGGGCACTTGGTCCGAACGAGTGTGTCAGACGTGGGAGGAGAGCCATCTCTGCCTGCTGTGGTTGTGATTGTGCTTATGTCGGGTCGCTGGTTTTGAGATGCTTTTATGGGCTCAAGTGATGTTGAGTTGATGCGCAGGTCCTCAACCGTCGCTTTTGTTGTTGTTGGTGACGATGAAGGTCAACTTTCGACGGGTAGGATCCCCCTACTTATACTTGAGTGAAGCGCCTTGGACCTTTCTATCGAAACTTCTCGAAATCATGCCGTCAGTGCCTGTGTCTACGAGGAAGGAATGGGTACCGCATGCGTGGATGTATACCGCCATTTCCATAGCTGGAGTGTAGAACATGCTACTCTCGAATCCAGGATCATGTGAACAGTCGAGATTCATGGTAGAAGTTTCGAGATATCGTGGGTGCGGCGGGTGGCAGGGGCTACTTGGACTCCCTTTCTACCTAGACTGTGAGGCAAAGATCTGCAGATCACTTCCGCCTCCGGTGATGTATTTTGGTCCTGGCTTCCGTGAGGTTCTGTTGTAAATTCGTGAAGGTCGTCCACCGTCACTCGTTTGTCTGTATCACCAGATAGAACGAAGACAGTCGAACTGAACGTGCATACTAGCGGGACGCGGCTTGGCATCTGCTTCCGAAAGATCTAGAAACTTCCGCTGGGTATCATGCGGAGAAAAGTGGTGCCACCGCTTGGGATTTGTGGCCGCCCACTTCAAATTTCATCAGGTGGCGAACACCAGGGGGATTCCCTGCTTTTGCGACATCTGGAGATGCTATCTACGAGTTTCATAGATATCGAAGACATTCAATTACGCCGTCAAAGTTTGACCCATTGATCGGTTGTTGCATGCTCTAAGAGACCATCGCCAATTGATGCTCCGATGGCAGCAAGTTCGGACTTGAACCATCGCCTTTGTCCGGCGTCTATGCAGTCAAGGCTCGATCCAACGGTCAGTGGCCAGATAAGCGTGCTAGAAAGGTATGGTTTGATCTGTTCGTTCTGCAAGGGAACCTTCGAAGCTACGGTTAGAACTGGATCTCCGTCTACCACCCTGATCTGTTCAAGACAAAATGGTATACTTGAAGCTATGCTATTTCCCATCTCTTTCAAGGTATTGAGACAGTTCATACGCTGCTCCGTATAAGTGGCACCGTTGCACCAGGCGTCGAGAAGTCTTAACTTGACACTAATAATAAGCATTCTTGTTGCGAAGAACTCAAGCCATATGGCGGCATTGCCGATACTGTGGTACGTGTAAATCTGCAGATTGAAAAAGTGCTCCCGGGGCCACCGACAAGGTTTAGAAAGAATATGGCCTCGATATGAGCTAGAAACTTGTGCTATCCATGCCATAAGTGCGGTCTCAAGCCTCGTGGCTTCGGCGTAGCAAGCTCTAGCTTTGGGAAGCGCAAAAGAATCACTTTCTGAAAGCAGAAGGGTCTCATATCTTAGGTTGATCGATTTCACCAGAATACGGTCGTAATCGAGTTCCAGACCAGCCTCACCAAACGCGCCGCCATCTAGTACCCAATCAGGCAGTCGGAAACGTCGGAGAAGGAAGAATTTGCGAAGCTGTCTTCGGATATACTTCACAATCGTCGACGGCTTGTGTTGGCTCATCTTTTCGTGCCAGATCTTCAATATAGCCATCAGGCCATCGTAGTGAGACCAATTCCGTGTTTCAATCAAACTTTCCGCTGAATCTGGTATGAGACATTGTGTAGTGCCCTCATAGCGGCCCATGAGGAAAGAGGACAGGAGGCATGCATCAATATATCCCTCAGTGATCGTTCGGCTCTCCATTTGGGCGATTTGACTGCGTGATATTTGTAGCGCAGTATAATACATTGAAGAGGCGGCTTGTGCAGCCTCCGAGTGGTGTTGCGTCCGTGAATATACAGCAAGAGCCAAACATGCTAGCGTGCTATCGACCTGGGGACATGTTCTCCCGGAATATCTCCAGGCAGACACACACTCAAACAAGCCGCCGGTTATTCTTTGCGCCTCCGATAGTTCTTGTAAGTGATACCGAAGGAAGTACGCAGTTGCCCTTGTCTGAAGATCAAAATGTAGTCGCATCAATGTCAATGTTGAACGCGGGCCCCTGGGCCGTTTAGATCTCCCACTTGCGAATGAGTTTTCTACGTTGATGGAAAAGCAGATTTCGTTTGCGGTATCTGTCCCTAGACATATCCGGCGTGATTTTATACACCTTTGACAGATAGGTGTCGTCTCGTCGCACTGTATAGTATAAGATGGTTAGTCGCTACCGGGGCCTCCGAGGGAATGGACCCCTGACCTTGATACGTCGAATCTTACAAGTCTGGCAGGCTGTACTGTATCGACCCATGGCTCACATCACGACATTTGATAATCTCCCTTGAAACTTGAGGGTTGATGCAGCGCTCGCACAAGTCTTAGACGGGCAGGAATAGGACTGGAACCAGGAATGTCGTCGCTCAGCCGAACTTGAGTGGCATCAGACAGATCTCAGCCAGACCAACTAGCGGCATCCGATGCGATCTCACTATTCCATTTCCGGACAAACTCTGCGAGAACTCGGTTTGCATCTTGGATGATCGACTTAACCCCGAGGTCGGTCAGAACTGGAAGGCCTGACCGCCTGGTATGAATTACACGTGATCGAAAACTAGCCTATCTTGAGTGAAATTCTGCGATGAATTCGATGCTCACCTCACGGCCATTACAAATGTTGAAGAATTCTCTCGGTCGATAAGATTCTAAGAGCTATGAACGGTGCTTCATAGGTTTTGCCATGGAGGTAATTCCTAGACAAGGAAACAAATATAAAGTGACCATGTTTATCCTCGTTTTGATTCTCAACTTGCCTCAGAGCTATCATCTAGTCTAGTCGTTTCTACACTTTTTTGAAGAATGTTCAGCGAGATCAAGCCGGTCAAAGTCTGGGGCCAGGGAGGTCCTAATCCTCCCAAGGTCGCCATGTTGCTCGGAGAGCTTAAGGTCCCTTTCGAGCCGATTCCCATCCCGCTGACGGACGTAAAGAATCCCGAATATCTTGTCATCAATCCGAATGGGCGAATTCCAGCAATATATGACCCAAACACCGATATAACACTGTGGGAGTCTGGTGCAATCCTTGAATATCTCATTGAGCGGTACGATCCTGAGCACAAACTCAGCTTTCCGCAGGGAAGTCCAGAGGCATACCACGCAAAGCAGTGGCTTTTCTTCCAGGTATCAGGCCAAGGCCCGTATTATGGGCAAGCGGCATGGTTCAAGAAATTCCATCCAGAGAAAGTTCCGAGCGCGCTGGAACGCTACAATACGGAGGTTGCACGTGTCACCGGGGTCTTGGAGGGATGGCTAGCTCAGCAAAAGGAGAAATATGGGGATGAAACCGGGAGTGGTGGACCATGGATAGTCGGGAACAAGCTCTCGTATGTGGACTTTGCTTTCGTTTCCTGGCAAAGAATTATTGTCATGGTCTTGGAGAAGAGCGATTTTGACCAGGATGACTTCCCTCTTGTCAAGGAGTGGCTGGGTAAGTTGACTGTCAGACCGTCCGTTAAAGCTGCTATAGATGGCACAATCGCTGCAGTAGCAGCTGAAAAGAAGAAATAGAGACTATTATGAGACCTGGAGCCCAGGATCACATCGATTCAGTGATAAAAATTGGATATCTTCAAGTTACCTCACTTCCAAGTCGATAGCTCCGGGTGGTGCTTTGTCCATCTCCTGCTAGAATCTTGCCATGAACCAGAAACGATAGTATTGACAGGGTCCTAAAGATTTGGGAGGTTGAACATGGTTACCGTGATCGAAGTTGTTCAGGCGGACTTCTAAATGCTCAAAGGCTTCGAAATCGCGGTCAGATTTGTACATCTTTTTTGGCCACTGGTGTAGAGGGGACTGGGGTATTCAGCATAAGGACATCGGCACGTCCATAGCCGTATCGTACGAGTGTCCCCTCCACCAATCCCTTAGGGCTTCAACGTCGATGTTGATAGGCTGTTTAATGTTAGATTTTGATATTGTAGAGCTCAGGAATACTTTAACCTTGGGTTGCCGAAAATCGAGGTCCGAATCATTCATTACACCAATGTTTGTATAGGTGGAAACAAAGAAACACCGCTTATTTCACTCTGCGTAGGCTTAATGCGCTCGAGGTAGGCTAGCATGCTGAAATACAAGACAGCATTCGCACCGCACAGCTTTGTCACCTAGTGTCAAAATGAAAAAGTGAAAATCAACTGAATTCGTCTCTGAGTCATACTTGACACTAGGGTTCTTCCAGTAATCGAGGCTCGAGCTTTCGTGAGTCAGTGAAGAGTTCGGTGTCAGTCAGGACCGTCCATGCCGATAGCGTTTAGAACAACAGATTAAAGGAGGCTGTGAGCAGTTGCCTACACGCTTTCACCTCCATTCTCCTCTCGAAATGCCTTCTCAAGACAGCTTCCCACACTCTTTCCGGCGAAGACGTGGCCAAACGGTACTCTTACATCACCAAGAGGGTACAGTGTTCAGCAACGTAGGTCCCCCTTCTGGAGTACGAGGTCTGGCACAGCAGGTCGAAAACTGGGAGATTATGCTCGAACCAGGCCGGACGACCCGTTAGACCAGACCTTATAATTACTTGTGAAGCGATGTCCTATGATCGTCTTTCAGCGAGCTTGTCGAAATAACTTATAGGGAACCTTCGGTGGTCTTTGGATAGGTCGATACTATGGTAGTGAGGCTGGGACTAAACCTAAGCGGTTCAAATAAAGCGGTGCAAATAAAGCGGTTGAAGTGTGAGCACTACAGTCAAAGAATAGAATAGGGTCGAGGCAACCGCAGTTTCGTTCAACTAACGATATATCTGGGAGTAATTCAATAGATACCGCTCTTTTTTAAAGGGGAGGAGCACCTTTCCTCCGGTTTGAAGCTTGTGAAGTCCGATGTTGGTTGCAAGTACGGAGTTCATGACGCCCCTGGAGTGCAATTGATACTGGGGACCGAAAGTTGTCTAACAGAATGCACAACCGTCGCAAGGGAGTAAACTCGAGATGCAGGACTGTCATTTAGCTATGGCGAAGATCTCGTATCATTTATTTGCAGGCTTCTTCCCCTAAAACTTACCAACTGACAGTTGCTTTTACACATCAGTACAAGAGAATGGCAGAGTGAGTAAGCTTAAGATCGTACTTTCCACTCTAGAACACCTCAGGGGCATCGTAGCAGCCAGTGACAGTGGGATGAAGGGGTATTCAACAGGATGAACTAACAGCGTGGCTGAAGACTCGTATGCAGAGATGATTTGGAGATATCTTGTTTGATGTTAGCAAACTTGGACATCATCAAACCATGATCGTTCGATGTTTGGGTAAACATCGGACTAGTCACTACCAAGGGTATGGTGGAGTTTGGGGCGAGATGGAGCGTTATGCAACATCGATTTTACAAGGCGTTAGCAGGTACAGCATCTGTTCCAGAACACATATTGAGCATGAGCCTGCAAGGTACTCCGTACATCGTAACTTCGAACAAAGTTAGAATAGCAAAAGATAGCGATAGGTTCACAGAGTCGCGGAAGGAGTCTTCAATTTGGACCATGGCCCTAGCCCTAATAATACTTAGCATCTCGTATAACAATAATTTCCTTCACTCCCCTTCCTCTAAAGCTGCAATGTTAGGTTTCCCCGTCTTTCCGCTCGGGGTGTAGCCGAAAGTGGACTGATCCTTTGGGGTGGGACAAGCGATGATACCTAGCCCTTCCACCAGCTTCGGCTCGACTTAGTCAGGTGAAGTGGTGTTTTAGCCTTCGCCGAGACACAACCTCGGGAATGTTGTGTCCGAAGCCATCCCTGCAGCACAGATATTCGCTGATCCTCCAACAAATTCTCAACAGTGAAACCCCGACAACCCCTCCTGACTACGTTCTTCCCAAATTGCAAGTCTGGGGTAGCGAAAACTTGAGCTTGGCTGTGAGGATCAGGCATGGCATGGTGGGGAAACTTACCGAGCTGCATTGACAATTTAGGGGAACACACCACTTCCTAGCATTTTCGAAACGAAGCGGTACTATGTGGTACCTTTGACCAACGTTTTGCGGGTTTTTCCCTACTCCAGAGCAATGCCACGAACAAATCGGCCATGAGAGTCGAACTTCTGCGGATGCCACTTAGCTTGAAAGTCTAAACCAACAATTAATACCAGAGTTCGGTCACTGAGAGCTAATATGTTCGTTCACCTCGTCTTACTCGGTCAGAAGTTGGTTGACGATGGAAGGTGACCCTCGAGTAGACTCAAAACTCCAGGGGGAAGAGAACTGGACTACACGGATCTGAAGCTACAACGCTTTCTCCACGACCAGGGGTTGTGACTCAACCCCTGCATCGAGCGTGCAATAGCGTTAGTGCGCAGAGGGCCTAAAAGACGGCCCCCAGAGGGCGTTCACTAAGAAATACGAGGCTGCATGATGTGCCCAGTGCCCACAGCCCATCATAAAGTCGAAGTGTGATCATGAAGCGGCAATTGACGATCCTATTGTGTTTTCCCGCCAGAGATGTTGGTATCATCAACACTCAACCCCGCATGACCTTTACAATCCTTTTCAAGTTGTCTTCACGAGGCACTTCGACGAAACTTCTCAGCAACCGATATCCCAGCTGTCAAATGCCAGGTTGGATATCTCGGCCAGCAAAAATGTCTTCAAGCTCGAGTTCACTGTCCGAGGTTGGTGTAACAGGGGGCTATGATGGAGACAGTCTCGCTTTAAAAGTCATTATTGCCTTTTTCCCTGGCCTTGCCATGTACAATGTGGTCGAGCTTTTGATCCTTATCCTGGGTTCCTTTAACCGATTTAGTGGTCTATATTTCTGGAGCCTCATCGTGTCTGGTCTCGGCATCATACCGTATTCTCTTGGCTTTACCTTCAAGTTCTTCTCGATCCTCACAGGCTCGGCGAGTTGGGTCCCCATCTTTCTCCTCACGCTAGGATGGTATCCTATGATCACGGGTCAGTCGGTTGTTCTTTGGTCACGTCTTCATCTTGTTGTTACTGGCCAAAGAGGACATAAAATCCTTCAGTGGACGAAATGGATGATCATTATCGATGCTGTCATTCTACATATCCCTACAACAGTACTCACCATTGGGTCCAACGGCAAGAGTAACACTCAGGTCTTCGCAAGAGGATATAATGTCATGGAAAAAGTGCAGATGTGTGGGTTCTTTGTCCAGGAAGTAATCCTCTCATCTATATACATCATCGAGACGGTTCGCATCCTTCGCTATTCGATACAAGGTACCACTCGACGACTTATGAATCAACTCATCGCAATCAACATCCTCATCATAATCATGGACTTAGGTATATTGGCCCTCGAATGTGCCTCACTATATATACTTCAGATCACCATTAAGGCCGCGTTCTACTCTATCAAACTAAAACTCGAATTCGCCATCCTTAGCAGGTTGGTACAGTATGTAGGAGGACCTCGACAAGGTACCCGGCAGATGTCGGTTAGCCTTTCGGATATGGAAGCACAGTCACAATCTACCGCTGGTGGAGAGCAGCATCGTGGTGCTGAATATGTCAATTGGAATGAGGCTGGAACGGGTCGGCCGCGGGCCTCTCAGCTAGTGAAAACGAGTGCATTGTCCAAGCAAATTGTAAGACAAGTTGATATCGAGATTGAGGAGCTTGAGTATGATGAAACTACCTCTCCACCAGCGTGGACGTCAACTGCGAATGACACCAAAGCAAGGTAGACGAATCCTGATCCGTGGGAGCGTAACTCCAAGAAGGTTTGAAGCTCGCTGAAAACTTGAGATGTAAATGAATATGGGTGGATGCTGTTCCTCTACGGCATCCTGTTTTCGCGACCATGTTTGTTGCAAAGAGAAGATCACAGTCCTGGTGTGCGCAAGGCATGGTTGCTGGTCTCATGGCCGCCAGCAGTGGAATGTCAGCAATGTGTCCTTCACAGCCAATCGTTGCACTACGCTCATCATTCTGATTGTAGCTGATGGTACTCTACGGCTCATTGATCATATTATCTTTACTGGGAATAACCGACTTCTTGCTGAGATAAAGACATAAGCAGAGGCGGTAAATCGGGTGTTGTACGCCGTACCAAACACCCAATGCGAATGGCAGTCTTGAAGAAGTGCGCCGACGTCTAAAAAGGCTTTCAACAAACTGGATTCTTGGCTGAAACTGCTTTCCCCCACTTCCTGCGCAGGCTAGTACTCGAATCTTCTACGCCGGTCCTGTGACGCGTTGGTCGCAACGGAGAGAGTTCGGATGGTCTGAAAGCTCCCAGGGGACAAAGCTCGGGGGCAAATCGTTCCAGGGCATATACTGGCAACAACCTACGCATATCTGGCTCTAGATTGCGTCTGTGATACGCTCCTTGAGTCGATACCTTGATCTTTGATGCCTAACCTCCCATCCAGAGATGTGGCCCCGTTTAGGAGTACCTCTTCCTTCTACCATTTCATGCTTGGTGTGAGTATGAACCGGCTTCGGGACAGTCAGATCGGCAGGAGTGAGCAGGCAGACTTAATGATAGCCTCGGTAAAGGAAAAGGACAGTGGTTCACAGGAAATGTTTCTCCTGAAGTAGAGAGTCGGAAGTGAGATAAGGCACCCACAGGAGTACCTCTTGTTGGCGCCAATGATCTAGCGCGTACTAACTCACGTGACACGTGACACGCTAACACATATGGATACTAAACTCTGTGAGTGACTTTAGTGAGTCCTGTCATATAATTGCCATTGTATCAGCATTTGCAATGCTTGGAAATCAATGAGTGATTTGAAATCATGGAAAAGGAGCTCACGGAAATCAAATGCCTAACGACTTTGTATATAAACAAGAACAGAGTCCATAAGATTGAAAGAGACAGAGATCTCATGCATGCTCGAGTGCTTGCCAAAAAAGCGTAGTCAAGTACGCCAACACCTCTTACCTCTAAAGTCATGTATATTCGATCTGTCGGAAGGGAAGTCTGAGCTGGAAATGGGGTGTCTTTGTGGATCTCCTTTATGGAAATGTGGACTTCGAAATGCCATGGCCTACTTGTTAACTGGAGTGTAGTAGTAAGTTTAGTTTTCAAGGCAATAAATCATAATTATGACAGCCACACATTTGCTTACTGGGCGTGCACCTATGCTGCGACATGCGAGGACTCGCGCGAGAAATCGAACGAGAGTTCGCACGGGGGCGGGGTCTTGCTTGGTATGATCCGTATGATCCACTGCATTTGCTAGCGCAATTTCGGGCTTGTATCGCCTAACGTTAGCCTATCGTGGTAGTGGTATTTCGCGGGGCCAAAGTGCTTAGTTAGCCCGAATCGTACATGAAGCTACTAACGCCAGAATTGATCCCTTCTCGCTAGAGGGACAGCTACACTTCGAGTTCGATTTTGTCTGCATTTTCGGCACTGCATTTAAATGGCGCTACGCTGTGCGCAAGATCAGCGACCACATCACTGTGGTTGTCAACCTGGTGCGGCCTGTCTCTACGCCTGGGAGCTCACCCTTCAATCCGCGGACCCACTGGTACAGCCGGACATCAACCTCAACTTCTTTGCCGATGACCTGGACGTCATTGCAAGGCGCGAGTGTCTTTGTTTCACTTCCGGTGTCCTCATCAAGGGCGAGTGCTTCAAGGACCTGGCCGTCTCAGAGTACCCTTGGGAGATGCCACTTCAATCGGACGTTGAGATGAAGCATCCCGTTTAATACCGGCGCCAGACCGCGTTCCACCCTGTGGGTGCTTGCCGCCTATCCCAGTTCACTAATTAGGGTGTAGTCGATTCAAAGCTGAGGGTCCACAGCATTGGAAATCTGTGCGTCATTGACGCGTTGATACAACCCATAATTCCCGACTGCCGTATTCAGAATTCTGTGTACATGAAGTAAGAAAGGTGTCGATATGACCAAAGCTAAGCACAAAGATCTCTACGAATGAACTTGGCTTTCAGAGCGAGAGACTGTCCTTTCAATAATTTGATGCAGATGAGCAAAGAACACTCGTTACGAAGATATGTTGCTACTAACCCTAGGGCAACTCGCCTTAGCCAGGCACATAACGGAAGACCTAAGTGTCTATGAAACTATACAAGCCTCAGATAAAAAAAAATTTGAAATTGAAGAACAATCCTTCTCTCAAATTGCATTATAAATTTCTTAGTCCTGGTGGATATGTTTGGGCCGCGGCCTTCTGCTTGCTCGGAATGTTATACACGGCCCTTCCTGTTGACTTCGTAACATGGCCCCCGCGTATGTTCCAGGATGCTCTGTCGCGTTGGTGTTCTGAACTGTACTGGGTTACTGGGTGTCCTGTCAGAGCAACCGGTGGATTAGCGGTCTCTGACGTTAGTCCTTTTCCCGTTTTCGCCCACCTTCCCAGCATAGCAGCTGCTCCAGTCCTAGAGTCCGTAGTTACATTTAATGCTCGGCTGTGACTTTTTATGACCCTATCATCTTTGGTCTAGACCGCGATACACGTTGATCCGACTGGACGCAGAAGTACGGCCTCCCAGGTCTACATTTACTGGGGAATGGCTTGCTTAACGTTTTGTTTCCGGCCTCTGATGCGGTCCATTATGTGGGCGTGCCTGTTATGGCTGGACCTGCCTGTCATGACTTCATGTGACGGAAGCCAAAGGCGTAATACCGTTCGACAAAGACGAGGAAAGGGAAGATCTACGCGCTGTTTTGATGTCTACGTGCCCTCCCGCCGACTAAGCAGTAAGGTCGTCCGGCTACACACCTGCGAGAAAGTAACACTTGGCTTTTATGAACCTTGATCGAAGGGGATCATCGGACCCTACTGAGGCTTGTCAATTACAATAAGGGTGAATCAGGGATTATCATGTGGAGTTCCAATTGGTAACTGCAAGGGCGGCTGCGGTGTGTCGCCAGCAACACACTATTACAACATTGCACTCTCTTACATGTAATAGGCATAGTTATTACATGGTTTTATTCTCGAGTTGGCGTCGTGTAGCGTCATTCTTCTTCTCTACGAAAATGGAGTGAGTCTTAGCGTATCGAACCATCCTACTTCCGCTAATTAAGGAACCTTGTGATCCCGTGATTCCACGGGGCCGTTATTTTAGCCCTGCAGCACGCTTAGCACGCCACCTACATTCGTTTGCGGCCGATTACTACTTAATAGCGGCCATGCCCATATCTTAGTTAGTAAACAAGGTTCGCCGCCATACCTCCTTCCCACTACTAACTACCACACCAGCTTGGTTGCCCGTGACAATCGCTAGGGTGAAGCGTTTAGCACTGGGCACCTAGCAGGAATGGGGTGGGATTCGATTAGTCATGAGATAGACATTACTATATAGAACGCCTTGTAATTCGCTGAATTTTATGGTGACGTATGGCGGTGACAGACCGCCACTAGCGCTGGTGAAACATATGTAGCTGGTGACATGCCAGTCAACACGTGTGGTTTTGACACTCCGCCATCCGTAGATACGCTATCTCGCAAGATATCAATATAATTGTCATCGTCAGCGAACTAAGGGAATTGTTTGTACGGTCGACTGTTGCGATAATGCACTCTTATAAGGCTTTATTTGTGCGATAGATAGAAACTCACTCCACCACTACGTCTAGAAGCACCACAAGATACGCGACATGGCCATACCAAGATCGAGTGTGACTTTGGAGTCTACCACAGCCAATGCAACCAACTGTGAAGAACCCACGTTCCATAGACTGTGCGACTACCGAGATGGAATTATATCAGAGCCACCAGATGGTGGATACGGATGGATATGCCTGACATGCTGTTTTGCTATCAACTGCTTCACGTGGGGCATTGTTACGGTAAGGATCAAATTTCATGCTCTTGGCAATAGCCTGACCACCAGTGAAGTCATACGGGGTCTTTCCATCCTACTATCTTTCTAGCCCGTTTTTCCTAGAGTCCAAGCCACTAGACTACGCTTTTATCGGTGGATTGACATTTGGAGCGGCTATGCTTGTGGCACCACTTGTGACAGTATTGGTCCGAGTACTTGGAATTCGGCCTCCCTATGTACGCTGGAGCAGTCATGCTAGGGGGAGCTTTCATCGCAGCATCCTCCTCGTCTCAAATTTGGCAACTCTAGGTCTCACAAAAGCTGCTTGTGGGACTTGGCGTGGGATTCATGTGTATCCCCAGCAGCCCGTTCTCTCGCAGTGGTTTACCCGTCGAATGAGTCTGGCCAACGGTATCAGCGCGGCAGGGTCTGGCATTGGCGGGGTGATCTTTTCATTTGCGGCTAGTGCAATGATTGATAATTTTGGTCACGCTTGGTCATTGATGGCCATTGGGCTTATAGCCTTAGCAGCAAATCTGCTTTCTGCCACCTTTATTCGCGACCGAAATGCTATTATTCGTCCGAAGCAGCACCCATTTGATCTCAATTACTTAGACATTGGGAGGTCTCCTTCCTGCTGGCGTGGTCGTTCATTAGCATGCTAGGCTATGTTACCTTGCTTTATTCGCTCTCTGACATTGCATTGTCGATTGAGCTGTCGCGCGAACAAGCTACACAGATCACAGCTTTCCTCAATATGGGAACTCCAATTGTAAGGCCTTTACTGGAGTTTCCAGTGATTGCCTTGGCCGATTTGAGGTAGCCAGCGGTCTCACCCTAATTTGTGGGGTGTGCTGTTTGGGAATATGGGTTCTAGCTCCGTCATTCGGCTTGACTATCTTCTTTGCTATAAGAAGCGGGGCGATCCTTGGTGTCTTCTGGGTTGTAAGACTAGGATGGATATTTTACCAAGTTTTTGGATTACTAACTACTTGCAGACTATTGGACCTCTGTGCGTCGAGGTTGCTGGCTTAAAGCAGCTTCCGTCGCTTTTAGCTCTCTCGTGGCTCTCCGTTGTGGTGCCGCTCACTTGTAAGTTAGACTCAACCGTTTAAACAGTATGTTTTGTGTCTGACTTGATCTCTATAATAACAGTCTCGGAGGCGATTGCTCTCGAGCTTCGACGCCCTGGTCACACGCGAGCATATCTTTTCCCGCAGGCTTTCTGCGGGCTGTGCTATATCCTCGAAAGCTTTTGTCTGTGGACTACCCGAGTCATTATTAAACGGCGCAATTGAAATAGCGCTAGGTGTAGAGAAAGAGAAACAACATCAAGTCAGGAGGGAACTGCCTTCCAAGCTGCCACTTTCTTCGTTGGTGTCATTCCATATTTCGAAGATGCCATTATATTAAAGCCTTTCTTCGAATCCAGCATTTCTAGTTACACAACACATATTATATCACCGGATTTCCGACCAGGCTACGACTCAGGGCACCATCAAAATAAAGGTACATTAGCTAGTAAGCATACCATCCTCATCGACTTGTGACGTCGTCCTGCTATCCCACTAAGATGATGAATTAATTCCGAGACTTATAGGAGTTTGCAATAAAACCTAACCATGACACACATACGATTTCAAGTGAGAATTAGATTGGACACGCGGGAGGGGAAGGGGGAAGGGTAAGAAAAAGTGTTGTAAATATGTCCGACCGGGTATGTTCATGCCTTGATTGGGATGACCTCCAGGGCATTAGGGGAGGCACAAGAGGCTTTTACAGCATATGTGACCAGTTATACTGAGGGGTTCTATTTCTTTGGTAGTCAACCCATTTACCAAGCGCAATTACTAACCTGCTCACCATCCGCCATATAGACTTAGTTTATCTTAGAAGGGCGCGTTATGGGTCCTGGTGGAACTAGAATTCGTCTAGTTCTCTTCCTGGCGATCCTTCTCATCGGAAAACTGTCAATTCCCGGTGTTCTCCTTTAAGGCGGATAGAAAGGCCACGAGGCAAGATTTCAAGCCGCTTAGTTCGACACTTTTCTCCTTGCAAGTATTTTTACGACCTGAGACCTAGTCCAATTTGGCGCTTGACATCGACTAAAACAATATAGATGATTGCGCACTGATTTTCTGGGCTTCATTCTTATTTTGAGTACCTCCGTTGAGCTTAATTTATCGGGAATCTTACTACCGTAGAAGTTATTCTAGGTGTTAGCCAGAGGCCCCACTATCAGCTAGAGTAAGGGATCAAGTAAGGAAATTGGCGCGACGGTAGACCTCAATGAATCGCTGGCTGCTGTGTCGCTGCATAATGTTGATTTGCTGGCTCCTGTCAAGCGATATTTCTTGCTTACTACTTCCGCACAGGTTGCTTTCTAATCCTAATCTGCAGATGGCGAATCAAATGAAAAGAAGAGCCGATAACTGTTAATTCTTCTTAATCTCTGTGATCGAATAGATTAGAACATTTGCACATGTGCAATCTTTCTAGCATTCTCATTGGCTTGAGTAAATTCAGGGTAGCTTTTGCTCAATGGACAAAGGTAGGCGATTATGGTTCTTCCTTTTCCAGATTAATTAATCTCTAAAGGTAGGGTCTTATTAGTATCTCAGTTACGTTAGTAGTCCTCATTCGACTCTACTGCTCACGCTGCTCAACGCGCAAGTGTATAACTGCTTGGGAATTAGACATGGGCAGGCAATCCGCACCTGAAGACGTTCGCCTCAGGGGTTTGTCGACACGGGTAAGGGTTCGCCTCTAACTTAGGGAGGCATTGGCAGAATCCTTGGGCACTTGTCTGTTACGTATGCTTAACTTTACAGATCGCACCGCTAAAGAATATGAGATGGTCGTATCTCTTCAGGGAGTCGTTGCTCATGTCTCATTAGCCGAGCTCTAGTTCGGAAGTTATTTTTCTATTAGTGTTGTACCTGGTAGTGCTGCGATGCTGGGAGTGTTGATTGCAGGACTAATATCCGGAGTCCATCTAAACCCCTCAGTAATACTTACGTTCGTCGTCTTCCGCAGATTCTCGCCAAAGGAAGCTGCACTGTATTTTATCGGACAGGTCCGTCGATGTCTTAAAGTCTACGAAGATGAGTTTGACGATCATTAAATGCTTGGTGGGTTCACCCGGACAGCCATCATCTATGGAAACTATCGTTGCCCCATCGATCAAGTCGAAGGGTTCAATTTTCGAACCTATAAAACAGCCATCACATTTAGCATATACCCACAGCTCTTTTGATAAAGTCTGGCAAATTCTTTTCGGAATTCTTAGCTACAGCTGTACTGATCATTAGTATCTTTGCTATTGCTAACCCTCGAAGTCCCAAAACTGTTCACGATATGGCTCTTTGGCTGTTCCTCCTCATCTTAAACATCGTTGCTGCTCTTGGATGGGAGACGGGCTACGCAATGAACATGGCACAGGATCTTGCGCCTCGTTGTCTTGCGTAAGAGTGAAACATTGCCGGTGGAACCCTATGCTGATTAATCTAGTTAGCTACTTTACTAGATATGGGAACGAGGTATGGTCGTATGGATACTACTACTCTTAGGTGCTAGTGGTGGCCCTTCTTTGCGGTGCATTAACTGGTGGCTTCATCTACGACCTACTTATGTTTAATAGCCCGTCTCCGGTAAATAAGCCTTGGATGGGAATGTGGCCGATGCCACGGTCGTCCAAACCGCTGTAAAGGCCACAAAATGCGGGCTTCTAACTCTCTAATAGGGCTGGGATAGTGACTAGATGGTAGAGATTTAAATCTAAAGCGCTATAGTTAAGTAAAGTAAAATATAAAATGCGACATCTTTAATTTCGTAGACCCAAACAGTATCTCTACCGAGAACGATATCCCTTCCTTTGTCCTTAGATAGGAAAAAGCTATCTGGAGCAACCTTCCTTACTACCCAGTCCTCTTTATATATAATAAATTTTTAGAGAACGTACCTAAATTTCACTCGAATATAGTACATGAACCACGAGCTTAATTAGCGCCAAGTTAGTGGGAGACGTTGTTGAAGATCGTTGGGTCTACAAAGAGCCATATTGCTCTGGTTCCTCACTTACACTCGGACTATTACGTTTCGTATATTGCTAGAATGATTTTAATAGAAAATTGTCATACTTTAAAGAATCCATGAAGACAGTAGAAGCCTATAGTAGAGAGATCGAACCAGTTTAACCCTTTTGCGGTTGCATCAGTAAATTTCAACGTGGGGGTTTGGCAGACGGAATTGCTCGGGAATGGAATTTGTTGGGATGTAGGTAGTGGCTCATCGAATGGATTTACTTTACTTATTGAGTCTTCTAATAATATGAGTTGCCCGTAAGCCTTATGAGACTTATCCTAGAACACAGAGTTATACATAGAATATAATTATGGCGAAGACCAATCAGACCTGTATTGGTCGTTATCGTAATTCCTCTCCCTTTCATGCTTACCCGCCTTAGCGACTGAGGTAGCTGCTTTTCAACCCATGTCGAGTCAATCTTACATTCGTATGGCGTGCCAGTATTGCCTTTGTCATCTATCGCTCTTGATTGGATGTCGAGAATAGGCCTCATCTTGTGTCCAAGGTGATCGGTTGGGGCGATGTGCAACCTCTATTGTGGGTCACCTACTTCAACCAGGTCCTGCGCAGACGGAGTCTTGACAGTCAGACTCTAGATCAATAAGGTATAGTCTACTGAGCCTTTAGCCGAACACAAGGATCGCTATCAGCATGCGAATCATATGCCAACAGTGACTAAGTACATGCCTAAGGCGTTCCTGCTCTCCCATGGACTTCTCTCGCGCACGGGAATTTCGCACTCACTATTCGCCCAGATAACTTACCCAACCAGTGGACTTTTGACAGCTTTCAGCGCCAATGGGGCGATCTCATGCCACTTCGATTTTAGAGATGATGGAAGGGTGACGCTAGTCGAACTCCGAGAAGAAGGTTTTCTTACGACTGATCGTTTAATTAAGGCTAGACGTTCTTAGACCTCCTAGTATCCCACCCTCCTTTATTAGCAGCGCCATTGCCGGCCGTACCAGTTTGCGAACTACATTCCTCTCTACCCGACAACACCTCTTAAAATTCAGCCAGCATTCGAAGCTAACTATATGGTGTAATACTTATTATTCCATGGATTTAAGTAATAACAGACAAGTTCATACCGAGAAGCGTAAGTGGTTCTATGGACCATTAAGCTAACGATGCTATCCGATAAATAGTTACGCTAATGGGGCTTTCGGGGTTGGCAATACTGCTACAAGATCAAGGGAAGTACGAGCAGGCTGAGGAGGTCATTCAAGGAGCCATGCCGGCGTACGAGGCGGCGATGGGAGGGAGTCATTCCGACACGCTGGCATGTATGAGTAACCTGGCCACGGTACTACAAGACCAAGGGAAGTATGAGCAGGCCGAGGAGGTGAACCGACGTGCGTTGGCAGGATATGAGGCGGCGCTAGGAGGGAGTCATCCCAAGACGCTGGTGTGCATGAGCAATCTAGCAACTGTACTACAAGATCAAGGGAAGCATGGGCAGGCCGAGGAGGTCAACCGGCACGCGCTGAGAGAGTATAAGAAGCTGAAGGGAAGTCATTCGGAACGGCTGGTAAGCTTCCAAGGCACCGGACCACGGCTAATTGCAAGAAACATTGTTTAATCTCTAAGCTCTCTTCGTAGTTACACAGTTGAATATTTTGGGGATATCTTTTCCACAACCAATGTAATAAGACCAGAGCCGCAATCTATCCACTATTCCAGTAGGTATGGCTACTATCTAGGAAATTATCTCTTAAGGTACTTTATCTCAGTATGTATGAAATCTGAAATGCACAATTCCCTGTAGTTCTAAAATCGTCAATCCTAAACTTATAGTATGAGGCCGCCTAATTGAGTACCATTTTATTTACAGATGAGTGGATAAGAAGCTTCCGCGTACCGCTTGCAATTGTTAGTCAGTAGCATTCGAGGATGCATGGTGGCAGTAATGTTATCGAACACCATGGCCAGATTATTAAATGTATCTGTATTCCCAGCATGTTGATTCTCACATTGACTGGATCTTTGATGGCCACGTCTGAGAGGAAAACACACTCAAAACCGACCAAGGCGACAAGACAAAATAGTACAATTCACATGGAGGGGTGGCTGTCACAGTCGCAAATTCTTCAATATCCTGTCCTAGCTGTACAGGTCGCCTGCTGCCATTGCGGCTCTTTGAGATATGTAACTCAATTGTGATGTAGGAAGTGGTTTCGCTCTATGAAGTTGTCCCACTAACCATAAAATTCCTGAATTGTAGCACATATGTCCATATACGGTACAATGGACGCTGAGCTCGCTCCAAGCCATATGCCCCCTTTACTTTTGAGAAGCCCAAGTAGAGGCATTGTATTCTTCCATTAGTACAGTGTAGTCCTCTCCGGCATTTGCCCAGCCTGCGACACCATCTTTGAGGATGATACTGCTGATGCCTTCGACGTTTCTATCTTTGATAAGATCGTTAAACCAACCTGCTGCCCGAGATCCGCGCCCTTTCGACGAGCCTAATTTCAAAAGCAAACAGAATAGGTCAACATGTGCGGTAAAATTGACTTTTTTGTTTTCAATGCCAGTGAACTTACCACAGTACCAGATTACCTGCTTCACACCTGCGGCTTGACAAAGGTTCAGTAGAGTGGGTAAGCTAGGGTATAGGCTCTGTGCAGGGAGGTTAATAGATCCTTTGATTGTGCCGCCCTGTTTAGTCCTTAGCTTTCAGTACGCTCATGATAAGAAAACGATCTTTGTTTCCATACCTCATGATCCGCCCTGCGCAAGTCGACAAGAAGGAAGTCAATGCCTAGCTGCTTGCCCATCTGTAGCTGGGTCAACAATTCCTCTCGTTCGATCGTCAGGAGGGATACATTTCGCGGCGATGGGTAAGCCTCGTGCCACGCTGGGGCTTGGGACATGCTAGTGGAGTTGGTGAGGAGCAGCGGCGGGAAGAAGAGGTGTCAAAGGATATCTCTGGAGTCCTGGATAGAGGCTGATCCTGTCGTGATACTCGGACGAGGAAGAGAATTAACACCGGGTATGAAGGTGTATTTGTGGAGTGATGTAGATATCTCAATTCAGTGAATGTACTCAGATACTAAAGGAAAACTTAGGAGCGACAGTATGCGCTTAGAAGTAGAGCAGAGCAGAGCAAGAACACGTGAACTGCTAATTGGCGGTAGAAAGAAGAAAGGTTTTGTGGGACGGTGACAAAATGGAGGTACTTGACTGGATGAGTGTAGATCGTGCTCTCCGCTTTGGTCCAGATCAGGTAAGATATGTCTTGGCTTAGTCACTGAGAGCTGATCATTGGCCTGATGAAATTCTGCCAAGGTGGCGGGATGTTACTTGTAACGAAGTACCGATGGGGAAACTAGAAACCATATCTGTACCTCTAGACACTGTCTTAACCCTTCTATTCACAACTTTGTACATATTTAGCCAAGTTCCTAATATCCACAGCTAGTATTGCCCACTCCTTCTTGAATATTCTCCTTCCAGCTGTTATGGAGTCTTCGCAGTCTACTTCGGATGTCGCTATAAACGCTCAACAGAGGCACGAACAAAAATTGCATCCCAAATCCACAGAGACCGGCGACGGCCAAATACAACCAGACGAAGAAAAAAAATGTACAGCTGAACCAATGGACTCCAAGAAATCTGTCTACGCCGGACTCGGCTGGCTCGACCGTCTTCTCGCACTCTGGATTTTGCTTGCCATTATCATTGGCATTTTGCTAGGCAACTTTGTTGACAGTGTCGGACCAGCATTACAGCGAGGAAAATTTGTTGATGTCTCTGTTCCTATAGGTGAGTAGGATAGAACAACTTGCTGGAGGTGAACGAAGCTAACTGGCGTGTAGCTGTGGGTCTTTTAGTAATGATGTATCCCATCTTGTGCAAAGTAAAGTATGAATCTCTACATAGGGTATTTGCGCATCGCCAGATTTGGGTGCAGTTGGCTTTTAGTGTTTTTGTCAATTGGATTGTTGCGCCTTTTCTAATGGTCAGTTACGCATATCTATCTAGCGAAGCGAACTGTGTGAATTCTGACGAGTGGCAGCTCGGGTTAGCCTGGGCTTTCCTCCCGGACGAACCGGGGTTAAGAAATGGGCTCATATTTGTCGGGCTGGCACGCTGTATTGCTATGGTTAGAGTCTACTACTCTCCTGATGCCTATAGACTGACTTTACCTTTAGGTCTTGATATGGACTGGTCTTGCCGGCGGCGACGAGGAATACTGTGCTATATTGGTCGCTGTGAATTCGATACTTCAAATGGTTCTTTACGCGCCTCTTGCAATCCTCTTTGTCAATGTTATCAGCCATGGAGCAGGGAGATCAGCCTCTTACACGGTCGTTGCACGTAGTGTTGGGGTCTTCCTTGGAATACCTCTTGGTGCGGCGGTTGCGACTCGATTTATGCTCCGTGCTGTCAATGCCAAGTGGTATGACCAGAAATTCATTAAATGGATTGCGCCTTGGTCGCTCATCGGACTACTCTACACTATCCTTGTTATGTTTGCGTCGCAGGGCAAACAGGTTGTGCATCAAATCGTCTCGGTTGTCCGGGTCGCGGCACCACTTATCGTTTACTTTGTTGTTGTCTTCTCTCTGACCCTGTGGATCACGAAGAAATTAGGCTTTGGATATAAGCTATCGGCCACGCAAAGCTTTACGGCAGCCAGCAACAACTTCGAGCTGGCGATCGCCGTCGCAGTCGCAACATTCGGAGCAAATAGTGACGAAGCATTGGCGACAACCGTTGGTCCACTGATAGAGGTCCCTGTTCTGATTGCACTGGTCTACTTTGTCAGGTGGATTGCACCGCGGTGGGGATGGAAAGATTAACTCACCGTTGGACAATGGACTGAAGGTAACTCGTATTGTGCAAATTGGAAATAGGCGGAGTTTTCAAAGGCACATTTACAGTTTAGAGAGTAATATCCCGTTGTCAAGAACAGCTAACGTTGGCATTGGCTACAAAAATCTTCATAGGAGCTTCAAGCTGGCTATTTACCACAGGGTAGTTGTGGCGAGAATCATTGATAAATAGGATATTTCCTTTTCGGGTTCAACTAGTTATTTTACTCCCCATAAGACTGAGTATGAGGTATTATCCTGTCCGATGTGCAACTAGTGCATTGTAGAAGTCAAGTCAACTGAATGATGTTAGTGTCAAAGCTTTGTCACTGCCCGGCCGCTATTGACTATGTATGTTTATGCTCTGAAGTCCGAGTCCTACGATCTAGCACAAAACGCTCCATTGCACTAAGAGTGACGAATTTCAGTGGTTCGTTAGAACGACAGGTGAAGAAGAAGCGATAAAAAGTCTCGTGCTTCCCTGTCAACAGTGCAAAGATCCAACGAGTGGATGATTATACTGCAACTACCTAGTAACAACACAATGGCCAACGGCTTTCCTGTTACCATTATGCTAAACAATGGGTAAATAATTGCTTCTCGATGTATCTGAGCAGTATTGGACGAAAGCTATAGGCCGACGGCCCCCTCGGTCACAGCAGAGTGGCGCACCTATTTGGGAGGACGTCGTAATAGGAGTCGGTTCTCATATCCGCCTTAAAGCTAGCAAGCGCAGATGCTCGAACATCATGTCGCTAAAGCTTTGATGCTGTTGGTTTTTGACGGATCACTGGTGACCTTGTCGTTTCCGTTTTACCAGTCCGTACGATTGAACTACATATACTTTGGCGGCGGCCCAGTATCCTCCTGCGACACTCCAGGCGTGTGCTGGCAGTGTCGGTGCGGATCGAACTAAGAGTCTTCGGAGGTCTGGTCCTGTAAATCACCAAATTATGAGCGGACAGGAGCGGACACAACTTGGATCGGCACTTCCAGAACGATGTTTCTGATGTAAATACCAGTAGCTTTCAGAAGAATAACCAAGCCGTATTGTCTCGCGGCGATTGCGCTGCAAAATGTCGGTGTAATGTCACCCGGTAATCTAATGGCGAAGGAGAATTCACTCCGCCATTCTGCAGTCGGCGACAAATTGTCCCTTACGGTATAGGCCTTGTGTCCGTTTGTTGACCGATGGGGACCAAATGCGTCTATCGGTGGCATAGCATCAATCTCCACGACTCTCCACGAAGTCACGGATCGATGGATTTGCTCCAGCTTTAGGACTTGGTCCTGAAGCCGATGGGGCCCATGAGCCGCCAAAAATGCTTGCACGTGCAGTTTCCGGGATGGCTGCGTAGAATAATACGTTTTTGCTCTCAGTCCTGGTATGATTCTGACACCAATTCTTTGCAAAAGTGTGATGAAGTCCCGAGTACCGAGGTTGTTGATTGACGGATGTAACACAGACCCGAATTAGAATTTCCGTGCTTTCGAACGTATGGCCCGCGACCATGAGTACAGGAGCGGGCCCAGCAGCGGCAAGAGTCATCGCATATTTCTGAAAAATAAAGCAAAACTGAGTGAAGAAGGAATGCAGGCCGGAATGTATATCGTTTGTCATTTCGAAATTGTCAAGGTCGAGTGGTTGGCCTAGCAACTAGATGAGGATCATCAGACAATTCGATTCGCGCTGGCTCATGACCCACTTTATATCTGGATTAAAGGGTTATGGTGCTTCTAAGATTCTCTTTATCGACGCTTTGGGTATGAACCCGGGATTCCCCTATCGTAATTTGATGTGTTAGCCAGATGGCCTTCGAGGCAGCTCCGAGGGCGCTTTACCTTCAAAATTAATCTGAACATGCCGGATAGTAAGGAGCACATTACTTGGAATCTTAACGACGCCACAAAGCTCCTGCAGTGGACCCCAGATGCCAACATTGGATGTCTTTTTAAGGCGATCACCGACTTCAGGGGTAGAACCGCGCAGGGTAATAGAGATGCTGGGTTTCGAATCCGGATCCTGCGACCTAGTTAAAGATTGCATCGTTGTGCAGACCATGAGAATATAACTTGATCAGTCAATAGCTGTGGAGCGTTATTTGTCGGGAATTGCAATCTTGCCTCTAGTGAGATGGCATTTATGAACGAAGCAATCCATGAAATCCGAAACTCCGAAGGATTCTTCTCTTTCCAAGTATTTCAGGCCGAGTGGAGGTAGAAGTCAGATGATGATGCTAAGAATGCAGGCTGAGCTAACAACCATCGAATGTCGAGAAACGTATTGTGTTCAGGGTCTTGCCTTTGTGTGAGTTGCTAAACGGTGTGTCAGCGCCTCTATGCAATTGGTACTTATTGTGTAGATTTGTAAGCCCATATGGGATTCCAGGAAAGATTGTCCCCATCTTGGAGCCTGCTTTGTGGAACAATAGGCTGCCTGCGGCCACAACATTAGGCGAACCTTTTGAAACAGCCTAGGAAACAATAGCGCGCTAGGGGCTAAGCTCCATTCACATCGGTCATTGCTTGCTATAGATTGGCTTGCCTCAATACATGACCACTTAAAAGAAGCTCCGCCGAGGCCAGCACCAAGTACCTAGGGATAGCTTCGGTGTGTGCTTGATGAAAGTTCTGCGTGACCTATTACCTCAATGAGCAGATGCGATATACAGGAGACAGATAGTCATTCAAACAGAATTCGTAGCACGTCGAGCAATGCTACAGGTTTCTTCTAGATAGTATCGTGCTTGCTATACACTTGGACATGTGTAATATCGTTCCCTACTGCGCATATGTAAAACTTAGGGGTGCTCAATGGAAGGGTATCGATTTTCCAAGTCAATGAGGCCACTAGATTGATATTTTCTCCGCCGCCACCGAAAGGACGACAACTGTCGCTGGACATAATTGGCTTCGGCTCGATCCCCTACATCACTACACGTACACACCCTCGTGATTGTATCCACGTGCACACATTATTGGCGTAGAATTCAGGCGGAAATCTGGCAAAAAAATGTGGTTGTGACCCTTATTGTCATATATACCTTGCAGCCTCATTGCTTTTGACTATATATTCCTTATTCTCCACCGAAGACTCTAATTTCCAGGGAAGCTGAAACGAACTTTTCAGAATGGATTTAAATCATCTACCTACTAAGCAATCGGTCGTCAGGGACGCCGTTCCCATTTCTCATCTTTCCAGATTGAGTGTACATGTTCAAAGAGGTAAGTCTTTGGCCGAGATAGACAGCGGTTTCGTTCTTAGGTTCTTTGATATTCTGGAGGTCTATAATGGGTGTTGGCGCTGGGGGAGAATGTCCTCTTTCATCTATCATCACTTTGGAATTTTCAACAGTGAAATGGCGGGAAGCGTTGATGAATGCCGTATTTGCAATGTGAGTACCCGAAGAAATGCCGGCAGGGATTTGGAAATCTAGCAGCGGTGCTGGTCTCCTTCATTTGCGCTGTCCGTTCAAAAGGACGTCTTGATTCCCGCCGCCACCGCCACCGCCGCGCAATGCCAGCTCGCTGCTGATAAAATCCGGCGGAGTATTGTTGCGTTTAGCACGGTCCCTGCTCTTATGGCAGTATACTTTCGCTTGACTATTCTAGAGACGCCACACTACACCGCATATATCGCAATGGACGTGGAGAAGGCTCGGGCAGAGGCTGAAACATATCTCCGTGGTAACCGACGGGGGAAATTAGAGGAAGGCCATACAATTGCCGCCGAGAGCCACATGCAGAATGCAACGCGAAAGGCTACTTGGTCTTAGTTCTTCGCGCACTTTGGCAATGGCGGCATGGGAAGATTTTGCCTGGGACTGCATGCTGATGATTCTTCATTGACGTCGCCTTCTGGGGCTTAGACTTGAACAATTCTGCTATCCTTGGCGCAATCGGGTATGCCGGCTCCAAAAACGTCTACAGCAACCTCTACAATAGCGCGGTCGGTAATTTGAGTCTCGTGGTCGCTGGCAACATACCAGGATACTGGGTGTCAGTTGCACTCATGGATACAGTTGGCCGCAAACCCATTCAGCTGGCCAGCTTCTTTATTCTCACGGTGTTCTGCATCATCGGATTTGCTTACCATTCGCTATAAGCACATGGGCTTCTAGCGTTATATGTCCATTGTCAATTTTTTTCCAACTTCGGAGCGAATTCTACAACATTCATTGGTAATTCCACTTGATGGGAGAGTGTCTATAGTTCACTGCTAAGAGTCGTAGTCCCTGGAGAAGTGTATCTCACACGTTTCCGCTCAATAGCACACGGCATCTCGGCCGCTGCTGGAGAGGTTGGTGCTATACTTGCTCAAGCATTGATCGGGCCACTAAGGAACAAGAATGGAACCAACAACTGGTTGAATCATGTCATGGAAATCTTCGCTCTGTTTTTGCTTTGTGGAATTTTCTCAACGCTACTCATTCCAGAGACAAGACGTCGAACATTAGAGGAACTGCCGAAGACTTAACATGGAGACAATCAAAGCACAGAGGTGTTGTCATAAAGTGAGTAATGGTCGCCACGGAAGCCGAATCAGGACCGCGAGAAGGGATTAATACCGAGCGCCAGAGATCCCGGAATTTGAGCTAGTCAGAGTTCTGCAGCATAGATGGCTTGCTTGTAACTGAGATTAGAGGGCTGCAGAGGTCCCTCTGCAGATTTTATGCTGAGCACAAGCAACGTTGCAACGCTAGATATGTCCTGGTAATTCTATCTTTGCACGTACTTGGAAAACTATATAGCTCCTTAAAGTGTCCGTTGCGGCTTTTATATGAACCCAGCCTTCCCATCCATGCACATCATCCTAGATCGAGAGGAAACGTGCAAGTAACTGCGGCTTATGGGTGTATCTATCAACATGTGACTCGTCAAAGACATGCACATAGAAACGCTAGCTTGTAGGATGATCCTATGATCGGTGCTGCACCGTCCGCATCAAACTTGGAAACAATATCATTTGCGTACATCTACAACATAACAATCACTTAGTGGTTTTCAGAATTGCATAAACATAAATGCAGTGCCGCTTAACTTGCGTTAACGCTATCACGGCCGAGTGGGCTCACAGAAGTCTGTGCATTCCTTGAAGACGCTAATTTGTTTTGCAACTCTACACTCACCTCGACAAGGTTGAGTTGGCCTATTAGGCGCATAAATACCATGCTTCACGGCTTAAAGCACGGGCAGTGAGGCAGGGAACAAGCGCATGTAGCTTCGATTATTGCGCCGACTACTCGTTCTACCTGACTTTCACCTCGAGAAGATCGAGGAAGCTGGGTCATCATATATCACGATATACTGCATGCCCGAGAAGATCATGTAATAAAACACAGCCATGCTGCATCTTCTGGCACACTTGCTCGACCTCGGCGTTTAACACTGCAAGGTTATCAACGCCCAACATCAGAGCCCAGCTTTGAGGAGCCTCAACATCACTCCGGCAATCCTACCAAATAGAGCAGCTCAAGATCAAAAGGCTGCGTACGGTGCAGTGTGAAGGTAGCAATATCGGTAGTGTTGAAGAAAAACAGGTGCAATTGCCATGGTGAGCGAGGTGCCTTATAAGTTGCTGGTGTGCACAATGGAGGTAGAATTTGGTTTTATATCTTGCGGCAGGCTTAGCAACTTCGGAATAGACATTTGCGCTTCATCTTTGTCATCTGCGGCACCGTCCCTTCTTGGGTAATTTTGCGTTGGATGTATTAAGCTTTTCACACTAATTTTGTTCGGCGGTGGGCAATACTCTTGGGCCAAATTTCCGCGATGGCTGAATCCCAAGCCGCGGTGTGTCATTCAAAAATTTTAATTGGTCAGGATTGGTTGAATGGAGCATTCCTTGATCAACACCAAAAGTTGCGGTTACATAAAAAAGCTTACGCTTGCGTTCTGGGGAACGAAGTTCTGCTATAAACCCATTCACGAACCATCTCAGGCGGGCGTTCACTGTTCGCATGTGCCAAATTCGAGATACTTCAGCTTTTAGAACCTGATCCTCGCGGGAACCACGCACCGAATGCCTAGCCTTCTGCGTGTAGTTGAGCCAAGCGTTACGTTGTTTCCAGGATTAGGGCGCAGAAGATCACGATACCTCGCAATCACCCCTTGCGCTACACAGTCGAAACATCCACGTTCCAGTTTTTCGTCTCGAATTCAACCGAGAGGAATGGAACCCGATTCGTCCCCGCCCTGGGAACAGATAGTTCCGCAGGCCCGCTGTATTTCACCAACGTCGATCACAAGGCATGAAGTTCTAGAGATGCTGGAGGCAAGTCAGAAGCCGGGTGCTGAGTTCTTACTCGTTGATGTCCGAAAGAATGACCATCAGGTTAAGGACCTTCGACAGCCTTCCACAAAGGTGACTACGGCTGATTATCACTGACATTATTAGTGCAGGGTTCAACTATTTCTGGGTCTCTAAATATGCCAATCCAAACTCTCCAACCAAGTTTGCCGACTCTTTACCGCTTCTGCGTTGCTGCCAAAGTTAAAAAGGTCATCTTCTATTGCGGTGAGAGATATTCCCCACGACTTTATCCCTATCCAAGGCTACTTCTAGGGTAGCCAACGGTGCTAATATAAATGTGTAAGGACATTCTACTGGACGGGGCCGAAGAGCCGCCGGCCTCTTTGACGATGAGGTCAGGAACCACGAGGGAGATACAAATATCGAGAGCTTAGTGTTGAGTGAAGGATTTAATGGATGGTCGACTGCAGGCGAGTTATTCGACAGGTACAAGACATCCCAGACCACTTGAGCAACAATCGGTCTCGTGCTTTCTTCACAGTTGCTCAGCTTCGTTTACTACAAACTGAACTACACGCGACGCCACTGTCCTAGGTCAAGGCCGGAATTTCTGGCGTGGATGCTACGCTCTTTCTACATAATAAAGAGTAGTTCACGTCCCTCCCGTGGAAAATAGTCGCGGTGTTGGACGATTCATATGAATCAAGAGAACAAAACCTGAACAATTTTAAAATGTTTGATTATTTGAGAGGACAGGGTAAGAGACCTGAACCGACCATTATGACAGGCGAGGAGAATGCTTAGCAAGCTAGTTGTATGTACGCTCACCTGTTTACCAAATCAACATAGAAATCGAGCTTGCTTGAACGACAGAATTGGGATCTGAACTCGAGCATGCTTCCCTAAGTCAGTACACACCTCTTTGATCCTTGCCAGCATTATTCTGCTTCCTCATATCTCCATTCTTTTATTTAGACAAGGGACTCACTTGACTGCGCCTGATTAGTAGGATTGCAAGGATTGTAGCTTTGAGCCTCCTTGTCTGCATAGGACGTAGCCTGATGAATGTGGATCTCTTGCAGGACAATATGTCGCAAAAGAACCGGATGCCGCTGACTTACCGCACCTTACCAGCTTTGCACCCAGCTGGCAGGGTATTAACCTACTTACGTAGTTTTCCATTGCACTCATCCCGATACTCATATTAGCAGCGGTTTAATCAATCAAGCCCCGTCTTCATGTTACACATTTTCCCTTAGCTTAGGTTTGCCAACTAAAATGATTATGGGGATATAGTACGGCCCACGAACGCCCCAGCATTGCTGTGCGAGATTTGATTAAAAAAAAGTAGGTAGTGTTTTAATAAGAGAACTTGGCATAAAAGAGCCCAATGGAAATTTTTCCTTTTTGACCCCGAAACTATGAGAAAACCTCTAGTCACTTTCGGTGTATTCATACTCTTTAAATTCGGGGAAAGTAGATTAAGAATAATAGGGATGCATACTTCCGCTGGAGTCACTCACAACAGGTAGGGAGACTACCTTGTGGTTCATGGGATTCCCCACCGAACAGCAACCACCTATAGCGATCACTGACTCGTCACCCGAAGCGAGGCGACGGTACTTAGTAGTAATGAGCCGAAAGGCAAGTAAGAGCTACCCGAGAATCTTGCGGTGTAAGCGTTGATAGTGATTTGACGCCCTATCTGGCCAAACTCAATAATCATAAGCATATGTACCGCCCAAATCTAACGGATAGAAAGAGAGTATCAACGAAATCTTCAGCATTCGACCTGATTTCCATCATCTGCCCAATCTCGTTGTGCTGCTAGATTAACGTTAGCTCGGATTAACCCGATCCGCTATTCTTCTCCCTGTCACATCGTCAGCACAATTCACCTTTCACATCGGAGACAACTTTGAACGAGAGGGACTTACACAACGGTGTGTCAACATTCGCCTGCCTCGCCTCTTACATGAGTTCCCTGCTAATTCATTTTGGTAGACACTTCATCTATATTTGTATCTTGCGTCTGAGGTTGCTTCTGTGACTCAGCGGTAGTGGTCCCCGTATCACCCTTTTTGGAATAATAGACTGTAGTAGCTGGGCGTATAATCGTCCGATCACTGGCGTCGGTCACATTGATCACATCTGCATCTCCGGTGCAAGCACCATGGCCGTAGCCGGGACTGTTGTAGATCGTGGCTGTAGGTGCACTCGATGCCGATGATCCCCCAATATGACTTTGACTTGCCCCCATCGCAGGTATCGGACTTGGTGAAGCTTCGTGGATTTGTTGACGCGCCCGCCGCATGAGTCGTTCTTGGCGGACCATCAGGTTCGTAACATTAACGGGGCAGTAGCCTCGCGGGAAGGCGGATCTTTTGCACATCGGACATAAGGAGGAGTTACCGCTAAGGAACAGATCGATACATCTGGGGTGGAAGATGTGACGGCAAGGGAGTTCACGGATGGTACTTTCGTTGTGGATGAAATTGTCAAGGCAGATGGGGCAAGTCGGCTGGGGAAATAGTACTTGTCGTACAGGCGCTTCGTTAGCTGTAGCTGGGGCACCTTCTGATCCCGAGGTGTAAGTATATTTTGGTAGTTTTTCGACGAGATCTTGAGGAATGTGAAGGCGTTTAATTCCAAGAGCTTCAAGGTCGACTTCGCCGTTGGCAATGCGAAGGGAGAGGAGGGTGCGCTGCCGGTGCTGGACAACCAGGGTAAGAACGCCGACGGCTAGGCTGATAGCAAATACGGTGATTAGGAAGATCCATTGCGACGACAGTGAGCCGTGGTCTGACATATCGCAATGATAGAATAACTCATCCCATGCGTTACAGCTTTTTTGCCGTCCTCACGACAACTAACGGGTGATTGAGTATCAGCTCTCTTCGACCTGTTTTGGACTGCCTTTAGCTACTAGAGGATAGTTACCAGTAGTTCTCATCAGACACTTCGTTGAAATTTGATATTCTAGTACCTAAAGTCCACTTCCTGGGATGGAGTCCCAGGAAGTGGACGAGGCTAGCGCTTTGTCAGTGAAGGTGCTTAATTGGCTGGCCCTCCGATTTAACTTTCCACTTTCCAGCCCCGCAAACTTTAGATTCGCTGGCCGGCTGAGAGTTTGAGAATACAGCCCTCGACTCGATTAATAAACAAGATTATAGGCTCTTAGAGTACCTTGATCACAAGACACTCATGGCTTTGAGGGGATGTGAGCTTTTCTAATTCGAGAGACTTCGATGGCATCCGTACCTGGTTAGGACGCCCGGTGATCATCCTTTGCCACAATTTCCCTACTCTGAACTCTCTAGACTGTGTTGTTCGACTGTTTACGAAATCCTAGACTTGCAGAAATCCGATTACGAATTCAACGAAGCGGTGCGGTTAAGCACGTGTGAGTCGCGTGACAAGTTTACCTTAGCCTGCTGTGACCCTTCCGAAAAGATGTTGGTTACTACCGATCCCCAAACCATACCACTAGAGCAACACGTATGCCAACCACTCATGGCTCTCTCTAGCCCTGCCTTGTCAAGCCATTCCTATCGCACGATTACAAGTGGTCTGTATCTGCTACACGAAGTTGTGCTCGACCAGGTAAAAGCTATGTTGAACCTTTTATTAATAGCCATGTCTTAAAAGTCAAGGGATATTAGTGTAATGGACTAAACCTAGGTCTTCTATTCTACCTAAATCACTGGAGCAAGCACCCAAGAGCAGTTAGGTGCAAGAATACCTTATTTATAGCTTACTTACGTACAGCTTCTGCAGCAATAGCGCCAACCCCGGGGTTGTGCTATGGAGTGTAGTAGAGGTTCAACAAGTATTTCGGTAGAAGGCCGATGACCGAATTCCCTCTACTTACGGTATTGAGCTAGATTCTCAGAGAAAACATCTATAACAATGCGGGATTCGGTTTAACATTGAAATCCGGCACACCTTGTCGAATGTTGAAATCCATGCTAGTCGTGGTCGTCTTTCCTCCTTACTAGTTCAATCTTGGCTTTGTCATTCCTTTCGCTTAATTCGAAAGGCCAAGCGATGCTAGAATTAGTAAAGCATAACGCTAAGGCTGCAAGATAATGGAAATGAACGAGCAAGGTTACAGAGGACTTCCCATTTGTTCTTCTTATCGAGGTATCTAAGGGACTGTTCATAGCAGTTACAGTTTCTGACATAGCTAGTCAACTAGAGGTTGTGGGGGGTTATGAACTTGAAGAGCATTGAGTACGAGGTTATTTCTAATTCATGGCTGGTACGACTGACATATGAAATTCCTTCTTTCCAGGCCAAAGTATGTGTCATGAAAGGAATGATTTGGCGCGCTACTTAGCAATGCTTATTCTTGGCCTGTCACAGTGAGTCGCCTCCTTTGAAATTGTCCAAGACGTAGAAGCATACAATCGGACTTATTGCACAAAACATGTGCTGTCAATATAGCATGCTATTGGATCTAAGGAACATGTTTATTGGGGTGTAGCGTTTTCTTTCTTAGCCAGGAATGATGTATTTAAAGGTGTTGTCAGCATTCCTAGAAGGGAACTGTTAACTTTCAGTATCTAACTCCTCTGACCTGTTGAACTTACAATATGGCTCCCCCAGCAACGGCTCCATATGATTGGATTCTTGCCATTACATCTATTGCTTTCACCTTCAGCGCCTTTGGCAATGGAGCAAACGACGTTGCAAATTCCTTTGCCACCTCAGTTGCGGCGAGGACCTTGACCATGGCTCAGGCAGGCCTCATATCGATGGTCACTGAGTTTGTTGGTGCCGTTGCGCTTGGGTCCCGTGTGACTTCTACAATCAAAAATGGCATATTTTCAATCGACCATTTCAATGATAGACCTGGAGCTTTGATGGTAGTCATGGGTTGTGCTGAAATTGGAAGTGCTACTTGGCTAATGGTAGCGAGCGGCTTTGGAATGCCAGTGTCCACTACTCATACTATTGTGGGCGCTCTCACCGGGGCGGGAATTGCCTCTCAAGCTTCAATTAAGTGGTCATGGCAGTCAGGAAGTCTCTCCCAGATTGCAGCATCATGGGCTATTGCACCTATACTTGCTGGTTGCTTCTCTGCCATTATCTTCGCTTCGCTCAAATACACAGTTCTGGAACGCAAGGAGTCGCTGAAATGGGCAATGCGGCTCATTCCCCTCTATATTGCTTTCACTGCCAGTATCTTGGCCCTCTTCATCGTGATAGAGCTACCGACAGCTCCGTCCCTCGAGGAATTTGGTGCCGGAAAAGCCGTTGGAATAATCCTAGGTGTCTTCTTCGGCGTCCTAGTTATTGCGATGGTATTTTTCAAACCTTATTTCTATCGACGCATTATTAGACAAGATTCAAGGATCAAATACTGGCACCTACCCTTGGGCCCGCTTCTCTGGCGTGACAATGCGCCTCTCTATTTCCCTGGACAAGTAGATGGAGAGTACGTAAAAGACTACTATGCCGATCCTTATCAGAATGCAACTTATCCTTCGCCGCCAATTCAGGCTATAGACCAAGAGGAAACTTTAGAAAAAGCAGCCAATACCGTTGACCCTGGCGACCAGGCTCAGAGCAGTGACCGAACCATTCGTAATGAGCTCGAAGCGACGAGAGCTATGAGTCCAGTAAGCCCAAGGCAAAGGTTCCTCGATCCGGTATCACATCTAAAAATCACTCACCCAAGACGATTATTTGGGTACATCAAGTTTATCTTGCTGCAAGGCGTGACTCGCGACTGCGTTACCCACGACTCAACATCGCTTCGCGATGTCCATGCCCGCGCTAGCAAATATGATATCCGAGTCGAGCACCTATGGACATACTGTCAGGTCGCATCCGCTATGATTATGTCAATTGCTCATGGTAGCAACGATGTCGCAAATGCAGTTGGCCCCTGGGCAGCTAGCTACCAAACTTACAAGGACGGAGTCGTATCCACACGATCTCCAACCCCGGTTTGGTTCCTTGTTATCGCTGGATTTCTGTTAGGAGCGGGATTCTGGTTCTATGGATTTCACGTCGTTCGTTCCTTGGGCAACAAGATCACGCGAATGTCTCCTACTCGTGGTTACAGTGTAGAGCTGGGTGCCGCAATCACTGTTCTACTAGCGTCGCGTCTGAGCCTTCCTGTCAGTACTACGCAGTGCCTGACAGGGTCTGTTCTAGGGGTCGCGCTTATGAACTTTGATCTACGCGCCACTAATTGGAAACAAGTTGCGTTCATCTTTTCAGGATGGGTCTTGACATTACCGTGCTCAGGTTTGATTTCTGGACTGCTTTGTGTTATGGCATTAAACGCACCAAGCCTTTAGTGTCGTCAACAGTGAAAGACCCATTTCACGAGCCTGCCACATTAGGCCCTTTATACATGCCTGTCAAGCAGAATCAACATGGACTTCTACGGAGTTGACTTTACGATGACCACGGTCAACCCCAACAGAAGGTAGCTTAATTACTGAACTAATTAACATCGTTTAGCTAGGAGGAGAAGCATAGCTAATAAAGATACTAGTGAATATTACTTCTGGAATTAGAAGCTAAAGTTCCGCTTTACACTCTAGTAAGCCTCTAGTATATATCACTTTTTAGGTATAATAGGACTAGCTCTGCTATAAGTACTAATTATATAAATTCTACATTTATAGGAATAGATATCCAGCCCTAAGTAGCGCAAGTAAATGTAGCGTCCTGTAGCGTCGGGCCCTTAACGAGCTCTTACTGCTGTGCCTATACGGAGCAAGAGATCTAGAAAAGCTATTTTTAGTCTAGAATGTCCAAATCTAAATCTAATCTAGGTTGACTTTCCTCTACCGATGCCTTCATAATTTAATCTAAGTCCTTTGCGAGAGGCTTTCGTTCGCTGAAACGATCACTAAACAAGCCAAAGTGCGGCCGCATGACAATAGTATATTTCACAAACTCTTCGGCACAGTCGACAACGCGATCTCGATTACCCCCTGGCATCAGCCTAGAACCCCCCTCAGCAGCGCCATCTTCGGTAAATAAAGTGTACGCCTGGGGAACGGATGACTGGTTCGGAATAGTGAACATTCGCATCCACCTGCCTAGGACACGAAGGCTATTGATAGTATTGAAAGACTGCGAACCTCCAGAGACCATGGCTAATCCTAGGGTGCGTCCTTGTGTCGGCCGCACCGATCCTGTACTCAAAGGGATCCAGTCGATTTGGTTCTTGAAAACTGCTGTTAAATTGCCGTGTTGTTCCGGCGAGACCCAAAAGTGCCCGTCACTCCAGCGACTCAATTCCCGTAGCTCTTGTACTTTCGGATGGTTATGTTGCTGGTCGTCCTTAACCGGTAAACCGTGAGGATCGTAAACCCGAACGTCGCAGCCGAGGCGCCAGAGGATACGCGAAATCTCGAACGCGAGTAATTTCGAGTAAGATCTAGAGTCTTGAGCCAGTGCTACCGCTTTTAGGGTGGAGATATACTTACCTCTGCCGGAGACTCCCGTAAAGTACCAAAACCTTTATCCTCTCTCCCCTCAACTCCATTTCGTTATGCGCTAATTCAGTTGCGGTCGCCAGCTCCAATCTACTAATCCAGTCTTGTCGTTGGATTTCGTCCGGGAGAAGAAATGGTCGATACCTTGAGCGGACCAGAGAGTCATCTTTGGATGGTGGGATTGCAAGTGATCGATGTGCAAAATGGGGGTCTCGGTGAGGCTTTAGAACAACGCGCATTGCTGCTGTATTGTTCAAATCACCATTGAGAGGCTCTAATTTTTCGATCCCTTTTAACATCCGAGGATCTTTCGCCTCAGCACAGACAGGTAAGCGGTCAAGGGGTGTTGCGACAGCCATGGTGTGGATTTCAGATGTTAATTTCGTTGTCGAGGTGAGGTTCATGTATCGAAAGAGCCCAAGCGCAGTTATGGGAAGTTGGGCAGGATTCAGTAAACGTGATGTAAACCAACGCTGGGTTGTATGGAGAATATACATAGGCTTGGCCTAAATCTCAATCCCATAGAATAGGTTGCAACAATAAGTGTAGGTAGGGATGGAAGAAGTAGCGCCAGCAGCTAGAACAATAAGAGGAAGGAAGAGCAGGACACGAAAGCGACCATCACTTAGTCACTCAGCTGATTTGATTGGGTGATGAAATTGGCTGCTAAAGCTGGAAGGTCATAGAAGCGGCTGACGGTGGTTCGCGTCAGCGAGTCTCCACCGCTACTCCCTCCGCCATTGAGCCTCAGCGCCAAGGCTTCTAGCTCGGAGGTGTCTTGCAACTCTCTCACGCTTAGACAGGACCTTGCCACTCAGCTCCCGTTAGATGGTCCTTTATCTATATAACCTCTCTGGTCCCGCCCGGAGTCAGCAATCGCTAAGTAATTAAAGGGGTTTAATAGAGACACGTGAACGAAAGACTACCAAGCTCGGCCCTGCCACTTGGCGCTACTGCTCGTTATTTGCAGCTTTGCCAACCGGCTCCTTCCTAACCTTCGTGACACCCGAAAATATTCTCCTGGAGGCAGTAAATAGCGGTGCAATTATGTATTATCGACATTATAAGCCCCTATGACGCTGTACCTTCAGTCTACCCTTGCGCTAAACTAGGAATTACTTTAGAATATAACACTAGATGCCTAATCTGGGATGGATAACATGGCTTCCGAGGTGTGTCGCCAAGGCAACAGCGTTAACATTGAGACAGACTACTCATGCATCCTAGAAATCGTTACTCCGACAGCAGATAGAAAGAAACCGGGTCAACCAGCGTAACTGTCGTGCCCGGCGTCAAGGCTACATACGAGATCTCGAGCAGCGTGTCCGGCGGTTCGAAAGCGAAAGGCTTCAAGCCACTAGAGAGGTTCAAGCGGCCGCTCAATCGGTGAACAATATGAATCAACGACTAATATGGATACTCGAATCACAATTTGGCATCAGCAGACGCCAAATCGACGAATACCTTTGGGGATCGAACTTCGCTCCGGATATCGAGACACGGAGCCCTTTGCCGCGGATGAATTCAAACCGAACGTCCGCAAGTCCTAAGCGGTTACCGCAGACCCTTATGCTCCCCTCTGATCCTGAGCGAATTTCCCAGGCCAAGACCCGCCTTGACCAAGTCTTAGAAGGTTTGTCGGTAGCGGGTGAGGAAAGTCAAATCGACGGACGGGTAACACCACCACCTGGGTCCGAACCCGTATCTGCCGTTGTCTGTCCGGAATATGCACATTGTCCACAAGAAACACTAGTTATGTCTGAGGTTTCTTTGCCTCAGTATCACTCTACACCAGCTGACGAAACAGTCCCTCCAGATCAGCAAGACAATAATGACAAATACAATCCTGAGTCTAGTCATCACTTGCATTGTATTCCTGAAAATCAGTCTCAATATACCCACGACTTGTCCGGAGAGCGCATGGACGCTTGTGCCGGAGAAACGTCGTGTGAAGAAGCCGCAAGCATAATTGTGAGCCTACGGGGCAACAACGTTCAGGAAGAGGTATGGAGTGAGCTAGGTTGTAGCGCAAAACAGAGCTGCCGAGTTAAGACTACCTCAGTCTTTGAGCTCCTGGACAAGGAATAACTACTATCTGTGGGTCCTGAAACCTGGTTCTTTGGAGCACCAAAGGATCTTCGAAAGAATTGATAGCCTACAATGGGCAAGAAATGTTGTGGTGGACATTAATCTTTTCGCTGTCCACGTGAAGAGCAGATAATTCTGGAGGATTTAGTTTACCACAAGTACCGTCGACTCTTTCAACGACCAAGTAGTACCAAATTAGATACAGCCACAGGCACAACCTACCACTCCTTCTCATGAGCGGGAGATTTATCTAAACGGCTATTTAATATCCGAAAATCATTCCTGAGAATGCAATCGCAGCCTAATTGTCGAGAACCCAGTTACTGCGCCGCGACTTCCCGGGGTCCGCCCGCTACGACTAATATGACATGTAAGAGTAGTTGAAGCACATAAAAAGCTTCCACCATCAGTGCACATCTAAGTACAATAGCAACCAAGCTAAAACGGACTTCACTAGCTATTAAAAATTTCTCGGACCGTTTCGATGTCTCCCTTGAGATGTGTCCCTATAGACTAGTGCGGTGTAATATCCCGGGAGAGCTTCTCCAACTGATTGAAATCCGAGATGTATACTACCACTGATAGTAATTACGCTCCAGATCTGGAATATAGCCATCTGCCAGGCGAAACCAGAAATGGTAGCATTTCTCCATATTGGCCGTGCTTCCTGACTGCTACTCATTGGGTGATACGTTCGTATATCCCACGAAGCCGGTGGTAGCCTATCACTCTAGGCGGTATCCCTAGTACTACCCTTTTAGGGCGACGGAGCAGGATCGTTCCTATAACTCGGGCGATCTGAAAATCCAAAGAACTCATTATCAGCGCCGACTAACCTTGATGGCTAGGAGAGGATAGGAGACAATGATGGGAAATTCTCAAAAGATGAAGGTAGGAAATTGGCACTACAACGGGGTGGGGCGTATCATCCGAATTTTAATTGATCGAATGTAGAATACAATGAAAGAAATTCCCACTCCTAATTCCCGAATGCAATCTTTCATGCCGTGGTACATCTAAGTAGTGATACCAACATCGATCGACCATGCAATGCAGTTACTAACATATAACTTTCAACGAATCTTCAGTAATTCTGAAGTCTATTTTGAGCCTAAAGCAATTAGCCGTACACACAGCCAAATCGACTCAACGCACTCTAGTATCTACGCTATCCCATCTTCTCTATTTGTGAGAGCGGGGATGAGGAAAATGCTCTCAGCCCGAAAAATAGAGTGGCATGTCCACTAGCTTTAGTATAAGGGCAATATAAGAATCGCGGCAAGATATTGCTAAGTCTTAAAAATTAAAATCCCCCGGATGCTACTACTTAGCACCGCTACTTATCACTTAACCGCTAATTATATAAGAACTTCAGCTACGGCTCCGAGGCGTATAGCCTTTATCTATATTTTAGACCGAATAGCCCAGTAAGCCCTAGGCTACCGTAGTATTATAATCCGAGCTGCAAGTAGTTCTAATTAAGGTAGGGTTCCTTAATAGAGTGAGTATTAGAGTGTTGACTAAGATAATAAAGGGAATACTTATTCGTCGGACTATATCCTAAAATATAGGTATAGGATTACTAACGAAGTTAACTACGAACTATACTATCTAGGTAAAGGAGCGTATATATATAATATTTAAAGTATTACTTTAGTATATTACTATATTAGAAGTAATATAGTAATATAGTAATATATCTTTTAGTTACGTAATATAGCCTCGTTCTCTATCGACTAACCTTCCTTAAACTATCCCT